TCTCATTGGCTGTGCCGGTAGGATTGGGAGCAAATAATGTTCACGAATGGATTCATTTAAAAAATCGTACAAATCAAGGTCGGGCGGGAAATCTGTTTGTGACAAATAGTTCAAGACATCGGGTGGAATAATCCAACTTATGCTATAAAACACAGACATGTTAGAAAAAAAGGGCCTTTGCAATTCGGACAATTACATTTTTCAGCATAATATGATTTAAAAAAGTTTACTTTATAGGATGACTGAGTGATGTCTTTGGCTCTTTCAAAATGGGGGGTGGTTGTTCCAGCACTTTTAAGTGCTGTTCAATATCCTGTGAAGTAAAAAATTGTTGGTCTGAAGTCATTGCAAAGTTAAACAAAGAAGAAGGGAAGAGGTCGAAATAATTATAATTTTATATTTTTTTTTTTTTTTTTGAAAAAAAAAAAAAAGAGCGCCACGTATAATTTACTGTAATGACGTACTAAGGTGTTCACGAAGAACTGCAATAGCCTCTTTTGACGTTTCTTCTAACTGCTTTGGATGATTGATAAGTTGCACAAGATGAGCTTTATCCATTTCTAGTAACATGCCGGTTAATTTTCCTGCCTCTTGAGGATATAAATCAGATCTAAAAGTTAAAAGATTAGCATGAATTCCACACTTCGTTCTATGGATAAAGTAAGCTTACACAAGAGAATAAACACGTTCACCCAACATTTGACGTTGAGTTTCTGGAGAGAAGGCTTCTAAAGCTTCAACAGTTAATTGGGATGGAATTGCACTGACTTTTTCTGTGGGTTGAAGTTGTTGGCGAGTGGTAGCGACAGGACTAATGGGCTGACTCACAGGTTGAGGGCTAGGACTTCTTTGCTGTTGTGTTTCTAAATAGGTACGACGATCTTCTTTACGTTGAGCTAAAGCAACATAAATTTCCTTGGAAGAAATGGTATGACCATTCATCTTAAGCACTGCCTCAGTAGCATCCTCAGGTGAAGCAAAGCAGACAAATCCAAATCCCTTTGAGACATTGGTAGCATCATCCTTCATGACCTTTGCACTTGTAATTTGACCATACTTTGCAAACTCTTGTCTCAAGACATCATCTGTGACATCGTCCGCTAAATTCTTTACATACAAATTGACACCTCCATACTTGGCAGGCTTCTCTACACGATCATGTTGACGACGCAATTCATCTTCACGCTCGGATTTCTTTTGTGCTCTGGACACAAATAATTTCTTGCCATAATATTCAGAATCATGCAACTGGTTAACAGCTCTCTCTGCATCCTCTGCTGATTCAAAGTTGACAAAACCAAAGCCCTTGGAGTTGTTGTATTCATCACGCTGAATTAATAAAGAAGAAACACGTCCAAAAGCACCAAAAAGATCTCTGAGTTCATCTTCAGTGACATCCAAAGCAATATTCTTAACATACAAGTTGGTGAAACGTTGTTTGGCTTGATCCTCTACTTGTCTCTCTGCCTTGGGAATTTGGTGTCCTACTTGGCTACATATAAACAAAACAGAAAGTGGTTGTCAGATTTGTATTACAGCAGGAAAAAAAAAATTAAGGTTACTTACATTTCTTTACCGAAAAGAACTCTACCGTTGACAAGCTCAATAGCTCTTTCAGCAGCTCCAATGGAATCATAGTTGACATAACCGTAACACTTTGTAGCACCGGGGTTCTTGATGACTTTACAAGAGAGCACATTACCCCACTGAGAGAACGTATCATGGAACGATTTATCATCGACTGTGGCAGGAAGGTTCTTTACAAAAATATTACCATTACCATTCATTCTTCTGGAGGGATCACGTTCTGACAGCATTAAACGACAAGGTCTTCCGTTGATTGAAGAGTAGTTCATCTTTTCAAGTGCCTCAAGGCCTTACCAGAAAAATAGAAAATAAGACACATGACAAGGTAAAGGGAGAAAAACAAACTTACAATCTTCAGGGCGAATGAAATTAACGTAGGCATAACCCAAACTCTTTCCACTGACATGATCGCGACAGACATGAACACTTTTAGCCTTGGTAAAGTGTTGTTTCAAAATATCGTCATTGACATTGGGTGCAAGTTCACCGACATATAAAGCAGTTTCTCCTTTACTCACGGAGAAACGTTCTGCGGTGTTTTGCATTGACTGTGAAGCTGCTTGCGATTGAATGGCTGCAATTTCATTCTGTTGTTCAATGGTCAAACCACGAGGTCCTAAAGAACTGTCGGTCATCTTTCTTTCTTTTTTTTTTCGTGTTTTATGTTTTACAAAGAGAAGAAGAGAAAGAAAAAAAAAATGTTTTTAGCTTTTTTTATTGGTGTCCCGCACTCTTTTGAAAAAATAATATTATGATATGATGCAGCAACAGCCTGCAGAATCAGTTTTTTCCTGTTGCATATTTCTTTTACTGCTACTATCCTCGTGACTATCAATCATGGTCATACTAGTATAATCTTCTGTATAGTATTGTTGTTGTGGTACGATGGGTGATATTTGATTCATGCTGGGAGCATTGTTTGTAGTGTATGGCATGCTTTCTTCTCTTGTTCGCTTTCTTTGTGCTATCGACAATGAATGCTTAACTTGCGGTGGTGGTTGTAATGAATGTGTTCTTGAAATGGGCGATAATGGTACAGGTGATAGAGGTGGTGAATAAGATTGTAATGAAGGTGAAGGTAATAATGGTGATGATGGTGGTGACAACGATGATATTTGCAGTGGTCTGGGTGAATTTGGTTGAGATGTTTCAGAGACCTCTTTTGGTGGCGGAGATACACATGTCTGTGTGACAGCACTACGGTGATCTTCACTACTGTTGTTTGAATACTACAGAAAAGATTTTTTTTTGTTCTTAATTAAAACAGGTTAATTGAATGAAAAAAGGAGATTATATATACCGTTTCATTTATCGAATTATCACCACCACCACCACCACCTCCCATCATAAAAAAAGTATGTCTTTGAATTGATCTTCTATTTTTGCTTCTCTTTGTAGTAACTTGATGATGATATTCTTCATTATTGGTATCTGGGGCAGATGGAGTACTACCCACCAGTTTAGAATATCGAAGCTGACCTTTCAGAACTTCATCTTGATTGTATTCCACTGGTAATCCAGTTCCTTCCTTTTGACGTTTGGCTGCTATATCAAATACTTGTACAATCTATTTTAAATAAGGTAAGTACATGGTTCTCAAACATCGTTTCCAATTCATATTACGTTATCATCCACAAATCTAATTTCAAATGCATAGTTATTTTTCTTTGTTGAAGCCATGTTAAAAGAAAACTAAAAATAAAAATAAAATGAAAAGAGGAAAAAGGATAAAAAAAAAATGAAATCCACGTTTTCAATTTGATATATTTGGACATTGGGAGCACACCTCCAAATGACAAAAAAAACAGCTGTCACGTTCTTTATGTAATCCGTTGTTCTCCTCATTTAGTTGGCATGGAAGAGACTATTAGGTTTGTTTAAGCCGTTGATAAAAACTTATTGGGATATTACACACGGATTTGTACAGCATTGTTTCACCTAGAAAAAAACCCATTATTCAATACAGCCGTCCTTATACTGCTGTGTTCAGATCCAATATTCACATCAGCTACTTAAACATCCTCACCTTCTTTTAAAAAGACATATCCCTCGAGTATAGCTGCAGTCCCTGACCGCGTCTCATAATGTTTTGACAGCATAGCTTTTGCCAGGAACAACCGGGCGAATCCTGAGTTTCAAAACAACTGGACTTGACGGGCTTTTTACATTGTTTGTTTTTCTGTCAGAGAGTGGCTTAAATCAGATAAAAATAGAAGAGAGAAAAAAAAAATCTTTCCAAGCTCTTCCTTTACTTCTTTTTTCTTTAAAATGGCAGATTATTCCAACGTTGATTACGCTTACCTTGAAGCCTCTCTTTGTAACACCTCCGGTCAAGTTTCTCTTGCTGAACGTTTTAGGTCATTATTCACTCTCAAAAATATTGCCAATGACCAAAGTATCGATATTATTGCCAAAGGTAAGAAAAAGGACAGTGTTCATGAATAGTGTGCTCATTGTGTTTGACAGCTTTCAGTGATGATTCTGAACTTTTGAAGCATGAACTTGCTTATTGTCTTGGTCAAATTGGTAACCCTCGTGCCAACCCTACTCTTGAAAAGGTATTGGAAGACCTCAAGGAACATGAGATGGTGCGTCATGAAGCTGCTGAAGCTTTAGGTGCTATTGGATGTTTAGAATCACTCCCTATCCTCGAGAAATATTTAAACGATAGCAATGAATCTGTTGTAGACACTTGTGAATTAGCCATTGATAAAATCAAGTATGAAAATGATCCTCAAACCAAAGCAGAAAGAGAGGCCAACAAGAGTATGTACAACTCTGTGGATCCCGCCCCTCCTACCAGCGATACAAAGTCTGTTGAAGAATTAGAAGCACAATTAACAAATTACGATCTCAAGTTATTCAAGCGTTATAGAGCCATGTTTGCTTTACGTGAGATTGGTACAACTGAAGCTGTGCTTGCTTTAGCAAAGGGATTAAAAGATAAGAGTGCTTTATTCCGTCATGAAGTTGCCTATGTCTTTGGTCAGTTACAACATCCTGCTTCTGTACCTGCTTTAACAGAATGTCTTCAAGATCAAAACGAGGTTCATATGGTGAGACATGAAGCTGCTGAAGCGTTAGGTTCTATTGCTACACCTGAAGTTTTGGCTACATTAGATTCCTTCAAGTTGGATAGTCAACAAGTTGTGCGTGAAAGTTGTGTCGTCGCTCTTGACATGTATGAGTATGAAACCAGTGGTCAATTACAATATGCCTCTCCTCTTCAAGGTCAACAAGCTCAAAACATGCACGCTCTTAAGCTCGCTCAACAATCCTAAACTCTTTATTAGAATTTCTTATTACATTTGTACATAACATTATAAACCCCCAAACTCCCTTCTCTTATTTTTTTTTAGGTTAATAAAAAAAAATCTATAACCCTTCAAACTTCTTGGTGCAGTAAAAATTAAATGGGCGTTTGAATTGTTAATAGTCCTTCCCCCCCCCACCATTGAATATGATATGATGTTGTTTCTTGCACACTACTCTTCATTTAAAAACGACCTTACGCCTCCCATTTCGATCAATGTGATCTCTATGTCATTTTGAAACTTTTCTTTACTTCGTATGTATGCTTCATGAATATATTAAATTTATATGCTGTCTAACGTCAGCACGTTCTTCACGGTCTTCACCCGACTTTTTAAAAACAAACTGTAAAGCGGAAGTATAGGCATTGTAACTTATTTTAAAGTTGAAAATAGGGCAAGCTGTTGTGACTAAAGAAAATCTTCGGACGTTATCATGAGGGTGCTGATGCAAAGAAATAATGTCATCTAGCTTATCATTATTTGGGCGCAATCTTACTAGCACTATTCAAAAGGGTTAATTCTAAAAGCCCTCAGCAATGTAGGTTATTGTATTACGTAAAAAGAGAACGCCTTGTTTGAAAGGCTTTTTGCGACCTCTGTATAACCATCTAAAATGTTTCACTAGGCCTGTATGTGGTATTAGCTGGCCTTTTCGTAGTATTATCATCGCATTGCCCTTAGTACCGACATAATTTTTTCCATTGTATTTATATCCGTCACCATAAAGATGCAACCCCACGTTGCTAGATCTACAATTTGAGAGACTTTCAATGATTTTAATAGCGTAAGTATCTGGTGATGCTCTGCCTAAACTTCCGTGCATTAAGCTGTTGTAAATGTGGCATCTCTTACTTATCGCTGGTTGAAGCAATCGCTGTAATTTTTCGTTAACAAAGAACATTTGTGAATCTAACCTTTTTGATTCAATACAATCTTCGACTGCTGCTTGTATCATATTATGAACTATCAAACTAAATGGGGAATTCTCTGAGGTAAACAGCGTATTATCCGTCACAAAAAAATACCCAGCCTGGTATTTCCCAAAGAGATCTCCATTTATTGCCGAAGACGATATTATAGCAGCAACATCTTGTAGTGTTGGTTTTAGACCTTTTTCAATTATGTTACGAATAGATACATTAATATTACAGCCACATGTTTTGCAGATATTAATCCTGGTAAATGCATCTAAATCACTGAGCTTAGTGGCAGCTGAAAACTGAAAAAAAAAAGAAGTTAATGACTGGATAAGTAATATACACACCATAACACATACCATTTCCATTAGATACTTCTTTAATTCTGCCAAGGCATTTTTATGGTTCTGAATTGAGTTAATATCACAGCAATTTCTGCTTGTTTTGTTGTGTGACATGGACATATTTTTGGTAAAATTGAATTTAACATGTTTCCAAAAGTATTTACATACAGTATCATCAATACTATCAATTTTGATAATTCTAGTATCGAGTAAGATCGAAGACGCGTCTTTTTCACTTGATGAAATTTGAACAACTTGTTTTAACGTGAGCTGAATGTAAGTATCGTGCAATTGAGCCAAGAGAAAATAAGACTTGAGAGGAAGATTTAAGTTAAATTTTTGCTGTACAATGGACAAAATTTCTATTTCTTCTGGAGTAACAATACGAGCTTTTATGGTTTCATTTCTTTCTTGAAGGATACCGCTCCCTAATAAGATTTTTTGAAAGTTTTCTTTGGATCCATAAACATAATCCATTAATGGTTTTTCTATGGATATAAAGTACCCAATTTTAAGTTTTTCTAAATTTTCCTGAGGGTGTTCTTGTAATCTGCAAGCGATCTGGCCATTAATGTATCCCCAATACATCATCAAAAAGAGTCGTATGTATTTTTTCTGATCAGTAAACACACAATGTTCGGGAGTATTTGGCTTTTCAAAAAAATCATCCAGTTCATGATTATAAATGCATTTCTTTATCTTCATCCCAATAGCCGTCAAAGCATCCATCATTGGTCTATACGTGATCGGTTGTGGATCCAGGCTGCTCTCCTGGAAAATTTTTACCCTGCGTGTAATAATTGCGATTAATCGACAAGGGAATATGATCTCTTATAAAAGAAGTAATTACTTAGTATAAATGTGATGTACTTGATTGTATTTTTTGGTCTTTGATCCAGTTATTTTCTTGTTTTGTTTAGTCTTTTTCTTTCGATACCATCTGTTATTATATTTCGAAAAAAGTCTAAAATACTCTTGAAAGTTGCTATCCATGTATATTTTCATCCTAATTTTATACGATGTTAGTACTCAGCTTTCTTAAAATTTGGATGATACTCGTTTTACTTGTTTGTAATACAAAGTATTGGACCTTGGTACATAGACATTCGCACAAAATAATTGTTCAAAGGCTGCATATGGCTATATCAAAAAATTTAAGGCTTTCAGATTATTTTCCGCTGTTCCAGATATGTATCACCACTTACCACATATTGTCGAACAAAATGCAAGCATCAACAAATTGGTTTGAATAGGAGCCATTAACACTTTCAAAGGATGTATCTGTAAAGCATTATATCATTTAATGAACTAAATATTATCAGTTACAGTAAAATTAATCCCTTATCTTACTTATGTTAACAACACAGTCAGGCTCTGAGTCTTCAAATCTTGACATTGTCGAAATTATTGTGTCTTTTAAGTTATACCGAGACATCACAGTTGGTGGCCTGTTCATAATTGACGAATATATTTCTGTCACGGTCAAATCTATGTGACCAAATCCTAAATCATAAGGAGCTAAGTAACAAGGTTCGAACACTTTGTCTATAAAGTGACGAGTTTGATATTCGCACGAATGTTTTAATGGCATATTTAGCCACCCATGTATCATTCTTGCTTCTAAACCAAGGCGTATTTTAGCATTAGACTTCGCCATCCAAATACTTTCTGACCAAGTTACTCTCCTTATTGTTGAGCGCTTCTTATTAGTAGCACCTTCTAATAAAACCTTCAGGTTGGACGAGAATTCTTTTTGTATTAAATTGAACAAATCTGTATGAACATCATACATAGTTATTGACTGTATACTTTTGACCGTATTGTTGCTCAACTTCCATATATTAACAACATCTTCAAATGGTCGGGACATTTGTATACGAACATGTTTGTCTGTATCTTGAGCTATATCTTCATTGGGAACAAACTATGATAATTGTTAACAATTGAACCCTCGTTGCTTAAACTATTTAAACAAATTTTGTTACATTTTGATTATGATATCGTTTTACCAATATATCTAATATTTCTTTTGTTTCGGTTAATTGAATGTCGAAACCTCTCACTTGAAGTAAGCGTTGAATACTCTTTTCCACATTGATATTGAAAGGGATATTGAAACAAAGCGACTTGAGTGATTTCGGGACATAATCTTCTGTTTTTACATTATTCATCGAGCAGTAAACAGAAAATAAATCGAAATTTACTAGTAACTGTTTTGATGTGAAGTGAAGATTATATAGTATGTATTCTCTGCCTATCTCCAACTTGGGAGTTACTGAGTATCTACTCCTACGTTCTTCAGGTTGATTTCGTTTTACAAACTGAACAAGTGCTTCGAGTTTGGTGAAAATCATCAATCTCCTTTTATCATCATATTCAGAAACAAGTCCCGCTCGGACAAACAGTGGCCAAATCAATGCTTGTCTTATGCCATACTCCCAATTAGTCGGGATAATCAAAGAAAAAAAACATCGCCTAGCATTTCCACCATCATCACACGTATACATTTTTACTGCTTCCCGCAAAAACACCTCCATTGCGTGCAATAATATTTCGTCTCCTTTATCATGTTTAAATATTCCATTATTTTCTCCACGTATATAAATATTATTCAGCTCCATAAAAACGTTTTTTACATAGACCATGTTTACATGATTTTTGCTAGTCAAATTTTTTATGCCACATTCATCGCCCCATTCTAAAATTTTTTTACTAGCAGCATCATATTTTATGGATGCCCTTATACTTTAAAAATATTAGACGTCTGTTTAAACTTTCAAATCTTTAGTGTTCTGGTATACCTGAAATGGTAGTTCCCATTTATAGCCGTGACGAGGATACTGCCTACCTTTAAAAAATCCCTATCAAAGCCTTTTTTTAAAGGTTAATAATTGTTTATCGATAAAAATTGGTTGTTACTCACCCAGGTTGAAGCTGCGCTCATAGCTGGAAAAATCATAGATTTGATCCATATCTATAAATGGAAGAGTAAAAAGTAGAACAGAACAAATTAGATGGTTAAAGTGATTTTTACTTATTTTTAAAAGGGGGTCGGACAGGGCTGAGCCATGGTGTTACCATTAACACATTTTGGTGACCATTATCTATTAAAGTTTTGACTGCTGATAACACAACTGACAATACGGCTCGTACATTGGTGAGGTTTTTTTCTATGATTTAGTCCAAGCAAGAAACAAATTGGTCCCGAGCTGTTACTTAATTTTTTTTTTTTTTGATTAGTCAATACCGAAGAAAGGGACAGTTACTTGGAAAATTTAGTTAAATACCGGATCAACCGGATCAACCGACGGAGCCAGACTGGCTTGTTGGTACATATTAGATAGGTTAGCCCTTTCAAATTAAACGATGTTAGTATCTGTAAGATTATGTGTGGTTACCGTCGCTATATTTATGTGTGGTATTTATGTCACGTCTTAATGGCGGAATTGTCCGGACATCGACCTAGACCACTAAAGAAAAACGAGTTGTCCCAATGTTTTTTGCGCCGTTTTGATCACGGTTGATGGATTTTGGTTTCCGTGTCATTTTTCTTAGGGTTCCAGGTTTGATGCAAACTACTACCCCTTTGATCCTTTTGCTTGTGAAATTTCCTCTGACTAGTTGTTTGAGTGAGACATAGCTTATAATGTATAATTATATAAGCCAATGGTTATATATCCAAAATTTCTATCCATTTAGCAATGTGTGTGATAATTAGATTACTTGATTTCTCATAATAGGTGCTAGAAGGTGCCGCAGTAAATCAACCAACCAGGGTCTAATGTGGGGTATGATTTCCAGATAGAAAATCCGTTACCTCTGACTAACTTAGCGGTAACAAAAAAAAAAGAGGTAACAAAATCCGTTACCTCATAAAAGCCCAGCGGTAACAAGAAAAAAAAGAGGCAACAAACTTTGGTCGACAGAAAAAGAAAAAAAAATTCAAAACGGGGTAATTTACCTGCATTCAAAGTCTAAAGCGATAACTTTAGTGGAAAATTATTGTCTTTCTGCTTTTTCTCGACTAAACAAAGCGGGTCGTTTTCCAGTTTCCCTCAAATGGTTCAGTATTTTTTTAAAGTTTCAAGCTGCAGCCAAATCACGATTCCACATTCTTCTTGAAACAATACCAGATGTATTCTCCATTTTTCTGTAGCAAGCAATGTTATTATCTACATCTTATAAATGATTAGATAGTTTCTTATCAATGCAGATTTTTAAATTAATATCGCATACCGAAGTAATCCATGACATGTAATGGTCGGCATTTTTCGTCTTTGATACAATAAGATTCACTATGGTTTTGAACTTTCCAAAGGACTTTCGCATTCAGGACAAAAAGAAGACGTCTTGTATTCGCCAATTAAATATAATTCAAATACTTTCTTCTTTAAAATAGCAGTTAACCCTTTACTCCTAGTTGGTTCTTGATATTTGACGTTTGGTGCTGACTAATTTCCTAGTATCAGCGTTGTATTGGATCCAAACTTATTTTTCAGCTTTCTAACTAATTGAGCATCATTTTTATCAAAGTACAATTTGCTAGAAAACTTTAGTTTACGGAATGGCGAAATCTGTAGTTTTTCTAAAAGATGGCTTGCACGATTCCTCAATAAATCCACTTGACCTGTTTCTAACATAATTTTAAGTATTTCTGCTTTTTTTGTGTTATTCAAAAGTCTTTTCACATGATTTTGTTGCATCGTCATATCCAAATAGGTAGCATACATTTGGAAATTAGTAAAATCATCAGGAGGAGCTTGGGGTTGGGGGTAGTAGCCTCGAATTCTTGTCACATACAACTTCCCAAAATACAATTCACCTTTGTTGGTCACTTTGAATTCAAAGCATGAATCAGGAAAATATACTTGTGCTGTGTTATAAGTTTCGTTCCCATAAAACTCTCTCAATAGAATATCGAAAGATGCTCTTTCTTTGATATAGTCGGAATAGTTTTTTATCTTTAATGAAAAGGATTCGATTTTTGACAAAACCACCTCAGCAGCCTTGATAATTACAGGTTTTGTTTTTTCTCTCAAAAGTCTGAGATGTCTTTGCATTTTTGTTCTATTCATCTTTGTATATGTCAAAGTTTGCTTATCTTCTGTTTTAGTAGTTTCCTTAAGGCAATACATAAGATCACGTCTTCCAGGATCTATAAAAACTCAGTTTCCTTCAGTCCTTATCAAGCCTGATTGGCTAACCTTCTCTATATACTCTGTTTGATCAACAATAACCTTTGTTGTAGATGAGTGGGGAGCCTTAGGTACAGAAGGAGAATAAGAAGTATCAGTTGACTGGACAGTCCACGAAACAGGATTGCTTGTATTATCCGCTTTGCTTGACTCGCCAGCGTCATATTTTGTGATGATATATTTAACAAAGTTGTCACTGCTATCATCGAGAGTTATATTTGATGAACTCTCTATCTCCATATCTGCTTCAGCATCATTTAAACTTTCATTCATGTTTTGAAAACTAAAAGTGGAAGCAACTTCAGTATTTACAGCCTTGCCTTTGCCTTTGAACTTTTTTCCAAGTCCAATATTTCCTGTACTATCTTGAACTATAATAAAGAATTGTTTAAATAAGCAATAAGACTCCCACAAGCATTTAAATTAACAATAACGCATACTTGTTCTTATTCTATCTAGTTGGTATGATGGGCTGGAAAAAATCATCACTTGAGGTATTTAAAAAGGATGTTTGACATTCTAGCAAATCTTTAGGCACCTGTGAAGTTGATCCTATCAACCCATACACTATGCTCTCAGTACCATTAAACTGTCTTGTAGTATTACGATATACCTTCACTATCGTTTATTTCAATATTTTTCCTTTTCCTTTCATTTGTTCGAAGAAAAAGAAAAAGTGATCAAATCTTCATGAGCTATATTTTTAAAGAACCAACTAAAGGTCATAATTGATAACAAAATAGTTCACATAAGAACAGCATAATCTTACCACGAGGTTTGGAATCAAAAAGTGATAATAATATACTCGAAGGTATACTTCCAATGGTTTAAAGAAAAGAAATAAAAAAAAATGAACAATAGAAAAAGAGGGGTTTCAGGGTACAACCAAAAAAACAGAGTGGCGGTAAAATAATTCAGAATATGAATTATTTTACTGCCACTCTGTTTTTTCTTTTGTTTGTCGTTGGGATAATTCCCATTATTTTTTTCTTTAATCTGAAAGCCCAACCAGTAGTGGTAATGAGTGTATAATTCATGTTCTTTTCCTCGTTCTACTGCTTATGAGATACTTAAACAATTGAATAAAAGTAATGGGACTGTATATAAACGATTATTTAAATAATGTAAAACTCACAGTTTGACATGATGAGATTATCACGTTATTTTTTTGTAGGTTATTCAATAAGAAAAAAAGAAGTATATTTTGTATGCCGCATGTTCTTGAATTTGTAATAAAACATTATTCTAAAAGTCAAACTACGACAATGGGGACGACGGAAATAAGAACGATAGAAAAACAAAAATTTTATTCATTTTTTGGCACGAAAGTAGGCTGCCTTTGCACTATCCATCTTGGTATATTTTTTAAAAAGTCTTTTTTCTTTTCCAAGTTCAAAGCATTTATTCCAGTCCATATCTTTGCCTTTTTCTTCGCGGTAAAAGTCAACGAATTGCCAATCAGGATTTTTTTTTGAATACGAGCAACTGAACTAGCAGTAGGTTCGTTTGCCGCAGAAGAATAAGAGCTGATCTTGTGTTTCTTTTTGAAATCCGTTGTAAACTTAATACCATTATCGAGACAATCAATGGTACGTTTGCGAGCAGCGTTTCCGGACTATATGAAAAAAAAAATATTAAAAACAAATTGATGCATTGAACGATGATATCTCATGGTTATCAGTTACCTGCTCAGACTTGTCAAACTGTTTGATCAGGGATTGATCCATCCACATGATCTTATACCCGCTAAGACCAGAAATCTTTGATAGTTCGTTATCCTGAGACAACGATTTGGTACCCTTTTAGCGGAAGTTTCCATCGATCATCATGAACTGCTTGTCGTTGGCATCAGAAAAATCTTCAGCTTATAACCTCTTAGCCATAGCTAATTGGTTATACGATTCAGCGCAAACTTCTTCTAAAGCATCATCCTTGTCTTTATCGGTAGCGAGTTCACCTTCAAATACACGTTTAGCGATACTGTAAAGAAGTTGAACAGTGGCATCATCATTTCTTTTGATATGAAGTAGAGAAGTTTTTTGTTCAACGAAGAAATGGGCTAGAGCAACAACTGGTTCCAAAGGAGTTTCATCTTCGAAGTTCAGTATGGAATCTTTGTTGATAAGAAGACAAGACTTAGCCCAACCATATGAAGGCAATTTCTTCATAAAAGGTATACTATCAGAAACAGAACTCAATTCAAGAAGTTCATTGGAAGTGTGGTAAACGCAAATAGCTATCACAATCGGCAATACGGAGTACTGGTCCCGAACTGATAAAGCATACTTTATGAGTCTTTGATAGAAGTTCATGTTGGCGGTGTGTTGTACTTCGATTAAGATTGGAGGAAAATCTTTAAACTCGTTTCTCTTGATTGGGCAGTAAAGAACATCTGATTTCGTATGGTTTGGCCATTCTGTAGGCCTGGTGATATATTTATCTTTGGCAGCCTCGCCTAAATAAATTAATAGTAGTTAATAGTTATTCCTAAATCTTTTCAATCTCTACGGTTATAATTACCAATGACTTTTGTAACAATGATGTTTATTACGTGATTGTCATCCAGAATCCACTTGCTCATAAGGTCAGTGCCAGGAGAATATTTCTTAGATAGAGTGAAAGACCAGAGTTCCGAATCCGATAACATGGCGAATTAACAGTCTGAGGTAACAGATATAAGGAAACAAAGGGTAGCAAATTTTGGTTACTCTATTGTAAAATGAGGTTAGTTTTTAGGAAATGTCTAGACCTCCGTATTTTTTTCAAACGTATTTTTTTTTTATATCACTTACAACAATTCTGGCCAGAAAACCAGCAGGCCAGTATGATTACAGCTATTTACAGTGTAATCACAGCCATTTACAGTTCATGAGTTCCAAAAAAAAACTCAAGAACTCTCTGCCCTAGAAGGTAGCCCTCCTATAGCAAAGACTAGCCGCAGCCGTAATATCATAATACATCTTTTTCAATTTAGTGTCTTTTCAAAGAAACAAGAGTCATTACTAACTAACCTTTTTACATTATTGGTTACTTTCATAAGATAGAAGAAGTATGTTGAGAGAAAAGAAAAGGAGAAGAATAAAGTGTGTGAACCAGCTTTATTTATAGGCTGATAAACAAGCTTATGTCAAGATGATTTCATTTGTCTATTTTATCATCCATAATGTTTGAGCCTTTACTTAAAATAGAAACACTTGCAAAAACCTTCCAAGCAAGTCAGAGCTTGGTAATTGTCTATCTGCGTTCCAATAGTAGCTTGTAATGACAGTGAAGCAGATTTTATGGAAAACAGAAATCGATCATCCCATGAAGTTTAGATGATATGGCATGTCAATCGACGTGTAGACCATCGCGTGATTCTAAAAAATACATTTGAAAAAACTACGGAGTTCTAGACATTGCCTAGTTTTTAACTTGTGCGTCACAAGGCTGCAGATCTGATTTAGGAATAGATCCAATCCTCACAATTTTTATGATTAGAAAAGAACGTAGGCGACTCCTTAGGTGGCGCATAAATTGGTTACCTGGTGGAAAGCCGAATTGTCACTGCGGCGGTCAAATGAGTTGAAATCATCTTTTTATATGTCCAGCAATCCCCAAGGCATATTGGGAGCACATCCAGCGTGATTTCCACAACGATGTCAGCCCCATCAACGCAATTATTAAAACACTACCAACAACTAAACCAAAGTCCATCTCTGAAAAACAAAATCTAATAATCAAATGGCAACCTCTCTGGACTGATCTCCTCAACATTCTCTTCCTTGTTGACCAGATCTGTCATAAAACACAAGAAACTTTTGTTGATGAACCAGCTCCTGTTGTTCTCTTCTACAAGTGGATTATGGAATAGTGCATTGTTAAAAAAAATACAGGGCAAAAAAAAAAAAAGACCTCTTACACACATCACTTTCCCCAGCTTATTATTACATCACTCAATTCCGCTCTCACACTAATATCACTCAAATCTCATCAACCTATCATCACTGACCAACGCTTTGACTTTTTGACTTCTCATCTCATAACCCATTCATGCAAAACCGACGGCCTAGCTGAAATTCAATTCGAAATCATGCTAATCTATTTACTTTTTTATTATTTACAAACAAACCCTATCCCCTTTTTAATTTTCCAACTTATGAAGCTTTAATTTTTAATAACCCCCCCCCCCCCAAATCCTCATATTCGTATACAAATATTGCCCGATTAATGGGATCTTGATACAATATTTTAATAAGTGATTATTAATAAACTTCTAATGTTAAGACTTAACTTGTGCGTCATCACTTTCAATTTTTTCCGAGTTCAAATGAGGAATGTCAGAGGGAGGAAGACCCTCCCCCCAAGAGGGTGGATTAAACTATGGCTTTGGATCAGTGAAAAAAACTAATCGTGGTTATTCTTTTAGACACGTTGCTTACAAAGAATAAAGGGGTTGTCGAGTAGCAAAAGTTTTAGATCGTGTTACCGCTGGGCTATTATGAGGTAACGGATTTTGTTACCTCTTTTTTTTTTTTGCTCAATGTGTGCGAAATATTTTAGAGGGGGTCTTTATTTAAACAAGTTTCGAATTTTGTTTCTGAATAACGGCAGAATCCCTTCAGGTCGCTTAATAAAACATTCTGACATGCTTCGACATGTCTATTGTTCAGTGTTTCGGCCTCCAAAAGCTTCTCCCGTTTTAATTTACTTTTGACAACGGACCAAAATTGTTCGATAGGGTTGAGCTCAGGAGAATATGGTGGAATATAAACGCAGCCATACCCGCGACTTTCGATAAACTTTTTAATATTATCTGACGTATGGATAGGCGCATTATCCATGATAAGATAATACCCTTTGAATTCCTCATGACAATCCATTATCCCAGGTCCTTGACTGCTCTATACCCATCAATGCTTTCAAACAAAGAAGAGAATATGAGAATATCAATCTTACATAATCACTGCTATTACAAATCCAGGCTCAATAAACGAAGTTAAACGCATCAAAGTCGGAATATCATTTCCTTTAATTACCGGTGAGCTAGGAACTATTCCATATTTTTATGACATTAAAAGACAAGAATTAACATCTTCTTCGGCAGCTATCTAGACTTTTATTTTTAAATACATCTCTTAAACGGCTGACAATTGTGCTCAATATGGGCTGATTTCTGTCAAATCCTTTTATGGAAAAAAGCTTTGAGGTTTTGTAGGTTTTTCCAACTTTTGCTTGGCTATTTAAAAGTTATTAAGAAAGATCCAGATCTGGTGAATGACATACACACACTATATATCCAGTTTATGATATAATTGATACTCAATAGCAACACAGCACTGAAACATAGGCCATTAACTGATCAATGCATTAATGTCTAGTTCTAATCCACGCTCCCATCGGATCCTCCCATATAACAATCTATTTTAATCCTTTCATAAAACAGGAACCCCTTCTCCATTTAATAAAAATGTATTCAGCTATAGTCTCAAATGATTTAGCCGGAATATTTCAGTAAAAGCGTAAACGCTGACAGTTTTTTTATTTTAGTTCTAAATGAGTTTTTCTGGATGATCGCAACCGACGGAAATTCAAAACCTATTGGCTCACTACATCCAATTGTATTGCTTTTCATCAGCGGAGTAGTCTCCCAAATACAGTAACCTCACCCAATTTTTTTTTAAAATTCAAGTTTGTCCTTTTTCTTTCCCTCGTAAGCAATGTCAAACTGGGGTAGCCTTCCGGCCGAGATCTTGGCTGAGATCATTGACCTTGCTCTGAACAATTATAGAACAAAGAGGACTTTCAAACTGCAATGCTTGCTCATTTGTAAACACTGGTCCATGGTCGGCCGAACTATAATATACAAGAAGGTGATTTTACACAAGGAAGAGCAATTCGAACCGTTTGTTGAAAGTATGCTCAATTCCCCAAATGGTCAATTCGTCAAAAACTTCAGCCTGGCATACCAAGAGGAGAACCAGCTAGAGCTTGGTTTAAGTCTATTATTTAAAGCATGCCCAAACCTGACTAGGTTAGGCACTACGATGGGGAAAAAAAGCACGTTCTATGCCAAACTGCTCTCAGAACTTGCAGTAGGAAATGGAATGAATTTAAAACTCATTCCTGTCAACAATCACAGAGACCTCGAAAGTTTTCGCGCATATGGATACGCAACGCTCGTCTTAAAAGATACGCTGCAAGGCATTTTTTTTTCTGATTACCATCTCGACAAGTCAACCTTTTATCAAAACGAAGCGCTTAACCGATTAGGAATATTCAAAAATATAGAATCGATTTCCCTTAGACTGGAGGATTATAGCAACGTTTTTAAAATTTTCGAAAAGATGCAATGCTGTCCTTCCTTGACTTCTGTGTACATTGCAACCGAACATCCTGAGCTCATTATTAAGAAAGACCGTAATATTGCGGAACCTTTTAACCTACAGCCTCTAACGAATGTTTCGAAAGTAGAAATAAGTGAATTAATTACACCCACTACCAGACTTATTCAGTATATTTTGCAACTATTTCCCAACGCAACATCATTAGAATTTACAAATAATCCTGGGATTTTTCCATGTTTGCAACAACAACGTACAATAATTTTGAACATTTTCGAAGCAGAAGAATTAGAGATCTCTACCGAACTTTGGATCCAACTTTTCAAGTACATTGCTCCAATGAAGGTTTGCGAATTACCCGCTCTATTTATCAAGAATTATGCAGAAGTTTTTTTAAGAGTTCCAAACCTGTGTGAGCACTTGGAAATTCTATATAAAAAGGAGCTTCGGCTAGACACAGTGGAAATCGAGCCTCATGTCAGCGTTTATTACAATCAGTGCTTGGAAGGTAAGATCTGTACCATGCATCCGATTGGTAATCATTCACGTCGAGCCGTGTTTAAATGCTTTGTAAGATCATACTTTCAGGCTTGGCCCCATGAAGCTGTTATCAAGACGCTCGGACGAAATTTGAAAGCATTGGATGTTCATGTTAGCCCTGCTGCCGAAATCGGGATTCCAGGTACTGGTCTGGAGATTAAGGCGGAAACCGACTTATTTGATCTCATTTTTGAGTATTGTCCACGGTTAGATACGTTGTGGGTAAAGGATGGTACATTTGATCATCTGAATTTGGACTCTAGTTGTTCGCTCCAATTTTTGGAACTGATCCAATTCACCAGTTGCAACTTTGATCCTATATTCCTCCGTAAGCTATCTACTCAATTACCACGCCACCCAATGGTATGCATATTCATTCGATGTACCTCAAAAAATCTCAATGATACTGTCGGGTCGTTTACATTGATAGATATGCCAGACACCTCATTTGATTTTTTATCGTGGAAGTCAAATCTTATTGGTGGTCGTAATCCCATCGAAGAAACTTTGTACCTCAAAATAACAAAGCATAGAGCGTTGCCGTGCTATTACAAAGTATCTGCCGAATTTCAGTTGCTTATATCTTCGTCTGAAGATTTTGAAGCTTCTAAAAACAATTTGCTAGCAGAAACTATCGACATACGTTGCTTCGATATCAAAAAATTAATATTTAAGCGATCAAAAGTTCATTTTGTCTTATATCTTGAAAAAGAACCTGTCATCCTTGACGAAGAAAGATATACGTGCTTGGGGATATTTAGTAAGTTTCAGGAAGATTATATGTCGTGATTGACAATTGAAGCCCGCCCAACCCTATTTTTTTTTATAAACTTGAAACATAATCAACCCTTTTCAATTGACTTTTTACTAAATGAAAGCTACTACAAATTATAGAATCGTGAAAAAAATTATCAATGCTAACCATAATGAGCTTGAACCCGTTGAGTATGGACGTTTAGTTGGTGCATGGGAGTGGGGAGAATCGTTTGCGGAGATTGGCCGTCAGTTTGGTAGATAGTGGCCATAGATCAGGACAGTGGGGACAGATTTATCATTGGATCGATGTTTACCAATAAATTTACCATACACCAGAGGATTACGTCCACAAGCACCAGGAATCTATCCCTAATGATGTCTTAATTTTCCGTGTCCTTTTTTGTTTTTTTTTCTTGTTTACCATCTTACCATACGACTGACCGCACCTAATTGTAGAAGAATATTCTTGAGGAAACGTGCTCCCTTTCTTCACTCTTCCATATATTTAGGGTTTCCACTGACTGTACGCATAGCGATCCATTTCTTCAGAACATACAACATGGTATCTATAATAAAAATGCATCAGTACAATTCTATAATGCATCGATGATTTATTTTTTATTTTTACCGTTGGATGAAGGAGCATCTTGTAATCCAGCACTTGGTCTTTTGAAGGGCTCAAAAGATGTGTTTGTGAAACAGGGCAAATCCCAAAATTTGATTGAATGATCATTACTGCCCGAGATCAAATAATTTCCAGACGTAGTCAAGTACAAGACTATACCTTCGTGGTCACATAAGCTTTCTCTAAATTAAAATCCTTCACTCCAGATCTTGATGGATCCATTAGCCGAAGCACTCACAAATCCAGGACCTTTGATAGATACGGGCAATACATCATCCGTATGAGCCATGTCAGATCGAATCATTTAATGCGTCTCTAAATCCCAAATTTGAACATCGCCACCTTGAACACCACCGAACAGATAACCGTCCTCTTATAATGCTAGACATAACACTCCCTTGTCTGGGTTACCCTTTAATATGTGAACTAATTTGATGCCGTCGGGTTGGATAGCCCATCACCGGAACCACTGATAAGGACTTCACCTTCCATGTTGGGAATATCGTTTGCATGCAATAAACAATATAAATAACCGTCATGTACATTACTGCATACGTTTTTTTTTCGCGGATAACACATTTAATCACATCTCTGTCTAATTCGGCTTGTAATCGATCCTCCTCGTCATGACCTTCCCCATCCTCGAAGAAATTGATGGTTCCAACTTTACGAGGTGAATTGGGAACGATTAAAATATCTGTATTGGAGCCGTGTGTTTGTGGATCGGCGAAATCATACCATTGAATGCTGGTGTTTTGGCTACCGAAATAGATTTTGTTGGTGGTGTCAGAATAGACGACAGAAAAGATGTCACGGACATCATGACATGATTGGATTAGATAAGCGCATTTTAATGTTTCTGTGTTCCAAACTCTGACAGTACCATCACATATACCGTAATCTTTTACATATTTAATTTGCAGGCTTTACACTATCCTAAGAGTGGGTTCATACGTTAGTTTCCTGATGTATGTCTAGATATATTGATATAAAAAGCTACGAGAAAAGCTTCGTCTGACGACACAGTTTCTCCCAAAAGGACTTTGACCAAGTAAGGCATTATTGAAACAGGTCAATCGCAAAATGGATGCTATCGGGTAGCTGAGTGCAGATTCTCGTACAAGCAACGAAACATTATGGCTTGGATGAACAAAAAGAAATCAAAAGCAATTGTAAACTCGTAACAAGGAGCAAGGTTCTCCTCTATAGATTCACTCTCCATTGAGTTCTGCAAATGTTTTCTTCTTCATTTTAAAATAAAAGCATTGAGTTTCAAAGTGAGAAAAGTTTCTTTTATTTTTAAAAAAAAGAGGGGAATACAGTCGACGGAAAAAAGGTTGGCCCAATAAAAAAATGAAAATGGATCACCGATTTTGAAAATGGGTCAGCCAATGAAAAATGGGTCAGCAATAAAGAAGTGTAATGTATGCTTTTTATTTTGTTTCTTATAATCCTTTTTCACAATTCAAACATCTCTGCCAGAACGTCAAAGAATGCTTTATCCAATTCTCACAATCTTCTCTGTTGATGTGAAGTGCTGCGTTGCGAATACGATCAGAGATTTTTCATTCTGCCTGACAGAAGAAGGATCGTTATTTACAACAGTCTTCAGCTTGGACCAAAACTCTTTGATCGGATTTAAAAAAGGAGAATAAGGTGGCAAAAAGAGAAGTTTATAACAACGTTGCCCAACCCAATCTTCAATAAGTGCAGCCTTGTGAATGGATGCATTGTCAAGAACTAGATATTTGTAGCTCATGTTAGCCGCATCCAGTGTCGTAAGGACCTGCTCGATATATTCAAGGAAGTCACTGCTGGTAGTACCTTTCCTCTTGGGGGCCTGAGATTTTTCACCAGTTCGAGTTCGTTTTCCACTCCTAGCACCAAGTACAACTTCTTTTCTGGATAATGTTATTAAACCACTTTTACAAATAGCACCCAAGATGCTGATATTTGCTTCCTTCTTTGATTGCGATAGAATCAGGGAACCCTTCAGCTATTTCGCTTGTCATTTGATTCCACTGCTTGGCTTTACGAATAGCTGTTGACTTGGAAAGCCCCGCTTCACTGATAGACATATTTTCAAACTCTTGCAACAAATTGATCAAATTGACTACCTTTGCTTCATTCTTGGTAATGTATGATCCCCTTTCCTTCTTCACTACATCAAGGAAGGGCTCCTTGGAGTGAGGTTTGGTCTTCCTCTTAGCTTCTTTTTGTGCTGCATTTACTGCTGCAGTTTCTTCCCAGTCCATATATGATTGTATCATCACAGGTACTGTCTCACTGTCAAAATTGTATTCTTCGTTCATGTTGAGCAATATGAAAAAATCCAAGAAGAGAAAAAGAAGAGAGAATTCGGCCAATCCTCATTACATTTCTGTATTGGTGACCCATTTTCGTACTGGGTGACCCATTTTCAAAACAAGAACCATTTTCGTCTTAGTGACCCATTTTCAAATTATGACCCATTTTCATTGGTTGACCCATTTTCAAAATCGGTGATCCATTTTCATTTCAAACTGGCCAATTTTTTTTTTTTTTTTATTGGGCCAACCTTTTTTCGTCGACTGTAATGAAAATAAAGCGCAGTTTAGGTAGTTCGTACCACATTTTAGGACGAGTCGAGTTGGATTAGGTACGACAGCCAATCATTATGTTGAGCTTGATGAATGAATTGGACATATTCAAATCAATGAAAGGGATTTACTTGGTGATGGACACTGCTCCCATCCATGGCAATGAAAAAATTGAAGCGCTCATCAAGGAATAAGGCTATAACTGCGTCTATCTACCTCCTTACTCCCTTGAACTAAATCCAATTGAACAGTTTTGGGCATTTGTGAAAAACCTGGTCAAGAGAGGCAAGCTCTTGGACAATGAAACTTTAACGCAAAAAATTACCGAAGCATGCCTCCAGGTTACAAGGAAGGACCTTGCTGGTTTCATCGGCCATTCTGCAGGTCACATTGACGATTGCCTCAACAAACTCCTTTTGTAGTTTTGTCAATAAAAGAAATGATATTGTGCTTACAGTTCTCGCAACAATTTTGGGATCGGTCACACAACTTGGGACAGGTTAGCGACAAATGAAATATAGGATTTTTATAATGTTTGCTTGGTTTATTCATATTTGATTGGCCGAAAAATTTGAGTGAGTTAAAGATGTTGGCGCGCCACCATGGTATAAAACAAAAGTACAAATCAAAGTTTTATTGGACGTCCATATAAAAACAGATGGAGATACAACGAGGGGGGGGGGGGGGGGCAACTACTACAACTAAAGGGAAACCAATTACTATAACTAGTCTACAGTCAATTCAACAATTAATGTCGCATTAGTGAAGTTTTACAGGACTTTGCTATCGTTTTGCACATACTTGAAAATGGTTCGCATGTAAATTGTGAACAAATGCCCTGGGTCAGTAAAAGTTTTCGAAAGCGACATTTATTAGTGGAAGGACTTTACGTTGAGTAGAGTACCGGACATAGCCCGGAATCACCATAGGACAGCCTTTTATTAAAAAAGAAGAGAGAAGCACCAATAATTGAACTTGCACGATTTCCTATCACACCGTCCCAAAATATGTTCAAAGTACTGTTTATTGAATTCGGGAAAATAACGTACAAATAATAAATTTACGCACTTGCTTAAAGTTGGTCAGTGAAGGAGTCCACAGTCGTTTCATCATAATCATCTAATTCCAAAAGTCTGCGCTTCTGTACACGGTTGTTCCTTGGTGAAAAAAATATAAATGGTGACTTGGAGTGGGATGAACTGGTCGGTGGCGTTGGGCAAATGTCCTCCAAAATAGAAGCATGTTCAAGTTTATTGAGTTCCGATCTGACTTTCCAAGCAATGCTGACAAGATGTTCCTATGGAAAAAATTCGCGCAATCCATGTCAGTCTTTAGCATTTTTTCCTTTTGTTAAACAAAATCTTACCTTCAGAGTAAGCAGACCACGCAGAGTATCTTTCACTGTGCCTAACGATTCAATGGTTGTAGGGACGACTAAATCAGTAACCAAATGAGCGACAGAGATATAATCATCAAGACCAAGACCATCATCAACAAGTCGCAGAAGGTACAGGTATCCAGAATTTCCCACAAAGTCCATTGCAACAGTGAATTTCATTCCAAACCTGGTGTTGAGACTGAATAGGTTAGAAGTGTTCAAGCGTAGATTTTTCGATTGCTGGTGAAGTTTGATCGATTTGCTGGTCATGGCCCTTTTCCATTCGTTGCTAGAAATATCCACCTTGACATTAGATGAGCATTTCAAGATCATATCAATCTTTCGACCATAAGCTTGGGACATATCACTGGTGTGGAATATTGCCTTGTTCATTGCGATAGCCACCTTCGATGACTGTAAACTTGTTTCACCGTCAGCAAGGATCACGCCAGTATCCGCCAGCAAGGTATCTAGAATCGAAGCGAACCGCCGGTAGAATGTTGCTTCACTTTCATCACGTTTCTCCGACCAAAGACATAGATTGTTCACCATTTGTTCGATAATGGTCAGGTTGGTATATTGCTGTGTATTTCGTTTGTGGCCACGGATCAGTGCCGCCTTTGTTACCATAATATATTCGAGAATACCATCAACATCTGAGTGAAAGTCAAGAATTCGTTCGATATACCCCAAAGTATCAGGGTCCAGTTGAGAAATCTTGGGGATGTAATCAAGTTTGGTTTTCAAATGGTCGGGCAAGGACGACAGGATGACCTTCGACATATCGGAATGAATGAGGTTGACGATCCCCGAAAGGTGTAATCTATTAAATAAAAGGCGTGAGATAAGAAACATGACATATATATAGTACTTACTTGATGGCCTCTTCTTCAATAGATGACAAATGATCCGATAAAAGCTTGCTGGCGACAAATTGTTGTAAAGCCCCTTTGATCGATTTACCATCATAGTTCAAGTTTTGTAAAAAAGAGATTTCTTTCTCTGTCAATGATTTACCGTCAATCATCTGTTACATGCAAATAATGATAATAATAATAATAAGAATGAGCATATCATGACCACCTCTTTACTTTTTTTTTTTTTTTTTTTTTTTTTTTTTTTTTTTTTTTTTTTTTTTTTTTTTTTTTTTTTTTTTTTTTTTTTTTTTACCTTTTTGTACGTCAGTCTGTGCAGTTGGAAGTCTCGATTATCAGCACTAAAGATGTCATCAGCACCAGGGAAAAGAAAGCCGTCATTGTCATCGATGGTATCGTCAGCATGTTGAATAGTATCATCAACAAGCGGATTGTTCGTATCATCCGTAGGTGAGCTGCTGGTGGCATCGTTAATAGATGCGTTGGAAGACTCGTCAGTAAGTGCGTTGGTCAAGGTCAAGATGCGGCGTGATGATGTGGCAGAATCTGCCAAAGCTTTCAAGCCTTCGGATTGGTATCGTAAGCGTGTTTGTGCCTAATAAACAGTAGCGGAAGACGTTAGTCATCTGAAGGAAGCATTTTTTTTTACAAAAAGATATACCAAGGCGGTGATAGCATTCTTGACTTCTGCCCATTTTTGTTCATTGTACGCGATCTTCCTACAATAAAAAAGCAGTAGTATCTTTATGATATAACAATCGTCCATTGTACTTACTTTTGGAGGAGGTGGGGGTCCTTGTTTTGCCTGTTCAATTCTAGCGCAAATTCTCGTCGCCACCACGCAAACAGTAGATCCGGGGACTTGCCTTGGAATTTATAGGAGACAGCCATAATGTTTTCCAGACTGCTGTTCACAAATTCATTGAAGTCTGGATTCTTCTTGTTTCTGATGTAATCAATGAGAAACTTGAGATTCATTTTGGTGATAAGTGCAAAGGAATAAAGGAATACTTGAGAATTTTTGTTTATATGGAACAAATGTACTGAACTTGAATTTTGGAGTTGAATCTGATGCATCTCCTTATATACCCGAATAAAAAAAAAAGAATGACGTCTGAGTTTTCCTTTGGCTTTTTCATGCGGAATGACCTTACTTGGTAAACAGATGGGACCGAACAGTGTTGAAACCGCGGCTATAGAAACATTTCTAAGTTTCCTTGTAATTTGCATCGTCTTGAGCTAGCTGTAATACAAATTTCGCATTAGTATGAACATAAACAGATGTGATAGAGAAAAAAGTTATATCACTTACCAATGAATCAGATAACACCCACTGGACACTGGGGGAACAGCTCCAATAGGCTATACATCATGAAGTAATGCTTTAAAACGATAAAATAAACTGTAAGACTGACTTTTTGCATAGAACATATATAAAAATTATCATACCTGTGGCAGTGTAAGACACTGTTTGTAACGGAAAGCAAATTCCAGACTGCCTTCTTCCTCCGATAGATAAATGATATATACACACTATATATCCAGCCTATAATCTACTTGACATTTAATAGCAACCCGGCCTTGAAACATAAACCATTAACTGATCAAGATATTAATGTCTACTTCCAATCCACGCTCCCATCTGATCTTCCCGGATAACAATCTATTTCAATCCTTCCTTATAAAAAGGATCCCTTTTTTCAAATAATAAAAAGATATCTAGTTTTAGTCTCAAATAATTTAACCGTTTATTTCTTGGAATATTTCACTAAATGTTGTATTGGTACCAACCCCGGCATCAGTAAAAACCTTTTGCCTCCATTAAAAAAAACCTTTCATGAGGAAAAAATTGGGCAGTACAAAAGGAAAAGATAACCAAAGGTCAGCACGATCAGCTCAAAAGTAAACAACCACATTTTGATATGTATTTGCCTACAAAATTAAATAAAATAGATTAAGTGTCATTTATACTTGCTTATTTTTACAAAACTTCCGTCCTCTTTTTTCCTTTCTTTTGGTGAACAAAGGAATAAAGAAAGAAAAAGTCGAAAAAGCCCTTTTATAAGTTAAAAAATAATAATATTTCAAATCAAATGTTGTTAGAGACGTCATTTTTGTATAATAAGGGGTTTCGACGACAAATTGAGGAAAATAGTTTTTCTACCTTGTGATGGTGGGAACCAGGTTTATGAATTTTAATTTGATGTGTATGTTTCACATGGCTCTAAAAGAGTTGTTTGTGGATGTATTACTATCAGGATTAATTTCAGGTTTTAGATTTTAGGTCATATTTAATTTTTGTTTGTAGAAGAAGAAAAAAACTCTCTGTCTTAAGCTTCCAGGTTCTTACCAATGGTATCATATAATTGTAGGTTAAAGTAAACATGAGACTGTGAATTTGATTGAAAATCGAATTATCTTACAGATTAAGTGAGAGATTGACCGAGAGTAATTGGCATATGTAAAGTTTTTATTGGATATTTAAGTTTATTTGGGGACCAAAGGCTCATCCAAAAGACCTAAAAATTAAATGGCGTTTGATCTAACGCGGGAATAAATGTAGTCATCAGCTTCAAAAGCCGGTTTAGGAGCTCCATGGTTGCTTTGTCCATCAAAAATCTGTAGCCTGTTCCCCTCTTGTTTTTTTTTATTTTTGAAGTGTCATATTTTTATGGATATATAAAGAGGTATTCTATATTAAAAAAAAAGAACCTGATATCTTAAGCCGAAGTAAATACTCTTGGAATGTAGTAAAGAACACTGAATAGCATCAAAACTGCGAGAACTGATTCTGCTGGTAGAAGTGTTTATGTTGTTTCTTCTTTCTCGATTTCTGGTGTAAGCTATGATGTTGTGATGGACGTTCTTCAAATGATTACTTAAAGCTGCCCTGACTTTTGCTTTAACAATATCGCATGAAATCACATGTATTTGTTAAAATGTGATATGTCTTGGTTGTCTGTATTTGAAGGTAAAGATAAATACTATTAAATTCTTTACGGCTTCATTTTTTTTTTTTTTACTAACCTTAAATCGAATAGTTTCTTTCGACCCCACTTTCTTAACCATTCCCCAGAGCTCGCCTGATAGCTCAGCTCTTCTTACTCCAACTGAACAAGCTCCTCTCACCGCTCCAAGCAATTCTTCAATAGATTTTGACACTCTGCTTTCTAACATTCATAAACTTAAACGCCAGCAATATAATTTGACCGAAACTGAGCTCGAAGAATTAAATAGCTTCAATCACTGGTTTCTCTCTCGTATAAATTCTACAAACATTCCTTCCAATTCTAATTTTACTATACAAAGATAACAACAACAAAAAAAGTTAATAATAAACGCCCCTTCCCTCTGCCTAAAAATTAAAAGCAAAGCAGCCCTCTACTTTTAAAAACCGCTCAAAAATTCGGGTATATAAGTAAATCGGAATCTGATATCGACGTCATCACTACTTGATTGGATTGAAAGAGTATGGTTTTGTCCAAAACATATATATAACGAACATAAAATATTTAACGAAACTTCATCTTTATTCTTGCTTATAAAAGTACACTGTCTACGTCAGTATTTCAGCCAATTATAGGCAACTTATTTCTATCTGACTCCGTACTTGTTTCAAAATCAGATGATGCTGAAAAAAACACAAGTTGGCCATAATTCTTTTTTCTTCCGAACTCTAACGCTTTTCCTCATGACAAAGGAATCCATTGGTCTCCGGCCCAGATGGTAGTGGACACAGTCTGCGTCCTAAGTGAAGTGTACTTGGAACCATTTCTCCGGCGATGGAACCTGACACTGTTAGCGCATGTCAAGTTGAAAAAGGCGTTCATTGTTGTTTATCATGCTGATCATGATGGTAAGAAAATGGAAGTAACGAACAACTTGATATTATGGAATGATGATTAACTTTTCTCTGCTTGCTCTACGACCATTTTTTTATACTTTCTTAGTTTGAACGAGATGGGTGATTTCTATCATGACAAAGGAATCCACTGGTCTCCGGCCCAGATGGTAGTGGACACAGTCTGCGTCCTAAGTGAAGTGTTCTTGGAACCATTTCTCCGGCGATGGAACCTGATACCGTTAGCGTATGTCAAGATGGGAAACTTTCATCTCCAATACAGTAGATTCTCTAAAGATTCCCCTTCACAGACCATCCTCAATCACGTGTGTAGATTTGGACAATGTCACTTCTTCATCAATGATGTTATCTCGGTTGAATATCGTTCTCTCTCTCCCTTCTTTTCATTCCTTCTTGTTGGTCAACTCACTCAAATTTTCCGGCCAATCAAATATGAAGAAAACGGCCAAATTATCTAATCCATATATGAATAAACCAAGCAGCTTTTCTTTCGTGTGCTTTAAAGTGCCATTCTTCATACAAACAATAGCGCGTAATGTCCAAGAAAGGTCGAGTAACATAGCCTTATACTTTATACAACACACAAATATAAACTATTTGTGTCCACTTTATACAAACTATATACGACTCAAGGAAAGCCATTATAGCTTTTATTGACCCATTCTTTTAGTCCAAGACAGGGAGTGCTTAAGCCTACCTGCTTGTAACATGGACTAAAGACAACCTGAAAAGTAACGGTCTAAATCGTCTTGCTAACATTCCCTTTTTTTTTTCTCTCTAAAGAGCGATCCATCAAGTCAGAGCTTTTTCATGATTACCGTAACAATTTTAAAGGTGAATGCTTCTTCCAAAGAAATACTGTACAAAAAAAAGGGGGGGATCTGCAGCAAGACAACCATTCTTTGTAACAGTAATGCCATCAGCACAAGGGTTCAACAGCGTTTCGACTATACTGCATAAAGCGTGTACAGTAATGGCCAAGGGGATACCATTTAAAGATGATATCGCATTGACCTTGTTGAGGGTATTATACCCAAGGAGTGTTTGAGAGAATTGCTGAAAACTCATCGACAAATTGAAGCTGGAGTACTTTTCGCATAAAAAAAAAGTGAAGGTGAAGTTTCTCTAATAAAAAGTAGCGTGTGCGCTGAGGATATTATTATAAATTCATACTATCGTAAGCTTTGTGTATTCCATCGTATAAAGATATGCTCTTTCTTGATGGTGTGCTTCTTTTGAATGTAAGGGATGAGGCTATCAAATTAAATGTATTGCCTTGGCTAGAAGTTATTATTGCGCTTAGATTTTAGATTTTTACCAACTTTATATTTAATGTGCATGATTTAGCATTTGCTTCTACAATATCTCCATACTTGAATGTATCAGAAAACCCCAAATTTTCAAGACATGACAACTCTTCTTTCAATAAAAACCAATTATTGGAAGAGCGAGCATGTTTCTAGAAAGGGATTTTAAAAACCATTTTGCTTTGGTCACTTTTTATTTTTTATATATTAACGTCTTTCAGACTTAACTTGTCTTTGGAATTTTTAAACGTAGGTACACAAATTTTGTATTATGCACGGAACGAAAGCACCTATTTTATAATGAACAATTTTCATCAAAACGGACAATTTCCATATAAAGAATAATTAGAAAATAGAGCTTTGATATCTGTCTTGCTTATCCAACTTGCCTCGAATCAGACAAAAAATACAGCTTGTAAGAGTCATTCAATAATTTAACTACATTTTAGATGTCTCTGTTCCACGATATTTCGACATATGCAAGAAGAATTATAGACTCACATTGATTAAGGCGCGCATGCTTTCTAAACAAAAATAAATAATTTCAGGCCAGACCCGAAGTAACAGAATTTATTTGCTTTTTTTTTTATCTCTTTTCTTTCCCTACGAAACCCAAAATGTCGAATTGGAACCAAATACCTACCGAAGTCTTAGTGAAGATCCTTGAATTAGCAGATCACTATTCGAGAGAGCAGTTTAAATTGGGTTGCATGCTGGTCAATAAACACTGGTCTATGGTCAGCCGAAAAGTCTTTTACAAAAGAGTCGAATTATTTTCACGCAAGCAATTTGACAACTTTATGGAATCCTTGCGTAATTCCTCGAATGGCCCATCCGTCAGAGAAATCTCGGTGTATTCCAACTTACCTGCTCATTTGGAGTTCATATTAAGTATGATCCTAGACGCATGTCCGAATCTAGTATCGTTGACCTGCCCTGGCCAGGAATTAAGCAGCTCTTTTTTTGGAAAACTACTCTCAGAAATTTGTACAAGAAACGGATTAAAGCTACGAAATATACCTGTATTTGAAGCAGCTAATGAAGAGTCGATTCGAGTATATGGGTATGTAGCCTATGCCTTAAGAAGCACGCTGGAAGAAATTGTGTTTTGTGATTGGCCTTTAGAGAACCCTGCTTTTGACCGCGACGAGACAGTAATCAGATTAGAAGAGTTTACCAAAGTCAGACATATTGAACTCTGGCTGCATAAGCATGGTAATATCTTTTATATTTTGGACAGGATCCACAAGTGTCCTTCTCTATCTACTATAGAAATTAAAGATGCCGACGATGATTCTGCTTTTGATCCTAATAATGCACTTAATATTGCGCAACCATTTAACTTACAACCTCTTCCAAACATATCACAACTTAAATTGGATGAAAACATAGTTATTACCGACAGACTTCTTCAGTATATGATGCACTTATTCCCCAATTTATCTCAACTACAGTTTACACCACTCATCGATGATGACTATTATGACATCCCAGAGTACACCGACACGCTCATGCGATTTCAAATGTATGGTTTGGAAATCTCTTCCGAACTATGGATCCAGTTTTTGAAGTATATCATACCAATAAAATCAGGTAGGGTTTGTGTGTTGTTTATCAAAAATTATGCCGAAGTCTTTGCAAAATTCCCAACCCTGTTCCAGTATCTTGAAATTCATTATTTGATTCGCCTAATGGAAGAAGTGCGGACAGGACCATATTTTAACTTATTTTACACCGACATGACGGAGCCACACGAAATTCATGACAGGAAACATGATGGTAGTCTCTCCCACCGACTCGCTCTCTATTGTGACTTATTTGAAACTGATGAACTTCCCCATGAATCCCTTCTCTCTATTTACGGGCCCACTTTGAAGGCGTTAAATATTACGATGAACGCTGCTAGAGAATATGGTACTCCAGAAAGTCATGCTTATAAAATGGCTGATGGAAACATGTTTAATCAAATACTTGAACTTTGCCCAGTTTTAAATACGCTGTCAGTGAAAAAAGGAGAATTCAACCATCTTGATCCTACCCTTGCAAAGTCAACTCAAAACCTGGAATATATACACTTTCACAATTCCGGATTTAGTGAAGCCTTTCTCTGCGAATTATCTACACTATTGCCCCAGAGGGTGGAATTCATGATATTTATGACTTGTGTAAATCTACCTGCTCCAACTTCCCTCAACTATTTCTCAATAATAGATATGCCCTATACTTCGTTTGGGTGTTTAATATGGAAAGATGACATTTTAGCCGATGAAGACGCACTATATCTCAAAATAACAGAAAAACGAAGATCATTGTATTATAGAATATCCAATGGTAATCAGATAAATCCATCTTCATCCGTCGAATTTGAAGGTTCCAAAATGAATGAGAAAAAGGCCACACTTTATATTCGATGTCTTGAAATTAATAAGTTGGTAATCAAAGTGGCAGAGGAAATTCATTTCACTATGGACTTTGCTGATATACCTACGTTTGGTGAGGACGAACCATACATACTTCGTCCAGAATTTTCTAAAATCCAAGGCGACTATTTTGACTAAATATTTAACACAATGAATAAAGCATTCACTAGCTTGAATACTGACTATAATTACATATCCTATGAAAAGTTATTGGACTTCCTGCCCCGTTTAAAGCAGGCGTATGTGAGAAATTCGAGAGTGATAATAGCGAATTAAGAAAAAAATGTGAAATTTAACAAAGTGAAATTATCAAACTGCAAAAATAAACTGAAGCTTATTATTAAACAAATAAAAAGGGGGTCTTTATATACACATTATTTCAGACATTGATCACAGATGGGCTGATGACGGTTGTGGGTAGATTTATCCAGATAATACTCGGATGTAAATGATCCCATATAGAAAGACCATAATGAGATGTCAATAACAATAACATTCATTCTTAAACTGTGTATGTCTTGAAGCACAACATTCAGGGGAAAATGTAGTTCTTATTAAAGATAGCTGTGGCACCTCCACGTGGCTGATGTAACCTTCATATGTTTTCATATTAATGTTATTATTTAAATGTATGCCTTATACTTGTATGAAGGATGATATGAGATCAAGCCTGTACATAAAGCAAATGATCAGTATTTAATATAAAGTACCAATAAGAATTATATTTAGGATTATCAAATGGAAGATTTAAGAAGTGTAGATAGAGTCATATATTAAGTATATAGCCTCAGGCTACGACTGCGTCTTAGAGGTGAACGACTGCGACCTCTTGATGAGCAGGAACGATCACGGCGAAGTGGAGAGCGTGATCGTTTAAGAAATCTTGGCGTAGGTGATCTGCCACGAGGTGGGGAGGGAGATCGACTTTGGCGAAAGGGAGAGGGAGAACGAATCGGGCTAACCTGTAATAGCGTACGACTATGGCGTAACGGAGAGGTTGAGCAGCCGCGGCTTTCGGGAGACGGAGAAAAATTTGGATAAAAAGGCTCCGTTAATAATAGTCGCTTATATCCTAATTGAGGAGGGGCGTCACTGGAGTTTGGCATACGGTATGGTATGGATAGTGATCTGCTTCTATACCGAGATGGAGAAGGTGATTTGCTTCTGCAACGGGAGATTGGGGAAATTGATCGAGAAATATTGTCATATGCAACATCGTGAGGTGACGGTGACATATTCATGCTATAAAGCAAAGGTGATGGGTTATGCGGTGGTGGAGGAGACCGTAATCGATAACGACACGGGGAAGGACTTCTGCAAGAAAAGCGAACCCTATTCGCAGCTCGATCGGTAACAATCTGGTGGGACACAGGTTGTACGATACTGATGCCTTCGTCATCTGAAGAGACCACTACTTTTCTTATTAGCTTTATCTGGGTTCTTACACTTGCTTATATTATTCTTACCTTCCACTACTTGACTGTCATGATCCTGTTACATCCTATGCCCCAAATATGCAATATGAGTAACCAGCTTTCAGAATCAATATTCATCATTGATCTGTTAGCTCTTTAATCCTTTGTCATGATCCACATAAGCTACGACTAACTTTTGTCACTGCTTATTCTTTTATTTAATTTCTTGTTTTTCTTTCTCTATAAATATAGCTGATAAATTTCACTTCTCCCAGTTTTCTTTATCAGATATATTTCATAATCATCTTCTCTTTTCCTCTATTCTTAAATAGATAACCTGCTCCAAGAAGCTATTCATTCTCTGTCCTGTCCTGCCTGTCTCATTTCGCAGATATTGGCGCTTTCTTTAAATGTGTTATGTTGTTGTGAACTGTTACTTGACATATTGCTTAGGGAAGAAAAGAAAGTTTGAGAAATGATTTTTTTTTCGGCCTTTCTTTTTTGTTTTTCGCGGCACGTGATTGTCTCAACAGTCAAATAAATTGCATAATATTGTCAATTATACATATTGCTGTTAGCCTGACACAAACATTGTGGGCCCAATTGTCAATAAGATTTGGTTATAAAGGGTTGAAAATGAAAAAAAAAAGTCTATTGAGGAAGACGGATAAAATCAGCACGGTGCTAATAGTGAGGACATGTTACAGTCCTTACCAGCAAAAATGTAGTGTCATGGCTGGTGTTATTATGTAACTCACTTGAGAATCAAGATATCTAATTAGGAAAACATGGAGCCACTAACAACAGTCTCATGAAAAATGCCCATTCCAACTATATCAACAATTGTCCTGATTCCCCTGGACAAAAAAAAAAAAAAATTAACGGCTATTTGAAGTTCCTACAAAATTAGATAAAGACGGACTCAGCAAAAGTCCTCAAAGTGATCGGAAAAGCTTGCCGAAAAATCAACATGTACAGGTATATAAATGTTGATAAAATTATTCGTATAGCTTTGAGCTTTAATTACGACTAAACCTGTTTTATCTTCCTTCAAGAGATACCAAGTGATGACTGACTAGATCAAGCTAAAGATGATTTACTAAATGACGTACTTCTTGGATGCAGTACTCTTATTTACAGATAAAGGTAGAAGACTTCTCGACGGGGATTGAAGGCACATAATCCAGGCACACAAAAATACAAATATATATTTTGTTGCGTTATCAAGATATAGTACAGCTTGCTAAAAACGTATTATCAACCAAATGAGTAAGCATCCACCCAATAAAGTTTACATATATAAGACATTGTATTTCTGTTTATTGTAATAAAATCATGATCCTTTTTTTTTTTTTGGACTTATTGTCTTCTTGCCCTTTTTGATTCACCCTTCGCAACATTAACAGACGTACCGGTTTCGTGAAAGATAAACCTCGTGGTCATGTTTATGAGCCAGTTTTCTGAAGACACTAGATTTGAATCAGGTTAAAAACAGCTCAAGTACTTGAGGACATCATCAGGGCTGTTTTAAGAGTCCTAATTGTGAAATACAGGTTGTTTAAAAGCCTTTTCATAACTTCCCTGTACTTTTGCAAGGAAACTAAGTTGGTACTCACTATCACAATTGTTATATAATAATAATTGTCCCCCTTTTTTAAATTTTTAAAAATCCGTACTAGCGCTATATCATCGTGTTTAATATAAAATAGAGGTATATGGATAAACGGTGTAGTTAGATAGATGCGACTCGAATACATGTTTTCTGTGTTTGATACATGTTTGGTATTCTCGCCAGTAACTAACCTTTTACAAACAGAGGTTTAAATGCTTGATCACTTTCTACCTCTTCAGTTATTGCATGTTTCGTCTCTTTTTATAACAGTTGTATTTCACTAATGTATCCGTAAAAAAAAGGCGCATATAATGAAGTATCACTATCATCTGCTGAAAGTAATCAGTGATATCAAAAAAAGTTGAAAAAAGAAATTAGTAGCCAGCCATTATCTATCTAAAGATAGCTAGAGGCATATAATTTTTTTTTGGTCTCATGATAATCATTTGTAGAGCTACATACAGTCAAAAAAAAAACAGAAGTGGTATCTGTAGAAAAAGTAGTTACTCAGCCTTGTACTTGTTTAGTGTAGGCTCAGTATTTTTTTTTTAAAACAAAATGAGCAATGTAAAGTAATCTTCTTACTGTGCTGCCTAGTTTATTTGATCTTGACCATTTGTAGTCATAGTCACTCTTCACGTCATGTATACTGATGTGATTAGACAGACTTTATTCGTTCATACCTTTACCAGATATGATTGATAGATTATTTCTGGCGTTTAACTATGCGAGTGATGTAAAATGGGAGGCTACAGAACCATGCATACCATGAGAATTACAGGTGACAGCGATACGATCTCATTGTATTAATTAATTCAGGCAGATAAAAATTAATTTTCATCAGTTACCAAAAAAAAAAAAAGAACATGATGTAAAAGGTTTAAAAACAAAAAAATATAACAAAATGGATCATGGTATTTTTTTTTTAATATTATTATAATTAGTATTAGATTTAATCAGTATCAAATGTACAAGTGGTGCCGTATGTTTTGCCACGAATAACAGCTGAATAAAAGTAGATAAAATTAACAAGGATGAAACGAGAAAAAAAAAAAAATGTAAATAACTCTTACCTTCGACCTTTAATTCTACTTCACCGAAATACATTTTGATGGTCAAGTCAACCTTTTCACCTTCCTTGACACCTGTTAAAGCAGGCATAGGGATTGTAAAGTTGGCTACTTTGTGTACACCGGGACTTGTGGTATAAATAGGTTGTTCATCTGTATCAGCGGAATAGAGGGTACATGTTGTATGATGTGGGTAATAAGCAAAAAAGTCTTTAGATACACAGTTATCAATGTCTAATAAATAAAAAAAAAAGTATGAGTAAGAAAGTATGGGCTGTGTTGAATAATATATATATATATTTTACCAAGTGGATGCCCTCTCTTGACATAGACCGAGAATTTATTGTCACAACGAATACTACCATCTGCTCTAATGATCTTGTAACTTGGAGGATCTATGCCTTCCTCAAATGTAGTGGTAGTATCGATACCATACCAGTATCTTGGGATACGTGTAGTGACAACTCTAGGATTTAAACCAAAATAAACCGCGCCACGTACGACGGCCAATTCACAACGAGGAGGTACGGCAACCAAGCCAACACGGGAACCGAACTCTTGTTGAACTCGATCGAATAAATAATTGGAAGAACCGAAACCACCTACCAGGAAAATGGCTTGTAATCTTTGAGCTGTCTGAAGTTGTTCCTCACACAAATTGATGACTTCTTTAATGACGGGTTCAAACACTTCCTTTTGTAACTCTGCAGCGGTTAAACACAACATACCATCTTCGAGACCGATAGCAGGATTATTTAAGGAAGCCAGGTTCATGGAAGCAGGCAAAGTGATGAATTGATCTTCAACACCATCGAATTGGGGTTTGATCAAGTCTACAAAATTATCCATCATCGTTTCAAAGGCGGAGGCGGGAATGGATGATAAATACTCTCGAAACTTTCGCTTCAAAAGCTTTCGCATACGACGATCGAGGAAAACGGAACCACACGATTGACCATGTCCTTTCGTGCATTCGCGTAATTTACGACCACTGCGTTCGTCAATCTCAAACACGATTAAATCAACAGTACCACCACCGGCATCACAAATCATGAATCTGTCATTGTGCTTCAAGTTGAATTGTTCGCACTTCTTTTCACAATAAAGAGCAGCCGCTTCGGGTTCAGAAATAAGCATGAGACGATCACGATGATCACCTTCTTGAATCAAGCCAGCCATGAGAGCCGCTTCACGCATGGTACTTTTAGCCTTGTCAGACCACATTGCAGGTACGGTTAAACACTATAGACCCCAAAACCTTTTTATTGAGTACCTTGTAAGGGGATGATAAAACGAGAAGAAAAAAAAATACACTTACATATCTAAATTGATGTTGACCATAATTCTTTGCGAACCCTTTTCTCAATTCACTTACGACGTGTTCATGAAAAGCACGGAGATAATCCGAGATAGCTTCGACAATGGTCAAACCATTGGGAAGAGGTGGTAAATCCTTTGCGATATTTTCATCCAAATATAATTTGTATTGCTTGAGTAAAACTGAGTTTCTAGCTGTAGGTCTTTGCATTTCTAAACGAGCTGCGTTACCCCACTGTGTCATCTCTTTGGTGTTTCCTTGATAAAAATTAAGTGTAGGTGTCTATTTTAATTTGGGTTTTAGACTATCATCCTCATTACAGCTAACTAAAAAATAAAAAAATACAAAACATATACCTTGGGATACACATTGTTGTTCTGCTTGGGCCTGCAAAAAAAAAAAAAAAAGAGAAATTGGAAGCACTGTTAGTTTTGATGTGTTTTTTGGTGTATGGTATGGAATTCTTACCAGCGTACAATATCAACTACTTCGTCATTTTGGATAAAGGCATAAGAACAACCAGAAAAAGTCGTACCTTTTTTTAATAAAATAAAAAAAAAAAAATGTTTAGTTTTATTTGCCTTGTTTCATCTCGTCTATTTGAACTAGTACTCACCAAAATCAATACCAATGATGACTGGGTAATCGTTGATAACAAAGGGTTTAGATTGTGCCATTCCTTTGAATTACAAGAAAGTGTACAATTAATAAAAAAAATAAAAAAAAAGGAAAAAAAAAGGGACTCCGGAAAAAAAAAAAAAAGATATTTTTATTTGGATTTTTGATTGACCGCTTTAATATGATCCAACGCCACTTTCTGTGTAATCGATGATAGATCCTGTAACTGTTTAAAGAATTCTACGTTGTCAGGTAAACTGAAAGTATAGATGGATTTAGCTGTGTGCTTTTTGATGACTGCTTTTGAAAAAAAAGGAAGGGGGGTAAGTAAAAAAAAAAAAAAGAGGAGATAGATTTGGTAAATGACTTTGCCTGGCGACGGTTTCTTTGGCCTGATTTTGTATTCAGTCAACTGACCGCGATAATGAAATCCACCTTTTTTTCTGTTTGTGTGTAAAAAAGAAGAAGTTAGTACAACCAGAGTGTATATACTTACCAATGTAATTTTAGATTTTACCTCTGTCCTCCAGTCCAATTCATACTTTTTTTTATTTGTTGTCAAAAATGATTAGGAGAGAAGTAAATAAATTAAAGGGTTACTTTTTTATTTATTTATTTATTCTTTTCTTTCTTTTTCTCTCTCTCTCTCTCTCTCTTTTTATTTTATTGTAGTAATCTGGTGTGAAATGAGTTCGACATTACCTACAGTGGATAGCAATTCTCGCGTGTTCAGTGGGAGTAACACAAGCACCGAATTATCACCTGCAGCAGAATTTCGAAACAAGTATTATCTATCACAGCAACAAGAAGAGGATGATGTGGATGATGATTTTATATATAGACCCGGCGCGATTATTTATGCGCCCCTAAATATAAATACACCAGGTATTAAATTAACTGAACAAGTGTACGACGATGAGGATGACACGGAAGAAGAAGAATACACTTTATTTGAATCAAAATCCACCTTGGAACCTAAAATTACATTGGAGGATGGTGATAAAGAAAATAAGTTGAATAATAGCACTCTTTTATCAAAATTATCAAAATCAACTGCTCCAATGCGAGCCAAATTGTCTAAAAGTAAAAGTAAATTATTTTTTTAAGGAGATACACTTATTTATAAAAAGGAGAGGGGGCAAAACAATAATAATTTATTAATAGCCAATTTGGATCATTTATGGGTAAATTCTTCAACTACATTGACTTTACCGCTCAGAAAATCCGCTGAAAGTGTTCATCATATGTCTCTCTCAAGGAAAAAGAGAAAGGAAAAGAATGAAAGGTCTCATTCATTCTCCTTTGATTCTCCCACATCCACTTCACCTTCTCTTTCTCTCACAAACGATTTCCTTATCTATCCCGCTCTCTTATCAAAAGTAGCTGACGCATTCAAAGAAAGCATGGTAGTAGGCACCAAATCGAGAGATAGTATACAGTATCATGACGTATTTGATGGCAGAGATGCAGTGGTAAGTCTTCCTTTTTCTTTCTCTTATCCTCTGTTAACCCTTGAAATTAGAATAAACTGGCTTGTATCATAAAGACATCAGATCGAAATTTAGCCGTTTTAGTAGGTCGTGCATTAGGCTATCAAAAGTTCTTTCATAACGTGAATTACATGGTTAAATTACGTGACGCAACAAACGAATTATACCAATTTGCTACCACCAATCCCAATAACAGACCCAAAAGAAAGCTTTCTGCTGATTCAGATACAATCATACCAGACTATCGAGACGAGTTTATAACAAGGGAGGACAATCAGGACTTACCGAATGGTGTATTTACATTATTAACTGATTGTTACTCTTCTACCTGTACAAGAGACAGCTCTTGTTACAGTGTATTATGTCCTAGAAGATTTAACCAGGTAAACACCCCCAACCCCCCATTTTTATATATCATACATTTTTCTTACTTGGTGTTTAACTCATTTATCTAAAAAGAAAAGCCAAAATTCATTGTCTGACGAAAACGTAACTTTGCACATACACACACACACACACACACACATCTCATCCCCCCTCAATGACCTTTTTTTTTTTTTTTTTTTTTACTGTCATAGGACGATAGACTATGGATAAAGACTGCTTCACAGGCAATTTTAAACACACTATCATCTAAAGAAATACGACGACAAGAGAACATTTACGAACTAATATACACTGAAAAAGACTTTGTAGAGGATTTGGTCTATGTAGAAAAGGTAAGTCAATTTTTTTTTTTTTTAATTTGGGGGTTTGCTGCTAAAAAAAAAACATCTGAATAGAACTGGATGGAACCTTTATTATCCCATGAATCTATACCAAAAGATCGTTCTAAACAATTTGTGGAGGACTTGTTCTGGAACTTGCCTGAAATTCGTAAATCGAACGCCTTATTGCTGAATGACCTCCTGGATCGACAAAAACTTCATCTTGTTGTCAATAAAATAGGCGATGTCTTGCTCAAACATGTCATGACTGTGTTTGAGCCCTTTGTGGATTATGGATCGCACCAAGTCATTAGTAAATACGTGTTTGAAACCGAGAAACTAACCAATCTCGCCTTTTCTAAACTCGTAGAGACGATTGAACGATCACCGGAGTCTCGGAAGCTGGAATTAAACGGTTATTTGACTAAACCCACAACACGATTAGGACGGTATAATTTATTACTGCGAGAAATATTAAAACATACCCCCGATGATCATCCAGACTGTAAAACTATACCTAAAGTCATGCATCTTATCAATGGCTTTCTTGAACGGGTGAATGAAGAATCTGGAAAGACTGAGAATACCTTTAGTTTAAAGATGTTGGAAGAAAAGCTATCTTGGAAAAAGGGTCCTATTGTCAATCAAGAAATTGTAAGTAAGAAAACACAAGCTAATTTTTTTTTTTCTCTTACATTATGACACTATTTTACAATGAATTCTTAAAATACTTTTTTTTTTTTTAAAATTTCAAAGGAGGATTTGGATTTGCTTTCACCCGATAGAAAGATTATCATGAAAGGTCCACTGAAAAGAAAATGTTCAGGAAATACATCTGAAGCATCCGAACTTCAAATCTACGTACTCGATCATTGTTTATTAATTATCAAGTCCAAGTTTTTTGATAACGCCGAGATTTACAAGCTTTATAAAAAAGTAAGTTTGATATTTCATTCCCGCCTCCAAATCTAAAATAAATTAAAAAAATCACTTTTTTTATATATATAATCTTTAAACAAGGCTATTCCCTTGGCCTTATTAGTCATCTCCTTACCCGATCAAGCCAAAAGATCAAGCTCCATTCTCCCATATAACAGATCCAGTACAGGCTCCTTTTACTCTAGTGGGAGTGTTGATTTTATGCCACCCGTTTTATCCACTTCGACTGGTATGAACAGTAAAAATGGTTATCCCATCAGTTTTATTCATTTGGGACGACAAGGATCAGGTACCACCACATTATACGCATCTACCTTGGCCAGTAGAAGAAAATGGGTAGATACGATTGAGCGATACCGTTATTCGATTATGGAGAAATCAAAAGTATTTCGTATGATTGAAATTAGTGAACATTATTTCAATTCATTCAACAAGGTCAATTGTGCTGCTGCCTATGGAGAATCCATGATGATTGGTTGTGATCATGGTGTGTACCTAAAGAAATCCATGACAGAAGAGGATGGTGAGGATGATGAGGGTATTGTTCGTATTTTATCGATGGATAAAGTATCACAGATTGACATTTTAGACGGACCCAAACTGATGTTAATCTTGGCTGATAAAATCCTCTACACGTACTCCATTGAAGCCTTGTTTGATGAACATTTCAATTATTTAGCATGTAACCTCGTTTCTACCTCTACCTCTTCACCCACCACCACCAAAATGAAGACGATCCGAGAAAGTAGTATCAAAAGTAGTACGAGTAGTAGTGCCGAATCTCACGATAGCAAAAACAGGTTTACCAAGGCTCTTATTCATAAGAAGACCCATGTCCGAAAACTCAGTAGCAATGTTTCGTTTTTCAAGGTGGGTAAAGTGTTTGATAAGACGGGACCCAATGATCCTATTGAAAGGACGTTGGTTTGCTTTGTAAAGTACAATGCCATGACTTCAACGATTCGTGCCTTGGAACCCTATGATGAATCTCAAGACGCTAAAAAGAAGAAAAGAAAATCAAATCATTTAGGCTTATTCATGCGTAATTCAACCGATGTCTTGCGTGGATTTAAGGATCTCTACATACCGGGTGAAGCTACTTCCATCCAGTATTTTAAAAATGTCATTTGTGTTGGAAGTGCGAAAGGATTTCAGATGGTTGATATTGGATCTGCCGGTGTACAAAGTAAGAAACATCTTATACTAGCAATTTGCAACTAGTGTTTTTTAAAAAAATTCTTTTTCTTGCCCTGCTAGGTGTACTTGATCCAAGTGATGAAAATCATAACTTTATAAGTCAAAGAGAGACCTTGAAGCCAGTATCTATGTTTCGACATCCAGATGGATACATCCTGCTTTGTTACAATGGTAACACTTGTACTGCAAAATCAAAAAAAAAAAAAAAGAATACAGATAATTTAACTATTTTTTTTTTTTTTTTTTGGTGGGTGTGTTGTTTAGAAATTGCTTTTTACATTGATAAAAAGGGACGCAGAGTGAGAAATGAATGGGTGATTCATTGGGAAGGTCATCCTACAGCATTTGCGTTTCAATACCCTTACATTCTTGCATTCGATTCAAGTTTTATTGAAATCCGACATATAAACTCTGTAAGTTTTCTTATCAATGATTTTTTTTTTACTTGGTGGTAGAACTCATTATTTCCACTAGGGTGATCTCACTCAAGTTATACCCGGTAACAATATCAGATGTTTAAGACCAGACCCCTCAGATACAATCTATTGTGTGATGGAAGATCGTCGATCAGGAAATGAACTTGTTTTCAGCTTAAAATTTTCAAATTAAAAAAAAAATTAAGAGAGGGTTTAAACTTTTTTTTTTTTTTTATGTGCATATATTTGAAAAAAAAAAAAGGGGGGGGGGGTTATATTTAATATTTATAATTTAAATTTTTTTTTTTCTTTTACTTAACGACGCTTGAGTTGACTATCAAGAATATGTCTTTGTTGTCCAAGCCATGAATTGGGATAGGCCTTATTGACACCAATGATATCTTTGTTACTCTTTCTGGATAAATCATACCAAGCAGAAATCATTAATTGTTGCTCACGGCGTGATTGAAGACGAGTTTCATGAAGTTGCTTTTTGAGTTTATCACATTCTTCATCACGAAGTGCGGCTTCAGCCTTCATGGATGCAATGGCTTCGTCATAGTTACCAGGTTGGTTTTCTATCTTTGACTCCTTGAGCATCTTGTCTTGTTGTTTAATAAACTATATATATATATATAAAGGGGGGGGGGGAAAGGAAGATTTCGAAGGGAGGTTACTTTGTTTAGACACTTGAAAAAACGCCCGCATTCTTCTTCTTTTTCTTACCTCCTTGGCTTTTCTATGCTTGACAGTCAATTCATGAAGTTGCTCCTGCAATTGAATGATTTGTTGTTGCAGATGAGCATTGTGTTGTTTGAAAGGTTGATCATCCTTAGCCTCAAAGGCAGCAAGAGAAGCCTTCATCTCACTGTTTAATCTCTCCTTCTCCAATAAGAGATCCTTTTGTTCGATGCTTTGACCCTGTAAAAGATCCTTTTCCAACAAGAGCTTATTGATATCCTGCAACTGCTTCTTGGTTTGCTCCTCCAAATACTTTGTCTTTTCATCAATGGCATCGTATTTGCTACGTACATCCTCCATGCCTTCCTCGTATCGTCCTTCAGCTAAACGTTGCTCTAATTTACTGATGGTCTCGTTTAAGGATTTAATTTGCTTTTCAAGATCAATCGAGTGAAGTCGGAGTGAAAGGGTATGTTCGGATTGATCCACAAGCGCATCAGGAATACCTTGTCGGATACGCGCCATATTACTCTGTAAAATATCGCGTTCTTGAGACACTTCGAGGTAGCTCTTCTCAAATTGGTTCTTGAGTCGATTCGCATCATCCAACAAATGTTGAAGTACAACTGTCTTGGAACTACGTCCAGCTGCATTTTCTTCTTTCAATGTCTTGATTTCTCGTTCAAGACGACGTTTAGATAATTTGCTGCAATTAAAAAAAAAAAAAAAGTCAGGTCAGGTTGTTAAGGGAAAAAAAAAAATTATAGTCAGTGGTGGGTATTGGGGGGGGGAGGGAGACTTACAGTTCGGTTACATTGGATTCCTTTAATGAGTCTTCCAGAGAATCATTCAGATTATAATCATCAAGATCCATATCATCCGAGTCATGGGATTCAGTTCTTTGTAACTCTGGTCTTTCAGTTGAGCTCACTACAGAAATAAAGAAAAAGGATGAATGGGGGGTGTTATGTGAATAGAGAGAGAGAGAGAGATGCTTACTTCCAAGTTGAGCATCTTGAAGACGATCCTCTAAAGATTGAATGAGATCTGAATCTCTTGCTCTATCTGCTTCCAATAAATCAATCTTTTTGGTATACTGACTCATTTCATATTCCAACTTGTTCTTTTCTCTGATTAATTCATTGGTCTTTGTTTCCAAGGTAGCCACTTGATCTTTATATGAATCCATCAAGGTCTGGAACACCAATACTTTACGATAGTCATCTTCCAGGTCATGATGTGCCTTTTGTAAATCATGGTATGACATCTCGAGTTCCTTATTTTCCTTCTTTAAATTACCGCTTTCTTCCAATTTTTTCTTGTATTTTTCAATCACGTTCTCTGCCTTTTGAAGTCGTTCAGCTGTATGTTTATATTCATCCAATCGATCCTTCAATTTCGCCGCTTCTTCTTCGTGCTTTAAAAGTTGTTCGTTCTATTTATTTATCAAAAAAAAAAAAGAAAAAGTTTTTAATACCTTGTGGTTGCCTTTTTTAAAAAAACATGCGCTTTTTTTTTTTTTTTTTTGGTTAAAACTTACACGTATCGTCAATTGCTTAATTTGTACATTTTGGTCCTCAATTTTAGATTCTTGCTCTTGACGAAGATCTTCACTCTTTTGTCTAATAAAGGGGGGGGGGGGGGTTTGTGAGTTAAAGGAGATAGGAAGAAAGAAAAGGAGTGTGGGGGTGGAGAGAAACTTACAGGTCTTGTTTTGCAAAATTAAATTCAGTTCTAGCAACAAACTCAGTCTTTCCACTTTTATTGGCTTGTGCTGCAGCATTATCCATGTGTCTTAATCTGTCCTGTAAATCTTGTTTGTCATTTTCCAATTTGTCCTGTCATTTAAAAAAAATTGTCAGCAGCATGAATCAATGTTTTTTTTTTAGGAAATAAAACCTTACATATTTATTCAAAAGAGATGAGTGCTTTTCAATCAATTGCTTATTTTGAATTTCAAGCTCTTCCTTTTCCTTGGACACTCTGGCTAATTCACTTTGACTTCGATACGTGCCATCTTCTACGTAAGAATCATCGTCCATGATCATTTGGGAGTCAGTATTCACAAGTTTCATCACCTAACACGGGAAAAAAGAAAGTTAATACATAGTGTATATAAGGGGGGGAGGGGAGGGGTTATAGTCTTACTTGGTCAATGGATATCATAATGTATTCTTGTTGTTGAGGTAATAATTCATTTTGAATCACCTGAATATAACTCTCGTTATCAGGACAGTGAACAGCAATGTATAAAATCAATTTACACAGTAACAGGATATCTTGGCTGTTGGAATCCTTTGCAATGGCTGCTAAATCCACTACGGGTAATTTGGAAAAGTCTAAACTAAGCATATCTTCAAAATAACGAGATATTAATTTGTAGAGTTTCTTTAGGTTGGCATTCTTGAGCACCCAGTTACTTCCCACATCTGCTGAACGAATTAACTTGAAATATCTTGAATCACTACACACAGGGAAAAAAAAAAAATTAAGCTCATTTAAATATGTACAGTTTTTTTTTTTTTAAAAAAAAAGGGGGGTTGTAGTCAAGATTATTCTTTACATGTCGGCAAGTACTTCAAACAGTGTGATACCATCTGCTAATTCTTGAATGTAGTTTACTTTATGAGTGACTGCACCAAACGTATTGATCTAGTAAACCATTTTTTCTTATTAGACAACAGTATTACTTCCCACAAGGCTTAATTTTTATTTTTTTTTTATTTACCCAAGTGATGAAAGCAGCAGTTGCAGTTTCTTTTGAATCAAGGTCCATCATTTTACAACTTGTTGAATTATAAAATTAATGGGGTTTGCCTTAATCCTGCTGTATACTGTTTAAAATAAAAAAAAAAAAAAATTGGAAGATAGGATAAAGGAACGTTTTTTTTTTGTTTTTTATTTTTTTTTTTTTTTAGGGCTCACACAACGGTTTTATTTTTATTTTTTAAGGGAGTTTGTCAGCCAATCATATTGATGCTGTAGATACATATTGAATCCACGCTTTTGGGTGCGTTCAGCAGTTTAAAAAAAATTTGAAAATATATTGTTGTATTATATGTGTATTGTGTGTAACGGACAAATTAAAAAAAATAGATTCTATTTAAACTCTTCTACATTCCATGTAAGTCTCTGTAGGGTCCATAGGTAATGCACAGAAAAAGCCCAGCTTTTGCATTTCAGAGAACATTTGGGTATCTAATTCAAATCCACCCCAAAAAAAAGAGCGTCAATTATCTCTCTCTCCACCGAAAACTTTCCTCCATTTTTTTACTTACATTCCAAGTTAAGCTTGACACATTCTCTTTGACCGCTTAACCCTTGACGACAGAGTGTTTGTGATTTTTGATCAATCGTGTATTCCTTGCCTGGTGCTGCCTTCACAAAGTTATCGATGCGTGCGAGTTCGGGATTGGTTTCAGTTTCGGTATTTGACATCTACATATTCTACTATCAATATTCCTATTTTTATCATCACCACCCTCACATACACACACACACACACACACACACAACGCGTTTGACTTTACTTACATTATAAGTTTAAAAAAGAGAAAGAATAAATCAAAAAAAAAAAAAAAAAAATGCATTTATGAACCCCCCCACACCCCGGACTTTCTGATTACGTCAGGACGCATCTTTTTTTTTTTTTTTTTTTTCTAAATGCCGAATTCACCTACCCACCCTTTACAGTGGGTACACATGACGTAGAAGAAAAAAAAACGCGGTAGACGTAAAGAAATACGAGGTGCAATATTTAAAGAGTTTATGTCAGACTATAGGAAGACTGAGAAATTCTATTTGTTTTATTCATTTACTTGTATTTATATCTTTGCTATTCTCTAGTAAGTTTTTCTAGCTCTATAGATTTCTATTACTTTCTTTATACCAAATATAGTAACCAATTATTAGCCAATCATTAAGCGAGGTAAATGTCTCTATCGGGAACTCAAATTTTGTTTAAAACTTTGTATTTTCAGTTAGGCCTTGTTGTTGTGAGGTAGTTCCTCAATGTATAATACCGTTTGTTTCTAATATAAATTATTTGTTAAAAAGTACTAAAGAATTAAACTGGCTATAGCTAAATTGGAGGTTCATTTGCAAACAAATACTTGATTGAATTTTTAAAATAAATATAACACGAGAGGAAGCAATATGTATGCTTTATGGTAAAGAATATTTAGTGATAAAAATGCCGCTGAACTATTAAAAAAAAAAATTGATGACCTGACCTGCAAAAAGAAAAAAAAATGTAACCTCTCCTTTTGTGTATCGTATATTACAGGGAAATCTGACAGTGATAGATATTTCAAATCATATGTCTGCTTATTCGTGTACAAGTTAATATTTATCATAAATGTATTGTAGGTATTGAAAAGCGTAAATAATTAGTCACTGTAACTAGAAACTTTTACATTCTCATGGAAATTAAATAAAAGGCATATATTGCATGAATATACAAACATGTGTATGTTGAATTATAAACAAATTTTATCAAGAAAAATGTCTCATTATTTTGCAATATAACAAGGCAGACTTTATTTGTTTAAAGAACACGACTCTATGTAACAAACGTCTATCTTGGCTTTTATGTTGACGTGCGGTTAAATTTCCGATTGTCGCTCTTTTCTTTCAAGAACTTTTACAACATTCACATTAATAGTGCTATGGCCATAGGACAATTTTCAGCTTGGAAATAAATAATCATTTACATAATTTTTGACACATCCTGTGTAGTACTGTATCCTCTTCTGATTATCTTTGTCCTTGGACGTACAAAGAGTTAAAAAGTTTAAATGCTTAGGCCGATATACAGTCTTTCACTATAATGTACATTAAGCAGTTTCGTTGGGAATGTTCATGGGTGTTTATTGATTGCTGGCTTAATGAAAGGTTGTATGGGCTAATCTGAGGTGCCATCGCTGAAAAGGGTAATAATTATCGTGTGAGAAGATGCATAAAGAATAAATTTTTCAAGAGACTTTGTGATTACTTGATTCTACGAATCCCCAAGAGTTTTTATAATTAGCACACCATGTAGCCTTTAATGGGTATTGATTCAGAATGCTTGAGTTGCATCCTTTAAATAAAAGCCACCGTTCTACTAACAGTTTTAATTACGTTTTGGGTAGACTTTTTTTTTTTAAAATTATGGCTCGTGTTATTTTAAAAGGTAATGAAAGACCCTAATACAGAAGGCGCTCCAAGCTGTGGACTATACGCGCGCCCCACTTGCCTTATTGAGAATCCGAGTTTTTAAAAAAAATGATGCATTCTCTTCCTCGTATGTGTGCTTTCTCTTTATTCTATTGTCTACTTTTCTTTGCTCACACGTATGATCATAGTATTGTAATAGTACTGTTTAGACTGTAAACAATGATGTCAGGATGATACCAGAATAAGTTGCAGTCACTTGATTTTTGAAAGTCCCAAAATTTTTATGTGTAACTGATAATTCGACCCATCCAAAAAAAAAGGTATAAAAGGGGCCTATTTTTTCCACTCTACGAGTTTTTTTCTTTTTTTTTTCTCCATCAAAAAAATGTCTTCCTACATTCGATGTCTTTGGGGTTGCTCTCGCTGATCTTTCCGGAGTACGCGGTATAACCATCGATATCAAGTGCTGGTCGTCCTATTCGACGGGTTTCCATCTTGTGGGAAGGGTGGTCAACATTTTTCCAGGAACGTAGGGGCGCAAGCGGGCTTGGTTTTTTAAACATTAATGAAAATGAAAAATATAAGATGAAAACTATAAACTTTTTTGACCAATTAAAATTATTTTAAGCTTATTCATGCAAAATATATCTTTTTCTCGCGTGTGTAACATGACTTCTGCTGCTGCGCATTTCATATTGAGATTTTTTTTTTTTTTTTTTTTTTTTTTGCACGGCAACGATAAAACCGAAGCTTTTTGAAATCAATGGTAAACTCTTTGAGGTTTTTAAACAGTTCTTATTAAAGCAAGACATTACTAGGTGGCACTCCCAATGTTCAACAGCTCTACTACGTTACCTAGATTTTCAACTCTGTTTTTCAATCAATCAATGCAATCATTATGCCAACATCAATAAGATTCAACACGCAAGCTACTTCCGCAAACAACAACCACTGCCAGTCCGTGGACAAGCTACCGTCTTAAATTACCTAGTTTATTCGACAATGTGGCACGTTATTCGGCAATCTCCTATGATTATGACTAAAGCCCAGATCGCCAAAATTCAATCGGTTAAATACCAATTACTTATGTTTCCAAAACTCAAGTTGTCGACTCTGTAAACATCACGATCATAAGGAGGACTTGGGATCTTTGACTTTGAACAAGGAGTGTTTCAATGACGTTAATTGCAACCCCTTTTTAGAGGGTCATGGTCCCACGTTGCGTAACAAATGGTATAGTTCGGTTCACAACAAAGCTCCAGTCAAGTTGTTCCTCCATCGAATTCTACCAGATATTCACCTCAGTTTTGACTTGGACGCATACCCGGGCATTATTGCAAACAGAACTTTTATCTGTCACCTGCCTCCACATATAGTCCGTGTGAGCCTCCATACTACTTAATATCAACCTGCTTCATCATTATCCAAAGCATCTTCCAGCTCAAATTGTAAAGCTTAATTACCGCTTTACCTCATTGCGAATACTTAAATCAATAATATTTGCGTTCATTCTCTTCCATAAACCAGGGCTTGAAAAAAAAAAAGAGGCACATGAATACAGGGCACTTACTCATTTCTCAGCAACATCAATGCTGCTCGATATTACAACTTTCTCATGCCATATTCTCACTTTTTATATTCGTCTTAATACAATAAATAGGGTTAATGGCCATATTGAACTTCAGGCTCATAATCTTAAGTATTTTCATCAATACTATTTTAGTTTAATTTGAAGTTTACTTTTCTTCATGAGCCTTTCACTCCTTCTGTACTTGGGTGAAGATACACCCTCATCTTCCTCGTGCGTACGCTTTGTGCCAGTCATAACCCCTAATTTAAAAGAGGTAGCTGCGGCCGGCAATGCTGATCCTTTGGGAATTTTCAACGGGTAAAGTTCCCTTTTTGCATAAGTGAATTCTTATTCAAAGCCATAGAGTTTTGTTCTTCGAGACTGGCAGCTAGGACCAGGAAGAGATTTTAGAATCCACCTCCATTTAACAGAATAAACTTTCCCATAAATAATCACATTACATAGTAACCATAAGATCCTTCTTTGCTTTTTATCAAATTAATAAAGATCCTTTATTTGTGTCTCATCGACTTTATAAGACTTTATTTAAAATTAACTAGTGAATACCAATCTTTGGCCCACTTCGCGTTGCTTTTCCAAATCAAGTAAGCTCTTTTTCAAATTTTCTTCGTATTCAGCTTCAGCTTGAATTCAAGACTACAGCAGTCTTGAATTCAAGCTCTTTTAGCAATGTGGCTATATACGCTTGATTACGATTGATATACTTGACCTGTTTGCCGGTGGTCTCTTCAATTTTTTTTTCAGCATTATAAATGACAGCCTGGCAGTTTTCAGTGAGAGATGTCATATTTTTTACTCCATATAGCGCTTGTTTTTATTCGGTTTGAATCTCATGTTCCAAGACACGGATACGTTCCTCTGCTACGGCTGATGTATCACGTGCGTGCTTCAATTCACGATTAAGATGTTCAGCTCTTTCCGCATCTTGATCAGCGTCCTCTCTATCATACTTATTTAGGGCCTTCATACGATCATCTATGGCTTCTATTATATTAATTGTATGAACTCTGCTAGCTGATTCGGTATGTAAATCCTCCTTTACAGCGTTATAGGAAATAGTGGTGGATTCCAGTCAATTTCCGAGAACGACCTTTTCTTTATCAAGATACTGAATCTTATTTTCGAGATCCCTCAGCTTTCCCTTTGGTGAATTCCAATGCAGAATGCCTACTAGTGGAATGTTCTTGTAGATCGCTTTTTTGCTGAATCAAATACGATCTCTCGTTGCACTCTTACCTCGCCATCATCAAGCAACAGCACCACCGAGCATTTCCTCGTCACCAAGTATTATCCAGGATTGTCCAAGTAAAAAGTTTAATATCCAAGGACTTTTCTTTTGACAGGAAGACTATAAAATGTCATTTTTGATCAAATCCTTTCGAGAAAAGTCGTTCTGTTTTCACGGATTGTAGACGCTACATATGTCGGAGAACAATGGTGGGTGTCACTGGAGCTCTTCAGGGCTAGCTTGAAAAAATCCCGGCTTGCTCAAGTTTAGACTTTAAGCCAAATTGCAGTCGTCAATTTTTATTTCTCTTAAAATACTCGCCTACTCCCAAAGTTGTTCTTCTTGCTCAGATGTACTAAGGTTGGCAGTCAACGTTTTCATTCTGTTCACGTAGCTTTCGGAGATCTGTTAAAGCGTTGCTAAAATTGCTTGAGAGATACGATTTTATCCTGAACGTTTATGAAAGCTCGCGTTCATTGTGGTACTTGCTCTCGTTAACAACTTTTTCTGTGCGAATGGGTGACGGTGATTTCGCGCCATTGTTTTTTTTTTTTGGTGTGTCATGTCACAAAGTGTCCAATTCAAATTTTGCTTAATACTGTTGTATGCAAATCTTTACATACTTCTCCAAATCGTCGTAAGTACATAACATCATCGAATCTTCCCAAGTCCCTGAAAGCCGTAAGTACACCTTAGCTAAGGCAATGCGCTTGTATTACGACGATCGATGTATTCTCTCTGCTGTCGTATTTATCATATAATGTCAGCTGGTATTTTCAGAGAGCACGTAACACCAAAATGATTTATTCAAGTACGGGTTGTTTATTATATTCTCCTTGCTGCTCCTTGCGGGTTTAATTGACAGTTTGGATAATATTTGGATATAATCCAGCCACGGTGGCAGTGCCTCCTCTTGTATTTTTAGTTGTGTTCATTATGTACAGTCTCTTTTTGCAATCTGATTAGTACTCTGTCTTATTTTCTATTTTTGTTATTTTGGATGTTTCAAATACCCTAATATATCATAATAAAAAGGTGAGTATCTACTAGATAACGTGTTAGTTTACTTACTTTGAATAGAAGAAGGCCAGTTCTCATTTTTTTTAGGCTTCACAATCTTTAGCGGTCAGCTCTTCTTGTAAATGAGCAAGCTCTAAACTCAAATAAAAAAGTTGCGGGAAAAAAAACGACAAGTTGATACTAAATAGCAAGTGCGCTATTGGTATTGCTCAAGTACCTTGTTTCAAATTAATCGCGTTTTCACTAATTATGAACTTTTTTTTTTTTTATTGAAATGACAAAGAGAAAAGATACAAGAAAACAAAAACTGCGGTTTTTTATGCAGCTGAACTTATAAATCGAATCAACTTCAACTCCACATTTGGTAAGTTCATTTTTAGAATTACATGCAATCTTTAAGGTCTTTCGAGACTTAAGATTGATAGTGTAATTGATTCTTAGTTATTTACTTTGGTAATACCCAAAAAATTATAATATTTATATCAAATATGATATAATGATATATCCTCATAATTTAAAGCTCTTACACACTTTTGTACACAATCTGCATAATCAAAATGCAGACAAAGCTATATTGTTAGTCCCATAATGGAGAGTAATTGTTCTTTTGTTAACTTATAGGAGAGCCCATATCTTGCACTTAATCAAAGATATATTTACATTTTTTTATTCAGTGTTATTTATTTTTTCAAATCTAAGGAAATCCACTGCGATCACAACGTTTTTCTTTTTATGAAACTTGTACATCATTGGCACATCAAACTAATGAAAATAAAATTAAGGAACAGTATTTTTTTTTAGCAGAAATTGTTGTTCTAACCTTTAACTCTGCCACTACTTCAAATGTCACGCCCCATTCCTTTGCCTTCTTCTCGATGTGCTATAAAGTTGAAATAATGTTTAAAATCACTTGAATAAGGCTATATGGCGGGTGGGAGGTCTTACCTCTCTAGTGGAAGTCTTGTGTAACGAATAGACCGATGTACCAGCAATCTAAAATCAAAGAAATGTCAAAAAATCAAAAATGTATGCAATATAATAACCTATTACATCTATCGCTTTTTTCAACAAGACCATATCCACGCCCTTGTTATTCTTTGTTCCAAATGGTGGGTTCATAATGATGGTATCTAACTTTCCTTGAAACCCATCCAATGTTGCTACACTTAAATCTGTGTTTACAAAGTCGATATTGACATCAAAAGAATCACTGTTTTCTTGTGCAATCTTGATGGCATCCGGATCAATATCGAATCCGACGCTGTATCTATGTATGATATAAAAATGTCAACATGTTTTTGTTGCTGGTGTCCAAGTCTACACTCCTTACCCTGCCCCAAGAATGTTAGCTGCAATACTCAAGATACCACAACCACTTCCGAAATCACCAACTGCTTTATCCTCAATGTCATCGTAAACTGTATCTGCTGTATAAAGCATTCTTGCTGCTAAATGAGGTGTGGTGGGGTATTGTTCGAATTCAATCTTGGGTTCATCTAATTTGGCTCTTTCAGATTCTACATGTCACGAACCAACTTTTTTTTTTTTTCAAAAGCAGTATTTACATTCTTACCGAATACGTCACAATCTTGCAAAATGCTTTCTAATTCCTTCAATTTCATGTTACTTGAACGGTTTGAAGTGGTAAAAAAAAAAAAAAAAAGTATTCTTGGCCGTGGCTTAAAATTAATTTTTACATTCGCCGCCTCACTGTTACGCCTAAAGCCGTAAACGGCATATAATCGGAAATGTCTAGACCTCCGTATTTTTTTCAAACGTATTTTTTATAATCACGCGATGGTCTACACGTCGATTGACATGCCATATCATCTAAACTTCATAGGATGATCGATTTCTGTTTTCCATAAAATCTGCTTCACTACTGGAACGCAGATAGACAATTACCAAGCTCTGACTTGCTAGGGAGGTTTCTGCAAGTGTTTCTATTTTAAGTAAAGGTTAAAACATTATGAATGATAAAATAGACAATTAAATCATCCTGACATAAGCTTGTTTATCTATAAATAAAGCTGGTTCACACACTTTATTCTTCTCCTTTTCTTTTCCCTTAACATACTTATTTTATCGTATGAAAGTAACCGATCACGTAAAAAGGTTTGTTTAGTAGCGACTCTTGTTTCTTTGAAAAGAAGCTAAATTGAAAAAGATATATTGTGATATCCCGGCTGCGGCTAGTCTTTGCTATAGGAGGGCGACCTCCTAGGCAGAGAGTTCATGAGTTTTGGAACTCACGAACCGTGAATGGCTGTGATTGCACTGTAAATGGTTGTGAATATACTGGCCTGCTAGTCTTCTGGCCGGAATTCCTGTAAGTGGTAAAAAAAAAAAAAAAAAAAATACGTTTGAAAAAAATACGGAGGTCTAAACATTTCCATATAATCGACATCGATTTTTATTTCAAGAGATGGGATTACAATCTTTTCCTCTTGTCCACAAATAATGGTTAAATCGGTTGTAGCAAGAAAAGCTACCGAAGTTGCCCGAAAGCGAGAGCTTCTGAACTTTGAAGCAACTAATGTCGTACTTGATGAAGGGGTGAGAACTATTTTTTAACAATTACAGTTAAGCAATTTTATTTATCTTAATTTACAAATAGCTAAGAAGCTTAAGAAAAGTAAGTAAATTAACAACAGTAGCTGAGTTTGCTGTTACTCATCAATACAAATTTCAGGAGCAACCGAGAAAGATTATAAAGAAAAAGGTGAGTAAATAGTATATAATTTAAAACGGAAGCCACACTAACACACTTCCTTGTAGCCTATTGTCAAGAACTTATAATATGTTTTCAATTGTCTTGCGCGCAAAAAAGCGAAGACCTATTAAGAACTATATTACAAAACGTAACAAATATGTCTTCTTGTTCGCGTGTTTTTACTAACCTGTGTTTTTTTTTTTTTTTTTTTTTTTTTTAGCCTGTCAAGAAATCTCTCAAAACGGTCCTCAGTGGTATTAAAAAAGAGAATTCAAGAAGCACATTTATTGACAAATCGAAGCAACTGACAAAATTTGTGTGAGTAGAGGCAACAATGACTTTGTATGATTTTATCATTGCGTAGCTAACTTCTTTATTGGATCAGATTAAAGAAACATATTGAAGAATATATATTTGACTCTGAAGTTATCAAGACCTTCACCGAGGGCGACTACCTTGCAAAGTTCTGGTCACCAATAATTGAAAAGCTTTTTAGAAACAGCGGCATTATTCCCCACTGGTATGCTGACACCTAGATAGCGCAAATTTGGATATTTTGCTCATGTGTTTTGTCTTTTTGTTGGAGATACTCAACCTACAACTCTCATCTCAGAAGGAATTCAAATAAAAATGGATCTGGTTTTGGGAGATCATTTTGATCAAGATGCACCCGTTTGTATTTCAAAAGTCGTTTGGGTTAAAGATGATGACATTGAAGATACGGAGGATGATGATACTGATGATAGCGAAACGGATGTTACTGAAGAATTTGAAAACAGTGATGAAGTTGATGATACCGAAACAAATGATATTCAAGATTCTCAAACCGAAGATGTTTAAACCTGTTAGTTGGAAGATGCTTCTTATACCACTACTCTTATCATCCAGTTATTATGTTCTATTTTACATAGTATGATCATCGTATTATAAACTACAAACATACGCATTTACATATAACTCCTTTTACTTGCCAGATATCATTAAAGTATAACCAATAAAACTGCTCTTTTGTACTGTAAGCCTATCTATTATATATATAATTCTGCACAAGAGATCGATCTGTGAGTGGAGAGTGTGTAATGAGAGAATAGTCTATTCGCTAAGTACTGAGAGTGCCAAAGATGAATAGCCTATTCTACAAGTGGTGCAAGCAACCAGTGAGTAGAGGATGAATAGTCAATTCAATAAGTGCTACTAAATGTTATATGCGGGTTAAGCTAGTATAGCAAAGCGTTTGTCAGGTTATGCTGAGGTAATAATAGGACTGGGTAAGCAATACGATTGTTCATAGGTTCATGATGTGTTCTAAGCTGAAAACCAACTTACAAACATCACATGGTAGCCCTTGCTTTCAATCTTTCTTATCATTGGTTGCGATTTATGGATTGAAGCATTGTCCATAACGATGTAACTTCCCTTTAAATTTTTGTCAAGGTCCATTACATCAAGTAGTTCATTCATTAACTTAACAAAGTGGGCAGTTGTTGTACCTTTTGATGCTGGCTTAGTAATGTCAGCAATATCTACAATCGGTTCCTCACTATTGATCTCAGCTGCAGCTCTTTTTTTACCATTGTTGACCTTTCTTTTCTTTTTATTTCCAGCTTCTGTTTCGAATTTGGGTGATGGCTTTTTCAAAACTACATGAATAATACTAGAGGAATGAATGGCACCGATTATTGTGTGGGATTGTGCCCTCGTTTTTGGTATCGTTACTACGGCAGGAGTTCCGCTTGCTTATTTGGCCCAATTGTTCCTCATACTGATATTAAACCCAGCCTCATCAATGAACACACAATTCTTTGTATAATCAAGGCTTGTGTCTTTCCATTTCATAAACCACTCGAATCTTGTATTCAAGTTGTTTACGGAATTCCTTATTTCAGCTTCAAAAGTAGGTTTTTTTATAGTGATCTGCATGTCATTCTTCAAATAGTGATTAAGTCGCGATTTTGAAATAGAAAAGCCCTCAAACTGCTTAGCCAAGTCTTCTATGATGTCTTCAGCAAAGAGCTGAGGATCTTGATCAATCAAACGTTCTATACACTCTTCATGTTTGGCAGTAATAGAAATTTTTGGGCCACTGTTAATCTTCGATTTTTTGTATGGCACCTCTCCAGTCTTATTGTAACTTTTCCACCATCTTTCAGCAGTACGGGGATCGATGGCGAGCTCCCTTGCAAACATGGTTATACTACCTCGCTCCTCAGGTACTTCTATCATTCGGTCTATAAACCTTTCTCTTTCTCTATCGCTATAATCATTGTACACTTTCGAATTCGATTTTACAACTTTTGGCTGTTTAGCAACCTTCTCCTCAAAGATTCTCTCTGCAGGTTTGAGAGCTAAATACGTCTGTTGACTTGTTATTGTTTGAAGAACAATGTTAGGGTCTGAGATTTGAGGTAAGATGCCCTCCATTGGATCATAAACTTTTTCACCCTGTTCATTGTAAAGATTGTCTTGTCCATCCTCATAAAAAAACACTGTTCGCCATTTTGTAGATCTCGAAAAAGCGAAAAAGTGAACAACTACTTCAGGAACTTGCGATGACAATTAGCCTTGAAATCCCGGACAATTCGGGCTAGCTTAAACCGACAAATTACTTTAACTCAAACCGACAATTACTTTTCGCCAACCGACAATTATTTTTTTACAAACCGACAAAATCCACAGGCCTGACTGTATTAAATCCCCGTGTATGGTTCAAGACCGAAAAAAAAAGATTGTGTACAACATGCACTATTTTTTTTTTTGACAGTGTTGTAAATTTATGATGATGCTAGCCATGTGCGTTACACAACAAGATAATATATGACGGGCGTAAAACAAATAAACATAAACAGAGAAAAAAAGGGGGGGGAGGGGGAAGGAATGAATGAAAACAGTGTTCGGTTTTAGTCCTTAAAAGTCATTTTCAATAGGATAACAAAATTAGACTTTCGATGAATTGGACAAGCCATACAACATAATTCGCATGTGCGACAAGCACGTTTCTTTTTGTGAAAAAAAAAAAAAGTTTCGTTTATCGTGATATAGTAAGGTTAAAATATTGATGTATTTTGTATGACCATCGATTTAAAGTTGACATTGTAACACCCACATGAAGTGAACCAGAACTTCCCCGGAGTGAAATCCAAATTACTAGAGAGAGGAAACCTCCGTCTCATTAGGCCTAACGGAGAAATGATCAATAAAACAAGTTCCGTAAAAGGCATGTTTTTTGACAGTTTTTAGTGTAATATAAAAACAAAAACTCAGCGTAAGAGTTTGAAGGCATGTGTTACCTAGGTGGAATCGATCCTCAAAATATAAAGGGGAGAAAAATGCTGGCATGGTGATTGCATGGTAACACAAATAAGAGTTTATAAAATTTTATTTGTTTAAAAAGTATTTTTTTTTTTTTTTTTTTTGGGTAAAAAAAAAAAGAATGTGTATAGAATCAGAAAAGACAGCTTGTGTATATAGAAAGGTGGAAAAAGTATACATGAAAATTGTTTTGTAAAACGGCATAAAGACTATGAATTTTGTTTGTGAAAGGGTATGGAAAAAAAAAGCAACAATGAACGGTTATTTGAATTATGTATATTAGATTGATGTAGAGAGTTATGAGAACAAAGAGTGGTATAAGCCTTGGAGGTCCTAGTTAACGCTTCACAGGAGCGGGATATGGTCTTGGGAGAGCAGGTTTGGTTGGTCTATCTGGTGGCATTTTGAATATATGTGTATGTTTAAGTAATATTTATCTGAGTGATGATAATAATAAAAAACTTAATTGATGAGAAACTAGGATACTATATATATGTTTTTTTTTGTATAGTTACACAACCATGTCAAACTAATTAAGATTATCCACCCTCTCTAATGACTTAGCCATTTCCCCCTCTCTAAAACTCTAAAAGGTTTTTTTTTCTTCCCCAACATTTAATTATGATTGTTGTGATTCTTGTAAAACGTTTATATAAAAATATTTACTTTTTTTTTTCTTTTTTTTTTTTCAATATGTCCATTTATATTAAATTTAGGACCATATCGGTCTTTCCTCATAATAATTTTTTTTTTTTTTCAAATATAAGCTCCATTTCAATAATAGCCTCCTTATAACTTTAATGTATTCATTGTCTCGTTAAATAATGTATAGCACCCCCTCCCTCCTCTTCTCCCATTCTATTTCTCTATGCTTATGCGATTAAAAGTAAGAAAGTTAAGGTTAGAGATACCGTTCTACAAACACTTTGTCTAAAATCAACTGATAATAATAACAAACTGTGTATTGAAACGCAAAAAATAAATATGGCATCATATACTTCCAAGGTTTTACCCATCGTTTCATTTAGGAGACTATAACTTATTTCAACTATATACCCTGAATATGTAATGCATGTCTATTAGTTGTCAAATACAATCATTCATGTGCATCGTCGTTTATATGCATGGTAGTAGTTGAATGGCTGAAAGGTGAAGACGGGGCGGTACAGACCAATTAGAATGGCTTGAAAATGAAGATAATTATATTACTTTTTGAATTATATTATAATTGTTTACCTTACATTAACCAAAAAAAAAAAAAAAAAGCCATTTTATTTATGATGTAAACAATGATGATGTGTACATTGTATGGATAAAAATTAACGGCTATCCAACAGCCTGATTTAGCGTTTCATGTGTATGTTTCGAATTGAAAATCCCAGTTCCCAGCATAATTTATTAGTTCAAAATAACTTGCTAAGCTAAAATTAGGTCAAATTAAACAACGGCTGTAGTAAGCTACTCTTCTTAGGTAGGGTATTCAGGGACAGAAAAGTATCGGAAAGCTTTTAAACTTTATCTTTGCAGATGCTGACACACGATAATATAATTGTTTGAAAAATAATGATCGGTATATATTGTAAACGTGTGTAAAAAAAGAACACACTCTAGTTTCATCTTCCTGTTTAACTATATCCCTCCAGCAACGCATCAAAGTATTTTCCCTCTTTTATCGTCAATTGTTATTATTTATCGATACACAAAAAAGGTTGTTGACTGCACATTGGTTACACGGTATCCCAGTTATATTTAATAGCCGAGAGAAACAAAGGCTGATTAATACTGGAGATTATTTCAGTATGTCATAGCTACATCATTTCAATGGCAACCGCAAATGATATCTGTCATGCTTTAGTAAAGATGAATAAAGTAATTGGAATCAATGCTCCGTCTGTGTTATGTGCGTGATACGATGATGAAAGATCAGCACCAAGAATAATATAAGGTTTCCCACCTTTTTATCGCCTAATATATAGTGTATGCAAACAATATGCGCTTATTAACAAACAAATAACATTATAGAAATCGCACTCTTCATGAAGATATAATTTATAATCAATGACAATCTAATCATGTTATTTGTAATTGTGTGTAAATTAGACGAGAGATAGTTTTGTGTGTACATGCTCATACTATTGCAATGAAACCAATTTTGCTCATTTTCGAGCTACCAATATCGGCGAGTACCGAAACTAACCGCCTTCATGTTACCCTTTTTACTATCATGTCCAATAGTTTGAGGATACGCTAAACCTAATGCTGACTTATTTGGCTAAATGACGGTAAGCTTACTGAGACCACCCTTTTTTTTTAAAAAAATGGCTCAATAAAATCTGATAGTTTCATGCAAAAAAGTTTGTTTGTATCCATACAAAAGTAAAAAAAAAAAATCTTTCCCACACAAAAATGTGGGGATAGTTATTTTTTAAGCACTTCATCCGAGAACATGATTTTGATTGCATACAAGAACACTATGGCAATGAGAGTAGCGTATATACAAAACTAATTATTTTAATTTGCCACTTTAATTGAAGTAACAGATGAAAGGGATGGTTCTGCTGTTCCACTCTGCGCAAAAAAAAAAAAAAAATGTGTTTTGAATGATGCTTACCACGAGTTACGCGTGATAGTGCCTCGAAGTCAACATACATCTCGACTTGCACAACATCATGTATGTCTGACATTTGCTGTCAGAATTGTTTTTTTTAGAAAATCCCTCCTCTGACAACCAACCCTTTCTAAGGCGTGGACAGTTTAACACTTGACATTATCAAAAAGTAACATCGAAGATACTTGCAACTGTCGGTGTACAAGAACATATACTCTTAGAACAATCTAAAGGTTAAAAAAGAATAATTTTATTCCTTAATATTTCTGATCTGTATCCATGTAATTTTATTTTGCATCTTAGAGAATATACTCTAGTATAGCTTGGTTACACAGGGTAAGATGTAGAAGACATACCACTAACGAACCTCAAATCGCAAAGTATGAACTATGTTTTGCCCTATACACAGAAAATATAAATGCTCTAGACCGTTTTATTTTTTCTCAATTTTATTTTTAAAAAAAAAAAAATCTATAATTATAATAAAATATTTTTTTTTCGGCATCAGTTTACCTCCCACTTGCCACGCATTCAAACTTGGAAGAGACAATGTACTACCATCAAAACAAGGTTTGGGTTCCGTTGTATCTTTATTGCGTACTACCCAACTTAGAGCCGAGGAATAGAACTTCTTATTAGAGGTTTATTATTATTATTATTATTATTATTCTTATTATCACCGCTAAGCGGACAGCTTTTAAAACAAAAAAAGGTGGAGGTTGGAATTCAAGACATTTGAGGCGTTATTTTATTACTATCATGTCTAAAAGTTTGAGAAAAACGTTTTTTCAAAACAAATATTGTGTTCGGATTCCAAAAAAAAAAAAAAAAAAAAAAAAGAAAAAAAATTACTCTTTGAGCATATTGTATATGTTTCATAATCATTTGTTCCTGGGATGGATTATTCCGTCCTGTTGGGAGCACAAATTGAAGTTAATTTGTAAGGGAAGGAGGGAAGAAGAAGGAGGCTAAGGGGGAAAGTTTAACTAAAAACCTCAAGAAAAAAAAATAGCGTGACATGTTTAGCTGAAGGCTGGTGGAGGCGGACCTAATGTGAACTAAATCGAAACAAAAAGACAGTTATTACATTTTCCTTTCTTTTTTTTAAAAAAATAATCAAACAGACAAGTTTTGAGTATGCAAAACCCGCCATTACAAAATAAGCTTTAAGTTTGTCCTTTATTATGCAAACAAGAAACCTGGGAAATCAAGGGCTGCTTATGAGGATGCTTTTTTCAAACAAATCCTTATTGATAAAAGCGCAACCCAAGTAGAATGAGTTTATATAAGGCCATTATCCACAGCTGTCATAATAATTCAATTAGCACCAAAGTTCATATTTTATCTAATAAAATAAATTTGTTTTCCTTTTTTCGCATTAAAAAAAAGCTACGATTGGAATTCCTAATCATGTGATTATTGTTTAAAATTCGAAATTCAAACAAGAAATGAAGCTGTAATAATAACGAATGTTTATTAAAAGGAAAGCGGTTTTTAGCACCTTACTTCTTTTAGCTTATACGTATACGCATACATAAAATGATGGTATGAATCTCTTATGTGCCCTGCGATGGTATCTTCTATTGGTCCCGGTCACCCCAATGTAAATCTAGAAAGGTACATAGGATTTGGTGAGATGCATGCATTAGATGGTTTCATCTCGTTTATCAAATGACGCGATCCTGTTTTATTTATCAATAAATAAATAAAACCCTTGTTATTCACTTCTTTTCCCTCTTTCTAACATTTGATCATACTTACAAAATTACTGATGCAATACACAGATATCCAGTACATTACCCTTTGGTTTCATACGGCCCAAACTGAAGTTGATAGTAATTTATCGAGTGGTGTAGAATATGTGCTGCGTTGATTATATAGTTATGCCTCTCGGTACCAAAGTATAATACATAAGAGTTATGTATTTAACATTGCCTCTTAGAAGGGCTGTGTCTAAAGGAGTGGTGTCCTGGTTCTCTTGATGTATCATCATTTACACCTTATGTGTACATACAGCTGAAAGACAAAAATCGAGCAGAAGACTAACTTTTGGAAAAAGGTAGGGATAAGGCTCAAGCTTTAATGAACATTTGTTTCTGGCCAATGACTAATTATCTCAATTTACTTATAATTTCTTTGTCAAATACATGTAGATTAAATAAGCTTCCAAACAGTCCAATATTCAACCACGAGATAAAGAAATTAGAGTTAATGACAGTCTATCTTAAACTAATGAATGCCACATTGTTCAATGATCCTGAACATGATTGTCATTTCAATCGGTATAAAAAAAAAGATGATATTAATTTTTAAGGCCATCTCCAATTTAGTCATGGAAGACATTGGTGAGTCAGGACCCGATGGGGGTATTATAATGGTTGAACAAAACTGATTGTTCAGACTGCTAGGTGTTTGAAATGAAGGCTGATTGTGCTCTTTCTGATCCCGTTAAAACATACGAAGACCTAATCCGTTTAGCCAAGTTTTCTATAGAAATCATCGACAAAAACAACGTGAAAAACATATAGCTGTACATGCAGTTGGTTATAATTGGTAGAAAGAATAGCAATCAAATAACTAACGCATTATATTGATGTACAAAGGCTTTAAATATACAGTGTACGAGTGCGTTGTTGAAAACAAAGGGATTTATCCCATGTCCGATGTAACTTCTTCCACCTATCCGAGAAGTATCACCCGAGTTAATAAGCTCAATATCAGATCTTAATCTTTTGCGAGCTTGCATACAAGGCCACGTAATCCGCCAAATTATTATGAATTACTAAGAATAACTGACTTACAACTCTTTATACGCTGGCGACACGTTGGAGAGGAAAATGCTCCTAGAATATTAAATACACGTGGTGTATTTCTGAAGATGATGGATTCTATCTTAGAGTTTTTGTTTATAAAAAAAATGAATTACAAACAATTAATTTAAAAAATGCGATGCTCGGAGGACAAAAAGAAGTTTGCAGCAGTTCGTGGAAGTAAAAATAATCATTAAACACAGGTGGGACAAGGAACAAGTATTAGTTATCTATCTAAACGACCATAACCTGCCAAAGAGCTTTCTCATATATTCAATTATGATTAATTCTTCCTGTAAATAAATTTCATTTCCTCCGTCGGAGGTTACGTATTAAAATGTTTCCCCATATTTTGACTTTAAAAAAACTCTCTTAAAAAGCATTTTTATTAGTCCCCTCCGCTTCTCTAACACATTATACTTTTTTTCATCGCTATTTTATAAAAGGATTCAGAAAAAACCAGTTGTCATGCACCAGATCAAATACATATACCCTTCTTCTAGACCTATAACAAAAGGATAATGCCATAGCATCCTTAAATAAAAACGTAGGGTCTATAATATACAACCATTAGGATTACTATATGTTATGAAGTAATTCGTCGTAATGTATGTTACCAGTCGTAAAGGCTTTCCAAAATAATTTCTATCAAATACAACTACCGTTTATGAAAAATCAAAAGGATAGACTTTGGTTGCACATCTATATATACAAAAATTGTAGATAAAATAAATAAAGTAACATAAAGTCTTTAATATGATCACTGCTATTTAATTTTTCCAAAGAGATACGACTGTAGCCTTATGTTTGGAATTTGTTTAGAAAAAACCAACAAGTAGGATTGTCATATTGGCCTCGCTGTATTGATCGACTCAGTGGCACAGTACAAAGACTTTAACCGGAAGGCTATAGAAAACCAGCGTTTTGTCTAGTAAATAAGTTAGTTCTGGAAGAGGTGCATAATAGCCATATTTTGATTATCGAGAAGATAAATATTAACCCCTATAATGTTAAACAGGAATAAAGTCTTTATTTTTTTTTTATATTCTACATTCATATGCATTTATATCTAGTCAGCGTGCATAGTCGTACTGTAAAATCGAATACGTTTGGTCCATGAGATGTTATATGCAGTAATTACGGCTTGAAGAATCTTAGTTTCATTGCTAAAATCAACGGCTCCGGAGAAGCGTTGGATCATCAATCCAATTTTTAGATGGAGGCTATTTTTACCCCCCCCCCCCCTTTCATCAGATACATAAAACTCTTATTATATATTGGCTGTTTCGACATTCGTAAGACAAGTCTTGATTTTCACAATTAATGTAAGGTGATCTTACATATCTATGACTGCAAAGCTATACACACATCAAAAAAGTTGTTAAAATCATATGTTTTATATACCTGAAGAATCATTTTAGTCAGATTTTCGGTAGAGCTTCAAAGTATTTAGTCTTCTATTTTTTCCCTTTTCATTCAAATTACTATATGATCGAGATAATATGATCAGGGACAAACAACATGTGGCCAGAAATAAAATACCAGCAATAAGACCAGGTAATTTAATTATATGCCCAGATGAAAAGACGTTAGTGGGCTGAACGGATTATTACGGGAGAATCTATAAAATTACAGGGCAGGTGTAAAGAGTAATAAAAGTCAGTAATCACTTTTTTTAGTCTAATTATTTACCCTTATAATAAAGTTTATACTTAAGTATCTGGACCCCATTTTGTAGCCTTTTTTTTTCTGAACTCAAAAAAGTCATCTTTATCACAAGTTTGCAACTAATTCAAACTATGCGTGATGAAGTAACAAAAACTATGATATCTAAAGCATGTTATTGATAACTGGTTAATTGAATACACGAGAATACATTTTACTTCAGGATATATCGAATAGGAAGCTTAATCTGCGTTGTCTAACTCTATTTAATCACACAAAATTTTTCTTTATTTGGGGACAATCTATAAAGATAGCTTTGATCAACGCCATTTCAATTGCTGTAGTCGTACAAGAAGTTTGTTAAACAATTCTACCATACATCAAAAGTGAAACCAAGGTCATTCAAATAATACCCCATTGTACAGTGCACAATACATCTATTTGTTAAAGGCAAAGAGATTTGTACCAAATCTTTGAAGTTGTTTCTTTCCGTACTACGTCGCGTCAAACAGAAGTAAGCTGTCTATCAATTCAAAATGGGATTAGTCCGGATTTACTGTTGTGTGACTAAAATAGCTGCCTTAGAAGAAAGCCCTTTTTGTGCAAGAAGCTCAATATAGAGAACAAGGAACGAGAAATGGGTGATTGTAGGTGATTCATGTTACTTACTGTAACATTTGGGTAACGGTGATTTTAGACACCACGGTCGGGGTTTCCAGTGTTTGCACACTTTGCTGCGTCAAACCCGCTATACCTTCTTAAATTCATTTAATACATACTGAAATGTCGATGTATATTAATTGTTCCCGGCCGTATATACATTCCTTTTTTTCAATATACCAGGAATTAACATCGTTCTACTTTATGAATCTATTCATCAAATAAAAACAGTTTGTGCAATGTGTAAGAAAAAACAGTATGCTTACAATTGGATTACATCCAACCCTTGATGCCAAATACCCTTTAAAGGACTTTTTTTTTTTTTACTAATTCACACATGCCATGCAATTTAAAATCATTGTTCATTGCCATCGGCAAATCGTTATTACTCGAGTCATATAACACATTCCAATACATATTGGGGTATGCGTAGTAATAATGTGATGATGGTTGATCTTCACAAAAAGATTTATAAAAAGCACAAGAAGTTCCTTTTTCATATTGCTAAATAAATTTATAAAACAAAATTGCGCAGGGTAACTTTAGAGGATGACAGAAATAATATCACATCAACCCTTTTATTCTCTGCCTTTACTCATGAAAGGGATATAAAGATATTTTGTGTTACAGTGTTACAGGAACGATTTCAGACTATGAAAAAAAAAGTTACTGTTGTAGGAATTTTCCATCATCTGATTGAGTTGGAATGCAAAAGTGTACAAAAGATACTTGATTAAGTCTAAAACCGAAGTGTACTAAAGAAAAGAATGTAACTGTAACGGTTGGGTTATCATGATGAAAATCTATTTATATGGAATTATAGTACCTATACTAATAAACTTACTTTTGATTGTGGGACAGCTGCATTATCTAATTGGCGAGGCGTTCCAAATTTTACCAAAGGTGTATATTTTTATTCTCTAATAAGTATATAAGGACACAGCTCATAATCCATACAGCTTTTTTTAATAAAAAAAAACTACTTTCTTTGTCACTCTAATAAAATCCCAATGAACAGCACTATGCATCTTTTAAAAGTGATCGAAGAAGAAAATGAATCGATCAAAATCCAAGATATTCATTCATCATTGGGAAACCAACAATATAAATATTACAATGAAGAAGAGGAAGAATCTGATCGAGATACAATTAGTGATGATGACGAAGAACCGATTTGTGGATGTGGTAAAGCTCTATCGTCTGGTTGGAATTGTACACAATGCAGACAAAATTGCACAACGTGTCAGCGTGCTCTTGCTCATGAAGAAATATGCAGTCGATGCCACGTGGAACGTAACACAGGTCCCACAATAAAGGAAACTGCAATCTAGATTTTTCTTTTTTTATCCCCACATTGCCCAATCAATCTTTTAAGCTTGAATTTGTACTATATTTAATAAAATTATTTATTTCTTTGTTGATCAAAGCAAAAAAAAAAAAAAGCAAAATTGTATTTTTATTTCTGTAAATACTTAAAATCAACGAATGCGTTCATTATAGTCTGGCTTATAAATAAGTTGCATAGATGTACAGTAGATTATATGCATGCTCTGTTAGAAATGTTTACGAACTGTTAATTAATAAGAGTTACAATCGATTTGGATCCGTTTGGGTTACATTTTACGATGATCGCTTCTGATCCAGAGAAGAAAACTTAATTAATGGGTTAATTTCACATGTTTTACATTCTTTACAAGATGAAGTAAGGGACATACAGACTAAATATGCATGCATTGGTATGAGTTCACCCGGAAGAAAGAAAAAGGTGATCGAGTGCATTGTTTCATTTAAACAATTGGTTCATTTATGATGCTGTTATATTTTTAAGTCACACTGCATGAAGGGAACTGTACCTTAGCATCTAATATGGGAATTCCGGGACAGTTGTCTTGTATTTATAATCAATTATAACTCAAGATGTGTCCCGCGCGGTGGTGATTTATTTTTCGCCGCTTTGTCCGCCTCTTTTTTTTATTTTTATTATTATTTTTGCCAAGAAAATGTAAATCAATTAACAATACTTACAATATGAGAAACACATGCCTTAAACAACTTTTTTTTTCTCGATGTGGAATCATAAGAAAGGATTTTTTAATTTGAAAATTACAAACTCAAATTCTGCAAGATGTAGTACTCATGTTACACACAGCATATTTATCCTTATGAAATTATATGGTTTAGCCTTTTGCCGTAAAGCATACTTCGGCCTATAGCGAGTATCATGTTTAGATTACTTATTTTTCAGGCCTCCGATTTCAAGAATCAAATTGAGCTACAGGAATATATATGTTCAATTGGAATTTCAGTCAACCAAAATAAAATTGTCAATTGATCCATTCACTCCATCAAATCGCTGATCAATGTATCCTAAAACTTCTTTCATTAGTTAGAATTAAACTATGCGGAATTCCATGGTATGAGGCTATAATTATCCTATTTATGCACAGACGGGCTGAAGAAACCTGTTCATTAATCTAACCTCCACGATGAATGTATGCAGTTATTACATAACTGCTCTTGAGTTATTAAGGCCAAGATCTTGTTTGAGTGCGTCAAAATTTCTTTCTCCGTCATCAATTTTAAAAAATTAATATGCAATGTCCATAGTCTACCCCGAACAATATCAGTGTCTCCGAATTATCGACAGACCTTAACAAATCCGCGCACGTAAGGATTAATCTTTATGCAGACTGGACACAAAATGGTGGGTTTCAATTTGCCTAAAAAGGGCTTGTATTCCCAATGTATTGTCCTTCTTAACCCAGTACCTGTCAAGGTTTACCTAATACGTTTTGCTAATATTTATACCAATATTCCGGTGTCAACAGCGGGTGTTTATTTAGGAAAGGAGATAGAAAGTAATATCTGCGCTACAGCAATTTGAGTAATTTAGGCTGAAATTGTAACCTCCTTGTAACTGCCTGTCAAATAATTACAAACCTCATCATGTGAATTTAATTTTTTGCTGCACTGTGTAAGACCAAATGGTATGACTTTATTGTTGTGAGCATAGAACTGTTGTGAGCATAGAACTGTTGTGATTATAGGATCAGCGTATTATCGGACAGAGCTCCGCTCAACTTGCGTTGACATGTATATACAAGAATGGTGATTGTAAAACGATATATATATATATATATAATGTGCTTAACAGGGAAGCAAATAAAAAAAAAAAGAAGCATCGATACAGTCATGATTGAGTTCTTTGAAATTTCCTTAAAGGTTATTTTTCAACTGCTAGCTGTTACGCCTTGCAGCAAACAATAAATTTCTCACATCGCTTTTTCACGCATTAGCGTAAATTTTGCAATACAGCCATACTGGTAACCGCGTGTTGAAGGAGTACAGAGCACAGAGCACTAAGCTGCCTACATTGTAATCATATTTATTCTACAAACAATACAAGAGGAAACCGAGGCATTGATTTAATTTGGCAGGATTAGCATATATCCCAGGACTTAGAAAAGTGTTACCTAAGAAGGTTGATGTTTCAGCTTTATGCAGTGATTTAACTGTTTTTTTTCTAATTTAGATTTTTTTCTTATTATACCAAGTTGTTCAAAATACATGATGTTTTCTTTTATAATTACGTGTGAACTATTAGGTGATGCAGGTGCAGTTCATTATCTCATGCAGATAGTTTGAGACAGAGATCAAGATGGCTCAGTATAGACAATCATACTAAAAAAAGCAATTACGATTCCAGCTTAAAAAGACACAGAGCTTTAAATGACGGCAACTTCGGCCATATGTCATGTTTTGTGTCACATTCACATTCACAAAACAAATAGCGCATTTGTTTTAATAAATAATGGCTGTGTATAGAACACATAATTTTTTTTTACATGGGGTTTTGCATATCTATAATTATTCGCACGCTAAAGCCAGAGCTTTATCATTTACTTGTGTCATACAGGATAAAAATAGTCTTCATTCCGTAACAAACGATAAAATAAGGCAATTTTTGACATTTTATGATTAAAATAAACAAAAAATCGAAAAGAAACAACCCTCGGGATAATAACTATACCATATTATGCCGGCTATATTTGCTACTGAAGGATGGACATATCAAAAATCACCAGCACCATGAAAAAAATAGATTGGGTGAATGTGTAACAAAACTTTAGTCTATATGTAGAATGATGTCAAGCTTAATATATAATATGTGTTAATGCCATTCCTGGCTGATGTTGAGGAAAAAATATACGGTTACTAACGATAGTGTATAAAAGTTCGATTTAAAGTTGATATACTAGATCCTTATGAAGGACCCAAAAACAGTGATAAATAGCGTGAGCCGTGGTAGCAGAGGAAATTTATTTTCCTCCACCTTAAAAATAGCTCATTACAATTAATAGACTAGAGATTATTTTTTATACAAAAAGTATTTATTAAACAAATAAGTAAAAAAATTAGCAAAGGATATAATGCTTGATCAAAGGGCTAAAGTGGGAAAATATAATACAAAGTGGATTTAGCAATTTGTCAAACATAAAAATCATAGAGCTTGTTTTTTTCTTTTTTTTTTTTTTTTTTTAGAGGAAGGGAAAAGAATATGGAAGGATGTACATGCAGAAAATAGGAAAAAACGAAAAAGGTGAGTTGACTTAATCAACCTCTTCAACGGTAGGTCCACTATCGCCACCAGGAGCAGCACCGCCAGGAGCACCACCAGGGAATCCACCAGGAGCACCACCTGGGGCACCACCTTCACCTTGATACAACTTCATCATAATAGGATTAGCAACTTCTTCCAATTCCTTTTGACGAGATTCATATTCTTCCTTTGAAGCCTCGTGAGAGTTATCGAGCCATTCAATAGCTTCCTTAACGGCAGCGTCCAACTTCTCCTTATCGGCAGCTTCAAGTTTAGTAGAGACCTTTTCCTCTTGAAGTGTGTTACGGAGATTATAAGCGTAAGATTCGAGACCATTCTTAGCTTGGATACGAGCGGCAGCAGCCTCATCTTCAGCCTTGTATTTTTCAGCATCATTGACCATACGTTCAATATCTTCCTTAGTAAGACGACCCTTATCGTTGGTGATGGTGATCTTGTTGGATTTACCGGTAGTCTTATCGAGAGCAGAGACATTTAAAATACCATTTGCATCAACATCGAAAGTAACCTCGACTTGAGGGACACCACGGGGTGCAGGAGGAATACCAGTCAATTCAAACTTACCAAGAATGTTGTTATCCTTAGTACGGGCACGTTCACCTTCAAATACTTGAATAAGAACACCAGGTTGGTTATCAGCATAAGTAGAGAAAATTTCAGACTTCTTGGTTGGAACAGTTGTGTTACGTTTAATAAGAGGAGTCATTACACCACCAGCGGTTTCAATACCGAGGGAGAGAGGAGCAACATCCAAAAGAAGGAGGGAATCGGTCTTTTCGGAGGTGTTACCAGTCAAAATAGCGGCTTGTACAGCAGCACCATACGCGACAGCCTCATCAGGATTGATAGTCTTGTTAAGTTCCTTACCGTTGAAGAAGTCAGAGACTAACTTTTGGACCTTGGGGATACGAGTAGAACCACCAACAAGGACAATATCATGGACGGAACCCTTGTCAATCTTGGAGTCACGAAGAACCTTTTCGACAGGTTCCATAGTCTTACGGAAGAGATCTTGATTCAATTCTTCGAAACGAGCACGAGTCAAGGATGTATAGAAGTCAACACCCTCAAAGAGAGAATCGATTTCAATAGTGGTTTGAGCGGCAGAAGACAGAGTACGCTTTGCACGTTCACATGCGGTACGAAGACGACGGATAGCACGGGCATTACCAGCAATATCCTTCTTGAACTTACGCTTGAATTCTTGCATAAAGTGATCAACAAGACGGTTATCAAAATCTTCACCACCCAAATGAGTATCACCAGCGGTGGCCTTTACTTCAAAGATACCATCTTCGATAGTTAAGAGAGAAACATCGAAGGTTCCACCACCCAAATCGAAAATCAAAACGTTGGTCTCAGCCTTAGATTGCTTATCCAAACCATAGGCAATGGCAGCAGCGGTAGGTTCATTAATAATACGAAGAACATTCATTCCAGAAATGGCACCAGCATCCTTGGTGGCTTGACGTTGAGAGTCATTGAAGTAAGCGGGAACGGTAATGACAGCAGAGTCAACAGTACCACCCAAGTAAGCTTCAGAAGTCTCCTTCATTTTGACAAGGATCATAGAAGAAATTTCCTCAGGTGTGAAGGTCTTGGTCTCACCCTTGAAATCAACTTGAATAGCAGGCTTTCCTTCCTTATCAATAACCTTGAAAGGCCAGTGTAACATATCGGCTTGAATTTCACTATCACCAAAACGACGACCGATCATACGTTTAGCGTCAAAAACGGTGTTATGAGGATTCATCTAAAATTACATAGACGTGTTAATTTTACTTGTGATATTAATAACACGTAATGTTTCCGTTTACTTACAGCAACTTGGTTTTTAGCAGCATCACCAATGAGACGTTCTGTGTCGGTGAATGCGACATAAGAGGGTGTGGTACGGTTACCTTGATCGTTGGCAATAATTTCAACACGATCGTTTTGCCATACACCAACACAAGAGTAAGTAGTACCCAAATCAATACCAACGGCAGCAGCTTTAGACATTTTTAACTAAAAGAATTTTTTTTGTAAAAAATAATATAAAAGATAAACGGAAAATGACGCCCAACCCTCTTTTTATAAAAAACTTGAAACCCCACTCAAATGAACGCATGAAATTCTAGAGAATTCCAAGCCTCTTGATTGGCTATTTTTATTACCCGACATCATTACTCATGGGTTTTATACCATCAAAGTTTCCCAAAAACGACAGATAGTTCATGTAAAAAAAAATCGCGTTTCCACAACATTCCATCTGATTTGTTTGCGATGTTAACAAGTGCAGAGTGACGTCGATGTTTCCATTTTTAGAACCCATTTGAAATTTAATGCAAAACACAAACAATCCCTGTTATATCATATTTTTTTCTCATATTAATGGACAACACACAAGGGAATATCTACGGTAAAAGACATATCTTTCGCCCATGAGAGGCGGTTTACTGATATTTATTCATTTATTGAACAGATCAAGATGATTCCCAGTCTTCATCAGAGAGTTCATTACAAGGTTGGATTAGTTGGTTTTGTTCCTTGTCGGGCAATGAGTTTTATATCGAAGTTCCTGAGGAATTCATAGACGATGAATTTAACCTAACCGGACTATCAGCACTTGTTCCATATTATACACAAGCATTAGAAACTATTCTAGATATGGAAAATGGCGAATTTTATGACGAAGAAGAAGGGGAGGAAGACGAAGAAGAAGAGGAGGAGGAATTCTACCCGAGCAATTATCACAATGATGATTTTTGGAAAGAAGTAGATAAAGTACCTAAACGTTTGCAGACATCAGATCCTGGAATTATTGAACCTTATGCGTTTATGTTGTACGGTTTGATTCATCAAAGATATCTACTAACTAGAGACGGATTAAGGTTAATGGCAGAAAGATATGCTCATAGTGAATTTGGTACATGCCCACGATATTATTGTGATGAGTCGCCAGTATTACCAATGGGTTTATTCGATGAAACAGGCCGGGAAAGTGTACATTTATATTGTCCGCAATGTCGTGACATATATAATCCGCCTAGCTCAATTCATCAACGTATCGATGGTATGTCTTTATCGCAGGGATAATAACGGCCAATAACATTGTTTAATAATAGGTGCACATTTCGGCTCAACATATTCCAACTTGCTATTCCTCACTTACCCTGAATTGACACCCACTAATGTGAAGTCTCGGATCTATCAACCAAGTATATATGGTTTCAGAATAAGCCCTTTTTCACGATCTGGTCCTCAAAACCAATGGCTGAGATTAAGACCCCAGCAAGAAGAACAGGTAAAACAAAAACAAGATGACTAACATGTATGAATATTAATCAAAATAAAAATAAAAAAGGATGCGTTAGTATGCCAGACAAATAATATGCATATTTACAGTAAAAAAAGTTGATACATTTGTGACAGAAATCATTACCATGCGGAATAAATGTGCATTAGTATATGTTCATATCTTTGCTTTAAATGAGTATGCTATCGATCAAAAATGTCTTGTTTTTATTTATTTTGTTGAGGATGATATCATCGATTATTGTAACAAAATTATTGCAGTACCACATCAGGATGGATAATCAAATGAAATATTTATGACTCACGGACTAACACGCTTGTTTTCTTCAAAATTAGTAAAGGTTGCTCAGATTGTGGACGAGCGGAAAGAATCATAATGCATAAGTATACAATCCCATAGGCTAAAATTATAGGTAAATTCTACGTATGAATTTTTCTTGTCACTTGATATAGTTCATATAACGTTATTCCATCTGACTGATATCTATATACTTTGTAAGGAAGAAATAACTTCACGACTTGTTTGTTAAACGGAGATTGCGTCTAATGAGGAAAAGATATGGTATATCAGCAAAGCCAAGAACTTCTGCAATATAAAATCCTGGAGCTGCGAGTTTGGTAAGCTCAAATTCTCATTTTATACTGTTGGGTTGGAAGCTGGGAGTTATCTATCGTCTTGCAAACTTTGCTTGCATAAACGTTTGCTCTGTCATATCATCAAGGATCACTTTTAATTTGCGCCCAACCTTTCAATATTCCGAGGTGAATTTACGAGGTCAAAACTTATCAATTGCAAGTTCGCGATTGGATACGGCATGATAGATATTCTTGACTACTCTTTATGCAAGCAAATCAATACGATTGCCCAATGTTCTTTTTTCTTCTGCTAAATTGGACATTATTCTTAGCATCTTTTGACAACTTCGAATGCGTTATATTGTCTTTTGCAAGCATGGGTGTTTTTTTTCTTTATTTAAACATCCAACACTTTCTGTCACTCCACTTGAAAAAATACCATCCATATCGTCGATAATATCTCTTGGTGTTGTTGGTATTAGTGACTTTGATCCTGTACTATACCTCCCTAATGGCGCTGCTGGGTTTCCTAAAACTATGTGCTTTTCATTTAGACATGTTATTAAGTTGTAATATATTCCGAAGAAACCATAAATTGTACAATTCTTGACCACTTATAGACAGTTACTTACGCAAAAGTCACTGGTGTTTGACCTTTTTTAAGCTGTAATGTTTGCGTTTTAAAAAAACTTTTCATTTATGGCGCCTTTTGTCAATGCTCTTGCGATCGGATGACCTAGGTTCTAGCAATTTTAAGATTATAGTAGAAGTTTTGTAACCTACATTGATTCCAGAGAGGACACCCATTGTATAGCATAAACTAGCCTCAGTCGTAATATCACAAGTGGAGAATGAGAAGATATTTTTCATTAATATCTTAACACTTCTTAAGAGAAGCTAGAGTCATTTTTAAGTAACCTTTTTACCATATCTACTTCATATTTTTGTTCATAAAGATGGTGAAATACATAATATGTATACAAAAAAAAAAAGAGAGGGGGGGGGAGAGAAGTGTGTAGACGAGTTTTATTTATAATGTTAAACAAGAACTCCTTTATGTCAAGACGATACAATCGACTATTTAATCAGTCACATAACACTTTTACAAAGAATATAAATATTTGAATATAATCACTTACAAAAATAGTTTTTAATGGCTTAATTCTTAATTAGATCGACAGAGAACTTTTTGATAGCAACGTATGGTATTTTTGGTATAGGAGTAGTCGCCTCAAAAGCTTATAACCAATTATCACTTTTATTTTAAAGAAAACAAGAGAATTGGTTGGCTTTGACAGGCCAAAGTAAGCAATCCTATGTTGGGACTACACTCTCTCTATACTATTGAGCACAGCAATACATCTCACTGCTTCGATCCAAAATAGTAGGTAAACCTAGCGAAGAGGGTTTATATCTAACCAACCGAGGTATAGCACTAATGATGGGACCTCAGAGATAGCGAACTAAAAAATACCCAAGTGGACCTTGTCTTAGCTCTCTTTCCAATAGGAAGGTTTGGTAATAAAAGAAAGGCGTTTTTTTACCTTTATTTATATAATATGCAACTAAAGATATTATTATGGCGTAAAGTATTTCTTCTTTATCAATCTGGTTTTTTTTTTAACTTGACCTGGATAAGTTTGTTTTAATTCACGTCTAGAAGGAAAAATAGTTCTTGTCACAGTCGCGGTAGGTGGGGGAGGGGATTACAACAAGAGAGTCAAATAACAATTCCTGCCTATTTGAACTGGGTAACTTACCAAAAAAGTAAACATGCCCATAACTTTGCGTGGCACTACCCTGTCTAATGCTGATCCTCGACAAAAAATAATGCATCACAAATATGTGTATTATTTTCAGAAACTCAACTTATCCTACACAAAAAAGAAGCAATAGGTGTAAAGGCGAATGATCTTTTCGGTGTATTGGTCCGAAATTTCAGAATTATGTCTCGAGATACATTGTTTGCATATATTATATAAACTGTCAGAAGGGTTAGCCCAGGTCTGTAATTAATACTGGCCTTAGAAAATATAGCACTATATTTATAGAATTCACACCAATACTTTTTGGCTGTGAACCATTGACGATGCCATTAGCTGTTTAATTCCCGAAAGCGAGTACGGCCTTTATGTTTTTAAATGTGAAGGTTTGACCTTTAGGTTAAACCAATAAAGTAAAAAGATTTAGTAAATTATGGTAAAACAATTTGTATAACCTACATTCCCAGTTTTTCTGCAAAGTAGTAAGTAATGATAGCTAGTTGTAGTCATTATTCTTTATATGTATATGGTGGTTGGTAACAACAACATTAAACAGTAATGTATATTATGTAACGATATGTGCAACTTGTTAATAGTGATTACCTACTATATTAAAGTCTCAGACCATCAAATCGGTTTCATAAGATCTTTGTCTCAAACTCAATGGCTAATATCAAGACCCTAGTAGCAGCAGGAAAACAAAAAATATGGCTGAAATAACTTAGAGAGAGATAAACAGATATAAAGTAATATGGGCAAACAGATAGTGTGCATATTTGTAATAAGAAAAGTCTGATTTTTATAAACAAAAATTCCTTGGTTTTATATTTTCTCCCGTCCCTCTTGCCTAAATTGGGTCAATAATAAATTTTCAACTTTTTTCATTTTTTTTTCTTTTTCCTTTTTTTTTTTCTCTTTTACTTTGCCATTGAAGCAATGAGCAGTATAAACACAACACTGACAGCAGCAGAAAATGAACAAACGATAACCGAAAGCAGTCAGCAGCTATCGTCAGTTTTAATTGGTATAATAGTACTATCGGTGATTGCAGGAATAGGATTGTTGTGTTTATCTTTTTTACTTGTCCGACGAACAGGTAGTAATGATACTACATCAGGACAAAAGAACGATGTTCCAATAACATCTTCACTTGATACCCATGATATATTCTTTACGATTTTAGAATATCCACCCACAAAACCACCTACCTGTCTCGTATCAGACATATCTTCTTCCAATAACTGTTCGTTTATCTATGAAGAAAGAAATGACCCAATTTCTGCATCTCTTGCTAGACAAAGTATAGAAGAAAGGTCCGGATATTATAAAAGTCCAACCAGAACACCTGTACCATATTATCATTATCAGAAACAATCTTCTGTAAATTCTTCAAAAACAAATCATTTAATAATGATTGATGATTTGGATGAAGATGAAAAGGCTATGCAAAGATGGTCTGCTTCTTCTTATCATGTATGGTAAGCACTTTCGGCCGGTATATATCCATTTTGTAACTACACATACCCCTTGTCCTTCTTTGTACATATATACATATTCTCTTTTTTGTACATTTACACTCAATCACCGACCCCTTATATCTCCCATAAACACAGATCCACACACAAGCACACACACACACAAGCACACACACAAACACGCAAAAAAAAAACATATACACCCCTTCTTCTTTGTATATCATTACTCTTTCATTCATTAAATAAATTAAATGAATTTATATACAACATCAAAAAAGAAAAAAGTCCAAACTCAAATTTAGAAAGGAGAAAAAAGAGTCATGGGATGTCTACTTGACTACGCACGAGCCCATCATTATCTAAATATATTTTATTTTTTTTATGTACATAACAACCCCAAAATTAGCAGGCACTATCAGTACCACTGCGCTTTACAAGTTTATCGATCATCGAATCTAAATGGTGCCCGTGACTATATCTACAATATCCCATGGAAACACTCCACTGCCATAATAATTGCCTTCTTTTTCTCTGCTGCGAGTGACTCATTGTTTCTTTTTTGGAGTGACGTAAATACTGCTGTTTAATGTATCTTTCTTCACCATTCACTACCAACGTTACATTTGAATCAAAGGGGGGTTTATCATCGCTATAACAGTGCGAGGGTTTTTGTATCCTATGTCTGGAATCCAAATAAGCTGCTCTATCCATAAAAAACCGTTCTAGCTTTTGTCGATTTATTCGCATCTTCTTGGCCTTTTGTTTGCGGTATCTCCAGCGTATATATCGATAAAGAAGAATACTGACATAAAATGAACCAAGCGATATTAGTATTAATGGAATGATTTCGTTGTATAACTTTGACTTGTAGCTATCTGTTACTGCTTCTTTTTCTGTTGTATGATCTGACATAATGATTCAACAAGTCTGAAAAAAAATAACGCTTGGGGAAGAAGAGTCGACCCTTTTTTATACTCGTCAGGTTTAATTATGTAACTTTGCATAAATTTTTTTTTTTGTGGCCGAAAATCACGACTTACGACTTCATATGATGAAGTACTACATATTTTCTAAAACGGCAACATACACGGCCCATATAAAACTAAAAAGAGAAGAGTGAAATGTTTATTGTTGGTATAATCTGAATGTATAAAGAAGTAAACATATTTTTTTACAAAAGAAAAAAAAAAAAATGGTAAATGTACAGAAATAATTAAAAAATAATGACAGTGTTTTTTTGTAGGTGGAGTTGTGATTTTTTTTTTGTTTTTTTTAACGTATATACACTTTCTTTCTTTCTTTCCAAATATGCATTGTATGTAATCTAAATTTGGTTAATGGATCTATATAACATAAGTTTAGTATCATGTAAACCTAATTTTTTTCTTCTTCTTTTTTTTACCTAGACACGCTTTCAAATAAGCGTTCAATATCCGTAGCGCATCTTGTGAACGAATGATTCCAGAAACTATATCTTGGGTTTTTGATCAATTCAATAAAGGTAATCAAAAGTCCCCAAGGATGAGGTCTATTCACAATAAGACGCTCCAAAAGGACACGAGTAATTTGTTCCTTGACAATTTCTTTGGTGCTTTCCGCAAACAAGTACAAAATGACACAGCTGAAATAGTGCGTATGACTATTGGGGTATCGGAGTTGATTAGCAATGGCACTAACAAACAAGTATCTGCCTTCCGAATCAAGCTCATTTAACAGATATTGAAAGATTTCGACAGGTGATCCTTGGTTTACTGGGATGCCCTCATTGACTCCAATAGCGCCAATATAGAACACCAACGCATTCATCAATGGCACATTGTATTTCGACATATCTCCCTCTCCCGTAAATAATAATCGTCCAGGTAACTTGCTCAAGAAATGATCATTGGGTGATTCCAAATATTCGTCAATGTCTTGTTTCAAATTGCTGGTTTTCAAAACCGAGGTATAGTCTGATAAAATGTTGGGCGATTGATTGATTTCAGGAAGCAGATCTACCTTGAGATTGGGTGTGAAAGGATCTGGAAGACGCATATTACGAGGGAATGCACTCAAGATGAGGTTACGGAGTTGGATACAGGATGATGGGATAACATCACATAAGCTGTAATGATAATCGCAAAGGAATTCAGGGAAATCATGGAGTAACACTAATAATACTCTTAAAGTTCCTCGATAAAGCATACGTGTAGTTTCCTTTAACTGCGCGTTACGTAAGAAAGGTCCAAGGAATTTGAATAAGCAGATGAGTAATCTTTGGAAAGTGGGCCAGCCCTATATATATATAAAAATAAAAGAGTTAATTCTTTCCCTACTTTGCTTATAGAATCCTGTTTACCATTTGATTTTCTGCAAGTAATAATTTAGGCATGAATAAACGATGAGAAATCAACTGAAGCCAAGCAAAAGTGAACCCAGGGAATTGGGATGGCTGCAGTGTATTGAAAGTATTGCTCATGGTTGTCAAGATGGGAATATAGATAGTTTGGATTTGTTGTTCGGCCGCGTGAAGATCACTGAATAGGCTGGTGAACAATCTCAAAAATGGGCGTTGATTAAATTGTTGTTGACGTTGTTCATGATGCTGGGCTGCAACAAGCACAATAATTGAAAGCACCTTGTTGAAAAGTTTGACACGTCCATTGTCTTGTGCATCCGCTGCAGGTGTACCAACAGGTGTAGATGGTTGCTGCAATTTCAACAAACTAATGATCAATTTGGAAAATGCGTCAATAGGTTGATATGCGAGTCCAGGTGATTGCCCAGGCAATTGCTTGTATTTGATGGCATGTTCAATGGAAGTTTCAATACAGACTCGATAAAATAAGGAAGACACGTCTTCCATTTTAAAAATACCCTGTTGTGATAATTGGGCAACAAAGGCATTCAATACCTTATCAGAGGATGTAGGGTGTTGATAAATTCTAACCCATTCAGTAAACAAAATACGAAGATGTTCACGAAGACCAAGATCTTCTTCTTGCCCATCCTGTTGATGCTGTTGAATATGTTGGGAGATCAAGGGAGTGGGACCACCAGACAAGTTGGAATTAGACGATGAAATAGTCGCTCTTCTGCGCATCTCGTCCATCAATACCAAAACGCTATCAGGTACGTTACCTCGAAGTCTACTAAGCGCTTCAAGAGATGCCATGAATTCTTGACGGGTAGCCAAAGGAACGTCATCAAACAAACAAGAGCGAATCAAACGGGCTGTAAAATCAATAGCGCTGACACGACCGTTATCAATCAAATTGGCCAATTCTTGATCTTGTTCGGGGAGCTTGATCAAATTAGCCTTGATTAAAGCAACAGTTACCGGAACGTTGTATTTGCGTTCATCATCAGCGTGGGTCAACCATGATGTAACAAGAGTACCCACATTTTGAGATACATCACAAAGCTTCTCTAAAAGAATCACATACATTTCACGGCCCAATTGTGTCTCACTCTTGTAAAGTAACTGAACAACCTTTTGCGCAAAAGTTCTTGCTGCCTCAGATTTATCAAAACTAGATGCTGCCAACAAGGGAATTTGTCTTACAATACTAACGATATCATGGTTCATGGGTAAGGAGTTGAAATTAGGAACATTCGTCATGCTAACTAATTTTTCTAAATCGTTAATGTATTGGGCAAATCTTTCTAAAATCTGACGAGCGCTTGCTTGTTGTTGTTGCTGTTGTTGTTGTTGCTGCTGTTGCTGCTGTTGTTGTTGACTAACGCCATCAAATGAAGGCGTAAGGTTATTGCTGCTATAATTGCTATGTAACTCTGGACGGCCATTTGTACGTAAAATACGTTGTTGTTGATCCATCATAGGTTGTTGATCCATCATCTGTCCTGCAGATGCAGCAACGACAGCGGCGGCAGATCTTGGTATACGAGTAAAGTCTTCATAGACACGAAGTTGACTAACACCAAGTCCATTTGGTTTGGGACGTAAAGGTTCAGGTAACGTAGATGGGTATCTAGACATCGAAAAGATGTCCATATCAAAGTAAGGTTGCCCATTACCACCGCCACGTTGTTGCTGTTGTTCCCTATGCTTCTTACGACTAGCATATGCATTCATCAAAGACTCGTCCACCTCCATCGTTACCTTTTCCATGGCTGTCTTTTCAATCACGGCGCAAACCAAATCAAGATTGTCAGCCACTGTCAACATGGCAGCTTGCTCGGCAATCACTTCACTAAGACCATTGGCAATGAAGAGTGAACGCATGTGGTTAACCATACTGGTACGAAGAGGATCCTTACATGTCACCATGGCTAAACTACCAGCTAAGCTTTGGGCCATTAAATGGGCTGCTTTTCTCATCTTATTTTCATCGGATTCCATAGAAAAGTCCTTGGTGACCAACTCCCGTGTAGAGACAGAAGCAATAGCAACGGATCTTTCGACAACAGGACCGATAATCTCACGGATCGATTGGGTGACGGCTTGAAGTACCCAGCGTTTGGAGCTAGGCTGTGTGGAATACATGACAATTTGAGGATTGAAAGTTAAATAAGGGCCAAGATTAGGAATATTGATGGGTTCTTCATCATCGATATTGGGGTTGGAAGATTGAGGGATCAAATTGGTGATGGGAGGACGGCTATTGGTATTGGCAAAGGGAGAAGCGGTAGTTTCTGCAGTGCGAGCCACAATAGCGGTTGTATTGACAGAGGGAGGAGGTGGAGGAGGGGCAATCGTAAGGCGATTTTTGGGTTGACGGTTCTTTAATACGGTGGTAGGTTGGATCGAATTTAATTCGACGGATAAACTCTTACAAAGCACCTCAATTTCAAACTTGAGATTCAATTTAAGATCGGCGTGCTGATATAGTTCCACAAGTAATTTCAAAATGGCCATAACCCAGGGATTGGGAGGAACAAAAACCGAGTTTTTGGTACCTTGTTCTAACACCTTACAAACAAACGGAATAATGACAATAAGGCGGTTGGTGTCATAACCTTCCAGTAAAAGTTCCTTGAATGAAATGTATTTCTGTTTGATGGGCTTATTTTGAGCCAAAGTCATACCACCAAGCCAAGCACCTAGGTTCTTTAACAAAGTACGTTCTGTGGAAGAAGAAACCGTGTTTTCAGAATTGAGCAAAATTTTGATATTGGCAAATGTCTCACGAAGAACATGCTGATACAATAATTCACTATTGAATGAACGGAGCAACAACAAATAAAGATCGTGATAATTGGGTTCGATACTTGCACGCTTTACCACCAAATAATTACTAAACCATTGATAGGCCGATTTCTTTAAGTTATCCTTCAAATCGTTGGATTTGATCTCCAAATTGTTCAGTGCTACATTGTTGATGATGAATAAGATCTTATCTTGTGTGGCTTCGTTTGGTGCCTCATACGTGATATTTTCATCGGAGATCATTTCGGGAATACGAATGGCAGTAAATATAATGGCAGTGGCAGCGGCGGCGGCGGCAGCAGCCGCAGCAGCAGCGGAAGAAGCGGAAACCAAAGCGACTTCCTTTGAAGAGGCAGACGCAGATGGATCAATTAGTAACGGGTTTGAAAGATCGGGCACTAATCCTTCATCTTGTTGCAGCTGTTGCTGATGTTGTTGCTGATGTTGTTGGATTCTACCCATTTGCATGGATGATTTAATCAAATGGATCAAGTCAGGGTTAGCTTGTTGAAGGGTAGGGATCTGCAGGAGATGGGCACAGTACTGAGGCCATTCAGACAGACGGGATTGAAACTGAGCAAGGGCTTGGAGGCCAAAGTTATACATTTTTGATCCCGGTGCATTTCCCAGAGCATCCAATACACATCTCAAAGCAATACCAAGGGGCGCATAAGATACTAATTGACTCTGGATCAAAGAACCAAACAGAATACTCGTTATAGCCAGTTCCTTATCAGGATATTTAGGGAAGAAATGGTACTCGTCAAACAGGTTGTGGATCATGCAAGCAAATATATCTTGCTCGCGTGGATCGTTGGATGTGCTGAATTTAGCAAGCCTTTCGATCATTTCATCAATTGAAATTTCACCACTATAGATTCTTTCGTAGTAAGAATTGGCTTCGTCTTCGATGTCCTGTTTAAACGTGATGTCGCCTGTTGCTGCGGCAGTAGGGATTGACGAGGATGAATCAGTAGGAAGTTGTTGGTCAGGAGTAGTGGATACAACTGATTTTTGAGCTAATTGGATATATGTCGAATGTATATCTCGTACTAATTCCTTTTCTTGACGGCCGAGGTTACTGTTTAGGAGGGGGTAGAACACAACATCAGTTTTGACACGTCTTTTTTTTTAAAAAAAAATCCCTCTTTAACCACACACACACGCACACACTTTCTCTCTCATTTTTATTTTTACCTGTCCAAAAGTATTTTGATAAATACTGTAACAACATCCATAGACAAAGGCACCGTGGTGGGAGCAGAATTTGATTCGTGTCTGGCCAATTCCGCTCTTACCTTTTTACCGAGAAACTTTAAACACGCTTGACAAAACACTTCGCCATGCTCAGCAATTTTATCCTGCAACCATTTTTCGAGATTGAGATATTCACGACGGGTAGCTAAAGCGGCCAAATCAATAGTGAACAAAAATGGCTGAATGTCGAGGATAACAGGCAGGATCTAAAATAAAAACATTGTGATAAGTGATAAGAATAATTAAAAAAAAAAAAAAGTTTAGCTCCGATGTTATGTCTATTTACCTTTAGCTCATGGACAAACGCCAAAATTCTGGTTAATGACGTAGGCTCTTTAGCATACAAGTCAATAATGTTTTCCTTGAATAATTCGGGCTTGACTTTCCAGAATTTGGTCATGACCAATACACTGCTTGCATTACCCGTCAGATAAAAATTAATCAATCTGTTTAATAACTCTTCGTGTACTTTGTTTAAAATAGGCTAAATAGATATTGGGAGATTAATTGAGGTTTCTATAAAGAGAAAGAGAACTTACATCAATTTGAAGCAAACCCATAAACAAGAGTTCTGGTACCTTCTTGACCAGAATCTTTTCTAGAAGAGCTTTAACATCATCGGCAACAGAAGTATCGGCCAATTTGATGATACGTTCAATCAAGTCGAGAGAATTGAGTTGGTCATTTAAAAGCTGAGATACCATAGAACGAATATGTACACTGGATTGGGTGAAGTCATCGGCTTTGATGACGGTTTTCTTTGAACAAGCAACCGAGTTGATAATGCCTGTGGGTGCAATAGCTATTTGATATAATGCAGTGAGTTGTCCGCGTAAATTTTCCCATTCACCAAAGAAAATATCGGCAGGAAACGGGTTTTCATTAGGGCAAGCCTGCCATGCTCTAACAAGTATATCAAGACCCTTTTCATCAAATAGAAAAAAATGAGGATAGTCCAACTTTTGATAGACTTTATACCAATCCAACTCGGGAGCCTAAGTAGAAGGATAATCAATACGCATTGATTTATTGACTTTTTCTTTCTTTCTTTGTTTACCTTGTCTTTAACTACGGTAACAAAGTTCTCCACGTTCCAAGTGGCCTCCGTAGTATTGTCTCCACCACCAACACCAGCCATATTTACATGAGTACGAGCCATGCAACCAATGATTTCGGCGACATCTCGTTCTTCAATAGTTTGATTTTCAAGCAAATCTCGTACAGAATTCACAGAACTACAACATTCATAGCCTGCCTCTAATATCATCTTGAGAATCACACTTTCGGTTCCATCATCTTTATATTCAGTCATAGCTTTACTTTTTTTAAAGCCAATTCAAAAAACACGTCAATTCACAAAATCTTTTTTTGATGGTCAGATTGAAATGTTTAATATGCTTTTTTCTTTACCTTTTTTTATTTTTTTATGTATAAAATAAAGTTATATTTTACTCTTTTTCTTTCAAATTTTGTCTTTTTTTTTTCTGCTCACGAAAGATATTCCTTCTATTTAATACAGTTTGTTTAAATAAGTCTAATAAAAGGAAAGTGTAATAAAAAAAAAAAAAAAAAAAAAAAAGGAAAGGGAGGGGTGGGTGGGGGGATAATCGTATGCCTTAAAAAAGGAAAAAAGCTACGTTTTTTAAGCGAGTCACACTTATTTAATCCAAAAGAAGCTTCATCACATAAGCGTCTTCACCATCAGCATAATATTTCTTTTCAATTGTATCAACTCTATATTCAAAAATTAAAAGGTGTCTCTCTCTCTCTTTCTGTTTGTAAAATCTTACCTGAATTTCAAAGAGTCTTTGTAAAGTCCATATGCTGCTCTGTTTGTTTTACGAACATGAAGTGACACATGCTCTGCTCCAAATACTTGCTTCATTTGTGCTGTAGTTTGCTTCATCATAATTTGAGCAAGACCAAGACGACGATAAGTTCTCATCACTGAAAGTGAAACAATATGCCCACTTGGCTCCTCATCATCCCTAATATTTTTTATTTACATCAGTCATCACTTCACGCGCTTTCAATCCAACGAGTATTACATCTTTCCAACCACGTATCCAACCAGCTTTCCTTCATTATTTTCAGCAACAAAACTTAGCTGAGGCCATCTTACAAAGTGATACAAGTCTGAGAAAAGAAATATTCATTGAGATCATCGTTCATTCCATCCAATAATAGCTCTTACAAAATTTCATATTGTAATTCTCGGGCAAATCAATCAAGTTTAGTGCTTGAATACCCATCAAGTCGTCCAGCTAACGCGTTTTTTTTTTTCATTTATTTAATAAAGAAATCTTTTCACTCTTTCATTTATTTCCAGTAAGCAGGAATACTAACGGTTGCTTGTCGAATACTCATCTTTGAAATGTTGCTTTTTTTAAAAGAAAAAAGAGTTGTAAAAGGGAAGGGGGTCAAACACGCGGATTTTTAAAATGTCCCGTTCTTCCATCGGCTCTTGGATTTTACGTGCTTTACCGTGGCTGTATTCTGTACTTTATTAACCCTCTCCCGACAAAAAATTATTTTCCAGAAAAAAGCTATTTGCAGTAACGCGATTATTCTTCCTATACTCAATGAGTGCTTAAAACTCTTTATGTTCGGTTCCAACTGGCAATATATTGTGCATATCACAGTTACTCTATGACTGAACCAATAGTAAAAAGGAACGGCCCAAAAAAAGTTATTTATAGAGCAGAGATGGGGGACATTTGATTATACGGTATTATCAGACAAATAAAAAATAATTTTTAGAAAATAGTAAAATCATTTTCAGACAAATAAAACTAAACTAGTCTTGATTCTTTATTTGAACATTCATCCTAGTAAGTTTCCAAGTGTCGTATCCAATCAACACAATCTTCCGTAGTGATGTTCTTGCGGACTTCCTTAATTCTAAGTGTCAAAGTGTCCAAATTGGAAAGCGGAGCACTCCTCGATTACATTTAAAAATGGGCATAAATAAAGGTTTGACTCTACTTTCGATTGCATCGACGACATAATGAGAAGGATGGATTCAGCAATTATTCATGACGATATAAAAACCATGCCTACTGTGGCTGTCCAGAATATACATGACGTTTCGAACGAAAGCTACGACATGATGCACAGTTGTAGGTTTTTATAATTTTACACTCTTCTTATCATCAACTTTATATAGAGAAGGTTGGCCAATCAGACTTGAGGAAGAATGAAGGAAACTGCGTTCTAATAGATCCTGGAAGACGTGATCTTATATATTGCCTTAAGGATCCTAGTAAAACAGAAGATAAGCAAACTTTGACGTATACGAAGATGAATAGAACAAAAATGCAAAGACGTCTCAGACTTTTGAGAGAAAAAACAAAACCTGTAATTATCAAGGCTGCTGAAGTGATTTTTTAAAAGATCGAATCCTTTTTATTACCGGGTCTCTTAGGGACAGCCAAATTTTCTTAGGGAGAGCCATTTTTCTTAGGGGCAGCCAGGGTGCGCGTAGTCGTAATATTGGGATTATGATACTTTAATAGATACCAAGAGGTCAATATAACTTAATAACTTGAAATCGATACAAACAACATAGCGTAAACTAGTATATGTGTGTTATAACTTACTTTCAGCTACTCGTTTGGACTTTACCTTAATATTTCTGCGTTAGATTAAGATCAAACGAGCCTAAGGGCGAAGGAGTGATGGTAGACCTGTCAAACCAAGTACAAATCATTCAATATACATTTATTCGTAGTTTTCATATTGTTTTTGATTATATTTTCTTGTTTCCAAGTCTAAAGAATAGCCAATAATCACAGATCTTACGTTGCGACTACGTGCACTTTGGCTGTCCCTAAGGAAAATCTGGCTGTCCCTAAGAAAAGCGTACCTAGAACTCCGTATTTTTTTCAAACGTATTTTTTAGAATCACGCGATGGTCTACACGTCGATTGACATGCCATATCATCTAAACTTCATAGGATGTTCGATTTCTGTTTTCCATAAAATCTGCTTCACTGTCATTTACAAGCTACTACTGGACAACTACCAAGTTGTGACTTGCTGGTGAGGTTTTTGCAAGTGTTTCTATTTTAAGTAAAGGCTCAAACATTATGGATGATAAAATAGACAAATGAAATCATCCTGACATAAGCTTGTTTATCTATAAATAAAGCTGGTTCACACACTTTATTCTTCTCCTTTTCTTTTCACTTAACATACTTCTTTTATCGTATGAAAGTAACCGATCACGTAAAAAGGTTTGTTTAGTAGCGACTCTTGTTTCTTTGAAAAGAAGCTAAATTGAAAAAGATATATAATTGTGATATTGCGGCTGCGGCTAGTCTTTGCTATAGGAGGGCGACCTCTTAGGCAGAGTTCTTGAGTTTTTGGAACTCACGAACTGTGAATAGCAGGGATGCATTTTAAGTAGGTGCAAACATACTGGCCTGCTGATCTTCTGGCCAGAATTTCTGTAAGTAGTATAAAAAAAAATACGTTTGAAAAAAATACGGAGGTCTAAACATTTCCCATAAAACAAAGAAAATTCTGTCAGTTAAAGAGCGTCTGCAAGTATACCACTTTTTACAAAACAAAATCAAGGTTATTTATTCTTTGTTTATTTTAGCGCTTTATCCTCAATTGAAATATCAAATCAAGCAAAGCTATTCAATACCAACTATCTAGTAACAGCTATGCTTTGATCAAACATTGGAAGAAGGTTATAATATATGCTTAAAATTGTTTGTTTACGTTCACTAAAAATAGATGGCAGGCTCTTAATGACAAAGAGGAGGTGTTTTTACAACAACCTTCTCCTACAAACAGAGAAGAAATGGCAATCGCCAACATTCTGTCTACCTTGTAAGATCAAATTGTATATAAAAAAGTAAGATGCCATCATTCAATTTTTTTTTTTAGGTTTTTATTCGACAATGAATCAACGAGAAAAACCGGCAGATCTGTTCGATACAAGTATAAACAGTCTGAAATAGACTTTATTATCAAGTTTGTCTCCGTTCTGATTCAAAACACCTTTTCCTCCAGCAACAGAATCTCTATTGATTGGTAAATAGAGTTATCATGCTGATTATATATAGTAGTAAAATACTGACGGCTCATTCTTTAAATAGGGATACCTCTTCTTTTGCGTTGCTAGAAGAAGCGCCTAAGGGAGTATCTTACCACACGCCCGGATATCATAATGATTTATTATAAAGGTATTGAAGTAGGCTGTGGAGAAGTTAAGCCTCCTAAGAAAAGCAAAGAATTGATAGACATCGACAGAGCAAGAATGGCTGAAATTTGCAAAAGGCAATTACACCTTCGCCTTCAAAAAAGTTCATCCACCAAAGAACACTGTGCATTTGGAATACTTGTTGGAGGTACTAAGTGCCTTTAATGTTAATAAATGCTTGTGCTAATATAAAGAAATAGGAATGATGTCGGAACTTACAAAGCTGGAACTTGACAATGGAAAATACAATTATTCAATTCTGAAGACAATTGAAATTCCAGGACGAAAAGAAGCCTATGAATCAATTGAAAAAATATTTGAAAGTTTGTATAGTTTAAAGTGGATTTTACTCTATAACTAAACATATATATGATACTTCGTTCCTCACTACGCCTTCTTATTGTCACTATAGCAAATTATTGAACAATCACTGCCTTCTGAAGAAGAAAAGCCATCAACACTTTCGTTTGATCAATACCCAGAAGTACTCAAACCAACCATTCGTTTCTTAAAGTAAGTCACTATGAGTTTTTAAGTTGGGTTTCCTTTACTACTTTTATCATGTATGCATACTATTCATACTCACTATATTATCTAGTTGTTGATGTGGTATTTTAAAATTGAAAAGAAAGTAAAAAATCCTGCCAAAATAAAAGTACTTTGAAACTGTTTCTAAGATGTTTACATATTCGTGTAGTAAAAGCTGTCCTACTTTCGAACAATAACTCATCAACTACCAAGAGATATTTTTTATTTCCCATAGACATTTTTTTTTCTTTCATCAGATGCATGTAAATGATACTAATGTAAAACATGTCAATTGATTTCAAACATAGCAGATGTATGTATATCAATAATGCTAGGTAGTCAATCTTTTTAACGAGCAAGAATTTCTAAAGCTCTTTTAAAGATAATATAGCAGCGTTTTTTTTTTTTTTTTTTTTTTTTTTTTTTGGTATTATTCTCAAACGAAGAACGAACCTCGCTAAATTAACGTTTGACACAAGCCTATGTAAAACTATATACCCCGTAGCTATGGCTTTCCCCCGCCAACGGAATAGTAGTGCCACATCGGCTCTAGTATTATGTACATCTTGCTTTAAGCGCGCCTTGCGCGTGTTTGAGAAAGGGCGCTATGAGCGGATGCAGCACTTTGTGTGGTGATCTGCATGTAATAATAATTTGAATATACACATTTCTGGTTCCGTTGTTATGCCCCCCTTTTTTTTCTAGGGCTTTATGTCTTAAGTTAGACATGCAATGTGCGATTGACTTGATTAATTAACGCTTCAAAAGAAGTGTCAAAGTTTTTTGAGAAAACTGAGCGCCTTCAGACAAAACTTCTCGATTAACTTCTTACGGTGATAGACATGTGCACATCCCAAAGAAACTAGCGATCGGCATCACTCTGACAATTCAATGCGTGAGAATTTTATCTTTATCTTCTTTATCTAAATCAATGCTGGTAATAAGATTGTCTGTGAACGAGGAGAAGTTTTAAAACACTGCAATCCTTTAACTTGTCTTTATTTTTTACGGCTAGTTGTCATATTTGGCATGCAGGTGTTAAATGTTCGGTAACCTTGGTAACCCCAATTTGATTTGTCCAAACCAAAAAAGACTTACTATATTTGGTAATAACACTCCCTGGGTGTGTAACCAATCGAATTGTTCATGCAAAAAAAAAAAAAAAAAAAAAAACTTCTTGCAACTGAACAGTAACTTTATCCATTGGATCACAACATGATTTTAGCTGCTGACAATGTATGCAACATGTTTGACAAAAGAAAAAAAAGAAAAAAAAGGGTTTATAAAAAAGAAAAGAAAAAAAGAAAAAAGAGAAGCATAGATGGGTAAGTCAATAAAGATTAAAAAAAAAAAAAAAACTGTGATGCTTTGCGGGAATGGGTAATGAGAGATAGAGAGAGATAGAGATAGATTAATAAGAAAATGTACAAGAATTAAGATCGAGAAATAGAAGAATTTGTCTCGATATAATCAAAAAAGCTGGTTCTGGAATCCAATGGTGAAGTTTGTCTAGGGATCGGTAGAGGGATGGTGGTAGACCCCAATAAACATAACTGTTCTCTTATACGTCGATGGGCCGAGATAATGTTGGTCTCGATGTTATGGATACGGATTGAATAAGGTGGCATCTGGAGTAGTCGATCCACCATCCCATGCAACGTGGATACCTCGTTGGACGATGTATGCTGTGGTGTGGACAGACTTGTAGATAAAACTGAGGGTGCCATATTAGCTAACGAAGCAGCTGATTCTACAACTGTTGATAAATCTATGGATTTGGGATTTGTTTAAGTAGTCATTAAAAGGTTTTAGATGATAAATATATACATATAGTATACCTTCGCTTAATGTACTGATATCGTTGCCTGCAGATAGGAGTTGATCCAATAGAGTAATGGTGGATTGTAATTGTTCTAGTAAATCTTCCTTTTCGTTCATCCTTTGTTGAAGCCGACGATCGAGTTCACTACGGACTGGAGGGGACGAAGAGGTGGGTGGTAATGGGTGTACTCTGGAAGTTCTGCGTCTATCCATAAGTGAAGAAGTCAACATGGATTGCCTTCTAGCAATACGAGAGCGACGAAGATGAGGTGAGTTGGCTGCCACTGGTATAGAGGAAGGGGATAAGTGACGAGTGTTAGTATTTACAGAATGTCGAGATGTAGGTCGTCGATTATATACATTTTGCACAAGTTGATGAGAAAAGATTGACCACGAATCCTCATCTTCTATGTCTTCTTGATGTTTAATGTATTCTTCTTGTTCAGCTTCCTGTTCCACATCTCTAGGTTTCCAAAGAGGTAACCCCATTGTTTTTCACTTTAAAAATATTTTTTAGTGTTTTTGGTTGTTGTGATAAACAAAAAAAATAAAACCCCCCTTATCTCCCAGCAATAAGATGGTCGAACACTGAAAAAAAAAAAAAAAAAAGTGACTTTTAAGTGACTATGAAAATGATCGATGTACAGTGTGTGAGTACAAAAACCAAGGCACATCTCGTGCCTCGACTGTGTATAGGTATTAAAAATGATCATGGTACTTGGCATTAATAGAATGATGTAAGCGCACGGTTAATTCCCCTTTCCATCGAATTTACACACAATTAACCTAATCTGATAAGTAGTTTTTCTCGTGCTATGATGAAGGGGGGGGGGGACTTGGGAAGCTAACCCAAATACCTCAAACGGGGAGGGAGGGAATAGATCTACACTATTTTTTTACATGGAGTAGAACTCTTGCGAAGCTTCCATGTGCCTCCCTTCCAGCATTCCATATGTCCCTCCTATGAATCCAATTTAAGCATTTGAAGTGCACACGAAGGGGAATCTCATATTTTGTTTTGTCCGATGTATAGTATGGAATGCTTCCAGAGTTTTCTTTTTTTTTTCTTTTCTTTACTCGCAAACCCTATTAAAAAACAAACTATGATCGATGCAGCCTGTTTTGAATTGTTTGTTAGTATTTTATTTTTGTATTGAGTAGATATTTCAATTGACACATGTAAATGAAACAAATGTTTCATTATTACACGGACCTTGCATTTTCATAGCGTATTTTATTTATGACCCCAATACTTTTTAAGAATTAATATAAAGACTAAACTTACAGCCTTTATACATCCGAAATTCCATCCTCTCCGTAATAAATTACACAGGATATTTCTTTTTTTTTTGAAATGGCTCAACTCTGGGGTACTTGGGTGAGGATTCTTACGTAAGTTTTGGGGTGTGGGGAATGAATTCCCAAGAATAGTATCTGTCATTTTTTACACGTATGTCGTTACAACTAATAAGTATGAGAGGGAATCACTATAGCAAGACTCTCCCTCTATTCAGCTCATAGAAATAGAATAACGCATGCCTATAATAGGCCTGTATAATGATTGTAGGATAGCCTCAATTTACGCGGAATTACTACTAGTCAGGCAACCCCACAAAAAAATGAATTGTCAATCGAATGATAATTAAAGTTTAGAGAGCTACCCAGAATATAGTAAATTGAATCAATGGTCTCTTAAATCTGCCCCAAATGTTATTAAATGTCTTTGTGAAATCTAGTTCAAAGAAAGCGAGTGTATTAGTCAGACTCACCAACACTTGAATGCTTGGGTGTGACGCTATCCGTTTCAAATATGCAATTTTTGTCCACAAAGATAAGATAAATGAACACATTGCTGTCACAAGATATACTGATTCATGAGCTTTTTTTTTTGATTATTCATCTATGCTTCTTTCTAGAAGGATCCTCTTCTTTAATTGGGCCAAACGCCCAAAAAGTTTTCATGCAAAACTTGAGCTCGAAATTACGCAAAAAAACTCTCGAATCCCCGCTGATTCATCATTGGCCTGTAACATATACACCATACTCTCAGAAAATTGCTCTGCCCCAATTATTAATCACACACGGATAAACAAGTACCGATTACCTTATTTCCACACGTATTTATAAAGCTCCTCGAAAGTGCATTTTTTTTTTATTTTATTATCTCTCTTTCTTTACAACAAAAATGTCTACTGATAAGATTACCTTTTACAACGCTGTTATTTGCCCTTATGCTCAACGTGCTGCTATTGCATTAAGAGAAGCCGGTGCCAATTTCGAGACGGTTGATATTGATTTGACCAATAAGCCAGAATGGTATGTCACCCCCCTTGTCGTGATATAAATACACAGCTAACATGATAACATTCATAGGTACAAGGACATTAATCCTGAAACTAAAGTTCCCGCCTTGACTACCGAGGGACAAAACATTGCTGAATCTTTAGTGATTATTGAATACATTAATGATCGTTTCCCTGAAGCAAAGTAAAGTAAAACCTAAAATGTGTGTAACCGTCATTTTAACTAATAGCAAATCAAAACAAAAGGTTGTTGCCCAAGGAAGCCATCAAGCGTGCCCATGTTCGTTTCGGTATTGAATATTTTGCATCCAAGATTACCGCTGGATTCAACAAGTACGCCTTTAACTATAAAGGAGAAGGAGCTCGTGAGGCTTATGAAGTTGATGTGAATGCCGCTTTAGTCCGCGTAAGTCCACTTTTTTTTTATTTTAATTACGCACTGATGAACTAACAAATCATTAAAACAGTTCAATGAAATCTTGACACAACAATCGGCTACAGGACCCTATTTCCTCGGTGAAGAATTCTCGCTTGCAGATATCGCGGTTGCTCCCTTTGTTCTCCGATTGTACGCTTTCAACAAGCTCATCTTGAAGGGTTATGAATTTGAAGCCGTCAAGAGCCATTCCAGACTTGCAGAATTCATCAAGGGAGTCACTTCCAGAGCCTCTGTTCAAGAAACCTATGCTGGTGATGAAAAATTCGTTGACGTCTTGGTTCAAAGATTTGGTGTTACCAGAGATTAAATAATAAAAAAAATACCCGCTTTTTGTTTCACACTGGATTTTTATTTTATTTTTTTGAATAATAAGAAGTAATAATAGGAAAGTTGCGTAGTATGTACAAGAGATATTAGAATAATTTAGTTATCCCAGCAAATATGATATTCCTGGTTTCCAACCGTGACTTTGCTAGGAATTGAGTCAGGATGCATGGGCTTGAAAGGTCGTGCACCATCATCTTGTGATAATCGTTGTAACAAGATGGTGGCATTAATTGTATCAATGACGTCTTTCGCATAACCCGTATGAGATGTGTTTGTAGAGGAGGAGGAGGAGGAAACCTCTGATGTCACGGGCGAGACAGGTGACCAAGTGGGACTAAAGACAGGCGTAATGCGTGGCTCGGATTTACGTTTGACATATGCATCTTCTGTATAAATAGGCGGTAATAATCGATTGGACGTTGTCGTACCAACTTCTGTCCATTTAGGATCAAAAGTAGGCACCGCACGAAATGTAGGTGAAGGTGTTGTTCCCGGTGAATCCGTTGTGAATTTCATGTGTTCTTCTCCATCCGAGTCCATATCGGACTGTTGATGGTTATTTAGTAGCCTAGATAATGACATGTTGGATATGGCCTTTTTCTCCTTTTGCAGCTGTTGTTGATGTTGCTGTTGTTGTTGGCGGGGTAGGATGGATTTAGGGTCGCGCATGATGGCAGTTTTACTATTACGCATGAAATCGCGTTTATACGGATGAGTACCGGATTGTCGCATGGTGGTAAAACTATTTCGACGAAGGGAAGAACCCTTTTGACTAGGGTCGAGTAAAAGACATCCATATTCTGGGTGAGTAGGGTCTAATGCGTCATTGATAAAACGAGGACCAAACATGGCTACCAAGTCCTTGCGCACCACCCAAGCCGTTCTTTTACAGAGAATATAAGCGTACTCATAAGGGATCCTTTTTTTTTTATATAGAATAAAATAAAAATTAGCATATAAAAATAAATGAGGGGGGTCGGGGGATAATTTTCGGTAATGAATAATTATAATAAAAAAAAAAAGATCTTTTACCAAGTGCCTTGTATTTTGAGAAAACCTCCTCGAATTTTTTTAACCTTCAACTCGGGATTCGAATCCACCATTTTGACAATATCGGCTTTAGAGTTGCCTAATGACTTCCAAATACCGGTAAAATGGACGTAACCTAATTTAGAATACAACGAAAGGGATGAGCATTGTGTGTTTGAGAGAGAGAGAGAAACAGTGTATTTTTTTTTTTACCAGACTCTCTATCCCACATAATTGGTTGTCCATTAATGAGATATTCATACACTAAAAAGAGAAGATTAGAAAAAAAAAAAGGACAGTCCGTACGAGTGTTTATATTACCTGGAATGTAGCCTCTGGGATCCAATGAGGTGGAATACTTGGCTTTTTTCACCTTGATCATACGTTGGGTAGGAGAGGCAAAGGGTCTAAATCTCGGGCAATCATTGTCATTCGATGCTGTACTATCCATACTGATATAATAGAAATAAGAAGAAGTTTAAAAAGAGTAAAAGAGAAGAAAATAAAAAAAAAGAGAAGAAATAATAAAAGAGTTTTAAGTCCAGAGTCAAATAAAGGAGTAAGACTACGAAAGTTTATTCAGGTTTAAAAAAAACAAAGGCGTAGGAGCTTTTTGAGGGATCCGAGAAATGTTTAATTTATGCTCTTTTAGAGAATGTAATGCGCCCATGCCTTTTTGTCGATCCTACATCTTAATCTCTACACGCGTGTTTGTAATTTATAAAAAAAAATCGGTTTTTAAACAATTGTTGTTGTTGTTTCTGATTACCATGGCATCATTTGATCCTACTAATATCTCGGAAAAAAGTCAACTTGGCATTTCCCAACCCCTCTCTCTCTCTTTCTATGTCGCACTTGCTTACACTTGAATAAAAAAGAAGGCTGTACGTAATCATAAATCACAAAAGACTTGATTAATTCCTTTCCATATAGTTAGACTCGTATTCATACCAATAAACCAATGGGTTGAAATTCCTCTCCAAAAAGAATGTGCAAAAAGTTGAAAAGTCACCTGAAACTCTTTTTTTTTTCTTTTGCCTTTACAAAGAACCCCCTCGAATATGATGATCCCCGCCTAAATTTTTTCTTTTGGGTCAGAAAATAAAAAGACATTGTAGTATGTATCATCATTTCATAAACCATAAAAAAACAACCTCCTTTATCTGTCCAATAATAATAAACACAGGTACCCCCCCCCCTTCTTTTTTGCGCAAAAACTATGTATATCTCGGTCCCGGTTTAGGTCAAGCTTTTTCGGTATGCATCTCTTATTTGTAGTACGTACCATCATAACAACAACAATAAAGAAAAAGAAAAAAAATAGTGCCCTTGTCATTATACGTAATTAGTATGCTTTTCTTACATTTCCAAATAAAAAAAAGTGATACGGGAAAGAAAGATCTGCATGTTGCTTAGTGATACTAAATAAGTGATCGACAAAAAAGTTTTTTTTTTGGAGAAAGAGAGTCTGTCTCGGCGGTGTGTTTATCTAATGATGTTTTATTATTGCCCATGACTTGTATACAAACACTGCATAATTTTTAATATAAATTACATCCTCATTTGTCCCGACTAAAAGACGAACGATAAAAAAAGTATAAAAAAAATAAAAAAAATTAATATATACATTTTATCGTCAAGACATACACAAAGGGGGTTTAGATACATTAATGATTGTTAGAAAGGGGTAGGAGACATTTTCTTAATATGGTCATATCATTTATAAAGAAGAAAACACCTTACACCTTCTTTTTTTTCTTACTACCCGATCTTTCTTCATTTCTTTCTTTCTTTTCTGCATTCTTCATAATTCAGTACTTCTTGTCAAAAACATAGATAGAGAGAAGGAGAAAGAGAGATATGCAAATGACGCTATCCTTCATGTAATAAAAAATTGATCGTCATACCAGACAAGCCCCAAACATTCATAAACGAAAGTTTACCAAACAACAGATACACAATCAAAATAACTCACGGGCTAGAACCAACCCCTTTGCTCGTTCTATAGAGAAAGGAATGAATCTTTGCTATAGCTCCATAAAAAAAAAAAAAAAAAAAAAAAAAAAAAAAAAAAAAGTGAAATAGTGACCCCAAACAGGCACATTTTATGCGGTATGATGAGCAGGAATATGTAATTTAGAAGTTCACACGCTCTTAGGCGTAACTTTCTTTTTGGAGTTGGGAACAAATCCCAAGTATGTTTGAATAGACAACACTTGGATTCTTCTTTTTTCTGACTTATATGGGGCTAAACGGATGAAACGGGATGGAGTTTAAAGCTTAATTTGTATATTAAAAAAAAAAAAAAGAATCTGGGGTATCGAGTCGTACAATGATTTCTGATAATGCGCACACACTCACTCTTCTGGCGCACACCCATGAGCATATTTATATAACTACTGGCACTCCCCATCCCAAAGCTTTTCTCTTTTAACGTCTTCTTCTTTAAACCATGGATGTCTTTTTATTTTTCCCTGAGAAACTGTGCTACATTATATAAATATATATATTTTGTTGACTTTTGTCCCCTCATATTTTGAGTTCCCTCCTCTTTTTCTTTTTTTTTTTTAAAAAAAACCGCCCAAGAATGACAAAGACTTGCAACATTAATAACATACCTGCAGAGATCTGGGAAAGCATCTTTGACAAATTACCGACTTGCAGCCAAAATGAATGTCAACGAGTGTGTCAACGTTGGTATTTACCAGCACAACGTTCGTTTCTAGAACATGTGGTGTTAGCTAGCTATCTAGAAGTGGAAAAGTTTATCTCTTGCTTCATGAGGTTTGGCACAGCTGCTTCGTTTGGCTCTGTGAAGACCATTCGGATCGGATCCACCTATACCACACCCGATCGAGCTCGTCATTTACTCGAATCCAACGCCATTGAAACCCTCATTCATCATTTCCCCCACGTCGTGGAGCTAGTCATTTCAGGCAACTGTATCGACCTCGACTATTTCCTTAAAAGAGATATTGTTAAAGCAATGTCAACCATGTGGCCTCATCTCCAAGTATTTCGTGTGGACTCTGGTTGGCTTCACCCTGATAAACGAAAGATTTATTTACAGACCAATTACAGTCTGCGTAAAGGCATCAGCCAATTGACCCTGTACGAGCATAACGATGTGACCCACTCCATGGGTGGTTTAGAAGCCTACCTCACCTCCTTTCCCAACCTACAAAAGATCAAGGTTGTCTCCAGAGAGATATGCAACCTGGAATCATGTCTACCCATCATACAACACTGCCAACGTTTACACGCCTTGGACGTCTATGTCACAAGAGAAGATGCACGATCACTTCTAGACCGTTTCTTTACCCAAAACCCACAGACAGATCCCACTCGCTTCCAACAAAAATTAATCGCTTTACAGTCCTTAAAGATCACTATGGCTTGCTTCTGTACATTTGCTATCGAGTTCATCATTCATCATTTATTCGGCTTACGCGATTTGACGGTGGGTGTGAATCGTATCAATGTAGAAGAATGGACCGAGATACAGAAATACACCTTTAGTCATGGATTTCTTGATTTTCTATGTGAACGTAAAACGTTTACTTTCCGATCACTACAATTCAACTATAACGAAGAGAACGATTATGTGAATGAAGTCTTACACAAGCTCTATCATCAATTACCTCCTGGCCAACCTGCGAAAAGAGTCGAGAAACATGTCAATTTAATATTGAATAACAACAGTCCCGAATCAGGTGCAGATTATAATAATATGTTTAGTAATATTCGTAATTTTGTATTTGAAATGGGATCCAAACAACACAAGGATCTCTTGATACGAACAGCTTCTTTTACGCATTTCATTCAACATGAAGGTGGATTACGAAACAAATCATTGAAATATTTAGGCCATATGGACAGTATCCTGCAAGATATCACTCGTCTAACATTTGATGCTTATGGGATGTGGGTCTTGATTCATGTCGTACCCAAGATATTCCAAGATACCATTCAACAATTTCCAAACCTACAACAAGTCACAGTTCATCTCTCACGAAACTATCCTAAAAAGAACTCGTTCCTCTGCCGCGATATTACCACCGTGCATTCTCGACTGACGCACCTAGAAATCACGGCAGGAAATGCTTTACGTATTGAAGAAGACATGTTCCCGCTAGCCTCGAAATGTTTCCCATCACTTCGATACCTTTCGCTCTGGTTTCTCTCTGGCTGGTACAATAACCATACATTCACCATCGACATGCAGGATACGGAACTCGAAAGACTGCATTTGGATGTGACACCCATACGAGTTCAAACCGAGAAAATTTACAATCCGCCAAAACCCTTCTTTATTTTAAAAATAACTACACCGCAGTCCTTTTTATCCTTTCGTGTTGCCTCTGATTATCTCTCCCTGCAACCCTATGAGGAAGAGGAAGAGGCCTTGACTGTTCATCTCTTCTTTAAATCCATTTCCTTTGTCAATCTCTATCTCTATCGTAAATTCTCTGATCAGTTTAGACCTGTCTCTGTCATGGATACGAAAGACTTGATACAAACTACCGTTTGTTGTCTCGCTTCAAATCCTTCTATTCCATAAATCCGCGCTTTGACCCAGGAAAGCATACCCTCTTGTGAAACAATGAATAAAAAGGTCATTTCACCCCCCTCCCAAATCATGAGATCGCCGTTTATCTCTGTGTTCACCTATTTTTTTTATTTATATATATATATGTAATGGGGGTAGGCGGGGAGTTATGGAAATGTTAATTTTGAATAAATGTCATGTCTTTGTCTGTTTATGTGTATTGTGTACACACAGTTGACCGTGCACGTATACATATATACAAAGTGCGATATTCAACCAACTCATCATGTGATACACACATGTGGCTCTCCCAAAAAACCGCACCGCACAAAAAAAAAAAATATCGTTTTTTACCAGTAAACAAGGCTTAATTTACAACTATGAACATATAAATAACTTTTTTTCTTTTCTCGCTCTCTTTCTCCCTCTTTTTCTCTCTCTTATCCCCCCCCCTCTCCCCTTTTTTTCACACCAAACTCATGCTTTCCACTATACCCGTAGAAATTATACGAGAAATATTTTGCAGCCTATCGTTACAACATAAACATGGTTGCCTAGGACCCTGTATGTGTTGGCAATTGGATCTTTTGAGCGTTTCCATGGTATCGAGATCTTGGTACGCGATCGCCGTAGAGTTTGTCAAACATGAGGATCCTTGGTTACCACTACTAAACTACGCCAGTCATCAGCGGAACTACCCTTTTCGCTCTCGTCTCGTCAAACTTCTGGGCGAGTCCAAACTGTCCAATCTCATCTTTCATCATGCAGTGCGTCACCTCGTGATTGATTTTGCGTCATTTGACACCATACGCCGAGAAAAATCCAGAAACAACGTTATGGTCAAAAGAAAAGGTACAAGAAAAAAGAGGGGAGGGGGGGAGGGAAGATCATAAAAAACTCAGCCTTTGTTTTATATATATTATAGTTCATCATCGTCATGCATTAACGGACGTAGTGCAGTTACTGGAATTATGTACAAATATGGAAAGATTAGATATCATTTGTGATGCAGGATTTGTGAATTTGCTCTCGGGAGAACACAATTGTGTGTCATCCAGTATATCGGCGCTTCAACAGCAATTGGAAAGGAAAGGTATAAAACGGTTGGATTTGATTGGATTCAATCCGATCCAGCGGTGTCCGTGTTGTGCGGGTAGACATTGGGATAAATACTTGGCCCCCTTAATCAGTTGCCTCTGTTTGGATACGTTGGTTCTGCAGCATGTTTTACCGTCTGCCCAAGTGTTTCAGACGCTGGCTCTACAAACGAATATCAGGAAAATCGTGCTGCATAGGTCCTTGATCACGATCCCTAATACACTTGTGGATAAACAGGGACGCACCAACTCCATTAGTAGAATACCAGCTTCCTTATGGCATCAGATTACTTCGCTGGCTATCTATGAAGATATGGAGGATGCTTCAACTTGGTCGGGAAGAAAATACCTTCATGATTTACTGGACCATGTGGGTCCCCAGTTACAAGAATTTACATTACAGTTCGGGTCCAAGGAGGAAAATGAAGCCAGTCTTTCTCATCTCGCATCACCATCATCCTATACCACCACGCAAATAACAGACCCTATCTTACTTCAACTTTTGAAAAAATGCCACCTTCTTCAAATCACACTGGTCAATGTTCCTGAATACCAACCAATCAGATGATAAATAAGCCACTCCCTTTTTTTTTATGTCAGTTTTTCTAATTTTTTTTTTCTTTTTTTTTTTTTTTAACTATTTTACATTTTTTTTTTTTTTTTGCAAACAATAAAACAATGCCAATCATCTCATTAACACCTCAGGTTGAAAAATACACTTGTTGTAAAGACAGTAAAACAAAACAAGAAACAAAACGCTTCAAAGCGTCCGAACAAAATAGCCTAGTGTCTCGTAATGAAGATGACTATTGGGTGGATATTTCTGCTAGACGACTAGGAAACTCTCGTCTAGGTGCTTTATATGACGGTTCACAATTCAAAGGTGTACAGAAATGTGGTATTAATAAATACAATGTCCTCGTCGATATCAAGGTATGCCCAATGCACCCCACCCCCATGCCTTTCTTTCAATTCACCTTTATTTTATATATATTTCTTATATAGCACGTTGACTTGAAGGAGAGCAAAATTAGTGGTTATCTTAATATCGAAGGACTTACCAACGAATGTCCTCAATTAACAGTAAGAAACCCCCTCTCTTTCCTCTCATTAGAAAAAAGTAAACTCATCTCTTTGTGTACGATAGACGTTTTTCGAAGGTGAGATTATTGGACCACAGTATTCTTTTTTGACAAGAAAATGGCAAGCACAGCAGTACATTGATGCCTGTCACTGGGTAAGATATTGACAGAGATACGAGAGAGAACGAGAGAGAGAGGCATATATACTAACGAGAAAAACGTATGTATAGGGAAAATTCCCTTCCTTTGAACCGTATATTCACACCTTTAACGATGATGATTTCACCTATGATCCATTGAATAATGATTTCATCTACATGCGTTGGAAGGAACATTTTCTCGTCCCCGATCACCGTGTGAGCAATATTGACGGGGCAAGTTTTGCGGGTTTTTATTATATCTGTTATCAAAGATCCACCAACGAGATCAAGGGTTTTTACTTTTACCATAACAACGAGGAGTGGTAAAGTTTCTTCTTTTTTTTTTTTTTTTTTTTTTCTTTGCTCGTCCTGACACACCTCTTTCTCTTTTTTCACAGGTATCAACAGTTGGTTCTGCAGCATGTACAAGAACGTTCGTTTAGTAATTTTGAGTTTCGTTAAATCATCATATAAAAAAAAATAGATACCCTTTTTTTTCTTTTTTTCTTTTTTAAATAGCCCATTAAAAAAAAAGATACCATCTTTTTAATGTATGTGTAACATTTAAAAGCCCCGACTTATGCATTTATACATGTGCTGGGTAAACTATTTCCCGTGAATAGTGACTTTTTTATTGGCACATGCCACACCACGCAAAAAAGAGCTTAAGGAGTCAAAGCACAAGTTGATAGAAACTGGTCAATAAAAAAATCACAAGCGAATATTTGAGGGGGAGGTGAGAGGCTTTACAGATGTAAGAGAACAATAACGGTGTTTGAAATTTTTGACAGCTTTCTTACTATGCTTTTTTTTTATCTAGGCATAATAGACCTACTCTGTAGCAGCCTAACGTGTTACTTGTACCTTGAATTTGGAACTGATATACTAACTTAAGATGTTTAAACAGTGTCTTTGTATAACATAAAAGGGATCAAATAGAGTATTAACTCCTTGCAACACCCACTATTTATTCTCAAATTTCTTCGCCTCCACGAGGACTGGGCTGGAAGTGCTTCCACTTTGCATCATCTTCACAGCAAGATTATGATGATCTGCTTCTTACTTACGGTTAGTTAACGTGGTACGTCTTGCAGTTACTGCTGATGGGATGAGTGTAGTCAAAACAACCCAGCGTTTTCTCATATCCTTTATATCCATCCTGAGATGGATGTGTTGAGGATATCATAGATATAATAATAAAGTTAATTGTCACATCACATCAAGGATGGATAATAAATATAAAAGTTAATCATGAATCACACATTACCCCGCTTGTTCTCATCCTACCGTTGGAGTCTGTACACAGGGCACATCCCTGTGGCGAGTAAATATTTATTCTGCAAAAGCAATACAATCGAATGGGCCTGGACTATAGAATATTAATAGATCCTGAGCACAAATATTACTCTTGTTATTTGATCTTATAACTGTTGATCCCTCTGACTAATATTTATATACTCAGTATGGAAGGGCTAAATTTAAAGACATGTTGATTATTTACTATCACCAGATTATTACATCATGATCCAATAAGGCGCTTAATATTCTCCCTAGAACTATCCCAGTTCTTTATATAAATATCCATAGTTTTTCTCATAGACCATCAATAGATTTTAATACATTTTTTTTTTTGAATTTTTTTAATACGTTTTTAATTATATTTTTTCGTCCATAATAAAGTGGTATCCAAGTTCTAACAGTATCACTTTTGGTTTATGTTTTATTTTGTTCTCCATGCAAAACAAACAGATCTTTTGACTGACCCAATAAATCTATTGACCGATATTAGATAAGCTGCTCACATGTCAAGCGGATCTTAATTTTTTACCGCCCACTGGAAAACAAAACAGTCAACTTCCTTAGACGTTTCATTTATTTAGCCCACAAATAGTGCTAAACCTGTTGTAAATAGGGCTTTGAGAAATAAAATAAAATGATAAAAAGAAAAAACAGCGAGTCAAAACTAAGATCTATTTTATTCCAAAAAATTAAAAGAAAAACTAAGGTGGGCATACGCCATGCCTGCTACGATTATTTATTTTATTTTATTTTTGTTTACAAATCTTAGGCTTATTATGTAATATGATTACATATTTATGGGAAAGTTTATTCTGTTAAATGGTTCTATCAATAACTATAAAGCCATTTAATTTTTTTAAAAAATTCAGTGTATAAAAATCCGAGTCTTCGCTTTGTTTTCTTTTTTCTTTTCTCTTCATCGCTTCAATAAAAAAAAAAATGTCCACTACAAGTGAAAACGCGATTAATTTAAAGCAAGGTACTTGAGAAATAACAATAGTGCACCGGATCTTTGGTATTAACTTATCCTTTACAAATAGCCTCAAAGTTCGATACATTGCAATCAAACTTCAAAAACATATCTGAAAGAAATTTATCTTGACGTAAGTATTTTTCTTTTGAAACTGGTAGCTCTAGTTGCTTACGCCTATTTTGTTAGTTTCTTTTTATAAAGGAACGGATGCATATCAATGCAAGACCGAGCTGGAGTTCCTAAAGTCCTTAAAGGCTGCTACGGGACTCAAAAAGCAGCAAACGAACGGACTTCTCATAAATAATGAGAATGTTTTACGCCGCATGAACGCCCAAAGTTTAGAGGTGCTGAATGAAAAGCGGGGTAAGTATTGGTTACTCTTTTAGGCATTATAATCATTCTTTTATTGCTTCCTTTCTTTTCCTTTTTTTCTTCTGCGACCTAAATTTTTTCTTATGTAATTCTAGAGCCTTTGGGAACAACACAAAACAAGCTTGCTCATTTACAGCAGGAGCTGACCACTAAAGGGTTGGAAGCCCAAAAAGTGAAACCTGGTTTTCTTCGACTCAAAGTAAGTATATTAACGCGTTATCTAGTAGATACTCACCTTTCTATTATGAAATATATTAGGATACTGGTCATAATCTAGATTGGAAACTGTGTGTCACCTCATTCCAAAAATCCCAAACGGGCACTACTTTGCGCTCTTTTCAGCAAGATCATGAACAGTACGGGCATCAAAGAGTATGCCCCAGTACTTTTATGGAAGACATGAAGTTGTCATTGTTAGTAAATAAGCTTAAAGACTGTCAGGATTTAAAAGAAAAACTGGTCACTCTGAAAAAAGAAAAGAAAGCCGCTATCGAATCTACTCGGGAAGCTCAAGTCGAAAAGCAGCAATTAAAAGAGCAAATGCTTATCGTCCACAACGAACTCACAACAGCTGTTCAAGAGCGAGAACATATGGAATCAAGCTTGAAAGCTATACGTAAATCGTATCAAGTGTGATAATTTGAGTATAAAAGGGTAAGAAAATAAAAGATAAAAATAAACAAGTAAAGAAATAAGACTCTTTAATCCTTTATTATAAGTTGGAGAGTTTGTCATGATAAAAATAGAGGTCCTTTTATATTAAATCATTACTTCAATTAATTTCTGCGTAGATCGAATAAACATTTCCAGAGACTGGGAATTGTTGGATTTGAAATATGAATCAGTAACGACATGAAACATAGCTTATAAATTATAGTTATGTAAGCCTATGGTTGTATGTCCGGAATTTCCAGCAGAGAAATCATTTATCCATTTAGCAATATGTGCGATGATTGGATTACTTGATTACTCATCGTAGGTGCTAGAAGGAACCGCAGTAAATCAGCCAACCGGGGTCCAATGTAGGGTATGATTTCCAGTTAGAAGATTATGAGAACTGGTACTGTGTCTGTTATAATATCTGAAGTATATTATAACTCAAGACAGATTAAATAGTAATTGTATTCGATTTATTTAGGCGTCAAATACGACATCAAGAACTTTCCGCCTTGCATCAAGAGCACGTCGCACATACCCAAGAAAAGATATCGACTTATGAAGATACAATCAACTCAATCATTGGTGAAAGAGATAGCCTACAATTAGAAAATACTGAATTGGAAGCTGACTTAAAACAGGAAAAGGAGCATTTAGAAGAGACGACACGCCAACTAAAAGAAAAGGAAGATCATTTTAACAATCTACATCGAGACTTATTGGAGTCAAAACGAAATAACAGCTCCATCGATGCCCTTATAGAGGAACAGGACATTACAAATAATGTTCTAAAAGAAAACAAGCTGATAAAAAATCAACTGAATGAAGTGAAGCAAGAATGTGATTCCTTAAACTATGCTTTAGTGTCTACTACATACCAATTGCAATATCTTTTAAGTGATGTACAAAGACGAAAAGAGCTTACTCCTGTCGAACCCAAAGACTGTGCTGACGTATTAGGTTCTACAAAGGTAAGTCATAATCTTCCCAGCGAGAAACTTACCTATAAGGATGTCGCATCTCTGCAAGATCTTATCAAGAGCCTTACTTACGAAGTGGTGACGTTAAAGCAAGAACTACAGCAGAAGACAGATGAATTGACAAGAGAGAATACCCAGAGAAATATTGATTATGAGTCCCATAAGTCTGCCTTGGCTAGTCTTCAGAGCTCGATTAATACCCTCCAAAACGAAAGGTTGTATTTGATTCAGCAGAGAAGCAATCTACAGCAACAATCCAATCGTAAAGATTATGATTTCGAGCTCACTAAAAGAAAGTTGAGGGACCTCGAAAATAAGGTTTATGATTTTGATAAGGAAAAGATCTTCCTAGAAAGCCGACTCAAATCCACCACTGCTTCTTATAACGCTGTAAAGGAGGCTTTACATACTGAATCAGCTAGAAGGGCTCATGCAATTAATATAATAGAAGCCACCGGCAAACAGGTTAAGTATATTAATCGTAACCAAGCGCATATAGCCACATTGCTAAAAGAGCTTGAATACAAGACTGCCACTGTCGGTTCTATGCAAACTGAAGCCGGTCGATGGGCGGAACTCGAAGAAGATCTGAAAAAGAGACTACTTAATTCAGAAAGGCAATGTAAATTTTTAGCTGCTCGTGTTGAAGAACTCGTTAAGAAGGAAGATTCGAATAAAGAAAAGGAAGATATTGAAGAAGAAAAGAAGAAGTTAGAGGAAGAATTAAAAACCATGACATTTAATTACTTGACTCTTGGGGTATGTATGCATAAAAAAAAAGAGAAAGCAATGAGACTGATTTTATTACAGAAAACATACAACAACATGCTTTTCAGATTACACTCGCTTCAACAAGAAAGAGCCGTGAGTAAACAGGGGGTTAACACACACCGTCGTGTCGAAGAAGCGTTAAAGGCCTTTAACACAACTTTGAAAGGTGAATTAAAAGTCGTTCGTAGCACTTTACGAGCCAACTCTGCTGAACTTACCAGGCTTGAAGCACAAAATTCTATGGCTTTAAACAATAAATAGGGTTAGCTAATAGTCATCTTGAACTTCATGCCCGCAATCATAACTATTTTCAACGATACTATTTTGATTTTATTATATTTGATTTTATTTAAACTTTTTTCTTATCCATGAGCCTTTGACTCCTTCTGTACTTGGGTGGAGAAACACCCTCATCTTTCTCGTGTGTAAGCTTAACTCCAGTTACAACTCCCGATTCCGCTTCCACCATATTTGCTTCAACAGCTGATTCCTCTTCGATTTCTATTGTACCTACAGGGCTTCAGATGTAGATGTTGGATTACTTACTTCTGGTACTTTCAATTGTAAGGGTGTATAAGAACCAGCGACATCCTTTTCCGAGCCAGTGTCTTTTTTAATTACATCTGTTTGTGCACTGACTTCAGGCGTAGCAACAGGCTTTTAGGTGGCGTTGACATCAGATGTATTCGATTCATTATTTGTGTCAGAAATAATTATGGGCTGTTGGTTTGTGTGGCGCTAGGTGAGTCAATCACCGATTATCATCGAAATTTCAGCAGGATGTCAATAAAAAGTTCATGAAACGAGCGGTTGGATACTGTATTTAGGTAGAAAAAAGATTCGAAGTCGATCCAATTATTTTGGTTGTTTAGGCGTAGCTTACTCGATTATTATGCACGACATACTCAATTCTTCCTCTAGATTAATAGGGGTAAAGTAGCCACCATTTTATTTCTATTAGTATATTCTTAACTTATATGTTTGCCTGCATCTTATATCCCAATAGAACTCTGCTAGTGCATTCCTATATGTAATGTTAATAGTATTTATGCTTGTTTTTATGTTCAGAAAAGAAGTATCTTTAATAGCGTATAACGTTGTGTCACAATATCTCATTACTAAATGGAAAGATCCCGATTATAATATAACTATTACAGTACTTATTTTATAGGAAATCGATATCTTACGCCTATTGAGTATTAAATTATCTCCATGAAGAGGTTTAAATAAAGTACACCATGTTTACTAATGTTATATTATTTTTATTTTTCAAAAATATTTAAAATCAAAATATCGTAGACCTTCATTTCTCTGTCACAGTCTGTAAGAGTTGAATAGTTGAATTCGTTACATCCTTGAGCTTCAATTGCTAGAAATATATAATTTAAGTGCCGCAAGTGGATCAAGGCTCTGATCAACATCATAGTCATTATTAATCGCAACCTTCGGAAAAAATATACATTTCTTGGCTTAAAAGCACTGTGTGGCTGCCACCAATAGGGATTATTAACTATGGCTAGAAGTTTAATTTTAATTGATGGTGAAATTTGATCAGTACATAAAAGAATGAAGTCATCTTTTTCTGCTACTTGTAAGCAGTTTTCAATTGATGTTATTTCAATATTGTTTTGGACTTCTAAAACAATCGCAGGAAGCTCACTTGTGATCGGCGTTTGTAGTAAATAGAGAGAAGAAAGGGATTTCTTATTCCCTTTATCGACGGCAATGCATATGTATTTATCATTCCTTCCATCTAATACGGTTTTTGTCACAAGTTTGATTACAGTTGGACTTGACAAGAGGCATATCACTATATTAAAAATAAAATTAGCCTTTTTCATCAATAATCAATCATACTTATGCTGTTGAATTACCTATGTCCATTATTTTTCATCTGGAAGTAAAAGTTACAGTGGTTTTGATGCGGGTAAACGCAGTCGCGAGTACAGTGTGATGCAAAAGTTTCAAGTGATAAATAACTATGAAGTCGGTAGTCGAATAAAGTGCCGGAAGTGAGATGCAATAAATATACAGGTATTGGAAAGACTGTACTGAACTGTACAGCGGCTCCACCCCCAAAGTTCGTTTTCCAATTTCATAAATTCGCTTTTGTCGCAGCCCAAAGTTCGCTTCTTGATTGGTCAAAGTTCGTTTTTTGTAAATCACCCAAATTCGCTTTGGTGGCACCCAAAGTTCGTTTTCACGTCAGAAGAGTTCGCTTTTAAAAATTACAGGATTATGAGATAATGTTATGAGAGATAATGTTATGAGAAAAAAAAAATGTTATGAGGAAAAAAAAATGTTATGAGAAAATGTTATGAGAAAAAAAAATGTTATGAGAAAATGTTATGAGAAAATGTGATGAGAAAAAAAAATGTTATGAAAAAATGTTATGAGAAAAAAAAAATGTTATGAGGAAAAAAAAATGTTATGAGAAAATGTTATGAGAAAATGTTATCTCATAACATTATCTCATAACATTTTTTTTTCTCATAACATTTTTTCATAACATTTTTTTTTCTCATAACATTTTCTCATAACATTTTTTTTTCTCATCACATTTTCTCATAACATTTTCTCATAACATTTTTTTTTCCTCATAACATTTTTTTTTCCTCATAACATTTTTTTTTCTCATAACATTTTTTCATAACATTTTTTTTTCTCATAACATTTTTTTTTTCTCATAACATTTTTTTTTCTCATTACATTTTCTCATAACATTTTTTTTTCCTCATAACATTTTTTTTCCTCATAACATTTTTTTTTTCTCATAACATTTTTTCATAACATTTTTTTTTCTCATAACATTATCTCATAACATTTTTTTTTCTCATAACATTTTCTCATAACATTTTTTCTCTATGAATTTAGATGTTAATGCTTTGCGTTGCAAAGATTGCAATGTTGACTTTAAGACTCATTCAGAGTTAAACAATCATAATTACGGCACTCATGTGGATAAAACAAAAGTCTTTATTGGTAATGGTAAGAACTGGACATTTAAATAAAACATGACATTTTTTTTTAAAGAACAAATAGACACCATTATGGAAGTTAGCAAGGTTGATGGCAAATTTAATTGTCCTGAATGCTCAAGCAAGCTCAGTACTCCTACCACATTTAGCGCCCATCTTAAAAAAAAGCATAACGGCCACTGCGAAGCCATTTCAAACAAAACAAAGCGACGAAGCCTCGAAGATAATAACAACGATAATTCTACAACCATATCATTGAAACATCGAAAGTTACGAAGCCTGAATCTAAATTTAGATGAAATTGATTCAAATTCTGGTTCATCTGGTCCTTTATTTTCAACATCAGCTCGATGTGATAATGACATGGGAGTATTACTTGCGTCAAATGCCTTAGATCTTCCACAAACTGATCAAGAAAAAATAATAATGTTAAGCAAGATTGGAAATTGGAAATCAATAGCAGTATCGTTAGAAAATGGGAAAAAGTATTACATGCTCGCCTCTCCAGACCTCATTGAAGATATACTTGCAGAACAACCAACTGGTGTGTGGACATTACCAGGTCAAAATACCACAAAGCCATCAGATTTGGCTTAATCAAGCTCAAGCTTCATTCCATTATTCACTGGACAACAAATGCATTTCAAGAATAGTTTATTAAGGTCATGAAGCTACCACATTTGGTGAAGTATATTTAGTATTCATTAACAGGGTTTTTATTTCCTTGAACTGATAATATAATATTTACAACTTGTTTTTACAATTCAATTTTTGTTCGTATCAATGCAAATCAAAGATATAAGATGAAATACATTAAAGAAACAACCCAATAAAATAATAGCGGTATACCGTAGTGATGATTTCTTATATAGGGTATTATTTACGCTGAAGTGTTGTAAAATTACTGTTCACCACTGCGTTGGCATTTTTAATAGATGTAGTCATCGAATCAGCTAAAATTGTGAGTAATTGGTTCAGTTTCATATTGTTGATGACTGCAAATGATTTCTCTTGTTGATCAATAAATTCACGGATGGTATATTTTATTGCTCCATTTTTCAATTTGCTACATAGATCATTTAGAACATCTAGTTTGATTTGGGCCAATATGCCATTGTTGATAACTGAAGTGGCGATTGTTTGAAACAGTTGAGATAGCAATTGAGATTGTGAGTCTGTTTGTTGGGAAGAATCATAGTCGCATAGGGTCCAAATCGTGTAAGGTCTGTAGGAAATATCATATGCAAATGTACTGGATGAACGACATAAAGTATATGTGGATAAACAATGAAATTTTGATCTGAGTTGTCTAAGTTGATAGAAGTAATTTCCTACATCAATACTGGTTGTTGAGTCATCCTTCGCTAACACTTTTCCTTATCTTAATGATTCCATATTGAGATAAATTTTTGTATCGTGTGTTGCAGTGAAATTACTGGTGGTTGGTCCTAGTTCCACAATATTCTTTGTTATTGAGTTTTTGTCTATGCGTATACTTGAGGTCACCAACAGATTACTGACCGTTGTGCCAATTTTTAGTTTGGTTGCTCCGTCTTCGTGAGTGGTAATAATATTAATCCATCCGTAATTTGGTTGTTTTTTGGGAAAAGAGGATGTATTCATTGCAGTTCCAATTCTGCGCTCATGGTGTGCATCAACGGTCTTCGATCTTCCATATGATTCTATGCAATTCAAGAGTAATGCTGATGTCTTATTCACTAGGATTGCCCCAGCAAAAATTTGCGAGGTGACATACCTAAGCTGAGGAAAGAAAGTCCAATCCTGGTTTATTAACTCTGTAACTTCCATTGTAAGCTCCACGTATTTTTGATCAAATAAGTGGTTATAGAGTGGACTTGTATTTATAATATGATCCAGAAGGCTGTCAACGCTTGAGGATGAAGAGTTTTGTATGACTGTTGTATCGGCTGCTGGAAGGGTCCAAGAACCAGAAGGTTGATCGGTTAGCACATCACTTATGCTGTCTGACGATTTTAGAAAATGATAAGTTTTACCACTTCCACCCACTATGGATATTGGTTCCAAATTTCCAATTCTTGCCAACATTATAGAATTCTCTTTTTCACGAGTTGACCCTAAAGATGTACCAGATGCCAACAATATAGCAGTGTTTTTATCAAGAGCTTTTGGAGATCGAGATGAATCAATTTCATCTAAATTTAGATTCAGGCTTTGTAACTTTCGATGTTTCAATGATATGGTTGTAGAATTATCGTTGTTATTATCTTCGAGGCTTCGTCGCTTTGTTTTGTTTGAAATGGCTTCGCAGTGGCCGTTATGCTTTTTTTTAAGATGGGCGCTAAATGTGGTAGGAGTACTGAGCTTGCTTGAGCATTCAGGACAATTAAATTTGCCATCAACCTTGCTAACTTCCATAATGGTGTCTATTTGTTCTTTAAAAAAAAATGTCATGTTTTATTTAAATGTCCAGTTCTTACCATTACCAATAAAGACTTTTGTTTTATCCACATGAGTGCCGTAATTATGATTGTTTAACTCTGAATGAGTCTTAAAGTCAACATTGCAATCTTTGCAACGCAAAGCATTAACATCTAAATTCATAGAGAAAAAATGTTATGAGAAAATGTTATGAGAAAAAAAAATGTTATGAGATAATGTTATGAGATAATATGTTGTGACTTTTTTTTCATAACATTTTTTTTTTCTCATAACATTTTCTCATAACATTTTTTTTTCCTCATAACATTTTTTTTTCTCATAACATTTTTTCATAACATTTTTTTTTCTCATAACATTTTCTCATAACATTTTTTTTTCTCATAACATTTTCTCATAACATTTTTTTTTCTCATAACATTTTCTCATTACATTTTCTCATAACATTTTTTTTTCCTCATAACATTTTTTTTTTCTCATAACATTATCTCTCATAACATTATCTCTCATAACATTATCTCTCATAACATTATCTCTCATAACATTATCTCTCATAACATTATCTCTCATAACATTATCTCTCATAACATTATCTCTCATAACATTATCTCTCATAACATTATCTCATAATCCTGTAATTTTTAAAAGCGAACTCTTCTGACGTGAAAACGAACTTTGGGTGCCACCAAAGCGAATTTGGGTGATTTACAAAAAACGAACTTTGACCAATCAAGAAGCGAACTTTGGGCTGCGACAAAAGCGAATTTATGAAATTGGAAAACGAACTTTGGGGGTGGAGCCGCTGTATTACAGGTTTGTCTCCTTTTAGCAATTCCACAAAAAAACCCATGACACAAAAATTCCACTCACGTTACCTGTACTTTTCCAAAATCACAGCACTTTCATATGTTAATCATCCCCCTCTCCTCTCTTCCGTCAACTCCTTTTTTTTTTTTTCATATTTAAACATTTCTATTTTTTCCCCCTCTCCTTACCCTTTTTTCATCTTTTTACTGTTAAATGTTTCACATAAAACAATAAATAAATAAAAATGGGTCAAGCAGCTTCTCTTACATTAGGCGATAAATCCAACATTTTATACGATATTGACGATTTTTCAGGTCGATTTCATAAAGCCACACTCTCTACTATATCCGTTCCCATGGTGATTGTTGCCTTTCCTATCCTCAACGCCTATAAATTTAGCGAAACAGAGTACACCGGTGTTAAAGTTGTCGATAGTACCATTGGCGGTCTACTCGGTGTCGTTGGATGTAAAATTATTTAAAAGAAAACCTATCATAGCTTCTTAACACGCCTAATACATTTTTTTTAGGGCCGCTGTCACCGTTTTTAGCATTTTGGTCAGCATATCAAAGAATATTCACTGAAGCACCCTCCAAATCGTCCGAGGTATCGGAAGAAACCAAGTTGCAAGTGCGGAGAGCGATGGGATTAGATTGTGATCATTTCTATAACGTCGCCGTAGTGGGTGCCGCAGGCACAGGCAAGGTACAAACACAAACTCCGCAAAAAAATTATTTTAAGAAAAAAAAAAATATGCTAAAAAAAAAAAAAAAATGATAGAGTTCATTAGTGAATGGGATCTTGGGATACAACGACAATGATAAATATGCTGCCGCGATAAATGAAGCATCTGGCAGTTCGAGTGAACCACGCGGTTATCGACATCCGGATTTACGCAGTATGGTATTATGGGATATGCCTGGTGCGGGTACTGCTGGTAGTCGAGAAACGAGTTACTTTGAAGATAATTATCTCATGGCATTTGATTCCTTGATCATTGTTACAGCGGAAAGGTATGTATCACATCATCCCACATGCGGTGATCCCGAAAATAAATAAATAAAAAAAGATCGTGTGAATATGGACTGATATAGAAATTTTAGATTACAAGCGATTGATCTCGTCATTGCATCCAAAGCACAAGCACATCACATTCCTGTTTTATTTGTCCGAAATCGATGTGATGAATCACTGCAGTCAAAAATTGATCGATTGAAACAAGAAAAAGATACAGATGTGAATACAGTGTGGGCGAAAGCGGTTGGCGAATTAGTGAAAGAAGTGAGACGCACTGTATTTCGACAACTCAAGGAGAACAAGATTAGTGCCAAACGTTTATTTTTATTAAGTGCTTGGAGTTTACGTGATCTCATGTCTACCGTGAACCACCCGGCGGGCTATCTGAAACAAGACGTGAGGTTAATTGATGAACAGAGGTTTATTCAGGCTTTAATGGATGCAGTTTTAAAAAAGAGAAAGAGTAGAAAATCTTTTTCCAATGGCAAATGTAGGCCAACTGTCGTCAAAAATGGTATCACCGCTCCTGTCATCGTCAGACCTTAGGCTTTTTCTTCAAGTGGTAACAACGCGGCTGCCACTCGTCTTCCTTCTTCTGCCAATACATTATACGTTGCTGCCGCATGTTTCTTTTTGTATATATATCTTATTTGTTAATACCCTCTTCCCTTCTTTGTCTTCAATAATAATAATAATAATAAAAAATACTTTACCGAATTCATTTGGTCCACTTGAATACCAAGTTTAAAGAAATATTTACGAATATGTTCAGGAATAGGTGCAAATTCTTTTCCTGTGCCAAACATGATGAGTTCAGGTCGAGGTGAGACCACCTCAAAAATCTTGAAGGTATCAATATCCCAATCCTTCATGGGTAAAAACCCAGGTGAGCGAGGTGGTGCATTCCAAAGAAAAGGTGATCCATTCAACAAGATCAAGGGTTGATCGATTTTAATATGGTTGGACAAGACAAACCCATGTTTTGTAATGACTTCAATGCCTACATTGGGTCCACGATCAAACATGTTGTGAAAAGCTGCCAACATACTACTTGGTACTGCATCAGAAGCAGGTTGTGGTACTGCTTGGTTGCTAATAGTGCTACGATCCACTTTGGCATGGTCCCAAGCATCGTCCGTATCTTGCTCGAGTTTGGACTTTTCAAAAACAACACGAGCAGATTGAAGACCTCTTGTTTGTGTTAAACGTGTCAAGCTTCTTTTAGGAAATAAACGAAGCATTTATGTATATTTATAAAGGGTGATATAGATAAATATATATATGAATATATAAATAAAAAAGAAGAGGTATGTATTACATTTTTGTGTATGGGGGTTGTGTGTGTGTATGTGTGTGTGTGTGTGTGGGGTAAACAATAATTTTTAAACAGTCCCAAATTTTTAGACATGTTTTTTACTTTGATGAACGAGTCCTTCAGCAACAGCTAACTGACCCAACTCTTCTTCGTCATCTTCCTCCTCCTCTACATCGTCAATACGAAACATACGCCTGGATGTCACATTTCTTGCCACCAGGAGCGGTTTCGTCTCTTCCCCTTCTACACTAGGTAAACTGGTCATGCCTTCAACTTTATAACCTTCAAGGCTCGTGAAACTATTAGTTCGACTTCGATTCCGACTGGAGGGTTTCGAATCCGACTCACTGACAGATCCACTTCGACTACGACCACTGATATTATTATAGAATTTGTCCAAAAAGAAGAATACATCATCTGCCATATCCGAATCTTCACTACGGCCCCAATTGAAAATATTCTTATCGTCTAACCAGTTCATGCGTGTCACTTGGTTGAAGAATCCACTGGCAATACGTGGGATTTTACTAGGTCCTGAAGTCCATGAAATACTATTCGTACTCGCTACACGACTTGGAAGTGGGCTATACATGTTGCAAGGTTGTGTTGTTGTCGAGATATAGTTTGCTAGTTAAAAAGGAAGAAAAGGTGAGTTTTTTTTGTTTTGTTTTGCACAGTCATGGAATAATTATTTACCATCAAAATCGGTAAATACTTTGGGCCCGTATTCATTAATTAACTCGGTAATACTGCTAGAGAGCTTTTCTCTGTTTTGGCGAAGCGTCTCTGCTCCACGAGGATCTAACAAGGCCATGACTGTAGGCTGAATGGACCTACACGTTTAACGAATGAATAAACCCACCCATTTTAAGAAAAAAAAATAGGCCCTACTCCTCTCAACTTACTTGAAAATATCATGGCCAATCTCACCAAACCTTAAACTAGCATATGAAACAAAGGGTAAAAGACTCCAAGTAGCTAAAGGTAAGATCCATTTCCACTTGAACTCCAAATCGGTCTGTAACACAATAACAAACATGATCAAACTATACAGCGCATATAAGGTAGGTAACAAGACCAAACCCACTAGTAACTTCCAGGTCGCCAATACATCTCTTCCAGCAATCTTGACCGAGGAACTCTTGAGTGCCGCTCGCGCCTTATTTTGGCTAATCACTTTGGCTACAATCACAACGGGTAAATTCAAGATACCGCCAGGAAAGGCCCAAAGCGCTAATATCGTCAGAATAATCACTCGTTTAATCAGTAGCCACAGGATTCTGCGTCCGTCATTGTTTGTTTTCGACACCTGATGGTCCTTGATGCCATTGTATTTCAGCACTTGGTTATAGGCCATCACACGTTGCTGCAAATCAATTACTTTGGGATCATCCTTGAACAAATTGTATCCAATCAAAAAGCGTCTATTTAAATCAACCACTTGCGAAAGATGCAGTTTTCTGTGTGCTGGTTTGTAAAGTCTTCTAGCCGCTTGGATAAGCTGCGTATGTAGAAAGGTTAGAATTTAACTTTTATGTATATATATCACACACACACGTACCATTAATGTTTCATAACTTCCAGCGTTAATAGTCACTGTTTTCAAGGCATTGTAGATACTATCTAATAAACTAGAACAAGCTTCTCTCTTTTCGTTTCCTCCCGATTTGAATTTTTGAACGAGTTCAGCAGATATGGTAATGGGATTACCAAACTCGATGACGGCACGAGACCTAAATCGATGAGCATGAAAGTAATTCAAGCCTAGACTCATAGATCAGTATCTCTGCCATAAAGTTATTTTTTTTTCTCACACTCTTTATTTATAGCTTACCGCAAGGAACAATCTTGACATCTAATCCTTCATATTTGGCCATGGCGCCCAAAGCCATCAAGGTGACACCAGCTATAAATATAGATATGAATTTTTCCCGTAATAAAATTGTGCAACGATATGGATAAAAGGTTTACCTTTTAATGGCAACATTTCAGCTCTGTCATGACTACCACCCTCGGGAAAGATGGTGATACATCTCCCATTATTTAATTCATCATGCACACACTTGTACACAGACTCTTGTTCTACATGAGGCATGATTTTATAGGCCGATCCATCGTTGGATGTCAAGATTTCCAACGCACGCAATTCTTTGAATTCTTTCTTGATAATGATCTCTGTATCCGATACCACTTGAAACACTTCGGAAACGCCACATCCTTTGGGCAACAGGATTGAATCGCGTGCTTTCAATTGACTGGTAAACTGGGTGTCGATACCAATAATACGCAATGGATCTGTCTTTCGGTTCAGTAACTGAATACGGCCTTGTCCTGGCTTGGCTAAATCTTGTGGGCGAATCACCGGGACTAATAGAAAAAAAGGTTAATTTTTTTTTCTTTTTTTTTACTCATTGACCACACATGGTTCACATGTGTATATGAATATACTTTACTAGCATTGACCATTTTGGCAAAGAAACCAATACCCTTTTGATGCATGGACTTTTCAGCAATGAGAAACGACACTCGACGACCACATTCCCGCATAAGTACAATGGGATCAACAAACTACAAGAAAGAGAGAGAAAAAAAAATGGGGTTTTAATGAGAAGAATACGAAAGTGGAGGTCTCATTTGCTTACTTGATTGACGTGTGGAGCAACTACGAATATAACAGGTCCTTCTTTAGGGATTCTATGTGCTCCTCTAGGTCGAACTTCTCGAAAGAAGATATCTAACATTAAATTAAATAACCATAGTGCTAAATCATATGTTATCTTTTGCACTATCGATTGTGTGCCAGCCATTTCTAAGTTTTTATTTGGGAAAAAAGTTGTGGGGAAACAAAAAAAAAGGGCCCACCCTCTCTTCTATTTTTTTTTTTGATTTTTAAAACTCTCCTTTTTTTCTTGTAACACGTGTTTTATTGTTCCTTCTTGACCAAATACAATAAAGGAGACTGTATCTCTCCATGTTTATTTTCAATGACTTATCTCTATACACCTGTTGAAAAAACATATAATTCGCTTTTTGACATTCCTTTGGCTTAAATTAATGTCAAATCCAACCAATAAAAATGACTCGTTGCGTATGTGGTCGTGCACGAATGGATCTTCTTCATATACCAACCTGTTTCTTCCGTGTGTGCGCTTTAGTGTAACATATGTTGTATCGTACAAAAGATTTTCTCAAGGTTACGTACAAGCAGATATTTACGTGATAGAAAAAACCTTCTCGCCGATGTTTAATAAATGATCTGGGATTTTTTTTTGGGATGCTTGTGTTCAATTTTGACACTTTAAATTCAGACAAAGCAAAAATTAATCTTCAGACGAAATAAAAATGAAAATTCAGACAAGATGTTAAAGAAAAGCTTTTTATCTGTAGAAATCATTGAGTTTTCGCCTAAACAAAAACAACCATATCCTATGTGGCGCATTGACTGTTTAGTAGAATAATAAGACGGGCGGTCGCTCACCACCGGCTCATATTTGTGTTGCCATAAATATCATGTTTTTCAAATCTATTCCCGAATATGTTACAATTGTTATAGTTTAACAAATTAAAACAAGTTTTTACTTAACTCTGCGGTTTCAAAGGTTCTTTTTATTTTCAGGTAGAACATATCTATTGTAGAGAATAGCTATGAGATGTATAACAAGGGCTAATTTGTATCAAGATAATTTATGGATGAGGTCTGAAATTCGTTTATATCAAAACTAACACCTCTGCAAGAGTTTCTCTTCTTTTCAAGATCTTATAAATTATTTCAGGAACACCAACTCTTCGTCCTTTATAATTTAGGAGGCATATATAAGAAGAAAGGATAGAAGCTATGACATTTATTCACCAGCTTACTGATGGTAGCTTACAGTGAAATCCAATAATAAGAAGTAAATGAGCGATTAAATCAACAATAATAATCATCTCCAATGATACACTGTTCAAGTCATATGAGACTCTCTGCTATTTACATTGCTTTATTATTAATCAAGATGAATCCAGGATCGAACAAGTAACCACCCCCTCAACATCGTTAAAAATCATTGTCCGCACTTATCTGATATCTTTCAACTGTCTAAATTTGAGGTGTAAACACTGTAATGGAAAATGAACACTCACAGAGCTTGTTTACAGAAAAGATGCTCTACTGTCAGATCTCACTTGTTCTGAGGTACACCTGCTGTACGAGAAACCCTTCAATCTTTTTTGCTCGGAGTTGAATACCGTGTGCTTAAGTCTATGTGCCAAGGACAACCTCCTTTTTAATATTTTTAGACTGCAAATCATCAAATCCTTCCAAGAAGCCCTTTTTTTTTGTTTATTTGATTGGTCTACCAACCACTGTAAAAATGATCAGGAACAATGGTATCTTTACAATTTTCCTCATAATGGAACGTGATACTATCGCCTTCAAGACATCCAATCGAATAGATATCAACTGTTAGTTCAATCACCAGCTTTTCAATATTAAAACATCGGATTTCAATGATAATCTTTTTAAAATCGTTTTTGAAGGTTTCGAAAATAATTGATGTTGATGATTTTATCTTGTTATTACCATAAAATTCATAATAAAAAGTTTGAGCATCCATTGCTACTTTGAGATAAACTTCTATTGCTGTCGGGTTTGTTTTCTTTTCCCTCAATAATAAACAACCAAATGAACTATACGGCATATCAATTACTGTATGATTATCAAATGATGGAGATATTGAGCAATGCGCAAAAGTTAGCGACGGCTTTTTTACAGGCAATGATGTAGACAATTCACAAAGAAAGTCAGTGCCAAATGTGCACCTCTCAAATTCCACCAATTGAAGGTTTTAGGTGGCCTTGAAAGGACTTGGATCGAAAGAATTAAATGATCCATCGGTTACCCGAAGTCTCTTTAGGACTAGGCACTGTTCAAATACAGGATTAAATACGTCCCCGTCCAGCATCCTATAAGCAGCACTTTCTTTATCATGATGGTCTGTAGCAGGTACCAATTTAAGATTTAACGACTTCATTGTTGGCCCGTAGATGGGAAGAAGAGATTCATGTGGTAGTTCTTCATATGATTTCACAGACATACCATCTATTATTAGGCGACGAGGGGGGTTCGATACACAAGACTCTAAAAAATCGAAGACCTCACTGAAATCCTCATTTTCGTAAGAAAAATTAAAAAGCGGCTTGAATCGTAAGTCGGGACCATATCGAATAGCCAAATGTTGAGTCAGTTTTGGAAGTTTCGCAAAGACTTCTACATAGTTTTTGATAAATAAGGTACCAATTCGGCCAGTCCTCATTCGGGAAACGTACGTCAGGAAATCGATCCAAGCTCTGTTAGGAACTTGATGCACTATCTCTTGATGTTGCAAAATTACATCCAGATCATCCTCAAAGTAGTAATCATTATAACGGTGATGGAAATTAAAGTGGTGTAGGTTGGGAAATAGATACATGATATACTGAAAATGCCGCTCATTGAGGGGTAATGCTCCAATTACTAGTAAATTTAAAACGTTCGGAAGCGGCTTCAAGTTATAGGGTTCCGGCTTATCATGAATTTTTCCAAACAAGGGGATCTCGTCGGCACAACATATTGTAATAGTTGATAAAAGAGGACAATGCTGAATCTTTGTGAAAATCTGAAAGATATTGTCATGTTTAGCCAAGTAGAAAGTGACATCTCGGACATTTGTAAATTTCACTAATCGATTTAATGTCTCGTCTCGCTCATAAGTCGGGTGGCGTTCCCGATTGTCAAAACATTCCACTTTTTTCAGCGTCTTTCTCAAGGCGTAAGCAGCATATCCATATGATATAAAACTCAATTTCGAAAGCGGGTATCTTTTGTAGGTTCAGGCTATTTCCCATGGCACGAATTTTTAATGTTAAACGATTGAAGAATGAGCTGTCTGGTTTGTTTCGACTGCTTAACGATATCAAGTTGGGACATACTTTAAACAAAAGACCTAAACCAAAATCCATTGTGTGACAAAACGGCCATTAGAAGAGTCGAGCATGAATCCAACGAATCTTTCAACTTCATCGTTAGTATCTAATTCCACTATTTTGTATACCACCTGTCGGCTAACTATAGACCAGTATCTAGAGATCAACAAGCATTGCAGTTTGGTATCCCAATCCTTCTCACGATCTGTTATGAACAACCGGTTTAACTCATTGATCTTAAACTGAATGATGTTAACGAAATCTCGGCGGGCAGCTGACCCCAGTTTGACATTTAATTGATAGCAAAGGAAAAATAAATCAGCCAAATAACATTTGATTTTTATGCAAGACTGCTTCGTAATTATCAAGTCATTATAATTTCTTTTCGAGCAAACTTTTATTATCTAAAAGCTTTACCAACTGAGTTGTGAAAATTAGCAGGTTCGCTTATTTTCATATGCTTTCCTCCATAACGGAACGTTAGATTATCGCCTTTGAAAGATCCATGTACATGAAAACTATTATTTAGTTTTATCACCAAATTTTCAATATCAAAGCATCGGATATCAATACTCATCGATGAACAACTCCCTCTAGAGGATTCGAATTCAACTGGTGATGACAATACCATTTCGTTACCTTCATCCATCTCATAATAAAACGATCGCGACTTTTTTGTAACTTTGATGAATAATTTTATAACCCCCGTACGTCTTTCATCATTCCATATTAAATAACCAAATGAAGTATACGGCATGTCGATCACCTGAAGACGATTATCCGTCAATTCACAAGGAGGCGATATAGAACAAAACGTGAATGACAAATACTGCAATAGGTCAGGCAATGATGTAGATAATTCACAAAGAAACTTGTCGCTGAAAGAACACCCATCAAATTCCACCAATTGAAGGCTTTTGGTAGCCTTGAAAGGACTTGGACAGAGAAAATTAAAGTTGCCATCGCGTACCCGCAGCTTCTTTAACACTGAACAATGTTCAAATATCGGGTTAAAGACATTTCCATCTAGCATCCTGTAAGCAACACTCTCTTCTGAATCGTGATGGTCAGCAGACATCATCTTAAGATTTAACGACTTCATAGTTGGCCCATAGATGCGAAGAAGAGGTTCATGAGGTAAATTATCATAGAAATCAAAAGACCTGCAATCAAAAACAAGATGACGAAACTTTTCGATTCCATAGCGCTTTTTACCATAATCCGAAGACTCGAAATCATGGTTTTGGTACACAATATTGAAATTCGGTTTGATACATATGTCAGGTCCATATCGTATTTCTAAATGTTCAGTAAGGTTTGGAAAATTTGCAAAGACTTCGGCATAATCCTTGATAAAGAAGGTGCCAATTATATTCGTGTTTATTCGAGAAACATACGTCAGAAAATCGATCCACGCTTTGCTGGGAACTTGTTGTCCTATCTCCTGATGTTCTTCCATGATGTCCGCTTCGTATGTTACGCGAGAAAAACCATAAGTCTGTTCAATATTGAAGTCATGTAGGTTTGGAAATACATGCATGATATACTGAAAATGCCGCTCAGTGAAGGGTATTGCTCCAAATACTTGTAATTTTAAAACGTTTGGAAGTGGCTTCAAGTTGTAGGGTTCTGGGTGATCAAATATCTGTCCGAAAAAAGTCTCCATGACACACATTATTGTAACAGTGGGAAATGAAGTGCAATTCTGGATCTTTGTGAAAATCTGAAAGATGTTGTCATACTCATACAAATGAAAAATGACCTCCCGAAGTTTTGTAAATTCCACTAATCGACTCAATGTCTTGTCTAGTTCATAAGTCGGTTTATCATAAAGGGCATCACAGAATGAAACTTCTTCTAATGTATTTTTTAAGGCGTAAGCTGCCTGTCCATATGATTCAAAACTTTCAATATCATCAACCTCAAACCCCGGTATCTTTTGTAACTTGAGACTGTCTCCCATTGCACGAGCTTCTAGCATTAAAGTTATAAAAAACGACTTGAGTAGACAACATCGACCCTGTAACGATATCAATTTGGGGCACGCTCTAAATAATGGACCTAAGTTAAGTTCCACGTGATGCTTCATGTCCGAATCAAAAGTTATTTCTCGGACTAAACAACCATTAGGAGAATCGAGCATGAATGCAATGAATTTTTCAACATTACAATCAATGTGTAACTTGACTACTTTGTATGCCACTTGTCGGCTAACCATAGACCAGTGTTTAGAAATAAGTAAGTATTGTTGTTTGATTTTCCATCCTTTCATTTCTTCAAAGCGATTCAGCTTGTCCAAGTCAGCAATTGCAAACTGAATGATGTTTAACAAAATTTCGGCGGGCAGCTGACCCCAGTTTGACATTTAATTGATAGCAAAGGAAAGAACGGGAGAAAACCAAATTAGCCAAATAATATTTTGTTTTTATGCAAGACTGCTTTATAAATTATTAACTCTTTTCGGGCAAGCTTTTATTATTTAGATAAAGCTATAGCAACTGTTGTGAAAATTAGCAGGCTCACTTATTTTCATATGCTTTCCTCCATAACGGAACGTGAGATTATCGCCTTTGAAAGATCCATGTACATGAAACCTATTATTTAGTTTTATCACCAAATTTTCAATATCAAAGCATCGGATATCAATACTCATTGATGAAGCATAGTCTCTAGAGTAATCAAATTCAACTGGCGATGATAATACCATTTCGTTACTTTTATCCATCTCATAATAAAACGATCGCGACTTTTTTATAACTTTGACGTATAATGATTCCATGGCCTCCGTACATCTTTGATTATTCCATATCAAATAACCAAATGAAGTATACGGCATGTCGATCACCTGAAGACAATCATCCGTCATTTCGTAGGGTGACGATATAGAACAAGACGTGAATGACAAATACTGCATTGGGTCAGGCAATGATGTAGACAATTCACAAAGAAAGTCAAGGCCAAATGAGCACCTCTCAAATTCCATCAATTGAAGGTTTTCGGTAGCCTTGAAAGGACTTGGACTGAGAAAATTAAAGTAGCCATCGCGTACCCGGAGCTTCTTTAACACTGAACAATGTTCAAATATCGGGTTAAAGACATTTCCATCCAGCATCCTGTAAGCAACACTCTCTTCTGAATTGTGGTGGTCAGCAGACATCATCTTAAGATTTAACGACTTCATTGTTGGCCCATAGATGCGAAGAAGAGGTTCATGAGGTAAATTATCACAGAAATCAAAAGACCTGCAATCAAAAACAAGATGACGAAAATTTTCGATTCCATAGCGCTTTTTACCGTAATCCCGAGACTCGAAATCACGGTTTTGGTATACAATATTGAAATTCGGTTTGATACGTAAGTCGGGTCCATATCGTATTTCTAAATGTTCAGTAAGGTTTGGAAAATTTGCAAAGACTTCGGCATAGTCCTTGATAAAGAAGGTGCCAATTATATTCGTGTTTATTCGAGAAACATACGTCAGAAAATCGATCCAAGCTTTGCTGGGAACTTGTTGTCCTATCTCTTGATGTTCCTCCATGATGTCCGGCTCGTCTGTTACGCGAGAAAAACCATAACCCTGAATAACAACGAAGTCATGTAGGTTTGGAAATACATGCATGATATACTGAAAATGTCTCTCAGTGAAGGGTATTGCTCCAATTACTTGTAATTTTAAAACATTTGGAAGTGGCTTCAAGTTGTAGGGTTCTGGCTGATCAAGAACTTCTCCAAAATAAGTATCGCTGACACATATTATTCTAACAGTGGAAAATGAAGTGCAATTCTGGATCTTCGTGAAAATTTGGAAGATGTTGTCATACTCATACAAATGAAAAGTGACCTCCCGAAGTTTTGTAAATTCCACTAATCGACTCAATGCCCTATCTGATTCATACGTCGGATTATCATAACGCATATCACAAAATGAAATTTCTTCTAACGTATTTTTTAAGGCGTAAGCTGCCTGTCCATATGATTCAAAAGTGTCAATATTGTCAATGTCAAATGTCGGTATCTTTTGTAACTTGAGACTGTTTCCCATTGCACGAACTTCTAAAGTTAAACGTCTATAAAACGGCTCGTCTATTGCGTCAAGATTCTGTAATGATATCAAGTTGGGACACGCTCTAAATAATGGACCTAAGTGAGGTTCCACGCGATGCTTCAAGTCATAACCAAAGGTTATTTCTCGGACCAAACAACCATGAGGAGAATCAAGCATGAATGCAATGAATTTTTCAAAATTACAATCGGTGTTTAATCCGACTGCTTTGTATGCCACTTGTCGGGTAACCATAGACCAGTGTTTAGAAACCAGTAAGCATTGCTGTTTGAATTTCCATCCTTTCATTCTTTCAATGCAATTCAGTGTGTCCAAGTCAGCAATTGCAAACTGAATGATGTTTAACAAAATCTCGGCGGGCAACTGACCCCAGTTTGACATTTAATTGATAGCAAAGAAAGAACGTGAGAAAACCAAATTAGCCAAATAATATTTTGTTTATCATGCAAGACTGCTTTATAAATTATTAAGCTTTTATTATTATTAAAGCTCTAGCAACTATTGTGAAAATTAGCAGGTACGCTTATTTTCATATGCTTTCCTCCATAACGGAACGTTAGATTATCGCCTTTGAAAGATCCATGTACTTGAAAATCATAATCTAGTTTTATCACCAAATTTTCAATATCAAAGCATCGGATATCAATACTCATTGATGAATCATAGTGTATAGAGGATTCAAATTCGACTGGCGATGACAATACCATTTCGTTACCTTTATCCATTTCATAATAAAACGATCGCGACTTTTTTGTAACTTTGATGTATAATGATTCAATGACCTCCTTATATCTTTGAGTATTCCATATCAAATAACCAAATGAAGTATACGGCATGTCAATCACATTAGGAAAATCATCCGTTATTTCATAAGGTGACGATATAGAACAAGACGTGAATGACAAATACTGCAATGGGTCAGGCAATGATGTAGACAATTCACAAAGAAACTTGGCGCTGAAAGAACACTCATCAAATTCCACCAATTGAAGGCTTTTGGTAGCCTTGAAAGGACTTGGACTGAGAAAATTAAAGTAGCCATCGCGTACCCGGAGCTTCTTTAACACTGAACAATGTTCAAATATCGGGTTAAAGACATTTCCATCCAGCATCCTGTAAGCAACACTCTCTTCTGAATTGTGGTGGTCAGCAGACATCATCTTAAGATTTAACGACTTCATAGTTGGCCCATAGATGCGAAGAAGAGGTTCATGAGGTAAATTATCATAGAAATCAAAAGACCTGCAATCAAAAACAAGATGACGAAACTTTTCGATTCCATAGCGGTAATCCGAATACTTGAAATCATTGTTTTGGTACACAATATTGAAATTCGGTTTGATACGCAAGTCGGGTCCATATCGTATTTCTAAATGTTCAGTAATGTTTGGAAAATTTGCAAAGACTTCGGCATAGTCCTTGATAAAGAAGGTGCCAATTATATTCGTCTTTATTCGGGAAACATACGTCAGAAAATCGATCCAAGCTTTGCTGGGAACTTGTTGTCCTATCTCTTGATGTTCCTGCATGACGCCTTGTTCTTCTGTTATGCGATAATAACTATAATCCTGATCAACATCGAATTCATGTAAGTTTGGAAATACATGCATGATATACTGAAAATGTCTCTCAGTGAAGGGTATCGCTCCAATCACTTCTAATTTTAAAACATTTGGAAGTGGCTTCAAGTTGTAGGGTTCTGGGTGATCAAATAACTGTCCGAAATAAGTGCTGGTAACACATATTATTGTAACAGTTGAAAATGAAGTGCAATTCTGGATCATTGTGAAAATTTGAAAGATGTTGTCATACTCATACAAATGAAAAATGACCTCCCGAAGTTTTGTAAATTCCACTAATCGACTCAATGCCCTATCTGATTCATAAGTTGGATTATCACGACGCATATCACAAAATGAAATTTCTTCTAACGTATTTTTTAAGGCGTAAGCTGCCTGCCCGTATGAATCAAAAGTATCAACATCGCAAATTTCAAATGTCGGTATCTTTTGTAACTTGAGACTGTTTCCCATTGCATGAACTTCTGAAATTAAACGTTTACAAAACGATTCGTCTATGTCAAGATTCTGTAACGATATCAAGTTGGGACACGCTCTAAATAATGGACCTAAGTGAGGTTCCACGTGACGCTTCATGTAATAACCAAAACTTATTTCTCGGACTAAACAACCATTAGGAGAATCGAGCATGAACGCAATGAATTTTTCAATATTACAATCAGTGTCTAAGTCGACTACTTTGTATGCCACTTGTCGGCTTACCATAGACCAGTGTTTAGAAACCAGTAAGTATTGCTGTTTGATATTCCATTCTTCCCTTCTTCCAATGAAATTCAGCTTGTCCAAGTCAATAAATGCAAACTGAATGATGTTTAACAAAATCTCGGCGGGCAGCTGACCCCAGTTTGACATAGTTTTATGTGTTAGCAAAGGAAAAGAGCGCACCCACTTTTTTTTTTTTCTATTTCTGTGGACTGAGGTTCAATAATTGACACCGTATGTTATGGGCAAATGAAAAAGCTTAATTATACGCGCACCAGTTGGTATTCTCAACTATACTACTGATTATGGAATACAGCTATTCAAGCATTTCTTAACTTTAAATGACCAAACTTTTGCTACTATTGTGCCTGTCAGGTTCAAGTCTGAAATCAATAATAATAGAGTTAACCATTGTCTAGATTCTAACAGTAGGTAACTCTTCCTTTATATACACAAACGAGCTTTATAACACTTCAAAATCCCTCTTAAACAGCATATTATTACAAACAAATATATGAAGACAGAAAGTCTAAAAATAATTACATTATTAGATAAGATTAGAAAAGACTTGAGAGAGACCAATGATGAAAACAAGCACACAGATATCTTGTACAAGACAGGACCAAATCAAGCGATAACGTAAAAATATGGTGACAATATTGCCAAAGGGGTAAGGCAATTGGGTAGCCATGGAGGCTAAAGTGGATGTGGGTGGCATTGTACCCTTTTGATAGAATAATCGCGCTGATTGCATACATAACTCAAGCGTCACAAAATACCAAAACAGAGGCTATATATTTTTTTAAAAAAAAAGCTAGTGTGTTAAATTATATCCTCTCTTTCTTTTTCGCGTATAATATCTTTTTTTTTTTACCACATGAACAGCGGGATAATTGGCTACACCCACATTGCTGTATAATAAATGAGCAAATCTATCGGCACCTGCCTTTGTCCATTCGAAATAAACGGCATATACACCCAACATGATCATACTCACTAAATGTAATAAACCCCAATATCTTGTAGAAGTGTCCACAGCCATTTGTTGTGCGCCAAACATGGCAGAAGGATCAAAAGCACCTTCGTTACCGTTGGATGAAAGAAGATTTTGAAATGCCTCATTGTTTCCTCCACCTGCACCACCCATAGCACCTAATAGAGCAGCTGGATTAAAACTTCCTTCACTGCCTGGTATACCAGCCACACCACCAAACATGCTTGCGAATGTTTGGTTCATCATGGCGTTCATGTCTTGTGACATGTCCTGTTGTTGTTGTTGTTGTTGCTGCTGGTGGTGAAAAATGGGTTCGGGAGCACCTAATTCTTCACTGGGATCGTCACTGTCTCTACGTTGGGTACGAAAGGTAGGCTGAGGTGTCTTTATGGAGGCAGAAGGTGTGTTCATCGAGGAAGTAGAAGGTGAAGGTGATGGTGAAGGTGTATTTCTGTTTGCTAATGAAGCATTAGGGTCTTTGTTGTGAAATATTTTATAGAAGAGACTTACGAAAGGCGGTACCGGTAATTTTACCAAGACGACTTTCACCCGATTGTAAAATACGTTGTTGACGCTTTTGTCTACGACGTTCGAGCTTTTCTTGTTCAGTTAATTCAGCCATGATTATAATTAAAGAGAGAAAGAGAGAAAAATAAAATTTATTTCGTGATTTGAATTATTTTTATATGGTGCTGGTCAAGAAGACCGGCAAATTGGAGTATACCCAGAGAGGTTTGCATAATATAATTAGATTTGACTAAATCCCAGATGTAAGCGCTTGTTTTCTTTTTAATGGCATGGTCTGATGATGATGATGATAATGATGATGATGATAATGATGATGATGGGTGTTGCTGAGAATAGATGTAGGCAGACATGATTTCAATCAAACTAGATAGGACGTGATTGTAGAATTCAGATAGATAGACTTTACTGTGTTTGGCAGCTTCACACAAAGATTGGTAATAATCAACAAATTGGTCAAATAGAGACACATGTATCACCATGGTTTCTTCTTGTTCGCATTGTAAGGGTCGAAGGATACAGATGGGTCGAATAGAATTGCCAACTGCAATGTTATTATTTGAGGACATGAGTGTAAAAGACATCCAATCGTAATCTAAGCTGGTTTCTTCCTTTTCGGAAGATGATATTAAACAAGGTAATCGTGACCATCGTATAAATAATGGATCTTGTGCTGGGTATTGTTTATGCACGGAACAAATTTTGGCTAGACTGGCACATAATGGCTCTACATCATCTTGATACACAAAGGCCATCACGGGTCTGCCCAGTAATTCACTAATGGGCTGTTTGAAATTACGCGAGGGTTGCACTTGTTCTATGGTTCCATACGGACTAAGACGAATGACTGAAATGGCTGCTGCTGTATTTGGCTCAATGATATCACTATGAGATCGAATTAACCAGTAATCTAAGCAACTGGACCCTCCCAAGGGGTCTTGATGTACGCATACTTGAAAGTTTAATAGCTGACCGTTAGCATGTCTTATGGTACAGCTAGGAATCGAAGATAGGTTGGAAGTTAATTGAAAATTTAGACTGTGGATAGAATGTTGGAGTAATTCTGTCATTGAATAACCTAGTAAATCGAGGACTTCGTCGGTGGCAGTGACTATACTCTGAGTTGCATGGTTTGTGATAAGTAAAGAAGAAGAGCGTAAAGGGCAATTTGAAAAAGAATGAGACATTGTTAAAGAGATGGGAAGAAGAAAAAAATAATAATAATAAAAGCGGATTATTTATAAAAAAAAGTGAACGTGATATTTAAACAACAATAACAACAAAGCGCGTGATGTCTCATGTGAAAAAAAAAAAATAAAAAATAAAAAATAAAAAATGGTGCCTGGAATTTAACCCTTCACTTTAATAATCTTTTTCTCTCGCCTTCAAGCTATATGTAATTGTCAATCATCCGTCACAATCATCCATAGCCTGATAACTTACCACTTTCTTTACTCTTGCAAGAGATGCAACTGATGTTGCATTTGCCTTACAATTCTCTACGCTATAAGGTGGTGTAATCAAAACTTCATCCATCACTACAATTGTATCCTTTGACCATCGACACGGTAATCTATACTCTGTTGTTAACATGATGTCCACTTTTTTTTTTAAAACCTGTTGCCAAACAGAGCTTACGTTTTACTCAACGCATTAAATATATCCTGTCCTTCCTTGGTAACGCCAACACCCATCTTGGAAACTTGGTTTCCTAAACCCTTGAGTGCATCTGCTTCACGATTCTTCAACTGATCTACTGCTACAGGTCCAATAGGCAAATAATCTTTTTTGGCCTCACCTCCAATAGACATAATTTCTTTTACAAACGAGATTTTAATAATACGGAACGAGGACTTCTTTCGTGATCCTGTGCAATGTGTGAATGAGAGTTAAAAGATGTAAATAGTAACATGTGCGAGGCAATGAAAAAATTAGTATAAATAAAAAGGATATCAATGACGATGCAGTTGGTGATTTTATCATAAGTGTAGATTAAGCCCTCGACTTCTTCATTGGAGGCTGTTTTGAGCTTGATGGTCTTTCCAATGTATGAATCCAAAGTCTTTCGTTGTCCAGTGGGTGACTGTTGTCTACTACCCGCCTTTTGACGTCCTGTCTCCTCCATGGTCGACTTTATTTAAAGATGAGCAAAAAAAAAGAAAGAAAAAAATAATACAATCCCAACTATACAGCAAAAAAAAAAAAATGGCATTGAGGTATTGTCTGACCAATAGAAACACATGTGCAATTTTTTTTTATTTATTTATTGTTTTTTGCACAAAGAAAATGCATATTTTAAAATAGAAAAAAGGGGGGAGGAGCAATAATTTTTAAGTGTAAAAAATCATTATGGTTTTGAACATGCCGAAATTCCTTTTTTTTTATCTACGCTTTATTTTTTTTATTTTTATCAGCTTAATTTCAATATCAGCCTAAGAGGATGCTGTGTGTCCCCCAAATCCTAGTTTGAGCCAGCATTCTTGAAAGTTTTTTGATTATAAAAAGAACATACAGACAGGCTCTCTTTCTCCATTTTTCATTATAAATTTCATATGCGTTTCTTTCTTCTTTTATCAACAGCCATTGCCTCTGTGCTCGCTATACCCTCAGCAAGTCTCGTAGCTGAAAAACCTCAATCAACAGCTTGGAAAAATATTAAAGTCGCTCTTCCAGACGGCGCCTTTTTCGATGACAGAGCTGCTCAAAGGGAACCTGCTTTGATGGCTGTGGAAGAACCCACCATCGATGATAGTGACCTTGGTTACAAAAATTTACAATTCACAAATCATATTAAAATCACCCTTTTGCCACCTTCCGAACAAGACGAATTAAACGAGATTAATGATGCTGTTCATGGTAAGTTTCTTTTTCTTTTGTCTAATATTTTCTTGTAACTCACAACGCGACCATTGTTAGCCGAAAAGGATTTTGAAGTGGTGCAAGCCTCTAATCCTACTAGACGATACAAGAAATTCAATGAGAATGGCGAGTCACCAGTAATCAGAAGTGTGGAACCCAGTGGAGTTCATCAAAAGAAAGTGGTTGGCATGGATTTAAATGGCCAAATGAAATACCTTGAAATTCCCTACTACAATAGAGCTACTATAATCCAAAAGAAATAGCCTTTTTTTTTTTCTTTATTTAATAAACTTATATATTCATGCCTTGACTTGTAGCCCATGCATCAGCTAAATTTGTAACTAGCATTGCTGTTTCATCTGGTATTTCGCAATACAAGACACCATCTAGTATATTTAATTGTCTATTTTTCCAACGACATAGTTCGTTGGGTGGAACTTCGTACATCATGTGTGGATCACTCAATTCCATCGCAAACCGTTCAAACATGATTAAAAGGTCTGGATAGGGATCATCAAACTGCAGTGATCCAAAAGTAAATTCAACGTCTTTAGCAAAAGGTAGGATACCTTTCAAGGTCATGCCTTGTTCTATTGGTAAAAGACGCACACATTCTGTGATGAATAATGTTTGGCACCAAAGAGGAATGTTACCTCGAACAAGCACATCACGCATTTTCTTGTATGGATTTGTAAAGCGTACACCTAAAGTGTACGTGTAGGGTATAAACGTATTGCTGAGAAGTCGTGGTTGCGTTCTCTGTTGCATTATACTGTTATATAAATCACTAAAAGTGAGTGTATCAATGGGTGCACAATTTTGCCCAAAAAAATCAAGCGCGTTGGAAATCGTTCGAGGCGATGGGAATTCGGTCCGACACTCTTCATATTTTTGCACAAGGAATATGCCTGGTGATATACGAACATACGAGTGTGTTTTTCCATGCATGGCAAAGAACTGTAGTAATCGCAAGATCAAATGCTCGGAGCGACTTATTCTATACTCAAATATATCCCGACTAGCTAACGGATCTGAATTAAAGCTATATAAAGGTTGTCCAAATCGACCTTCTTGGTATTGTGTTAGTGGCTGATTGTTGCGCGATTTGCGTAATTCTCGTTCGTATTGCATTAAATGGGAAGCCGGTGAAGGAATCGCACAGCTGGAGGAATTGAACAACGATTTCCGAATGTTGCTGATGGCATACCGCCAATGATCGGCGGATCGACAAGGACTTGAATTAGAATCATGGTCCTCTTGCGTAGAACAATCGCAGTAAGGAAATGTTGTAGAGATGTTTGGTTGTTTAATCGTAGGAGAATTCATTTCTAACAAAAAAAAAAAAAGATTTTATCGTTATTATTTTTTTCTGTTTGCTTGATTTGATTAGTAATGATGCTCTTCCGCTTATTGGCTCAAAGGAACGCTTCGGATACTATGAATCATCCCATTACAGAACCTCGGTAACACTCACCCTATCTTTTCCTTGTAACTTGAGAATACGTTACCTGGTGTTGCACAATGACCGTTTCTGAAAAAGTACAATTACGTACGCTGGCCGATGATACACTGACACACTCAATGGTCTTATTTACAGTTGTCTCTTCTAAATCACACTGTTTCCCGACAGTCAAGTTGGGGAGCGGGCTTTTTAATCTGGATGAGTAGCAAAACAGGTACAATTCTAAATCCGTTCAAGCTTCTTTTCCCCGGGCTTATGAAAACTTTTGAAACGATCTAGACAACGGATCATCGGCTGAACCAACTCCTGAATTGACATCATGTCAAAAACAAACAAACTTTTCTACAGTTGTATGAATCCAGGGGGGGACGATGTGCATACGTTCATGTATGAATATTAAGACAAAACATTTATTTTTTTAGTCAAGATGGATTTGCAATAATTTCAAAGGCAAACACAGCCATAATGCTTATTTATAAGCAAGTCTTAAAAATATTTGCCACGTGCTACATGTTGTGCAAGTGTAATTTAATAAAATATGGTAAGAGAAGCGTTAGCATATCTATGTTAATCACTTTATACCAAGTTGCCACTGCTTAAAATAATCTTTTTTTAAGTTAACAAGCTGCAACACTTTGGAGAACACCTCATAACTCAGTCGGAACAGGGACTGGGGTCATCCGGACCTTATTCCCCTGTCGATGAGAGCTTATTATAAATTTCGGTCTTATTAAAACCATAAGTGTCATCATACCTTGAAAAAAATAGAGAAAATTATAATTAAAACCTAAAACTGACTTACATCATTTATTCCATGCACCAAAATACAAAATGAATCTACTTTAAGAGCATGTAACTATAAGTTTCATTAAAAATTTAAGCTGTGACAAGGCCAAGTCCTGTTAATTTTAAAATCATAATGTGATATATCTTATAAGCCTGTATTGACCTATTTGTGATAGATGCACAAACTTTTATAGCATATATCACAAATTTCAGTTTACGAAAAAAGAAAAAACAGTTCTTTTCGACATCTGGTAGACCATTAAAGATTTGTTTGGAAGCTTGAAAGTATAGAAAACATATTAGATCAAACACTAACTAGTTAAACATAAACTGTTTATTGATGATTAAAATCATTCATGGGTTAAACATCCTTGAGCCTAGGCAACTTTTTGATGATGGCGCCGCAATTCTATAAATATCGATTTCAGACTTGAACCTGACAGGTAAGATAGTTGATAATTCAGCACTTTCTGATATAATCAGTACTATTTGAAACAGCAAAATTGTGGTCATTTAAAATTAAGAAAAGCTTGTATGGTTATGTTCCATAACTTGTAGTATAGTTGGATACTTCTTCCTTCCTTGGTGGCGATAAAATTACATCATCATCATTTGGAGATACATCAGGCGAATTATCATCCGGAAGTCCTAAAGATCTATCAATGCTAGTTTCTAAACACGGGCGGATTTTTTTGTAAAGACTTAATTTTATCTCGGTGTTAATAAGATTTCTGTCTTCTTAAACATACTAACAGTGACTCACATTAGTGTTAAGCTACAATGTAAATTACATAGATTTATTATTATGGGTGATTAAGATATTATATATGATTCAATTATGAGGGAGAGGGGGGTATATATGATAATACGTTGTTGTTGTTTTTAGTAAGAGGGACGAATTATTTCTTGTCGTTCGAGAGAATTTTAAAATCATCAATTTTAACAAACACACCTCTTTGAGGAAACGTTTGAAAATATCGTTTGCCATCGACAGATCCATCATTATTTCCCACTATACACAAGCATTAGTAACACACACAAAAAAAAGTCTAATAGACTTACATCTTGATTCTAGCTCTACACCGACCCAAACACCTTTTGCAAAATCAACATCACCAATGTACTTGATAGTACCTTGCGTAGGCAAAGGTCTTCGAAGCAATTCAATCTTTTGTCCAATCATTGGTGCATGATTTTTCTTCTTTGGGTTTCCTTCATCATCACTACTATCACTTGTGCTATATCCAAGGCTCCATCTCGATTTACCTGGCGATTTTGCTCTCTTCTTCTTTCGAGCAGACGCTTTTTGAGCCATGTTCATACTATTGTTGTTTACATTGCTGCTGGTATTATTCTGAATGGCACTGAGACGTGGTCCGTGCTTACTTGCTCGGCTTGGGGTATCTGGTAAAGCAAATCGGAGTCGGGTAGGACGAGGAAGATCCTTTTCATTTGTTTCCTTTTTATCGGTGTCTTTAGGTGCTTCAATGGGTAACAATGCATCTGTCAAAGACCCAGTCGATCCATTTCTCTTATAAGTTCTGTAAGCAGGCATGGTATTCGATTTGCGTCGTGGGATAGATACGCGTTCCTCAGAATCCGAATGATGCGACTTGCTTTCCTTTTTCAAGATCGAGTCATGACTACTTGTGGAGGCCGATAAGGATCGTGTACGACCTACAATCTTTGGATAGCTTTTGGGTTCTTCCGGGCCAACCGATAATCTCTTTAACGCAACGGGAGTGACGGTTTCGTGTTCCTTAGAAACTGCCCGTGCAACAGAAGTATTAGGGACCTTTTTAGGTTTGAAGCTAAAAATGGCGGAGGAAAAATCATTTTCTAATGGCTTTGTCAAGTTACGGATCGGTACATTTATATCTATATTTGTGAATATATCTCCTTAATTAGTACTATTTTCCGTATATATATATATAATAAAAAAAAACTTTTTATTTTGTTTACCTTCAGCCAAAAGTCTCAAAATGTCCTTTTCAATTGTAACAAACCCACCAGCAGCCTTAACAGACATCCAGCGTTTGGCGATATATTGTGCGGATTTTACACGACCATCCAATAAGACACTATCCACTGCGACATTGCGTACCATCTCTTGTCTTCCACCTAAATCACGCACAATGCCTTGATAAAGAATAGCAGCATTTCCATCATGAATACCTTCGGTCAATACGCGTTTCAAGACAAATCCCAAAAAATCTACCGAGAAACCAAAACCAATGCCATCGACACATGAAAGTAAGATGGGATATTCGACACAATAGTAATCAAAGTTGGAAGAAATCATATCCACGGTGCTGTGGAGGAATTGGTTTAAAATATTTAATGTGGGTTGTGACCAGGTTGGGAAAGGGTCCGCGCCACGGAGGTAGGAAAGACAGAGATGCAACGAGTGTAGTACACGGACAGAATTGTGTTTGGTAATATTTGCAAATGTTCGTTCAGTGATTTCTGTAATGAGGTTGGATTCAGGCAATGTGACTGATGAAGTCAATGACTGGTTGCTGTCGAGTGTGGGAGTGGGTGAGATGGGTGAAGGGATAGTGACTTTACTGTTAAATATTTGCGAAATAACCTGAGCACCATCGGTCACGGTCGATGTGGTGGTAACGGGTGTGACAGAAGCCATGGAATTGACCAAGATGGCAAAAGGTTTTTGAGACCAAAGGGGAGCCAATGAATCCAAAGGATCTGCATAAAGCGCAATAAGCTTGGATCTCAGCTTGGGAAGATATTTTTCATTTTTGTCAGCAAATAACAACATGGAAGGCAAGAGAATAGCACAATCAGAGCACACACATTTAAAATGATGACAAAGAATAGACATCTTGACCAGTACCGCTTTACATATAGTCTCCTGATGACCCAAGAAATCAGCTGCGGCAAAGACCTTTTGAAGAATGCGTAATTCATGTTTCTTCTCGTTCAGTTTGGACACATGTTTAGATACGGGTACAAAGGAAGGTAAGATGAGTGCATCTGTGTAAAAGTAATGAAGGATGACTTGTAGTGTGGTAGATGAGAACAGGTCGGAAGGCATGTGAACTGAGGATGTTGATGCTTCTCTAAACTCAGTACAAAAGACGGCATAAAAATAAGGTGACTGACTTGCCAAGATGAAACGATGAGCAGGAAAGGAAGCATGATTTAACGGAAGATCCTCTTTTTTGGTAGCGTTAAATATATTGACGACAACATCCGTAGCTATTTTCTCATCCATCATTCGTTTGAGATCTGCAGTCCATTGTTCTGTATCACTCATTGTGGTCGAAATAGGTAGTACAGGCATAGCCAATTTGTTCTCGAGTAGTGCAATTTCATGTCGAATAGAAGCCTCTACTTCAGATTGCAGAGCAGAGGAAGCTTCGGTAAGTGATAGACCAGCAATGTGGGAAGATAACAAGGAGGCTTCGTCTAGAGGCGCCGAAAAATCAGCAATGTACCAAAAGCGGAGAAGTTGACGGAGTGTTGTGTAAGGGATGACAACACTAATGTCCAGATAAATGGTTGGATCATCACTTTTGTCTAAAACAGACATGTATTTATTTCTAAAAAGCTCAGGTACTCGTGCCAATAAAAGTGCTAAAAAAAGTAATAAAAAAAAAAAAGGTTATTTTTCACTCTGATGTATGAATAGATACTTGTATATAATCTCACCTTTGTGAGCCCACAAGTCTGGTTGATTAGGGTATTGAAAGCATACATCCGCTACATATTCTTGAGCATTCTCCAATACATGAAATAATGAATGTTGAAGTGTCTTGGAAGGACGTTCGAACATGGACGAAACAAATGAAGAAAGAAAGAAAAGATAGATTGGGAAAGGGAGAAAAAGGGAAAAAAATAAATCCTAAACATTTTAATTTTATGGGTTTGGATTTTGTCACACACGAGAATAAAAGAAAGTCATGAAGTGGCGTGTGGTGGCCGAAATGATGCATGAAAACGTGGAAGGCCTACCAACTGTTTTAGCCGGGTAAACGGTGTTCTCGCCAAGCATTTCCCGCAGACATCATATTTTTCCACATATGCCATCTAGAAATAACCCTATTTTGGTATTCATTACAAATTGTGATTTATAATGTGGCACATCTGCAGCGTGGCTTTTCAAGTGGAGAATGTCTGTTGATCTGTATCCAGTAATCTTCATCGTGCTTAGGAACAATAGCTTACAAATAAAACCATAGTAACAATACCTTCTTCTCTTTTAAAACTCATACTTGCATATGCCTATCTCCCGGTTTCTGGTAACTAAGAAAACTGTTCCACACCCCCAGGGCCGATTATCCCTGACATTTAAATCTTTCTGACTTTTATACTCCATACCCTCCCTATACACACCCTCCTTCTTGTCCCCTGGTCAGAAATAATTTTCTTTTTCTTTTTCTTTTTACATATTCAACCTTTTATAAAAATGTCATTGAGAGCAGCACAAAGCACACGTGAAATCTTGAAGCACTTAACTTCTGGCCCTGGTGCTGCCAAGTTATCACCTAATGTCTCTAAAATTGCCTTGACTTTTGCTTTAAAGGGCAAGAACGAGAGTGCCGGTGCAAGGTAATTTTGGATAAAGGAAGCTTGATCGATCTCCTCAAATCAACACTTGTTAATTTTTATCTAGACATTTCTTGCAAGAGAACCTTCCTCGTATCAGATACAACAACCCTAACGTCGAATACCAAGTCAGCAAAGTTTTAGATTCTTCCATCAAGCCCACTGTTGCTGTTCATTTCTGTAAGTCTAATGAAAAGAGAAAAGAAAGAAAAATACTAACCATTACAAAAAAAAAGCCAACGGAAGATCCAAAGTCATCGAAATCCCTAGAGTTCAATCCAACGTCATTGTCGATCAAATCTTCACTGCCACCGCATAAATTTAACACCACACTAGATGAAAAAAGCAAAAGAAAGAATAAAAAAATCTGTATACTATCAAAAACTCATGGAATACAAAATATTAGCATTGTATTTTGTATGTGCTGTACTTACTGCTTTGAAATTTAATGGTTGGATAGGGTAGTGGATGTAGTTTACAGGCTGTAGTGTATGTTTTGAGCAGACATGTAAGAAGGCTTTACAATAAGCTAGCAGTCATTTGACAGCTGATAGGTGACGGGATCTTAAAGTGGTTTAAGGAGACATGCCCAAAAATAGTATAAAACGCATAATGTATGTGATTTCCGGGAACTTATAAATGAAGCTAGTAAGGAAATGATGCGACAATCAAGAATAAGCTCACATCTAGACCTTCACCGCATGTGATTCTTGTTTATCTAAAGTAAAAGATTCCGCTCTTTTTAGCGCCCTTTTTTTATTCACATGCATGTTTCATAATTGACGAAAAGCTCTACGCTTCGCCGATGATTTATGCAATCGAAAAGAGTGCAGTACTTCCACCATCAATTGGGACACTTTTATGAAAATGTTGGTCGGATGTTAAAAAATATTGGATTACAAGCGTTTTTGTTTTACTCGCTAATTTCTAGTGGAGTGATAAGCATTGTAAATAAAAATGAAAATAAAAAACTGATCATCATGAAGCTATTTATCTATAAGCCATTATTAATCGATCGGACAGTACGGAAGTGAGAAGGTTGTTTCAGATAACCTGGCTTATCACAGAAGGATGGATGTGTAGGATGGACAAATAACGTCAGATCCACTAAAGAAGTATGAGGCTCGTTATTTTTGGTGTACCCATTGTGTTAGTTTGTATAATATTCCATCATGCTCCTTATCTTTTCCCAAGGGATAAAGTTATTTTACTTACAGATGCATCCAAATTGGTCAAGTCAGGATAACTTTTAATAATACGGAACTGTTCACTGATTGTTCTTTAAATCTTGATTGGGTTTTGGGAAGAACGGTTCAAACGGCCAATTAACAATGATGAACTACTGTTTGCAACTAAACCCACCACAGCAATCCGCTGCTGCTGCAAATCGTCTACTGGCAAAGAAGGTTTATCATTTAACCTCGTACTATATACACTTGAGGTATAAAGTGTACTAGCCGTATTGTCGTCTATAATAGTTACTTGATGCATAAAGTGTACTTACATCGTCGCTGTAAATACTGGAAGCATAAACTGAGCTGTCCTCATTTGCTAGAGATTCTTTTGCCCTTACGAAATGTTCTCAAAACAGAGATAAGCGAGTGAGGAAAGAAATAAAGAAATAAATTTGACTCAGCAGACAAAGACTGTGTACCTTGCATTGTACCACTGTATGTAATTTTCGTATGCAATCCATTTAAAATCTCAAGTGTGCATGATGGCCATTATTTATTTAAAGTCGACCCAACAGACAAAGACCGGGCGTTTGTAAGGATATCTTTTACCCACCTTTCATTCTGAAGCTATTGATCCTTCTTTTATTGGACTTTCGAAATGCTGTGTATCCGCTAGCTTATTTTTGACATAATAAAAGAAGGTGTGAGTGCTGAGGATATTATCTAAAGAATAATGTCTAATCCAAAGCGTAATTTTTACTGAATATCTATAAAAAGTACATTCCCTATAATCGTTCCTATAGGCAGTTTCCACTTTTCTACATTATTCAAAGTTATTAAAATACATAATTTGTCCATGCTGTTATATCAAATAATTTAGAAGATTTTTAAGCTTCTCAAATTATGTTTGACAGCAGTTTCAAGCATACGTAATCGCAAAACTGGCCTATAAATCCGATTAAGTCCTGCTTCATAGCATCTGATAATTATCCCCAACATACTTACAAAGCGTTCACTTTAGCTTGTTGAAAAAAAAAAAGAAGTAGCTCTGTCAAAACCCATAAGAGATAGACGAAACTCTGGTATTTGTAGAACTCACAATCTCAATCATTTATAGAACTCGCACTCCCAATCATTTATAGAACTCACACTCCTATTCCTTTATTGTTTGCTTTAGTTTTTTTCTTCATCAAAATAGCTACCCTATTCTTGGGATAATTGAATTTAGGCATGACTCTTTTCTCCTATTTTCAAGCGGTAAGCGATTCCATAGCCTACTTTTTGTACTCTGGGTATCTTTTAGGTGTGTGTCTAGCTTTGCTACATAATCTAGCTCTACAGTCTTTGAAAACTTTAAACGCTTTTCTTAAGGACAACCAATTTTTCCTTAGGGACAGCCAAAGTCCACGTAGTCGCAACGTAAGATCTGTGATTTGGATGTTCTGTAGACCTGGGAACAAGAATATACAATCAAAAACAATGTAACATTTACGAATAAATGTATATTTAACAATTTATACTTATTTTGACAATTCTATCATCACTCTTTCACCTTTGATCTCGCTTGATCTTAATCATTTACGCAGAAGTATTAAACGAGAAGCTGAAAGTAAGCTATAATTAAAACACACATTTATATTGGTTTATTATATGTTGGGTGTAACAAATTTGTATCCAGTTCGACACGAAAAGCTATATTTTACTCTTGGTGCCTATTAAAGCATCATAATTCAACATCACGGCATGGACATCCTGGCTGTGCTTAAGAAAAATGATTGTCCCTGAGAGACCCGAAGATCAAATCATTATGTATACATATAGTTATTTTATGAATAAACCTGGAATTGCATGAAGCTTTATGCTACAACTAAACTTATATTAAGTCATTTACAAAAGATTAGTAGTTTTTGAATAGAGCCAACATTTAAAAAAAAATAACAGTCCTTGTTTCAGTTGCTGATTTTCGTTGAGTGAGCCAAAAGTCGAGGCCATATCCCAATACTCGTCTTATGCAATAACATATACTAAAGACATAATGTGTATAATTATTATTTAAAAGACACTGTCCAGTTTAAAGCGACTGTGCAAAACATTACATCGGCCTCTGTTCGTCTGCCTTATATAGAGCATAAAATGAAGTCTTAATACGTATTTGTGAAGTGACAAGTGATTTTATTTAGCAGTATCTAAGAGTCTGAATAGAACAAACTAAAATCAGGTGAGTCCATATAACTTTTGTCGTCACAATTGATGGGCGGTTCATCTGTGAGAAGAAGAAATTGCATGAATGATGTTCTGATAGCCAACTTTTTGATATCAAAACAACGTATATCAATAGTGTGGGCCATATAATCATCCTTGGAAGCTTCAAATTCTAAGAACGAAGACCCAACCAGTAGTTTATTTGTAGAGACTTTATAAAAGACAGATGTAGCCTTTCTCTTTGTTACTTTAGTAATAACTTTTCTTTGTCGTCGGGATCGAGGTCTGTGCTCCACATCAGACTACCAAAAGAAGTATTGGGCATATCAATCACATAATTCTTTGACAACCAACAAGCGTACCTATCGCCTATACTACAACCAATAAATGTGGCGAACTGTACCATGCTGGGTAAGCGGTGTTACTAGCGAGTTTCAGTAAAAGTAATAGAAGAAAATAAAAATAGAGTTTAAGATAAAAGTTCTTAAAAAGTGAGCACCAGACTATATAGTTGTCGACTGAAAAAGATAAAATATAATTATATAAAAGGTTAATTTATACGACGAAATCAGATAAAAGTAGTGTTCGAAGGAGTATAGTTAAATACAAAAAGGAATAGCTACAATGATGATTTTACAGAAGGAAATTACAAGCAATTATAATAAATACAAAATTTTAAAGACTTAAAGTATTAAGACTTATTCAGATTAAAGTAAAAAACAAACTAAAGATTTTTTTGATTATTTTTGAGGTCCTTTTATAAGAAAAGGACAGAAAAGCAGCCAGAAAAATATAGGGATCTGAAGTCAAAAGGACCAACCGAATAAGAAAAAGGTGGTGTAACAGCGGCTAGACAGCTGACACAGGTAATCTTCATCAAATCTGCAATTCTTGAATTGGATTCGTCCTAGAGATCGAATCGGCTTGACAGAATCTTGTTTTTCATATATGAATCTGCTTTTTGAAACCCACAATGTATCTAAACGGGGACAATAATCCGAAATAAGATCAAACAGATTATCCTCAACCGAATTTTTAATATCTGCATCTAAAGGTATGATCGCATCGCCTTGTGAGCCAGCATCAAAATCCAATGCTTTTAAATTTGGTCCAAGGGTCTTAATCGCGTTTTTCTTTGGACAATCAACAAGGCGTGTTTTTCTGTCACAATTCAAAACAATATGGCGTGTATAATTGTCTTTTTGATGCATATTACGAATTTCGTTTTTGCCAGTGGTATTGTAAAAGATTCCGAAATATACCTTGAAATCTGTATCGAATTCAGATAACCAGTCATCTGCTAATACTTGGAGGTTTTCATACAAGTTGGGTATCTTGGAGAAGACCTCAACGTCCTTTACAAACAGATAGGGTATCGCGCAATCTGTCATTGAGGCCACATACGTCAAGAATTGTATCCAAAGTTCATTAGATATTTCTACTCCTTGTGTTTTGAAGTGACCCCATTTTTCTGCGGATAACCGTTGAACGCGATTCTTTTGGATACATTTTTTAAATAACCATCAGCGTATCTAAATGATTTCACTTTTGGGAACAAACGCAAAACGTACTGGATAAGTGTGGAGCTGATTGTCAACATTTCGCTTATTTGTAGAGACCGAACATTTAAGAGAGGCTGTAATTGAAAAGGTTCTGCAATACCCAGATGTTTTCCTACATCATCATCATCCCATTCAGCTACAAAGCATACAGAAGTTAAGGAGTAACAATATTGTATCTTTTCCAAGACCGTAAAAAGGTTACTATGATTTTCCAGTTTAAAACAAATTGACTTGAGACTTTTGTATATCTACAACTCGTTTAGTGTCTCGTTTTGATCAAAGGTGATTTTGGTTAAAAAGTAATCAGAAAGGTACATATCTTCCAGTGTATCTTTCAATGCATATGTGACATGCCCATGAACGCGAATATCATCGGGATCACTGGAATCGTATGGAGGGATTCTTCTTAACTTGGTTCCGTTTCCGGCCAAGACTTCCAAAAGCAATTTGGCGAAAAATGAACTTTTTTTATATCTTGGTTGTTCCAGACAGGTGATATTTGGACAGGATTTGAATAATCGTCCCAAGTTAAGCTCCAGTTGTTGTTGGTCATCATATAAGAGTTGAAACTGTTTGACGGAAATGTCTAGACCTCGGTTATTTTTTTTAAACGTATTTTTTTTTATACCACTTACAGGAATTCTGGCCAGAAGACCAGCAGACCAGTATGATTGCACCTATTTACAGTCCAACCCCAGCTATTCACGGTTCGTGAGTTCCAAAAACTCAAGTACTCTGCCTAGGAGGTCGCCCTCCTATAGCAAAGACTAGCCGCAGCCGCAATATCACAATTATATATCTTTTTCAATTTAGCTTCTTTTCAAAGAAACAAGAGTCATTACTAAACAAACCTTTTTAAGTGATCGGTTACTTTCATATGATAAAAGAAGTATGTTAAGGGAAAAGAAAAGGAGAAGAATAAAGTCTGTGAACCAGCCTTATTTATAGATAAACAAGCTTATGTCAGGATGATTTCATTTGTCTATTTTATCATCCATAATGTATGAGCCTTTACTTAAAACAGAAACACTTGCAAAAACCTCCCAAAAAAACAATATGGCAATTACGAATAGATGTATATTGAATTATTTATACTTGTTTGACAATTCTATCATCACTCTTTTGCCTTTAAGCTCGTTTGATCTTAATCTTTTACGCAGAAATATTATGGTAAAGTCCAAACGAGAAGCTGAAAGTAAGCTGTAAAACACATATACTGGTTTACACTTTGTTGGTTATGATAAATTCTGTTACTTCGGGCCTGGCCTGAAGTTATTTATTTTGTTTACAAAGCATGCGCGCCCTAATCAATGTGAGTCTATAATTCTTCTTGCATATGTCAAAATTCTGAGGATCAGAAACATCTAAAATGTAGTAAAATTATTGAATGACTCTTACAAGCTGCATTTTTTGTCTAATTCGGGGTAAGTTGGACAAGCAAGACAGATATCAAAGCTCGATTTTCTAATTATTCTTTATATAAAAGTTGTCCGTTTTGATGAAAATTGTTCATTATAAAATAGATGATTTCGCTTCGTGCATAATACAAAATTTGTGTACCTACGTTTAAAAACTCCAAAGACAAGTTAAGTCTGAAAGACGGTAATATATATAAAAAGAAAGTGACCAAAGCAAAATGGTTTTTAAAATCTCCTTCTAGAAACATGCTCGCTCTTCCAATAATTGGTTTTTATTGAAAGAGTTGTCATGTCTTGAAAATCTGTGGTTTTCTGATACATTCAAGTGTGGAGATATTGTATAAACATGCGCTAGAAGCAAATGCTAAATCATGCACATTAAATATAAAGTTGGTAAAAATTTAAAATCTAAGCGTAATAATAACTTCTAGCCAAGGCAATTTATTTAATTTGATAGCCTCATCTCTCACATTCAAAAAAAGCACACCATCAAGAAAGTGCATATCTTTATACGATGGAATACACAAAGCTTACGATAGTATCAATTTATAATGATATCCTCAGCGCACGCGCTACATTCTATAAGAAAAACTTCACCTTCACTTTTTTTTATACGAAAAGTACTCAAGCTTCAATTTGTCGATGAGTCTTTAGCAATTCTCTCAAACACTCCTTGGGTATAATACCCTCAACAAGGTCAAAGCGATATCATCTTTAAAGGATATTTCCTTGGCCATTACTGTACACGCTTTATGCAGTATAGTCAAAACGCTGTTGAACCCATGTGCTGATGGCATTACTGTTACAAAGAATGGTTTTCTTGCTGCAGATCCCCCCCCCCCTTTTTTTTGTACAGTAGTTCTTTGGAAGAAGCATTCACCTTTAAAATTGTTACGGTAATCATGAAAAAGCTCTGACTTGATGGATCGCTCTTTAGAGAGAAAAAAAAGGGAATGTTAGCAAGACGATTTTAACCTTTGCTTTTCAGGTTGTCTTTAGTCCATGTTACAAGCAGGTAGGCTAAGGCACTCACTGTCTTGGGCTAAAATAATGCGTCAATAAAAGCTATAATGGCTTTCCTTGAGTCGAATATAGTTTGCATAAAGTGGACACAAATAGTTTATATTTGTGTGTTGTATAAAGTGTAGAGCTGTGTTGTTTGATCTTTCTTGGCCATTACGTGCTATTGTTTGTATGAAGAATGGCATTTTAAAGCACACGAAAGAAAAGCTGCTTTTCAAAAAAAAAAAAAAAAAATCTATCCCCGCTTTTATAGGTCCGTTTTCATGCACTCTTTTTTTTTGTTCAGGCACTGTAATTGTAGCTTCTTGAGCAAAAAAAGATACAAAAATCAACTGTAAACAATCTTTCTGAGTATTATGATCTTTTAATATATGTTTTGTTTAAACTTTAATAAGAAAAGAGCAAAAAAAAAAAAAAAAAAAAAATAGTCGGAGAAAAAGTTTTTATTTTTGTAACCACAAGTTGAGCTCTGTATAATTTTTGCTGTCCTATTAAGAAAAAAAAATATTTAGGTAAAGTAAGCTTGTCAGTGCCGTTTCCAGCTGCGGCGCTGATTGAGTGAGCTCATAGCCGCATAGGGGCATGGGCAAGCCGAAGGCCCAACGGCCTAGGAATAATAGAGTGATAGAATAAAAAAAAAAAAAAAAAAAAAAGTCGTTTTTTTTTTTTAATCATGCACGCTTGGATATTCCCCTCTTTTTTTTTTTTAAATAAAAGAACCTTTTCTCACTTTGAAACTCAATGCTTTTATTTTTAAAATGAAGAAGAAAACATTTGCAGAACTCAATGGAAAGTTAATCTATAGAGGAGAACCTTGTTCCTTGTTACAAGTTCACAATTGCTTTTGATTTCTTTTTGTTCATCCAAGCCATAAAGTTTCGTTGCTTGTACGAGAATCTGCACTCAGCTACCCGATAGCATCCATTTTGCGATTGACCTGTTTCAATAATGCCTTACTTGGTCAAAGTTCATTTGAAAGAAACTGTGTCGTCAAACGAAGCTTTTCTCGTAGCTTTTTATAGCAATATATCCAGACATACATCAGGAAACTAACGTATGAACCCACTCTTAGGATAGTGTAAAGCCTGCAAATTAAATATGTAAAAGATTACGGTATATGTGATGGTACTGTCAGAGTTTGGAATACAGAAACATTAAAATGCGCTTATCTAATCCAATCATGTCACGACGTCAGTGACATCTTTTCTGTCGTCTATTATGACACCACCAACAAAATCTATTTCGGTAGCCAAAACACCAGCATTCAATGGTACGATTTCGCCGATCCACAAACACACGGCTCCAATACAGATATTTAAATCGTTCCCGATTCACCTCGTAAAGTTGGAACCATCAATTTCTTTGAGGATGGGGAAGGTCATGACGATGAGGATCGATTACAAGCCGAATCAGACAGAGATGTGATTAAATGTGTTATCCGTGAAAAAAACGTATGCAGTAATGCACATGACGGTTATTTATATTTATTGCATGCAAACGATATTCCCAACATGGAAGGTGAAGTCCTTATCAGTGGCTCCGGTGATGGGCTATCCAACCCGACGGCATCAAATTAGTTCACATATTAAAGGGTAACCCAGACAAGGGAGTGTTATGTCTAGCATTATCAGAGGATGGTTATCTGTTCTGTGGTGTTCAAAGTGGCGATGTTCAAATTTGGGATTTAGAGACGTATCAAATGATTCGATCTGTCATGGCTCATACGGATGGTGTATTGGCCGTATCTGTCGAAGGTCCTGGATTTGTAAGTGCTTCGGCTAATATATCCATCAAGATCTGGAGTGAAGGATTTTAGTTTAGAGAAAGTTTATGTGACTATGAAGGCATTGTCTTGTCCTTGACTACGTCTGGAAATTATTTGATCTCGGGCAGTAATGATCATTCAATTAAATTTTGGGATTTGCCCTGTTTCACAAACACATCTTTTGAGCCCTTCAAAAGACCAAGTGCTGGATTACAAGATGCTCCCTCATCCAACGGTAAAAATAAAAAATAAATCTTCGGCGTATTATAGAATTGTACTGATGCATTTTTATTATAGATACCATGTTGTATGTTTTGGAGAAATGGATCGCTATGCGTACAGTCAGTGGAAACACTAAGTATATGGAAGAGTGTAGAAGGGGAGCACGTTTCCTCAAGAATATTCTTCTACAATTAGGTGCGGTCAGTCGTATGATAAGATGGTAAACAAAAAAAAAAAACAAAAAAGGACACAGAAAATTAAGACATCGTTGGGGATAGATTCCTGGTGCTTGTGGACGTACTCTGGTGTATGGTAAATTTATTGGTAAACATCGATCCAATGATAAATCTGTCCCCACTGTCCTGATCTATGGCTACTATGATGTAATTGCAGCGGAAAATGAAAATAATTTGTGGGGTACAGATCCATTCAACATGACAGGTAGAAATGGTTATCTGTATGGTCGCGGTACAAGTGATAACAAGGGAAAATATCCCAGCATCTATTTTTTTTTTTTATTTAAAACAAATCATAACTTATATATTATAGGGATCAATCCTTGCATCGATTTTTGCTCTGAACGAGTTGTTAAAGGAAGGTCTTTTGGATGTAAATGTCATCTTTTTAATTGAAGGTGAAGAGGAAAGCGTACGATTCGTAGCTAATGCAACAATCCCAGAAGATCCACAGACCTGCATCTATGAAAGATGTCTTGTCGATGCTGTCGAAATTGCTGTAGTCAAGAGATCTTCCGCTGACGATTTTGCGATTGACAACCATGACCAAAATGCTATTGACATGTCACAGCGCCCATTAATACATGTTCCAGACTATGAATCTTCGATGCTTTTAAGCATTAATAAGTCAAAGTTTGGTAACTATTGGCGGTTGCTAAACACTAACTGAGACTTACAAAAACTTCCAAGCCCTTAATCGTCTCGTCAATCGTAATCGTTTACAATAAGGGGGGATTTTTTTTTTAAAAAAAAAAAGTCCGACCAAAAAAACGTATTTATTTGTCATCACGTAATGAGAGCTTGTTTTTTTTTCATTTGAACGTATTTTTTCTGAACTAAATAAGTAAGAAAAAAGTTGTTTTTATTGAGAGAAAGTTATATATATATACGCCCAGAGGAGCCATTGTCTTTCCGGGTTAACTCACAAACGGAGGAGCGATAAAGATTAAGCTATTGGATTTGATTTAAAAAACAAATAATGCATACTATCCCAGCTTCCTCATTGAGGATAGCTTGTGCATCCTTGTGATTGATTATTATTAAAAAAAATACAGAGTTCTAGACAGTTCCGTGATCGACTGTGGCTTATTGTTGATGAGTTGATTTTTTCTATCCAATTCCACAATAAAATGGGAACGCGAATTTTAAAAATATATCTTTTCTCTTCTTACCTGTGGGGAATAGTAGCCCATCCGAATGTTTACAATGATTCAATAATTTTACTTTTAAAAATTATTGATTTATCTTAATTCTTTTGTGTCATGCAAATGGTAAAACGATCTTTCGGAAAGTGTATACAAACCTTGTTAACTTATAAAACTTTTATTAGGAAAACCAAATTGATTATATAAAACACAACTATAAAAGTTTCGACTATCTTGACTTTTTTTTTCAATTTTTTGCTCTACAAAAAATTCAAGTGAATCTATTGCGTTTTTCAAGACAACAATTGAAACTATAAAGAATGAAGCAGCTCATAATGGTAAAAACTGTAACTCTGATCTTTTGATTTGGTGTGAACGTGTTGAAGAAAATGATTGCGCAGTATTACAGACTGATATTCTCAAATCTTTGTGGCACTTGAAGGACTTTCAAAAATTTCAATGAATCCTATCAGCTCGGGATCTTAAAAGAAATTGTTAAGTCCTCTAGCAGCAGCAACGATAAAAGGGAGAGAATCATCCCAATGGCTATCCCTCGTGTTGAACGTGATCTAGTGTTGTTTGGATCTATCAGTGTTTCGACCATATTAAAAAAGGATGCGATCAATAACTTCAATTTATCAATTTATTGGCTATTGAACAGTTTAGGATCAGTCTCGGATTAAACTCAACGATCAATTTAACCAATGTCAAATTTGAGACTTTATCTTACCCATGTAAAAAAACATGATTCGTGATGCAAGTACGGTGGTGATTCTTGCTGGTGATCCAATGCTCGGAGGTGGTGACATTGGTGGTAGACCAATGCTCGGAGGTGGTGACTCGCGGTGGTGAACCCATGCTCGGAGGTGGTGATGCTTGGTGGTGAGTCAATACTTGGTGGCGGTGTTGCTTGGAGGTGATAAGAATCTGTGAATATGCCAGCAAGTCCTATTCACCAACAAAGAATGGTCTATAATCAAAGCTACTTATGCTTTTCGACTTAGGGATCGCTCCAAGTTACCAGGAGAGTTTAAGTCTGAACTTAAGAAGATCAAGCGCGATATTGAAGGCCACAATTTAGATGCAGCATACAATCATGTCAGAACTCTAGAGATCACAAGCAAAAATGAACCTACTAAACGATAATGTGCGATCTATGCTCATGTAATACGTGTTTACAAAGAAAGAGCTTATATTTTAAGAACTATTAGGGTTAGTTCAGAGGCTGATTTGCTTATCGAATTATGGGGAGAAGTATTTGAGCTGCTCTTTGGCGGAAATTCAGATATTTACTTGAGGTGGGGAGAAACAATATCAGGTGTCACAACTCTACAAAAGAAACTCAATAGATCAGGTGATAAGAATGTAGTAGGAATGAAAGTCGACTGTCGAGCTGTTGTATTTTTTGAAAAGGAGAACCTGGAAATTGACTTGATGAATATGGAAGCTGCTAAGGTGTACAACGATGATAAAATCTTCCAAGATCGTGCCAAACTTGTTGCCTAGGCCACATGGTCTCTTGATTACTTTCTGGATTCGTCTGCAATCACAGCAGAAAAGAAAGCTAAAATTTGTATTCCCGTCCTTCAGATCCCTGGTGCCAAGTGCGAGTTATACTCGTGCAGTAGTCGCTCTATTAAAGGGTGTTCGATTTAAGAGTATTTTCTATTTAAGGGTGGGATTTCCGAAATTTTTGGTCAATCTTAAATCGAGCAACTACTTTATAGACTAGTTGCCGATGGATTATATGCTCTTGACTCAGTCAGTCCCCTTACTGTGTCCCCTATTTGCACTGAATTTTCTGAAAATGCATTTTCGTGGGTCAAGCTTCTTACTCGCCTAAAAATAATGGTATTAAACCTTCATGATACTAGTTTTATAGTTCAGCAAAGAAGCATCCAAGCCAAAGCTTATATTGATTACGATCAAGCCAGTCCGGCTCCAAACGGTTCCCTTTTAACAATTTCACATACTGTTTAATGATTTCAATAGTGTTCACATCAATGCATCCCCATCAACTTACACAATAGGAGAATTCTTCCCGGCTACCGAAGCGTCACCAGTTCCTATACTACCTTCAAATCTGTACGGCTCCTGCCAACCTTAAAACGCTGACAATGCTATTGGGTCTAGTTCAAACAAGAAGCTTAAGAATGCTTAGTTTTTTTTTTCTTGATATTTAGTAGTAATAACGATATTAAATAAAATAAATAGTAGTAGTTTCTGTATGTACACGATATAGTCCTCAACAGTTTTTAACACTACGCATTGTAAATGTTGTGACTTGGTGAGAGTCTTGCTCGTACTTGGTGAAAAAATTATGAAGCTGATCCGTAATCCTTTGTGGTTGGTGAGAAGACTAACAGAGAAAATCAACCTACGTCCAGACTGCAAGGAGAGCATAAGCTGCACCTTCAGAACTTCTCCTACTTATAGGCAGTTTGAGAAACTTTTTCAAACCACTGTGAAATTTAAAATGGCTTGTTTCTACTATATACGCTGTCGAGTTCCTCAAATATGCTTTATGAGTTTCATATCAGAATTTTGAGTGGGCCCCAGTACTCAAATTCCTCCATTATTGAGCATAGGCAGGTCAAAAATTTTAACACACTAAGAAATCCTTGATTGGCTGATAAAAAGTCTTGAATTAAAGAGATCCGTTGCAAACGTTATTTGGTAGCCATGTGTCAAATTTAGTTACCATAGTCTTTTGCTTATACCACTTAACTTAATTTCCCGTTTAGATTGGCACTCCATCTTCTTGGTATATAAAGTCTTTGTTATAGATATAACATTGACTTTCGATCCAAGAATGGCATAATTTGAAATCATTGTGATATACTTATCTTGGTCGATTATGCCCCTCAAAAGCACGAGCAGACCCCCAGCTTTTTGCGTGAAAGAAACCTCACATTGTCAACGATACATGGCCAAAATTCAAAGTTCCAACTCTATATCTCTCCTGCAGACCTTCTCCAGGCTTTTTGATGACTGTAACACCAGCTGCACCTCTTCCAAGCATGAACATAGACTCATCAGACCCAATTACTGACTCCCACTGTGCAGAGGTCTATTTCACTTTATCCTTACACCAAATAAGCCTCTTATTCTTTTGGACATCCGCAATAATGGGTGCTTCAGTGATTTTACATTGCTGGAACCCTATTTCTTGATGCATTTGCGGTATATCGCCAGACATGACGTGACCGCAGCCTTCCAATTATCAGTGTACTCGTTAGTGGGATTGCGACGGACTGCGAGTCTTAAATGGGTTTACTGTGTGTTGAAAATCTTTTTCTGGGGCCCCTTTCTAATGGATGGAAACGGGAAGTTGGTTTTAGTATACCGATTTATAACATCCCTGACGGTCTCTTTGGGGATACCAAACTGACGGCCAATTTCCGCAAACGATTCTCCCCATTCCCATGCACCAACTAAGCGTCCATACTCAACGGGTTCAAGCTCATTATGGTTAGCATTGATAATTTTGTTCATGATTCTGTAATTTGTAGTAGCTTTCATTTAGTAAAATGGGTGTAAAAAGTCAATTGAAAAGGGTCGATTATGTTTTAAGTTTATAAAAAAAAATAGAGTTGGGCGGGCTTCAATTGTCAATCACGACATTAATCGTCATGAAACTTACTAAATATCCTCAAGCACGCATATCTTTCTTCGTCAAGGATAACAGGTTCTTTTTCAAGATACAAGACAAAATGGACTTTTGATCGCTTAAATATTAATTTTTTGATATCGAAGCAACGGATGTCGATGGTTTCTGCTAACAAATTGTTTTTAGAAGCTTCAAAATCTTCAGACGAAGATATAAACAACTGAAATTCGGCAGATACTTTGTAATAGCACGGCAAGGCTTTATGCTTTGTTATTTTGAGGTACAAAGTTTCTTCGATGGGATTACGACCACCAAAAAGATTTGACTTCCACGATAAATAATTAAATGAGGTGTCTGGCATATCTATCAATGTAAACGGCCCGACAGTATCATTGAGATTTTTTGAAGTACATCGAATGAATATGCATACCATTGGGTGGCGTGGTAGTTGAGCAGATAGCTTACGGAGAAATATAGGATCAAAGTTGCAACTGGTGAATTGGATCAGTTCCAAAAATTGGAGCGAACAACTAGAGTCCAAATTCAGATGATCAAATGTACCATCCTCCACCCACAACGTATCTAACCGTGGACAATACTCAAAAATGAGATCAAATAAGTCGGTTTCCGCCTTAATCTCCAGACCAGTACCTGGAATTCCGATTTCGGCAGCAGGGCTAACATGAACATCCAATGCTTTCAAATTTCGTCCGAGCGTCTTGATAACAGCTTCATGGGGCCAAGCCTGAAAGTATGATCTTACAAAGCATTTAAACACGGCTCGACGTGAATGATTACCAATCGGATGCATGGTGCAGATTTCACCGTCGAAGCACTGATTGTGATAAACACTGACATGAGGCTCGATTTCCACTGCGTCTGGCCAAAACTCCTTTTCATATAGAATTTCCAAGTGTTCACACAGGTTTGGAACTCTTAAAAAAACTTCTCTATAATTCTTGATAAATAGAGCGGGTAATTCGCAAATCTTCATTGGAGCAATATACTTGAAAAGTTGGATCCAAAGTTCGGTGGAGATCTCTAATTCTTCTGCTTCGAAAATATTCAAAATTATTGTGCGTTGTTGTTGCAAACATGGAAAAACCCCACGATTATTTGTAAGTTCTAATGATGTTGCGTTGGGAAATAGGTGCATAATATACTGGATAAGTCTGGTAGTGGGTGTAATTAATTCACTTATTTCTACTTTCGACACATTTGTTAGAGGCTGTAAGTTGAAAGGTTCCGCAATATTACGGTCTTTCTTAGTGGCGAGCTCAGGATGTTCGGTTGCAATGTACACAGAAGTCAAGGAAGGACAGCATTGCATCTTTTCAAAAATTTTAAAAACGTTGCTATGATCCTCCAGTCTAAGGGAAATCCATTCTAGATTTTTGAATATTCCTAATCGGTTAAGCGCTTCGTTTTGATAAAAGGTTGACTTGTCGAGATGGTAATCAGAAAAAAAAATGCCTTGCAGCGTATCTTTTAAGACGAGCGTTGCGTATCCATATGCGCGAAAACTTTCGAGGTCTTCACAATCGTTGGCAGGGATACTTTTTAAATTTATTCCATTTCCTGCTACAAGTTCTGAAAGTAGTTTGGCATAGAACGAGCTTTTTTTCCTCGACCTGGTGCTTAACATAGTCAGGTTTGGACATGCTTCAAAAAATTGACTTAAACCAAACTCTAGCTGGTTCTCCTCGTTGTAAAGCAAACTGACGTCTTTGACGAATTGACCATTGGGGGAATTGAGCATACTTGCAACAAACGGTTCGAATTGATCTTCCTTGTCTAAAATCACATTCTTGTATATTATAGTTCGGCCGACCAGGGACCAGTGTTTACAAATGAGCAAGCAATGCAGTTTAAAAGTCCCCTTTGTGCTATAATCGTTCAGAGCAAGGTCAATGATCTCAGCCAAGATCTCGGCCGGAAGGCTACCCCAGTTTGACATTGTTTACGAGGGAAAGAAAAAGGACAAACTTGAATTTTAAAAAAAAATTGGGTGAGGTTACTGTATTTGGGGGACTACTCCGCTGATGAAAAGCAATTCAATTGGATGTAGTGAGCCAATAGGTTTTGAATTTCCGTCGGTTGCGAAATTGCCAAAGATCATCCAGAAAAACTCATTTAGAACTAAAATAAAAAAAACTGTCAGCGTTTACATTTTTACTGAAATATTTCGGTTAAATCATTTGAGACTATAGCTGAATATATTTTTATTAAATGGAGAAGGGGTTCCTGTTTTATGAAAGGATTAAAATAGATTGTTATCCGGGAGGATCAAATGGGAGCGTGGATTAGAACTAGACATTAATGCATTGATCAGTTAATGGCCTATGTTTCAGTGCTGTGTTGCTATTGAGTATCAATTATATCATAAGCTGGATATATAGTGTGTGTATGTCATTCACCAGATCTGGATCTTTCTTAATAACTTTTAAATAGCCAAGCAAAAGTTGGAAAAACCTACAAAATCTCAAAGCTTTTTTCCACAAAAGGATTTGACAGAAATCAGCCCATATTGAGCACAATTGTCAACCGTTTGAGCGATGTATTTAAAAATAAAAGTCTAGCTGCCGAAGAAGATGTTAATTCTTGTCTTTTAATGTCATAAAAATATGGAATAGTTCCTAGCTCACCGGTAATTAAAGGAAATGATATTCCGACTTTGATGCGTTTAACTTCGTTTATTGAGCCTGGATTTGTAATAGCAGTGATTATGTAAGATTGATATTCTCATATTCTCTTCTTTGTTTGAAAGCATTGATGGGTATAGAGCAGTCAAGAACCTGGGATAATGGATTGTCATGAGGAATTCAAAGGGCACTATCTTATCATGGATAATGCGCCTATCCATACGTCAGATAATATTAAAAAGTTTATCGAAAGTCGCGGGTATGGCTGCGTTTATATTCCACCATATTCTCCTGAGCTCAACCCTATCGAACAATTTTGGTCTGTTGTTAAAAGTAAATTAAAACGGGAGAAGCTTTTGGAGGCCGAAACACTGAACAATAGAATTGTCGAAGCATGTCAGAATGTTTTATTAAGCGACCTGAAGGGATTCTGCCGTTATTCAGAAACAAAATTCGAAACTTGTTTAAATAAAGACCCCCTCTAAAATATTTCGTACACATTGAGCAAAAAAAAAAAGAGGTAACAAAATCCGTTACCTCATAAAAGCCCAGCGGTAACAAAAAGAGGTAACAAAATTCGTTACCTCATAATAGCCTAGCGGTAACAAAAAAAAAAAAAAGAGGTAACAAAATTCGTTACCTCATAAAAGCCCAGCGGTAACACGATCTAAAACTTTTGCTACTCGACAACCCCTTTATTCTTTGTAAGCAACGTGTCTAAAAGAATAACCACGATTAGTTTTTTTCACTGATCCAAAGCCATAGTTTAATCCACCCTCTTGGGGGGAGGGTCTTCCTCCCTCTGACATTCCTCATTTGAACTCGGAAAAAATTGAAAGTGATGACGCACAAGTTAAGTCTTAACATTAGAAGTTTATTAATAATCACTTATTAAAATATTGTATCAAGATCCCATTAATCGGGCAATATTTGTATACGAATATGAGGATTTGGGGGGGTTATTAAAAATTAAAGCTTCATAAGGTGGAAAATTAGGGTTTGTTTGTAAATAATAAGAAAGTAAATAGATTAGCATGATTTCGAATTGAATTTCAGCTAGGCCGTCGGTTTTGCATGAATGGGTTATGAGATGAGAAGTCAAAAAGTCAAAGCTTTGGTCAGTGATGATAGGTTGATGAGATTTGAGTGATATTAGTTTGAGAGCGGAATTGAGTGATGTAATAATAAGCGGGGGAAAGTGATGTGTGTAAGAGGTCTTTTTTTTAACAATGCACTATTCCATAATCCACTTGTAGAAGAGAACACCAGGAGCTGGTTCTTCAACAAAAGTTTCTTGTGTTTTATGACAGATCTGGTCAACAAGGAAGAGAATGTTGAGGAGATCAGTCCAGAGAGGTTGTCATTTGATTATTAGACTTTGTTTTTCAGAGATGGACTTTGGTTTAGTTGTTGGTAGTGTTTTAATAATTGCGTCGATGGGGCTGACATCGTTGTGGAAACCACGCTGAATGTGCTCCCAATATGCCTTGGGGATTGCTGGACATATAAAAAGATGATTTCGACTCATTTGACCGCCGCAGTGACAATTCGGCTTTCCACCAGGTAACCAATTTATGCGCCACCTAAGGAGTCGCCTACGTTCTTTTCTAGTCATGAAAATTGTGAGGATTGGATCTATTTCTAAATCAGATCTGCAGCCTTGTGACGCACAAGTTAAAAACTAGGCAATGTCTAGAACTCCGTATTTTTTTCAAACGTATTTTTTAGAATCACGCGATGGTCTACACGTCGATTGACATGCCATATCATCTAAACTTCATGGGATGATCGATTTCTGTTTTCCATAAAATCTGCTTCACTGTCATTACAAGCTACTATTAGAACGCAGATAGACAATTACCAAGCTCTGACTTGCTTGGAAGGTTTTTGCAAGTGTTTCTATTTTAAGTAAAGGCTCAAACATTATGGATGATAAAATAGACAAATGAAATCATCTTGACATAAGCTTGTTTATCAGCCTATAAATAAAGCTGGTTCACACACTTTATTCTTCTCCTTTTCTTTTCTCTCAACATACTTCTTCTATCTTATGAAAGTAACCAATAATGTAAAAAGGTTAGTTAGTAATGACTCTTGTTTCTTTGAAAAGACACTAAATTGAAAAAGATGTATTATGATATTACGGCTGCGGCTAGTCTTTGCTATAGGAGGGCTACCTTCTAGGGCAGAGAGTTCTTGAGTTTTTTTTGGAACTCATGAACTGTAAATGGCTGTGATTACACTGTAAATAGCTGTAATCATACTGGCCTGCTGGTTTTCTGGCCAGAATTGTTGTAAGTGATATAAAAAAATACGTTTGAAAAAAATACGGAGGTCTAGACATTTCCTAAAAACTAACCTCATTTTATAATAGAGTAACCAAAATTCGCTACCCTTTGTTTCCTTATATCTGTTACCTCAGACTGTTAATTCGCCATGTTATCGGATTCGGAACTCTGGTGTTTTACTTTTTTTAAGAAATGTTCTCCTGGCACTGACCTCATGAGCAAGTGGATTCTGGATGACAATCATGTAATAAACATAATTGTTACAAAAGTCATTGGTAATTATAACCGTAGAGATTGAAAAGATTTAGGAATAACTATTAACTACTATTAATTTATTTAGGCGAGGCTGCAAAAGATAAATATATCACCAGGCCTACAGAATGGCCAAACCATACGAAATCAGATGTCCTTTACTGCCCGATCAAGAGAAACGAGTTTAAAGAGTTTCCTCCAATCTTAATCGAAGTACAACACACCGCCAACATGAACTTCTATCAAAGACTCATAAAGTATGCTTTATCAGTTCGGGACCAGTACTCCGTATTGCCGATTGTGATAGCTATTTGCGTTTACCACACTTCGAATGAACTTCTTGAATTGAGTTCTGTTTCTGATAATATACCTTTTATGAAGAAATTGCCTTCATATGGTTGGGCTAAGTCTTGTCTTCTGATCAACAAAGATTCCATTCTGAACTTCGAAGATGAAACTCCTTTGGAACCAGTTGTTGCTCTGGCCCATTTCTTCGTTGAGCAAAAACCTTCTTTACTCCACATCAAAAGAAATGATGATGCCACTGTCCAACTTCTTTACAGTATTGCCAAGCGTATATTTGAAGGTGAACTCGCCACCCATAAAAACAAGGATGATGCTTTAGAACAAGTTTGCGCTGAATCTTATAACCAATTAGCTATGGCTAAGAGGCTATTAACCGAAGATGTTTCTGATGAGGCTGCTCGTAAACGTACTATTGACTGTCTCGATAATGGCATTAACTTTATAAATGATTTTAAAAAGAAACATAAGATCAGCTCTTATTCTTCTTCAAACGAACCTACTGCTAGTTCAGTTGTTGGTAACCAAAAATTAAATCCTGATTGGCAATTCGTTGACCTTTACCGCGAAGAAAAAGGCAAAGATATGGACTGGAATAAATGCTTTGAACTTGGAAAAGAAAAAAGACTTTTTAAAAAATATACCAAGATGGACAGCGCAAAGGCAGCATACTTTCGTGCCAAAAAATAAATAAAAACTATCTGATTTTCTATCGTTCTTATTTCTGTCGTCCCCATCGTCGTAGTTTGACTTTTCTCTGTGATGGTAAAGGGAAATAGTCACAATTGTGTTTTTGGGTTTTCTATTTTAGAGTTGGTGTTTTTTGTTTTCTTTTCTTTTTGTTATTAGTAAAGTATGTACAAGTCTGAAATTTAGAAAAAATAAAAGCACGGAAGCCTGAGCAACAGAAGGTCTTACCAATGGAGGGAGTATAAGCTGTCCTCAGAGAAAATGGGAGGGGGAGAATGAGGGGTGCCAGATTGAAAAAGTGCTTCATGTTGAGATTTTAAAATCTCTTTGGACGCGAGGGAGATAGTGGAAGCAGTATTAAAAGGAATGTCGTTAAAGACAAAAGCCCGATGGCCCAACCAAATTGATTCGAGAGTAGCAGAAAGAGCGAGAAGGCTAGAGTCAGGAAGAAGTGGCATATTGGGCAGGGGTGCACGAAAAGTATGAAGACTAACACGCAGGATATTGGTCGACAAAGTAATACAGGATGGGGAGATATAATGTTGCCAAATGGGCAGTTTTAAAGGACACTCAAACAAAAAATGATCAAGAGTTTCGGATGGATGTGAGCATAATTGACAAACTGGTGTTGAAAAGTACGCTGGCATATATCTATGCAGAATAGATCGATGAGGGATTTTCTTATGAATATATCGATACCAGACATTGCGGCAAGAATATGACAAGGGGAGATTCCAAAATTTAGACCAATCCGTGGATAGAGTGGGTGCAAATGGAGGAGAAAGAGAAGGATAGATAGGTGAGGGAGAACACCATTGACGGTAAATCTTCGTGGTTAACGGGTCATGTGGAGAACCGGGAGGAGAAACAAACTGTAATGCAATTAGGAATGGCGGGTTATCCATTACCGAGTGATCGAGAACAGGAATGTAACCAGAGGCACGGGAAGGAGAGATGAAAGAGCGAACAAAGAAGGGCAGAAGTGCAAGCTCATCATTGGTCACTAAACGAAGGATTTGTCGAGATAAGGACGGGTAGATGGTGAATTCTGTGGAACGTTCAGGGCGTAAACAGTTTTCGTTGGCTGAGTCAAGAATATAAGATACGGAACTAGGCAATGATGCCATAGATCAACACAAAGTGGACAGCTGCTAGTCAATGATAATGGAAGCCATTGGAAGTTCTAAACAAGTAGCAGCGCTGATAACAACATCCGTGTATGATTTAGGTAGTCGATCAATGGCTTGGAAAAGTAGATATAGAGACCCGTTAATGTTTTTGGTAGCAGGCGGACGACGTGTAGGAAATAGAAAATAAAACCGGTGGTCAAGATCTTGAGGAACAGTTGGAAAGTGATTAACAGATACAGATGTGGAGACTTGAGAGTACCAGAAGGCGATTAGTCGAAGCAATACAAAAGATTTAATATGCGGGGTAACAGAAACAGATATATCAGTTGGTGAAGACATGAGAGGTTGTAGCCAACGCAGTTATAATGCCGATTGTTGTAAGACCGGATCAAGTACACCTAATCCACCACAAGAACGGCTTGAACAGGCTGTTGCAAAGCTGATCTTAGAAAATATATGAAAATAGATAAATTTCGAAATCACGGATTGCATAGACTTAAGAAAGGACATCGGGACTGAGACCACGCGGAGGACATGCCAGAGTTTACTAAGTACCAGAGAGTTTAAAACCGTGGCTCTCCCCCGAACAGATAAACCACGCTGTTGGTGAATTTTGCAGGCTTTAGAAACCTTGTCCAAAATACCGTCAATAAACAAGTTAAGCTGAGAAGTTGAGGTGTATAATGGAAAACCCAAATACACAACCGGAGCAGGGGATTGACAATCAGGCCACTTGGTGATGTTATAAGACAGCAATGCTGATCGCCAAACCGAATTGTAGATGGAAGAAGCTCTAAATAGTGAGACAGCTTCAGTTTTAGGGAAGTTGACTTTGGCGTTGGAAGCACGTGAATAAAGAGACAAATGGGCCTGTAGGTGTGTCAGTTCACTAGGATCATTCAAAAGGCAGATGATATCGTCAGCATACGCAAGTAATTTGATCGGATCCACTGATGGATTGGTGACAGGAGAAGGTAATCTATACCCCATTATTCGGGAATCAAGTTGGATTTTGCGAAGTAGAGGTTCAAAGGCTAAATTGAACAAAATAGGACTAATAGGGTCACCTTGCTTTAAATCACGTCTTTGAGGAATACATTGTGACAAGAAACCATTTACGTTAGTTTGTAAGTCAGTATTAAGAAAAGACGATAAATACAATCTACCACAGTGAGAGGGTATCCAAATCGGAGAAGTACGGCACGAAGGCAATCCGGATGGACACGATCATAAGCTTTTTCTTGATCCAAAAGTAAACCTATACCAGAAGATGAGGATATGCGAGCTTGTTCCATAACTAGCTTCCTGAGGAGGCCATCATCTGCGATGAAGCGACTTCTAACAAAACCCGTTTGGTAAGGATTGATAAGTTTGGAGGTCGTGATAATCATTCGGCTGCTAAGAATACGAGTGAAGACTTTAGCATCCGTATTGATTAAGGAGATTGGACGCCAATTTTTTCAAAGTGTCAAAAGGCGGTTTTTTGAGTAACAGAGTAACGTAAGAGTGTAGTTATGAGGGCAGAATATCAGCGAAAGATAGGGCATTGTTGAACACATCTACGGCTATTTGACTGCAAATCGGATGTATGACAATGAGTCGTAATATAGCGTACGGAAGACCATCGATACCCGGGGAAGATTTTGTGGGAGTCCGTGAAAACGCATCCAAAAGAGTATCAAGATTAACAGGACTAATCATGAACGAAGATGCCGAGGGCGATAGATGTAGTGAGTTGGGTATATCAGCTAATAAACTATCTATAGCAGCAGGGTCGATAGGTTTGAGAGAATACAGATCGCTATAAAAGGTAGCTGCAGCATCAAGCATTCCATCTTTGGAAGAACACAATGATAAAGAGCTTGGATGTAGAAGAGGAGGGATGGTTTAACGAGATTGCCGTGCAGAAATAATACGTTTTAAATAGCCATCAAATAACTCACCCATTTCACACCACCTTATACCAGACCGCAAAGCGAGGTCATCGACATAATATTGTTGACAAGACCGGGAGCAAGGAAGGATCGAGAGATAATTTCGTGGCTATACCGGCACGGTTTTTGTGTAGCAAATCTTCAGCACAAGAAAGAGTATATGCCTTTCGTTTACTATATGACTTACAAAATGTTGCAGTGGATGCCTTGAGCGATTCCCATTTTTTAGTGGCGGACATGGGCGTATTGAATCGATGAACACATTTGGATAGTATCCTATTGAGTTGCTAGACAAAATGTGGATTGAATGCTAGTTGAGGATGAGCTCGCCAAAGACCCTTACCTACTGAAAAAACAGAGTTGGAATCGCTAATGGGAGGAAACAATCGAAACTGAGCTTTTAGCAAAAGATGGTCAGACCACTGTGGTTGGATATAAGTGGTAGTGCAGTCATCATAATGATTGGAGGAGGGAAGATCATTAGACACAAAAACGTAATCAATACATGACTGTGAAACACCACGATGAAATGTAGCAGAGGCTAATTGATCAGGAGGAGTGATACTACCCGTAAACGAGGAATCAATATAATGAAGCCAAGTGGATGGTGCTTGACGAATTCGAGAAGAAAATTGTCGTGAGTAGGAGTAATCAAAATCACCGGCCAAAATAGTACGTGAAGAGCATGTGGGAAAGACAGCAGGATATTGCTGTGTAATATCGTTAAGAAAAAGATATCCTTCAGCACGTGATGCGGGGAAGTAGACAACTGTGACAACCACCGGATTAAAAGCATTGGAAGCATGCGAGACGGTAGTAGAAATAATACGTTCACAAGGGCTAATAAAGGAGTTTGAAAATTCAAGTTTATCTGAGAAAGAAACCAAACCACAATGAGTAGACCAGAGACTAGCTTTGGCTTGAAATTGGGAATGAAAAATATCTTGGAGAGAGGTTGAAGCGTGAGTTTCTTGAAGTGCCAGCAGATCAAGAGAACGAGTGCGATGGTATCGAATAAAGCTGTTACGAATGGAAATGTCAGCTGTCTTGGCAAGACCACGACAGTTGATAGAACCAATAGCGAGAGAAGGGAAAGAGGTAACCGGGGAGATAGGAGCAGTAGAAGTAGTTGGCTTAGCAGTGGGGCCAATAATTGTGTTAATATTGGTATTGGATAAATTCATGATTAATAAAAATCATGATTAAAGTCTACAAAAAAAAAAAAAAATTAAAGTCTCCATTTGGAGACGGGGTATCGACTATATGATGGATGACTGGTTCATTGGGAGCAGTATCAAGGTCCATATCGACATCTTCAATTTCTGGAGAGTCAGGATTATGCAAAGCAGAGTCTTGGGTACGTTGAGCAAGTTTATGAGGATTTTTTAAGCAGTCTTTATGGATAGTACGCTTTTGACCCATCAATCCACAATGCTTACATGGTGTGATTGTAACTGGTTTAGGAGGTTCGTCAACCAAGGCAGAAGTTGATCGAGTGGCTCGAGCTGGTGAATCCACACGGTGACATTTCTCTTCGACTGGTGGGGCGTGTTGAGGATATCATAGATATAATAATAAAGTTAATTGTCACATCACCTTAAGGATGGATAATTAATATAAAAGTTAATCATGAATAACACATTATCCCGCTTGTTCTCATCCTACCGTTGGAGTCTGTACACAGGGCACATCCCTGTGGCGAGTAAATATTTATTCTGCAAAAGCAATACAATCGAATGGGCCTGGACTATAGAATATTAATAGATCCTGAGCTCAAATATTACTCTTGTCATTTGATGTTATAACTGTTGATCCCTCTGACTAATACTTATATACTCAGTATGGAAGGGCTAAATTTAAAGACATGTTGATTATTTACTATCACCAGATTATTACATCATGATCCAATAAGGCGCTTACTATTCTCCCTAAAACTATCCCAGTTCTTTATATAAATATCCATAGTTTTTTCTCATAGACCATCAAGAGAATTTGAATACATTTTTGAATTATATTTTTTCGTCCATAATAAAGTGGTATCCAAGTTCTAACAGTATCACTTTTGGTTTATTTTTTATTTTGTTCTCCATGCAAAACAGGGCGACGAATTTTGTTACCTCTTTTTGTTACCGCTGGGCTTTTATGAGGTAACGAATTTTGTTACCTCTTTTTGTTACCGCTGGGCTTTTATGAGGTAACGAATTTTGTTACCTCTTTTTGTTACCGCTGGGCTTTTATGAGGTAACGAATTTTGTTACCTCTTTTTGTTACCGCTGGGCTATTATGAGGTAACAAAACGACTACGTGCACCCTGACTATCCCTAAGTGGCTGTCCTTAACAGACCCGTTAAAAAATCCGCGAAAAACTCATCACATCCGTGTGCATATCATGATTAATTTCTTCATTGTATGTCGAGAAAATGAGCATTAAAGTTATTGTACATGCATGCTTGTCCATTTTGAGCGTCAGGATTGGGGTCTCATTATTTTAATGAAATTTCCTTAGCCTATGAAAATAACAGATTCATTCTTCAGTTTTAGACACTCCATCATATTCATTTCAAGATGCACCTTGCAACATGAAAAGCCTTCTGAAAGATCCCTCACAGATAATAGATTTATCCAGGTCAAAAAGGGTTTAATATGGGATTACTATCCAGCACACCACTAATTGTCCAAGTGTCAACTTCTTGAAAAAATAAAGTTTAAATGCTTATGTCATTTTTCATTTGTTTATCGTTTCATCCAAGAAAAACAAGAAAGTGATTGATTGGTTCTCTTTGATAGATGTGAAAAAATATCATTTCATCAGGACATCAGGTCGATCAAAGAAAGTGCCGATTTTATTACCTGGACACAGGTAAAAGATGAGTTCAGCAGATGAGAATGTTTTGTTTCTTTTGACATGGAAAAAAATCCCATTTGTTGATGTTGTAATCAAATTTATTTTACTCCCTATTTTAGTCTACTTTTTTGTTTACAAAAAAAAAAAGAGAGAGTAAAAAAATTATTTGTAATAAAGTTATTGTCAACAGGAAATGCGGTATAACTTGAAGACCATACAAACGTTTTCTAATCCTTTCTTCCGGTACGTGATCATGTCTTGTTAAAGCTTATCGCTTATATGTGGTGGTTCTTAAAAGAACCTCTTGAGATTTTCATGGTTTATTTTTTATGGTAAAATTTAGAGTAGTACAGACCAGTTGTTTGGGTATAACGTAATTCAACTGATGTATTTAATCATCAAACACAACAAGGTTGCCATGCTTCTCTTTTCTTCTCATAGACTTTTTTTGATAGACAATGCCCATTAAAGGCATTACTTTCAGCTTGGTGCTGAAGACTCAGCATATACCCTATATACCCATGCCTGGTGCTAGAATATACCCTCTTTATACCCTTTTAAAAGATACCCTGAGGTCATCAAGAAGCTTTGTTTACTGCACACATACCCTGTAAATATCATCAAGCCTGTTTCAAATTTAAAGAAGATACAAGATCAGTGCTCTAGACAAATAGAAATAGAAATAGAAATAGACAAGAACAATGAAACCCTATAGACATAGAAATAGAAGAAAACAAGAAGAATAATAGCCTATGGACAAGAAAGTTAATACCTTTTATGATTTAAAAATACTCTTTTATATACTACATACCCTTTATTATATAACCTTGATACTATATACCCTTAATACTATATACCCTTTATTATATACCCTTCATTATATACCCTTAATACTATATACCCTTAATACTACATACCCTTTATTATATACCCTTTACACTTTATACACCTTAAATATACCCTTTACACAATATATACCCTCAAAACATACCGTTTACATTTAAAAATACTCCCAAATACTCAAAGTCTGGTGCGAAATGTGCATAATATACCCTGTCATGTCTGTAAATGCCTCCAAGACTGTAAATACCTTCAAGACTGTAAATGCCTCCAAGACTGTAAATACCTCCAAGACTGTAAATACCTGCTGTAAATACCTACAAGACTGTAAATATCTTCAAGACTGTAAATATCTTCAAGACTGTAAATATCTTCAAGACTGTAAATATCTTCAAGACTGTAAATATCTTCAAGACTGTAAATATCTTAAATACTGTAAATACCTCCAAAGACTGTATATAATTGTAAACCTGTAAATACCTTCAAGCCTGGTGCTTTAGATATAGACATAGACATAGACATTTAGATATAGATATAGAAAAAAATAAAGTATACCCAAGCCTAGTGCTTTATACCCCCAAAAAAAATACGATTTAAACGTAGGCAATACCATTTAATACAAAAAGTTTTTCTCTCTCTTGAATTGTAAACAAAAAATTAGACTAAAATAGGAGGCAAAGAGATTTTTATTACAGCGATTTTTTATGTCTCAATAGAAATAAACTCATGTCTTTATTAAATATTACATGCTGTCCCCTATACTTGTAAACGTACCCATACGTATCCTGTCATCTGCATAACTTGTATTTTACCTGTATCCAAATATAAAAGGTCACGTATTAATATACCTGATATCATGATGAAATGATATTGTTTCAGGTGCAATAAAGAGCACCAAATGATTTTGGCTGAAACAAAGAAAGAAGGGTATATTTTCATTCTTAACCAGTGGAGACGATCATTGTCAATGTTTGGCTAGTTAGTGGTAGTCTTCTACAAAAGTCTTTGAGAGGGCTTTCTCGTGTGACATGGTATTTATTTTACCTGTATTTAAAGACATCAGCTGCAAATGAAAGAATGTCTTTAACTTTTCGGATAATGTAGCATAATATTTACAAGTTCGTATTGAAGCACAAGTTGGTCTACGCCACATTATTACCGCCAAAATTTGCTCTCTACGTTTTTTAATATTCTGCAATATGAATCCTAATCTCCCCACAGAAATCTGGTACCATGTGCTACAAGTTTCACAAAGTCGATAACAATGCGCCCTAGCCTGTATAGCTTGGAAAGAGCCTGCACTCAAACAGTTGTATAAAGACCTGAGATTAGACGGCTACAATGTGTATTGCATGAAGAAGCTTTTTAAATTGAATGCCGATGAGCAAGCCCCTTTCTTTAAATATTTCTTTTTGACTACAAAATTAAAGATTGACAGAGAACATGTAAAAATGACAATTGATACATCTGATTATCTGGGTTAGAAGAGGACGATTTTATATTTTTTTAGGGATGTTACCAAAACTGGAAGCATTACATCATAATAACAGCTACTGCCAACATTATTACTTCCGGTATATACTCGATATAAGTTCACGCAAGTGCTTAGATAAAGTCCAAACATTTTGCTCGGCTACCTTTCATAAAGCTTTTAAAGTGATCTACAAGTATCGGGAAAAATTGACTACTCTCGAATATACCCATCGTATTCTAAGCTATTCACAAATGCATCGTTCGACTTTATGCGAGTCATTACGCCATCTTAAAAACCCGACAAGTCTTACTTTGGTTAATGCCTATGTTAGTAATCTGACACGATTAGAAATACAACTTGCCTGACCTCATTTGGTGATCCTTAAATACAGCTGTAGAAATAAAATAAACTGTCCAAACCTTCAACGGTTTCTGTACAAATCTACTAATAATCACAATCGAAGTATATGTATTGAAGTCGAGCCAAAAAGGAGCAGTGATATTGCAAAGGGTAAGAAAAGAATATCAATTGCGACACAAAAAGACATAAAGATCGTCAGGACTAGAAACATGGTCCCACCAAAAGAACTATTACGTCTCCTGCATAAACACTTGCCTGCAACAGAAAAATTTATATGTGGCATGGACGATTTCCAAGATGTTATTTGAAGTAGATTTAATACCATTTATTCATTTGAAGTCAATTCAACTAAATGTTCTATTGTTGTGTGATGAGGACCAAAATACCGCATTTCTGGAACTACAATTCGCGGATAGAGATTGTGGATATTACTGTTTGAAAATAGGTGATCCTGATTTGGCTGTAACTAAGATCACTTTGAACCAAATGAAAAAAACAGATAGGCAGAGCAATAACAGAAGTATTCGAAAAGCTGTCATCAAGTGCCACAAGCGTGTCAGATTTAGACTTTTTTATGATTAGTCAATGGGTGTAGAAATTTGTGATGGAAAAAATAGTATATTTTACGGCAGAGTTACCCTCACTTATTTTAACTCGCTTATCCGTCTATATTTTATCAGAACTCATACAATTTCTGCATGTAATAAATACCTTGGAGGTTACACGATCCGATTAAAGGATGTTGAAAAAAAAATAAAGATGGATGGCTTTTTTTTTTTTTTTTTTTTTTTTTAATTTCAGTTTTTGGCAAACATGTCGAAGTTTCCATCGGAAATCCTGAATATTGTATACAGCCAATTAAGTAAAAGAGATGTTTTTCAATGTGCTCTAACTTGTAAAAGCTGGAAAGAAAGTGCATTGTCATTTTTCTACAGGGACCTGACTATCGAAATCTATGGAGCTTCTTTAACAAAGAAATTGTTACAATTGGATCCCATTGAACGCGATCGTTACTTTCAACACGGCACTTCAACGAAAAAACTTGTTGTTCATTCGGAGAAAGCAAGATATCAATTTATGGGTACCTTTTCATCAGAAGATATTGACGATGAGTATACAAAGGAAGAGTGGCTCATGCTTTTGGGATATCTGCCAAACATACAAGTTCTGAATTTACATGACATCAAAACTTCTAGCAAATATTTACAATACATCCTTGATTCGGATGATTCTGAAAAAATATTAACCAAAATCATGGAAATTATGCCGCGTGGCTTCATTGAATCTCATTTTGCTGTCTGTTACAAGTTTCATGGAACTATCACAAAATTACATGTTGAGTACAGAGCCCAGAATTTTAAAATGGGATCTATCAAAGGCAGAATAATTACCTTGTTGAATGACTTTACCAGCTTGACTCATTTAACATTCAATAACGAGTGTGATAGACGGTTAACCACATTCGACATCATGGATGCTTGTCCTCATTTGGTATCACTAACATACCATAGCGAATACTATACTCCGGATTCAATTGTAAAGAAAACTTTTGATGATGACTTGAGCCCTAAGAGGTTGAATAGTAGCGTCAAAGAACTAAAGTTATCCGTCCCAACCATTCCCGAGCATTATGCCAATTACATAAAGCAATACCTTGCCACGCATATGGATGTCGTAGAACTAAATATTCATGATGTAGATGTTTTCGATTGGGTGGAAAGAATTGGACTTGATAATGCAGTGGATTTTTTGCGCAGTTTGAGCAAGGTAAAAACGGCTAGTATCAGTTGGGAACCTGATTGGGACTACGATAGACAAACAACCAGTACTGAATCCGAACCCACAATTGTATATGCATTAGTCAACGCGATGAAAAGAAAGGAAGTATACTGTAAAGCCCGTTATGATGATTCTCGAAGTGTATACAAGTCTATTAAGTTAGATCCAGATGACAGCTTGTATATTATTCACGGTTTGAAACGATCAGATTATTATTTTCCAATGACCGACTCGGAATCTGAAGAAGAATCGGATGAAGAAGAACACCAAGACCGTATTATTCAATTTGTAATGCCTAATCGTTCAATTTCAACAATAGGACCCGAAATCATTCACAATATGGAAGTTATTATGGCTGACAGAAATCCGTATTTGCCGTTGGAGTTCTTACGATACGCATTGAACAGTTGCCCTCACCTTCAACAGTTTTCTTATATGTCAAGGAGCAGACCAAATCGTCGTATATGTATTGGCACTGACCTTAAAATGATGTTGAACGCTGTCAGGGAGAGGAAAAGCTTATCCAATTCAACACAAAAAAATATTAAGGTTGTTAAGCTTAAAAACATGATGCCATCAAATGAACTTTTGGATCTGATGAGAATGTACATGCCTGCAACAGAAGCTTTTATATGTAGCGAAGATAGGTTTAGAGAGAGGTTTGAAGAGAGGTTTGAAGACTCACCAAATGAGCCGTTTGAAGCAGATTTGACAGCATTCAAACAGCTGAATTTAGTTCAATTGAGTGCTCGAATGTTATGCGGCAAAATTAGACAAAATACTACATTTATGGAGATACATTTCGTGGATAAAGATTGGGAATATTACTGTTTGGAAATAGACGGAACTGATTTGACTATAACAAAAACCACTTTGGAACAGACGAAAGAACAGATTAGCAAAGAAAATGAATGTATCCGAAAATGTGTCGTCCAATGTCACAAACACGTCAAATTCATAGTTTCCCTTGACTATTTTAGGACCATAGAAATTAGTAATGGAGAAATCAGCAGATTAGGCCAAAATCCTTCTAATTCAATACATAACCGATTTCTTGAATAGATTTACTGGTGTTTCCACCTGCGGCATATCATCGTACCCTTTGGTTTCAAAAAAAATGACCATCTTGAATATGAAAATTATCAATACATACAGGACAAATAAACCCTGTCATAGTAACATTTATTACTTTTCTAACTACAGACGTAAATTATTGCTCTTCCTAAACACTTTTTTTGAAGAAATGAAGCGCACTTGGTGTCCAGCTTTTATCTTGAAAGAATGATTGTGTTTACATACTTAAAAATTCGGGCAAGTTACTATAAACTTATAAAAGTTTTAGAGCGCATACAATAGTACAAGCTCGGGAAGCTTGAGGGGTCTTTCAAAATTAGATCTGCTACTGATTTGGGAGCTATTGGAAGCCTATATTAAATCATTGGTTCCATCACTAATATACAAAGTATTCACATTTATTGAAGTGAATATGAAGTCGCGCAATAACATAAAATAATTTTTGTTCATTTTTCATATAGATAACAAAACCCCACCCCTCATACTATCTTTCTTGCTCAATGTTATCTTTCTTTTGGAAAAAAAAAAAGAGTATCAAGCATAATTCCTATGCTTCTAAACGTTTTTGCATGTATTATATGTCCCAAAAACTCGAGGGAGCTCAAGCTCATTTGTGCATGTATACAACAGAGCCAATCATATAATGCGTCTGTACAGATTCAGCCAAAACACACCATAGAGTCGAACAGTAACTACGGCTGCAACAGCTTTTTTATAGACAGCAATCACGAAGGAGAACTGAAACTAACCAACATCTAACAGCTATCAAGTCAAATGCCAAAGTAAACAGAAGGGTTGATCTATTTGATTCATCATATTTATCCAGCAGGCTGTAATGTAGCTTGAAAGGAGCACGGCAAATTTGCAAACATAGATGATTACATGATCCCATTACAGAAATCGGTGTAACTTGTAATAAAACAGGCGCCAACTTTTTTTTTTTTTTTTTTTTTATCATCTTTACTCCAACATGTCGAAATTACCTTCAGAAATTCTAAATGCTGTGTACCAACATTTAAGTAAAGAAGATGTTTTCCAATGTGCTCTAACTTGCAAAAGATGGAAAGAGAGTGCAATGCCAATTTTTTACAAGGACCTGCATATCGACCTCTTCGGAATTGCCCGCACGGAGATACTGCTGCGTTTAGATCCCACTGAACGCGATCGTTACTTTCAATACAGTACTTTCACAAAAAAGCTTGTTGTTCATTGGGATGATACGTATAAATCTCACTCTGATGCTAGTCATTTCTCAATAGAGGGTTCAGACGGTGAATATACGAAGGAAGAATGGATCCTGCTTTTGGAACACTTACCAAACATTCAAGTTCTGGATTTACGTGACAGTGCAAATGCCCGCAACTATATGCAGAGCATCCTAAACTGTACAGATCCCGACAAAATATTGCACAAAATTAGGGTTATTATACCGGGTGATCGCCGAAACTATATGAGTGGCACCGATGATTCTTATGGCATTTACTTTGCCGTCTGCTACAAATATCGTACAACCATTACCACTTTAAAAGTTGAATACAAATCCTCGACTTTTAATTTGGGATCTATTAACGGCGATGTGCTTATGCTGTTAAATCATTTCAACAACTTGACTCATTTAACGTTCATCAATATCTGTGATCACCAGTTGACTACATTTGATATCATGGATTCTTGTCCTCATTTAGTATCATTACGCTACGAAAGCGAGTATAGTATTCCAGAAGTAATTGTAAAGAATATTCTTGATGGTGATATGAACCGCAAGAGGTTGAATAGTGGTTTTAAAGAATTGCATTTGACGGTCCCAACTATTTCAACGTATTATGTTGATTACCTCAAAGACTATGTCGCGCCGCATTTGGATGTATTGACACTGAAAATCTGTAAAACAGATGTATTCGATTGGGTTGAAAGAATTAGACTTGGTAATGCAGTGGATTTTTTGCGCATTTTGAGCAAGGTAAAAACAGCTAGTATCAGTTGGAAACCTAATAAGTACTACAAGAGACAAACTACCAGTACTGAATCCGAATCCACAATTTTCTTTACATTACTTAACGCAATGAGAAGAAACAAAAGAATATACTGTGGAGCCAATTATAATCAATATGACAGTACATGCAAGTCGTTTAGTTTAACTCCAGATGACCACTTGTGTTTTGATTACGGTTTGAGGGAGTCTGACTACCATTTACCATTAAATAATCAAGAATCTGAACAAGATTCATCAACTCGTCCTATTCAACTTTCAGCTCCCAATCTTTTCACTTCTATGGTTGGACCGGAAGTTATTTCTCGCATGGATGTCATTCTTGGCAACACAGATCCATATTTGCCGCTGGAGCTCTTACGATACGCGTTGGTAAACTGTCCAAATCTTCAACAGTTTCTGTACAAATCTACTAGGCACTATCATAGTATATGTATTGAGGTCGAGCCAAAAATGAGCGGTAACATCGTAAAGAGTAAGAAAAAAATATCAATTGCGACACAAAAAGACATAAAGGTCGTTAAGACTGGAAACATGGTCCCATCAAAAGAACTATTGCGTCTCTTGCATGAACACTTGCCTGCAATAGAAGAACTTATATGTGGCATGAACGATTGGAAAGATCCGCCAACTGAAATATTTGAAGTAGACTTGATACCATTTATTTATTTGGAGTCAGTTCAACTGAATGTTCTATTGTTGTGTGATGAAAACCAAGATACCGCATTTCTGGAACTACAATTCGCGGATGGAGATTGTGGATATTACTGTTTGAAAATAGGTGATCCTTATTTGACTGTAACTAAGATCACTTTGAAACAAATGAAAAAACAGATAGGCGAAGCAAACAAAAGTATTCGAAAAGCTGTCATTAAGTGCCACAAGCGTGTCATATTTAGACTTTCCTATGAATATTCAATGGGTGTAGAAATTTGTAATGGAAAAAACAGTATATTTTACGGTGGAGTTAATTTTGAATTACTTTACCCTCACTCATTTTAACTCACGTATCCGTCTATATTTTAACTCGCGTATCCGTCTATATCCTAACTCACGTATCCGTCTGTATTTTAACTCACGTATCCGTCTGTATTTTAACTCACGTATCCGTCTATATTTTACTAGAACCCATATAATTTCAGCATGTAATAAATACCTTGGAGGTTACACAGAATGTCGAAAAAAAAATTTGAAAATAATATCTTTCAGGGCGTTCTTTTTTTGTTTTTTTATATTTCAGTTTTTGGCAAACATGTCGAAGTTACCGTTTGAAATCCTGAATATTGTACACAGCCATTTAGATAAAGAAGATGTTTTTCAATGTGTTCTAGCTTGTAAAAGCTGGAAAAAAAGTGCAATGTCATTTTTCTACAAGGACCTGTCTATCAAAATCTGTGGAGCTTCTCCAATAAAGAAACAGCTACATTTGGATCCCATTGAACGCGATCGTTACTTTCAACACGGCACTTCAACAAAAGAACTTGTTGTTTGTTCGGATAAAGCTGAAAATAACTTTAGGGGTATCTTTTCATCAGAAGATACTGACAATGAGTACACAAAAGAAGAATGGCTCATGCTTTTGAGATATCTGCCAAACATACTAGTTCTGAATTTAGTTGACAGTGGAAATTCCGACAAATATCTGCAATACATCCTTGATTCTGATGATTTTGATAAGATATTGCCAAGAATTATGAAAATTACACCGGTTGGTCGCGAGTCTTTATCCGGTCCCTCCATTGAACCTTCTGAAACTTATTATGCTGTCTGCTATAAGTTTCGTAAAACTATCACAAAATTAAATGTTGGATACGAAACCCGGGAATTTAAAATGGGATCTATCAAAGGCAGAATGCTCACCTTGTTAAATGAATTCACCAGCTTGACTCATTTAGTATTCAATAACGAGTGTGATGAACAGTTAACCACATTCGACATCATGGATGCTTGTCCTCATTTGGTATCACTATCATACTATAGCGAGTACAATATTCCGGATTCAGTTGTAGAAAAAATTCTTGATGATGACTTGAGCCCTAAGAGATTGAATAATAGCATCAAAGAACTAAAGTTATCGGTCCCAACCATTCCCGAGCATTATGTCACTTACCTCAAGCAATACCTTGCCTCGTATATGGATGTCATAAAACTAGACATTCATGATATAGATGTTTTCGATTGGGTGGAAAGATTTGGACTTGATAATGCAGTGGATTTTTTGCGCAGTTTGAGCAAGGTAAAAACAGCCACTATCAAATGGACACCTGATATGCACTACGATAGACAAACAACCAGTACTGAATCCGAACTCACAATTATGTATACATTACTCAACGCAATGAGAAGAAATGAAGAAGTATACTGTGAGGTCCACTATGATGATTTTCAAAGTGTAGACAAGTCTATCAAGTTAGCTCCAGATGGAAGCTTGTATATTGATTATGGTTTGAAGCAATCGGACTATTATCACACGACAACAATCGCTGAAGGGGAATCAGACGAACAGCCGAGGAGTGTTATTCAATTTGTAATGCCCAATCGTTTAATTTCAAAAATAGGACCCGAAGTCATTCATAATATGGCATTTATTGTGGGCGACACAACTCCGGATTTGCCGTTAGAGTTCTTACGATACGCATTGAACAATTGCCCTCATCTTCAGCAGTTTTATTATAGTTCAATGTACAGACCAAGTCGTGGTATATTCATTGGCATTGACTTTGAAAAACAATATGACCTTGTTGCGGAGAGGAATGATTTATCGCGTACAATTCAAGAAAATATCAAGGTTGTAAAGCTTAGAAACATGATGCCATCAAATGAACTATTGGATCTAATGAGAATGTACATGCCTGCAACAGAAGCCTTTATATGCAAGCTAGATTGTAGCGGATACTCGCCAAATGAGCCATTTGAAGCAGATTTGACAGCATTTGAACAGTTAAATTTTGTTCTATTAAGTGCCCGATTGTTGTGCGGTAAAAACCAGAATACTGCATTTATGGAAATACAATTCGTGGATAAAGATTGGGAATATTATTGTCTGGAAATAGATGATTTGACTGTAACTAAGACCACTTTGAAACAGATGAATGAACAGATAAGCAGCAGAGGGAATGAAGATATTCGAAAAGCTGTCATTAAATGCCACAAGCGTGTCAAAATCGCTCTGTCCTCTGACTTTTCACTGATTACTATAATAAGTAATGGAGAAATCAGCGTATCAGACCGTTATTATTAATGTAGCAGTGCCCTTGTTATCAAACCCCCCCCCCCCCATCTTGATTGTGAAATTTATAAATAAAACCTGTCCAAGTGGTCTTTTTTATTTTATTTTTTAACTAGAAGACGCTAAATACGCTCTTCCTTCTAATTAGATTTCTGAAGAAATGAAACGTGCCTAGTTCCCAACTTTTAACCCGGAAAGAACGACTGTGTTCACATACATAAGAATTGAACAAGTTAATATAAAAGGTTTGAAGTGAATGTATGACTTACTTTCAGGCTACAGATCCAATCATACGTTTTGAGTGAACCTGGTAGAACCTAATAACAAGTAAAATGATGGAAGCTGTATGTAACCCCATGACAGTTAGAGCAAAAAAAAAAAGGGCAATTGTTATGATATGTTTTCAGGAAGCAGCTTGTAATACTGATAGCCAAAGATGTGATCAATAAGAGTCAAGCCAGTAAAACGGATGCCATCTTCTTATAGTTTGTTACAGTAACGGTTTCCAAGATGATCGAATTTACATTGTGAAAGATGATTGATTTTCTCATATCATCTAGGATTGTGCTTGATTTGTATCATTTCTTATGACAAAATGCATGACAAAATTTTTTTGGGATTTTGGGGAATTACACTCGATAGAAAGCAGCATGACAAAAATTGATACAATCAAAGACCACGATTTAGGTAAGAAAAGGACATTTAGCTCATTTATTGTCCTATGTAGCTATAAGCCTTCTTACATTTTCATCGTTTATATGAATAAAAGGGGTTTAACAGATGACTTCATAAACATTTCCAAAAAATGGGATGATTGTCGAGCAAGAATTTGCTTGGACCAAATTTGCTTGGATTCTCGAAAAATTGCTTGGGTTCATCTGGATTTTAAATAAAAGGGCGTGCCAAATGATTATTTTATTTTTTTTGCCTCTTTGTCTTTTTCTTTTTATATACAGCATGGAGAAATATTCGAGATGGAGAGTAAATGCTACTCGTCGAGCCAGAATAGTAATCGTGTTCTAACTGTCTCTTTTCTATTAGGATGCCGGTACTGGCATTCAGCCCTTTTTGCCACCTGTGGTAATCTATCCAGAATAGAAAGATAAACAGACTGACATACTCACATACATTTGCCTTAGCCACCTCGTACCGATTCTAGTATTTTAGTTACATTATCCAATGTAATTCATATTGTTGTTGGACCAATTCAAGCTATTGTCAAAATTACCTTGATTTCTATTGTCAGTGCTGTGTACTTTTTATTCGTACCTGTCTTTGGAGCACTACTTGTAAGTTTGTTTTGAAACATTGTGTGACACCTAGAAAACTTATCTTTCAATAGACACCCATTGCTCCATTAAAACGTTTATGGACAAGAGTGTTCTCTGCTATTCTTCTTCGTCTGGTACTTTTTATAGCAGGTTTCTTTCATATCAAGACAGAAACACTTTCTATTCGTAAAAGGTAACAAAAAGTGACACTTTAACACGTGATAATTCGATCTAATACCCGCCTCGAAACAGTCGTGGCTCAGGCCGTGTAGAATCCAGCTCAGTTAAAAATGGCGATGTCATTGTTGCAAATTGGACATCGTATATCGACGTTGTATATCTTGCATCAAGGTAATAGGACATTGGTTGGATAATAGGAGACGACTCGATATAACAGGTTGATATTGATCTGCTTTTTTTTTTTATAGATTTGTTCCTGTTTTTACTCAGATTTATACGGAAAGTGAAAAGATCAAAATCATTAGTTTATGGGAAGCTATCCGATTGGCTGGTAAAATTCCTGAATCAGCACCCTCCAGCGATGACCAAGTGTATACCGTTCAAGAGTTGTCGTTGAAAGCAAAGAAAGGAGGATGGGGACCTATTGTGGTTTTTGCAGAGGTATGGCGTGATTATGCAAGTCTATTTAATTATTTTTTGACATATTTTAAAGGGTACTACTACGAATGGACGTGCATTATTGAAATTTGCACCTATTTTCAAAGATTACAAGGTGGATCAAAAAGATGGGCAATTTCAAGTTATGGCTTTCAAGTAAGTGTATTCTGTGTGTTCAATGATGACTGTGTGATTAATTACCATGTATAGATATGAATATGCTGGTATGTCTCCAACGTATACTGTTGGAAATCAATTATTTCACTTTTTCAAATTATGTTCTCAGGTATTAATAATAATTGCATTATACATATCTTGATACTCATCCGTGTACATAGTTCCATAACACTTTAATTGTGAAATCGCTTGCTAATGGTGAGGCACCGTGCTCTCCTCATTCTCAAGTGCCCGCTACGGGTTCTATAAGCGATGATCCAGTTGGTGACTTACTGATTGCCGCAGTTGGAAATATTTCAAAACTTAGAAAAACCAACTTGAGTATGACTGATAAGCGGGACTTTTTGTCTTACTATGAGTCTCGTAAATCAAAATAAATAATTTAATATGATATAATATACATGAGCCGGTATATCTAGTACAGTAGTGTAAGGGAATAAAAAAGCCAAACAAACTATAACAGCGTAGGATGATTTAAATAAAGAAAGAAATTTATTATAAAAGACCACTTTTTAGCTATCAATGAGTCCAAGTATAATCATATTACATTTATAATCAAGAATCAAATTACTATTGTATATGTGCTCTTGTATTTATCAGAAAAGTTTTTTGGATATTACCCAAATGTGTTACCAGCTAAAGTCATATTTTTTTTTTTTTTTTAGTGGATGATATTTCCAATTTAAGAACATTTTACTTACAATAGAAGCTGGGAGTACCACTGGCACAGCTTGAAGCACTTGAAGAACCACCACAGCAGGAACCCATTTTATTAATTGAGATTTGATGAGTGATATATGAAACAAAAATTGTAAAACTAGCATTATATATGGAATTTTGGCTTATTATGAAATTTAATTTATAATAATACCGTCATTTTTGATAGCCTGTGGGATTGTTCTATTGATTAAATGAGCATGCAATAAAGATTGATTGTTTACGTGTATGTACATTTAATTGAAATGAGCCATAATTGTTGACAATCAAAACTGATGTATTGAACCATTTCCTTTCTTTTTAATGGTCTATTATTGATTCATTTTATTTTAAAATTTTGTGTCATTTGCAAGGTGCGCTCTATAAAGTTTATTGTCTTGTATTACCAGCATTTTTATCGAGCATTTTTTGTAAACAAGCATAAATAAATTGCAAAGCATGATTGCATGCATGTATTTCCAGGACGTTTGATATTTAAACCATTCAATGTCTTTAGTACGCGACTATTCCTGTAGGATAAAGTATTTCGTCCGAACGCAATCTAATTCTCGCTTGTCATTAGAACAAAACCCGCTCATGCACTTTTTTTTAACAGCAACTTATTAAAAAAAAAGCCGGGTTCCGTCAATAGTGAATTCTATTTTTTTTTTTTTTTTCAGGTAGATGCTACAACATGATAAGATTTTTAAAAACACATGATTTTTTTAATATATAAATGAAAAGTTGCGTATTAATTTCGTCGAGATATAAATGAAATCACGTCCACTTGTCTTCGCTATAATTTTCAGGCTTTAAACTTGTATTATGGTAAACCATATACACTATCAAAAACGCCTACGAGTGTGAATACCGACCACAAACTAAATGAGAATATGGTTGTTTATAGACAAAGTAGGTGTCAAAATTGCTTATTTACAACTTATTGCAGTCAGCCTGCTGCAGTAGTAACAACAAAGGGTCGAAAAGCATGAAAACACAGGGAAAAATTATCATTGTCAGTGGAGCTTTACATTGTTTTCAAGACTAACCCATATACAGAACAGTTTTGACGCCATGGATGCACACTATTTGCATATTTCTCTATTAGGATTGGGTCCGAACATCCTGAGAGATATAACACACGTGCAGTCAGCTTTGTGGCGGGTATGATTATGCTTGTCACAACCTATTTATGAACTGACGCTGTTGTGAATTGCGTCAAAGTCTGTAAAACAAGTTGTACCGCTAATTCCTACAAGGAGATTTTTGAACAGAATCAGACACATATCATCAAGCTCACCCTCCTGTACAGACAACAAGCATCCGTGACGTTGATAGGACGAAGCAAGTTGTAGGATCAAAGGTATGACGCAGCATGGACAAAAAAAAAGCACATTTATCTGCTTTGATAAAACAGTCTAATATCGTTGTCTTGGATTCTCTTTTAATTGTGATATCTATATTTTTTATGGATTGATAAAGTGCGTCGTTTCTAATTTACACCTGTTATTGCGGCATTTTTTTTTTTTTTTTTTTTGTGAGATTAGTACCTCATCATATTGTGATGTAGCTCATTATCTGCATAAATAAGGTATTGACAGATTATATCCAATCTCGTTTCCAATAAGGAAATTATGCGAACAAAAGTCCAGAAACATATATAAATATAATTTTATTAGGATCTTGGTATTGATCCCTTTGTTAAATACTGACCACCTTTTTTTTAAAATAAAATAAAATAAATAAATATGGGTTGCTGTAGTTCATCAAGTAGTAGTTCAAGCTCAAGCTCAATCTCATCCAACGGCTCGGTTTCATCAAGAGGTTTAAGTTCATCTATTTACTCAATCAATACATCTAGAAGTTGTATGTCAGGCAGTACTCGTTTTTGTAAGTGATTGTAAGGTTGTCATTATTGCTTACACTAATACATGTATTGTAGCTGGATCCACACTAGTTGATGACAGTTAATGATCGCTTCGCAGTATATAGGTTGATGTTTGAAATAAAACAATTGTATTATAAAATATATCTGGGTCAGATTTAGCTAAAATTTAATTGAGGATCAACCAATTTACATTGTAGTTTAATAACAAAAATTGATCACAAAAATACTGCTGTTTATAATAAATGACCTCATAAAGGAGACTACCAAGTGCTTCGTCTCACGATGGCAGAGTTTACAGCAAACGACTTGGAGCGAAAAAAATTAGGAACCCAAATAGTTTTGTTCTTGAACGACATTTTTCTACTGGATGTATATACGTTAGCGGTATTCATGAAAATTATAATGTTGTCAATTTAAGACTACAATAAGCCAAAAAAAAAAAAACTATTTGTATAAATACAGTAGCAGTTTTATAGATCTGTAGTTGTCAATTACATCAAATATAAAATATGGGCTCCTGTTGTAGCTCAAGCTCTGCGTCAAGTTTTCGGTCAGGTAGTACCACAGTGTGTGGATCTGAGTAATTTTGTAAGTCATGTAGTACAATCAAATATAATATAAGCTATTCACATTTTGACCGGCACCAACCTAATAAAGGAAAACAAGTATAATTGTACAGCGAGAAATGTTAGACTTACCTTGACAGATACAAAAAGTTAAATACAAATAAAAAAAAAATTAATATTTTATATTATTTGAACAAGAGCGGGAAAATTGATATAACGCGTTTTATCCTAATTTATAAACTAAATCGATTTGTTTTTGTTTCCCATTATGAAATTATCATTGCTAAGTAATATACTCTGACGTCCCCCTCCCTACTCCCCAAGAATAATTAACAATTTTGACACAAAGTTTTTCTTTCAATTTTTATAAAAAAAACATAAGAACGGCGGCGTATTCACAGCCAAATGTGTTTGTCTTTAGAATAATGCCTTATACTCAATGTATCAGGAAACATCTTTACTGATTTAATTTTGTTTTATTATTAATAAGAGCACATTCTTAAAATTTATACATACTATACAGAAAATAAAGGGTTAGCACTGGAGAAACATTTATAGGGGACGCACTTACTCTGTCTATAAATAGTTTAAATATTATCGATTTAAGCAAGAATTGTCAAGGTTGTTGGGATATCTATGGGTAGCCTGATTAGTACGTAATAAAACTACATAAGATTTGCCTTACTTACGATAATCTCGGATCCTAAATCCAGAGCCACATAAAGAACTAGAGGATAAACTTGTGCAGAACCACAGCAGCCCATATTTTATATAATGAAGTGAAATGGAGAATTTTTTTTGGTAACCAGACATAGACAAGTATTTTTAATTTATATATGCAAACGCTTAATTTGGTGTTTATTGTGTGAGGGTGTATAAAGACATCCACTTAACAATGAGTTGACATGATCGACGACAGTTATTTAAACTCGATTTGTAAGAATGAAACAATAAACGTGTTCCTTTTAATAATTCGTCAGACATCAAAACTAATGTTGTGAAACGCTTTTTATGGCCTCAAGTTACATCCGACAATCAGGACATACACATTGTGTAAGATGTAGGTTGATTTTTTTTGTTTTATTAAAGCTTTACAAATAGATAAATGTTATAGGTTTAAGTTTTTATTTTTATGAAACTTAAAAGAGGTAATCCCACCAACTCCAATGATTACCAAAGCTATTTGAGGTTCTAGTATGTTGAGCCAGCTAAATAATAGATTAGTTCGTATACAATAAGGCAAGATATATACAGCGTTTATCTACTTACAGAAGCCACTAGAGCCGCATAAAGTGCTGCTAGCACTTGAACCAGAAGATGAACCACCACAGCATGAACCCATTTTTGATAGTATTGATTTAAAGAAATGGAGAATTGATAAGTAAGTAAAACCAGACCTGCAATAAAATTCGCATTATTTATATGCATCGTTTGGGCTATTGTGTCGAGTCCAACAATGGTAATGAGGAGCTTTTTGTTAGTATTGTATAACAATCGGTTACTATAAAAAAGTAACAACAATGGGATTAAGTGTATTGAATGTGTGTGTGTCTTTTTGTTACTGGTTGCTCATGGTTACTTAAAAAAAAAAAAAAAAAGGGAGTTCCCATTCTCAATGGCAGTATATCTTCAATGCTTCTCCAACGTGCTATCTCACAGCCGAACCAGTGCTCTAGGTTTTCCCTGCTGTATTGCTACCCTCGGGCGATACCCCAGTATTGAACAACCTCCGAATTTATGCCTACGCTTAAACTCGAATGTTGACACCAGACTCTCTAAGACACTGTTTTCGATAAAGCACAAAGTATACCGTGATTCCACCGAAGAATGAATTCATCTTTTCGAAGACCGCAACTTTGCGTACAGAAAGGCGTGAATCTTTCCGGTCAATTTATAATTCTATTTTTTTTTCTTAATACCGCAACAAAAATCATACAAAGTACAACTTGTGGGTACTTTTTCTGTATCTTTTGAATTATTTTTTTGTATAAATAATTATATATAAATTTTTTGTAAATATGAGATGCATTGTTTAGAACTCTTGTTATGCTTTATGTTTTTTTCTCTGTTTAATGTGTATGAATGTGCCTTATTTTTGCAGCAAAGTTTCAAAAATTAAATTCAGGGGTGACGTCGAGAATTAATTTTTTTTTTTTTGGCCCCTTCTCCGAATTAAGCCTTGTTGATTTTTTTTTTCTTTTTCCTAAAAAAAAAAACCTTCCCTCCCCACTCTAATTTCATTATAATAAAAAATAGACATTTAGAGACAAAATGGCTTCCTTAGCACGTACTTTTGCCTCTTCTCTTTCTAACCGCACTTTCCATGCCGGAGCTGCTTCTGCACCTGCCATGAAGAGATTTTTCAGCGTTGGCACCAGCAACAAGGAAGAGGAAAAGAAGCAGAGATCAGCCAGCGGTCTCTTGAACAGATCTGTTATTGATGGTATGGGAAAGGGGAAAATCTTATATATGTGTGTGTGTGTGTTTGTGTGTGTGTAATTAGTATTAATTGTGTCCTCTCATTCCCCTTTGATAGCTGTTTCTTCTCAAACCAGTATGCAAATGCGTCACAACACCACCAACATTCCTGATTTTTCCAAGTACAAAAAGACCAAGAGCAGTGGTGAAGCCAGCCGTAACTTTGCATACATGGTTGTTGGTACCACCGGTTTATTGAGTGCTGCCGGTGCTCAAGCTACTGTGACCGATTTCTTGGCCAATATGTCTGCCTCTGCCGATGTTTTAGCTTTGGCCAAGGCCGAAGTTGAATTGTCTGCCATTCCCGAAGGTAAGAATGTGACCATCAAGTGGAGAGGAAAGCCTGTTTTCATTCGTCATCGTACCCAGTCCGAAATTGCTGAAGCCAACGACATTCAAATCTCCTCTTTGCGTGATCCTCAAACTGATGCTGAACGTGTCAAGGATCCCAAGTGGCTCGTCATGTTGGGTGTTTGTACTCATTTGTAAGTTGCAAGTGTTTTGGGTGAATGCAGTACCTTTTGCTGACAGTCATTCCTTTTCTTTTTTTTTTTAATTATTAGGGGTTGTGTTCCTATTGGTGAAGCTGGTGATTTCGGTGGATGGTATTGTCCCTGTCACGGTTCTCATTATGATATTTCCGGTCGTATTCGTCAAGGACCTGCTCCTCTTAACCTCGAAATTCCTGGTAAGTTTTTTTTTTTTATATATGTTTCTATGGAGGAGGAAAAAAGGGATTAGATACTGACATGTTTTTATCTTAGAATACAACTTCCAAGATGATAAGCTTATCATTGGTTAAGCATTTCTCTTATTTCCTATACACCATCAACAAAATCAACACTATACAGTCATTTTATTCTTATTATAAAAAAAAACAGGATATTTATACATCAAGCAATATTTATTACTTTCTTTTTTTTTTGATTTTGATTTTGGCACATGTAGTGGGATAAATACAGATCTACAAAGCATCATGCGTTATCGTGAAAATAATAACCTAACCCCCTCCTCCAAAAATGATGACAAAACGCATTTCAAATCCCCGATTTAAACCATGCTTTTTTTTAGATAACTATTTTAAATTTAATTGCTGTTTCTTTCTCTTTACCCCTTTCAACTCATTAAAACTTACATTAAACATGTCCTCGTTGGGTACATCACCAAGACCTTTCTTATCCTTGCAAAAGACGTACGGTATTCTGACCAAAGTCCAAGCAGGATCAGCCGTCGTATTTTCAACATTTGTAGTCATGCATGGAGCCCAAATCGTCAGTGCCAACGTAGGTGGATCCAGCCTCGCTAATAACTGGATCATGTTGGGCCGACCTTTTTACCAAGATGAACATTTGGAGGGCCTTTTGGTGACAGGATCGGCCTTGACGCATGTGGCGGCCGGACTTGCCAAACTGGGTATTCGACTTTACTGGAACAAGAAGACAGGTCAAGGGTCGCACTTGTTGCCTTACCATGCAGCGACAGGTTATGCCTTGATTCCTTTAGCTGGACTTCATTATTACCTTGTGCGTCATTTACCTGTGGATTATTATGGAGATTCATCCTTCATTGATTTTGGATATATCGCGTGGGGACTGCAGAATAAACCCGTGTTTACGTATGGATTACATCTGGCGTTGGTGGTTGCTGGTGTCTATCACTCGGTGAGTGGGATTCAAGTGGCGTTAGGACAACTCAAGAAGAAGAAAAAACCAAGTCATACAAAGATCCCTCAACACGGTAAATCCGTAGAGCAACAAAAGATCAATGAAGAGGTCTCAAAGAAACACATGTGGAAAGGAGGCCTTGTGGCCACGGTTAGTTTGGCTTGTATATCGGGTTTAATTATTATTGGCAGAGATACGAAAAAGATACCATTGCGTCTTGATTTCGCAAAGATATATGCCAGCATTTTATAATAAAGAGAAAAAGGGGGGGAAAGAAAAGAGAAGAGGAAACTTTAGTTAAAAAGAAAAAAAAAGAAAAAAACTATACACATGTGGGGTTTGGGTTGGGTTGAGTTAGTTGGGGAAGTGAAGGGATGATATATGAGAGAGAAAAAAAAAAAGTTTTTTTTTTTTTAAGTGAAATTAGTTCCCTCTAAGCCAACACCACCAGCTTCCATTTGTTCCTTAGCAAACATTTCAAAGTATTGGAAAATGATGGTAACACACAACAAGATACCAGTACCAGAACCAATAGCACCCACCATGTCAGCAACCACAGAGACAGCACCAAGACAGGCACCACCAAAGGAAGCAGCAACAGGAATAACACGCTTCAATTCCTTATACATGGAAGAATCACGGTAACCAGCAATCACCAATTGTTGCTCCTTGAGTTGACGAGCAACATCACGAGGAGAAGAACCAGAGATTTCGATCCAGGTCTTGGAAAGAAGAGCACAGGTAGTCAACATCAATCCAACGTAAACAACGGTATGAATGGGATCCAAAAGAGCAGCAGTAAAACTACGAGGAGCAGAAAGGTAATAAGCAATACCACCAACAGCATTCAATTGAGAGGTACCGTCCAAAGCTTCCCATGTACCCAAAAGACGAACTAAAAAGTTATCAGTGAAACGCTTGTAAAGCATTTGAGAAATCATAAAGATGTTGGAGGTCAAGGTAGACTGGAGCATGATGGGCATGTTGGAAGTATAGAAAAGCTTGACAGGGTAAGAACCACGTTGACCACGAAGACGGTTAGACTTGACGGGTAATTCAACACGGAAACCTTGCAAGTAGATGACCAATAAAAAGATGGAAGCAGTGGATAATAAACTCATGACGTTGGGCATATTCGTACGATAAAAGGCTTCCTTTAAAGCACGCGTCTTATCCTTACGTGTCAACAAGAGATGAACTAAAGCAATAAGAGCACCTTCAAACTCATCACCACGACCACTATCCATGGTGGTAGGTGAAAGAGCCTTCCAGAAGATGGTCTCACAAATGTTGGTGGCAATGAAAAGGTTAATACCAGAACCAAGACCATAACCCTTTTGTAATAATTCATCCAATAATAAAGTGATTAAAGAAGCAACGACAAGTTGAATAATCAAGATCAAACAGACACCAGCTCCAATGTCACTGGGGTTACCATAGAGACCAGTCAAGACAGAGACAGTAGCATGACCAAAAGCAATAATCATGGCAAACACTAATTTAAAATATGGATTAGGAAGGATGATCTCGCACACGCACTTTTATATATATATAAAACCTACATTTTTGTGCACCACTGAATAAAGCTCTATCTTCCTTCAAACTGTAATCGACCTCAATGATGTTGGCACCAGAGAGAAGTTGCATAATCATACCTGAGGTGACAATGGGTGTGATACCCAATTCCATAAGAGTACCACGGTTAGAAGCAAGAATGACTCTCATCCAAAAGAGAGGATCTGCGGAATCAGAAGACATAATACCATAAAGAGGTACTTGAGACATGACCAAGAAAATGAATAAAGTAACAGCTGTCCACATTACTTTTTGGTTGAAAGGCACCTGCAAAAAAAGTTGGGTTTAGTAAGAATAAACGCGTCAATCTAATATCTGTCTCCCCCTTTTTTTATTTTACCTTGCGATCAGGTGTGGCAATCTCTGGAAGAATAGCCATGAATGGCTGTACCAGATGTAAAATCCTGACTGCACGTCATAAAAAAAAAAGAGATGATGAGTGTCTTTGAACACGGTTTATACAAAAGAGAAGAAAAACATAACACTTACAACCCATTCTATATTATCTTGATGGTATAATGAACAAAAAAAAAAAAAGGAAGGGGAAAAGATAATAATATAGGCAAGAGGGGAAATTAAGAAAAAAAAAATCATATTTTATTACGTGTAAAAAATAAAATCATTAAGCCAATCAATACAATTTACATATTCCATCCAATGAAAGAGGTACACCATTATTATTTGAGTTTCAAACAAATCACATATATATATATAAAAAAAAAAACGCCCCTTTCCTATTTTGCATATGCTTTTTTTTTTTTTAATAAGATCATCGTGTAAAGCACGCTTTTTTCATTTTAAACAATAATTCTAAATGTTGCTCATTTGACTACGAGTATCATCCTTCTGTGGGATCCTCTGGACTCAAGTCTTGAATAAGTCTGTAACATTCTTCTAAAGCATACACGCATTTACTTTGGCCTATTATGGGAATAAGTACAGTCCCCTACTATTTGTTTATTTATAGTTTTTATTACCTTCTGGTATAAATCCATCATCATCGTGGAAAGCACCGTCCCTTCTTAGCACGTCAATACTTTTCAACTTTAAAATATATCTGAGATCATTTTTCAGTCGGGGTTTTTTCTTAAGATATATATATATATATAAAACACTTACAACATCTTGTCATCTTCTTCCAACTCACATTGAAAGGATTTTAACCTTTTAAGACAGTCTCGTAAGGTATTCAGTTGGTTATAGATGGGCAATAATGATTCCGCTACGGAAGGTTCTTCACCCAACAAATTCAAAATGATGTTATAACAAGCAGCCAGGAGATAGGATAGCATACTAATGCCTTGTTCTCCTCCAAACTCATGATGTTCATGTAACATACGAGTGACATCGTGTAATTGTAGCTGATATGAAAACAAGTCTGTCTGTCTCAAGCTCCATTTGCTCGTCATTTCAATGCCTTGTAAATCATTTTTTATATCGATCAAACGTTGACGAATGGAATCGACTTTGGGCGAATACTCAGAGTTCAACAAATCGTGACAGGCGTTAAAATTATTTTCTAGCAGATCGACCAAGGTCCCTTGACCAATCAAGGCCAAGATGTCAGGTGCATCCTTATAGAACAAGCCGTTTGTTCCACGCACTGAATCAATCTCACGTAATCTTTCTTGGATAGGCAATATATCTTGTGCTGTGTATTGATCTCGAAATGCAATCTCCACTAATTCTGTTCGAATCTCCAGTAGTTGATCTCGAATAGGTATACTACATATTTTCCCAGTTGAGACTATGTGGCACACTTTTTTTATAAAGAAAAACTTACAGCACAGGAGACATATCTTTGATGGTCGATAGTAATTCATCATAGATCCGTTCTGATTAAATATAAATGAATATAGATGATACGCTTCTGCTTTCTCTTTCTTATCTGCTTACTGCATACGGAGTAATTATAACCAACCAGCTCCATGATGGGTTCAGATAATCCACAGTTGACTTCGTCTTCGGTCAAGATACGTTCTAGCTGTTTTAATTTGGCGTTGTACGGTTCCAGTATCTTTTCATCGTAGATCCCGATTTGTTCTAATTGATAAAAGCAATTCTGGAGGGGGGGGGGGGAGGGAAAGGAGAGAGATGAGCACTTGCTTATGAATATTTTGGTTAAGGATAATATACCTTGATGGCGATGACTTGACAAAAGATAGCGGGGCCTAGAAGAAGAAGAAAATGGATTTATAAGTGTTTTGAGTCATGATTTATTGTAAAAAAAAAACATACTTTCGTGCCATTTTCCTATGGTCATGAAACAAAGACTCATAAGTTGACATACTTTATTCAGTTCATCATCGGTTCTGTTTTTGACATGATTCTTTTTGAACAAGACGCCGGAACGAATTTTCATGAGCTGGGTGATGGCGTCCTCTACTTGTTGTTGCACAGGTAAAATATCGTGTGATTTCATATTATTTCTTTTGTTTAGCAACATGATCCGTTGCTTTATATTTAATAGTTTTTCAAAGATTGGATACTCCTCTTTTATATACAACAGTTAACCAACCCTTCCTCCAGTCACACAATATTTAAAAAAAAAATTCCTATTTTTTATTCTAACCATGTTCTGATATCATCTGTGCCTCTCCTTCTTGTGTCATTTTGATAAAAAAAAAAAAGTAAAAAATGAAAAAAAGAAATAGTTTTCACTGTGCCTTTTTTTTTTTTCCTTCGAGATGGACTTTTAAAATGATAAGATTTTGTGTAAATTCTGTTTAAAATATTTAACCGTGCATTGATGACGCTTGTGCACACTTTTTTCATATTTCCCAAATATACACGAACAAAAATTACTAAAAAAAATAAAATAAAAATGTGATCTATTTTCTATTTATAAAAAGTTAAAAAAAAAAAAAAAAAAATTGTGTATGTGTGTGTGTATGGGTGTGGGGCAGTGTCTCTTATACAATATGTATAAATTATGAATGTAGAAATAATGAAAAAAAAAGAAGAAGAAGGGGTGGGATGTGTGTGTGTGTGTGTGTGTGTGGGGAGGGGGGAGGGGGAGATTTTGTTGTTGTTGTTGATGGGGATAAAAAAAAAAAATTAGACAGCTACCAAAAGCAAACCGAAAAGAGAAGCAATGAAAAGAGGACCATTGAATGAGTTTATGTTTCCAGCACTGGAAGCACCCGTAGCACCAGGAACAACACCAGAGCCTGTGGCTGTGCTTGCATTTTGGGACGTACTGGCTTCAAAACTAGGGAAGGTGATGACCTCTTCAAGGTAAGGATGAGCAATGTTTTGACATGTAGCAATATCAACCACATGCTTGTAGTTTTCCTTGATGGCAGGGTAATGATCAACAAAGAAATCCATTGTCATGTTATTGATTTCGTGCGAGAGAACAATGTTACCAGACTTGGCAAAAGTACCGTTGCTACCCATCTTGATGTAATCGAGATACTTGCCATTCACAGTGTCTGGTGTAATGCCGGGTGTGGAATTGGCTGCCCAATCATCAGTATCAAGGTTCCAGAGAATAGCAGTCATATTTAATTGTGTTCCAATCCAACGTACACGATCATCAAGATCACCCAAAGCCTGTATTATAGTCTATGTTAGCAAACCCGGTGGCAATAACCTCTAATTTTTTTTTAAAAAACTTACGGGACGCCAGTACAAGGGAGTAATACCAGTTACATACTTGATTGCTTTAGCGGTATAATAAAGTTCAGCCAAGACCTCTTGGTTAGTCAAAGTTGTCATCATCTTATGTGACCAAGTATGACCACAGAGATGGTGACCATCCTTGAGACCACGAAGAGCACCGTAAGGCCAGTTCAGGACATTAGAGCCGATATAGAACATGGAGGCTCTTTGCTTGTTTGTTTCAAGGTAGTCATAAAAGGCATTATGGGAGCAGTTGGGACCATCATCAAAGGTCTAAATACAAATTATGCAAGGGGTGCGGAATTAAAAGGAGGAGGAGGAAAGAGAAAAAGGTTAGTAAATTACTAATGACGATGATGTAAAACTACTACTTACAAGACCCCAAGTTTCAGGCTCAGGACAGGTCGAGATATCACCGTTGGTACCTTGCGCTTTGGGTTTGACACACTGAGTAGCGGACCACCAACAATCGGGATCGTTGACAGTATCATAGCCTACTAAATTAAGGCCTCCTTGAGGTGTCATTGATCTTACGGGAGCCTTTGGTGCTTGTGTCCAATCGATAGAGTTGTAGAGATTGGTAAATTCAGTAGATGTGTTCATATTGTTACTAGTAGCAATATCCCAAATGGTAGGCCATTCACTCTTTTCAATAGTAAAGTTGGATTGATAATATTGACATTCAGTGGCTACATCCAGCGAGGTTGTTTGAGGAATATCTGGGATAGTAAACTTTGTGGGATCCGTTTTTGAAGGAAATTTGGATAGATCCACCGCTGCCAAAGCAGCCGAACTTGCCAATGTGATTAAAAATGCTTGATACTTCCACATCTCGGGTCTATATATGGATTGTGAAGAGAAAAAAAAGAGGAAGGAAATGGAGAGAAATGATTGCAAGAGCTAGAGGAACAAAAAAAAAACTAGGTCAATTTTATACTAATTTTGTTCAGGGGCGGAGTTAACGTACGCGGATTAAGGGATCTTCATGCTAAACCAAGTGTGGAAAACCGAATTAAAATTAACAAGGCACTAAAAAAAAAGTGGGATCAGCTAGTTAGATTGCCAAAAGGGAGTTTTAAATTGAGCACAAAAATATATGTACAAAGAGAAAGCCTTTTGCGAAAAAGAAACAGAAAAGAAATATAAATATTTACGTCTATAATTAGAAGTCAAATGAGGTCTAATAAATACATAAAAGTGTATTTATTGAACTTACTTGGCCCTTACATTTCTCTCTTTTTGATTTTCCGTTCTCTGCCTTTTTCTTTTTTTTTTTTCGGTTTCTCATCATCTTATTACATCCCCTTGAATAAATCGAAAATTGGGATCTAGATGAAGCAAAATGCGTTATTCAAAATATAAAAATAAATAATACAATAACACTATTACTAAATTATATCTCGAGCCCGGGGCAAAAAAATAAAAAAAAACACACTAAATAAATAAAGGCTCATTTTCGTTCTCCAACAATCTAGACATTTTGCTTGTTAAAACACGGGACATATTTTCGCGCATTCGCATTTCATCAGTATAGTCAATATAAGTGAGTAAAACATCGTACCGATAAAAGCATTACTGCTGTGAAACATATTAAAATGGGTTCGGGCTGAAAAAAAAAGAAACATCATTATTTTGTCGTATGTGGCTGTAACGATCTATACAATATAAAACACAATAAACATGTGCATAAGTACATATTAATTCCGTATAATTACATTTTAGAGTATGTAAAAAAGAAGCTTTTCTATAAACTAATAATCGCATAGTTTTGTATTACACTTGTTATTTAAAAAAGATTTTCCAAACTATAATTTTGTTTCTTTTAATAGCTTTTTTTTTCCGTGTGATTACTATAATAACAGTCAATGATATCATAGAAGCATTATTTTTAGAATAATGAGCCAGGTAATCTGATCTCCCCCCCCCAAACCGTCACGGCATGATTACCACCGGACTTTTTCATCGTCCAAGTGTCTACTTTGCCAAGAACTTATACAGCGGTTTGCCGGTCAAAGAATGACTTTAAGCCTTCAAGCTTTCTGCCGGTCAATTATATATTTATGTATACATATATTTTCTACACTCGAACATGAAGATTCGGTAAAAGTCTTGGATATGTTTACAATGTAGTTGATCTTGTGTGATTATAAAATGAGCCAATAATTGATATTATATTGGCTTCGCTGGGGGTTGGAGATGGTTTTTTTTTTTGTACATGAGACATACAACGATGTGTAAGCTGAGTGTAAATAGTGCTGGTTCTCGTTCTTACCATTGTTAAATCCTTCAAAAAACAGAAACATGGATTGTAGCGTACATCATAGTACCAAGGAAGAACGCCGTTCACACTTACGAGGAGTTTGTAAGCCGCAAAAATGCTAATACATTGGTCCTTGTCACAATTGCTATGACTTGCTATAAATTACTAGCTGAGTCAGTTTGCGGGTGTAGCATGAAATTGTATTTACATGCGATCCGAGGATGTTGTGTGTTTGTGGAAGCGCAGTCATTTATTTTTCATCACTGGATAATTATCTTATCCTGACATAAGCCCAGTTCATTCTCATTATAAATAAGGCATACTCGCTCTTTTCTTCTTTTCCTTTTTTTCTTTTTATCAATGATATCTCATAAAAGAAATGCTAAAATTTACGATAAGGTTAGCCAATATAGACGTCACTCATTTGTATTAACAAATGTAGATTCAACCGAAAAAAAAAAGTGATCATGGGTGCACAGTACACCTTGATATGAAAGGGGATTAGGGAATTAAAAGAAGGCCTCGTATATATATGCACATGAACTTCTCTGTTTACGGGAAACTTTTCTATAAATGACGACTTGGTCTAAATTTACAAATGCTTGCAATGAAAGCTACGTCGTGAAATAAAGAGACCCAAAAGAGTAACTGTAAAAGATGATTACCTTTTATTGAATAATGATTTTGGGGATCTGGATTTGCATATTGGGCAGTCTCCCAGACATTGCTGAGCAAACATCCGGGGTAATCTCTATCATGATGTGCCTATTGCTTACTTACAGATAGTTCAATAGTACTGCCCGAAAAAAATACAGGAATATAGCCGTTTATCCAACGGAAAAACCAAGGGTTTGGGTTGCCTTGAAAGCGTTTAAGGAACCAATTCAACAATCAAGGATATTAAAAAAAATCGAACAAGAGCCTGCAACAGCTCATCAGTCACCCAAAGCTCCAATAAATCACTAACAACTCTCGGAGTTCCATTGGAGGAGCAGAATGTGGACCCGGCAAAGGTAAACCTGGTGAAATCTGGATATACAGTTACTCTTATCTCGTCGTTGATAATAAATAATATCTAGAGTCAAATCGTTATTTCTTATTTCTCCAATGTTTTGACAGCTACAGCAATCTCAGCTAATGTAACTGGCACACGCACAATTAAGGCTAATTTTATCCTGCTGTCACGGCTAAAAATATTTCATGTCAGTGACACAATGACTGCTGCTTAAAAGGGTACAGAAACCGCGTTAGATGAGAGGGGGGTTTTCTAACAAACACGCATTCTCATTTTTTTTTTTTTTTAAAGCGCCACGTTAATTAAGATTTTTTGGTTTGTTTTCATAGCATTTTTGTTTATTTTATTTTTTTTCCCGGGAGAGCCGCATTAAACTTTTTTTGAAGGGATAAAACAACCGCCAAAACCATTTTCATTTCTTAGGATTCCGGTTATTTAATAAGCCGAACAATGACATTTTTCTCCAGGTTTTTTTTAGCCATTGGAGGAACCCTCCTTCTTTCAGCTCCTTTTTAAATATTCTGTCAACCAAAACTAGAAAAATTCACACGTTATACCGGCCATGCATATGAACAATATGACATAATTTTTTTTTATTGAATGTATATGTGTGTGTGTGTGTATATATATGATATAAGAAAAAAAAAGAGAGCATTTAAATTATTCTATAAAAGGCAAGTCGTATTCTATTGTGCCTTTGCTTTTTGAGATGCTCTAATAAGAGCAAAAGCCAAAACGGTATAATTGGTGAAGATATCCTTCATCATAAACAACAAGGCCTGTGACAAGACAGCCTTTGTGATTTGTGTGCTCATACCCTGTTTGAAAAAAAAAGAAAATAATAGGGTCAGTCATCAGGTATCCATGCAGTAAACATTTATGTTTTTTTTTTACCTTGTACCAACCAAAGAAGCCATCGGTCTTAAGAACACGGGTAAGAACATCAATGGAACCTTGATAGGCAACAACCTTATCTTTCATTTCCTTAGAAGGTCTCCATTGAAGACGAACCTTGGCCATGATATAAGGATAGGTGATGACAGTAGCTAAAGTCTTTGAAAGAGCGCCCACCAAGAAATTGACACCAGGAGTCAATTGTAATTTTAAGACGGTGAGGACAATTTGCTTGATCTTTTCGAAACTACCATAGGTGATGGCAGGGTTAACACAGAGCAAAAGAGAAGGTTGGATACCTCTCCATAAACCCTTGATACCTTCCTCTTGTACAATTGATTTGCAAGTCTCTACTACACTTTGTCTTTCATTGGCAGGCAAAGTCTGTTGACGAGTGGTGATGACGGAAACAGGTGTGGTGATGAGTGTGGTTAAGGCACCAGCGGCAGCACCCAAAACAAGTTCCAATGCGGTAGATAAAGTACCACCATTAGGATTGTATTTTTTGTTGTAATTTTCTCTCAAGAAAGAATAGCAATAAAAGTAGGTGAAGTTGGTAGAAGCCGTTCCGATTAAAGAAGAACCGAGACCAGCATAAAGGCCGCTGATACCTTCCTTCTTGACGATTTGTGTGATACCATCCCAAGCAGATGCATAATGTTCTTCATCACTATCGGCTGAGGCTTTCTTACTCTTGGTTTGAACTTGAATTCTTGTCTTGATACTACAGAATAATAGGGAATTAGCACAAAATGTAAGATTTTTTTTTGATTACACAGCGGATAAATATTCTCACATGTCAAGTGGATATACAAGAGATAAAGCAAACATTGCACCAGCTGAACCAGCAGCTGCATGGCCAATAGGAGGTAAAGTTTCTTTAGTCATTGCCATAATGAAATTGGAAAATATATGTAAAAACAAAAAAAAAAAGAGTAAAAGAGTAAAAGAAAGGGAAAAAAGAAAAAAGTTTAATCTAAAGAGAGAGAAAATGCTGACTCAATGGCTATTCGTGACTGGGTCTGAATATGTTTTGTTTATTGGCTAAAACGTTTCAATTTTGTCATCATTAATGGGATCCAGGCACAACTACAACTTTTTTTTTTTTAATTGAATTATGATTTATGCTTGGGGGAGGGTAAATATTATATCCATATTTTCATGGAGCTTTTTTTTTTTTTTTTTTTTTTTTTTTTTTATTCACACACACACTCCTCGTTTATGTATACAGCGACAGTAACCGGATCAATTAGAATGTACACGTAAATGTCTTCTCATATTACTTTGTACGCTAAATCGACGTCTACAGCCAGGATAACTACAATGGAAAGGTTTTTCACCCGTATGCGAATAGGTATGAATTTTCAAGGATGATGGCCTCATAAATTTTTTCTGACAGAACGAGCAGTCGTATTGTTTATTAGCTGTATGCAGACTGATTCTTTTGCTGGGTTCCATAGGATTTAGATGCAAAGGAATCATTGGATAATGGCGTTTACGAGATTCCCCTTCTTCATCTACCATGACAACCAACGGCGGAGGCAGAATATGACGAAGCCGAGGGTCTGGAGAATTTAAGACTTTAGATATGGTAAGTGATTGAAGTTGTGACGGTAGAGATGCTTCCATATAGAGAATACTAGGTTGGATCGGATCAGGTAATTCGGCTTCTGTGGTGGGAGAAATGATTATTTCGGTGCCCGCAATATCCACTATTGTAACAGGATAAATCAGTAACAGACAAGAAATTTTGTAGATTGTGGGGGAGAGCGATTATTACCCTTTTTATGACGTTTAAAAGTGTTGGATATCAGTGGTAAATCCAGAGTGTCTAATTCCATTATAGTATTTTAGTAAAAAAGGAAGATAAAAGAGAAGAAATGCTAAAAAAAAAAAAAAAAAATTTAAGTTTTATTCACTACAAATAATATTCCGTATATTAAAAAAAAAAAAAAAAAAAAAAAAAAATAGATATACGAATATACGGATCACACTATAGAAACAAATAGATGTTTTATAGTATCTTTTTTTTTTCGGTTGTTGTATGCAATTCGGGGTTATATTTACAAATGATATTATAGAAATCTTAGTTGAGATGGGGTAAAATGAATAGGCTTCCAATCCAATTTTTCTGGTACAATTGTACGATTCCTGAGCTTCCTCTTTTCATAATTTCTTTCCCATTGTTCAACCACCTTATCACCTAAACAAATAATGTTTTGTCCACGGTAGTATTTTAAAGCCCCAATAGAAGATAAGGTAAGTTCTATATCGGTAGTGGTAATTGAAGTTCGATGTGAAATTTCTTCAATCGTTGTTTCCTCCGTTGCATTGGATAATAAGAATTCAACAATAGTTTCAGTCCAGAAAGCACGATATGATAAATATCCCAAGTCAGAGAGTGGTTTTTCTGGCGAACCACATCTCCCTTCAGCTTTTGATAGTTCATAGGAAAATGCAATTAAAAGTCGGCCGTAACCAAGTCTTTGGTACTGCGGAAGAGTTAAAATACATGCCACATTGTAACTTTCGGACGATTCTTTTTCTTTTGAAAAGTAGCCAATCAAATGATATCCGTTTTCATCTCGCTCCGTCATGCAATAAAATAAAAATGGATCCACATCATAGTATAACGTCTTGTGATCTAAAAACAATTTGGATAAAAGACAAAGATTTCTACACCATACCTTTTGTTTACGTCCATCAATTTCAAAGAATGAAATTTCTTCATTTCGATAGATTTCATTGCCCGGTGGATGGTGTAATTGACATCGGCCTCGGTGTCGACTCAATTGCTTGTTGGATATATAATGCGAAAGACAGAATTCACATATATAAAGTGTATCGCTATGCGCGTATTCCATCGGATAAGGTGAGAAATACCACGCTTCTACTTCATGTCGTCCCATTTGAATTTTGTTCAAGTTTTTAACTCTGGCAATCTCTTGTATACTTTGCGTCATCGAACCAGACGTTCTCAGGTTTTCAATCTCGCGATCTTTTGAAAACGTGTTCTGTTCCGTCTTTTCCTCATGCTCTCGCGCTGGTATCTGTGTCAGCCTGGTTGGAAACTGAATCGGCCGTGAGAAATCAAGTCGTTCTACAGATACCCATTCATCCAGCCGTTTATTAAACTCTGTGTAGTGAACATAGTATTCCAACCCATGAGCTGCTGTATCACGCGAGGAAAGAATTTCCGCAAGACGATATTCGGAACCCTGCGCTGTTAGCTTGTTCACAAAGAGTTTACAGTTGACGGGCGCCGCCAAAAACACTGGTACCTGGCTAGACAAGTCAGCTTGTATCGTTCCTGACGAAGCCGTAACATCTGTTTGAAGAGGTTGCTCAATTCTCTCTGTAGTTGAGCTCAAATGTTCATTCATTGCCGCAGTCATGTTGTCGCGATTGAATCATGCAGAATAAAAAACAAAGAAAAAGCGCGTCGATAGAAAAAAAAAAAAGAAAACAACGATAGAAAGATAAAAATAAAAATAAAAATACTGATGACTGATGACGACACGCTTTGACTGCCTTCTCTTTCGGTTTTGAATGATTGGTTTTTACCGCCCAAAATGTATACAGCGTGCTGTATAAAGTGTGTTAACCATATAAAGTTATTTTCAAGTATGCATAAATAACCTTCATAAATTGTAAATATGGACCGTGACACAGATGCGAGCTTATAGTTAATTTAAAGCGTGGGTCCTCCGTCAAGTATGCAACATTTCGATTAATAATTAGGAGGAGGAGGAGGGGACTAATTTGACATTTATGGATTTTTTAATATATTTATTATTTTGTAATGTTTTTGGATTATTTTATATTTTTATATCTATTTACACAGGCCATCCTGTGGTAAAAAGAGGACTGGATCCAATTAATCCCTCAATTTGAGGAGTACTTGAGACTCTCGAAAGAGAATCTTTCGATCCCTTAAGCCAATTGGCTTTATGACCTGCTTCATACACATCTTCAAGTACTTGGCCAAATGATCCATTTTGTTTGTATTCAAGATACTTTTTGTACAGAATAAGCGCCTAAATATCGATTGTTTTAGGAGCTTCATTTTAATAATAAAAAAAAAGGTTATTTCTTTGACTTACCGTTCTAGCGTCTTCAATACTATCATGCGTCTCTGATTGAATATCTTGATGCAATAAATGCCATGCCAAGAATCGAAGTGAGATCTTACGTTGTCGATTACGAATATGATAAATATCAACTGTATCAATAATTTGTTCAGGAGGTACCATTAAATCTATTTATAATAATCAATAACTCTAACATTTTCTTTCTACAAAAATCTCCAAATATCTTACTAATAATTCTAAAATCCTTGTTTAATCCATGACCAATAAAGATACATCCTAGATCAACTAAAAGACGCAACTTTTTGTACGCCACTTTCAAAGGCACAAGTGTATGTTTTGATTGCATAAAATCAAGATCCCCTGCAACAATACCACTGTATTCTGTCAAATAATCCACAATCGGTTCACTCGTGGCAATATAGTCATCGATAAACGGCACACCTTCTTTAGGTCCTGAATCTCCACGTAATACACTCACACGGGCTAAAGTAAGGGTACTGGGTCGGATCAATGATTTTGTGCCATCACTACGAATCTCTGTTTCCTCCTGCTGTAATGCTACAAACTCCGCATCAATAGCTACTAGTGTTCCACGCTTTGGCATTTCGTCTTCTGTAAGTACTTCATGTTGAGGATCTGGGTTGGGTTCTTGAGCGATTGAGTGATCCTCAAATAGTAAAGAATAGTCCACTTTGGAAGGTAACACGTCTAAATCTAACAAAGTATCCAATTCTACGCGAGTATATTGAAGAACAGCAGGTGTCTTCCAGTTACCCTTAAACGAAAATACCTCTTCCGGTCGAATCTTTCTTACCAAAAAATCATTAAATAAGTACCATGGCGTTTTGGCATCTGCTTCTAATTCGGACTCAGGTACTGTACTGTAATTAGTGACCGAGATATGCCTTTTTTTGTATATATATATATCTTACTCTTGATTTGAGCAACCAGGTGAGGTAATTCTTCTTCAGCTTGCACTTGTAAAATGGTAGATGAGAGTTCATAGATAGCACAAGTCTCTGGTGCTCCCTTGAATTCAGGTGGTATTTCTTTGCCGACGGGTAATGCTTTGATTACCAACTCGGATCCATTAATATAAATTCCAAATCTACAATAAGATCGAGTTTTTTCTTATAAATAATTGTCACATTAAAAGCGGGTCTTAGTTTACCTTTCTGGTAACCAAGAAGAAGGCGTGTTTGTGGTCGAGGCGTCCTCATTAGTAGATCCTTGGTCACTATCTACAGTTGTTTCTTGAAGTATATTTTGTTGAGAAGCCTTGGGACTATTGGGACCATTTTGTCTCCAAATCAAAGATTCCTCACTATTGGAAGCGCCAGAATTGATTAACATGACACCGGGCAAACCGCAAATGATCTTTTTAGTGGTTGTGGGTTGATATTGATGACAATTTGCGCACCAAGCCTTTGTTTGGTTTTCTCTGTACATGCTAGCTTTTAAAATACTCGTAAATGATCGTTTTCTAGATTTTCTGTCGTTCTATTAAAAAAAAAGGGGAAGTCGTTAGCATAAGCATGAGGCAAATGTCTATGTACAATGTTATTTTTTGAAAACAGGTTTACCTTTTTTGGATAGAGCATGTCTACGACAAAAGGATATGTAATTCTAGAGACTTCCTCTTGACATGTTCCACATTTACTTTGGCTTAAGGTTTGAAGGCCAAATAATTGTTGCATGGTAGAAGGAATATCCAAAGTTTTCACTTCGCCATCGTCTTTCTCCATTATTTTTCTGACGAGTGCTTTTGAAATTAATGGATTGGAGGCTGGAACATTTGCTTCTTGATGAATTTGTTCCATGATAAATCGAGTGAAATTCTGCATCAGCGTAGAGAATGATATATTTCGGTTGGGTGTTTCGGGGTCAAACAATCCTAATGCGGAAGCTATCTCATTTTTTTTTTGTTTAGCATAAAAATAGCTTGGATAGGGGGGACTCTGTAATTATTTCTTGACTTACCCTGAGGAATTGTACTAAAGGCACGCAAAAAGTTGGTAGCTTGACAATTTTGGCCCTTTGAATCTTCAAGCATACGGAAAAGAAAGCCAAGTTCACATAGTAAACAATTATCTTTGGCACAAGCGATTTTGATGTGTGATTTTGCGATTTTTCTCAAGGGTGTGATAAAGAATAGAACTTGCAAGAATGAATTACAGTAGGAATTACGAATGTGTGTTTCTAAACCGCCATAAGGAGTTGAATTATAATAACCGAAATCGAAATCGTCTACACCAAATTTACTATATTGGATCTCTACACGTTGGTAATATCGGGGCATGTTCATGACTGTAGGATCCATGTTACTAATATCGCCAATCGAAGATGAGCGCCTACCAGAATGATGTGGTCCATCGTCATCGCCCACTAAAACATTACTGGACTGTAATAATTCTCTCTCTTGTTCTGATCTAAACTTTGGTCCATTCTTTTTCGCAATCACCTTCTTTTTACGAGGTATTTGATTACGATGGATATTTCCAGGATTGGGTGCATAGCCTACAAAATCAATTGTCTTCATATTCTTGATGATTTCTTCATCAATAGGCGTTGGCTGCGTTCCGACCTCATATACTTTATTATTTGGCCACACTGATAACAATTGTTCGGTATAATAAGGCATACCAACGGAAGACAACGGGCTATCGTCCGTTATTGTTGTTGTAGGAGGTTGTACAATATCAGGTTGTGCAATGGGTAATGAATATGGGTTCACATCAAAGTCCTCACGATCAGCATATTGGTAGACAAAACTTGCACCATCGGCAAATACCAATGTCTGTGCTGAACTCGATATGTCCATGGCTGTAATATAGCTGGATGTCTGGATCTGATGAAATTGTGCTGGTGCCGCATACGATCCCATAATCAGGCTAGACACATCACACATTTGGAATTGTCCAGTTTGTGAGGCAACAAGACATGTCGTACTTAATGTTGGGTGCATCTTTAAAAACATGGGCCCGCTTGGAAATGGAATAGGTGCTAATGTACGAACGGACATTCGAATATCGTATACTTTAACAAGAGGATCCATGATCAATGAGCCTTGTCTAATTATCCATTCATTTTTGTTTTTGTTTTTTTTAGATAGTTCTGTTCTGAAATAAATAAGTCCCCCCCCCCCCAATTACCTTTGTGAAAATCCACAAGTTAATAATAAGTTGCCCGATACATCTAAATCTGATAGTGTTGCAGTATGTGCTTGTACTCGTTGTTCTACTTTCATCGTTCTTGGATCTCTTAGAGTAACTTCACCAAGCAGTGAACCTGCACAAATCGAGCGAGGTAAACTCTTTAATACGACAATGTTGGATGCGCCAGAGATTTTACGAGTGACCACGCCACGAGCCAAGCTCACCACTAACATATCATCCTGCTGACCTGCCACTAATAATTCACCGTTGGTCAAGGTTGTTGAAGTCATACAGTGAAGATCTTGCGTATCCTCATTACTAAAATAAACACAATTAACATGTGTTTTTAGACAAGTTGACAAGGCGATATTAACCTAATGTTCCATTTCACAAGTCCTCTTCTATCTCTCATTTGAATACTTTTGGGACTAAGACTGATAATTCCTCTATCTGTAACACGAATCTGTCGAACTTGTTCATCTTTATGCGCTTTAAAGGCTGTATATCGTTGAAGTCCCTTTCCATAATACGAAGACACGCGACCCTAATGAGCAAAAAGAAAAATAAAATAAATTGAAAAGAGGTTAAGGAAAGCAAATTGAATTTATGGGGGAGGACCGTTAAAAAAAAACAGCATTTCATTTTTCTTACTGAATCATTGCCAACCCATAAGAGTTCATGATAAGGATCCCAACAAACTGCAGATACCGGAGATACCTTGTTTAAATTAGGATCACAAATATGCTGAACTTCGTTCCAGGAACTATCCATTGAATTGATTGTTTAATAATTTACTAAGAGGAACATTTGGAAACCCTTTTTGAACTTTTTTTTTTTTAATGTGCAATCCAAGCTCAGCTTTTTTTGGTATATGACGTGGTAAAATTCAAATTTTGCATTGCCTGATTCCTTTACTGAAGGACATCAAAGTGATCTCTACCATTTTTCAAGCAGGAGAACTACACCTAAAATTTGGCGAAAAACACTTAATTGGAGTGTTTAATAGGTGTTAAATAATCACTCGAATTACCACCTAAAATCGGCAAAAAAAACACTTTGTTAAATAATCCTTCAAATTAACACCTAAAAATTGGCGAAAAACACTTTTTTGGAGTGTTTAATAAGTGTTAAATGGTCACATTAACACCTAAAAATTGGCGAAAAACACTTTTTTGAAGTGATTTAGTAAGTGTTAAATGATCACTCGAATTAACAAACCTAAAAATACTATATATGTGTACACATGTCAATTGTCTATTTTTCCCAAGTAATTTGCATAACCTATTTTTTGTGCACCAGAAATATTTTGGGTGTCTGTTCTAACCTTCCCTTTTAACGCACCCAGCTTAAAATCAGGCTCAGTTTTTTATCATGCGAAATTAGGTTGCTTCTCAGCGTCACATCGATGTTAAGGGTATCTTTCGCGAAACTACCGGTTTCGCTTCACATAAACATCGTCTGATGAACAGCATCATTGATTTAAAAGGAATTCTGCATAATTTTTCTCTCGGATATTATGTACCGTCTTGTTACGACTCTTTTATCCAAATATTATCTGTCAACTTCTTTGTCTCTGTCGGTTTAAATTTTATATTCATGTAGCGTTATCCATATTATTGATCTCCTAGAAATCTGTAATTTTGACTAGAAAAATCTAATTAGCAACCCTCAAAGGTGTATATGTAATTATCGAACAAATAACATAAATCAGCCTTACTAACTACATAATGCAGTAGCCTTTAGTCAACTTGGGCCAATCTGATTGGCTTAAAATTGCTTGCGTCAGCGGTGACTGAAACTGGATATAAAGTTTCCCCAGATTTTTTTTTTCTTTTTCTCTCTTCAGTAGTGATTCTATGGGTAGTCTGTAGTGATTAAATTGAAAAAGAATTACAATGCCTTACTTCGGTAAGGTCAATGTACATTCTTACACTACGAACTCACCAGTAACACGATCTCTTTCTTTTTATTACAAAAAGAAAGTCTTTGTGGAATGAGGGGAATGAGGGAAGATGGACGACGTATACTGTGAAGGTTCCCGAAGCCCCTTAGTAGATTAAGTCAACGACTTTTCCTTTCCTTGTGTTGGGTAACGGGTACTGGTCCCTCACTTGCTTTAACCGTGAAGGGGGAGGTTTGTTTGGCTGCCTGTTATGAACGGTTCTGCCCGTAGGATTATCTACAGACAAGAACGCGTGTTTTTGTCAATAATAACAAAGAGTGTAAACAAGAAAGCACAAGTTCTTGTTCATAACTCGCTATTATTATTTTACTGTTATTAAAAGGTGCGTGCAAACACCTCATATTTTTTTTTGGGACGAGACGTGCTTTCACCTTCCCGTGGTTTGTCCTGTTAATCATTGGAGTTTTTACAAAAAAGCTACTTTGAGATCTGAGAGAAGCACACCTTTCTTTTTTTTTTTTAAATAAATAAATAAAGCTGTTTACTGGGTTTCCCATAGATTTTGGCTTTTATTTTTAACACACCATATCTCTTGACCATCCCCAACAAATTATGTAATCTCTGCTTTGACCGTTGATTGATTCTAGAGTTCATTTTAGAACAAATATTTCTGGAAGCTAGTTATATATTTGCTTACATTTTAGTTTATTATTTACGAGAGAGATTTAGCAGGCTTACTTCATCCCTACTTTAGGACGGTCTTTATCCCTCGTCTTATTGCTGCTTTCGTCGACAGGAGTTATCATTTAGTACTTCATGCTATGGTACTGATGAACGAAACTCCAGATAGCAACATTAAGGTCTTTTTTGTACATCAATTTATTAGCACTTATTTGAAGATGTTTTATTTTATATGCCACTTCGTCTAAACTTCATAGGATGATCGATTTCTGTTTTCCATAAAATCTGCTTCACTGTCATTACAAGCTACTACTGAAACGCAGATATACAACTACCAAGTTTCGATTTTCTTGGGAGGCTTTTGCAAGTGTTTCTATTTTAAGTAAAGGCTCAAACATTATGAAAGATGAAACAAGTAATTAAATCATCCTGACATAAGCTTGTTTATCAGCCTACAAATAAAAGCTGGTTCACACACTTTATTCTTCTCCTTTTTCTTTTCCCTTAACATATTTCTTCTATCTTATGAAAGTAATCGATAGCGTAAAAAGGTTTGTTTAGCAATGAATCTTGTTTATTTCAAAAGACACTAAATTGAAAAAAAGATTTATTGCGGTATTGCTGCTGCGGCTAGTCTTTGCTATAGGAGGGCGACCTTCTAGGGCAGAGAGTTCTTGGGTTTTTTTGGAACTCATGAACTGTGAATGGCTGTGATTACACTGTAAATAGTTGTAATCATACTGGCCTGCTGGTTTTCTGGCCAGAATTGTTGTAAGTGATATAAAAAAAATACGTTTGAAAAAAATACGGAGGTCTAGACATTTCCCTAAAATTGTGAATCTTATGAACAATGATATTTTAAAAATCTTTAAAAAGTACATTGACAGTGCTTCTTTCTGGAGCAAAGTAAATGAATCCACAATAAGTTTACCTGAGGGATTACCCACAAATCTGAAGGAACTTTTCGATGCGATAATTAATGTAAGTCAATTTTTGTGCTGACGTTCTGTTCGACGACAAGCTTGTGAATCAAGGATAGGTTCAACTGTCTGGTGATCGATATCACAAAAATTGTTGGCGAACATTCGCATATTTATAAAAGCCTTTTCTAACACACTTTCATTTCTAGGATGGGAGAGATACCAAAGGTCGGCTCAACTTCAAAAAACTCAGATTAAAGATATTAAGTGAAAAGACAACTGCTGTGGTAGAGGATGATTATGAGAAAAGTTCCTTCTTAGATATTTTAGAAATGGTACTTTTAAGAGTCGAAGTGGACCCAAGAGCAGAAGTGGATAAAAATGAATCGGAGATGACTGCGTATAGAAAAACAGCATCCATCTTGGATTTCATTTTTAAAAGCTCGACTGTTGATTTACTAGAGTAAATAGGAATTGGCAAGAGTTAAAATTACATGGCATAAATATTTATTAATCCTTATATTTAGCGGGAAACCACTTGCAAGGCCAGTAAAGATATCGCAAAGACACAAGAAGAACTATTTGGGGATACGATACCCCTCAACAAAGGCTTTGGTCGTCGAATAGATCTCCTCTTATCAAGTCATAATGTTGAATTATCCACAAATGAGTGGAAAAGAAAAAAGGTCTCGCCGGAACAATGCCTAATCCAACAAACTAAGAATATAAGAATGAACAAAGCAATACTCAGTGGTGGTAAATCAATGCTTGGTGGCGGTGTTGCTCAAGGTAATAATTATCGGTGACTGGATTGGTTGGTGACCAGGTGAGATTGTTTGGTGAAGCAAGCTATATGAGCTGCCATTTAGCGAAAGTGAGGATAGCAATAGTCTCTATACCTTAAGCATGGATTGGATAGGTAAGTAAGGCTCAATATGCCTTATCCACTACTGTGTCTCCAACATTCCTAATATGTAATAGGATACCAAGGATATATGTTCGGAGTAGAGAAGAAGGATAACATCTACGTTGCAACCCACATCCGCAATTTGTCTATGCCAGAATACTTATTCCAGTTTCCTAATTTGGTTAATATACTTGATGCACTATATTGTTGGAGCAATCACCACAACAATCTTGAAGACATTCTGTTGCCAGCCTTGATCACGAAGCAAGAAAATAGTTTTTTTTCTCAATTCAATACCAAAGATGTAAATGATGTGAACAGTTTGTTTTGCATGGAGAACAAAATTTAAAATAAACCAAAAGTGATACTGTTAGAACTCGGATACCACTTTACTATGGACGAAAAAACTAAATTAAATAAAAAAACGTATTTTTGGTCTATGAGAAAAAACTATCAACATGTCTTTAAATTTAGCCCTTCCATACTGAGTAGATAAATATCAGTCAAAGGGATCAACAGTTATAACATCAAATGACAAGAGTACTATTTGTGCTCAGGATCTATTTATATTCCATAGTCCAGGCCCATTCGATTGTATTGCTTTTGCAGAATAAATATTTATCTACTCGCCACAGGGTTGTGCCCTGTGTACAGACTTCAAAGGTAGGAGGAGAACAAGCGGGGTAATGTGTGATTCATGATTAACTTTTATATTTATTATCCATCCTTAATGTGATGTGACAATTAACTCTATTATTATATCTATGATATCCTCAACACAGTTCTCCAAATATTTATTTGACTCCCACGAAGTCTAAATATTCCAATAAAAATAATTAATAAAGGTGTCTGTCATACATAAAAACCTTATTGTAGTGCAAGTGTGTGTGTATAGCTTGAACTATCCAGACTACGACTCCAGCTTCGTTAGCAACACTGAGGAGGTACTGGCATACAACATGATATTTGTTCGGACTATGCCGGTGAAATCCTAATACCAACAACACCAGCAATTAAAAAGGTAATCATAGATCTTTACCATGCAGATTAAGAAACAATAGTACTTTATATTATCAAAAAATAAGCTTGAAAATGAAAATGCATTTAGTCTTCTATTTAACAGTGAAATGGAGCTTGAGGTCACCACAGGGATTCAAATGATATAACCAGTGTTACTTGAATAATGTAATATGGGTGGCATGCTGGTAAAACATACAGTTTAAGAGATTTGTATAGCAGATGATGATCGATAATAATTAGGATATTCATACGTATTTAATATGTATCGTCTTCGTCAGAATCGATGGTGATGGTATTCGTAACGTTCCCATCTAATCCCAAAAAATCCGAAGCTTCGTCCCAATAACGTATAAATTCAGACCCAAAATCTATGGGAAACCCAGTAAATAGAGTATAAAGTAATAGTGTCTTTAAGTTTTCAGGTTATAATAGAATGCTGGTGAATTCTAAAACATTAGATTGTGAACCTTTTTTTTTTTTTTTTTTTTTTTTTTTTTTGTTATTCTGCTTTAAAAAAAGTTGTTTATTATTTTGGCACAGGTTAACAGACGACGCATAATGCTTGATCCAGCCTTCATTGCCCGCTACAGACAGTCATTGCGCAAAGAAGGTCTTTTTTGTACATCAATCTATTAGCACTTATTTGAAAATGTTTGATTATATATAACTAAGAAAAAGATGTTTTATTTTATATGTCATTTTTTTTTCATCAATGACAAGGTTCATGATTGTCCTGTTATTTAATTGAGTGAGTTCGAGACCGAGTACAATGCTACCTACAAAGTCCCTTACAAAGTCCTTCCGAATAAGGCTTTGGTACTGAAGGGATACCTCCACTTTACCAGTCGAAGCAATTGTCTCCAACGCATAATATTATACAGCCAAACAGTCTATATGTTAAATCCAAAAACTATATTACAGCTACTTATTTATGAGAAGATGTACTGCCAGCTCACTTTATACATATACTTAACTTCAAGTTATCTCCACGTCTACTTCTGTCAACCACAAAGCACCAGCAATGCCTTCATTAACAAAGCCTTTACGAAGAACGACCTCACTCCCTTAGCTAGTGGTAGAAAGAGCTTTAGAAGTTAAGCCGATGTGACCGCTTAATGGTGTGACCCAAGTTGGAGACCAAGTACATTGTTACCTACAAAGTCCTTCCGAATAATAAGCCTTGATACTTCTGAAGGGATATTTCCACTTAACCAGTCAAAGCCACTGTTCTTACCGCATAATTCTTTTTGTAATAAGTAGAATGCCGGAAGTTTATCTGTTAAAATCGGTTTCTATATAGTGAACTTTTAATTAGGAGGAAGATGCACTTCATTGCGAACAAGTATAATACTTACGTTGAAGCCAAGACATTTACGCTTGTTCCCTACCGTCATTAAGCTCCAGCACTACCTTCATGATCAAAGTCTCCAGGATGAACGATCTGGCCGCCTCAGCTAGTGGTAGGAAGAACTTTAAACACCAAATAAATTGCAGCCTACAAGTGTTTCTATTTTAAGTAAAGGCTCAAACATTATGGATGATGAAACAAGCAATTAAATCATTCTGACATAAGCTCTTGTTTATCAGCCTACAAATAAAAGCTGGTTCACACACTTTATTCTCCCCCCCTTTATTTTCCTTTAACACATTTCTTCTATCGTATGAAAGTAACTGATAAAGTAAAAAGGTTAGTTAGTAATGACTCTTGTTTATTTCAAAAGACACTTAATTGAAAAAAAAAAGATTTATTGCGGTATTGCTGCTGCGGCTAGTCTTTGCTATAGGAGGGCGACCTTCTAGGACAGAGAGTTCTTGAGTTTTTTTGGAACTCATGAACTGTGAATGGCTGGGATTGGACTATAAATAGTCGTAAGCATACTGGCCTGCTGGTTTTCTGGCCGGAATTCCTGTAAGTAGTATAAAAAAAAAAAAATACGTTGGAAAAAAATACGGAGGTCTAGACATTTCCCTCAACTTCAAAAACTCAGATTAAAGATATTTAGTGAAAAAACAACTGCTGTGGTAGAGGACGATGATGAGAAAAGTTCCTTCTTGGATATTTTAGAAATGGTACTTCTAAGAGTTGAAGTGGATCCAAGAGCAGAGGCAGAGAAAAATGGATCGGAGATGACTGCGTACAGAAAAACAGCAGCCATCTTGGATTTCATTTTTAGAAGCTCAAGTGTTGATTTACTAGAGTAAATAGGAATTGGCAAGAGTTAAAATTGCATGGCATAAATATTCATTAATCCTTATATTTAGCGGGGAACCACGTGCAAGGCCAGTAAAGATATTGCAAAGACGCAAGAAGAAGTATTTGGGGATACGATACCCCTCAACAAAGGCTTTGGTCGTCGAATAGATCTCCTCTTGTCAACTCATAACCTTGAGTTATCCACAAATGAGTGGAAAAGAAAAAAAAAGGTCTCACCCGAACAATGCCTCATCCAACAAACTAAAAACATAAGAATGAACAAAGCAATACTCAGTAAGCTACATGAGCTGCCATTTAGCGAAAGTGAGGATAACAATAGCCTCTATACATTAAGCTTGTATTGGATAGGTAAGTAAGACTCAATATGCCTTATCCACTACTGTGTCTCCAATATTCCTAATTTATGTAATAGGATACCAAGGATATATGTTCGGAGTAGAGAAGAAGGATAACATCTACGTTGCAACCCACATCCGCAATTTGTCTATGCCAGAATACTTGTCCCAATTCCCTAATTTGGTTCATATACTTGATGCGCTATATTGTTGGAGCAATCGCCACAACAATCTTGAAGACATTCTGTTGCCAGCCTTAATCACTACATTGCCCACTACAGACAGTCATTACGCAAATAAGCTGATGTCGTTTGGGATGTAGGCATCACTCAGCTTGTTTTGTCTGAATTCGCTTGTTAATCAAAGTGATGATGAGAAAAACGCTGAACGGTTGAATCAACGTCGTGATGGGAACGCTTGTTAATCAGAGTGGTGATGGAAACACTTGTTAATCAGTGCGGTGATGGGAACGCTTGTTAATCAGTGTGGTGATGGGAACGCTTGTTAATCAGTGCGGTGATGGGAACGCTTGTTAATCAAATAGGGTCATCCTGTTATATAAGCGATGTTTTTTTTTCGTTCTTCTTTCTTCTTTACCTTTTTGGCAATACCACACACACACACACACAATTACTATGGATCGCGAATTTAATGACCGCTTAAACGAACTGCATGAAGTTATGACTGATTTCATCCGTGGTAAAGCTGGATAGGGATGTGGGGGGGGGGGAAGGGGGTGTGTGAATCGACAAGAAGGGTGTGTGAGTTACTGACAATCTTTTTTTTTTTGGCTGTAGATTATGCCCCACAGGCACCTACTGCTATTACCGGCGTCTTAACCGATAATGACTTTTTCTTTTCTGGATTACAGCCATTGCCTGTAAATCGAGGTTTCCTCTGTATGAGCTATAACCGATTGAGAGCTCAAATGAGACACGTACCTCTGCCCGTGCGATTTGGTAAGAACCAAAAAATAAATGGGGTAATATGGAACTAACAGGAAAATTGATTTAGTGGACCTGGTTGAGGACGATGAACTTATGGGGACTCCCCCTCCCCCTGTAGCTCCTCCTGTGGTGGCTCACCCTGTGGCGGCTCCCTGTGGTGACTCCTCCTGTAGTGGCTCCTTCTGTAGCTCCCCCTGTGGCTCCCTTTGAGGGAGCCCTTCCCCCTCCCCCTGTTGGTGATGCTCCTCGTTTGCCTTTTCCCCCTCTCCTGGCTCCCTCTGGCTACTTCGCACGTCAGTATGAAGGTAAGTTTGTCACCATGGTAATGGTTTATGGCAAAAAAGTAACATGCATCTCATGTCGTCTCTCTCTCTCTCTAGCGGGTAACCGGTAAAGATCCAGCCTGCGGTCTCGTGTCACAAAAATAAACACTTATATATTTCAAACATGTGGTGAAACAAGCTCTCCATACCAATATAAATATCCTTACTTTTTCTACAAATAAATCTTCAGACTTCTTTTATCTCAATTTTACTTTATCTTACAAAGAGCCTATCTTGCTCATTCTTTTTCTTTTCTTTTCTTTTTTCCTTTTATTTACTTTATTTTCTTTTTCTTTCCTTTCCGTTCTTTATTTTTTTGTTTATAACTAGAAGCCATCCTCACGGAAACGTTCAGTTATACTAGTGATCTTATAGCGTAAACCTCTGTAATAAGAAACGTACCTATTTAAACCAGTCACTGTAAAGATCCCTCAATTTCATTATTAAGCATAATATTAGAAAACATCTGTAAAAAGAGACAGTCCATATTATCTAAGATCCTGCATTGTAAACCTCTATCTAAAAGAAACATACGTGCTTCAAACAGTCTTATTATAATAACTTTACTTTCCCTCTTCATTGAAAAATAATAATTACACTTTTATTTTCTTTGAAGTACTTCTTACTCTCATAACTATAATACTTAAAATTAAGGTCTAATCATCCTTTATAAAACCGGATTTGGTGCTCACTATCAAACTTTAAAATTCATATCTAAATAACACTACTCGGAACTCCCAAATTATAATAGTGCTCTCTCCCACGCCATTTCCACCACGACAGAGTCAATGGGAATGCCCATTGCTCTTGTTGCCAAAGGGCAATTGGAGCTTAATGCGGTTGTTAGCGAGTATATCTTTTTGCAAGGCAATATGACAGCTGCACAGGTGCGAAACACCCTTCTTGCGTTGATCCTTTACGTTACGAATGACGGGGTGAGAACCGTACGACAACTTGCTTGTAAGTCGTTCGTGTCGATGATGTTTTTAAAATCATCACCTTAACTTATCTTAATCATGTATCTTTAATGAAAAAATATTCCCTTCAACTCTTATTTTTTGATGATTCATTCCAAAAAAATGGTGATATATTTTGTTTATTTAATACAGAATTTAGCAAGTTCTAAATATGATATGATTATGGCTCTTTAATAACCAACCCATCCATTGGTATGATCAATTGATTCAGTTGAACCTTCGTAATTGGGGGTATTTTCATGATCAATCCATAAGTTAGAGTGCTCACCGCGAAGAAGTTTCACTTCTTCTGGTACATAGTTCTTGTGAGCGTTATCTTCGTGAGATTCCCATTCATTGGCAGAGTTGTTATGGTCCTCTGCTACCCAGCCAGCAGCATTGGCATGCGTACTTTCTGAGGAGACCCAGCCGCTAGGAGAAGCATTTTTATGTTCACTAGAGACCCATTCAGCATCGTTGGCGTGCTCGACAGGAACATCTTCACTTTCCCAACCATTGTTATGGTCAACAAAATTGTTATGGTCTTCGGATACCCAACCAGCAGCGTTGTTATGATCGTTGGATTCCAAAGAAGCATCGTTGGCGTGTTCAAGTGCGATATCTTCAGTTACCCATCCGGCCGCATTGTCATGTCCGTCTTCGCTGGAGACCCACTCAGACTCGTTAGAATGGTATTCGTTGGCGTGCTCCAAAGCGATATCCTCAGAAACCCATCCATTGTCATGGGCAGCATCTTGTGAGACCCATTCAGCAAGGTTGGCATGAGTAGATGACTCGACGGGAAGATCTTCGGATTGCCATTCAGCTGCGTCGGTATGGTATTCATTGGCATGCTCGACAGCAATATCTTCGGAAACCCATCCATTATTGTGGGCAGCTTCTTGAGAGACCCATTCAGCACCGTTGGCGTGTGTTACAGATTCAACGGGTTGATCTTCAGACTGCCATTCAGAACTGTTAGCATGTTCAACGGCAATATCTTCAGAAGCCCATTCACCGGAGTTGGCGTGGTCAGACTCGTTAGAAACCCATTCGGATTCATTAGAATGATAATCATTGGCATGTTCAACAGCAATATCTTCAGAAAACCATTCGCCAGAGTTGGCGTGGTCGGCTTCACTGGACACCCATTCAGATTCATTGGAATGATACTCATTGGCATGTTCAACAGCGATATCCTCGGATGACCATTCACCAGAGTTGGTATGATCGGCTTCACTAGAAACCCATTCGGCAGCATTGGAATGATATTCATTGGCATGTTCAACAGCGATATCCTCGGAAACCCAACCGTTATTATGGGTAGTATCTTCAGATTCCCACTCAGCAAGGTTGGCATGAGAAACAGCTTCGACAGGTTGATCTTCAGATTGCCATTCGGCACTATTGACATGTTCGACGGCGATATCTTCAGAGGTCCATTCACCAGAATTGGCGTGGTCAGCTTCGCTTGAAACCCACTCATTTTCATTGGAATGATATTCATTAGCATGTTCAACAGCAACATCTTCAGAAGTCCACTCGCCAGAATTGGCATGATCAGCTTCGCTGGAAACCCATTCGGATTCGTTAGAATGATATTCATTGGCATGCTCAACAGCGATATCCTCAGAAGACCACTCGCCAGAATTTTCATGATCAGCTTCGCTAGAAACCCATTCAGCATCATTGGAATGATATTCATTGGCATGCTCAACGGCGATATCCTCAGAAGACCACTCGCCAGAATTGGCATGATCAGTTTCGCTAGAAACCCATTCGGATTCGTTAGAATGATATTCATTGGCATGTTCAACAGCAATATCCTCGGAGAACCATTCACCAGAATTGGCATGATCAGCTTCGCTGGAAACCCATTCGGATTCGTTAGAATGATATTCATTGGCATGTTCGACAGCAATGTCCTCAGAGGACCATTCACCAGAGTTGTCATGATCAGCTTCACTGGAAACCCATTCAGCAGCATTGTTATGATAATCATTGGCATGATCAACAGCGATATCTTCGGAAACCCAACCGTTGTCATGTGTGGCTTCATCGGAAACCCATTCAGCAAGGTTAGCATGAGTGGAGGGCTCAACGGGTTGGTCTTCAGATTGCCATTCGGCTTCATTGACGTGAGCGTCTTCGTTGGAAACCCATTCAGCTGCATTATTGTGATAGTCATTGGCATGCTCGACGGGGATATCTTCGGAAACCCATCCGTTGTTGTGCGTGTTTTCATTGTAATGGTCTTCACTGGAAACCCACTCGGGACTATCAACATGAGATGGCTCAATTGGAGCATCCTCGGATTGCCAGCCACCATTGGTATGGGATTCTTCAGCAACCCATTCAGCACTATTTTGGTGAGTTTGAGTGGTTTGATCTTCATTGGTGAAATAATCGTCATTGGAATGCCAAGAGTTGACAGGTTTGCTACTGGATTCTGTGGATGCAGCATCATTGGAATGCCATGAGTTTTCAGCATTGTTGCTGTGAGAGCGATCCTCGTTGGTGAAATAAATATCGTTGTTGTGAGAGGCAGTAGTTTGATCATCGTTGGTGAAGTAAGGGTCAGCTTCATTTTTATGCGTCACTGCAATCGTATTTGTTTCTTTGTTCTTATCGATATACTGTTTGAAGTCTTGATCTAAACTTTCAATATAGTCATAGAAGTTTCGATGCCCTCCCGTATTATCGGTGGCGGCGGCATTATTGTGTGTATCTTGTTTTGTTTCTTTAGTAAGATTTGTTACTTGATTTAAAGCACTATCCCAATTAGAATCGTTTTCATGGGAACTTGATGTGCTTTTATCTCCATTTTCTTGAATTTCTTGAAGAATCTTGGCAATCTGGTCTTTATTTAATGCATCAGCAGTAGTGGCTGTGGCAGCAGCAGCATCAGCAGCAGTTGTCGTTGTTGTCGCTGTTGCAGCAATATCTGTAGTTGTAGTAGATGAAGTTGTGGTGGTAGAAGCTGTAGAGTCTGCAGTTGTGGTGGGTTCGGGTTCTTCACGCTTTACGATTTCAAAAGAAGTAGAGTCTTGTTCACAGAACTGGCCATCACCCTGACCAGAGATATGAATATGGTAATTTCCGGTAGGTTTACCATCAAGATTAAATGCGACTTCATCTGTAGCACCAGCAGTTGCATCTATTTTTAAAAAAGGGGAAATAATTAGCGCAAAATACTTTTTTTTTTTTAAAAAAAAGAGTCTTACTATAAGAGCCTACGTGTACTCGGTTGGTATCATAAGCATCGTCAACCAATGTAACATTTACTTGCTTCATCCCGATTGGTGCCTGCCATGCAACAATGTGCTTACTAGCATCATCAAATGAAAGACCTATGTTTGTGTGTGATTAAAATCCAGTTTTTTTTTTTTTTTTTTTTTTTTTTTGACAACAATAATATTGATTGTTACCTGTTGAAGAAGGATAGGTAATTCTAAAACCTAAAAATAAAAAAACAGGAAATCAATATGATAAATAAATAGTGGCAGTTGTTTGTAAAAATAGATGGTACCTTCACAAGTTGGTTCGGTGAGAGAAGCATCGTTAAGATGATTTGCTACTGAAGGTATATTGAATAATGGTGTGGCATTTACAAAGCTACCACTTTGAAGTAATAAAGTGGCAGCGATAGTTAAAGAAGCCAAGTTGGATATCAACTTCATGGTTGGTTTTATTGATATTTTATTGCTAGGCGAGAGATACAAAGAAAGGAAAGGGTCTTAAAAAAAGAAGATAAATGTATAAGAAAAAAAAAAAAAAAAGGAAAAGAAGAACAAGAGGATCCCCTTCATACGAGAATAATAACAAATAGGCGGGGATAATTGTAAAAATACCTTTTAGTCTTGTCATAATTGAATCTATTTTTGTATTTGTTACACATAAATAAATTGCTATTGCATTTCATATTTGGTGAACCGACTCTACATTATTAAATCCAAATCCCTCTTCCCTTCCCTCTTTAATTTATTCTTGTATCATTTTATTGTCTTTTTAGTGGGCGGGAATGAATATTTTCTGAAAAAACTAAAAAAGTAAGAAAAAAAGTAGTAAATTAAGCATTTCTGCTGAGATATAAACTTGTACAAAAAAAAACACGTTAGTCTGGAACCCCATATATATTACTTTGTTCCCGCTTTGGGTCCTTATTAATTACTACACACCCAGAGGTTTTCCTCGCAGATTTCTCTTGTAAATATCGGGGATTGGTTCTTCTCCTTTTTAGGAATGGAGAGGGGGTGGATCTGGGGGGTCTTTTAGGGTTTACTTAGATGATATAAAAAGCATCAAATTTGGCTTATTGGACGAAAAATGTATAAACACAGCAACATAAATTGGTTGTTGTATATAAACATCTAGCTTTAATATGATGACACCGAAAAAAAAATATATATATGGGGAAATTCTCGTTGACGAATGTAAATCACAATACTGTCACACAGTATCGGTTTATTGAGGTTGACTGCACTTACAGCATGATTCTGTGCATAAAACTTGACTCGATATTTCAAAACACCCATTTCATGAGAATCATTAACGAATAAAGATTAATCACTTACGATCCCTCGGCTCGCACTCAAGCGTTATCTTAAACGAACTGCGTAAATTTCACTTTACTGCAATCGGGTCAGTTTAAACCGAAAGGCTGTTTACTGATTTAACTATAAATATGATAGTGGAATGGCATTGTATAGTCGGGTAAACCACGTTTTATGGCGGAAGATAACGATGGAGTTACCGGATTTCCTTCAAAAGGTAGGATAGAGGTGCAGCAAAAGAATATATTATTATAATAACAATAAGGTATGGTTTTGGACTTTTAGTCCTTATTGATATGACTGTGTTGAATAATTGGGAAGGAAGTTTCGGTTTGCATAATGAAATAATCAAGAGACATGATTCATTTAAGTACAGAAAATAGAATAAAAAAAAGAGCAATTAGAATTATGAGTTTCAATTGAGTACAGAATATAAAAAGAATGTGGGAGTGCTAAAATAGGAAAGAAAAGTGAAATGGTTACTAGTACTAATAATTAAACTGATTGCAATCTTATAAAAATGTAACCATGACCATCACTATGTATTCATGTATCGTTTCGTAACGAATAATAAAGGAGGTACTTGTTTGGACATCTTTAAATCTTTAAAAATGCCCCCTAAATATTTGAAATAAAAGAGGGTTCTTAAACCAATAAAATCAAAAGTTTTTGCCGCCCGGAACTAAGGGTGTGCAACATTTACTGGGAAGGCAATACTTTGCATACCTGTCTCATGCTTCTCAAAATACCTACTGGAGAATCAGTTTTGCAAAGGTAAAGCTCTGTTTGGATTTAAATCAAATTATTTTTCATCCCAGGCACCATTTACAGGTATCTATCTATTACCTTTTCATAAAGGCCTTGCTTATGATAAAGGATTATTTGGTTCTCCAATTTCAAAGCGAAACATTTTTTTGGAGGTGCAGAAAATAACAAAAGGATAAAGGACTTAAAACAATTGAATAATTATGCACAATAATTTCGTGACGGGTCTTTGTCTTGGCCATTACGTCTTACTTTTTTCTTTATTTTTTCCCCCCCTCTTTACACAATCGCATTTAGTTATGGAACCAGTTCAATTAGAAAAAGCCTTAAACGAATTGCCACCTGTCACACTCATTACCGAGATTCCAGAAGTTCAAAACGCCATTGCACACCTTCTCCAATCAAACCAAGAAATGCGTGAATACGATCCGAACGATCCTGATATGGTACAAGCTATAAAAGAAAACAAGGATTTAATTATGAGGAAGGAAAGACAGATTGATTTGACTCTGAAGGTGATTCGTGAACGCTTGGGTGAGGCTGCTTGGAGAGAAATGGGCAGTAACGTAAAAGAATTTCGCGAAATGCATAAAGAGGAATTATTGAATAATAAACAAGAAGAAGAAGGCGTATTTTTGTAAAAAAAAAAAAAAGAGTAATTTTATTGGTATTGTTAACAGTGCAAAGAAAGAGAGCTTTTATGGTCTGTCAGGCTGTCCGGGCCAAGCGGGTGCATTCGATCCATCAAATTCGCCATAGAAACGATTGGATTCAACCACTCTATGTTGTGTTCCGCCAATGGGAGCATCACATTCAGGACACTTACTTATTTGAGTCGCTCCACCACAATCACCAACAAAGTAAGGATGTTGGTTTGGACAAACAAACCATCTACCACCCACCATGTTATGTATTCCGTGTTTAGTTTCATCGTTCATTGCATTGATAATTTGTGTCTTCTCATTGAAAGTCAACTTTTGTCGTTCTTTCTCAATTTGAGTCTTGATAGCATTGACTAGGCCAATTTCCGTCTTAATGTATTTTTGATATCTGAAGGCACGGTAAATAGTCTTTTGACATGTCGGACATCCCCATAATTTGATGGCTGTATGATCTCCGTTTTTCGCTTGATTTAAAAAATACATGTCAAGTGACTCCACAGAAAAGACTAAACAAATAATGAAAAAGATTGAGCGGATTGATGCATATTATAAAACAAGTAAGAAAAATTACCACATCCACATTCAGGTAAAGCGTAAACCTTTTCACCATGATCGAATTCAGAAAGAGTACGAAGTGAAATAGAGCATTTAAGCTCCGAGAAGCAGATACTACAAGGAGGGCAAGGCTCGCCACATAAACCAGGACATGCATGGCTATTCAAAAAAAAAAGTTAAAAAATGATTGTTTGGTGTCATATTTAAACTTACGAGCAGTCGAGCCTGAGTTTACAAGCGTGGTTACAGGGAGGTCGATCACAAATCTAATAAACAACAAACATTAACTAATTTTTCTTAATAAACAAACAAATATTTACCTCATAACATTTTTTTGAACATTTGTAGTGATCACATTTGTAAGGACAAGCACTAACACATTTAATGCAGTCTCTCCAACATTCTCTACTGCATTTATATTCGTGAGAACAAACGTAATTACACTTTTCGATACAACGCTCGGTATGTCTATCAGGATTTGCACAACCTAAATAACAGTCAATATTGCTGAATCATAAATATATTCAACTTTCTTACCGTTGTCACATCCATGGCCACAAATAAGTTGTTTGGGACAAGTTGCATCACATTTGTTACGATCATGAGAGTGTTCAATACCACACTTTGTTTTTATACAGAAAATTAGCATTTAAAATAAAAATCTTTGTAACAAATTTACTTTACCATTTCTTTGCAGGGATGCCCACATTCGTAAAACTGATCGCATACTTCTGTACAAGCAGTAGGAACACCACATTGTGCAATGACTTCATGTCCACAATCCAGCCAAACAGTACTTCTAACATTACATTTAATCTTCCTGATAAACTTTGTATTGTGACATTCTGTTTCGATTTCGTGGCCACAAGGTAAAACGACACGGACTAGTGCTTTGCAGTCAACATCGTCCAAATTTTGAAGTGTATGACAGATGCCAGTCAGCGGGTGACCACATCTCATCATGACGGTAGTTTCTTCTTTACACGGAGCGCAAGTACCATTTTTACTGCATTCGAAACATTTCTGCTTACAAACATGATCACATCTACTAGGTCGAGGGCGATTACAAGGCTCTTTACAAATAATTTCCTCATGACTCAAGAAATGACAGGTCTCTTGACATACATGACCATCACTCATCAAGGTATTACAAGGCATGGAGCAACCACCATTTCTTACTTGGTCAAAATCTTGCCATTTGCTAACAGAAAAGGTATCTCCGTGTGCATGACAAGTTAATTGGATGTGAGGGCCTGCTAAATCCCTGCTTTCCATATAAGCAGCAAAGTCCTTCCAACGCTGGTGAACATCGTCCACTTCAGGTTTTCCAATCACAAAGATACCGTATTTAGATCGAGTCAGCGCGTTTGACACATTGTCAAATGTCGAGAAAGAATAGCCTGGAGTTGCTGTAGAGATAATTGTAAAATCGTCTTCTCTGCCTACATTTTGTTCAATCGTATCAATCGAAATCTTGCTAATATTGCTCTTGAAACAAGTTCTTTTAGGAGCTTCATCACGCAAAATAGCACGAACTAAGAATTTTTGCAGGAAATTGGTTGTGAGAATGGTGATATTCGCTTTTGGATAAGGTTGTTGACTGAGATAAACAGCAAAGAAGGCCACAAATCTTGCTTCATCCACCTCAGCCTCAGTTAAATCCGTAGCCAACGAGAGAGAGTAAGCAGCAGATCTCCTGGAATCAGCCGATTGTTGATATTTAAGATAAAATGCACGCTGTGTAATACCGTATAATTTTTCAGCTTGAGGTTTACTTCCATCCACCATATTTTCATTACATGAAGCCAAGGGCGCGGTGATCAATAAGTCTGCATTATCATCTTTGATACTGTTGAACTGGTTGACAATACTAGCCACTTCGGTATGCATACGCCATTGTTCTTCAAGTAAAACCATTTCGCTACCAGATCTTTTCCATCTTTCAAACAAAGAAACATCCAAGTTTCTGGGATTTCCTGTCAAACCAGCATTGATTAACGGAGGTTTTGCTAAGCTATCATTATTTCCTAATAATACGACATGTTCAGTTCTCGGACCTAAAATAGTCGAGACTAAGGTAGACTCAAGTATCTCAGAAGCTTCATCCACTATCACAGCACGAGGCCATAAGTTCGATATCAAATCACGGTGAGTGGCAGCGAAATCTGCAGTTAAACCTATCACCCGATTGAAGCGACAGAGATAGACCCATTTTTGTATAAGGCTTTCATCAAATGACTTTGCAACTTTGTTTTGGTCTTGAATGATATCATGGATTTCTTGATCAATATAGTGAATCAAGACATTAGCAAGGGCATCGATGATAGCCGTTCTTTCTTCTTTAGACGCTGCCCAAACCTTTTCCAAAGGAATGCGTTTCCATACCTGAATCAATTCAGCTCGCAAATCATGGCTAGATCTCGAAGAATCTTCGAAAGGCCATTTGGTTGATTCCACAATAGGTAAGACATGCATTGGACTATTACCGATAAAACCAAATCTTTTTTGGATATACGTAGTGTCAACAATAGGCATCAACCCACGACCTGTCTTTTTCAAATAAGCGCTTTCCAAAGCGAATTGGGCAAGATCCAATTCTCTAGATTGAGCTTGAGCCGCAGGGTAATTATTGGTCTTGTCATCCAAAGCTGCCCATAATTTCCAGATAGCTAAATCGTTGGGCGTATAAGTTTGTCTTTGGTTCTTCATATACCCTTCTTGTAAACACTTGAGATATTGAGGTGAGATAGCTGTAGATAACACAGCAGGATCATGTTCAAATGCTTGAAATCTGGCAATAAACAATGCGTTCAGTTTCATCTGATTCTTGCATAACTGACGTTCCCAGTGTTGATGGTGACGATGGTTTGCATCAGAAACAACTATAGGTTCTACCAATTTTGTCGCTTGTTTCGTTAAAAGAGTTGCATCCCAAGGCTCTCCACCAAATCTAATAACATCAGGTACCGACCTGAGTACATTTTTTAAAATATCATCCAAAGAAGATTGACTTTTAGAGATAATAAGCACCGGTTGATGAAACTGCCCTGCGTTTAAAGCACCACTCATCATTATTGCTAATTTACTGGCAATAAATGTTTTACCTGTGCCTGGTGCACCCGAGATAACAGCGATACGATGTGACATAGCAAACTTGATAGCTGTAAGCTGACTAGGTGATATGTTGTAGAGAGCTGGTCGCTTAGAAGGTGAAACGTTTTCCCATTCACTCGCATGACGAGGCCAACTATTCTCTCCTGGCCTTGCCTTATAATATCCCCGATTCGCCATCAGACAAGAAACATCAACTTCAACACCTGTTAGATAATCAGGAACCGCATCTTGATTAGTAGCCAGTGCACTTTCGGTATTTTCTGCATCCCAAGCCGTCAATTGAGAATCAGACAAAATGTTATTAGCAGCAAGGATACGTGGGGTTAACACAGCTGAGAATCGTTCCTTTTTCAAACCAACGTACTCCTTGTGCAACCAAGACAAAACAGAAAGAGTGGAGGTGGCATTGGTTCGACAAGTGACCAAAGTATAAGTAGAGGACCAATCCATACGACCAATGTCATCCTTATTGATATGAATTGATACTAATCGTCTAGACTTTGAAGTGGCAGCTCGAATTGCATGGCCCATCATAGAACCCTTTGCGACCAACATCATTTCATTATGACGATCGGATAAGTTAAAGGGGGATTGTGACTCGGGCAAAATAATCACAAAAGAGCCTTCTTGAAAACTATCAATGATTTCATCATGAAGTAAAGGAGTTCCTAAACTAAATACCACTGCAACCTCTGAACTAGAAACAAGAAGAGTAGTAGCTTTCGGCTTAGTACCTTCAAACACGGCGCAACCAAAAGGCATTTCAAAATCGTGAGCAGGTTTTCCAGTAAAATATTCATGGATAGTGTTTTGTATAGGACGAATAAGTTCCTCGCGAAGCATCATAAAATGAACTAATGAATAATTGAGTAAATCAACATTCGGCCATGGATTGTGGGCCTTATTGGCAATATAAATTTCTTTCTTGGCTTCGTAGTCAATCAAGACATTGACCTTGTTTATAGCGTCTTCTACAATTGTTTCTGCAGAGGGGATGGAAGGTAAGCGTTCGTCCATATCGCGCCAAGAAGTCTCCTTTGTATCGGGGATAGCTTTTAATAATCTTAAGTGCTTCAGACATTCCTTGTTCAAATCAGCTGTAAACATATCCTTTACTGATTCAAAGAGACGCATGATATCAGCCATAGGTAATTCTTTATATATCTTTGGTGTATGGTATATTAAACTGCTGCAAACTGTCACTGCAGATACCAAATCCTCAGGAGTGTTTGCATAAGCTTGCAAATGTCGAGTTAAATAGTAGACAAAGAACTGCCATGCTTCACGAATACATTGGGCGGTTTGTAATTGCTTTTGAGATATTTCGTATTTCAAGACAGGTACTAGAGCTTCCAACAGTTTTGCAAAAGTACGCGGAGAAAATTCAGGTAAATATCGTAATATCTTTTCAACCTTTTTTTGAAACGCAACTATAGTATTTGGGATGTTGCAATCCCGCACGACCTTATAAAAATACTGAAAGTATTCATTGTCCCGTGACGTTGGATACATCGTAGGTTGAATTTGCATATAAGGTGAGGGCATCATCATCATGTGCTGCATATTATGTGAATTAGGGGCCCAAGGCTGCTGCTGCTGGTAGCCATAAGGCATTTCCATTGCTTGCGGTTGTATAGCTCTTCCTCCTCCATCTTCCAAAGCCCATTCAGGAGTTTTTCTGTCTTGAATACGATTCTCTGCAGCTTCAACGTAAGTTTTTTTACTAGATGTAGTTTGAAGCCACGCAGGTGAAATGTTATTTGTTACAGGTGATGTGATAGAATTATTGGATACAAATTCACTATCTTTCAGCCATTCGGTTGGCTTCTTTTTTGTTGGTGGACGCATTTCCAAGCGTAAATCTACACCTTCCTCCCAAGAATTCATAGCTTCAGACTTTATATCTTCAAATCTGGTGATAAATGGGGCAATCTTCACATGACTAACTGAATCAATCGTTTGGTCTCTTGTCCTAGGTCTGGATCTGGGTGGGGTTCTATCGGCTATTCTAGGGCTAATTTCATGCTTGGTGGAATAGTTACTACTCTTATCAGTAGTATTATCCCAACTAGTAACATCACTCCATTCATTGTTATTGCTGTCAGCGGTCCAGTTATTGTTATTGCTGTCAGAGGCCCAGTTATTATTATTAGTGTCAGCAGCCCAGTTATTATTGTTGTTGCTGTCAGGAATGGGTGAAGTGACAGACGTTGTCTTTACAGGTGGGGTATTTTGACTCTGACGCCTCGTACCACTTTTTCAAAAGAGATGTTTAGTACACTTAAAAAAGAGGATATTACTGTAGTCAGACACTTACATGCTGTTATGGGTTACGACGGGTGTAGGTCTTTTCAGAATGGTTTTTGTAGTAGGTTTAATGTCATCCATGGAGCTAAAGTCCTGTTGACGTGGTTTACTGCTCCATTTGGAGTTTAAGCGCGTAGAATTTTGTGACATAAGGGAGCTTTTTAATAGCCTTGCTGTGGTCTCGATCGTCTTTAATTCTTCGGAATTATTGACCATGTAGAAAAAAAAAAAGAACTGATAAATCAGACAGGTACTTGAGACAAAGCCAATTGTGCTCAAAAAGAAAGCCTAGTCACGATTCGACCAATAAAATCATGATGTTTCAAAAATGAAATTTTGTGATGTAAAAATAAGGTGGTATGCACAAAGACCCTATTTTTTATTTTCACAGCGCTAACAGTTGGTCATTCTACTAAGATAGTAGGACGAGGAAATACAAAAAGTGCTAAATGATGTATTACTTTAGCCGCAACTATAATTGGTAAGTGTTTCCTTTTAGACTTTTCCAGCCGAGGCTTTTTCTTATTGTCACTTTGCCTCCGGTTGATGCAGAAACTTTATGTAGAAGGTTTGCCTGGGTGTGAATTCTTAAATACTATATATAGAATATGTGTAAACACTGTGCACCTCGTAAGAGCACTGTAAAATAGCAAGGAGTATATTGCATTTAGAAGCGGAAGCAATTTTAATTGGTGATGGAAAAAAAGAGAGTTATTCCTGGATTCCAAAAGAGAGTCTAGAAATTTTAACTTGTCACGAGTCAATTAAAACTCCATGTTCCCTTTTTTTTTTTTTTTCTTTCTTTTTTCTTTAAGGAACTATTTCTACCCTTCTCCTTTTTTCTTCTTCTTCTTTATTCCTTTGTTTAATAACATTATTATGGGTCAACAATCAAGTCGAGAACATGCACCTTTGACATTTGGCTACGTTGGTCAAAGCTCAAACGAATTAAATCAACAACAACAGCAGCAACAAGATCAAGATAGAAAGGATTTTGTCTTGTCTAATCCTCATTTATATCAGTTACAAGCAGTCTGTAAGCAGTGTAACTCAACAGAAGATGAGCTTGTAGTATCAACAATAATTGGTGAATCCTGTTCTAAATGTCAAAAGCAAAAACGTCTTTCGCTGGTTCGAAAAGACCTGGCTGATGATTTACAATATATCGATGAAACTTATTACCCTGATTTGATACATTATGATAGTAAAGCGGATGATATGGAAATCGAATTACTACAATTAGAAAACGATAACACTAGCCAAGTATTGACTATTGGTGAAGTTACCCACAACACTCCTGGTAGACCTAGACGGTTGACAGGGCCATCCATGGCTATTGATTTATCCAACAGATCGCTCGTAAAGTTAAGCCCTAGTATTGGTTACTTGGATGGTTTAACTAAACTAAACTTGTAAGTAATATCTGTTGCTCGTGCCTAAAAGGTTTTTTGTACTAATACTTTACGTAATTATTTTTAGGTCCAATAATCAAATGAAAAGTTTACCCAGAGAAATAGGCTATTTAAAGAATCTTAGCGTGCTGAATGTCTCAGATAATTTAATCGAAGAAATACCTGATACAATTGCCTTCTTGTCAAAATTGAAAGCCTTAAATGTTAGCGACAATAACTTGGTTCAATTACCAGCCGCCATTGGAAGCTTACACAAGTTGGTTATTATTATTGCAAACAATAATAGTCTAAAATCACTACCTAGAGAGTTTAAAAATCTGGTCAATTTGATCTCTCTCAATGTATCCAATAATCCTCTTAAATCATTACCTGCTGAAATTGCCAATCTCAAGTCATTAAGGAAATTGCTTACGGATGATTGCCCATTTGAGGAAGAATACAGTTACAACTTGGTGCACAATCCTCCCTCCTTATTTGAAACATGCGCTCGTATAGCTATCAAGTCCCAAACAAATATTACAAGCCAGCTCGCTGACCATATCAAGGAGTATCTTTCTCGGGCTGATAAGTGCTCTTATTGCAGTGGTCCCTTTTTTGAAAGTTATGTTACACGGGCGCGATTCATTGAAAGAAGAGCCAGACAATATATGGCACTGGAATATACTTTATGTTCGGCTCATTGGTCGAACGAAAATGACAGGTTATTGGCCATGTTTGCAGAGCAGCCCGTAACTACTAAACGTCATCAAATTGACATGGATGGATTAAATGAAGATATCGTCACCGCCACAAGAAATCGTGCCTATAGTGATCTGACTCCAAGTTCACCAAGTTCACATGTTACGAATGACTACTTCCCGATTTCATTATTGAAAAGTCAACCGAACTTACCGGTTCTTCAACAAGAAATCCCATTGCAGTCACCAAGAGGAAATCGACCTCGTGCATCGTCTACTGCTTCGGTTACCAAAAGATTTACAAACTTCATGCGCTCTGGTAGCGGTGGAGGCTCTTCTACCCCAAGAAATCGTAGTCATAGTGGATCATCCACGTCTTCATTATCCTCTACGGTTGCACCACCTACACCGCCACCCAAAAGTAATTTAAGAGAGTGGACTTCAAATCAAGTTCCCTTGCCATTAGAAATATAAAATTTTAATTGGTGCTGTTTCAAGTATTATATTCCCCCACACACTTTTTTCTCAACCTCACACAGAGCGCTTACGCCTACTTAAGTGCTTCTCATACATCAGGCTTGTTTTTTCATCTGGAAAATAAACACAAATCATTTTTCTGTTAAAATTGCGTAAATGAGGAATTGCTTGATAAACAAAGTTCTCAAATAGTAGCTCCTATTGGATATGGCCCAGATTTAATTTCTATTTTTATTTATTTTTTTTAAAAAAACAGGTATTATTTTGCAGTGAAAAAATGTAGCTTCTTTTGTTCAATCCCTAGAACCGAAAATCTTGCAGTGAATGGGTATTAGTAACGAGCTTCTTTAATATAGGTTTACGTTCAAATATAACGAGACAAAGGTAACAATGAACGATCATCCCGCTAAATGAAACCGAAACAAATGTAACCCACATGTGCCAACTCTAAACTTGTTTATATTACATTTTATTATTACTATATTATTTTTTTACACTAGGTATAAAGTCAGTTCGATGTATCACAGTCATATAAGCAATACTCACATTAATTCAAAGGAACGACTACCAAAACATCGTTTTCTGATCTGAAGATATCTAATAATCGCTTGCTCATTTGCTTGGGATTAATGGGAATATTGACTTTGCCATTGTGGCGAGCGATACTAAAGTTCTCTGGTAATCCGCCAATCTCCTCTTTGATATTTTCAATGGCTGTTTCGATGGTTTCATTTTTGAGATACACTGAGCCAAGTAAATTGGCATCTTCGCGTGATGATAAATAAATCAGCACTTCTAATTCTTCGTTCGATGTGATATTGTCTAAGCTATTGTTAAAATTTTATGTTCTCTCCCTCCTAGAAATCCATTATTCCAGTTAATCCTTACCTTTTTGAGTCGCAACCGTCTTTTCGGGGTTATTGAGAGAATCAACAGCAGCCTGCTTCCTGACAGCATTTTCGAGTTTGTTTTCAGAGAATTCTTCAGGCATTAACCAAGTCTTTTCTAAATCGGGATTTTGCATGTAGGTTGGTACAATAGGAAGTGCAGGCTCGGGACCAACTACCACTTCTACATCACCTACAGCAGCGCGTAAAATCTCTGCTGTTTCGGGGTGATTGGCAGCTAAATCCAAGGCTGTTTGTCCCTTTTGGGTTTTGATCAATGGATCTGCACCGCTTCGTAACAAGGCTGTAACCACATTTGTATGTCCTCTATGGGCTGCCCAATGCATAGCTGTCCTATAAAATGATGGAGGGGTAAGCTTGCTTATTTTTTTTAGATAAATGAGGCAGAAAAAAAAATATTACCATCCATTCATTGCGTTTTGGGAATTAAGGTTAACACCGGAATGGGCCAAGTGAATGGTGGCTTTCACATTGCCTAAGGCTGCCACTTCTCTTAAAGTGTGTTCACGCTCATCGTTGAACTGCATGATGATGAATGTTTTGGAAACTGAAAGAATAAGAAAAAACTTTTCTTGTGTCCCATTTTGAAGTATTGTCTTTTTAAAGCACCGATTGACATGCCTTTAAAACAGATGGCTGGTGAGTTTGGGTAACATGTTCAATATTCACAGTCAGGTTAGTAAAAAATGAAAGAATCACCAACGGGTAGATTATGCTTCATTACGAGCTTTATTTCTAACATCTTAAAGTGATACCATTTAGATAATGATTTTTAATATCAAGGGCATCAAAGTTTTATCTAAATGCCAAAAATCGACTGGTAAAAGACTTCGTAAACAAAGAAAAAAGATAATCCATCTGCCCTAACACAGGACTCAGCCGGAGGGTCTCATTTATAAACTTATGAAGGTTTTGTGTATTTCCATGTCAACATGTTGATGCAATAAACAAATTTGATTTGTGTAAATATGCTGAAAGTAGTAGCATGATGGTAGCACTAAACACAATACAGATAGGCTATATTTTAAAGTTATAAAAATAGAGAGAAACAAACTTCTTCCGTAAACTGAAACCATCATCTTATGATATGCACACGGTAAACAAAAGCAAGAGATTAGAAAAAAAGTAAGATTGTTACTATATAATAAACATTCATAATAAAAATGCTACTACAAGTATAATAATGCCCGTGTGTCTTTACAAAAAAAAAGCGGATATAGGAACGCACTGTGTCTTATTTGTGACAATGCTCCAATATGCCACGATCAGGGGTAACACGGTCACGAAAGTGCCATAAATATAACATAAAAGACAGTAATACTAAGGGAGTGAATTTCCTCGTGAATTTCTTAGGATGTCTGCATTTAGACTAAAGCTGTCTTTCTAATTAACAGCTTTATAGGATTGAAAGCTTTACATCAAAAAATACATAAAGTGCCTGCAACATTTGTTGACGATTAAACAAATAAAACGTTTTGGGATATCGACAAGTTTTCCACCAATCAGTATTTTAATTGCATAAGTCCATAAAACCCACAAACCTGACTGTACCTGTTTTTTTTCTTCTTGTATAACCTTTTAATTTTAGTGACAGATGTTAGTGTAGCAATTATAATAAAAGGGGGGGAAAGTGAGCTGATATTTTTCTTTTGGCTCATGGCGGAAAGTAAACAAACAAAATCTTGCTCGAGTGCTAATATCCACCTAAAAGGGCAATTCTCTCCTTTAAAATTTATATAAATATAAATGACCCATTTATTATTTCTTTTTGTTTCTCTTCCATCACCGATAACAAATATGCCGAAAACAACAGCACAGAATTGCTTATCAACGTATACTTCAATGATGCGTGTAACAAAAAAAGGAAGGCCTTATACAAAAGTAAATAATAATAAAAACTTAAAAAAAAATGGAGCTAGTCTCTAATGTCTTGATTTAGGATCTTTACGATATGTTTGCGGCAGTACTGTTTCAAGTCACGCTAACAGATCACAGAGTCATGTTTAGAAATTATCCTTATACTTTTACAACCGACGAGGCAGCAAAAGTGATGTCTGAGCTTGTGTTTATTCATTTACATCGTCATCCAGATCCAGCAGACCCGTCCCGTCAAGTCGCTACACGAACTACAACTACATTCAGTATGGACTATGCCACGGCAAAGAACCTTATCCAGCATTTTTTATCTGCCAGACTTATTATGAGTGCAACGGATCCCAATAACTTAAATGTACGCGATCGCGGTCTTTATTGTCCAACATTAAAAGGAAAATATGTTTTGGAAGAATTCACTGATTATACACAAGTTGAAATGTCGGCTTCTTTGATTGCTGCTTTTAATGCCCCATACATGTCTTTGGGCTCATCAGGAAGCACTGGTTCACGAATAATTAGTCTAGATAGATTAGCAGATTATGACGATCAGATCACCTTCTCACGCCCTAATATGACTGCAGCTTTTAAAGCCATGATGTCTAGTTTACCTTTAGATGTGCTTCTAATGGATGAAATAGGTGGCCTTGAGAAAAAAAATATCAATATGTTCCAGCATACGTTTGTTGGGTTACATTGTATTGATTGGTTAACCGATCGTCTAACCGTCATGTGTAGAGACGAAGCTGAAATGGTAGCCGCCGAATTCGTCTTGTTTGGTTGGATTGCTCAAATTCAAGATAAATCTGAAAAGGGATCTCATCGAAAAGACGATACCATGTCATTTAAAACTTCCAGAAACGCAATTTATTATGTAACTGAACGTGGATGCACCGTAGTTGGTTGGAAAATAAATAAGCCAGCACAGGAAGAAATTACAACCGGTGACAGTAGTAGTGGGCGTTCAATTGATTCATCCGATTCAAACAGTCTAAGAAAGGCAACCATGCGAAAAGTAGTGATCAATACCGGAAAGCCAAATAAAGTTGATATAACACCTCCAACAAAACCCAATGTATATCAACCAGGAACGGATATGAAAAGGCACGATTCTGCTACAGTATTTACTGATAAGGTGTTGCCGATTGAGAACACAGTATCAAATGAAAAAGAACGCCGTATGCTTACCCCTAGACCACCTAGTATGTCCTTAACAGATTCCAGCATGTCACACACAAGTGCTAACTCAACGATGTCTCCCGACAACTCTCAATTCACTCGATTAAACCAAATTCTCGAAACCCCGCTTTTACGCATGTACTTTCGTGATTTCTTAAGATCCAACTATTGCGTGGAAAATATCAATTTTTGGGTTGATCATCATCTTTTATTGAAAAATAGCAACAAGAAAAGTATGCTGGATCAAGTATCGGAATGTTACTCTATTTATGAAACTTATCTAGGACCTGCAGCCACAGCTGATGTCAATATCGATCACACATTACATCAAGAGATAATTAAATATGTATCTAGTGTCTTTGTCATTGTTAGCCAATTACCTCCTGCAGGAATATCTTACTTTATTTTGGCTCCAAACACGGCATCAAAAAATCATAATAAATCGGCAAAATCGGCTACCAGGCTGTTGCTGTTGCCTCCGCAAGCAAATAGTATCAAACAAAGAATTGTAACGATAAGGGGGACATTAACTGACAAGTGTCTTGGAAATTTGCTAAAAATGTTTTCAAGAGTAAATGATCATGTGTGTCGGATGATGGCCGAAGATTCTGTTCCAAAATTTATAAGAACATCAAAATACAAAGAGCTGATGATTCAACAACAGCAAAGACTGCAGGGTGTTGATGACGAAGACGAAGAAGATGATGATGATGATGAACAATACTATTACGATGATAGCGATGAAGATGAGATTATCCACGTTACTACAGCCTTATCCGATCAAAGAATCTCGGTTGAAAATATTCAGAATTATCCTCTTGAAAGCATGGTCTCTTTTTGATTATCCTCTCCTTTCTTTTGTACTACTATTTATGTAACACTATATGATTCCATTCTTTCTCTACTGTAAATGCAATGAATTTGCACATTTTGTATCTTATTCCATCTTCTCCCCCCCTTTTTTTTTTGTAAAGCGTAACTCTCATTCCCTAACCATATATTTCTTTTTTTAAATTTATGTCAAATAAACCAGCTTCTTCGGGTATTGACAGATATGATCATAATAACGTGTTACGTTACCAGAATTTGTACGTGATACAGATGCACGAGCACCAATGCATCGGCTGTTTGTGCTCCTAAAATTGAGGTCTTTATCGAGATAAAACCATGCGACAGGTTAGTTTGTTGGATTCCACAACAAAAATATTGCTGTAAAATTTTTTTTAAATAGTAAACCTTTAACATTTGTGTTCGGTATATTAACCAAATTTTGATGGGCCGTTTCAAAAGTTTTTCTTATCCCCAGTCTTTATCCTAGAGTTAGTTAAGACAGTTTAATAAGCCGCAGTTCTAAACCTGTATCTGAGAGAGTCGTCGTTATGAAAATGTTGAAAAGACAAGGGAAATCTAGGCGGTGGTAAGATATAGGATTTTCAAAGGCAAATTCGAGACTTTCCCCGCTAGTCTATAAGACCCTTTCCTAATGAAATTCATCAAGTTGCTTTTATAAGTGATTTGTCATTTGATAATTTATTTCTGATTACATCAGTTGGATTGTCATTTTATATGTGATATAGCGCATAGAAATATGTCTTTGGTTATGTAATTCCCGCTTTCCAAAATTATGCAGCAGAGTGACCCGAGGAAGTCTTTATTCGGTGTCATACGATGCGTTTTCCCGCACTAATCTAAGCATAAGACAAGCTTAAAAAACGTATTATATAATTTTCGCGCTTTAAACATGATTCATCCTGCATGATTTAAAGTAGACATATAGTAGAAACCTTTTAAAGATAATGTTGTAATTAAGGGTTTTGGTCTTATAGTCGCTATAAAAACGACATAGGAAAACTTGTAACTAAATTTAAACCTACTTAAGAACCGATTGAGTGGTGTAAAATATAACATAGTATATATATAGTTAAGGAGACATAAAAAAAAAAAACGGAGAGGAATCCTTCTATTGGAATCGCTTAATCTATAATCGTCACAAATAAGGAGTTTAGACGGCTACAAATTACCCATGATAACAAAAATGTTTGCAATACCATGTACGTTTTAGAGCGGGGATAACCAATTTGACTAGGCAATAGATCGACTGATGATCAGCGTTGATCTCAAGACGCATCTCCCCGACTTTACTATCAGCCCTAAACATTAGGTCTTAAATCTGCATATATCAAGACATGTAGAGGAACTCACCACATTGTGTGTGTAGTTATGTGATTATAAAGAATATAAGGAAAGCTAAAATACCTAACATGTAAAAATTTGTGATGCTTCCAGAAATAATTATTGTTATAACGATCATCTTTTTGATTTGTTCGACGTATTTTATATAGACATGAGAGTCCGTGCTGTGACCAGCGCTATTCACTTGATGTAGGATATACATAAATGGTGTAACAATGACTCCACTTTGAGTGCTATAGTGACCCATCCCTTAATGAAATCAATAACAAAGAACTGAATTGGGATTGGTAATTACTGTCTTATCTTTTTTATTTCTACACAATGTTGCCTTTGCACTATATGTAGTTGCTGAACCAAATCAAAGTTAGTTGATATGCTTAACTAAGTCTTCAATTGCGAATTTAAACCATTCAATTATAATCACTCCATACAACAGAGACGAAATGCTTTAGTATCTGCCAGCATTAAATCGTTATAAAAATAGCTTCTGGATAGTTATGCATTATAAAAGACTTATTTATTAAGGGTATTTAATAAACAGGCCTAGAGAATAATGCATAAAAGCTATTAGAATCCTAAATCAGTGAGTCCGGACATAAAGCCCTGTTTGTACTCTTAATTCCACAAGATCGCCGATACTTGAACAGTAGAAGTACATCATTTAATTACATGACATGTACTTGCCACATTCTAACAAGGAAAGTCAGCTGTACTGACCTGCCAATGCAAGATGAAACGGGCATATTAAACATGATAGCTCAGATATACCCATTTATAAATAATTTCAATGAAACAGCAAACAAACGAACCAATCAATCACTTAATTGCCATGTGGACATATTGATTCATATTCGAAGGCTATTTTTTTTTGAATTGAAGAGATCTATGAATCCGTAGATACACAAATCACGATATTCACACATACACACACACACACACACACACACACACACACACACACACACACACACACACACACACACACACACACACACACACACACACACACACACACACACACACACACACACACACACACACACACACACACACACACACACACACACATACATACACATATATATATATATATATATATAGCTGTGATGCCATAGTATATACTATTTTAGAAGACTTGGCAAGATGTGAGGCTGTTAAGACCATAACATGAAATAGATGGTCTATTTGGCACGAGTATACAATAAGACTCATTCTAAAACAAGGCAGATTAATTTTTTGGCTTCTAATCATGAGTCAACGATTTTTAGTCCTAAAGGAATTAAATATTGGTCACAAAAAAGGCTGCCTCTGGTATTCTAGTGATGTTTTGAACTTGCAGTAATTACTATTGCTAAATACGACTCAGTTTTAAATATAGATGATGGTATGTTTGGCATAAAATCTGTAAAAGTAAAGAGGCTAAGTTTAAGAAAGGGTTGATCAAGAAAAAAAAACCTGGTAAAAAGCGTCTTCATGTGATAAATAGAGGAGTATTGACCCGTTCGTCACGACTTGTTTCATGATTCAATTTTAATCAGAAAGTCGTCATAATATGCTAAGAAAAACGAGAATAAACATTTTTTTCTCCCTAAAAATACTTTGCCTTGTAAAACTGGGACTACAGGGAATAAACTTAAAGCCCCAACCGTGCGATTTGATTGCTAATCACACGGGGTACCAAATCGGATTTTTGCCCTTAAATTCGGCTAAATAACTGCATTAAGGAATATTAAAAAACGATAAATTCAGGGGTAAATCATAGAAAAGCTGGTAAATGATACATGAGAGCTTCTACGCTTTTCTAGTGCATAATGTATTTATCAGGTTTAGACAACTAAGAAAAGTATGATGACCATGTCTCATGGGCTTACATACAGGTATTTTCTTTTTTTTCGATGCAAAGGATGGCCAGTGAACTTGTGTTACAACAACTGATTCGTATAATTCGGGGGTCCATCGAATTTCCTATTTGTTTGTTGCCGATGGTACACTCGGTGGCTGAACTTGGCAATATAAAATGATTTTAAGATGCCACAATAAGAATTAAGATATCCAACCGCATTCTTAAAAACAAGTTTATTATAAATAGGCTCTCTTCTGTTACACTTAAATGATATGTACATGCATAATCAAGTGACAATAACAACAACGTTTAAATATTGCACGCAATAAATGTAAATTTGAAAGGTTTAATGATATATATAGGTTTAAGGGATACAGAAGAAAATAGAAAAGGGGGGAAAGTGCGAACAGGACAATAGAATTGTCACAGTGTGTATGAAAAATAGTAATAGATAATGATTATAATGAACGAGAAAAAAATAATATGTATAATGAAAATGGTATAAATATAGGTATATAATGAAATACAGTCTATTGGGTAATTCTAAATTTTTGTCTTCTTTGCCTAGCCGCATTTGCCGCAGCTAAAGAGCATGGTGATAGTGTAATCAAGACTGCTCTGTTGATTCCAGCCTTACTTTTGAACGATATACCAGAAAGTTTCTTCAGGGCTGCAGAATATGAATCTGGATCTTCCATCATGTAGTCATCGTATTCGTCATCATCATCAAAGATAGAGTCGTCATCGTCGTCAAACTCATCATCTTCAAGGATACTTTCCGTAGTTGTATATTTGTTTCTTGAAGGAAGTGCAAGCTGACTTTCACTGCGCGAAGTGTAGCTAACGCTGACATCATCATACTTTTCATCAAAAAACTCTTCTTCCTCTTGACAATAGCTGATGCTGTTACTCTGGTATTTTGATAACATATTATTTGGTAATGTTCTATGCTTGCGGATATCTGTTCGAAATGACATAAGGCTTGAAGCCATGCGAATGCATCTATAAAAACTCTGTCTTTTTTTTTCGGAAGGTTTTACTTGGTAAGCGTATGCCATTGTGTTATATAAAAGTATTTGAATAAATTGAAGGGAAAATTAAAATAAAAATAAAAAGGGTTCGAAATAACAAAGCCCTTTTATATTTAAAATCGGCTCGGCTCAAAATAGTAGTCAATGGCGTTTCTTTATAGATTTCCCCAAAAACCACACAAACAAACACACTCCCTTAGTCCACGTTTTTTTTTCTTATATGATAAACTTTAGCCCCTTACTTTTTTATGTGATATGATGATAAACAAAACATCTAACTGTTTCATGCTTTTTGTTTATCATGGTATATATGTTTCTGTGTAACATGCATTACCTTTTTGACATACACGAACTTTTTGAAGCCATACATAATAGCTTATAAATAGCTTGAACAATTAAGCCACACCTACATTGTAAAAAAAAAAAAAAAAATCCAAGCACTGTCATTCTATGTAATCAACTCCCCTTTAAACGTGGTTATTCGTATGTTTTAAACGAGTCTCGATCTAATTTTACTGAAATTAAAAAAGCAATCAGATCTCATGAGAGCATTCGCCATAATTAATTATCTAAAACCACGACAGGGCTCCTGTGTTATTAATATCTATTTGTATAATAGGCGTAAAAATACATGTTTTCAACTTCATTGGATTGCGTAACTCTTCTGTAGGACCATATTGTGTACTGTCACACGATACAGCGTGAATACTGTATAAGGCTCAGCCTACAATGCATTTGGTACTTACTTTTTGTTGACAAGTACAAACAAAACACGTTTACATTTCTCAATTGTAGCTTTTTGTAACAACAATTCCTTAAACTTGCTACTCATATAACACAAGCATTAAAGTACTTTATTGTGTTGTCAAATAAAAACACACGTACTCTTACTCTTTTACTGTACATACGCTAAACTTACGCTAAACTTACGCTAGCATAAGTTTAGGTGACCTCATTATGACATCTTTATATTTATTGTCTCTTGACCTAATATCAAAATGGGAGTTAGAAATTAGCTAAATGTTGTAGACACCTGGCAACAAATCCCATTAATCAGAAAGTTTGTTTATAGTTGATCAATTTAAAGTTGCATAAGGTAATTCCAAAGATATATAGAGCCCTCTCCTTTCCCCGAGTTTAAATATTGTGACAGTGTATTACTTTAAAAGATTAGCACTTGTGATCCATTCCGAGACATTAGAAACCTAGCCTTGTTGCGAGCGCAGCTTTTTTTTTCGGCCGTTTGTTCCTCTTGTCCATAAGACCACACCTAACAATCAAATAACTTAATCAGATATGCAAGCTGTTGGGACCTAAAATTAAGCAAGTTTTATCATTGCTATTAATTCGAGAAACTATTCTGCGTTTGCATAAATGAATGGGTATGACAGACGAAGGGGCATACCGGTGCACTGGATTAAAAACAGTGTTTGCTTTTACTGGTCGCACTAAACTAGTGATACCACTCAGTTAGATTTGCCACTATTGCGATAAAAATAGGTCTGAATAAGTGCGGGGTCTTGTGTATTATTATTTTTTGAAAACTCATATAATGCTAATCTGAGATCTTTAGTATGATTATGTTTGGTATTATTAAACGCGTATTCGATTTAAAAATGGTAAATGCTATTATCTTATGAGTCAGAAGGTACTCTGACTGTACTATACCAACGCATTGCTATTTTAAAGTTTTTAGGGGACGTACAATATAAATTAATTTAGCCAAGCACATCGCCAGCTTCCCGATACCCATCTTTCTAAAATGGGCCCTTAAGGTAGCGTGTATAATGATTAATCACGGAATAAAGCTTTAAAGGTTCATAATATTTTTGTTTGTATCAGAAACACAGGAAGGAATAACTTAATTTGGATAATATACTTTTTCAGACACGGTATACGGAAAAAAGAACAATTAAGGCCTTCAGGTAGATCACAATAACGCAATGTCCGATAACTCCTTGATTCACCCCTTATGCAGTTTTCACACTTTAAATTCGGGATAATGTAAATTATTTCGGACAAACTTAAATACTGTTTTAGACTGTGTCTACGGAAGTAATGCCTGTACATGTGTCAGTCGAAGAACGTACATACTTACTATGATACAATAGCGTAATTTGTTGGAGAGGCAATGTAATGATAAACTTGAACGTCTGATAAAGATGTTAAAATAATAGTTACTTCACGGCATTATCAAAGTTTCAAGTTTCTCGGACATGGACCGATAGCATCTATTTACAATAGAAAATACGTTGCTAGTGGGAGCCGAGAAGTTATTGACAGACAAAAGTTTTTAGTTGGGTCTGATTGAGAGAGGACAGACAAATGCCACGTCACAATCTTAGAAATTTGGGTATTAAATACCACTACGTGCCTAGGATAGGCACAAGAGCAGAGTACCTTTTTGTAATTAATGCATTCACTACTTACATAAGCAAATTTTCTATCATAATGGACAATTCTTGACGAACTAAAATCGGTCCTTAAATACATTTGGTGCGAGAAAGCTGTGCATTAATCTACTATAGAATTTACCTCGTTTTATGAAGAAGTCTTCCTTATATCGCCAATTGACGATTTTGATTTCTCAAATCACAATTATATCATCAGCAGCTATTTTCACTTATTCGACTATAGATACTGTACAAAAAAATTGTAAATATAACTCTTATCTAACTGAAATCCGTAGCGACAGATAAAGTTTATTCTTTTCGCTTACGTGCGAAATAATCCATTACCAACAAGTAAAAATACCACAAAAAAAAAAGCTTTGATTTCTTTACCCTGCTCGATATTTGAAACATAGAAATCTCAAATTTCGAGAGATACTCTGCTTTTCAATTTAATCAACTCCAGCGAGTTCTTTTATTCTGGGAATGTATTCTGCTAAATTTGTATTTTTTTTTATTCTTTTGGCCTTTTATTGTAACGAAATTTACATTTTGGTGAGGTGTGGAAAATCTTTAGCTGTTTATAGAGCTCTTAAATAATACAACTTGCTGTGTATATAGAATATATTTTGAGACAGGTAATTTGAATAAGCGTTTTTACACTGGGCTACCGATGTGGACATGATGTAACCAAAACTTAGCAAAGAATTGTACAAGTTAAACATTTTTTCTCCACGTTTTATTATTGACTTGTTAAAGCAAAATGAAATGCTGCCACGCTATTCAGATTTTATATTGTTTACGATTGTTCGACAATCTAATTTTCTGCTTTATGTTTAACGAGAGTAGCACTCTCTTCACGGCCTCGAAACGGGTTTCTTTTGCGGAGGAAAGGAGGCTTTATAGCTGAGATAGAAACGAATGGCTGAATGTGCTACATCCTTGTGGGAGGAACAACGACTTAACTGGAGCCTTGTTGTGAACTAGACGATACCATATATTACGCAATATGGGACCACAACTCTCTAAAATAAGTTGTAACCAACGCCACTGAAATACCCCTTATTAAATGTCAAAGATCCCGAGTCCTCCTTGTGATCGTGATGTTTGAAGAGTCTACAACTTGAGTTTTGGAAACTTCCAAAACATAAGAAATCGGTACCAACCATTGAATTTTGGCAATCTGGGCTTATTAGTTATAGGGATTAACAGAATAACGTGCCACATTGTCGATTGAAATAAGGAATTTAGGACGGTAGTTTGTCCACGAATTGACAGTGGCTGTTGTTTGAGGAAGTAGCTTGCGTGTTGAATCTTATTGATGTTAGCATCATTATTGCGTTGATTGATTGAAAAACAGAGTTGAAAATTTAGGTAAAGTAGTAGAGCTGTTGAACATTGGGAGTGCCATCTAGTAATGTCTTGCTTTAACAAGAAATGTTTAAAAGTCTCAAAGAGTTTACCATTGATTTCAAAAAGCTTCGGTTTTATCGTTGCCGTGCAAAAAAAAAAAAAAAAAAAAAAAAATCTCAATATGAAATGCGCAGCAGCAGAAGTCATGTTACACACGCGAGAAAAAGATATATTTTGCATGAATAAGCTTAAAATAATTTTAATTGGTCAAAAAAGTTTATAGTTTTCATCTTATATTTTTCATTTTCATTAATGTTTAAAAAACCAAGCCCGCTTGCGCCCCTACGTTCCTGGAAAAATGTTGACCACCCTTCCCACAAGATGGAAACCCGTCGAATAGGACGACCAGCACTTGATATCGATGGTTATACCGCGTACTCCGGAAAGATCAGCGAGAGCAACCCCAAAGACATCGAATGTAGGAAGACATTTTTTTGATGGAGAAAAAAAAAAGAAAAAAACTCGTCGAGTGGAAAAAATAGGCCCCTTTTATACCTTTTTTTTTGAGTGGGTCAAATTTATCAGTTACACATAAAAATTTTGGGACTTTCAAAAAAACAAGTGACTGCAGTTCTGGTATCATCTTGACATCATTGTTTGCAGTATAAATTGGCTGAACCTAAACAGTATCACTACAACACTATGATAATATGTGTGAGCAAAGAGAAGTAGATAGTAGAATGAAGAGAAAACTCACATACGAAGTAGAGAATCCATCTTTTTTTTTTTAAAAAAAACTCGGATTCTCAATAAGGCAAGTGGCGCGCCCGCGCGCACAGTCTACAGTTTGGAGCGCCTTCTGTATTAGGGTCTTTCATTCTACCACTTGGGCTTTACCTTTTCAACTAGGATGAGCCATAATTAAAAAAGTCTGCCTAAAACTTATTTAAAATTGTCAGTAAAGTAGTTATTTGAAGTTCCCAGCCAAGCCTTTCTTATTCATCACTCACGAAAAGCGACATAGTGTGTTAATTATAAAAAGCAGAGATTGTTAGAGTCAAGTAATCACAAGATCCCTTGTTAAAAATTTATGTATAGAGTAAATTACCCGTTCTAGTAAACTGTGAGTGCACTTTCAAAGTAACAGTCTTCAAAAAAAGAAAAAAAGAAAGGGTTTTAAAAGCACTAATCGTGCCCTTCATCTTCGAATCGCCTTCTTTGAACAATACGAGAGAGGATATTTTAACTCTCACTAGTCAATAAAAGCAACGTTATGAATTAAATATTTTGCAAAGGTTGAGGCTTTGCATGTATGATCATCCTCAAAGCCAGCCTTGTATAACAAATGAAGCTTGAATAAATGGCTGATGTACCTGAATGACTCACAGCGTATGTACCCGGTTATATCAGTTGTAACCTAGTCATTTTACCCTTCTTATTTAATTCTTGTTTAGATAAATCTGTAGGTTAACCGCATATTATAGCTCCCCCTTCCTTTAAAAAGTGTTCTATATCACTTCCTGTCGAACTCAATTGAGTTTGACCTTGTTTCGTGCTCAGAAAATCGGCAGCATTTGTCGTGAATTTATCAGCATTAGATCCGCTGAGCTTATGATTGAATTGTGGAAGAGTCTCTCCAAATATCAATGTAGACAGGCCGGAAACACAAATTGCTAAATCACTGAGTCGATCTGAGACCTGCGTCGATCTTGCTTGCGACAACAAAGGGCAAAGAGGATTTACGCAATAAAATGATCCGTTAACATTCTTTAAAAACTTTGAGCCATCTTTTTTTGTCATTATTTTACTTGGGTGAAGTAGCTAGTGGTAGCAAAACATACAGGTTTGGGAATTGTTGTGCTCGTTCATTACGCATACTGATAGAATAAAACGACTAGAGAAGGGATTAAACTCATAGATTGTCATATTTAGTACTTTGATGATTTTAACAGATAAACGCGCTTTTCCAATCATAATTTGCTTGTCGCCTACGTAGATATTAACCGCCATATAATGATTATGTGATCTGATAATTATTATACATGTATCAAAAGACTGTACATCTTATGAGTTGAATCAGGGATCTATAATAAGCTATCTAGTACAGGATCCGTCCAGGAACCATACCTATAATCTGTATATTGACCATTACATTGTTTGTTACAAATTCTGAGATCTCTGAATAAAAATTACAGAGACAACATATTTGCTTCCAAGCCCCTATCTATTTCCAAAGATACACTAGTGCATTCTTTCAGTCAAAATAGAACTGTATTTTCCGGTTTTTTTCGAGATGATGTTTCTGTATTGCATTTCTGATGATTTATCCCGCCAGCACATTACAAACACAGACACTACCTTGTTTGTTTTTCTTACAGGCGCAGTCGTTTAAATAAACAACCATTTTGGGACAACAATGCTTATCTGTACGCAATGTAAATATGTGAAATGCAGAATTTTCAAAGGAGCATGTTTGTAACTTTCTACTTTCTGAATCACCCAATTTTTACATAAAATAGTCCCGGTTCTTTAACTTTTCTTTTTCTTTTTAGTTTTGCCACAAACATATAACCACTAATTTACATTTATTTATCAATACAATATGCGCACTACTTTTACCTTGTTGGCTACTTTTACCCTCTTGTTAGTACTTGGTACTGAAGCCCACGTTGCTTTCGATAGCGAGAAGAGAGATGGTGGTATTTTGGGTTGCGACGATGGACTTTTGGGAAATCTTTTGGGTCAAGGTGGTATTTTGGGCTGTGATGATGGACTTATAGGAAATCTTTTGGGAGACAATTAATTGGTGCCGCTGGCTAGTGCTGTGCATAGATACACAATTATTTAATATTACTCAACAATAAATTAATCGTCTTTTTGCGTGGCAAAACCAATTCAAATTTAATTATGATAGTTTACTTTAGTTACCGTTTATCGGGGAAAATAATTTGTCCAAAATAACACACAATATATCACTATAGTGTTTTTATATTCCTGTTATCGTTACTGTGTCTTTACACAATGATTAAATGTATTGAAAACCCCTCAGATTTTGTCTTACATTCTCTTGTAGTTAGTGATAAAAATCATCTCTAGATTATCTATATTTTTACTATATTTTTACTATATATATATCATTCAGTAAATTCATGTACCTACACTATGCATATTTTATGGAGATAACACTGTTCTAAGGCCTTAACTTATTGTTGCAGCCAATAACAGTATAGTCCGGCTGGCTATTTGCTTTTTGATTTTAGTTCTACCATGGTGTCGAATTTTTCTTTTTAAGGCGTCAAAAATAAAGCCCCTTTAAAATAGAATCAAAAATGTTCTACCTAAATCTACAATCGTTGGTTGCATCAAACGTTGGAAGGAAATTAGTACTAGAATTGCAGAGACACGTAAAGGAAAACAGCCGAATTTGTCTTATAGAGACTAGCGTAAAATTGTACGCAGCTTTGGGGAAGACCCCTTCATGCCATTTGTAGCTAACAAAAGTAGTAATTTTGAAATAAAAACATATGTTCTTAAACTAAACATATCAAGCTTGAAGTTTTTTAAAATTTGACAAGATTACGAACCCTTATACCATAATGGCATATTCCATTTGAAAAACACTATCCAAAAAATTAATGAAAATAACGGTGACTAATTATACACCACGGTGATAGGAATACTTTTGAATGTAGGCTAGATCCATGGGATCTAAGGTAAATTGAGTGTCTGCTGCAGAATCAAATGAGCCAGAAACATCAGCCGATGCTGCGCATATCAATGAAAATTACTACGCAAACTTTGCTGCTAGAATGGGAAGTAATCGTAAAAAAACACATATATTTATAAGTACAACGAAAGTTATCTTATCAGTGACGACCTCTTACATCCAAAAAGATTTGCATTAAAATAAAGGGCCTTTAAAAAAGTAACAGAGCTTTTGATTGGTTGTAGTTTTTTTTTCTGCCTTTTTATTTAATAGCTGTCAAACTCATTGCAAGCCCCCTCCCCCTTTTTTAACTATTTTCCAGCAAAAAAAAAAAAGTTTTAATGAATAAGTCATTTTCAAGAATTCCTTCTGTACTTAAGCAATGCAGGGTCAGTCGTCTTTCACAAGCCAAGCAATCGCTTAGATCCAGCCATTTATTCGTTACACCTGCCTTAGTCGGCTGCCAACGTCTTGCAAAGTCATCCGTTGGATCATTCCAAGTTCAGTCCAAGTCATGGAATAGTACTGTCAGTGAAGTCGCTGCCAGTTTAGGTGATTGTCCCGGTTGTGGTGCTCCTTTCCAAAAAGTAGATTCAGCAAAGCCAGGTTTTTTGACCGATCGAAAGAAATCCAACAAGGACATGAAGAAGCAAGGCAAGACCATGAGTAATGAAGAGTACAAATCTGCCGTTGCTGATCTCGATCCCGAAACAAGAGCTCTTTTGGAGGGTGAGGAGATTGTCGAGGAGGATATTAAGGAAACACATCATCATGAAGAACGTAACGTCTGTCAACGTTGTTATGCACTCCAACATCATAATGCCACCACCACAGAATCAACACCAGCATTCTTAAGAGCTTCGCAACAATACGGTTCTTTGGAATTTTTAAAGACGAAGCAGGATCCCTTGATTGTCACTGTGTTTGATGTGACAGATTTACCTGCCTCTTTGGGTAACTTGCCTCAATTAATCGCAAAGAATCCCGGTGCTCGTATTTTATTAGCTGCTAACAAGATGGATATTCTACCCGCATCCGCTAGAAAGCATGAGCAACGTATACGTGATTGGATTGTTCAACATACAAAGAGCTTGGGATTACCAACAAACCAGATCCTCTCTGTTACATTGATCAGTGCTAAAAAGGGATGGGGTATTCCTACCTTGATGCGTAAGATTGACAGAGAGAGACGTCCCACTGATGATGTTTACTTGGTGGGTTGTACCAATGTAGGAAAATCTGCCCTTGTCAACCAATTCATGTCGCAAATTAGAGGTACATTGGACGCTGAAGGTCGTCGTCTCAAGTCCCAATTAAAGGCACAGTATAAAATCACAAGTTCAGCAATCCCTGGAACAACCATGGGTACTATCAAAGTACCTTTATATGCTTTGGGCATAGATTCAGCCGAGGAAGGTGAAAATAAAGACAATTGGGAAAAGCGTAAATATGCCACTCGTAATAGATATTTGATTGATACGCCCGGTGTTATCAATGACCAGCAATTAATCCATCAGCTTGGATATAATGATCAAAAGAAAGCAGTGGGACAAAAAGAAATGAACCCTGTCACATTCAAATTGGAGCCTGGAAAATCCTTATTATTAAAACCTTTAGTACGTATTGATCTTTTGGAATCCAGCGGCCCCGTCATGTTTACCATGTTCAGTCCCCTCGCACCTCATTTAACAAGAACAGAAAAATTACCAGCAGCACATGCTCTCGAGGACAAAACAAACAACTTGCGTCCTGTCAAGGATGAAAGTATTTTGAGAATGAGTTCTTTAGTACCCATGGATGAAGTGATCCGTGTCAATGGTATCCATCGCTCTCAAGCGTCTGTTGATTTCAGTTTTGCTGGTGTAGGCTGGGTTTCTTTAACTGGTGAATTTGATAATGCCAAATTCAGAGTTTGGTTACCTAAAGACGTAAAGGCTCACGAAGCATTCCAAATGCGTGATCCTCCTTTCTTGCCTTTCGAATACAAGGGCTCCATCAGAAAGTTCTTTGGTTCTGGTGAAAGAACTCGCAAGTAAATATCATTAGACTTTATATCCTCCTGTTAGAATAATAAAATATCAAAAAAGCAATTTTTATTTTTTCTTTTGTGAGAATTTATGCGTGGATGCCACGAATCATGCCTTTTTAAACGTTTCATGTAAATGGGTTTAGCAAATGATGGTTACTCTCAAAATACCAATATGAGAACGCTGGTCCGAAATTCATGCTCGTCAGAAGTCACAACAGCGTCCTGAATTATGAAACTTCCATAACTAATACGATCGTAGAATTTTTATCGATTCAGATGCACAAGGTTCACCAATGATTAAATGTGTACAAATAACGTGATCATGTGTTTGAATAGCTGATAACAAACATGAAAAAATAAAAAATTGGAACAATTACCTTTTCTTTCTCTAAATGTTTATACTAATATTGCCATCTGAAATACGCGAGGTTATCTTTAGTTCACTAGAAGTAAAAGATGTCCTACAGTGCCAATTAACGTGTAAATCCTGGAGTGGGCCCGCTACCCAAAGAATAATCTATAAAAACATTGATGGATTAATGAAGAGGAAAGACAATGTAAAACACTTTATTGAAACCATTAGCACTTCATCAAGTGGGTGCGGAGAATTTGTTAAATTTCTGGATGTGAGGGTATTATTCTCGAAAAAATATATCACAGCTGAAATGATGGAAACCATTGGTAAATTTTGCCCCAATGTGGAACGAATATCTGGATATGATACAGATGATCTGTTTTGTGCCTGTATCACGTATGGTCGTAATTTGGGTTACTGGAAACACATTCAACAATTACCTAGCGTTTCATATGTTTCTAATTTTACAGCTGAAGTCTATTACGATTCTATACTAGCCTGCGCCGGCTCTTTGCAGACCTTGGAGCTTAACTTGAGCAACCATTTTGTAGGAAATGAATTTTGCGTCATAAAGAATACCATTATAAACAACATACGCTTATTCTCCAGCCTTAAACACATTCAACTTAAAAAAATACGTGGAGAAATATCGAATTTGGATGATATCGTCTCCCACTGCTCAATATCCGTCGACTCTATATCTATTTCGCACTGCAACGATAGACAATCAGCAATATCAAGTATAAAAAACCTTGAAGTTCTTCCAAACAACAATATAAAACATCTCGAATTAGACTTTTGCAATTTAAATCAAAACTCGATACAGTACTTAATACAGAAGTTTTCTGGGATACAACAGCTTAATATATCATCTTCGTGGGATGGTTTCATAGAGCTAAACAGTACTTTCAAAAGGAATTTCTTTCGATATATGTCAAGCATTCCAAAATTCACATTATCGGGTGTAACAAATGTTGAAGGAGAAAAAATGTGCATGTCACTCATAACCTATGTATCCTCATCCCTAGCAAACGCAACAAGGAAACATAATACCATTAATGCAAGCATATCATATCATTACGACTGTTACTCTAGATTAGATAATCTTGTCTCAAACCTAAGCGTCGCTCAATCTAAAAAAACCTATTACGATGAACCTTCAATTATCGACATTAGTTTGAAGTTTTATAGTCACACGAGAAATTTAAACCGATCAAGAACAATTATGAACGAGTACCTTTGGAAGCAATGTGGATCAAAGTTATCCCGAATTAGTGTTTGTCCAAATATACAAGAATATGATGACGAATATCCAAAGAGACCAGTACATAGTTATATGATTGATAGAAATGAATTAGACATAATATTAGAGAACTGCACTTCCCTAATTGAACTCGAAATCGGGCGTACAAATATATCTTATTCCTCCTTACATAGCTCAGGCAAGCCTAATAAATCAATATCAACTCTCAAATTGAGTGGTTGTTGGTTTGCTCCGTCTATTCTTACTGGACTGTCGATCCGACTTCCTTCACTGGCACATCTGACAATTGCCAATTGTGTTTTTCTCAATACACCTCGTCGTGACAGACTGGCTCAAATCAACATGCCAAATACTTGTTTCCAATCCATCAATCTGGTATGGTCACACGATCATGCAGATATCTGGAAAAAGCATGATACGTTTCATGTCAAAGTTAGTTTCGGTTTCTCTACCATCAAAAGAGATATTTTTTTCTGTGGAGATCAGACCCAGATAAAAAAATCTACGGCCGTGAAATATAGGGTTGCTATACTGGAATGCATGCCGTTCGAGATAAATATCAATTGCAAGGATATTTCGAATTTTTCAATCAAGATCGAAAAACAAAGAAATATTTTTTATGATTTGAGAGATATCAACTTATAGTCAATAAAAAAATATTCAATCATAATAATGGTCTTTAAGTTCTACACTCTTTTAGAGCAAACAAGAGTAATGCAGTTATGGTTTACAACTGAAGTAACGGTGTGCTCAAGATGTCAAATTATCAAGATTTTATAGTTAGTAGTTTATAACACAGTTTTGACAATATTGAGCCTGCAGTAAAAACTGGGGAAGCTTTTGAAATCACCTTTTTCACTGACTATTCGAAGCATATAATTAGATCAAGTGCTTAGAGCTTGGAGTGCATTAGAAGAAAATTTAAGTACGATAAGCTTCGATCTATGTAGAATAAGTGGCATCATTTTGTGTGTTTAAACGTGTTGACACACATAACATCATAATCTTGTGAACATTATCATCATTTTACTTTGAAGTCTCTTATAAATGTAATGTAATTTTTGACACCATAGATATACTCTTTTCACAAAAGCTATATTGGAATAAGAATCTGCTATATTTTACGCGTTTCCACTACCATGATGGTACCATTGTAACACGTGCAAATAGTTATTATTTATCGTTCTTTCGAATTTCCATTTTAGTATAGCAAACTTATCTTATTCTGGAGTAGCCGTTCTTGAATTAGAGCTAATAACTTGAATGTTTTACAATCGAAAAGGCGCTATTGTATATTATACTTACAAAAAACCTAGGTATTTCATAATGATAAGAGGTAGGATACTATTATACACAAGGTTTTTCAGTACCTGTGGGCGCGGTTCCTTTTAAATACGGGTATACAATCATCAGTAAATAAAATGGCTTTCCAAAATAAAAACAAACAAACAAACTTGTTATTCTACTTGGTCTCTCACCATTATATGTTACAGCAAAAATATTCGTATTGTATTTATGATTGGCATGATTTAATGCATATTTTACTATAACTTGATTGACACCCGAATTAATGGTTTTAGATAAACTAAATGGGCATTAAAATTTCACCCTTACGCAAATAAAAATAGTGGTTGATCAAGAGAAAAGGTCCCCGTGAGCACCTGTATCACAATGTTATGCATAACTAAAGTCACACAAATAAAATACATACATAATACGCTTTCGTTATGTGAGTTCGTATCAGGACAATATCGAGTGATATTGTGCATAGCTACTACAATACCGGTGGTATCACGAAAGTCACGAAAGATACACTGCGTGCGAAGCATATATATATATATATGTATATACAATTTCAGATAATCCCTTTCTAATTCAAGCCACAATATAAGCCCTTATATTTTAAGCCATCAATAGGTATTAAAATGATGTATGCATGTTTACAGCACAATAACAAAAGACGAAACACTTAAAATTGCATAAAATAAAAGATGCATTTGTTTGTAAAAATTAAAAAAAAAAAAAAAAAAAAAAAAAAAAAAAAAAAAAAAAAAAAGAGCATTACCAAGGTATTAAAAACTCTAAAAAAGATCCAGGGTTTTATATAAGGTGAAATAAGATAAGTAAAAGGTATGAGGGGATCTAGCAGCTAAGGTTTGGTAGCTGTATTAGTTGTAGTTGTAGCAGGTAAAGGGGAGCATAAAACTCTGGCTTTTTCTAATATATCCACACGGGCACCATACATGATGAATGGTGGACAGACACAAAATTGTATAATCCCAGAGGTTTGTCCATCCTCATCTATCATACTCTTTGGATCCAGTAATTCAGAACCTTCTCCAACAGCGGCAGCAGCAATCTCTACTTCTTGTCCTCGCATTGCATATCCTATGTTTGAAGCGTGCTCGACCATGGTCCGTAACATGACTGAGTATTGCTTGTCGGTATCCTTTTCATTCAAATCGTGCTGTTCAATAAATGGGTATGATTTCAATAAGGATGTATACAAAGAAGTATACATTCTCTTGTTCAACTTTTGAATTTCCATTTGAATATCCGAGTTGGGTACATTACCGGACACAACTACTTTAGCGATTTCTTGTCTTAGTCTTGTGCAAAATGAGACCTCGTATTTGTCAAACCACATTTGGAGTTGGCTGTAAGGTTGAGATATCTTTAATCCAGTAAATGTATTGTAATTCATGTTTTGAACCAAAACATCCATCAAAAACTTCTCCGTCAACATAACGATACGCTTAACGGGTAAAGGAGTACCAAGCTTTAAAATTGGCTCGTTCAAATTTACCCAGAAAGAACTGATAGCCTTTGTTGCGGTGGGTGGGTCACAACGGTTACCTAATTCTACGGCAAGTGTCTTTATCATTAACTTTAAATCTTGCAATTTCTTATGGATTGTCTTTGCATCATCGCCTGTTGCTCTTCTGGAACGAATATGTTCATTATAGTTGTCTAAAAGTTGTTTTTGATCCTTTAGTCTGTTTGTCATACGGTCCTTTATAAGCCTTTCTTTTTCTGTAAGGTCAGCATTCATATGCTTGAGATGAAACAAATCCTCATCTAGACGACGCAACAATTCCTTCTTTTGCTTTAATTCTTTTAATAATTGGTCCATGTTGGGTACAAAGCTGCTTGTAGGTGTAGGAATCTCTGGAGAAGAAGGTGATAAACCAGAGGCTGGACTGGTTGGTGTTGGTGTTGGTTTTTCTTCCATAGGTTTACCTTCCTTGTTCTCGGTAATAGGTATAGCAGGTACTGAAGATGAAGTGTCTGTAGGTGAGGCCACTTCTTGTCATTTTAGTTTTTTTAAATGGGATGCTTATTTTTTTTTTTATAAACTTACTTTTCTTTTTAATAAGGGAATAAAAAGGATAAAAATAAGGCTACTTTTGAAAATGAAATAAAAATAGAGCCAAAAAGTGGCTTTGCTCCGATAATTATAATGAAAACGATCAATGTAATACAATATGAATCTCTCTTTTATTAACACTATGCCATTTTTACATGTTTCTTTATACCATTTTATCACACTTGCAATAAAATAACTTGCAATCCCGCTAATTGCCTAATTTGACTGTTGTCGATCTTTTTCCATCAATACACTGGTTGGATCAGATAAGCGCTGGTGTTCTTCACCTACACCAACATTCAAAGCAGCTGTTTCAGCTTTCGCTGCACCCTGCCTTGCTCTTTCGTATAGAAACCTTCTCAAAATCCGGGCATTTTTACTGTGTGCTCTGTACAACATATCCAATAAGATACCTAAAATGGGAATCAAGCCAAGCTAATAATAATGTCAGTGGAACCAAAGATAGGCCGGTTTCGTAAATTATGCTTTACCAAAAAATCCACACTGACGTGATATAACATTCGACGCTTTATCGACCTTGGTAAATCACACTGACAAGCTAAACGGTAAAGCGATAGGGCAAACAGCATCGATATAACTTTACCAAAGATTGGAATAAACTCTACATCACATTTTTTTTTAATTAATATATAATTGAATCAAAATCCGCGTTTTATTTACCTAATAATATATCATATCCTACCCAGCAACAACAAACTTTAATCATTTCGTCAAACTTCTTCATTTTACGGGTATATTTATCAAGGACTTTAGCATCTCGCTCGGATAATTGCACTTCTGGCTCAATAACTTTCTTTTTCCATAATATATTGCTCATTGTCGATCAAAAATATAAGAAGAAGAAAGAAGAGAGAAGAGGAGGAAAAAAGCGTACTTTGTCTATTTAGGCAACACCAAAAAATTATCCTGACGTCAACACTAAATATAGTCACACATAAATGATTCGTAGTAGCAGAAGGGGTATCCCAATTGAGTCCAGTCCGTACAAAGAGAGATTGAGGAAGGAATTTCAATGAATTTATCCAAATCAAGTTGGGTCCAACTCTCTTTAAATCCATTTTGGGCGGCCTGCTTTATTATACATGTAAAAATATCAACAATGTATGTATAAATTAAGTGTTGTATTCTCCCCTTTTATTTATATTTCTCTTTTTCTTTTTTTTTCTTTTCTTCCCTCTGATTATGGGCACTAATACATTAACATTTAAGTCGATTTTGATCCATGCGGCACTTGAAGGCTGTACAAGAGATATTTTGCTTACGTCTACAATGACTTTGTATCAGTTACACAAGTTTATTCTGATTGCATTCGGTTTAAATGAATCAGGTGTAGAATATCATAATTTTAATCTTATCAAACAGCTGGATCCTGTAGAAACATCTTATGAAATCATAGATGACCAAGAAGTCGACGGATTCATTACACCTGTAGCACCTGGTGTTTATATTGGTAAGACAAAAATAAAGATCTTCCATATTTACAGATCTAATGACAAACAATAGAACATACACATCCACATGAACCATTGCCATTGTTCTCTATTTACTATAAAGCCTTGCACGATGAAATGTCCTTTAGAATGATCCGAGATGAAAGATATTGCACATTAAACACCATTCCAAGTCGAGAATTACATTACGAATTCCAATATCATGCAAATCATTATTCAATCCATCTGAATTTACAGTCAGTCAATTTACCCATTCATTTTTTAAATCAGCTTGATTTAAACCCAAAAATCATTTATAAAAATGGTGATTTCTTAAACAACCACCAAAAAAATTCTAATTACCACTTTTTACCATTGCCACCAGCAAACCTGAAAGACGAATCTTGGGTAAAAAAAGCTTGTCACATTGGTATACAAAGATTAATACAAGAAAGAAAGAAGTTTTTATTACACCAGCGGTGCGAATGGATTGAACCAACTGGTGAGAAATGCGTGTATTGTACATTATGTAAAATACCCTAACGAAAATTACTATTTAATTAATAAATAAAATCATTATTACTGAAACCATAATAGTGCATCTAACTGATCTAAACGAATCCTTTTATCTGGTTCTCGAACCAATATACGTTGTACAACTTCTTTTGCTTCTTCGCTTATTTTGTCTGTATGAGGCCAATTTACTTTTGCGAGAACAATACGATGATATAGATGCGATACTCTTTCTCCTCTTCTTGAACTATAGCTAAATGGTAGATATCCCACGAGTAGGGCATATAAGATAATACCAATGGACCATGTATCTGTTAATCTTCCATCATAACCTATACTCTGTATAATTTCTGGTGATGTGTATTCTTCACTGCCACAGCGTGTAGTTAAGATTGGTTGCTTTGGATCAAATACTCGTGCTAAACCAAAGTCTGTAAGCTTTAAATGCAGTTCACCTCGGTTATCATAGTAAACAAGGATATCTACAAAGGAAAGATAAAATCAACCTGTGATTTTTACGAAATTTTTGCCGTTAATCTTACTCTCAAGCTTGAGATCTCGATGTACAATGTTATGATTGTGCAGCCAGGATACTACCTGAACCAATTCTAATGTAAGACGTTTTATTAGTTGTTCGTCAATACTGGCTTTTGTGGCTTCCTCGTGTATGTCTGAATGCATATGCTGTACAAAATCAAACAATTCCTCGCCCTGAACGTATTCTAAAACTATGCATAAATGTTGTTCTGTTTCCATGGTGGCTTCTAATTGAACAATACGATCATGATCCAAGAACTAGGGAGGAGATTTATCAGCTAGACCAATAATAGAAGGAGGGATTGTAATAAGGTACCTTTAATATACCAACTTCTCTTTCGATAATTGATTTTAGTCGTTTATTTTCTTTGATCCGCTCTTTTTGAATTGTCTTGACGGCGAACTGACCACCCTGTTCCAAGTTATCAGCTAAATAAACTTTTGAAAAGGCACCTTCGCCTAATGAATGAATAATGCGATATTTCCAAACATATTTTCCAATTAGATTATCTTCAACCGGTGGGGCCATGAGGAACTTATATTCCAAATTCTCATCGTCGTCACCCAGCATGGGAGCCTCTGATAAAAGTGGTATAATATTGGTTTTATTGGTTGAATAATTGGGTGAAAGTGAAATAACTGGAATTGCCGAACCATCCTGAGGCGTCAATAACCGTTGCGTCGGTGCAGGAAACGGAATTATAGTTTTTTCCTCGATTTTTTCAGGTGCCACGACCGATGACTTTCTATTGGCTAAAACAAGACATCGAATACGATCTGTAAATGTTGGATATGAGTCGTGGTGTTCAATTGGGATATGTTCTTGATTGTACGTCTTTAACTGGATCATTGGTGGTGGTGGTGGTCTTATTGAGTACGTTGTCGTTGGAATATTAAAGAAGGCGTTGTTCTTAGATTGAATCTCTGGTAAAGACTCTGGTATGGACAATCTGACTGATGGCTGTGATAATATCGGTATATTACCATTACTGGGTGATATTGTCATTTTAAAAATGAAAGAGAAATGAAAGAGATAATAATTGAAATAAACCAAAATCCCGACTAAAAATATGATCGCCTCAAGCACATAGAAAAGATATATTTCCGGACCTCATTTAAGTACAAGACTTGAACAGGTAGTTTATTTAACAATTATATACCTTCTTTTTTTTTCGTTTGTGGGAACTTGTATTATATTGCATGTTTATATGTACAAAAATATTATATACAAACAAATAAAATCATCTAGTTGCATTTATCTGATCCATTTGAAATTCGTTTCCGTGACGTGATGACGACTCTTCCTCTTCATCTTCACTAAATTCATCATACTCTTTTCCTCGGAAGTCCTGTTTACATAAAGGACATTTCTTATTTAAACGAAACCAGTCTGTCACACAAGACCTGTGGTAATGATGACCACACCTGATGTAAAAAATAGGAGCATGAATAAAGCATACTACTTCTAAACGTGGGAATCACTTACCATAATTTACAAACCAAGTCGTTATCTTCGTATTCTGATAGACATATACAACACATGGCATCTTCTGATGGTGTTATACGCATTTCTTCGCAACTTCCGCCTTCCAATTCACTTACATCGTGGTGACGGTATCCTTTCAATAATTTAGCAAAAAAACCATTCGATTTTCTTGATGTGACTACATCTTCGTTTTGATGTTGCTGTTGTTGCTCTCCTGTTTGTGACACTGTTGCTCGATAGCGAAAAACGGGAATTTTACTGATCTCGTCAGCTCTTGCACCTTGATTCATGCCACTTATTTCAGTCATATTTAAAGCACGCATCACCGCTAGACTTGATGTTAGGGATTATTTTTATATGCTGTGATTCTTTACTTACTCAGTACACATGGTAAGCACAATATTGCGGAAGTACAAAGTATCAATGGCAAAATGAGAATGAAGTAACCCATCAAAATAAAGGCCAAGGTCGTATAGTATAATTGCGGTGCCTCAATTGCACAATTATTCGAAGTAAATAATAAATAGTTGCCCACGATGAACCAGAGTATGGCAAATAAATCTATGATAGACCGTAACCTATATGAAATGAATAGGTATTGTAATATATACGCAAATGAATAGTTACTTTTCTCCCGAAGCAGTGACCCAGCTAGACTGAGGCTGTACAATAGTTGAATGAATTGAGGCGCTAGATGATTCAAGATTGGCTGCTACGCCGGATTGTCTCCTTCTGGCTCTTCTTAAACGCACTTGTTCTTCCCTTATTCTGTCCCTCTCTCGCTGTCTTGAAATCATCATACGTCTTTGCTCACGCTGGAAATGCCCCCCGATAGAGAACGGACATGATACTATAACACGGACAAGATAAACAATAACAAACGTACGCAACGGCTGATCACAGGATTCACCTGCAGAGGTAATCAAAATAGTGATAGCTGTGACGACCTAAATAAATTATAAGCTCTATGAAAATAACACTTTCAGAGAATGACTTTTACCTGAGCTAACACTAGCACTATATAACAAGTAATGACCAATTTGCTAAAGATTGAAATGCGCTTCCAAGAGTGATATAAAAATTTTAACCAGTGCACTCGAACAATCCTTGTCGAACTAATTGAAGAGTTGTCGGCATTGCTTCTGCTTGGTCCTGTTGTTGAATTCTCCATTAGGTTGTATGGCAAAAATGTGGAAAAGAAAAAATGTATGCTTTGTACAACCGGTGGAGGCCAAATATGGACATGGTTTTCTGAAACCAAATAAATGACATCAAGTTTATTAAATAATGTGTAAATGAAATAGAGGAATGGTGACTTATTTTACATGTAGGTGAATGCGGTCCACGCTAATACACCTGTAACAACAATATCCACCATTTGCGCAACAATATATAAAGTAATTAATTTGCCCAAATGATGAATATTTTGCTTCATATCGTTTAAATGCAATCCCATGCCTATACTGACAAAAGATAAGGTTGAAAACCACTCGGACACGTAGAAACAGAATGAATTAACTAATTGTCTCACTTCAACATCTTCGTCAATGGTCGTATTAAATAAGACTGCGGTAATAATGAAGCCAATAACAAACTTGGGAAATCTCTTCCATAAGAGTATGTAGGCTTTTTCTTGGGGTTTGGAAGGGGCATGAATATTACGAGGATGTTTGACAGATGGCGTATTACTATCTTCCATCCCGTTGGTTGTATAGTCTTCGTCTTGTACAATAGCATCATCCAAGTTTTCATTGTCACGGAGTAACTCTTCTTCACGTTTATACGCTGCTTGTAATTCATATCGAGACCAGCCCCAAGCCATTAACACTGAAAGAGGTCCAATTAAGACATTTTGCATCATTTTCACAACAGCAGAGGTGTTAATTGCATCATGGTCACCATAGATGCTAGCAGCAGCAATAACAGCACCAGTAGAATCAACACACCCGCCAAACCATGCACCACTCACTGTCGGAGAAAAGCTTAAGCTTTTAGCAACGTAAGGGAGCGCAATGATACTAGGAATGGTAAAAATGGAAATGATAGCAATAGGCATTTCAGTTTTGTGAGGTACACCCATACTAGCGCCTAATGCAATAGCCGCGGAGGACCCGCAAATAAAGGTCGCACCAGACATGATAATGGCAGTCTGAGTATCAATTTTGAGAACCTTCCAACCGAAATATGCGACAACAAGGAATAAGGTAGGTGTATCGATCCAGGAAACAAATAATGCACGGGGAGCGAGGGGTCTTAAAACACTGATATCAATGCAGAGCAATACCAAACTTATAGCAATATACAATTCTGTTTGCTGTGCAATTTTAAGCCATGGTGGTATGATTGTGTTTTTGGTGCAAAAGGATAACACGTTACGAAGAAAACAGCCTAGGATAATTGCCCAAATAGAATCACCGATACTTCCCTTATGAAGAATCACTGGAAGAAAAATTAATAAAAAAGTGATAAATTATATGTGACTCATTATTACCGTTACTTGCAAGCATTTTGCTTATCAGAGCAATAAAAAAGACAACCGAATAACCAAGAGGGAATTTTCTCCAATTTGGTGAGTTTGTGGCAGCCATAGCCAGCCAGAGCAACAAACCCATCATTACACAAATGACAAGTAACCCATAATTACCCACTGTTGCAAAAGTAGAAAATGGATTTTTTTCCCAGGGTATAAATTCTGGTGAGGGTATATTGTGTTTGACGGCTGATGCTATGCAGCCGAAAAAAATTAATCCAATCCAGCATGACCACCACTCTTCTGAATTCCACCAAAGCAACCACGATTTTTTGAAATTAAACGTTTTCTTTTTAGCAGCTGGTGTTTCTGTTGTGGGTGTTGTTGTCGATACAATTGAAGTGACTTCTTCAGGACTCTCAATTCTGGCTCCATTTTCTTTTCTTAAATTTGGAATTGGCTTCAGTTCGATGTTCGATCCTGCCACTATTGCCGGCTTCTTAACCATTATTAATGTGTGTAGTAAAAAAGAGTAAAGTTTTACAAAAAGATACTTTTTTTTGGCGCCTTCTTAATATCCCTTTTTTTTTTTTTTTTTTTGTGACTTTGTTGTAACCAGATCCAATAAAGTAATAATGTCTTTGTAAAAACCATGGATAATAGGTTTCATGAGGACCTGGATTCGGAAGGCCGGTCAAAATTAATCGCAATGTTTATAGATTAAGACCAAATTATTTTACGCAGATTATCAGCGAGGCTTGACCATGTTTTCAGTAAAATCAGAGGAGTTTAGAATACAGCATTCGGAACAATGGTTGCCATGGCGAATATGACGACTTATCGTTCACCATTTTATTTTTCCCAGGATCATTGAAGCCACGGTGTATCAAGTTTCACAAAGATGTAAGGTTCCTGTTACGCCAAGACCTGCATCAACCTACCTGGGATCATGTGAGAATTTTATCTTGGTGTAAACTAACAGCCTGATCTACTAGATAAGACGATTTGAATCCCCAAACAATAGGTAATGTGTATCAAAATGGAATACGTAATAAGTAGGGTCCCCCCTTTCTTTTCCAAGCAATACATTTCAAAAGGTCCGTTCTGAACAAATTAAAACCTATTAATAACTTGCTGCAAATAGGCAAAACCTTACACAATCTCCACTGCGTAATTTGAAGGCCCGTTTTAACTCATATTTTATAGGCCTATTTTGTGGAAATACAACCAAGTTTTTCGTAACCCAGTGGCATTGAATTCTACCATATGTTCACCCAATTTTTAGCTGTGGTGCATGCCCGTATATGATTGCAAACGAAAAGCATGTATTTGCTACCTGCCTCCAAAGATGGTCCGTATGGGCCTTCATAATACTATTATTTTCAACTAGTTCCAAAACTGAACAACACTTCACCATTATCCAAAGCATCCTCCAGCTCATATTTCAAAGCCTAAGCAACGCTATACTCCATTGTAACCTCATAAAACTGCTTGTATTAATAATATTTGCATCCAGTCTCTTCCATAAACCAAATAAAGCATTGGCACAGTATTCCCCAAAAAAAATATTTCTATTCGCTCAGTATTCACAATTACATGCCTGTAGAACACACTTCCGTACATGCACCCAAGTCGAGAACCTACTTCCGAATGTTCGAAGTTTATGTTAAAGGAGAGAATAATGAGATTTTAATAGATCTCGGTCATTCTACCAGTAGACCAATTAACGCGTAAAAAAAGAGGCACACGAATACAGGGCACTTACTCATTTCGCAACGAAATCAATGCTGCTCGATATTATAACTTTCTCATGCCATATTCGCACTTTTTATATTCGTTTTAATACAATAAATAGGGCTGACGGTCATCTTGAACTTCGGGCTCGTAATCTTAACTATTTTCAACGATACAGTTTTAATTTTTAAGTTAGTTTAAAGTTCACTCTTCACAATGAGCATTCTTCGTCGTTAATTTGGTGAAGCGACACCCTCATCTTCCTCATGGGTACGCTTCACATCAGCCATAGTGGACAAAACCCCTTGTATTACCATTGAGGAACTTTGTTCCTCTTTTGAAGGATTTAGTATTTCCCTAAGTGGATTGAGAAAGCATATGGTGGAAAAGATCCGACTTTCATTAAAAGACCCACATGTCTAGACGATGGAAAGAGATGCGAAGAGAACATTGAATCTTCATTTTAACGTTATAAGTACTTGGAAAGCAGCTGGGGTGGACTTCCAAACTAATTGCGTATTTATGAATGAGGCCGGTTTTAACGCGCACCAGATCAGAAGTAAAACCTGGTCCGTCAAGGGAGCACCTGCCAGTGTTTCTGTTCCAACTCAAAAGGGCGTTAACTTGAGCATTATTGGGTGTATATCGCCTTTTAGAACCATCAATTTTTTTAAGGTAGAGCCTTTGAAGCCAGCTGATGTAGCTAAGATTGAAAAAGAGTTTTCTTTACCATCCAGCAAAAAAGAAAGCCTAAAACCAATGACATAATAAAATAATAGCCAAAAAAAAGGTACGACTGCGTACCATGTCGTAACATTTGTTCGAAATGTCATGGATGTCCTAGACAGACATAAAAAGCATGGATTTTGTATCCTCATGGACAGTTGTAGAATTCATCATTCTCATTATATCGTTGATGAAATCGAAAGTAGAGACTATAAGCCTTTATTTATGCCTCCGTATTCACCATTTTTGAATCCGCACATCAAAAGAAATCCGCTTTCCACCCTGGACACCTTAACCCCAAGAATCAAGGCAGCCTGTGAGACTATTACAGCGGAATATTGTAATGGCTGGATGCGACACTCTGAAACGTACCGGGATAAATGCCTTAATAAAGAATTAAAACTACGTTCACTGTTTAAGCAGCTTAAGTTAATTGAATAAACTGTTATTTTTTGATGCGATACTTAGGGTTTTCATTTGACTTATTCCCACCTTTTTGTACAGAATCAAATGAAGAATGCAAATATTACCCCCTATAAACAACAAGAGAATGCCCTGATACAATAGCCATTCTTATTTTAGGTATCTCATTAAAGTGCACCAAACACATGGGCTTTTATTTTATTTATTTTTACTAATGAGCAGCACCAAGATCTGATTTTCTTGGATCGTTGACTGCATCCAATGGTCCATTGGCATGGAGTATAACTGGTTGTACTGCCGAGAAAACTGTGGTTTTGATATCCATATCAACCACATATATCAATTTATTAGTAAATCTCCCTTTCTCTCTTTATGTAAATTACTTGGTGGTCACGGTTAGCGAGATCTGCTAATATAAGAGGATTGAATCCAATTATTCTGCGCCTAGTTCATTTGGCATCAATTGGTGGCGAAGACGAGATATTCCAACCGCTTGAAATAATTCTTCTTTAAAATCAAGCGTATTGATTATTTCCGAAATTTTTATAAAAGTTAATTGACTTTCATATCTCTCCCAGTTTCAGTTATAAACCTTACATTCATTGAGCCTGATACAATATAAAAACCACCTGAGCTTATAACAACCATTTTTATTTGTCATTGTGTATTTTCAATGATTGTCGGTGTGGTAGAAGACAATAGTCTTTTACCGGGTACAATGAAATTGTTTTTAGTGAATGAATAGCTTTATGATGTGTGGATGCAGCTAAAGAAAAAAGAACTCATGTCTACCTAATTCGCATATAATTTACACACAGCTATAAGTATTATTGACCTTATATAGTTCGAATCCTAAATGACTAAGATAATCTATACATATGCCATTCGATTATATAGTGTGTTTGGTGTTTATATATGCTTATTATCGGAGCCTTGGAAGAAAGACTTAACCGCGAGGTTTATAAATAGTGGGTAGCCTTCTTTCTCAGACATTAATGCCTTGTTTGAGTGGGGACTCATGGCTTAAATCATACCCCTAGAATACACTTTAATATCGTTGTGCAAATACTATTGAGCACAGATTTAAGGAAATAGGCAGCAACTATACTATATAAATCTATTTGCTCTAATTTGCACTTATTGTATACATGAGAGCCTAGTAAGCGTCAGGGAATATAAAGACGTAAAAAATGGTTTTTGTAATGAAATGAGCAATTGAAAATAACAGAAAATATTGCGATAATCTAGTAAAATAAAGTTATTAACAAGAATGAGTCCGTTTTATTACTAAATTAGATAACGTATTAAAAAGTATTAGCATTACACTAAAACTGTGATATCCTATCACAATGTCATTTAGTGAAATTGTAAGGAGTTTGTTTTAGATAATCGGATTTTTCTGCTAGTCATCCTTAGAAGGATTTGATTTACGGCTACCCATTCTAGCATTACTGAAACCACCACCAATAGGATTACCCCTAGAATCAACAATACCACCAGCAAGAGGACCAACAAGAGGACCAACAAGAGGCACGGTAGACAAGATAGTATTGTTTTCAGCATCTCTTTTTTGACCATCAAAAGTAACACGGGCATCAGCGCCAAAGAAAGTCAATAAAATGACAAGGGTAAGCAAGATTGTGAAATTATGCATCTTTGAAGTTTTGAGAATGTTTTGTTGTAAAAAAAATTAAGTGAAAATTGTATCTTTTTATAGCAAAATGTCAATGCTTGGTGTGTTATGATCATCAAAAAAAGTTGCTGCCGATCACAAAGAGAAATAAGCCTAAGTAAAATAACATGTTTATTAACCCCTATCGTCGGTTAAGCTTTGTCGAAAAAAACATAGTTTACATTTTTGCAGTAGTTCCTCTCATCAAATGATTCCATGATAATGGCTACAATGGGTAACTACTGGAAATAGTTAATCAAACAGCATTTGTGTATCGGGAGGTTTCATAAATACATCATTTAAAATTGGTTTATTGATGGAAACAGACGCACAAAAGCTGGGAACAAGAGTATTCAACTCATATCACCAAAAAAATTAAAAAAAAACACCCAAGAAAGAAAAAGTCGTTAAAAAAGGAACCACAACTTATCATAATGTAAAGTTCATGGAATTATTAATAATAAAAAACGCCCCATAGGGACTTTAAAAAATTATTCTTTAGCGCGATGGATAATTGCAGAATCCATCACTCTGTATTTGTTGTTGTAGCCAGCAACAGAGAATATAAACCTTAAGTAATCTCCCCCTACTTTCCTTTCCATATCCTATTGAAGAACGCCGGTCAAACACTCAGGGCAGTATCAAGTGAGGAACCCACTTAATAAAGCAGATTAACTCAGATATCTCGCTTTCTTGCAGCTTGGAAATCAGTTAATGTATAGAATCTTCAAAATCGGTTACCGCATTCCGAGACATTCTGGGATAGGTGCATTGGCAATAAACAAGTACTAAAGTAAATATATTAGCACTGCATGTCATTTTTTGTTATCTCACAAAAAAAAAAAAAAGATGTCTCATATATATCTACAAGCCATATCAAAAAAAAAAAAAAAAAAAAAAAAAAGAAATCAACCGTACTAATTAAGACTAAAATTCTGTAAGAGGGTGCAATATCCTGTTCTTACAGGCTTTACATGACCTATAAATTTGTGTCATGCTGTGTATAGTTAGCGAGTAGTTCTAAAGTAGGGCGATTACAAAGAGGGGTAAATTTTCAAACCCTAAATTTTAAATACCTGATTTAAAAGACATTTATATGCGTAAAGGCTTAGTGATTGCACTAGAGAATTATAGGTACATTATATGATGGCATTGATTTCTAACTGAATAATTTTCAAAATAGACAACCTTGACAATAAAAGATTGTAATAGAGGGTCATAATTTATGTTTAGCTTGGCATTTAACAGGTCATTATTATCTAACCTTTTACCATACTTAATTTATTCCTCAATAGAAAAAGAAAGAAAAAAAGAGCAAAGAAAAAAGATGTGTAAGCAAGAGTCGATTCATGTCAAGACGATATTATGAAGAATTCAGTAATCTATAATATCTCTTAAGCTTTATTCATCTGAAAATAGCTTTTTACCAGTCTAATGCTGAACTTGGAAATTATTATCGGTATAATACAAAAGAGCATCTCGCAGCTTCAAATATAAGGTATGCGAAGACTATTCTGAAAAGAAGGACACGACAAAAGCTTTTATATTCATTCATTGCTCCCTTGACAGTGCACTTGCAGTCTATTAGATCGAATTAAACACTCTACACAACTCAGAGATTTTGTCATTACTTGACTCTACGAATCCCCTGTTTTTTCTAATCACACACCATGTAGCTTTTCGTGGGTAATGAATAAGAAAGGGATGGGTGGTAACTTCAAATAACTGTTTACAGACAGTTTTAACTATGTGTTGGGCAGGCTTTTTTTTTTTTTAATTATGGCTCATGTTATTTTAAACGGTGAAGCCCAAGAGGTAGAATGAAAGACCCTAATACAGAAGGCGCTCCAAACTGTAGACTGTGCGCGCGCGCCACTTGCCTTATTGAGAATCCGAGTTTTAAAAAAAAAGGCATTCTCTACTTCATATGTGTGTTTTCTCTTCATTTAACTGTCTACTTTTCTTTGCCCACACATATTATCATAGTATTGTAGTGATACTGTTTAGGTTCAGCCAATTTACACTGCAAACAATGATATCAAGATGATACGAGAACGTTCTTAAAAATTGCAGTCACTTGTTTTTTTCTGAAAGTCCCAAAATTTTTATGTGTAACTGATAAATTCGACCCACTCAAAAAAAAAGGTATAAAAAGGGCCTATTTTTTCCACTCGACGAGTTCCTTTCTTTTTTTTTTCTCTTAACAAAAAAATGTCTTCTGATATGCGATTTCTTTGGGGTTGCTCTCGTTGATCCTTCGGGGGAAGCGGTATAACCATTGATTTCAAGTATCGGTCGTCCTATTGGATATGGATTTCCATCTTGCGGAAGGGTGGTCACCATTTTTTTCCAGGCACGTAGTGGCGAAAGCTGGCTTGGTTTTTAAATATTAATGAAAATGAAAAATACATATAATTTTTTTTTGACCAATTAAAATTATTTTACGCTTGTTCATGCAAGATACATCTTTTTACTATTGTGTAACACGACTTCGACTCTTGGGCTCATGCTTTGCAGTAATGAGCTCTTTTTTTTTTTTTTTTTTTTTTTTTTTTTTTTTTTTTTTGATTGGCTGGAAGACTAAAAATCTATCCATCGAGAAATTACAAAAAGTGTTTTTTTACTTTGCTCAATTTAAACACTTAAAAAGCAAAGACCCAACTAAAGCAGGCGATAAACATCGTTTAGCCATCGTCTTCGAGTAACCAAAAATTGGAACAACTAACTTAAACTTTTGAGCTTTGGTAAGTCCATTTGAGGTAAATCTTGGCATTGGTACAGATTAATAATGAGATCATCCTTAAGGATGATCAATTGTTTTTATTTGTACCCTGAAAGCAAGGCGTGATGCAAAAAGAATCGCATAAGTGTATGTATCATGGGTAAATGATAGATTCAGCCTCGAGCGGTGTAAAATAAAAAATAGAGGAGGAATACGGGCAGAATAGAGTTTGTGTCAACATGTATTTTTTATAGACTTTTTATTTTGACGTGTTCGTAAATGTCTGTTTGAATTTAAGCAACTGCTATAGCTGACTCCCAAATAGAACCATGACATTGTACACTGCTGTATTATAGGGCATAGCAATTTTCTTATATTTTTTGTAAGGGACAGCTAAAGCAGAAAACAATGGCAATACTTCTGATACGGTTATGCGCCTTGGCCCGACTTTTTAGAAGAAGAAAAGCACAAGACAAAAAGTATTTAGAGTCGAGTCTTATGAATACTTTCCATAGGCTGTATCATTAGGCCCGCTTTCAATCATTACATCATAAACAGGGAGAGTGTACTGTAACTTTGTAGGATACATCATTTGTTTAACACCACCATCCGCGTTTATTTTTCCCCTTGGCTTATTACTTTACCTTGAATAAACTTGATTTATTTTGATCCATATTTAACTGTACTAACACCTTTCATAGCACATATTATAAAATACACCATGTAACTCCAATAATTAATCTGTGGGTTTTGTGTATGGTGAGTATAGCTGTTATTATTTTTTAAGAAAAAACCCACTTTTCATACGTAAAGCTGGTTCCTTTATAGCCCAGTTCTCTCCGCGCGCGGAGCACATGTATTTTTTAATTGGGTGGTAGTGGGCCCACATTTTGTCACTTTTCTTCTCCGGCAATGAAAACCACTATTGGACTACTGCAGTGTATACCAAGACATGTAAAAGTCAGTCTGGTATGAGGGTACTGTTTTGCACTAACCCATCAACAAGCTAAAAATCAATTTATTTTTCTTCTTCTGCATGGATTCAAGAAAAGGGGAATAGCTCTTTGAAAAAAAAAATATGGTAAGACAAGCTAAAAGATGGTGCCATGTAGGCACACACACACATGTTACCTAAATTATTAGGCCTGGGAAATGCACAGTAATCCGTGCCACCTCAAAAATTTATAGTTTTTTCTTTTTACGTAATCTAGATGCTAGTTTTTTTATTTTAAGAAATGTATTTACAATGTAGGTGTCTAATGATGCAATGAGTGAATGGAGGGGGAGGGATGGATTAATACCAATTTTTTGCTCCGATGGAGTCATATGAAGGAGGAGGTGTCACCATATCTTCAAAGGATTGATCTTCTGTAGGACTTGGCGGTGGACTAGGACGATGGACTTCATCTCGAATTTTCATCCAATCATTCTTACTGCAATTTCTTTTCTTTTTGTACTCCAAGTAACAAGGGCAGGCAAAGAAACCAGTAGGATGACCCGAATCCTGGTCCTTTTCGTCAATAATTGGGTCGTGTAAAACAGCTGCTTCGTAAGTGGGTAATGCATTATAGTCCTCTTTCAATCTGCAGTCTAGAATCGTGATGGGTGTTTCTAAACGGATATGAGTTCTAGAAGATGCATCACCGTCCTTGGGTGAAGTAAGTTCGATATGAATCTTAAGACTATGGCTGATATCGATTTCTGAAAAGGTGGAGGTATGGTTCAAGTGCACACAATTAGGTAAAGTGAAATTAAGTCGATGTTGAAAGGGACCCATATCGAGAGGGATATGAGCATTTTTCACGCCCAAAGCACGTCTCATCTCCTTCAATGAGAATTGGGTCACTAACCCATGTGTAGATGTAAGAGCCGGATCAACTAAACTGGTGACGGAAGATAGTGTAACCTTGAAACCGTGCAATTCAATCCGACGGGCCTGGAACTCTGGTAACCGGTAAGCTCTTTTCTCCGTCAAGACCACAGAAATGGATTCGATGAAAACGTGTTTTACATTGGGCGAAAGGGAGAGCGAGATGGGGAACTGAGTGCCTGAAGATACATGGGATTTTTCAATGCAGATGGTGGCATCGCATATATCCAATCGTCGCTCTGACGTAATGGACGTGGTAGGGAGGGAATTCCCTGTCAATGCTGAATCAGACCAGTGAGGCGTACGAAGTAAAAGAATGTCTCGACGGGCACGTAAATTAGGTAATCCCATACCGACACGATGAATGGTTGCTTGAACATAGTAAAAAACTTTAGCCATTTCATCTTCAATCGTCTCAATAAGCTGATTTGACAAGAGAAATTGGAAAGGCCAGCGATGTAACCCAGGAGACAATACACCTTCATTCTTAGGACAATCAATAAATGTCTGTAAAATGACGTTTTGCTCATGAATTATCTTTTCATGATAGACTTTATTTCCCTTTGGTCCAATACCTGATTTGTTATTTTTTTGGCATTAGAATTTGAATGTTTTTATTGGCGAATTCATAGATAGTTTTACCTTCAGGCCACATCATGTAGGATTTACCAACAAATTTAATGACAACTTGAGATGCCAATACGGGACGAGTCAATACAACATTGACTTCTCCTTGAAGGACGTGCGTTGTCGGGTCATTGGAGCTACCTCGAAGGATGACAACGGGTTCGGCAAGATCAATTGAGAGCTGCTTTGCTCCTGTAAAGAAGGCAACCACTGGCATTTTATAGGATGTGAGTAGAGCGAATGATGAATGAAGAAGGTTGAGAAGAAGGAAGAAGAAGAAGAAAAAAAAACCTTTTTTAAAACCATCATCGGGTAAAATCAAAAAAAAGGCGGTATTTGTAACACGCATTTTTTTTTGCCTGTCAATTTTGACTGGGCCCGAAAAAGCGGGAATAGATGAATGTGTTCGCAAATCAGAGCAGATTTTTCTCTCAGTCTTTAAAAATAGAATTCTTAGCATTTATTAAACATGCCAAAAAGGTTGAACGAAATTTCAAGTTTGATTTTCATTCAAAATTTGATAAGAAATTGGGGTTGAAAACACTGCTATCATTTTCTAGTCGTTACAACCAATCGTTTGCTATGGCGAATTGATAGTCTATCTTGCATCTTACCGGATTTAGGAAAATCATTTAATTGTGATATTTTACCCACAGGTGATCCCAAAACCATGGCACAAAACACTCCTCGTGGCTTAGTCACAGTAACTTTTTCTTTTCCCCCCTTACGAAGAGGGTCCACGTTTTGGAAGATCACAAACATTGTACTGCAACCTTATTCTATTTTCGTTCATGGCAGGGTCTTATTTTCCCATGCTTTCAACATGTGTAGCCTATACTTAATAAATGGCATAAAATAAACAATGAAAATATTCAGTGGTAAAAAATAAGTTATTTTATTATATTATGTTAAAAAAAAGTCTGCACATTCTCATGTCTTGGGACAATACGGACTTTATAGTGACAGGGAGTCCAAGTGGGTGCACGAATATCTCTGGGAGTATCCACATCCACTAAATCATCAGACACTCTTTCAATCTTGAAACAAGCCATCAGCATGGAAACAGCCATAAACAGACTTCTTTCCGCAAGATGAATGCCCACACAAACTCGACGACCGGTAGAGAAGCTCAAATGGGGACGGTCTTCTACGGACTGGCTGAATGTTTGCTTATTCCTTGAGGCCTCGACATAATCCATATGACGCTCAGGTTTAAACACATGAGGCTCGGGGAAGCGAAGCGGGTCACTATGGACAGCATAGAGGTTCATCACGATGATAGTATCTTTTGGAATGAACCAGCCCTTATAGACATCATCTTTACTAGTCGAATGAGGAATTGCAATAGGAGCGGGTGGGCGCATACGAAGTGTCTCGAGAATAAGGCATTGAATATAAGGTAATCTCGATTCTATAGGTAATAAAAAAAAAAGAGTTAGTTTTAAAATACGACTGTTTGTATTATATTTACCATCTTCTGAGCCAGGTAATCTGTCTAAACCGACGGAATCTTCTATTTCCTCAAATGCCTTGTCTTGCATATCAGGATTATTTGCTAAAAAGGCAATTAACCATTCTATGGTGGATGTGGTTGTATCTGATCCAGCACCAACAAAAATAGAAATGAAGTTTATGATTTGAAGTTCTGTCAATTCATTCTGTTCAACAATATCCTTGACAAAGCAGTCTTGTACTTGATCCTTTCCTTGTAGCATCTTGGCTTGGAATTGTTGAAAGAGACCGCCATAGAATTCGATCGAATCATAGCGCACTTTCAAATATTTGTCCTTTTTCAGTGGCCACAATGTTTTGATGATCGGATAAAATTCTCGGATTTGATCGGACGGGCCCATCGTGCTGGCTGCACGTTCCGTGATCGTGAAGGCTTTATGCAGACTGGCATCTCCCGGTTCAAAATTACACATATCACCATATGCGATTGCCAGGATACTCGTCATGGTATAATGCTCAATAAATTGAGAGAGACTAGAGCCTTGTGTCACATTGTGTTTTTCTTGGGAAAGTTGGTACAGATGTGATAAAAAGACAGTACGACGGTCATTCAGGATCGGTTGGTATACATCAATTTTGCTCTTGACTAAACCACCATGTGCTAAAGTAAACTTATTAATGATTACCCCCAACTATTGTCTTAATAAAAATTGTGATCGGAACTAGCGTCCCCACTTACCGATACGGCGTAACTTGCGCCAACTGGCACCGTACGGAAAGAAAGCAAACCCACCACCTTCATCTATTTTAGAAAGTGTAAGTTTGATCATGAGATGAGTACAAATGCAATTAACTTACCGCCTTGCATGAAATCATGAACTAGTGTATCAGGCAATTTTCTAGAGGAATAAATGGTTCCACGCTCAACAATCAAGTCCTTGATGGTGTCAATTGAATTTAATACGATCCATCTTTGTGTGCCAAAATAACACGTAAAGATGGGACCCACTTGCTGACTCCATTGATGAAACATTTGATGGACAGGAACAGGTTTCATCACTTGGGCCAAATGACCGATGATAGGTAGATAACCAGGCGCGCGCGGAGGAAGTGTATCTTGCTCCTTCTTACTCTTCCAATACAGATAGATACTGGCTGAGATACATAGAGTAGTGATATATTCAATCATTTGTACAAGAGAAAGAAATAGAAGAAAAAAAAAAATAATAGATAACCTATTTTTTTTTTTTATGCATTTAAAACTTTTATTAACTGTTTGCTTTTGTTCGCTTAATATAGTAATATATGACCCTACGTACAACAAAAGAGATCACACAGAGATCACACAGAGTTCACACCAGCGAGTTCTAACAATTTCATTGTTCACTGAATAGAAACCAAAACCAGTCCCGTAACGTCTGTATTTTAAATGCGTGGCTTGTCAAATTTAGAGTCCAAAGCATTTCTGAACAAAAAGGGTCAACAAGGGGGCGGTCGCAATACTTCCAGACATGTCGTTACCTGCTTTCCAATACCAGTTACCACGCAATTTCAAACGGTTGATTAATCAACAAAACCAAGTGGCTAAGCATTTAATTGCGTTGAGAGAAAAGAAGAAGTATCGCACTGACCAACAATGTGTGTTAGTGCAAGGCGTGAAGACGATCAAGGAATTACGAGACAAGGGTATTGAGTTTAAGTCTATTGGAGTTACAGCAGTAAAGTCGCCAAGAGTTGAAAATGATATCAAGTACCCTGCTTTAGAAGTATTGAAATACCCAGAACATTTTCCTGCCAAGGAATATTATGTCGCGGATATTGATTTAGCAAGAAGGATATTAGGTACAGCATCCAAACCAGGCAGCCATGAAATATTTGCAGAAGTTCCTATTCCGACTGGCATTGATGAAGAAGAGTTGAAATGCAAGGATAGGTTATTAGTGTTTGATAGAATCAGTGATCCTGGTAATTTAGGTACACTTGTAAGAACAGCCAACGCTTTAGGGTGGGATTCAGGATTAATTACGTCCGACTCGTGTGACATGTACAATGACAAAACTGTGAGAGCATCAAGAGCCTTATCCTTAACATGGAAACATAAGCAGGTTTCACAAGCAAAAGGACTTTCATTCTTGAAAGAAAATGGATTCACCCCCGTTGTTGCGGATATGTTACCAAAAAACCCACAAGAGAGTGATCTATGGTCACCGGAATTTGGCACTGATTATTTTAATAAAGCAAGACGGGGGACAGGTGTCTGCTTTTGGAATTTCCAAAATAAACCAAAAGAGTTACCCAAGAAAATTGCCTTAATCTTGAGCTCAGAACATGCTGGCGTGAAAGGTTTACAAGATGAATTAAGAGTATCGATTCCAATGAGTTCTGCAGTTGAATCTTTAAATGTGGCTAATGCTGGTGCTATTATAATGAATGAATTGAACAGATACATTGTCTAAAAATAGATTAGCCAATTATCTTTTCCAATTCTATAAATAAATAATTTTTTTTTTATATTCTGTTGCTATTTTTCTCTTTTTCTTTCCCCTTTTTATACATTTTTTTTTTTTATATATCTTATTCGTAAATATTATTTGTCAAAAAAAAAATATATATGTATTTATATAAAACTAATACATTGTGTATAGCAAAATGGGTCGTAAAAAGATTAGAATCCAGCCCATTACTGATGATCGTAATAGACAGGTCACATTTCTTAAAAGAAAATATGGTTTAATGAAGAAGGCTTATGAACTTAGCGTACTTTGTAACTGTGAAATTGCTCTCATCATTTTAAACAACTCGAATAATAAGCTTGTTCAGTATGCAAGTAACGATATTGATAAAGTATTAATGAGATATACTGAGGTTGGTATTGAAATATATAATTTTTTTTTATTGCTTACTCACATGTTGTGCTAAATTACAGTATGACGAACCTTATGAAAGCAAAAGTAACGACGATGTATGTAACCATAAACATTAAACAAATATTCGTACTAAAGAGAGTTATAATAGTTTACAAATGCTAGTGAAAAAGGCGACGATGATGTTTCACATGACTTGTCTGATCATGAAGATCAACAAGTTGTTCAGTCTCAACAGCAACAATATCAACCGAACCCTTTACCGATGACAGATTATGCGCAAGCTACTAATGATCAGACCAATATGGTCCAACGTCCAATGCCTGCCAACTATGAAATGTATCCAATGTATATGGTAAGCCTTCTTTAAATGATAGTCTAGTCTGTTATACTGATCATCATCATCATTATTCTCCTTTAGCCTAACCCTAACTACGGCCCACCGCCTCCACAACAACAGCAACATCATCAACAACAGCAACATCAACAACATCAACAACATCAACAACATCAACAACATCAACAACATCAACAACATCAACAACAACAACATCAACAACATCAACCAAGACCAATGCTTTACTCTCATACACCTCCTCCTCCACAGCAGACCGTAATGGGTCATCACAATTCAAATAACATGACTTATCCTTCACCTCCTCAACCAATGTATGTCCAACCAATGTCAAATAAAGACCATAATAGTATGCCACCTCCACCTCCACCTATATCTTCTCCTTCCTCTGAGTTCGATAACAACTCTAAAACTGACAAACGACCGAATCTTCGCGTCCACATACCTAACGAAAGCCCTGAACCCTCTAGTATACAGCCTCTTCAGGTAAGAAAAATATTTTTATCCTTTTATCCTTTTTTTTTTCCTAATCGAGATAAATATGATAGGCTCCTCAAACAAATAGAGCCGCAGCAACAGCAGCAGCAGCGGCGGCGGCAGCAGCACAAGCAGCAGCAGCAACAGGACCGCCTTCCGCCCTCCCCTCACAGTTTGCACAAAACCTTCCATCCCCATCTACATTTTATCCCGAATTTTATCAACAGAATGAGTTGCCTAGTCCATTAAATTTCTCAGCAACCCCTACGAATCCAGGTGCATTTCACTGGCCATCGAATGCGAGGGATTACAGGCCTTCCCCTCTAAGTATTCGACCTGATGGGTAAATAATAAAAGATAAGGGTCATGTTGACGACTTATTAACCTTTTTTTTAAAAAAACAGGCAACCCCCCTTGGATAATAAACGACATGCCCCACCTACAATATATGAAAATGCTCATGCAAAGAAAATAAAAATCGAAACATCGGCTGGTTAATATCCCCTCCCCCCATTCCTTTCATTTTTTTTATTAGAAGCATTCTCTCTCTTTTTTTTTTCACACATGTACTATATTATATCCTTTTTCTCTCCTTTATCTTGTGTAATGTCTCTGTTACTGAAATATTTCACACTCCATTTTAACAACTCAAAAAATAAATAAAAAAAAAAGATATATTGTATGATCAATATATCTTTATTACTTTATTTTTCTTGTGCTGAGCATGATTCGTGTTGTACAATGTAACAGGTAATTGACTTGGCAAACCAAGAAAAGATAAAATAAAGATGCTTCCCAGCCACACGTCAAACCGTGCAACGTGAAAAAAAAAGAGGTTTAAAAGTTAAAGTGGGGAGATAATTATATTAAAACCCATATTAATAACAGAGATGAATACATAAAGGTAATTTATCATTCTGTAGAACATTTGGTAAAATGCCCATTCTATCAAAAAAAAGTTCTATTTTAGTCCTTCTTAAAAATAGGCGTATCTAATATTACATATTAATTGAAAATACACTTTATTATTTGTGCCACATGTGCGTGTGTGTATGTGTATGTATGTATGTGTGTGTGTGTGTGTGTATGCCCACCTAGCGTTTGGAATTTGATCCATTTACTATTTTAAAATAGACCCGAAATTAAAAAATGAAACAAACTACGTATTGTGGCGATACTATTTTTTTTTAAACAGTTAGCCTGCGTAAGTTCTGAGTTCATGCCATCACTAAGATATTCGGTCGTCAAGGATATTTGTTGCCATCGTTTTGTGTTTTACTTGGTTTGAAATAGTTGTTCTAAAATAACAAATAACTGCATGTGATGAGTACCACAAATGTTTCGCTCCAAACTCCTAATCATCCGAGTGCATTTTCAATCTGCACAATCCCAGGTTTTTTTAAACACCTTTTTTTTTCGCATCTGTGACCCGCGGGTTCTTGAGACGGAGCTCAATAAAAGCTTAAAAACCTTTTGCCAGGACAGGGAATTTGCCCCTGTTGACATTCCAGATTTGTCGCGGTAATACAAACTATTATAACATTTTCTTTTCTAATAGCCTATCTTTTGAGGCCTTACTCCACTGGCCACACCTTTTTTTTATCTGTTTGGATATATAACCCCATTTCGCTTTTAATTACCGTAATATTGCATCAATGCCACGGGATCTTTTTTATTAAATTCATTTTTCTGTAAACATCAGACCGGAAAGGGGGTTGTAGACTTGACATGAGGAGACAGGGAGGAAGGAGCATGCACTACTAGTAAAACCTAACTGATAAAATATTTTATCGTTCATATCATAATTTTACCCAACAACAAAAAAGAAAAAAGCATGCAACTAAATGATTCGATAAACTATCATTTAATTAATGATGGTTGTACGCTCATCAAATGAGTGCAACGACACAATCCAACCATGGTGTCAGGGATCATTTATATCGATACATTTCCTCTCTGTCACTGCCCTGAAATCGAGCCAGCTATGATTATTATTATTATTTACTCGATATGTTATTAAATTGTCTTGTGCAAGATTTCAATCATACCCTATTTAACTCTTCCGAATAACCTTTCTCCTTACTTCTTCCCGTTGAAACAAAGGGGTGGAGGTCCTCTTGTCATCCATGCCCACTCTTATGTAAACAGGTATTTCAAATGATTCATTACTAGGCCGACAAGGGTGAAACTATACTAAAAAAGAATACGATTGCGATTGCCATATCATTAAAACTTCTGCAATATCCACCAGATCGAGTCTCGACCTTATTTATCATGACAGCCATTGCAAATAAAGCGGTTATTAAATATACAACTACAGGCTCTACAAGTTGAATGTAAACTGTAGATTACGCATAATATAAACACTGATCTACAAATTACGTAAACTAATCACTGTTCGGTCAGAAAGTTGGATTCTACTCAACCACGAGCACATACTGTATTATTGGTTTATATCCAATCAACGTGACGAATCAAGAGATATCCTCAACTGATGTAAAATGCCAAGACGTCTCTAACAAACAAGCATGAAAATGGTAGTAATAAAAGAAATAAACGTTCATTGTTCCTCAAGCGCTTCTTCAAAAAGCAGAAAAAATAAAATACTTTATTCACTCCCGTCCCCCTCTTTTTAAATTTTGGCTGTTAGACGACATTATGGCATATTTAGTTAGAATTAGTGGAACCGTCTTGTCTTCATTGTTATACGAATGTGCCAATGCAGAAGCTGACATTGTAATGCATTTATTTCTCTCCATCTTGGAAAATACTCATCTTTCTTCTTTCTTAGGAAGGCTTTTTCCTGGGTTCGTTATCTTTTCGAACCACATTAGCCTCTGACGATTCCACTGATCTCGCTTTTGAAAAGAGAGAAGACTTCATTCGTAAGTCAATCTTTTTTTTTTTTTAATTGTTCCCAGAGGACTCGCTTTCAAACAAACATAATTAATAGTGATACATGGATTTCAAATCTTGAGCGAAAAGCCCTATGATAGCCAAGGCAACATGATCAAACAAATCATCAAGTCACAACAAGCAGATATCTCGTCCTTGGTGGGCTATTTCAAGTTTAGAAGACAAAGCGAGGCCTGTCTCTCAGTTAGAGATCAGCTCTGGATGCAATCGTATTCAAAAAATATCCCCCATGGCTGTATAGCCATTCTTTCTTCCAATTTAAATACAATCAGTGATAAGTCCACACAGACTTACAGCTTTGCTTTTTGGGACATGAAGAATGCAGTCAAGTAAAAAGCACCTCCCCAAAAATCTCGTCAAAAATCACTCAAAACTAACTCTTTTTTTTTCTTGACGTAGTAAAATTCCTATTCAGATCACTAATATGACTGAAAGCACACTTGACTACAAAAATTTCATGTCAAATGCACCCTACAAACCATTAGCGACATCCAGGTACGATTTTTTTTTTTTTTTTTTGTAATTCTCTTTTTTTACTCAAACAAATAAATATTCAGCAACCAAATATTACCACAAACAATATCACCTCAAGATATTATAGATCAATACGATACAATGTACGAGGAATCCATCAAAGCATTAAAACTGTCAGCGGATAAGGTGATGGAAAAAGAACGGGAGCTGGCTGCTTTGAAAAAACGACTTCAACGTTAAAGAACGAAGTGTCGGATTTATGCAAAATTATCGTAAGTGACTGCTATGTGACCGTCTCTTTTCTCGAGAAACCCTTTCCCGCCCCTCCCAAAATTTTTACGCATCTAATTTTTATATTTTGCCTTAATAAAAAAAGATATGAAGAGAGTAGTTAATTTCCAAGAACAAGATCCTTCCAATGAGGAATGGGAGTTTAAAGATACAAAAACCGAAAATAAAAAGAGAAAGAACGATCCTAAAGAAAAGTTTAATGCCAAAACAAAGCGATTAGATCATGACGAGTTTATAAAAAAGAAGGAAGAAATGTTGGCATTTAGAAAACAGTTACCCATTTATTCCGGTAAAAGAAACATTGCTCTCTTTTTTTTTCTCACTGCGTCAACTTTATTTACTAACGTTCTTGTCAATGTAGGCCGTGATGCTATTATACAAACCTTAGAGAATAACGACACTGTCATTGTAATGGGTGAAACCGGTAGTGGAAAAACAACTCGTAAAGTAGACAACTATCAATAGAAAATAGCAACCTATTAACTTGCATTTCGTATAGAAATTCCTCAGTTTTTGATCGAAGCTGGATTAGCATCCAAAGATTTAGGTGGTGTGGCAGTAACTCAGCCGAGAAGAGTGGCTGCTGTCAATTTAGCTAAACGTGTAGCTGAAGAAACGATGACAAGATTAGGCTCTAAAGTCGGTTATACAGTTCGTTTCGATGACACCTCCAGTCCTGCAACTGTCATCAAATACCTCACCGATGGTATGTTATTACGAGAGATATTATCCGACGAATTGTTACTTCGATACAAGGTGATTGTGCTTGATGAAGCACATGAACGTACTTTGAGAACAGACATGTTATTTGGTATGATCAAAAAAATCCAAAAAATTAGATTAGAACGACAAGGAGAGGATGGTATTTTACCTTTAAAGATTGTGATTATGAGTGCTACTTTGGACGCCGAGAAATTCAGTGAATTCTTCAACAATGCCAAAATTTTGTATGTATCAGGTCGTTTATACCCCGTAGACACCATGTTCACCATTGAACCTCAAGCCGATTATTTAGACGCTGCATTAGTATCCATCTTCCAGATCCATGTGAATAACCCCAAGGGTGATATCCTTGTATTTTTACCAGGTCAAGATGCTATCGAGAGTCTGACTGCCTTGGTCAATGAATATTCCGCTCAATTACGTCCCCAACAACAAAAACTATTAGCATGTCCACTCTTTGCCGCTTTACCCCCTTCACAACAACAAAAAGTATTTGACCCAGCTCCCGAAAACACGAGAAAGGTTATCTTATCCACCAATATTGCCGAAACCAGTATCACCATCCCCGGTATCAAATATGTCATTGATTGTGGGTTAGCAAAATTACGTGGGTTCAATCCAAAGATCGGTGTCGAATCCTTGTTATTACATCCGATCTCCAAGAGTTCGGCATGGCAGAGAACAGGTCGTGCAGGAAGAGAAGCAGCTGGTGTCTGTTATAGATTATATACCGAGGAAGCATTTAGAGAATTAGAAGATGATACCGTGCCTGAAATTAGAAGATGTAATTTGGCTGCTGCTGTGCTTTCATTAAAGGCTTCTGGGGTTGAGAATGTACTTGAATTTGATTATATGGATCGTCCTTCAAGAGCTTCACTTATACGTGCTTTGGAAGAATTATATGCCTTGGGCGCTATTGATGATAAGGGAGATCTTTCGGAATTGGGTAAACAAATGGCAGAGTTTCCTCTTGATCCTACTTATTCCAAGGTCCTTATTCAATCCAAGGAATACGGTTGTTCTTTAGAGGTGATTGCCATCATTTCCTTGTTATCGGTAGATTCGGTCTTTTTCACACCTTCTGATAAACGGGATCAGGCTACGGAAGCAAGAAAGAAGTTTATCCATCCTGATGGTGATCATTTAACTCTCTTGAACGTTTTGAAATCCTATTGGGAGGTCAAGGGAGATATTGAATGGTGTAAGGAAAACTTTATCAATAACAGAAATATCAAGATTGCAATGGTAAGCTTCTTTTTTTTTATGATTATTATATCAATGCATTGTACTTAATATTTATATAGGAAGTACGTGATCAATTGATCCGTTTCTGCGAGCGTATTGATATGGACCCAAAGAGCTCGTGCGGGGCTGATACAGACAATGTTTTGAAATGCTTCTTGACTGGGTTCTTTCAAAACACGGCTTTATTACAACCCGATGGATCTTACAAGAGTGTTGCTGGCAGCCAAAATGTCAAGATTCATCCTGGATCTGCCATGTTTGGTAAACGTGTGGAAGGTATTTTATATAACGAATTAGTGTTTACAACTAAGCATTATGTCCGTGGCGTTTCAGCTATTCAATCTGCTTGGTTACCTTTGGCGGCACCAAAGTACTTTAACAATGTGAAATCATAAAAAAAAAATCACTACCATATTTGGGTGTTTTATTTTTTTTTCAAAAAAAAAAATAATAATAAAAAAATAAATAAAAACCACACATATTCCCCTCTCTTTCTTTCTCTCCTTTGTGCACTTAAAAAGATGCAAAATAATCAAATTCCACCTCAACGTATGTTCCAACCGCAGGTGGCCTATCCTACTATGGCGAATATGGTACCATCAGCGAAGACACAAGGTGTATTTTCTACCTATTCTGCTCGACTGAAACACTCCAACGATAACGCTCTTTTACTTCCTGAATCGTATCTGACGAAAAAGACGCGTTTTACAGGAGATGAATCTGACGAAGAATTTAATGATATGATGGAGGAGTCCGATGAAGAAGACGAAGAGGAGGATGAGGAAAATGATAAACCAGCTGTCGAAAAGCCACCAAGACCGGTCTCACTACCCGCTGGTTCTGCTGTAGCACCACCACCTGTAATTGATTACCCTAAAAGGATTCGTAAGAAAAATCACTTGTTTTATTCGTTTTTGGATTTGATGCATATATCGGATATTGATGAAATTCTTGTCCCCATACGTTTGGACATTGATGTGGATTCAATCAAATTGCGAGATCGTTTCTTATGGAATATGAATGGTATTCAATGATGATACATTGCTCTATCTTTAATAGTAACCTTATTTTCTTTCTTTATTTTATAAAGAGCAATACCTGACCCCAGAAAAATTCGGTGAAATGCTGTGTGAAGACTTGGAGTTATCTCCCTATCGTTTCATTCAACCTATAGCTGAGTCTATCCGAGCCCAAGTTTTGGACTTCGAGAGCTTCACCCAAGTACAATTACCCGCAGGCCACACTCGTGTCGTTATCAATGTAAGAGTGGTCTTTTTAGATGTAAGAATATGAAACTAACCTAAATGGACAACGCAGCTTGATCTACAGATAGGCAAAGTAAATTACCGTGATCAATTTGAGTGGGAACTTCAAAACGAAAAAACCAATGCACCTGAAGTTTTTAGTCGACAATTGGCAGCTGAACTAGGTGTAGGCGGAGAATATGTAGCCATTATATCTCATGCTATTCGCGAACAACTTTTCAGACATAAAAGACAATTTGTAGAAGAGGCAAGATACAAATTACGTGATACACATATAAAAATAAAAAAATCTGACAGGAGCTTTTTTTTTTCATACACAGTTTTTGATCGATGGTGAAATTCGAGCTACACTAGATAGCGCATTTCGACCTGTGGAAGAAGCGAAACAATGGGTTCCTCGCATGGATATGCTGTCGAATGATGAACTAGAGAAATTGCTGATCTCTCAAGAACGAAACATCAGGTATATTTAATTTCCCTCGCCATCTTTTTCTTCTATTAACACACTATGTTTATGCTTGTAGACGTATGCGAAGAGAAACAAGATTCAAAAGGTCAACTCGTCGTGTCTAGATTTTCTCTCTTTCGCCATCAATATATGTCTGCCTCTGTTTATAAATATGGTCTAATAAAAGAAACCCTTGGAAATGTCATTTATTTAAATATGTAGAATCGATACGGTATTATAGTTTAGTGGTGTTCGTCATGGTGATCGTCTCCGTGGTGATCCCAAGGATGTCTCCAACCCTATAAATAAAACAAGTGTCAATTCTAATTACAATAATTAAAAAAAAAAGTTTTTTTTTTGTTGTTTACCAAAAGAACAGGGCCATCTTGTTTGGCACGATACATCATCCAAAACCACATAGTGGCACCTAAGGCCTTACCAACGAAACGGTGAGTGAAACCAGCAAAGTGGGGGGTGAATCCTAAACCTCCAGCATGACCAGCCATTGTTTTAATTTAATTTTTTTTTTGTGTAGAGTGGGGAGGTAAAAAAGAAAGTTAAAGAGGTGTTTTGTAGCTTCTTTTCGGAGTTGGGGTGCAATAGGGCGACAATGCTGGCCCCACACAGGGTGTGGAAAAAACAATAAAAAAAAACTTTCTACGTCATCAAAGAACATTATACCGGGCCGGACCTTTTTGTATTCCCGACGAGAAATCGCAGGTTGCTGTAAAATCGTATCCAAGTTATATGCAGAAGATCCTCCTCTTCCAGCATCACTAAGAAGGTAATGAAATCATATCATGTAAAAGGGACATCAATCCATCCATTCAACGACATATCATCATCATCACACTATTTTACGATCACTATTACATTTGCAAGTACATTCAGCCTTTTTGGATCTGAACATTTTTTTGGCTCATTTTTTTGTAACATGACCTTTTAAGTGTCAAAAAGTGAGGGTAACCACCCCCATTGAGTTACTTAATGCAGAGTGTAGAGAAAAGAGCAAGATCTACTTGATAGTGTCGAATGGAACCGGATTATGATGTCTACTTTTACCATAAAAAAAAAGCTTTTTGTTAACAACTTTTTTTCTTCTTTCTACTTCTATAGCTTTATAAAATGGTCACTCCTGCCGTAAAGCACACTATCGTGAAGAAGCGTACTGCTACCTTCAAGCGTCATCAATCTAACCGTTTCATGCGTGTTGGTGTAAGTAACGAGTCAAGCATGTGTCTAATGTACTTTCTTGTGAATTAACGCCTCTCTCTTTTTTTGTATGTATAGGAATCTTGGAGAAAGCCCAAGGGTATTGATTGTAACATGCGTAGACGTTTCAAGGGTCAAGCTCCTATGCCCAAGATCGGTTACGGTTCCGCCAAGAAGACCCGTAACATCTTGCCCAACGGTTTCCGTAAGTTCGTTGTCTCCAACGTCCGTGAACTTAACCTCTTGTTGATGCACAACCGTTCTTATGCTGCTGAGATTGCCCATAACGTCTCTTCCAAGAAGCGTGTTGCCATCCTCGAACGTGCTGCTCAACTTAACGTTAAGGTTACCAACGCTGCTGCTCGTCTTAGATCCCAGGAGTAAATTTTATGTTCATCATATTCTGATATTACATAAATCTTTTAAATACATTACTTTTATTTGTCTCGGGTAATTGACCTCTAAAGCTCTATTCGTCTTTTTTTTTATTATTATTATTTCGTGTATAAATGAGTGTGATATTGTGGTAAATGTGTGTAGTTACATTTCACCGCAATCGGTGACGGTAATGGTCTCTTGAGGATTTTCCTTGATTTCATTAACTTGATTGATCTGTTGTAACACATCCAAGCCTTCTACTACTTGACCAAAAATGACATATTTGCCATTAATTTTCTCGAATTGAGGGTGCTTATCACCGAGTGTCATGAAGAACTGAGAAGTGTTTGAGTTTTTCCCGGAATTTGCCATGGCCAACAACCCAGCCTTGTTAAACTTTTTTGCGAGGCCAGGTTTTTCATCATTAAACTTGCCATTGTAAATACTATCACCACCAGATCCATCACCTTTTTTTATGTAAAGTTTGTAAACTGTCTCTTATTCGTGCTACATTCCCCCCTCTCTTTAAAAAAACCATACCTCGAGTCACATCACCACCTTGCACCATAAAATCTTTTACAAGACGGAACATACGAGTGCCTTTAAAGAACAATGGTTTCTTGGAACTTTTACCCACTTTGCCTCCAACACAAAGTTGAACGAAATTTTCACATGTCTTGGGACATTCCTTCTCCATTAAGTCTATAACGACTTTGCCTCCTTTTAAGGGTAAAGGGGCCTCGATGATCCACTGCTCACTGGTGGCGGTGGGATCGCTTGAAAGAATGTCACGTAAAGTCTCTTTATCTTCTGATTCAAGCTCGTCTAAATTGTCGCTGGCGAAACCATAGGTTGATGACCATTGCTTGACCCAGGCTTTTGCCTTGTTGTATCGATTCAGTGCATCGGTGTAGGCTTCAATGTCACCGATCTTGATTTCTAAGAATACTTTGCGAGTCATTTTCTGTAATTAAAGGGGGATCGTGTAAAAAAAGAAAAAGAAAAAAAACGAGGCTCTGCCAGTAAAAACAAGATGTTTGGGTCCGACCTTCCATGTTTGGGAACTTATTGGTACTCCCGAGTTGATCGCAATGGAAAGCTGGCATAATTGTACACTCTTTTGGTTGAGTTCAGGCACAGTTTCAAATAAATAAAAAAGTAGGCGTTAGTATTGGGGATATTATGCTACTGCAATTGACTAACAATGATACATGTATGAATGCTATTTCACATGTATATTTCTGTACAATTGCTTTGATAGTGTGAGGGCAGCTCATCGTCTTTTTTGTGCTGGTTTTAACTAATTAACGTTTTTTATTTTTTTTAAAACAAAAAAAAGGCACTTTTCTATTGGCGTCAAAAAAGAAAGATATGCTGGGATATACAATACCCTATAACTCTGGTTATTGCTGACGATGATCTCTAATAGTATAGATTTCTAAAGAGAATTATTTTTCTTATTTGACAAAAACAATACAAACAGATTTATGTGAAATGTAGAACATTTTTAAAGTAATCATAAAATGCATGTGTGGTTTATTAAAGTACAAGAAGCCACCAACTTAATCTGTATCTTCATCTTCCTGCTTGTCATTATTATCATTTGAGGATACCATTGTAATTCGTTGGTCCAGCCTGGTGAACTTCTACGTGCTTTTTTCTTTTATCTTTTTTGATGTTGTTGGGTTCATCTTCCGTACAATGATCCTGATTTTGATGCATATCTTTTAGTTCATCAATCATTGTCTAATGCAATGAGCAAAACCTAATTTAATATCTCCCTTATTTCTGGTATATTTTACAGTGGGCTCCTACTATTTAAACATCTAATATAGATAAACCATTGATGATGATATCTATGGCTCCACTCCTCAGCTGCTTGATTGTTTTCGGGTATAACCAATCGGGACCTACGGCCATCTCGTCGTTACAAGTTTTTGTTCAGGACTTACAGCTTCTTGCTTGCCAAGATTACCACCCTAAAATAAATCAGCGATCAAAATGTTTTTTTTGATCGATATTGGCGATATCGCTCAAAAAATCGAAAATATCGATATCTCCGATATTTTTGATTTTTTGATCGCTGATCGCAAAGCCAAATTTTTAAATCTCTATAAAAACAACTTATACATAAATAAATAGATGTAGCAATACCATGTTAATAGATAAACGTAATTTTTTAAAGAAAAAAAATGTTTATGGGGATGATAGCCAGGGTAAGAAAAAGACAACTTCAGATTACGTAAGTAAAATGAGAAAACGGGACATGTGACTGTGGGTTTTAATGATTTTATATTTTATTCTCAGCGGAAAACAATGTTTCCAACACTTCCGGCAGTACTACTCATATCGACTTTAAAAGCGTCACCAGTCTTTATAACATATTTGTTATTGGAGCCGTCAACCGCATTCACCAATCCGACAGCAGACAAAAGATCCTCGGCATCAAAGACCACAAATTTTTTTTGCTCAGCCTCATCGTAAGGTTTCACGCGCGGGATAGCCTTTGAGTATGGTGAGACGTCATGATTCTTCATAAGTTCACCAAAAACGAAGTTCGAGCCCGGAGCACCTTCTTGATATGTAAAGTCAAAAAAGAACAAGACTTTACAAACGTACCAGTTTTCGACAGGCCGGAACATCCTAATTACAATAAGTCAGTACACAATAATTTTGATTTGCAAACATCAACTTACCGATTTTTATGAATTGCAGTAAACATAACAAACTCACCACCACGCGAACTTGCTGCGTTCTTCGATTTGCACAAATCAGATATGTATATTTGATTGTTTGTCCAGAGTTTTTGAGAAATGTTGACAAATTGGTGCTGATGGAACGAAGTTATAACAGCCGAAGTATTACCAGTCAGACGAATCAAAAATTGAGAGAGTGCTTTAAGCCAGTCTCTTGCCAGGTAGCCGCCAATGGTATGATTGTGCTTTTCTTTTGCTTGCTTTACAACCTGGCCCAGCTTTACAGTATTTACCCGCCAGTGAAAGGGTGACCACAGCTGAGGCAACAATGGATCGTTGGACGGGTGGGGCAAGAAGTTGTTAACTTTATCCTTCTTCAAATCATAGGCGGAACTATCGATTATACCATCGGATTGCAAAAAAGAGAACATTTCACGAGTTTCCATGACATTACCGGCGTTGACACCAGGATTCAAAGATGAACGGATTCGCTTCTTGTATATGCCAATAGACCTTTCCAATGATCTTGCAGAATAACACCTTAACGGTCTACCAGAGAAATGAAAAATTAGTACAAAAGGGAAGTCTAATAACTATGATGACAATCGATAACTAACCCCATTCGTTTTATCATGTATGGTATATGGTTCAGTTGGTGCATGTTCGATCTGAATACGGTTCTGGAGATAGAGCTGCTATCAAGACAGGTATCGAGGTAATCAAACCAAGTCTTAAAGCATCTATCATAAGCAAATATAATGTTCAAGTAAATATCACTACATAAATTACAACTCAACAATGAATATTTACCTTTCAATTTCCTTCACTTCAGATTCGGATATCGACCATTGCAAACTCAATTGAATACCACGAGACAGGGCAATAAATCCTGTGGTTGCTTCTCTGGCGTGAAAGAGTGGGGCAACAATCGTAGGAATCACATGCACCAACCAGGCGATCCAGTCCACCGAACGATAAATAGATCTAACATTATCCAGATTGACACCAGCAAACGAACCACTGAAATCCGCAGGAATTGCACGAAGGGAGTCATCCATGGCGGTTTTGATGCGAGTAAAATCAGCAGTCTCGAGAGCAAACGGGTACGTGTCTTCGTTACCATCAAACTTGAACCGAGTGTTGAGCTTTGGTGAAAGCATGTCGAAGCAAAGCTTGCTGACATTCGAAAACATATGTAGCTCGTCACACATGAAAAAGTCGATGGAGAGGAAGGTACTCAACTGACCAAAGGGAGAAGCACTTTTAATACCATAGTTGTGGTTGGGACAAGAAGGCTAATAAAGGTAAATCAATTAAAATATGTAAAAAAGGCTACACAAGTTAATACTTACTGCGTCTTTCTCAAGTAATAAAGAAGCTTTGGTTCTGATAGCCGAGTCTCTGCCAAAGAAGTACATACCACCTTTTCCTCCGTCAACTGGGTGACCGCCTTTAACTAAATTTAGAAGGGTCATTTTGTTAGTGTCCACGGTCATAGCTTAGTAAACTGACGACTTACCAATACAAAATCTACATCCCCACCAGTTGGTATGACCACTAAACATCAACAACCGCTGGTTGATCTCTATACCATCTGCAATGACACCCAAATTGAAAATTCTAGCCGACGTGACATGAACACCATTCTTGCGAACAACAACAGGTTCACGACTCAAACGATCAAGGCTTTCAATAATTGGACGCAGATACGAGTCAAAGTCTTTCTTAGTGTCACCAAAAAGAATTGCAACTTGAAAAGTATATTCATCGGTGTATCTGCAAACGGTGTTATTACGACGTAAAAAGATTGGATGTATTGTATATAGAGCCAAAATTTACCTGATAGACGGATCAATGCTAGCAATTATAACGTGTACCATCACCATACTTTTTCTTGATACCTTCGAAGTGAACCCATCAACACATAGAACGATGGCTAAATCGTGCTGACCAGTGAAGAGACCTTTAGATTTCATTTCTTTATACGCGGCTCCAGAAAAAAAATCGGTATATGGATCATCGTCTGTCATGGAATCGATTACGTTTCGGTATTTTTCGACTTCATCACGAAACTCGTCACAAGCTAGCATACGACTTAAATGTTCACCAATATCAATCATTTTTACCACAGATTCTTTATGTCTAACAGCGTTACAGTGAGGACAAGCGGTTTTATCGGCATCATCGACAGGATCAAAGAGATAACACCCCTTTCGGGAACAGATTTCATGGCTTTGACTGAAAGAAAGTGGAAGTTTCTTCTTGATCAACGAACGACACTCCTTCAATGCGAGTACTTTTTTCTTTTTATCAAGGCCTAAAAGGTAAACTAAATTAGTAAATAATGATACTTTGTAAATACAAATCATTAACATACTGTTGTTTTGGTTCAAAGTGTTCTCAAAAAATTTCTTCATAACGCGCACAGCTTCTATGGTCATGTTTCTACTAAATGTAAGATAGTTGAACATAATACTACTCAGCTCGCTGGTGCTAAATACGTTAATGGGGACAATGATATCCTTGATGTTGTCCTGTATTGTTACATTATGATCAAGTGACAATGGTTCTAAAAGTGAAAATAATACATCCGGTAAGTTGTCATGATGTCAACAACTCGAGCATCCTTAGTTACCTTCGAAGTTCTCTTCGTCCGTGGATTCATACAAATCCTCGTCTACTTCACCGTCTACAACAAAGCCATCATCAGAGGATTCATCTTCAGCATCTACGTCTTGTATGGACATTTGTCCAATTAAGGGAAGAGCGATTTGGTTATCGAGGTCAGCCATATCAACATCATCGTAAAAATCCATTTCTTCGTCATAGTCAAAAGGTGTACGGTTGGTTATTATAGCAGTTGGGAAGCCAGTAGATACTGAAGAGGATACAGCAAAAACAGAAGTGTCAGTTGGGCCAGGTACAATGGAGGCAGCAGTAACGGCCAAGGGTTCATATGTGCCTCTTAAAAGACGTTGGTTAGCGCCGTTTCGAGAAGCTCTAAGGTTCTTGGGTTTTTGAATTTTGGGGTAAACCATTTTGAAAGTTTTTTAAAATTTCGTTTTTGGTAAGTTGGGAACCGATTTTTGCGTGTAGTTTTATACATGTTGCTACATCTTATTTACAGCTTATTAATAGTCACTGACCGTTCTTAGAACCAATTGGAATTACTCGTGAAGTTATCTTATAATTATTAATAGAGAGGATATAGTAATTCTGTGTAGACTATGGATACCTTTCAAAACCACTAGAAATCGTTGTTTGGGGACTTCAAGCTTGATCTATTGTTAGATTTTCGTGTAACGAGGTTATTAAGCGAAATTTTTTTTAATTCTGTACCGTGATTGGTGCAAATAAGTTGAACCACTTACATCAAGGTAAATGACAATGAAAAAAAAAATGTATCTTTAAAACATCTATATAAGATCCAATACTTACACCTATTTTCTCATTTACATCGATTTTTCACTCTATTTATCACAATGAACGGTACCCAAAACTCAAATTCTCGAGACGAAGTCATTGAAAAACTCGTTAATGCCATTTACGATATGCAAAGAAAGCTTGATGCGATGCCTGCCACAATGAAAGAATATATCTACCTGCCAGTTGGTCAACACTGTGAATGCTGCAGCAAGGTTAAGAAAGTGGTCAAATCCAATGGTACTTCTGCAATTACTTCTCGATCTGGATATATCACTGGTACGTTTTTATTTTATTTTACTTTGTAAGACGAATTAAGTTAATAATTGCCCTATCTTTTCAGCAAGAAATTCCGCTGCTCAACAAATGTACGAAACCGTGGTCAAGGCTGTCGCCTATTACAAGGAGCATGTTATACCCAATGGTATTCACACCTCTTGCAATTCTCTCGGTGTAAGATCCATCACCGTATGTACTTATACAAAGAAAACCGTCAGTAGACAAGGTTGCTGCGTACTGGAGATCTTTGGTAGGTACCTATACTGAGGATCAAGCTAAAGAAAGGGCGACAGCAGCTTACAACAATGTCTTCACCATTTGCCAACATTTCTTGAAAGCATTGTACCAAGAACGATTTGGAAAGAATGGTGTCATTTGGAGGGGGATTCCTGCCAACGAGCAGAATGAAGTATTGTATATGTTCGAAAGAATTGCATACTTTTGGAACAAGCGCTCTGGCTTGAACGTTGGTACACCCCTCGAGGCATATCCTGGAGACCTTATCTCTGTCATTGACGCCGAGAACCCAATGCTACCCATGCACCTCGCCGATAAAAACTGGATATCCAAAAATATGATCCAGATAATGTTGAGGAACTCAGCAAGAGTAAGTAAAGTTTAGATATCAAATTAAGAATTTTTAACATTAACATAAACCTCAACTCTAGCCAGATGACATTGCTCATGATACCTCGGGTTCATTTTTGACTGGCCTGGAAAACCTTGGTGTCAATTCGGGTACTGAAGAGAGGTACGAAGACTTGGATATGGGCCTGTTTGAAAATTTATTTTCGATCCCTGATAACAGACCTATTGCACCATCGTCTTCTTCCGCTTTGGTACAAAATCCTGTTTTGACCTCTCTTCCTCCCTCTGAGATGCCTCCTCTCTCTGACTCGCCTCCTCCTCCCACCTCTGACTCTCCTCCTCCCACCTCTGCACCTGCCCTCTCCACCCCAAGTACTACCCGTCCAAAAGGTAAAAGAAAGGCTGATGAAATAGCATCTGGGACCAATAGTCGACCCTCAAGGGCTTTCCAAAAATAGAATTGAGCCTGAATTTTTTTTTTTTCTTATTTAAACTCTGATTTTTTTATTATTTTTTTCTTTTTTCTTTCTATTTCTTTCAAATAAAAACTCAACTTAAGGTTTGTATATGTGTATAGTTTGTGAATATATGATTTATCATAACCATTTGTTTACAAATGAAGATATAGTTATGTGACTAAACATTAAACGTGCTGACACTCTCCAAACGGATTAAACCAAGACTCTTTGCTTTAAAAGTAAATTTACTTACTCTTTTTATATGTATTAACACATTTGTATAGCTGAAGCCATCTCTACTTTCACCGCTTGTGAAAAGGTAAATATCTCGACTTTGGTTTATGTGTTTATTATTAGTTAACCCAAATTCCTAAAGCTAGCTACCATCGCTGTTTATTTGAGGCTCGTACATCCCACGGTTTTGTAAAGGTACACATTGCTAAACTTGATAATTTATTCTCTTATTAACGTAAACCATCTTTATGCAGGTAAGTGAATACTGCTGCTCTTCCGAGGTCTTCGTATGGTCACTATCGTAGTTCCTCTCATTATGTCTGTCTCTGGTCATATTTTACTGGTCATTTTCTATATTTGAAGAGGTCTATCATGATCAGACTCGACGTTATTTAGTTTTTTTTTATAAATAAATTTTTTTTTTTCCAATATATACAAACGTATCAATTTTAAGCCTGTATCCTGATTTAGCAGGGGTGTAAAAGTAATATTATATCGGTTATCGATTACCCCATTTTTTTTACCCCATCCAACGATATTTTTTTGTTTTTTTGATTTATGGATCGATATCGTCAATCGCGATATTTTGGAAAGTTTGATCGATATTGCCAATAACGATATTTTAGAAAGTTTGATCGATATTGCCAATCGCGATATTTTGGAAAATTTGATCGATATTGCCAATCGCGATATTTTGGAAAAATTTATCGATATCGCCAATCGCGATATTTTTAAAAAAAAGATCGTTATTTCCGCTCTAATTTGTTTGCGATATTTTTCAATTTTTGATCGCTGATTTATTTTAGGGTGTTACTTATATTATTTGGTTATTTGCGAATATTATAATCATTAGATGATAGATTATTTTTCTGTGGGAAAGTTTATAAGTGTTTGTTTATATTCATCGGAGGTGGATGGTAGGATCACCTCATCTTGTTCTAGCTGCAATCATTACAGAACCATTGTATGAACATAATTCAAAACATTATGGAGCTTAAAGCCCCGTACATATGCACATAATAAGAAGTAACGAGCAAAAATACAAACGTGAACTTTGAACGTATATACAGGCAATACGGGTTACAATGATGAGTGTATTTAGCCAATAAAAAGTATTTCTATAAGCAAGACATAATCATGCGCTAATTTCAATTTTGCAGGATTCATCTGATAAAAGTTACTAACTACCACGGCTGTTTTTGTAAACCTGTTTAACAACACCCCCGCTTAAATTGTTGTTAGTTAATCGTAATTTATACTATATTTTTGGGTTAGAGTCAAGGTTTATGCTCAACATTCGTTTTCAAAAAGTTGTCTAACACAGTCTTATTATGTACGACTGACAATATTTTTTGATGGGCTGCTAGACTGACAAATTCCTACAATTTTTTTAGCTTAACTACACCCATAAATCGTTAATAGTTTTACAATATCTATCTTTATCACCATTTCTACATCTTTTGAATATATGGGAAAAATAAAAAAAGCCCGGCTTTTGCTGCCAAAAAAAAGCAATAATGATTCCCCTCAAGTACAGCATCATAACAATTTGGGTCGATCTTCCATTCCCTTTTTGACGGCCGGTACTTCGGCTGTACCTACATCAGCGCCAATTATTGCTACTAAGCATAGTACATCTATGGTCGAAGAAGATGAGATGTCAAGTGGTATATTTACTTCAGGTGAATGGGACTATGAAAGCACACTTCAATTAATCCATGTTTTTATTAAGTATGGTCTGCGGCTTGAAGCTTCTTCAACGGCTGCTGAAATTAGTATACATAATTTAGCTATGTTTCGTAAATTTAACAAAAGCACTCGTATCAATGGAAGAAGAAGTTTAATTTCTTTAAAAGAAAGATGGGTATATCTGTATGAAACATATCAAGAAAGAAAAAATTGGTCTAGTAAGAACAATGTGTATCCTCTTCCGTTTTGGGAGTTTCATGAACATATGCAAAATGGGTTAAGCGCCAGCCCTTTAGTCATCTGTTCTTCAGATAATACTTGGTCCCATCTATCAGAAAGTGAAAGCGATACAGAATATTTTACAGATCGCAGCGATGAGGAGGACACAGAGAAACATTTTGATCAATCAATTACTGTGCCAAAAAGAAAAATTCAGGCGAACCCTGATATTATACAGGAGACAATAAAATGCAGGTACAAATCCGAGAATGAAGAAGGAAATGGTGATCATGTCAATATATATGGGTTGGAATGCAAAAGGTTGGCCGATATAATAAAAAAGAGTATCCCGATTATAGAGAGAAGCATATCAACCATGGAAAGGGGTATATCAACTATGGAAAAGGGTATATCAACTATGGAAAAAAACATAGCAGCTATGAAAGAGAGCACGTCAACTATGAAAAATGGTATATCAACTATAGAAAAGTCCTCTGCAGTCATAGCAAAGGGTATCTTAACAATGGAAAACAATGAATCGACAAAACATGACATTTTGGAAATTCAAAAGGGGTTTTTAACTCAATTTGAAATTGCAGTAGATAACATTTCCAAGAAGACAGATTCAAAAAAGAATACATATGACACTAACATCAACGAATCTCGGGACTTTGATAAATTACAAAGAGAATTCTTCATTCTTTAATAAAAAATGTAACTACATTTGTACATGTTCTTAAAAAGTTCAACTTTAATTATAACTCACTGACGAATGTTTATAGAAGAGAAGTTCTACAATAGGTTTATTGAGTGTAGCAAAGGCAAATCTCAAGTGTATACATATAAAAGAGGGAGGCATTATACTTCTAACAATAAGAACTCTCCTCAATTATTTTAGCAATAATGATATTCAAGAATAAGCAAAACAATCAGCCAATTATAATTTAAATACAACGATTATAAAAAGATTCGTGTTTATGTTGCCACTACTAACATTTATCCTCTCTTTATCCTTTTAATATGGGCTCTTGTTGTTCTTCTAGTTCTGCTTCAACTTGCGGTAGCACACAGTCTTATAGTAGCAGCTCTACCTGGTAACAGCCTACGCAAACACAAGGAATAATAATGCGTATATGTCTAGTATATCTACATTTACTAGAACCAAAAAAAGTATTAAATGCTATATTGCTATAAACGCTCTTACTTAATGTTAACATATGAACCTAATAAATTCTCAATTTTAAGCATGAACGTACACTACATTTGACTTTGGACAGGGTTGCAAGTAAAAAATACGAGCCAATAACAGTTTTTTTCTTTCATTTTTTGTTTGTATAGGATTTAATATCCTTGTGAGGTCTACTTTAGCCTAAATAATAGTTTAATAAACAATTGTAACTGTTTACAGACCCCTTGATTTATATTAAATGTGCTTATTCAATCATAGGGTTTACTGGCAGCATTTTGATCGATTGTCAGAAGTTGTTAATGTAAAAAAATATAACAAGACAACAATGAGTCTTTAAATAAAGAACTTGTTGGTGTTGTAGTATTGCCCTTTGATTTTTTTACCCTATATTATAAGCATGGGCTCTTGTACGTCTTCTTCTGCTGCTTCAAGTACTAGCTCATATGGTACAACTACTTGCCAATATTAAATCGGATAATTAATATTAAAAATATTACTTCAATAAATCGTAATGTCACTACTTCAATTCATCATAGTTATTTTAAAATGTGCATTATTTATGTTTTTGTTTGGCATGTATATGCATGTTGTAAATATTAACTTGTGAACCTGATGAATGATTTACTGTCGGTTTTGGAAAAGCAATAAGTGCGTGCGTTTTATGTAAGTATTAAGCTGCTACATTTGTATAGCTTTGGGAAAAGCATCACAAAGGCTCGAGAAATTGAAAAGGACATACTCAACGGAGAAATTGGACGTAATAAACACCAGGATCCAACAAAATTCACTTTTCGTCCGTCATCAACACCTAATTTAGAAAATATGAGCAAAAAAGAATGTCGTTGTTGCCACTGCTTTCTTTTATTGTCGTTACTAACAGTTATGCTATCTATAGTCTTAGAGACAGCCCCGTGATAGAGTTACACCAATCACGGCAGCCACACGAATATGCATTTTTGTTTTTGTCTGGCTTAAAAATGTTGCTACTGCAATTTAGTGTAGCACATAAAGTGAAGTTCTATAAAAGAAAGAAAATCACACCTATTGTCATTTGTTCCATTTACTTTACTTAAATACCACAACATTATTATGGGTTCTTGCTGTTCCGGATCTTCTTCTGCTTCAATGATTAGTGACTATCTTCCATCTCATTATAGCTCAAGTGTAAAAAGCTAAGCTGCAAAAAAAACTATCGCTTCATTCAAAACTTGGCGTCCAATATTTTTAATAAAAGATCTTTATTTTATAAAAAATGCAAATTGCTACTATTACTAAATGTGTATTGCGTATTACTGATAGCTCCTTTCAGACCTGCAATTCAAGTTATTAATATTCTCCTTCGTAATGTCTTATTTAAGTTATGATGTTGCATATAATTTATCCTTTGTTTATCATATCATCATTTTGTAACATGCATTATATTCCTGTAACTTATTTCTCGGATGCTCCGGGAGTGCGGGTACACAAAAAGAAACTTTAACGTATCTGATTCTTTATAAGTTTTAGGCTTCCTTTGGCTACAAGCTAATAAAATGGTGTCTGTCAAAGCATTTAACTCATATAATGAAGTAAACCTAAATAAATACCAATGTCGAGCTCAATTTTTATGCAACATACAATTTTGACAGCCTAGGTAGCAACTTTTTTTAAATGCGTTAAACACTTTTAACAGTTATATATGGTCATTGGGGATGTAAGTTCTTCAGTTTTCAATTTCTATTGTACCGTAATAAGCTACATCTTTTTAAGCGAGAATCTACCGAAAGATCTCCCCAATCATTGGCGCCACTGATAAATAACATTTACATATTGTTTCATAAAACTGGTGTGTACAAGCATAATTTACTGCTTACATAATGTTTGTCTCATGCATACACATCTTATTTATTAGCATTAATTTTGAAGATTTGCTTACATCATGTTCTTTATAAATAATTGATCCCATAAAGCTTATTATAAATTAAAACTGTTAAGTTTATTTCTCATGGTATCTTTTGCATAATATATCACATTTTCCGATTAATTATTTGATAAAAAAAAAAAAACTTGATATCCTGGGTTTTTTCTTCTTTATCTTTTAGGTATTTATGATGACTGATATTAAGTTACCACCAAGTATATAATATTATAAAAAAAACGTCAAAGACCTTACTAACCCTCGGAAAAAGTCCTAGAGCCGACGGATGAAGACATCCGACTCCTTCTGGCAGCAAAATGTCATTTGGGTTCGAAGAATATCAATAATCACATGAAGGGATACATGTTCAGTCGTCGTCAAGATGGAATCTTTATCATCCACATTGGCAAATTATGGGAAAAGTTAATCCTGGCAGCTCGTGTACTGGCAACAGTTCAGACACCCGCTGATATCTATGTCACTTCTTCTTCCGTTCACGGTCGTAGACCTGCAAATAAGCTTGGTAACTTTATTGGCGCCACTAGCAATCTGGGACGTTTTACACCTGGTACATTTACAAAGGCAATTGTTGAACCGGAAGTTCTGGTCTGTTTAGACCCTCTTGTGGATTATCAAGCCATCAGTGAAAGTAGTAAATGTAATGTACCCGTGATTGCTTTTACAAATTCGCATTCTCCGCTCGGGTACGTGGATATCGCTATTCCTTGTAACAATCTTGGCTCACAATCCATCGGTGTAATGTGCTGGCTACTTGCTCGAGCGGTACTCAGACTCCGAGGATTATTAAACTATAAGGAACAATGGGTAGTTATGCCTGATATGTTCTTTTACATGGATGAAGAAGCAGACAGGGTTGTACAAGAAAATGAAGATTATAGTGGCGGATATGACAAGAATCAGACAGATGGAGAGGGCACTTGGTCTGGTGACAAAGACTTTAGTACTTCTGGATATGATGATGGTGTCAATTGGCAAAGCGAAGTACCTAAGGCGAGTGATGGCTGGGGCGATGGCGGCAATAACGCGCCAAGCTTTACCACTCCGACTACTGCATTTGGTTCATCGGATCAACTAATTGACATGCCTGTTTTCAATACCAACGTTCCTGTATTTGCGGAGGAGACTCCTGTCGATTGGGCAGATGATGTTCCACAGGAACATGTTGAAGTAACATTGACCGACTCAACTGGATGGGATGATAATATCACTACTAATCAACAATGGAAGGGACCTACTACAGCACCATGGGGCGCTTAAAAAGATTTTTAAATTGCATATTTTATTTTTTTTAAAAAATCTTTTTTATAATTCTTCTTTAGCAGTTATTAAACTCTTGACTCTGTCTTTTCTAACTTCTTTCTCTAAATAAGCCTTTCCAATGATTTCACCCACAAACTCAATTAATTCCTTTTTATCTTCTTCTGATGGAGCTGGGTCATCCTCATCCATATCATTTTCTGAATTATTTTTAGGGGCAAATGATAAACTGTTTTGTTCTGCAATATGATCCAAAACGGCCTAAGAAAGAATTATGAATAAGTACAATGTTAATAAAGTGTCAAAATAAAAAGACTTTACCACAAGAGCCTCTTTACATTTCTCTGCTTCCTGCACTCGGACAGGGTTTGGACTCTCGAAGGCTGTCTTTAAACAGTTTTCTGAATAAAATTTGATATTTGGAGCTACTAATACACGAGTCACTTCAGGACCGATTTTATCCAAGCCAATGATGGCACCATACTGTGTTGTCAATGGGCGTGCGGGATCGAGAAAGGCACGAAGTAATGTCTTTGTGATACGAGGTTGTAATGTATGATATGCTTTACCGTATTGATGACAGATGGTGGCAATAAGTGACGCAGCTCGGTTACGTGTGGACCAATGGTTTTGCTGTTGAGGGTTTTCGCAGATCACACGACCGACCAAACACGATATAATGGGTGGAATCAATTGATGAAGCTATATGTATATATTAGCTTTTATAAAGACCCGTGTTATAAAACCATATCCAGATATCCAGATACTTACATAAGGCTCAACAAACAAATGCTTGTTATTCAATAATGAATGTGCCATAGATAACATGGCTTCAAGAACATCCAGATTTTTATGATTTTGTGTGACCTTTTTATGGATATGCTGAACAAAATAAGGTAAAAGTTGATGAAGACCAGGATCCAGTCGTAGACTCTCAAAAGCTTGGGATTGTAATCGCTCGTCTTCACTTAATACAGCTTCTGTGATTCTTTCAAAGTACATTTGTAATTCCTTGGATAAAACGTGCTTCACCAAAGGCTTAACATTGACTTGATCAGTTGTAATGCCATTGGAATTAGCGTGGTTCTTGGCACGTTTCGATAAAAGTTCGGCTTTTGCATCTAAATTCACAATGTGTCAACATCAAAATAAACATTATTTTTTCTTCTCCTCTTCTAGGCTTACCGCTTGGTGTAGGATTTTGAGGAATGGCAGGTTGTACACCTTCAATCGCAAGCCAATGGGCTGTGAATGTAACGTCCAAGGGGATTTTCGGTAATGGTTTATTCAAAACTGTGTCGAAATCAATCTCTTCATCGTCATCGAAAAAGATGTCGTTTGAATTGAGCGTCGTCTTTCTGAATTTGGGTGCTTCTCCACAGGTATAACCGTAAAGGGGCTATTAGAATAAGTAAGTAGACGGATTCAGCAAACAGAAAAGCCCGTTCCCAGAAAGTTTAACTCACTTCTACGTTCTTTACGCGAAGGGCGGCATTAATGTCGTCTACAGATAATTTTGTTCTTTTTGAATGACGCATGAACTTTGCAGCTTCCTATAGTTATTATTATTGTAAGCGGGTTGCTTTGTTTGATTCTCAATGTTGCTTAATTACTTGAATGAGTTCATGGACTCTGTATTCGACGTCCTGAGCCAATGCTGTCGCAACTTCGTCTTTGAGATTAGTCACACCCAACGACTCTCCAATATTCTGTTCTCTTTGTTAAGCATGTGTATGTGAAACTATATGAGTAATTCATGAGCAACTCACTTTAATAGTTTCTTTTGGAAAGACACTCATCGTCGCGTGTTTTTTTATTGTTTGGAACAAAAGAAAAAAAAAAGAGAGAGAGAGAGAGAGAAACTTAGAACATTTATTGTGACCACCCAATGGAATTGTTAAATATCCAGTATGGAGTGTGGCTTTTTTTTTCTACTACTCTTCTTCTTAATATACATATGGCTTCAGTAGCAAATCAAATTGAACAAAGTAACACATTTACCATGTACAAACGTTTCCAGTAGAGCTAATTTTTTTGTTAATAGCTCTTGCGGCAAAAGAACATTTAGCTGAAGAGCTCTTGATTAACAAGCAAGCTGTAAAGTGTGACAACTTGACTTATTACCAATGACTGACCTATTATTATATATAATACAGATTCTTGATTTCGAAAGAAGGAAGAGCAGTAATGCCGCCGCCATTTCTCACGTCAAGAGAAGTCAAGGCAAGCCCACTCGTGTTTTTTTAGAGAGAGTTACCAACTGACTGTATTTCAAAAATAGACAAGAAATTATGGACATTTTCTAGCGACATGTTTATAAAATTACCCACCAACAAAACTCAAGAGCTACTCGAAAAAGGTAATATATTCTTTTCTTATGACGATTCTTGAAGTTCAACCACTAATTTTCAAGTAGATCAAAAGGTTTTGGACGAAAAAATTGAGGCGTCTAAACAAATCGTTGACAAAAATACATTAGCGTTGAAAGATATGGAGAACAAACGAGATTTGCATGGATTTAATTTAAGTGGGTTAACTGCAACGGATTTGTATAATAATACGAAATAAATGATAAGGAGGGAGAGGGGATATATATATATGTGTGTATGTAAAAATAAATAACATTTTCAAGTAAAAATAATTAAAGGTGTGACGGTATCGATAATACCACCCGTCAGTAAATTTTCATCTTTTAAATAGTCTTTAGGAAACAAAACTAAGTGGCCTTTCACCTGGTCTAACTGTTCACAGATTTCATCTTCTGTGAGATTAGGATCCGCAACATGTCCGTACTTCACCTTATTAGGATCCGGGATAAATTTACGATGCTGTTCATAAGTATGTACTGTATCATCAGGTACACATCGGAACAATTGTCGATAAATAGATGTGTTCGTAGTGGCTCGCTTTAACCATATATTGTTATAAGTATGGTCTGACAATGGATCAAGAGCTGCTGCATCATGTCGTTTGGGATGGTGATGTGTTTTAAATGTATCGTAAAAACTATAGGTTCGACTGGCTCGGTCCAACATTTTCACAGGCTCGTCTGCCTCAATCAACCGGATATCCTGTGCATTATTGACAGATCTTGCTAAAGATGGGTATGTGCTATGATGTCCATGCCCGTGGCCATGTTGACTTGGAATATCTAAAGTCTCTACGTGCTCCTCATTTTCGTGACTAACACCTCGACTGTGTACACGTCTATCTTCGTTTTCATCTTCCAGTAATTGAGACCACTTTTCAAAATTTAAGAGACCTAAATGTTCCTTCCATAGCTGCATACGCAATGTGTGTGCAAATTTGGCAGCTTTGTACTATAGATAAAGTCGGTGTTAAAAAAACTAATGAGGGAGGCTATTCAAGCTTCTTTTTACCTCTTTGCCATCCATGAAAGAGGACACCATTTCGGTATCTTCCACAAGCATAGCAATTTCGGAGTCTCGGTTACCCAATTGGGATCTGTCATTAATATTGGCTATAGTTTTGGATGTTAATAAAGCCCTTTGTGACTTATTTTTTTTTCTTATTACCTGATCCCATCAATACAATTCGATCGTCTACAATCATCAATTTATCATGCAGGTACAGCAACTCACTAACATAATCATATCGATCATCATCGGCCAAATTAGACTCTGCTGACGTACTTGTGGATGATCCTCTTCTGCTCTGTGGAGGTTCTGGATATAAAGTATTTGGTATGGAGGAAGCATTACTTGTGGTTGAAGTATTGGTAGCTAATCGAGACAAGTCATTTTCATCAAAAGGATTTTTAATCGCTGCCTCATCGCCAAATACAGTACCACTATCATTCTGTAATCCAGTACTACTAGTAGTGGCGGCTTTTGGCGTTGTTGGTGTTCTTTGCGCCGTGAATTTCGGAACCTTGATTTTGCCAAAGTTTCTTAAACTGAACCATGATATATAATCATCTGCATCAATGCCGAGCTCCTTTAATTTCTCGATGATGGATGCACCTCCTCTGGAGATGGTGACGTATTGGAAATGCATGACAGTTCTATGGACCCTTGGTTAGTACTCTATTAGGATTTACAAAGCAGGGCACTTTTTTTACCTTGCGGAAGAAGATTCACTGGAGGCCAAATCGCCTTCAAATGCAGGCACCAGAGGAATCAATACGTAGACACGAAATTTCTCACCCTTTTCATGGGCTCTCTTGATTCTTTGTACAAGTGCTTGTGCGATTTTATTTCGAAGTAATTTATCGTCTTGAGTTGTACTAACTAGAAGAAAAATAGGGACAAATAAGCATGTAAACTAGCATGGAATAGACATATGTATAAAGGGAACTTACTGAAGAATTGATTCTCAATGTAAATGAAATGCTTTGCATGAGAAATACATTCCATATAAGCATTATAAATTGAGTGCTACAATTAAGTTAGTATCACAAATCGATATGATTTTCCCATACAATGATTACCTCACGCTCTACATCTGATGACCATCGAGACGAACTTCTTAACAGCTGTACTTTACAAGTACCTGAAAAGTTACTTTCGTCACGAGCAGCAACGTATTCACCCTTGGGCAGTAAGAAGGGAACAATGCGTCGATGCATACTCTTATTCGACTTAAGGAAATTCCAGCGTTGAATAAAATGACGTGCGATATCTCTTGCAATGGGACCCACAACACCCAGTGTAACATCATGCCACGGCATTCTAGGTGTTGTTTTTCTGTCGACTAATGTTTTGTGATACTGCGCAACTAAGATTTAAAACAATTAGAAATTATTTCTATTACGGTTGTGTGACACCATAAAGATAATTACCGTTTACGAAATCCTTCACTCGAGGATTTGAATAATCTTGACCTGGAAATACTTCGCGATCATAGTTCTCAGCAGGGAAATCAGAAAGTGAATGATCATGAGTATCGTATCGACTAAGTAACAGAGTTAATTTTTTTCTTGATTTTTTTTTTTTACATGGATACATCATTGGCAGTAAGAATTGTTTGTTTACCCAAAGCATAAATCAAGACCACCGATAAAGGCTAATCGATTATCAACCACCACAATTTTCTGAAGAGCGTTAAATCTCTTTGTTAATCATTGTATCCTTTACTAATATTACCTCATGGTGGGACCAGAAAAGAACCGTATTGTCATTTGATAAACTATGATCGGGATGTCTTTGCACTACACATTAAAAAAATGAGTTATATGGGACACTTTTAAAGGGAAATGTTTTACCAAGAATATTCGGGTGAAGATTTTGTAACCATTGCTTTGTATGAACTGAATCAATGGTCAAAGCAACAGACATTTCTTTATAAACTACGATATATATTTTCACACCTTCTACAGCCTTGCGGTGTAAAAGTCTATCGAGTCGAAAGTCTTCGTTCTCCTCTGGTGGTCTTCTTAGATACTATTGAACAGCATTAATTTACTTGTAAAAAAGTTGATCAGGACAAATGTTTACCAGTTCGGGCGAAAGCCACCAATCTGCAATATAAATTTCTACTTTGGCAGATAAGATTGCTTCGGCGACAGCATTATAATGGTCTAAATAGGCTTAGCTTTTTTTGTAAATATATAAACAAACAAAGACTTACTTTCTGCATCCACAAACCATTTGACTTTAGCATTATGACGCACAGGAGCAAATGAACCAAAGCGATGGTTCTGAACCCAAGGGCTTTCATCCTGAACCTTCTCAATACTTTCAAGCCATTGATCTACTTCACGCTTGGTGCCTTTAATTTCAATTTTGCGAGACTCGTTGCAGATGGTGATATGATGGCTTCCCAAATAAACACGAGGTTCCTGGATTTCGATTTTCAATCCGTTATCGAACAACAGTACATCTGTCGGGGTTGAAGATGCAGTGTCTGAGCAAAATGCCATGTACCTAAAAAAAAAAGCAATTTAAATATTAAAGGAGGGACCAAAGATTCAAGTAAATAAAAAGACACTTTACGAATCTCTGAGTATGATCCATTCAGTTTTCCATCGTTGTGTTTTCCATAATTGACAGCATCTGGGAGACACATAATTGATACGATTTCTCAAGTAGCCCTCTTTACCTTTCCAACCCATATCTTGTACAATACTGATGGCGGATAATTCTAAAAACTCACAGATATCGTAACTTACAGTGACGTGAGCACGAAGCAATAGAGCTCTGAGATAGTTTGTTAACTCAGTACGACGATGCAGGGCAACTTTTTTACTCTTGATAGAGGAAGCGCCATCATCTATTGTTTGTTGTTCTATATCATCTTCTCTATAGATACCAATGGTCGACTTTGCCGAATCCAAAAGGTTAGATAATTGATTCGGGAAAACGGGTGGGTCCAAGACGTAATCGTACAAATTGGATTTAACCTTGAGTTTATAATGAAGTGCCATAAAATCTGCTATGCCTCTTCGAATCACCCATTTCACATCTCCGTATTGAAGTTCGATTCGAAATACCCACATACTACTTCCATTTAAATATTCAGAATCTGTCACTGTTACCTAATCAAAACATTATGAATTAATACACATGTAATGAATACACACTAAAATTGATCAGTAATCGGACTTTACATATATGCATTGTAACAAAATAGGTGGCTGAAATACAAAAAAGGATGTAAGTAACACACACAAAAAAATTTACAAAAGAACATTACCAAGTTTCTGCCGTACTCGTCTTTGGCGAAGGCAGCAAAGATCGGATCAAATGCGGGTGGATAATAGGTAGCCAAAGTATGCGAGGGACCTGAATTAGAATGAAGAGGTACAGGTGGTGGTGGAGTGGATTGTAGATTTGCAATTAATTTCAACTTGTCAAGTGTTCTATCCCATTTATCCTTTACGCGCACAGCATCGTCTTCTTCCTGTCGATTTGATCTAGAAGTTGTAGGTGTAGTTGTAATAGGTGGTCGAGTAAATGCACGATCTGGGAAGAAAGGTCTAGTGAAATAATTTGATTCACCATCACCATGATCATCATCCAGAGGATCAATATGATCGTTCTCTAAATCATAGGCCGAAGGTAATTTCTCTTCTTCATCTTGTGCAATCGTATGGTTTAAATCCTCTTCATTATCATCTCTACCACGAATAGCACCACCTGCCGAAGTAGATACGTTGATACTATGATGTCTAGAAGTGGCTGCCGCTAAACTTTGATGACGCGAAGCAGGTGTGGGTCGTTGTTGCCTAGCAGCACTTCTCATTAATTCAAACGTATCACGATCCACAATGGAATCATCGTCAGAAAAGTCCATGTTCTCGTTGGTAGTGCTGGCACTATCCAAAGGATTCAAAAACGATAAACGATTTAAAACACGTAGCCACTGAGACCGGTTGTCTGATATGTTGCTATCGTTATTATTCACTTCTCGCACAGTGGGGTCTAGATCAGTTGAATTGCCATGACTAGCGGCATGTCCTTCATCATCTTGAGGATCTTGTGAGTCTCTACTAAATTGTTTCCAACGAGCAAAGTATTCTGCCGTATCAGCTATCGGATTAGACATGTGATATCTAACAAAGAGAGAGAAAGAGAAAGAGAAAGTAAAGAGAGAGAGAGAGAGAGAGAGAGAGAAAATGAAAAAGGAAAAAAAAAGGGGGAAAATAAAATTTATAGCGTATTTTTAAAGCCTTTTTTTTTTATATATAAGTGTGTATTTATACATGAATAAATATAAAAGAAGGGGGGATTTTTTCTTTTCTTTTCTTTCCTCTATTGCCAATGATTAAAGGGTAATTGCTGTGGTTGATTATTTTGGTTATTAAACATGAGGTGTGGCTCGGTCAGAGTGGGCTGGAAATAAGATGTGTTATTACTTGTTACGGTAGAATATGGCGAGCTAGTCATTTGAGAAAACGGATTCGAAGCTGTCTGGATTTGGTTATTGAATACTATATTTGTAAAATAAAACAAAACGAGTGAGCTAATAATTACTGATTTGTGTTACGTCCTTGTTACCTGGTCCCGGAGAAGATGTGGCCGTCATACCGAAAGGATTATTAAACATTTGTTGCTGCTGTTGTTGCTGTTGTTGCTGTTGCTGTTGGTATTGATGGTGTTGTTGCTGTTGAAGCTGTTGAAGCTGTTGCTGCTGTTGTTGTTGTTGTTGTTGCTGTTGTTGTTGCTGTTGTTGTTGCTGCTGCTGTTGTTGTAAAATCTGTTGCTGTTGTTGTAACATCTGTTGCTGCTGCATTTGCTGGAACTGAACCATTTGCTGCTGCTGAGGATTAGCCGCAAACGGATTATGTACACCACTACTCATCACTGGCGTACTATCCACATCGATCAAAAAATTGTTACTGGTTGGTAATACAGGCACAGAATTGGATCTAAAGTTTATCTGTTGTTGTTGTTGTTGTTGTTGTTGTTGTTGTTGTTGTTGTTGTTGTTGTTGTTGTGAGACTTGACCAGCAAGCCCTTGTTGCTTTGTCTCATTCAAGATGGTGATGGCAATATCTGTATTTCCACCCGCACGGCGAAGTGCATCTAAATTCTGTGATTTATCGGAGAACCCTAATCGAACCAATTGCTCGTTCTTTTGATCGTCTGTCATATAAACAGCTGACTGTTGTTGTTGTTGTATTTGTTGCTGTTGAGGTGATTGGGATATGATGGATTGCTGAGATGCAAAGGGTTGCTGAGCTATTCTTGTCAAAATTTCAATGGCGGCTTCAATGTTGCCCTGGGTCTGAATTAAGACTTGCTTATTCTTTGAATCATCCCGAAAACCCATATCCCTAAGCTTGTTACTGGCAGATACAAGTGGATCAGTCAAGGCGCTGGGTACTGAAGAGGATCTTTTTGGTAATACCTGAAGTCGAGTGATGAGGTTAGCAGTGGGTGTCTTTGGTAATGGTGCCTGAAAAATTAAAAAAAAAAAAAAGTAAGGTCAGCATTCAATGTACAAAGTAGGTGGGAAGGGAGCTTACGATTCTATTATCAACCAAAAACAAACGTTTTTCCCATTTTGCACGAATATATCTCTCCATGGCACTAATTTAAACAAATAAATTATAATTTAGCATCATTTTTTCCACTAGTTTGTTTATACATACTGTTCATCGTCTGCTGCCAAAGGACGTGGATGATTACCAGGATTGGGATTGATTCTACTATTCACTGTATTATTTCCTCCTGAATTACGCATCATCTATTTAATTTTTTTGGTGCGTGCTTTTAGTAAAAGAGCATAAACATGATGGTATTACTGTTATTTCCTTACATCGATTTGTTCCATAGTCCATTGGTCCATAGTGATTGATTTTACTTTCGAGATATGTGTACCCATCTTACGATGGATACCAGCACATCGAATGCAGAGAAAGACACCCAAGGAATAAGAAGCCCAGCGAGGACCTAATATAAATGGGTCAACATCATTTTCTTTCATAATTCCCATTCTCTGCTCTTATACTTTTGGATCCACAATCAGCACAATATTCGTTACCGGGATACTTTACAATCTCGTTGAGTATACGCTCATGTTTGTCTTGCGTTGATTTAGATTGTCGTTCACTCATGTTTTAAAAATTATAAAAAGGGAAGAAAAAGATGATTTAATGTTACACTGAACCGTATTTTATATGTCTAAAAAAATTATTTTGCAGCAAGAGACGTCAATTTATTATTCAGCCTGATCATTTTTACTTATTGGGCACAACATTTTCATCCAATCAGTGTCTGCATAAGAAGGCTCGTTTTGTCATTCCTGACCACTTAATCTGCTTGCTCCCCTAGTGATCACAGTGAGCTCATGTTATACTTAATTTATCTGCCCAATTACAGAAAATAGTTCATCATGTATTTCATGTAAGAAAACATGCCACTTTATGGCAGGGTCTTTAAATAGGGAAATATAAACTCTTTGCTTTTCACTCGTGCAGCTTAACCAAGTATGCCAGTAAAACAAATTGGACGTTCACTGTTACAATCGTACAAAACCTTAAAAAAATGAAGCACAGGGAACTGTTGAGTCTCGCCCATTATGAACAATATGACATGTTTACACGCACGGCTCAGCTTTATTCAAGTCAGATGTTTATGCTTTTGAAACGTTCTTCCCAATTAAGATGGCATAGCCTCAAATAAATTATTTACGTAGCTATAATCAATTAATGACATGTATCTTTGTAGCTAAAATCTGGAAACTCGATAATCCACTTGCCCTCGGTGCTCTCATTGAAGATAAGTATACACTGTAGATCTCAAAATTCAAACGAATGTTTACACAAAAAATGCGGCACTCGCTGGAGTATGTAGATGGGGTGTCATATTAGCATACAATCAATAATTAAGCATATACATTGTCACACATCAATTTATAGATGTCATCAAAAGCAAAAAATTATCTATCATTATAACTGAAAGGCAATGGATCAAACAATCCTTGTACATCAAGAGCCTAGGCAGTGTATGTTGTTAAATGTGGGGAGAAGACAAGCAATGTTGTCTTTGCTTGATACAAAAGCCTCAAAGCCTCATGCCATGTAAAACAACCCTTTACATTAAAAGCACCTTTAAAAAAGGCTCTAGTTCACATAAATCTGTATTTAGTTTTGGTTGGCATAATTATCTTATTTCTTTTTATCCACTGATTTCGGAAAATCTGTTAGACCGGATCTTACACCCTTTTTACCCGCATACGGCAGCCAGTAAATGGAATTGAAAGGCAGAATCTAACATGTACATACTATGGGGCATTCGACTTGGGGTAAGGATTTGTATATCCGTTTGACCTGAAAAGAATTATCAGGAGAGAGTGGACCAAGTAGGCCAGACAATTGGACATTTTACAAACATATGTTTAGCATACTAAGGGTGAATATCTAGGTATTGATTGTGTTGTGTAACAGCTGGTACCAAATATTCTTAGCTTTTGAAAGTTTAGTTTAATTCTTCACGTGTGTTTATCGAGGCGATCAACCGAAGGATGCGGTAGTGAATTGTTTAATTTCTTGAGACGGTCTACACACAATTTTTTGCCCACACACAGCAATTAAATATGGAATGTTACACTGTAACTTAGCCAAAGGTTGCTGATGAAAAAAAAATGAAGATGGTGTTTATTTTACTTAACATGTCAAAATTACCCTCAGAGATCCTAAATATTGTATACTCCCATTTAAGCAGCAAAGATGTTTTACAATGTATTCTGACATGTAAAAGATGGAAAGAAAGTGCATTACCATTTTTTTACAATGGTCTGTCGGTTAATTTTTACCGAGCTTTCCAAACGAAGAAACTATTACGTATGAACAACACTGAACGCGATCGTTACTTTCAGTATGGCGTCTTTACAAAAACGCTTCAAATTCATCAGGATATTGCAGGATATCTACCACATTATTTAGGAGATACTCTCTCACTGAAAGACACTGACGGTGAATATACAAAAGAAGAATGGATCATGCTTTTGAGGTACCTACCGAATATACAAGTTCTGAACTTAGTTTACAGCCGTAACACCAGCAAATATATACAATATATTCTGGAGTCCACTGATACCGACAAGATATTGCTCAATATCAAGGCCATCTTACTGGGTGCTCGCCAAGAAACTAATAATTCTACCAGCACCTACCATGCCGTTTGCTACAAGTATCGCACAACTATTACGAATTTAGAAGTTGAACACAACACCTCAATATTGACCAACAGCAAATTACCTACCTTGTTAAGTCATTTTAATAGCTTAACTCTACTAAAATTCAATAACAGTTATGATCCCCAGTTGACGATATTTGACATTTTGGATACTTGTCCCCATACAATAACACTAAATTACACAACCGAGTTCGCAATTCCAGATTCAACTATAAACCGTATTAAGTTGAATAGTTGTTTTAAAGAATTAATTCTATCGATTCCAGCCATTCCAAAGCACTACATCACTTGCCTTAGCGATGATCTCATTCCGCATTTGGATATCCTGACATTGGATATAAGTAATACAGATGTCTTCGATTGGGTAGAAAGTATTGGGCTTAATAATGCGGTGAAGTTTCTGGATAGATTGAGCACGGTTAAAACGGCCTTTATTCGTTGGAAACCTGATCGAAACTCTGATAGACAGACTACTAGTACAGAATCAGATCATACAATTATGTTTGCCTTACTTAATGCGATGAAAAGGAGCAAAAAAATGTACTATCAAGTCCATTACAGTAATTGTGTAATTGTACACAAGTCTTTCAAGTTAACTTCAGATGACAGCTTGCAGTTTGATTATGGTTTAAAACTATCTGAATACCATCTGCCATTAACTAATCAAGATTCTGAACAAGAATGGCATGATGACGGTCCATTGTCCCATGGTATTCAAACTGAACTGCACAATCCTTCCACTTCAACTATAGGATTAGAAGTCTTCCATTACATGCGGGTTGTTATGTGCGATAATGATCCAAATTTGCCGCTAAATTTCCTAAGATACGCATTGATGAACTGTCCAAACCTTCAACAGTTTTCTTTTACTGCATATAATAAATCTGCACTTGGTATATGTATTGGTAACGATACTAAAACAGGAATAAAGAACATCAGAGAAAGGAGGGACCTATCAAGTACAACACAAGAAAACATTAAAATTGTCAAGATCAGTAACATGGTTCCATCAAAAATTCTATTGGAACTAATGGTTAAATATATGCCTGCAACCGAGGTTTTTCTATGTGGTGCAACGAATGATGCGGATTCACCAACTGTATTATTTGAAGCGGACTTGACAGCATTCAGCCATCTGGATTTAGTTCAGTTGGATTTTCAATTGTTGTCTGGTAAAAAACAAAAGACTGTATATCTGGAAATACAATTCCCGGAGAAAGATCGTGAATATTACTGTTTGGTAAAAGATTTTCCTAAATTGAATGTTACTAAAACCACTTTGGAACAAATAAGCAGCAGAGAGAACGGAAATATCCGAAAAGCCATTGTCAAGTGTCGCAATCACGTCAAAATCGCAGTTTGCTATTCATGTTCATTGTTTAAGATTATCAGCGATGGGGAAATTAGTGAATTGGATTACAAACAGTCCTCTCATATGCGTTTCCAGTTCATATAATATTTCCACATGTACGTTTACCTACAAATTATCAAAACTTTTATATTTTGGCAGTGCCTTGCAAATAATAAATTCAGCTTAGTCCCATCTTGATTACATGCCTATTAAGACATTGAAACCCTGTCCAAATCACATACTTCAAAACGCTTCAATTTTTTCACGAGATAAGGTCTTGCGAAAGAAAATGTGAATAGAATAACGAGTGTTGATCAGATGGTGGATGTGATAAAGGTTGATAAAATCAAAAATCCAAGACAACGATAAAAACAAGCAAAAGAGCTAAATGAGATAGTTATATAAATATATTTTATCGTGAAATTTTATTAGAGGTTACTAAGAACTTGTCAAAACAGATAGTTGTTTTTTCGCTTTCTCTCGACGTATTTTTAAAAAATGGATTAGGTCCGTTGTGATTTTTTTTGTAGTTTTTTATTTTAGCGCTTAATTTTAAGTGTTAGACATATCTAGGAGTTTGAACCTCATCCAATTATTTAAAAAATGGACGATACCTTATGAGGGAGAGGATATTTGATCTCATTAAAGCACGTTTTAAATAGTTTATAGGTACCGTTCCGTTGGATAGTTTCCACCAATTGATTTATTAAATTTAAAGACTTTCTATTTTCACACATTAAAAAACCAATTGTAAAATAGGTTTCCTAATATTAAAGTAGTGTAGTTTCAAACACTACATGATGAAGCGGTCTATTTAAAGGGAGTCTCATCATGGACACAGTTTTCGAAGACCTCTTTGACTACTTTCTCTGCTTGTTCTGTGCCACAATGAATTTCTGTTGATCTTACTGCGTCTGTCCAAATGCACTGCTTCTTTTTGTATGGGTCCTCAATAGTTTCACACTGACCTATTATTAAAATAAATAATTGTTTAAACAATTACTAGGAGACACTATCAATATTCCTTACCTAATGCACTAGCACGGATTTCGCCACAAGCAATTAAATGACAGATACTTTTAAACTTTCCTTTCCTCAGGGAATCAAAAGCATGCGTTAGTTCATGTACCAGTGTATCCTCAATTTCTTTTTTGCTTCGTAAGTGATCACAGCATAGTACTACCCTACACATTTGAAAAAATAATGATTACGACATGAACTCTCATGATTATCATGATTTGATAATATTACCGTTTATATCGGGCATCATAATATCCCATACGTGTCTACACATTCAAATACAAAGAAAAAAAAGCTCAGTAGAGCCGTATAGTCTCTCCTTTCAATTCTCTTACTTCTTGGTTCGTACCCATACAAGGTCGACAAGTTATTCCTCTTCTTAAAGCGTCTTTATTCAGTGTCTGGATACCTTTCAAGAGTATCGCTACTTTGGGAGAGCTTTTTAATATCCTGTCGAGCTCATTGGTGCATTTTTCTTCAGAAAACCTAACATGGGAGAGAAAAAGTTGGGTAACTTGGTAATGGCCAGGGAATCATTACTTACGGTGGTAATGGGGGGGCTTCATACAACCTCATTTTATTTATAGTCTAAAGTGAAAAAACAAATTTCTTTTCTATTGGCTGGCAAAGTGTATAAAAACCAATAAAAAAACATTTTTTTTTGTTTTTCCGTTAAAAAAAAATAGTTCTTCTTTACACAATGGTAAAAAATAGCCCTTGTTGACGCGTTATATCACAAGCGAAAATAACTAATACTACAACACATAGTCAACAACCTTGAGAATCGCAACTATTGATGAGTACAAGAAGGCACTGTCCCAAAAAGGTTTTGACACGCACACACTAGTGGAAGAGTATTTCTAAGCTAATGTGATTTGTGCTTTTCTTTTTACTTTAGACGCCATTTTGGAGCAGAATATATACAACGATGTCTTGTCAGAATACTTAAATTTAGGAGGAGCACCCATGGACGCTGTCAACCTCTTATCAGAATCATACATTGGTATTCCTTCCATGTGTAATGCCACAGCAGTGTCTGTCGATTCGATCGGACTCAACAGTGACACCATTTTAAGAGAAGCCATTAGACAACAATTGAAAAACAGGTTTGACCCTGTACGCTGTGATCAATACTTTTTGCAAACAGACACTGAAACAGCCCCTGCATGGCTTGAAGTATTGATCAGGGATCCTCAATGGAGACAAACCATGTATGAATTATTGGAAAAGCATCCCAGCTGCAGTTTTCTCAACTTTGCTATTCTTGTAAGTCGTAAAGTTATACAATGAGAGTAGAGAACTCACCGACGTTTTCCTGTAGCGAATTGCTGAAGCGGGACATGATAAAGAGATCTCCAAGTTAAGAACTGCATCCACCTATGTCAAAGTATATAACTTGATTCTCCAAGATGCTTTAACAGACCTTGTTACAAAGGATGATTTGGAGTTTGATCAAGATATACCCAGTCTCGTTGTACGTATTTTTTTTTATATGTGTAATTGCTTGACTTAAATGAATTATGAATAGAGAGTTTGCTGTGAAAGAGAGGATACTTACTTGTACGCACAAATTTTGCTTCGAAAATTATACGATGAATATGGAGCGACACCTTTCACTCGTCTTCGTCGAGAATTAGAGTTTGCAGCCAGAAGTCGAGGAAACCATGCGTTTGTAGATTTATTACACAGTCATGTCTCGCATGCACCCTTGGAACTCTCCAGAACCATCAAATCCACCATGAACTCGACCCATATCACACCTGGTGATTTGATCACCTTGAAGCGATTTTATTCATCCGAGAATCCACCTGCTACAACCTACCTGTGTGAATATGACTTGATTGTCAAGATGTTGCGATCACTTTATGTTCCTCATCATGGATCCTTGCTGAGACTGGATCTTGTGGATGATGTGACTTATTTGATCGCTTATGCTACCACCATGAACGACACCAAACCCAAGTTACAGCAAAAAGACGATATCTATAAAGTGCAACTGGTCTTGAAGGATTTGTATAATTCGTTGGCCAGTAAGACAGAAGTAGGTAGTATCACAGGTGCCATGAAATACATCATCAGTGCTATTCGTTTCCCTGTGGGATCTATGGGTGTTCTTTTATGGATCGAATATATGGCTATTAATACCGCTTATTTCGAAACTTACTTTCGTACAAAAGAAACACCTGCTCTCTTGTTAATATTGGATGAAATTGCAGACCGCCATCAACTTCAACAACCGATCGTATTTGATGTGATTAAAAAGTGTATTAAACACAAGACACCTATATTTGCACCCGAGATTCAAGTAAGTTATCATTCTGCTTATCTCTCTTTTTTTTTCTGACCCTCTCTCTTTCAATCTAGTTGGCTTTACAAAGAACGTGGGTGGATCGCATGTTATATTTGGTTCAACTAAATTATACACTTCCGGTGTTAAAGTATTTTAGTGGTGTGGGACGTGAATTGGATGATAGTTTGATAGTTCACTTTGTCAAGAAAGTATTGATCATGGCAAAAGCCCCTTATAGTGTGACATTTGTTGCACATGTTGTTGCAATTGTCGAGCCGCTTGTTGAAAATTTGACATTAATCAAGGACGTCCAAAAGTTGGTCACCTACTTTTTAGGTAAGAATGAATACCTTTGTTTGAGTATCAGAGAAACTAACGGATGATTTATAGAACAAGTTCTAAGCAGTGGAGAACCTTTAAGTGACGAGTTAGGACAATCAATGACTTCCATCATTCGTAAATGTAAATAAACACACCTACTTTATCTCCGACTTGTTTTTCTTTTATTATCACACAAACTTTTTTTTTTTTCCTTTTTCTTTTTTATCTCCCTACAAGATGTTACATGAAGACGACGATCCTTTGTCAAGCTCCATGTTTGATACTGCTCCTTCCAATTCGATTTTGGGAAACACAATGACCACATCCATGTTCTCTTCGCAATATGAACAGGATCCTTGGGGGAGTCATGCCGTTGTGAGTTCACCCACCGATATCAATAGGTCTTATACCACTCCTAATCTTGACTATAACTCTAATTTTTCTTCCAATAATGACCAACAAGCTCTCAACTCGACCACTGTATTGTGTAAGTGGTTTTAATCCCCTTATTTCTTCATTCACACTCATTTTTTTTTTTTTTTTTTTTTTTTTTTTTTTTTTGGCTGTAGCGGGTGTTCGGTTACCAAACATGTACGAACAACTTTTCTCTACCAGTCAGCGCTCGGGAAGAGTCTCGCTTTCAAGCTTAAATAATATCTTGTCAAAAGGAAAGATTTCGGCTAATCACATTGAAATGGCAAGTGTCCCAAACAAAAGAAAAACTTCTTGTTTTGATATGTAATTTGAAGAGAGAGAGAGAGACTCATGTGTACGTATCCTTTATAGATTATGCAAATTGTGGTACCCGATGGCGCGTCTTATGTAACTCAGTCTGAATTCAATACCGCCATCGCATTACTTGCCTGTGCTCAAAATAAAATAGGTGAGTTCCAAATAATAATTTACCCCCTCTCCCGATTCTAACCAAAAAAAAAAAATATTAGATGTGTCACTGGAAAGTCTGAATAGAAACAAAAATTGTAAGTCGCATGTTTAAGCTTATAACCCTAAACCTAACCCTTTTCTTTGATTTATCATCAAGACTTACCAGAACCAAGCATGTACAATAATGAAGAGGAAGAGGAGGAACAAAAGACGCCATTAACACCCGTAACACAACCCATCACCGAACCCACCACCAAATCCAACCATACGGCCAGCAACGGATATCCAGGCATGAAATCACCCAAAACAGCTTCTTTCAGTCATGACAGTAAAAAGCTCGATACACGCCACTGGTTTAAGAACTTGGAAGAAATTGCGGTGACAGTGGCTCCCGAACGAGAAGGGTTTATATTTAAGCATGTAAATTACATTGTCACCAACGAAAAGCGATCTTCCATTGTTCTCCGCAGATACAGTGATTTTTGGTGGTTGCTAGACGTTCTTATCAAGCGATATCCATTTCGTGCTTTACCCAATTTACCTCCCAAGAAACTGGGAGGACGAGATGCCACATTCTTGGAAAAGAGAAGAAAGGGTCTGTCCAGATTTATCAATGCCATTATTCGTCACCCCATCCTCAGAAAAGACGATATAGTTTCAAGGTTTTTAACAGAGCCTAGTGAACTAGCTGCTTGGCGCAAACAGAATCCTCCCAACTTGGACGAAGAATTCAAACGAAAGACGTATAATATGAGGGATCTGGATGATATGGTACCTACCAATTTGGATGAGCAGATAGGTAAAGCAAGGAAGAGAGTGACGGCTGGTATCAATCACTATGTCAACCTCTGTTTTATCATGGAGCGTATGATCAGACGTATGCACGGTCAAGCCACGGACTTTTCTCGCTACTCCATTGCCTTGAATTCATTGGCTGAGGCTGAATTAAGGTATCACGCTGGCGAGTGTAGGAACTGTCAACATGTGGTGAAGGGTTATGAAAATGTTGCTAAGCATATGCAGAGTGAAAGTAGTATATTGGAGGACCAAGTGGGCTCATCAACAGATGGCGTATTAGAAAACCTGAAAAAATTTAGAGACTTATTGGTATCATTCAGGGTAGGCTTTATATTATGATAAATCTATGTGTGAGTACGGGTGTACTGATAGAGATAAGCGTAGGATTTGGATGAGCGTAGAGTCAGAATGTCTGCAAATCAAACGGAATTGATCAATAAACGGTTACAAACGAACCGTGCCAAAGTGCATCAGAATAAGGGAGTACCTGGATTAGAACCTGAAGTTCATAAATTGGAGGAAGCGATTCGAGCTGTAAGTTATGGGTGAAATGATATGGATAATATGAGGATGGGTTTATACTGACATCAACTGTAGGATGAAGCGGAACTGTCCAACCAGCAAAACCGTCTGGTCTTTATCAGATTCTGCATGTGGTCTGAAATGATTTACCTGCACAAACAACAAGCATTCGTCTCTTCTCTATATCAAAGTTTTGTCAAAGACACCATTCTTTTCTCAAAGTTGCGAGCTGATAATTGGCAAGACCTTGAATCGCCTACCTTTGAAATGCCTGCTGATGTGGATTTATTTGAATAAAACGAATAATTTTCCGAGATTCTACTTTAAAAATACAGGAATTATTATTTAATTTCCCTTTATCCCTCTTCTTTTATTCTTTTTCTATATATACATAAAACATCAATGGACCCCGTCATATTTATCAACTGTTACCCGTCCGATGACAATCTCTCTGTACCCATCACCTTAAAGCCTTTACCAGCACTTTTAGCCCCTCCTACACCAATACACGGTGAAGGTTCGCAAAGCTCATTTTTCTCATCTGCTTCCTCCATTTCCAACCTCACAGCCGTCGCTCATGATCGCAACAGCAGCCTTGCCGAAGAAACCGTGCTGAAAGAAGAATATACTTATATCCCACCCAACAATACTGCCTATTACACAGTCATCCAAAAGCAATCACAAGAGATTCAGGAGCTTCGACACGAAATCATCCACCTGAACCAAAAATACATTGACCAGATCGACCGTATACAAATAGCAGAGCAAGCCCAATTTCAAGTCGAATCCGAGCTCGAGGATCTTTCTTTACGCTTATTTGAACAAGCCAATAAGATGGTAGCCGAAGAAAAGAAGGCACGCTATGTTGCCGAAAAGAAATTGATGCAAATGGAAAGAGAATTAAGTACAGTGCATCAGGAACTATCAGACGAACGAGCTCAGTTGAACGAGTTGAGAAGACGATTTGAAGAGGACGGAGAGCAGCAGAATTTTTATCATCCTTCCGATATATCCACTACAGATACAGTGCCCCCCGTGGTACTTTGTGTCAGTCCCAGTCCGATGAGCATGATTGATTCTACCAATGTCTTTTTGGATGATGCCTGGTTAGGTCTCTTTAAAGACTTTTTGACACTGGCACCCAAGACATCCATGGAGGCCATTCATCGTTTACCGTTTCTGAAGCAATGTCTCGAACTCGATATTGAGCCTTGTCTCCGGTTTGGAAATACCACACGATCCAGGCTCTCTATCAAAAAAGTCCTGGAAGCCGTGATGCGTGAACCCTGTTTGATCGAATCAGATACGCCCAAAAAACGACACTCGCATGATCATCTCTCTACCAATACCACCACTGCAACCATGAAACAAACCGTCAGACGATCTTCGTTTGCCTTTGGTTCGTTTAAATTTCGGTCTACCACTAGCGAGGAAGAAGAACAGATGTGTTATGCATGTGGTACAACCATGCACCTGGATTTGTTTCGGTTCAGGTTGAAAGAACAGGACACTGAATCCTATCTGATTGATCGAGCTTGTCGGGATCGGTTGGTGGCCGTGTGTGATTTTTATGTGTTTATACGACATGTACGCTCGGGATTGCAAAGTCAGAGAACTATCCAGAGTTTATTTCAGGAATGCATCTGGCTTAAACTTTGCATGTTTTGGGCGAGGTCTGGTGTGCATCATTATATTAAGGACTCATTTACCAAGTAATAATAATAAAAAAAATTTATGGGAGTCTCATCATGTATTATTGCTTCTAGTGGAGGAAGGGGGATAAGCAGTCGTTTGAAATTAAAAAAAAGAAAAATATCATATCATCATTTGCTGATAAATTCTATATATGAATACCCTTTAATTTTATAAACAGAGGGATCAATGCATCCATGCGTCCTGTTGCCAAGGGAATGGGATGCTACCCCTTAAATGATCTTATTACTGTGGGGGGATGAGGGAGGGTGGCTGGCATAAAAAGACGGTCACGATTGGCCGGGGCAGAAAATCCAAGCCTCATTGGCGAAGGAGAGCCAATGCACAAAGGGGAGGTCTAATAATTTCCATAGTCGGAATTTCTGGGGAGCCACAAAAAATTTTATCTTTATTTTTTTTTTCCCTCTTTTTAAAAAAACAATTTTATAATCATAATGGGTAAAGGTGGATTTGGCGAACGTGGTGGACGTGGCGGTGGTCGCGGTGGCGGAGGAGGAGGATTTAGAGGAGGTAATGAACCCATTTGGGGTCTAATCTAATGGACCCTAATAATACAACAACATATAAAAACTCAGCTGCTAAAAAAAAAACTCTTATTGTTTTGACAGGTCGTGGTGGTGGACGTGGTGGATTCAGCGGTGGATTCAACCAAGGTCCTCCTGCTGAAGTTGTCCGTAAGTAAATGGGAGAGAAAATACAACCGATCCCGTTTAAACATCTCTTGATCACTTTCATCGATTAACTCTTTTTTCTTTCTTAATTGTAGCCATGGGCTCTTTTGTGCATGCTGTTGAAGGAGACATGGTCTGTAAATCCATCAATGTCAAGATTCCTTATTTCAATGCTCCCATCTTCCTCGAGAACAAGTCTCAAATCGGTAAAGTGGACGAAATTTTAGGTCCTGTCAACGAAGTTTATTTCACAGTCAAAATGCAAGAAGGTATGATTGCAAAGTCCTTCAAGGCTGATGATAAGGTCTATATCGGTACAGATAAGCTTCTTCCTCTTGAACGTTTCTTACCCAAGCCCAAGGTTGTTGGCAAAGGTAAAATAGTATACATTGATAATTTATGCATAATTTTCTAACCCAACAAAAAAAAAAGTCGGTAAAGGTACTGGTCAACAAGGTCGTGGTGGTCGCGGTGGTGGACGTGGTGCCCCCCGTGGCGGCCGTGGTGGTTTCGGCGGTGGAGACCGTGGAGGTCGTGGCGGTTTCGGTGGAGGACGTGGTGGTGGACGTGGCGGTTTCGGTGGAGACCGTGGAGGCCGTGGCGGTTTCGGCGGTGGTCGTGGTGGTTTCGGTGGTGGAGACCGTGGAGGTCGTGGCGGCTTCAGAGGTGGTCGTGGTGGTTATTAAGCAACCCCTCCCACTAACTCCATTTTTTTCTCTCATACAAGCAACTAAAAACAACATACAAAAAAAAAATTATATGTGTAAATAAAAAAGAACATAACAAAAAAAAATTCTTTTTTTCTCTTTCCCCCTCTTTTTTTTTTATTTTTTTACTTATTCATACAAGATGCCTTTAATCTATGCATCTCCACTAGAAAATGAACGCATGGTAAGACAAGGCATTCGTCTTCATAGTTTTGCATAATGACTTTTTATCCTAGACAAGAAGAATTTTACCAAGAACTTTTAGTCGATATAATCTGAACGTTGCAAGGTATGAAAAATAATAATAAGCAGTTGCAGTCAGATCCTTATCACAACAAGGTCGTCAAGCTGATATTACACTCACCCATAGTACCGATAGTAGTGATCATAGCAGTGATGATACAGCCAGCAGTGGGAATAGCAGTGATAGTAGTATTATGGAAGATGAAGAGGATGATGAAGAAGAGAACATCATGCACTCTTTATCCAATCATAGTGACGAAGAAGACGATGATGATGAAGAGGATGATGACCTGACTCGGTCCAGAGTGGATATTTACAGACTTGCTATCCGAACAAACAGTGAGATATTAGAAGATTTGGCTGCTATTATTAGAATACTTCGCCAAATCAATGCCATTTATAGAGTGTTTCATACAAACCATCGTCATTTTCATACAAGACCTTCCACCACAAGAAGAAGACCGGTTTTGTTACCCCATCATAATGATGATGATGATAATGATAATGATGACGACACAGAGAATAACCCAGACAGTGATGATGATGATGATGAAGAAGAAGAAGATGAGGATGAAGAAGCCAACAAACTATTGGAGGCAGGATTGCAGGATCTACAGACAGTTTTGACCATGGAAAATGACGGTGGAGGTATTAAAAGACAATCGACGTTGGCATTATTAGCATTAATCACATACCAATATAATCACTGTTCGGATACCTATTTGCGTCATTATCTGGATCCCAACGGTGAATATAATCCTGCACTAGCCATCTTTGCCGCTGCCACCTATGATGAAGAAGAATCCACTTTACGTGATCAACCGCCACGATCGTGCAAGGATATCATGGTGGCTGCAGAAGAGCTCTATGGTCCTGATTGGCTAGAGGAATTTCATAAGGGCAAAGAAGGTGCCTTGAGAAAAATGTTGGAGAAATTAACTTTTGTAGCTCAAATCAGATTGAAAGTGCGTGCCTCTTCCCCTTTACCCGTGCACCGTTAACTTTTGTACAACCTCTCTCACCCACTCACACACACAATCCTTTATCCAATAATACTCTATTAAAAAAGTTACGGACGGTGTAAATTTATCCCGGAATAAGACATGTTTACATGTTGAGATAGATTAAAAAGTAAAGTGGTTAATTTTTTTTTCTTTGTAAAGAGTGAGCGGGAATAGTTAGAATGGCTTGTTAATGAGAACAGAAACCACACACATAATTTAAAAAGAGTCCATTTTAGTATGCAACTGCCCCCCCCCCCTAACGCAACAATCTCTTTAAATAAGCAACAGCAGAAATAGATATAGATAGAGTCTATTCTGAGAGAGTAATAAGATCAGACAAGCTAACAACAACAACAGGATTATTTCACAAAAAAAATTGCTTGATCAAGCACTCAAAGTAAATATTCCCTATTACGATAAAGGGCTTGGTACGAAATAAATCAAAACAATACGACGCGGCAGTATTACCGTAACATCTGGCATCTTGGACAAGCTCGGCCATGTTGTTGAGCCTTTAATCATAATAGATAAAAACCCATTATATTTTGTATTCAGGGCTACCCTCTGTTATATATTCTAAGGAGACTTGAGGATATAAGATATACCTCATGCAAAAAAAAAAAAAAAAAAAAAAAAAAAAAAAATGAAGACGTTGGTGGTGTTTGGTGTAATTTGGTGTAATTTGGTGACTACACCATTTCGGTGTAAAAATCCGCTCCCAGGTGCAATATGGTGTTAACACCATTTTGGTGTAAAAATCCGCTCCCAGGTGTAGTTTGGTGTTACCACGAAAATACACCATACTACACCAAATTACACTTGAATACACCAAATTACACTTAAATACACCAAATTACACTTGAATATCACCTAGACACAGTTTATTACACTTAATTGATGTTAATCATGTATATTACAACTGATCACACTTTAATACTGGATCGACTTAAATTAATGATGCTTCTAAAGCATACACAAAAAAAAAGAAAGGCCCATTTCCAATAAATGTACGCGATAACTTATTTTTATAACAAGTTAGGTAATTATCATTGGGCTTGATTTTAACGAAGCATTGTTCTAAGCGGTTGGGACATCTCATATTCACCGCCAATTGATGCCAAACGAACCAGGCACAAAATTGGATTTGGTCCTCTTGTATTAACAGATATAGCTAAACATGGCCAATTAGTAAGTTATTTAAAAAGAAAGAGAGAGGGCAAGAGAAGATCTACTCACTAATTAATATAGGTGGATAGGTAAGGATAGCAGAACCACAGTTTTCTTGGCAAATAGCATAGCAAAAGAAGCGAATAATGACACTTTTTGTTTGAAGACGACAAAACCCCACCCATCATACTCCCTTTCTTGGTCAATATTATCTTTCTTTTGGAGAAAAAGAGCATTAAGCATTCTCATGCTTTTAAAATTCTCTGTATATACTGTCCCAAAAAGTCGAGGGAACTTAGATTTGTGCATGCATACAACAGGGCCAATCATATAATAACTCAAGCCATCTTCGGCTAAAACATTAATAAAGCCAAATACTAACTATGGCTGCAACAGCTTTTTATAGACAACAATCACAAAGGAGAACTGAAACTAACCAACATCTAACAGCTATAAAGTCAAATACCGAAAGTAAAAAGAAGGATCGATCTGTTTTGATTCATCATACTTATCCAGTAAGATGAAGTACGGCAAAATCTTGCAAGCAAAAATAAGACATAATCTTATTACAGAAATCGGTGTAACTTGTAAAAAACAGGCGCCAAATTTTTTTTTTTTTTTTTAATATTATTATCTTTACTCCAACATGTCGAAATTACCATCAGAAATTCTAAATGCTGTGTACCAACATTTAAGTAAAAAAGATGTTTTTCAATGTGCTTTAACTTGCAAAAGATGGAAAGAAAGTGCATTGCCTATTTTTTACAAAGACCTGCATATCGACCTCTTTGGAATTGCCCGCACGGAGATACTGCTACGTTTAGATCCCACTGAACGCGATCGTTACTTTCAATACAGTACTTTCACGAAAAGGCTTGTTGTTCATTGGGATGATACGTATAAATCTCAACCTTACGGTATTCATGTCTCAATAGAGGGTTCAGACGGTGAATATACGAAGGAAGAATGGATCTTGCTTTTGGAACACTTACCAAACATTCAAGTTCTGGATTTACGTGACAGTGCAAATGCCCGCAACTATATGCAGTGCATCCTAAACTGTACAGATTCTTACAAAATATTGCACAAAATTAGGGTTATCATACCGGGTGATCGTCGAAGCTATATGAGTGGCACCGATGATTCTTATGACATTTACTTTGCCGTCTGCTACAAATATCGTACAACCATTACCACTTTAAAAGTTGAATACAACTCCTCGTCTTTTAACTTGGGACCTATTAACGGCGATGTGCTTACGATGTTAAATCATTTCAACAACTTGACTCATTTGACGTTCTTCAATAGCTGTGATCACCAGTTGACTACATTTGATATCATGGATTCTTGTCCTCATTTAGTATCATTACGCTACAAAAGCGATTATAGTATTCCAGAAGTAATTGTAAAGAATATTCTTGATGGTGATACGAACCACAAGAGGTTGAATAGTGGTTTTAAAAAATTGCATTTGACAGTTCCAAATATATCAAAAAATTATGCTGGTTACCTAAAAGACTATGTCGCGCCGTATTTGGATAACCTGAAACTGGAAATCTGTAATACAGATGTATTCGATTGGGTTGAAAAAATTGGACTTGGTAATGTAGTGGAGTTTTTACGCATTTTGAGCAAGGTAAAAACGGTTAGTATCAGTTGGAAACCTGATAAGCGCTACAATAGACAAACTACCAGTACTGAATCCGAACCCACGATTTTCTTTACATTACTTAACGCAATGAGAAGAAACAAAACAATATACTGTCGAGCCAATTATGATCATTATGAAAGTGCATGCAAGTCTTTTAGTTTAACTCCAGATGACTACTTATGTTTTAATTACAGTTTGAAGGAGTCTGACTACTATTTACCATTAAATAATCAAGATTCTGAACAAGAAGATTCATCGACTCGTCCTATTCAACTTTTAACTCCCAATCTTTCCACTTCTATGATTGGACCGGAAGTCATTTTTCGCATGGATGTCATTCTTGGCGACACAGATCTAAATTTGCCGCTGGAGTTCTTACGATACGCGTTGGTGAACTGTCCAAACCTTCAACGGTTTCTGTACAAATCTACTAGTAATTACAATCGTAGTATATGTATTGAGGCCGAGCCAAAAATGAGTGGTGGCATCGTAAAGGGTAAGAAAAAAGTATCAACTGCGACACAAAAAGACATAAAGGTCGTTAAGACGGGAAACATGGTCCCATCAAAAGAACTATTGCGCCTCTTGCATAAATACTTGCCTGCAACAGAAAAACTTATATGTGGCATGAACGATTTCAAAGATCCGCCAACGGAATTATTTGAAGTAGACTTGATACCATTTATTCATTTGAAGTCAGTTCAACTAAATGTTCTATTGTTGTGTGATGAAGACCAAGATACCGCATATCTGGAACTACAATTCGCGGATAGAGATTGTGGATATTACTGTTTGAAAATAGATGATCCTGATTTGACTGTGACTAAGATCACTTTGAAACAAATGAAAAAACAGATAGGCGAAGCAAACAAAAGTATTCGAAAAGCTGTCATCAAGTGCCACAAGCGTGTCAGATTTAGACTTTCCTATGAATATTCAATGGGTGTAGAAATTTGTAATGGAAAAAACAGTATATTTTACGGTGGAGTTAATCTTGAATTACTTTACCCTCACTCATTTTAACTCAGGTATTCGTCTATATTTTACCAGAACCTATATAATTTCAGCATGTAATAAATACCTTAGAGGTTACACGATCCCTTTTTGTTACACGATCCGATTACAGGATGTCGAAAAAATAAAGATTGGCGTTTTTTTTTTTCTGTTTTTTTACTTCAGTTTTTGACAAACATGTCGAAGTTACCATTGGAAATCCTGAATACTGTATACAGTAAATTAAGGAAAAAAGATGTTTTTCAATGTGCTCTAACTTGTAAAAGCTGGAAAGAAAGTGCATTGTCATTTTTCTACAAGGACCTGTCTATCAAAATCTATGGAACTTCCCTAACAAAAAAGTTGTTACATTTGGATCCCATTGAACGCGATCGTTACTTTCAACACGGCACTTCAACAAAAAAACTTGTTGTTCGTTCGGATGAAGCTGAAAATAACTTTATGGGTACCCTTTCATCAGAAGATACTGACAATGAGTACACAAAGGAAGAATGGCTCATACTTTTGGGATATCTGCCAAACATACAAGTTCTGAATTTAGTTGACGACAAATATCTGCAATACATCCTTGATTCTGATGATTCTGATAAAATATTAACCAAAATCATGGAAATTACACCGTGCCGTGACATTGAATTTGAATCTTATTTTGCTGTCTGCTACAAGTTTCATGGAACTATCGCAAAATTAAATGTTAAATACGATACCCGGGATTTTAAAATGGGATCTATCAAAGGCAGAATGCTCACCTTGTTGAATAACTTCACCAGCTTGACTCATTTAACATTTGATAACAATTATGATAGACAGTTAACCACATTCGACATCATGGATGCTTGTCCTCATTTGGCATCACTAACATACTATAGCGGATACTACATTCCGGATTCAATTATAAAGAAAATTCTTGATGATGACTCAAGCCCTAAGAGGTTGAATAGTAGCTTTAAAGAACTAATGTTATCGGTCCCAACCATTCCCGAGCATTATGTCACTTACCTCAAGCAATACCTTGCCACGCATATGGATGTCGTAGAACTAAATATTCATGATATAGATGTTTTCGATTGGGTGGAAAGATTTGGACTTGATAATGCAGTGGATTTTTTGCGCAGTTTGAGCAAGGTAAAAACAGCCACTATCAAATGGACACCTGATATGCACTACGATAGACAAACAACCAGTACTGAATCCGAACTCACAATTATGTATACATTACTCAACGCAATGAGAAGAAATGAAGAAGTATACTGTGAGGTCCACTATGAGGATTTTCAAAGTGTAGACAAGTCTATCAAGTTAGCTCCAGATGGAAGCTTGTATATTGGTTATGGTTTGAAGCAATCGGACTATTATCACACGACAACAATCGCTGAAGGGGAATCGGACGAACAGCCGAGGAGTGTTATTCAATTTGTAATGCCCAATCGTTTAATTTCAAAAATAGGACCCGAAGTCATCCATAATATGGCATTTATTGTGGGCGACACAACTCCGGATTTGCCGTTAGAGTTCTTACGATACGCATTGAACAATTGCCCTCATCTTCAGCAGTTTTATTATAGTTCAATGTACAGACCAAGTCGTGGTATATTCATTGGCATTGACTTTGAAAAAAAATATGACCTTGTCGCGAAGAGGAATGATTTATCGCATACAATTCAAGAAAATATCAAGGTTGTAAAGCTTAGAAACATGATGCCATCAAATGAACTATTGGTTCTGATGAGAACGTACATGCCTGCAACAGAATCCTTTATATGCGGCCAAGATAAATATGTAGACCTATCAAAGGAACCATTTGAAGCAGACTTGACAGCATTTAAACAGCTAGATTTAGTTCAATTGAGTGCTCGAATGTTATGCGGCAAAAATCCACAAAATACTACATTTATGGAGATACAATTCGTGGATAAAGATTGGGAATATTACTGTTTAGAAATAGATAAAACTGATTTGACGATAACAAAAACCACTTTGGAACAGACGAAAGAACAGATAAGCAAAGAAAATGAATGTATCCGAAAATGTGTCGTCCAATGTCACAATCACGTCAAATTCGTAGTTTCCTTTGGCTATTCTAAGACCATAGAAATTAGTAATGGAGAAATCAGCAGATTAGACGAGCATCTTTCTTCATCAATGCATGACCGATTTATTCTTTAGTTTTACTGACGTTTCCACCTGTGGCATATCATCGAACCCTTTGGTTTCAAAAAAAAAAAAAAAAAAAAAAAAAAAAAAAAAAATGATCATCTTGAATATGAAATTTATCGATCCCGGACAAATAAACCCTGTCATAGTAACCTTTTTTACTTTTCTAACTACAGACGCAAAGTATTTCTCTTTTTAAACACTTTTTGAAGAAATGAAACGCACTTCGTGCCCAGCTTTTATCTTAAAGAATGATTGTGTTTACATACATAAGAATTCGGGCAAGTTACTATAAACTTATAAGAGTTTTAGAGCGCATACAATAGTACAAGCTCGGGAATCTTGAGGGTTCTTTCAAGATTATATATGCTTCAAAAGCTTTTGGAAGCCTATTTTAAGTTATTGATTTCGTCATTAGTATACATTCATTGAAGTGAATATCAAGTCGCGTAATGACATAAAATAATTTTTGTTCATTATCCTTGGTACAAAACTCGTTTTTCCTTAAAGTGATGTCAAAACTGAAAAAAAAAAAAAATTCATCACATTATGGTCGGTGAGTACTTCCCAAACTCATAGTCTATCCAATTCTCGATTTAGCGTTCTACATGTCTGAAGAATTATTAGAGTTAATACCTACTAGAAATCTATCATGTACGAAAATTTAATTAAGCCTTTTTACTTTTCTAAAAGAATCAGAGCATAACTCAGATCTATGTGCTGATCTAATAAATCTGGTAGCAGATCTGATCATAGGTCAATTTTTTACTATCGGGAAAGAAATACAGTCATACCCCTTAAACGTCCTATCTGTTTGGCGCCATTAATATTGTTAAGCCATAGAACTAATTGATTTTTACGTGGAATTGTATAAAACCCCACACTTTTTTGGTCTTGCTTCTCTTTTTCCTTTATCTCTTCGACGAAATTTCCACAAGTGAAGACGTCAATAAAGGTGCCTGAGCAATTCTCTTGAATGACACGGCAAACACCAAGTCTGCTGGCAAGACTCTATTGAACGCCATCAATAACTGCACGAAGGCAATCAGCGAGTCTTTTTGTGACGATGCCAAGCTATAAAGAAAATCATGGAGTATTTAAACGATGAACTTCAGCATGCACAGGCTATGTTAGCCTTAGCAGAAAAAAATCTAGATAGCTATAGATCAATAGACTGACAAGCAATTCAAGTCAAATGTAAAGAGTCTGTTTCAGAAATTCGCTTGCTGAAGGACAAGATTGGGGACGCTGAACATCAGCTTTCAAAGGCAAATTAAGGCCTAAGCCTTACCCAAAAAAAGTTGGCTGTAACTCAAAAAGACACTGGCTCGTCAAAAGATGTGGCTGGTATGAAGCGTACACACGAGGAAGATAAGGGTGTATCTCCACCCGAGTACAGAAGGAGTGAAAGGCTCAGGAATAGGAGGAAAGTTTAAATAAAAGAAAATTAAATTAAATTAAAATAGTATCATTGAAAATAGTTAAGATTACGGGCATGAAATTCAAGATGACCATTAACCCCATTTATAGTTATTAAGACGAATTTAAAAAGTGTAAATATGGCATGAGAAAGTTGTAATATCGAGCAGCATTGATGTTGCTGAGAAATGAGTAAGTGCCCTGTATTCGTGTGCCTCTTTTTTTTTTACGTCCTGGTGGTAGAGTGCGAAATCTTTTAAGAGCTCATTGTTTGCTTCTTTATAACATAAAATTCAGATACTCGAAAATAAGTTTTTTCACCTTGGGTGCATGTACGGAAGTGTGTTATCTCCAGGCATATTATTGAAGGCTTGATCATTTAATGCACTTCCCTCAGATATATCCTTTTTAGCGGATAAGCAAGCTTGATTAGATTGCATGGCACAAAAATCTCTTCACATAAATTTCAAGATGACCTTTAACTTCCGTTTTTTTTTTTAAACACAAAGATCGTCCAATATTATATAAGGCCTGTTAGAATAATATGCTCTGATATTGTTGAAATGCACGGCCTTAACTTTAATACATTCATAGACAATTTTTGCAGGAATATATTTAGCATAAATACAACCAACATCATCCTTGTGATTTGCTAAATATAGGTATTGTTTATAAAACTGCACAGAATCTCTGAGCTTGGACTTTTTCACTGGTAAGTGCCTTGCAGCAGCTCATTAATCCAGAACAAGTATGAGACTTGTACGGTTCCTGACTTTATATAGTTGCACCAAATAGGAACAATACCCTAATCAGGTCATGTGTCTAAACTGTGAGAAAAACGGGGTTTAAATATAAAGGCTCTTTTTGCATGTATTTTTTATTCTTTCTTTTTTCTTTTTTAACCCCTTTTTCATCGTCATTAGTATACATGTATCGACACTCGCAAGGACTTTTTAGATTAACACACCAGACTCGTTTATGGAAGGGTGTTACTGTGTATGGCCGTGGTTATATCAGTGCGACTGACTATACGGAAGGTCATCATGCTGGTCCCAACCCACTGGATGAACTCTTGAGCCATCTTGAATCGACCAAAGTGTCTGACCCTCGTACGGTAAGTAACTGTCTTTTGTATAGAGAAAGTTGTATAGAGAAGAGAAAAAGAGGACTAAAGAGGGAAATGGAAACCAAAAAAAAAAAATTAGATTGTGAAGCACTTGAATGATTACGTGATTGGACAAGATACAGCGAAAAAGACACTAGCCGTTGCCGTCTTCAACCATTACAATCGTGTACGTTCCAACCTGATTCGTCAGCATGATTTGTTACAACAGCAACAACAAGAGGAGGACGGTTTAGATTATAATGAGGGTCACTCGCATGCAGAGCATCATCATCATCCTACTTTACCCAGTGAATATTATGCTACGAATACACCTATCCAGAGTGTCGGCCCTGAACTTATACCCGCCGAAAGAATTGATAAGTGTATGTATGTATATAGAAATGAATACACATGACGTCCTCTGTTCTTTTTTTTTCTTATACATCTATAGGGTCTCAACGTCGTAATTGGGAGAATCCACCTACCACAAGTACGAATAGTCATAGTAACCGCAAAGTAGTGGATAAAAAGAAACATGCGCCTAAATTAATGGAAGATGGCACGGTCTATGATAAGAGCAATGTCATGCTGATTGGTCCCACGGGGTCTGGCAAAACCTTATTAGCTCGTACGTTGGCTCAAGTATTACAGGTACCCTTCTCCATGTCGGATGCCACTCCATTTACCCAAGCAGGCTATGTGGGTGAGGATGTTGAGCTTGTTATCCAAAGACTACTTCAGGTAAATGAATTTATTTACTATGTCCACTATCTGTTTTTTTTAAAATCTTAGTTTTAAATGAAAATAGGCCTGTGATTATGATGTTAAAAAAGCAGAGACGGGTATTGTCTTTATTGATGAAATCGACAAGATCTCGAGACGTTCAGATTCAATGTCAGCGTCAAGGGATGTGTCAGGTGAAGGTGTTCAGCAGGTAACTTTTATTTTTTATTTATTTGGATATGAAAAAAGATATATTTACAAATATGTACTGATAATGAATAGTCCTTGTTGCGTATGTTGGAAGGAACGATTATTAATGTGACGGATAAATCGGGTGGGAATAGCCCTCAGAACAATAGACGTGGGGGGATGCCAGGTAGTCCTATTGGAAATGGACAAGCAGGTGGCAACGGTGGTAATACACCAACGGGTGGATCCAATGGAGGAAAAGGAGAGACATATGCAGTGGATACCAGTAATATATTGTTTATTCTCAGTGGGGCCTTTGTTGGTCTTGATAAAACCATTCAAGATAGACTGGCCAAAGGTGTAAGTCTCTTACCCCCCTACCCCCTTCTTAGTATGCAATCGTAGATTAAAACTGCTTTCAATAGTCAATTGGGTTTGGTGCATTGCTTCGGTCACTAGAAGATGACAAGATAGAAATACCATCTACGGGTATAAAAAAGGAAGTACACAACCCATTAAGTCTTACAGAGCCTGCCGGTAAGAATTCTTTTAATGAAAAAAATATTGATATATGACTAAGAGGTAAAAAAAAAAAATCATAGATCTTGTAAAGTATGGGTTGATTCCGGAATTTGTAGGAAGATTACCCGTGATTTCATCCGTCAACAATCTATCGACCGATGACTTGGTTCGAGTCTTAACCGAGCCTAAAAATTCGCTTTTGAAACAATACCAAGGTCTTTTTGAACTAAGCCAGGTAACGAACAAGATAATCTTTAAAATTGTTGAGCCTACTATCTAAACATTTTTTATTGTTTTTTTAAAAAAAAAAGGTCGAGTTAAGATTTAGTAAAACAGCGTTGCGAAAGATTGCTGAATTAGCACTTGAGAAAAAGACAGGCGCAAGAGGATTACGTCGTATCATGGTAAGATGATACCAAAGATTTTTAGGATTACAACAAGAAAGCTCACCCTTTCTATCACAGGAAAACTTATTATTAGATCCCATGTACGAAACTCCTTCTTCCTGCGTGAAACAGGTGGTGATCAATAGTAAAGTGGTGGCCAATGAGAGAAAAGCGATTTATTTAGGTAAAGACCAACGTCACTTGGGTGATAAAATTATTGCTGCAGATGATGGGGAGGATTTGAACAATAGTGAAACTCTACGGGAAGTCACTCTCATGTAGTATATATATATATATATTTGTTTATTTTTATTTATATAATATCGTCAATGCTTTCCATTACTATATCGTCGAATTCATCATTGACAGTTTCTAATTGAGCGAGTTCATTATCAGATAAAGCCAATTGAACATCATCATTATATTCTTCCATCAATTCATCCACTGTCTTTGCCGGTTTATTTCTTTCTTTCTCTTCCTCTTCTTCCTTTTGTCTTTGTTGTGCCAATTGACGTTGCTTTCTCTTTTCTGCTAAAATAGACAATGCATATTCTCGTCCTGACTTAGCATCCGTAGGTTTAGCAGGTTCTTCTTCATCATCAGAAAAGGTGATCGTGCGAGGTTTCTTGGTTACGACATTATCCTCGTCGTCATCTGTCTGATCTTCGTCCGATCGAATGTAATCATTGCTTCGGTATTTCGTCTTTTTCACTTTGGGTTTTGCAGTCTTTTTCTTTTCTTTTTGTAGACGTTCTGCTACATCAGCAGACATGGGGAAGAACAAGGGTTGGTTATCATCATCCGAAGACACTTCCTCCTCTCGTGCACTACCACCTTCCTCATCTATATATATAAAAAAAAGGGGGAGCAAGTTGCCCTATGTCAGACACTATGTATTGTATATTTATGTAAAGTACATATAACTTACCTCCGACAGTTTGACCTGAGAGTTCGCTATACTGATTCCGTCTCACTTGCATCTTTTCCTTGTACTCATCTTGCCATTCGCTCAAAGCCTCCTTGACTCGTTTACCCTTGGTATGGTTACCCACGACTTTAGCAAAATGAGAAAACTTGTATTTGGGAAATAAGTTATCAGCCCAAACGGTATAATAGGTCATTAAACGACTTAAATCGTCTGCTTCATGGTGTTTTCCCCTGAAATGCAGGAAACGACTTTCACTTTTTAAGAGGGGAAGTCCTTCAGGTTCCAAGAGTCTATTACGGGGTGGGTATGAGTAGAGTAAAAAAAAAAGAGAGAGAGAGAGAGAAAAAAAAGAAGGGTGAAATTACTTTACAAGGCTTCGTCGAATTTTCTGGCTTTGATTTTCTTGGGTGCGCTTTCGATAGGTGTGTCGCCAAACGCAGGTAAATCGTCAAAGGAAGATTGACCTGGTTGTGTGTTGTTATTATTATTAGTGTTATTGTTGGCTTGATTGGTTTTCCCTGTATCAAAGTCGTAATCGTCAAACGTAATATCGTCAAAGTCGTCCATTTTTTTTTTTTATGAAGTAAAGAGGGGTAAAAACGCGGCTTTACAAAAAAAAAAAAAAAAAAAAAAAAAAAAAATCATATACGCGCGCGCGTACCAAATAAAAGATGAAAGTGGTCACACACATCACTTTTTTTTTTTTTTATAAAATCATGCCAAAGATAAGAAAAGATGGCGTTGCATGAAATAAGACAACTGGTAAAAAAAAGAGGTTTCTATAGAAACCATCACTTTTTTTTTTAGGTTTCTGTCATTGTATGAAGATAGAGCCTATGTTCAGTGACTACATATGCAGAAAAAATAAATTTTTTTTTAGCGGCATGCAAGAGATTTTTTTTTTTTTTAGGCTGGAAAAGAAGGACTTTTAGCTTGAATTCGATACAATAATGGTCACAAACAGTAATAGTCAAAGAGGGCTGTATTTATACTTTAGACAAGCAACTGCTGTTGAGAGGTAGCGTATCTTGCGTAGGGGCTCTCTAAATAAGATTTAGATTTCGAGGTATGTGTGTGTATAATGTTTGTGTGTGCATGTGTGGCAGTAAGATTTTAACTTTTTTTGTTGAGCCCGGAGCCCGGAGATTGAATTATTGAAGTGAGCCCCGATTTGGGAGAGAGAGAGAGGGAGAGAGGGAGGGGCGGGTATTTGAGTATGAGCCAAAGCTTGAATCGTCCAATTCCCCCTCTTATTATCCTTATTCACAATGGTAAGATAAAAATAGTGATATATCATCCATCCATCCGTCCATCCCAACTCATTCATGTTTTAAATAGGCTAAGCGCACAAAGAAAGGTACAGAGAAATATACGATGGACAATTTCAATACGAGAGAGAGATAGAAAGAGAGGAATGGATAAAAAAAAGAGAGATAGAGAGTAGACATGCCAACAACCTAGAGATCTTTTATTATACATCTTTTTTTTTTTTACCTCTTTTATATATTGGAATTGGACACAAGACGCATCATTTTATTACACGTTATTGACTTTTTCTTTCCTTCCATTAGTCGGAATCACCGGTAAATACGGTACCCGTTATGGTGCCTCTCTCAGAAAGACCGTAAAGAAGATGGAAATCACTCAACATTCCAAGTACACCTGTACCTTCTGTGGTAAGGATGCTGTCAAGCGTACTGCCGTCGGTATCTGGAAGTGCAAGGGTTGCAAGAAGACCATGGCTGGTGGTGCTTACACTGTCTCGTAAGTTTTTTCTATTATTTATTATTATTATGCCTTCATCTAACATGACCCTCATTATAGCACCACTGCTGCTGCCACTGTCCGTTCCACTGTCCGTCGTCTCCGTGAATTGGCCGAAATCTAAATTACTTTCATTTATTTTTTAAAATAATTCACCCTCCCACTTTATTCTCTTTTTATTTTTTTGCAAAAATAAAAAAAAAACTAATGGGGAAACATATACACACACACTTTTTTTATTATGATTATTATTCTTAGTACTCTTTTTGCAGTGTAAAGTAGTAGAGTGCTTTCTTTGTTGCATGAATAGCTTAGAGGTCTCGGTGGGTTTTACACGCATCAACTCCAATTTTGCCAAGCGTCTACTCTCTGTTCTTGAGACTGTTATAAAGATTGTTTTTCCTATAAAATATATACATATGCATTATTTTCTATAGTCACTTGCACTTCCTAATATACTTTTGTGCATATAAAGTATATGTGTGGCGTTTTTAAAAGCCAGACTCCATCATAGTAACAGGCAAAAAAAAGAAAAATTTTTTTTTCTGTTTATTTTCCCACTTATATTTCTTTTGATTTACCTTAACAATGGACTCTTGGAAACAAAGGAACGCGATAGCAACGACATGAATGAAGCCTGAGGAATCAGACAAGATCTTTTTTTTTTATAACTCCTCTTCAAGTGCTGGATTGAAAGAGCCTTTGTTTCAGCAACACACTTTAAAGCCTTTCTCACTTTTGGCGTCTCCTCTTTACTTGGCAGATTTTTCTCCAAGTAGACCTGTGTTCTAGTTTCAAGAAGGGTACGCGTCGTAGTGTCAACCAAATATATACATATAAAGAAAGACTTTATTAACCTTTGTAGCGTAGTAATACTCATGATAATAAAAAAATTACATGTTTGTGTGTGTATGTGTATATTGAGACTCACTTTGAAGCAGCCTTGTGTATGAAAGAGTCTTTGAACAGCGTATTATACGTACAGGGTAGTAACCGTACTTTGTTTGCATGTTGAAAGGGTAAATGTCCGTCCTTTTTTTGATTATCGTATCTTTAGTCTTGTATTAACCACTTTGTCCCCTTTGAAGTAATAATTATTGAGAACTCTTCTTTAAAGAAAGAATCATCTGTGTTATGTATTGAGACCCATGATTCCCTTTTCTTTTAACTAAGTGCCTCTTTTTCTTAAAAAAAATGAAGTGTAAACTATGGGCGATGCCTTGTTGTGCTTATATTTCTTTTTGTCTTTGTATAAAAAGATACATTTACACACTTTGACAGATGATACTTTTTGGATCTGCCTAATATGAGCCTCTCTGCAAAAGAAGTGAATTGATGCATCAGAAAAGAATGAACGGTGATCCCATATGAATGCATGATATCAAAGGGTATATTTGTTAATGACAGTAGTATATATATATATATATATATAGCACAGCTTATTATTAACAAGGCGTTTTATTCTATTTGAAAAAGAAACAATAGAGAAAGGACAACCTGTTTATATTATCAACATGTCTTTATGAAGAGCTCTCTGTGCGGTAAGTCTACAGCAAAAGAAAAAGAGAGAACTTTCTGTGTGAACAACATCAACTTGGTATGGGCTTTACAAAAAAAAAAAAATACAGAGCAATGGAGAGGTAGAAAAGCAAAAAAAAAATGTGCTCCGTAGAGCTTCCTTCTCAGAGATTTAGTGTCATCCTTGTGCAGGGGCCATGCTAATCTTCTCTGTATCGTTCCAATTTTAATAAGTGTCAGAGGTCCGAAGACTTGACAATGAAAACTTCCTTTTTATTTTTCTTAATACCGCGACAATAATTGGACGCAGTTCAACTTGTGGTCCATTTTTTTTTAATTTCTTAATTTTTTGGTTGTTTTTAACGTTTTTTTTTTGGTTTATTTTGGCTCCATTTTTTTACTGGAGATACCTTGTACTATGGATGCACAGAATTAAATTGTTTGTGGTAGGTTTATATGTAAAACCAAGCGTAAATCATGAAACAGTTTCTCGTCTACAGTGAGGGTCCCTTTTTCTATAAAAGGAAACCATCGTACCACAACCCTTTATTTTTTTTACAGCAGCAGTTTTTTTTTTCTTTTTCTTGTACTCTTTTTCTTTACTACTACATTTTACACAATGGTATGAAGAAGAAGACTAATGTTGTATTTTAAAAAAAATAAGAGTTAACAAAAAAAGCGATATTTGTATATAGATTCCTATTATTCCCAGACAATCAAGCGATGATGACCGACCCATGGGCCTTAAATTCACCAGGAACAACTTTTACAACTTTCCCAAACGAGAAGCCACCAACAATGAACATGTATTGAAACGTACACCTTCAGGTCAACGTACACCTCCACTTATTACCAAACGAGATAGTTCCAGAGACAGTGATTTATCGTCCGTCGCCTCTTTATCACCCACACCTTTATTGTCACCTACTTTACCTGCGCGTTCACCCTTTCGTATACGAGACTCGCAGCAAGGCAAAATGATAGGATCACATGGTAATACATGGAACTAAATTAATTTTTTTTTTATTTTTAAAAAAAGAAGCTAATAACAGGTCTCTCTAAAATAGACACAAAATCCAAATCATCCAGTACGATAGATACTTCCTCCTCCTCCTCTTCCACCTCTTCCTCCGTTACTACGAACGACGATGATTTAATTCAAGAACTCGAATCCATGTGGAAATTAAAGAGTGTACCTACCAAACCCCCCACACCTAAACACGACATGAGCTCCGAGGATATGCTTTTACAACTTTTGATCTCGCATGCCATGATTGATTCTCGAGAATTTAAAGTATTGACATTTGAAGAATTTGAAAAATTAAAGCAACATCATGCACGATTAAAAAATAGGGTACGTAACTCGAAGGCTAAACTCGAACTCGATCGAAAGATTCAAGAAACCTCGCATTCGTTATCCAATTTATCTTTTAACAAGAACCGTGAATCCGTCATGTTGTTGTTGGATGAGGCAGTGGAGGCCGATCGCAAGGTCAAAATTTTGACGCAAAGATTACATGAACTCACCAACGACGAAGTAGAGACACAGTACCAGATATTACAACATACAGCGGGTGTACTTTCCTTGGGCTTACAAAAGTTGGAAAAGGATCGTCCTGTACCCGTGGTAGATGGCACACAACAGATGGAGAGCCTAAGAGAAAATCTACTTCAATTATTAAAGAAACACAATATTTCTCATGCGACGGATGCTTCACCCACTTCTTTATTGGATTACTTGGAAGCTCAATTAGAAACCTATCAATTGCAATCCAGAGAATCTGAAGACAAGTACAGAGGAGCGCAAGAGAAACAACAGCTCTTGTCTTTATCCGAAAAAAAGCTAGAGATTCAACTTCGATCCACACAAACAAAAAACGATCTCTTGAAAAAGGAGATGGATGAACTCTTGCTCAAGGTCAAGAAACCTGTCATGGACTGGTTACCACAGGATGACTTTGATTTTCAAGACGATGATCATGGCAACGAAAGTGCGTTGGCTGAAGTAGCAGAATTAAGAGAAACACTTTCACAAATGGAATTGAATGCAAGTAAAGTGCAATCCCAATTATCTGTGTTTCAATCGAGGGAGAACGGACTTAAAAAAGAAATGGAGCAGTATCGTGATGAAGCAGTTCGTTTACGATCCCAAAAGGAGGAATGGGACCGCACCATGAAACGAAGAACGGTTCTACAGGCGCTGGAGAATGCAGAGGATGGCTCAAGTACGGCTCGTTTTGAACAACAGCTGGAAGAACAGGAAGGAGAATACCAGGCACAGCTCAAGGAACAAGCAGCTTTTTTGGACAAGACAACACGGGCCTGTGAACAATTACAAAAGGACCATGATGAATTATCTGCTACCTGTGAGGACCTTGAGTTACTGATTCGTGACAAGACAAGAGCACTGGATGCTCGTGATCGACAGATTCAGCAATTGGAAAGTGAATTACATCAACTCAAGTCTACACCGACCCCCGCTGGTAGTAGTAATGCAGCTTTACAAGAGTTACAAGCGCAGTTCTCTCAAAAGGAGTCAGCCTGGATTGAACAGAGTAATACAATGGAAGCTGATTTTGAAGGTATCCTAAAAGAATTCGATCGATTGACGGGGACTGCAATGGAGTTTGAAACGGATAAGCGTAACTATGAACGACGTATTCAACAATTGACGCAGGAAGTCAATGGGTTGGAGAGTAGTTTGACAGAAGAAAAGACCAAGAATCTAGGTTATCATGAGGCAGATACGCCTACCACTGCTACGTTACGTAAAGAGTTCCGAAGAATGATTACAGATATGAAATCAGATCATCATCGTACGCTGGAACGTGAAGGGCAAGAAAAGAGTAAGCTGGAGAAACAATTAAAAGACTTGAAACACGAACGAGAAATGTTTCGTTATGAACGAACGAATAAAGGTGTCCAAACACTATTTATGCCATAAAAAAAAAACATTTTTTTTTTTATTATTTATTTGGGGTTTTGTCTTGAGATAGTCTACTGTTATATAAGATGAAAAAAAAAAGTTCTACATCATGACTCGAGAAGATTGTTGTTGCTGTTGCTGTTGACTACTGATAGGTAACACTTGTTGTGAGGGTTGTTGAGGTCTTTCTTCAATAGCGTCCCATGACAAGGTCCATTCTCGCTTCACCTTTTGCCATGTTGTAGGATCGAAGAATACATAAACACCACGATCTAAAGCGTTAGGTGACGTCCTTCGGAATGCTTGCACAGGTCGACCATTTTCGTCAGTTTCCTTTGTTAACCACAACCCTAACTCCTTGTGATAACGCCAATTACGAGCATATCTATTATTATTATTTTTTTTAAAAAAAAGGTTAATAACAATCCCTCTGCTTTTTTTTTTATCAACGCCCCCCCACACACACTTACAGCTCTTGGGCCGCTGCCTCCTGGGCAATGTCCTTTGGCATGCAATAAAAGACGTAAAACAAAATTTCGTCCGAAAAGGTTCTCATACGCTGGTGAGCGGGTGGTGTTGCTTGTACGTTACGATAACAGGCAGGCAAATAGTATCCTGGTTCAACATTCAGTCCTGGTAAAGTCTGTGTATCTGACCAAGGTGATATAAATGTCGAGTATATAGAACTAAAATGGAAAGGGACAAAAAAAGTCTCAAAGTTAATATATATATAAAAAAAATCAAGGGGGGATGACGCGTCATTGACTTACTCTGCTGTGTTGAGGTCTAAACCAAGTGTGGTCAAGTCGCTACCAAGAGCCAACATGCTACGATCGGGATCAGTCATTCGAATAACCCCTAAAAGACCCAACAAGCCATATGGATCGGTAGGTTTCCCATCGTTCAATGTCAATTCGTCTTGTTTCCTTGTCTGCGTCTAGTAAGTAGTTATGTTTAGTGACCTTTTTTTTTTGGACGGTGAAAGAATGATATAGATTATTTTACCCATGATTCTGACAAGTCGTTCTTTTCTGAAAATGGCTTTCCTAAAGAGGCTGCAATAGAAAAAAGCGTGAGTAACGACACTAAAAATAGGAAAAAAAAGAAGGGAAGGCGTTTACCTTGTTGCTGGCCTTCTCTTAAGTTAGCATAATCTAGCCATTGTTCAGGCTTTCCACCTGATTCTCTACCTATCGCGTTATCAAAAGGCGATGCGGAGCTACGTAGTGCAGGAAATTCGTCCATGGAGAAAGATCTCGGTGCCAGGTTTCGCTGGGAGTTGTTTGAAGATGGCGGTAATTCGGTATTATTGTTGGCAGCCACATTATTATATCGAGCGGCTTGATGAGGAGGTATAGGTGGAAAAGAACCCAAATTACCCTTGGTAAAGTCGTTCATGCTTTCCATGAGGCTTTCTTGTTGCTGTTGAAACCCGTTCCCTGCTGTAGAAGCATAACTGGCCAATCTATTGTTATTATTAGATGGCGTCACCGCAGTTCGGTTCATCGTGGGTGGGGTTCCCAAGGCTGGAAACTCGTTCAGATCAGCTGTTGTGTTTGGACGGAACATTTTATAATTATTCAAAAAAAAAAAAGATGTTTTTACTACAAAAAAAAAAGACCTTCTGTAAAATCACACCACTGAAGAAGAAGGAAAAAAAAAAAATTGCCCCGCCTAGAAGGGGGGATGACGTGGTTTTTGCCTGTGTTGTCGGCGGCCCTTATAAAAAAAAAAGTCCTCCCCCCCTTTTTTTTTTTCTTGGACGCACTACATTTTTTTTTTTTTTATTTTATTATCACACATACCCCAGTATTCGCCATGGCAGCCAACAGTGTGTATCTCTACCGTCATGTTCAAACCAAGCAAATCTTGGTCAGCCTGAGACAAAACATGAAGGTACGATTGGCAAAAAGGAAAAAAGAAAAGATCCGAAGCAAAAAAAAACTAACGTTATAGGCTATTACGAACAGTCCAAAGTATTGAACCAGCTTGGCACCATGAATGCACCTGTACGTTTAAGAAAGGATTTATGGCGCCCTTTAGTTGCTTTAACCGGCTTCCAAACACCTCAATCAGCACAAGCAGTAACCGATGCGCTTTTGCAACGTTCAAAAGCACGTCAAGTGGAATTACAAACCAGCCCCGATCATGTTGCCAGACCTAAACGTTTGCGAGTCGTCGATGAATTGGATCTGGTAGAGACATCCATCGTTTCATTGCGTGAAGCTTTGGAATCCGTAGCACCAAAAGAGAATTTATTAGCCCTCTGGGAACAACCTCAATTCATGGAAATGAAGGGTGACAAGGCATGGCCTAGCTTTTTAGAGCACGGTCAATTAGAATTAAAGAACAACCGTTTTGTCAAGGAAACAAAATAAGCATTTCTTCTTTTCTTTATATATATAATCATTAAAATTTAACTGTTTCTTTATTCATGTGTGTATATCGATTTTTTTTTTTTTTTTTGTATTTGACACATAGTGTGGCTTGCCTTTTTAATACAGGGTTTAACCCCCACCCCTCCATCCCACAACATTAATGTAAAAAAAAAAAAGGTTCAGTATCCGACTCTTAGTTTTTATTTATTCTTTTTTTACAACATAAAAAAAATGTCAAGCAACAAAGCCAGAGATTACGTCGAGTCGTATGTGGGAGAAAGTGACGATTACTTGAAGACAGAGCAACCTCGTTACGATAGCAACAAGCCCATGGCACAACCCCACACGGAAGCTTTGGAAGCAGATCCACAACCCGAGCCAGTAAAAGCATCCGATCATTACAAGCTTCATTTACGTACCCAAAACCCCATACCTTCCACAGAGAAAAACGATACCCCCGCAACAACAACAGCAGCAACCACACAGACGACAAGTACCGCAGAAAAGAAGGAACCTGTGGCGGTGGAATGGGCAGTAAGAGATTTCAAGGAACAACGTAACGAGATTCACGAGACGTCGTTAACGATTTGTGCTGATCTTCATGAAGAGTTATTTACTTGTTTTAAAGACGGTAGTTGGTGGGATAAAGCTAAAATGTGTGAAGAACAAAAGCAGACGTTTTGGAAATGTTATAACACACAAAAGCGATTCTTGAAGGATGTGAATTATAAGGGTCCTGTCACCTCGCACGAAGAAGATCGTCGTATTTTACAAGAAGCTTACAAGTTGCGTGACAAGTTGGATGCAAAGGAAGAATAAATTACCGGGGGGTTAAGTAGTAGGGCACGCGGCGCACGCGGGGGGAAAAATGATTCGGCCCATTTGCCCCCGCCCCCGCCCCCCCCTCCATATATTACTAATATTTATAATCAATAAAAAAAAAAAAATACATATAAATAATCTGTGTTCCAGCGCTCTTTTTTTTTTTGCATTAATTATCTTTTTTTTTTCAATGACTTCTCTTGCTACTAAAACACCCGTCTTCTTTGTCTCTCATGGCGGTAAAAAAAATCATCACAATGGGTCTATCTAGATAGAAAGACGACTAAAAATATAATCCATTTGATGTAGGCCCTAATCTCTTGGAGAACCAAGCTAAACCCGGTGATTTTTACAGCTGGTTTGGTCAATACCTGAAGAACGAACTGAAGCCTAAAGCCATCGTCATTATCAGTGCGCATTGGCAAGGTGAAGGACCCGATGGCATCTTTGGTAACTATACTTGTTTATATTATACATTGATTTGTTCTTAATGAGTTTTTCTTCCAACAGTGGATGTATCTGAAAAGCCTAAATTGATCTATGATTTTTACAACTTTCCCAAACATTACTATGAAGAGAAATGGGATCATCAAGGATCACCCGCTGTTGCTAGCCGTGTGATCGACTTGCTAAACAAGGTAAAGGAAGAGACAGACAGACACTCACGACTATCTAGAAACTAACACCTTTAAAAAATAAATTTTAGTCTGGATTAAAGGCGTCAGGTCAAAAGTATGGTAATGACCATGGTGTGTGGGTTCCTTTAAAACGAGCCATGCGATCCAACCCTCATATACCCATTGTGGAAGTCTCGACTTTCTCTCATGAAGATATGGACATGCATGTTAAATTAGGTGAAGCGTTGGCCCCCCTCAGGTAAAAATTAAATAGGGTTACACGACATGGTACTCATTCTCGGTTTTTTTTTTCTAATCACAGAGATGAAGGTGTTGTGATCATTGGCAGTGGCAGTGCTGTACATAACTTGCGACAACTTTGGACATATGGCGATAAACCATCTCCTAAATTCGTGCTCGACTTTGATAAGGACATGGAAAAGATTGCTTGTCGTTCCACAGGCCAAGAGCGTAATGAAAAGGCCAATGAGTTGAGTAACCATCGTTCCTTCCGAGATTGTCACCCTACAGCAGAACATTTGGTGCCCTTTCATGTTGCCTTGGGAGCTGCTGGAGAAGACTCTGGAAAGAAACTGTTGACGGATTACTTTTCCACTTTAAGCTGGGGGTCCTATGCTTTTGGTTTGCCCAAGGAGACTACGTTGCCTAAATACGATGGTACACAGACCAGAGATGAATTATAAATATAATTTAATAAAATAAAATTTTTTTTTTTAGCTGAGATGATGCCTACCCTTACTATAAAAGATAACAAGTACAAGTATTATGCCTTCTTGCTGTTATTGATCAATGCTGTTTATTACATGTACATGCACGATTATTTATTTTGATAACATTGATTTTTTTTTGTTAGTTGAAGCGAAATAAATCATTACTGATAGGATTAGGACTAAACGGGTTAATTCCCCACTGACTTGCATGAATGATATTTTGAGTTAAATGGGAGGATCTCAATTTGATTTCGACATCGACAGGATCAATCTCATAAAATTTCAATAGATCGTCCACAAAAGCTTCATTTTGTCTCTTTCCCACATAGGCATCGTCATGGGAGGGTATAGGTGGCAAATGATGAAATACATCTCTAGCCAATTGATAATTAAACGTGGGTGATGCTTCATACGTTGTGGAGTCTAAATGTTCCAAGATACGTTCAATGGACCCATATTTCTTGATCCATTCGACAGCACGATGAGGGCCAATCCCACGTATCGTACCCGAGAAATCTGTGCCACAGAGGATACAAAGGTCAACAAATGAAGCACGCGATAGACCTAGTTCTTTGCGTGCCACGATTGGGTCCATTTGAAGAATCGGTCGTGCTTTGGAAAAGAAATGGCGCAAGATGGGTGCATCACCAAAGACCAACGTATCTAGATCTTCACTGACGGTAGCTGTGGTTCTACCTTGCTTTGAAAGGTTGGCACACATGGCCTCTGCTTCATGATCGTTGGTGGAAAAACATACGAATCCTAGTGCTTTTAAAAAATCTTGACATTCTGTGCGTATTGTCTGTGTGATTTGAAACGACCTCTTTTCTATGTTTATAATAGGGTTAAAGAGAGCGAATCATTACATACACAATATAAAAAAAAATAGATACGGTACCCAAGGAATGTGTCATGGCGAGGTTGTCTCTTTGAAGTGTCTTTAAACAAGATTGAGCCTCCTTGATTCGATGTAACATCATGTCTGTGACAAGACCGTCTTCTCGTATGGCTAACTCTCGTACTGTTCTCGTATATTTCTCACTGTCAGCCGAATTGGAAAGTGCCTGCCTTAATTCTTTGGCCATGACGGTCAGTTTGGATTCAATGTCGGGTTGTACGGTAGGATAACAAGCTCCCGAATTCTCTGCTAATGCCGTGGTGAGTTGAGACCAAGCGTCTAAACGAGTAGACTGGTTCTGTTCAAACAAGAGTGAGTGTTTGACTTTACGTCGTGAGCGTGCTCTTTTCTCGGTCTCGAGGTGTTTGGCGGGTAAACGACCTGGACCGTCAAAGACAAAGATGGGAGTAATGTGGTTGAGTTGACAGAAGCGAGCTAATTGATAAAAACCGTGAATGTGACGATGGGGTACACCTTTATCTTCGCCATAAATAAATTTGTTTAAATGACAACTGGCGTCGAATGCAATCGTTTGCTTTGATAAAGTGTTGGCTCGGATTTCACGGACGGCACTCGGTGCATAACGTACAAGAATATTCGTTAACCCTTGTACGCCCATGTATTTTTTTTTTTAGAAAAGAAAAAAGATGTATTGTTTGTTTTATTTTATTTTAAATTAAAGACTGTCTATTTTCTTCGTCCTTCTTTGTCCAATCAAGACCATAGCGTGTTTCGGGTGCTTGATAGGTTTGGAGTAAGTTTAAGACATCCTTGGTGGTATCACAAGTGACAAAGATATCTGCATTCTTAGTCTTGATGAATTGTTCTAAATACAAAGGCTTTAGCTCTAAAAACAAAATATGTTACATCCCAGTAATTTTTTATATACCTTGTACAGAAAGTTGGATCCAATCCACAAACAGCTTGTAATATCCCTTGGTATTTAACAAGAGGATTGGCTTGGAGTGAATATTTAACTGAGACCAAGTGATCATTTCCAACATTTCTTCCATCGTACCAAATCCACCAGGTAGTACCACAAATGCATCACTCTATATGTTATTTTAATTTCTAAATGCTAAATGGGAAAACCTTGTTTTTTGTTTTGTTTGTTTACCTCTTCGGCCATACGCTTCTTACGTGTGTGCATATCAGGAACAATGACAGTCTCACCTAATTGAGCACTACCATGTTTAAAGAGTGGTTCAGGTACAATACCAAGTGTCTTTCCTCCATTCTCGATGGTACCCTTTGCCACTGCACCCATCAAACCAATCGATCCACCTCCTATAAATCAATGATGTTTAAGTTTTGGGATATTTTCGCTGCCTAAAAATAAAATAAAATCTTACCATACACCATACGAATATTGTTTGAAGCCAGCATTTTGCCGAGTTCTTTTTTTTTATAGAAAAAAAAATGTTAATTAACCTTTCACTGGTATAGAAAATGACGGGTGTTATTTTACCGAAAGCTTCTTGTGCATAAATAGGATCACCGCCGTCGCCAGCACCACAAAACACACACACACTTTTAATTTCTCCTGATGTAGGTGTAGGTGCAGATAATAATGTTGGAAGAACCATTTTTATAGTGGGAAAACAAAAAGAAGAGGAAGAAAAATATACACTGTGATTTTATTTTTATTTTTTAATTTTATAACCCCGTGTGACTTTTTGCTGCTCATATCACAAATCCCTATCTGCTGGGCAAAGCACCGATTTAAGATGCTTCCTCAAAGTGAGTCATGCAACAGCACGCTTATAAAATGAACTTTTGTCTGATTGGCTGATTTTTTATTTGATGGACAAGGGTTTTCTTTCTCCCCCTTTATTTCTTGTAAATAGAAAATTGACATGTCATGGCTTCTGGAAATGAAGCCTTGGTGGCATATGCGACAACACGTTTTTTTTAAAAAAAGAGTCCCGCTACCTAAATGGAGCCCTTTGTGCTCTAGTGGAAAATAGAACATTGTCCCAATATAAGGATTTTTATTTCATCAAGTCTCTTTTGGATTTAAGTAAGACTTTGGTCCGAGGCCAGCCCAAAAAAAAACACAAGTTGACCACAAGTGAGTTACTATCGATGGCTCTGGCTGGCTTTGGGCGGCCCAAAAGTCACCAACAATTTTAGAGCTACAGTGAAACCAACTGAGATTTTAATCAGCAATGGGAAATACCAAGATTTATTTGGATAAAGAAGTAACTACTGCTATTGTTTTAGGTTTCGTAAGGTGTTATTTCAGGATATTCTATCCAGTGAAGCTTTTCTTGAGAGTCCCAATTCTGCCTGGCTACGTCCACTTGTACCGTAACCAATGTCTTAAGTTGTACTAGTGCCGGAATTGTATTTCCCGCAACGTTAAAGTCGCATACCATTCTAGGAACAAAGAAAGAGCGAATTTTTATCATGAGATAAGTCTTAGGAGAAACCAAGTCCATCTGGTATATGTCATATTGACGATCATGATCTTTTTTCTCGGGGTTATTAGTTATTTTAACTTTTAATATCTCAATTACCGGCACATACCAGGACCCACTACACCATATACCACCGAGTTGTTAATTTTGTTTAAGATAAAGCGGTTAATCATGAACTGCAGCTTAAGTGACATCTTGAACAAACCACGGGATTCAAAAATCAGAAAATCATACTCAACAGCATCTTTGATGTTAGCACTGTATCGCATATCTGCCCTCATTGAATTGCTTCCATGTAAATTGCTGTATATGCTAATTAATTTAAGCATCGATAAATAAATATGACAAATTTCTTATGAGTTTTAAAGCATATACCCTTCTTTCTTCAACACGCCACCAACACGAAAAACTGGATCTGTAAAAGCCACTAAATAACTATCATCACGTGGATAATGGTTGACGCTATAGAAAAAATATTTAACAAATAAATAAATAATGGAGAAGTCAAACTTACAGATCATACATAATTTCAGCAACAAGATTATTACAGTCCTCCTGAAGATAATCTACAGCTAATTTTTTACCATTTTCATATTCCCCTAAGGAAAAGCACTATCAAAGACAAGATAAATTAAACTAACTATTTCATATAAAGATAATCATTTTAAAATTATATTTACCCAAGCAACATCATAGATATTTTTTGCTTCGTTGTCAGTCAATTTCGAAAAAAAGTTGTTAAATTGATAACTTGTAAAAAAGCTACTTAAGTGCCTTGTAGCAAAGGAGTTTGTATTGTCTCGATTAATCAAGTAAACACGATTGATTGCCATTTTTCGTTCTTGGTCAAAATTGTCTACCTGTTGAAGGTATTTTTCTCGGAATTTATGACATAATTCTGAAATATTTTGACCATCGAAGATAAACTAAATCAAATTTACTAAGTGTAAACGATTTGAATTTAAGATTGATGTTATACTGTACATACATATGGTTTCATAGTCTCAATTCGATCGCTTGCGTATCTAAATATAAGATCAGTCTCGGCTTAATAAGACCAGAGTATCATTGCTTACATAGTCACTCCACTATCGGAAGTCTTTTTCACCATGTAATCGAACTCCATCATCTAAAAAAAAAAAAAAAAAAAAAAAAAAATTAACAAGACAGTTTACTTTATTAAAAAGTGTTGTCCAAACTTACACTCCAATTTTCCTTCCATTTTTTAGCAATATCATGGTCGTAATTTTCCAAGTCCAATCTGATAGCATCAAATACTTCAAAGTAAAATTCATAATTTTCCAATTCCAATCTGATAATAGCATCAAATACTTCACTGTTAGAGTCATGATTTTCACGGAGTTGTAGCGAGACTACTTCGGAGATATCCCACTTTATGGGATCTGTATCTTGAAAGTATGCTTTGGTGGCCATCTTAAAAAAAAAAAAAAGGTGATTTATGATAGAACTGTTTATTTTTTCTTATTTTATAGATGCAAACGATGAGAAAAATCACACACATATTTATCAGTTCATTCATGTTTTAGTTACTCTTACAGAGAGCCTATTATTACATTGGACTATGTACTCAAGCGTTTACAAAATCTTGGTAGCAATGTTCATTTTCCATACAAAAGGTAAAGCGGAGACCTCAAAAGTCTAGAATTATGAAAATCAGTTCAAGAAAGAAAGTTTTGCTTGAGAAAGATGAGTGAATAATAGAAAAGAGACATTAGCCAACTATCTAACCTGAGGCTGTCCTCCCCGTATACTAGAACTAGATATGATTTAGTGCCCTCCATCCCAATTCATTCAACATTTATTACTGCACAGCAGCTCTTCTGGCGTGTGACTTTCATACGAATCTAATAATAACCTGGATTTATACCAAAAAGAAGAAAAAGGGTCTCCTTTTTAAATATAATCATGAGTGATGAGACAAAAGGTAAATAGCAAAAAATAAAGGGCTCTTTCATTTCTTGTCACTGACTTGCATGTATACGATAAAGTGACACGATGGGTGGTGTTTGCTTTCTGGAGTGTTGTCTTACTTGGCTTACCCTTTTGGTGGAAAACTACAGAAGTTTATAGAGCCAATTTACCTTTTACAGAAATAGATGCGTGGCAAACCAAGCAGGTAGTCTTTAAAAAAAAAAAACGGAAGGAGGGGACATCTTAAGAATGAGGTTTGATGTTAACATCCGATGTAGGCCTGTGATTTCATCATGCCTACTACATTCATCATTTATATACCAACTCCATGGAGCATGGAGAAGCAGGACTTGGCACGAGATATTCAACAACAATTATCCAACGCTTTATCAGAGAAATACAGAGACAATTTTCCTATCCATGTCAGCGTCAAAGAGGAGAGAGAGGACGATACAGGTGAAGAAAGCATCGGTACCTATTTTATTCATATCGAAGAATCCGATAAAGTGGATATGCATGTAGGAAGTCAACGAACAAGTACCATTCGATTAAAGGATAAGAGCACGATAGTAGATACATTATCCAAGATGATTCCTCCTGTTTATTTAGACGAATATGAGAGTTTGGGAAATACGGCTTGTCATGTAGAAAAGATGGATAAGAACGACGTGGCTAGTATGCGTGCACTTAAGTATTCTTCGCAGTATGAAACTACCTTTAGTTTGATGAACAATAATCCTGATCATATGAAAATGGATTGGGATATTCGTGATGCTGTCAAGACATATCTCACACCCTTTTTAAAGGAAGTCGCTGTCGTATCCAATTTCACCATTGACTCACAGGTAATATCTAAAAACACTTATAGCTCGCGACACAAAAGCACTAAACATGGCATGATTTCTTTTTAGATTCAAAACTACGCTCCTTTATCACTGAGACCAAAGTTCAAGCAAAGAGAAAATAGACCTAGTTATTACTATTTTGAACCTCGCGATCTACCTCATTTTGTAAACTCGGCTGAATGGAATTTAGGCAAGTGGGAGAAACCTCGTTCAAATGCAGCTCATATTAACCTTTTTTTTATTTTTTTTTTTTTAAAAAAACAGCATCTACAATTACTTCCTACCCAAGCATTAATTTCATTTTGTATGTTCCTTTACAAGAAGAAGCACCTTTACGTATTCATGATTCTCAGGGAAACCCATTGTTAACAAGTGCTTTCTTGATTCCTCGTTGGGGAGGTGTTGTGATTAAGAATCCACCCAAAGCTGCCACGGATGAATACCGTTTTACCAAAAAGGATTTGCAACCCATCATCAAAATCTTTATTTCTCAACTCAGAAGTTTGATTGGTATCCATGATTTACAGACGAAACAATTCGTAAGTGTTTGTGTGTGTGTGTGTGTGTGTGTGTGTGTGTACATGTATTTTCTTTTTCTCATTTTGATCTCACTGGAAAAAGGTGTATTATTTCTAGCCAACTGCAGAGTATGATGTGACTTTTGAACCTGCATCTAAGACGGGTATCACCACATTAGAAAAGGATAATTTAATTCGTAGCCGAACTCTGGAAAATGTAGTGAATACGATCAGCACACTGAAATCGCTGTCCCAATTAGTGGATGAAATCCCCAATATGGTAGTTCAGGATCATATCAATAGTAAAGTGCGTGATTCGTTAGATGCATTGACTTCCGTAAGTGAAGCACTGGCAGTTGAAAACTATGTGGTGGCATTGCAACACTCGATTAAAGCGATTGAGCTTGCTGAAAAGGCGTTTTTTGACCCCACCATGGTATCTATGCTTTATTTCCCGGATGAGCACAAGTATGCGATTTATATGCCTTTATTTGTACCTATTTCTGTACCATTGATCATGGCACTGTTAAAGCAATTTAAAGCATTAAAGCAGTCCAAGATAAAGAAGGAATAAATAAAGAGGGAGTATTACACATGTATACATATATTTATAAGTCTGTAAAAAAAAAAAAAAAAAAAAAAAGGGGTACATTTATCTAAATAGTTATTTTTTGGGACAAACACCAAATCTATAATCAAGATCCAACAACATTTTCAATGCGTTGGTTGAACGAAGGATAGCTCTGTTCTCGATGGTTTGTTGTGTGGGTTGACTTGCTACGGCAGCTGTGGTTGTGGGAGCAGGGCCATGACCTGGAAGAGGCACTAATTGATGTAAGAGTTCATATACAGTCAAGGTCACACCAAATTGAGGTGAAGAACGGAGAATACGAGCAGGACCTCCCTTGAAGAAGGCCTTAAAACCTTCTTCAGCAAAAATCTTTTTAGCAGCATCGGCAATACCATTGTATGTGGTTTGACCCTTACGAGCCTCTACTTGCAAACGTGTCTTGATGACATCAGCAGGGGTAGTGAAATAAGCAGCAGGCATACCAGCAATAGCACCTGCCATGAGTAGTTCAGAGATGGCTAATTTGTGTTCGGGACCTTCCTTGAAGAGATCCTTCTTTAAATGTGCATAAGCGGGGAAATAAATGGCAGAGAAAGGAACATCACGCAAGAGACAGGCAGCGACTCCCTTGTAAAGACCTACGATACCCAAATGCTTAACAATCCAGATGGCGGATCGACGCGGTGCAGCATCGGCGGTTAAATTCTTGGCTTGTTCACCTTGAATTTGAAGACGAATTTTAACGATTTCCAAAGGATTGGTAAAGACGACTTGAGAGGCACCAGCAGCACCACCACCTACCATCTCTTGCCAGAACTTGATTTCCCCGTTTTGTCCAGAACTGAATTTATTACGTACAAAGTCATTGACGGTTAATTTGATTGCCTTTTCCGGTGCAACACCCTAAAGATACAGAGTTTTAATTGGATGGGAGAATATGTATATATATAAAATAACTTACGACAAGTTGAGGACCTAGACCTCTGTATAAACCGGCAAAACCTTCATTTTTCAAGACCTTTTTGAAGCAGTCCAAACTATTCTTATACAAGAGTTCACCAACTACTTTGGAACGTTGATTTTGCATACGTGTTTTCACTAAATCAATGGGGTATACAGCGGTGGCACCAACAGCACCTGCAATGGAGCCAAGGGTGAATGAATAAGCACCTTCAGCAAGTTGATAAAGGAAACCACCCTTCTTCTTTTCGGTGAGTGGAAGGGGAGGATCTACAGTTTTAACAGAGGTAGTCCAACGAGGATCCAAGATACGTGCGAAATCATCAAAGCCAAGTACACCAGAATCATCATCTACACCAGCAAAATGAAAGATAACATCTACTTCCATGGGTGTAAAAGCAGTGTAACGACTGGCTTCATGTGCGTGTTTCAAGAAATCTGACTTGGTAATCTTTTTATCTTGGTTGTTTTCTATAGCTTTACGTATAACAGATTCTACCATATCAATGTTACGAATGACATTATGAAATGCAACGACAGAAGAGAAACTAATCTTGTTTCCACTGTAGAGGTTACAAAGTGTAGGTAAATGATCAATCACGTCATCAGATAATTTGTGTTTGGCTACATCCAAGATAATCTTTTTAAAATCTTCGGGTTGAATATAACCTGATTGTTCCTTGTCGTAATGTTTAAACTCTTGACGAAGACGTTCACCTTGTAAACCCTTGATCAATTGACTAAACTCGGGATAAGATAATTCGTGATTTCCTTCCTTTGAACCAATGTACAACTTGAGCCAATCACAATCAAAATCAAAGGGTACAGCATCTCCAGGCATATTGCTGGAAAGTACACTCTTAAACCCATCAAATGTGACTTTACCTGTACCATTCACGTCAAACACACGGAAAGCCACTTCATACTCCGCATCAGGCTTGGATAATAAATCTTGGAATATAACAAAGTCGTCAAATGAGATGGATCCAGTACTGTTACGGTCAGCTAATTTATAGAGCAATTCATATTGTTCCCTTTGGATCTTTTGAAAGTCTTCGCCCGGTGCAATAGCAGATAAAAAGTCATCCTTTGTCATGAACTTTTCCTCACCTTTTTCAGCAGAAGCATGTTGTTGAAACGTACGACGGTATTGCTCCAAACGACTATGAATGCTATTATCCACGCTCATTCTTTTTTTTTTTTTGGTAGTTAGGGAGAGAGAAAAAAAAAAGAAAAAGAAGGGGAAAAAGAGAGAAAAGGCAACGAAAAAAAAAAGGTACCCAGAACATTGAAAAAAATTGCGTGTACGGAAACATCGGGGGTGTTATTAGTGAGCAAACCAATAAGAATTAAAATCTGTGTGTTTTCTCACCCGGGAAATTAAATCCCTTTAAGGTTTTTATTTCCTCCTTTTGTTGTATATATATAAGAAACGTTTTATAAGATTTTAATCATAATAACACATCACGCTTTTTTTTATTATTATTATTATTTTCGGTTGCTTGCTGTAATAGATCACCCTGGCCCAAAAACAAGTTCAACTTCCTTCATTGAAAAAAAAAAAAACAATTCGAGGCGAGTTCAAATCATAATAACCCGGCATGTGAATCCATGGGGAGAGAAAAAAAAAAGTGTTCCCGAGTCAGAAAACTTTATTTGGTGTGTGAAAAAGATCTTTACACGTGGCTAAAATAAGTTTTTTATTATTGTCCTTTTTTTGGCATCTTCTTTTTATCATCCAAATTATCCAAGTCGCTCTGTTTGTAATAATGAGGTGCAACTATACAATATATGTGTTAGTTAAAAACAGACTAAAAAAAAAAAAGAAAGTAGTTGTTGTTACCATCTAGTAACCACGCTGGTTGTATTTCCATCACTTGTCGCATGTATTCTTTGCTGGTCAAGACCAATTCAAAATAAATCAACCATTTTGGCTTCTTTTCAAGCATACCACTACTGGGATGAATATGAACTGTTTGATTTTGTTTCACAGTACGATAGGAATCACCCGACTTATTTAGCCTGGCGGCATTAAAGAAATAACCCGCTGTAACAGCCTTTTGGATAGGAATTGTATCATTCGGATTTGGATTACTGACCAATTTGACTTCAACACGATCCATCAATTGCACCAACTGATCTCTCACATTACGCACACGTTCTAATGTACGTACCTGCACAAAATTCTCATAACACCATTGGATCGAATAATCCGTTTCAACCCATTGGTTCCAAATATTCAATAAGGTTAAATGATCGCCACCCGGTTTCACCAAATTCTGATGCGCTGTGTCCGCTAATATTTTCTTATCTTTAGGTCGGTACAATAACGAACTTTGTTCACTTAACATGGCACACACAGACACTACTTCATCCGTGCACTCGTATTTCTCCGCAATGATAATACATTTTGATAAACACGGGTCCATAGGGAACTCTGCCATGCGTCGTCCAAGTTTAGTAAGTTCCGCTCGATCATTCAAGGCACCAAGTGCATATAACTGACTTAACGATCGAATCATTGTATCTTCCACAGGTGGATCCAAAAAGTCAAAATTTACTAAATCATTGATACCCAAACTCTATATATAAAACCATCGTCAGTCATCACACACATTATACCAAAAAAAGGGGGACCCGCCTTTTACCTTTAGTAACAGTACAACACTTGACAAGTTGACTCTTTGAATTTCAGGCACCGTATTTTCCTCCATTTCATTGTAAAATGCCCATTGAGTAAACAAACGGAAACACTTACCAGGACCCGTACGACCTGCACGACCAGCGCGTTGAGTCGATGAAGCACGCGAACAAGGCACTACAGTCAACGCTTCCATACCCGTTCTGGGATTAAATGATTTCTGCTTATTAAATCCAGGATCAATGACAAATGAAACACCGTCAACTGTAATGGAAGTTTCCGCAATGTTGGTAGCCAAAATCACTTTACGAGCTCCTTCAGGTGTAGGTTCAAAGATACGTGATTGCATGTCGGAAGGTAAATTGGCGTAAATGGGACAAATCATAAGCTCAGATATTTTACTGCCTAGTGCTTTACATGCTTGTGTGAGTCCTTCATTAGCCGCTTCAATTTCATCTTGACCCGTCAAAAAGACCAAGATATCGCCTTTGGGTTGTGTCACATGGATGGTCAAGACCTGAGTAATAGCCGCACGTAAATAATTGGCTTCGGGTGCCTTTGTATAAAAGATCTCGACGGGGTAAGGTCTACCTGGAATACTAAAGATGGGTGCATCATCAAAGTATTCAGAAAACTTTTGAGCATCCATAGTAGCACTGGAAATCAACAATTTAAGATCAGGTCTGAAACGAGCAATATCCTTGATCAAACCAAACAGAATATCCGTAGACAAGGTTCTTTCATGCGCTTCATCAATAATCATACAACTGTAGGAAGCCAAATCAGGTTCGGTCATGAATTCACGTAAAAGCATACCATCCGTCATGTATTTTACCGCAGTTTTCTCAGATGTACAATCTTCAAAACGGATACTATATCCAACTTCTTGTCCCATATGTACACCCATTTCTTCTGCCACACGTGCAGCAACACTCATGGCAGCCACACGACGAGGTTGTGTACATCCAATCTTTTTGCCGTCTTTTGAATAGCCTGCTTCATAGAGATATTGTGGTAATTGTGTTGTCTTTCCAGAACCTGTTTCACCCACAATGACAAGTACTTGATAAGTGTTGATAGCGTCAATTAAACTGTCACGGTAACTGAAAATGGGTAATGATTTTCTAACTTCGTCAATGGAGGCTGCTTTACGTTCTGCTTCACTGATACGTTCTAATAATTCGGCATCCTTTGGGTCGGGTTCATTCAATTTGGCAGCCATAACGAAATCGATTTTCTGAGCCTCATCAAACACATAATCGTACTCGTCTTCTTCTATTGCTGCAGAAGGCTTTGATGTAGCCTTTTGAATTTGAGATTTCTCCCAAACGTCATGTTCTGTCTCGAATTTTTCGGCCTCTTCATAACGCTTATAGAGAGCATCTTCCTTCTTCTTTTTATCGATCTTACCCTTTTCGGTGATATAATCCTCGGGCATCATATAGCCATCTTGTTTGGTATCGATATTCATGCGAGCCTTGGTCAATCGTAAGACTTCCTCTTTATATTCCAAATCCTTAATTTCTCGCTTGGTCATCTTTTGATCTGCAAAGAATCTTTTCTCATCAGCGATTTCTTGCTCTAAAAGAGCTAATTGTTGCTCTTCACGCATCTTGAGATATTGTTGGTTGGAGCGAGTACGTAATTCGGGTAATGCTTCTTGACGTGCTTGTTTATCATCGGCCAAGTTACGTCGTTTATGAGCTTCGCTGCCTTCTTTTGCGGATCGATCCTCTACTACTTTTTTTGTACGATCTTTATCCTTGTTCTTTAATCGTTGTGCTAATTCGTCACGTTCTTGGAGATCCTTTAAACGTTCGAGTTCTGCCTGTGCTTCCTCGTTCTCTTCCTTGTCTTCTTCATCTACATATATAAAAAAAAGCAATAGCGTAAGAGAATATGACTTACAGAGAGTAAAAAAAAAAAAAAAGTCAAGACACTTACTCTGCTTGTTACGTCTGGTATCGGTTGTCTTGACTTCAGTATCATCGTCACTTAAATCTTCCTGTCTTCTCTTCTTGCGAAGTTTCTTTTCCTTTTTACGAATTCGACGTTCTTCCTCGTCCTCGGATGGAGGTTCGTCCATGACTACCTTGAAACGTTCGTTGGCTTGACGTAACTTGGCTTCTTCTAATAATTCCTTTTTTCGCTGCGCCTTTTCGGCTAAAGCTGCTGCTGCAATGGCTGATTTCGTCTGCTTGTGAGGTACTTTTCCATAGAGTTCAAAAGCAAATTGTTGCGTACTGGCATCACTAGGTGCTCCTGTGTTTACTAATTTGCTGTATAAATCCTGTGGGGAAGAAGCCTTTTGAGCTGCCATTCTTCATGTCAGTTTATGTGTGTGTAAATAATAATATATGTATGTATATACCTGTTGCAATAATGAAATCTACCATGGTAGTTTCAGACATGCCCATGAGCTATTTTGACAACTTTAGTAACGTGTTATTTTCTACTACTTTCATGTGAGTATGTACCTTCATGGCATTATCAGATACCCAAGAATGCAAATCCATATTCAATGTGTTGAAGACAAAAGAGGAAGAAGAAAAAAAAAATAGTAGACTTTTTCTAATTCTGCGCGCAGTTTCAACGTCACAAGTTCTGATTTTTGACAACACAGCAGATAATTCAGGTATGTAACATACTTTGGGCTTATGATTTGACCTGTAAGACAACAATTTCAATCAAATGTAAGGCAACCTTTGATAAATAATTTATTTGCTCTTGTATATATATGGCGCATTTCTTTATGTAATATGTACCTTTTATATTGCTGAAAAGAAAAAGTTTTGTTAAATAAAGGGATCACGTTTGATGATAGTCTACCCATACTTGTTTTTTTTCAAGAGAACAATTCTTATACATACATGTTTAGACTGAAAAAAAAGAATGACACCACCTGGGCTTAAAGTGTTCCCGTATGTAAACAACTTTTTTTTTTGCAGGCTCAAAACTACTGATCCGAAGAAAAGACTGCGTAGGATCACGTTTAAAAAAAATGTCTGGAACAAGGAAACGAAGTTTCGAACAAAAGAGCATTGAGATATGTGGACGACGCTTTTTTGTTTTACAGCGACAGAGAGAAAATACTGAAAAGATACTTAAACAACTCCAGTTGTAGAAACCCCTCTTTCAGTTTATCTAAACAGAAAGAGGCCCGCAGTTTCACGGTAGATATTTAAATATATATATACTTGGACATGCAAGCAGATAATAATGAAGTTGATACAGTACTATACGAATTTTTTCTAACGGTTTGAAAGTAAAAAATTAGACAGGATCAATTGGAAGAAATGCTTTGAACAAGATTATCTTGAAAAGATGGCATTAGTATATTCTGCTTTGCCCAAAATACGCATGTTATTTCTCCAAGAAGTGGGGAACCTTGCTGCTACGAGCTTTGTTCAATAATTCTTTTCACCAAGTTGCTGGACAACGATAATCACACAAATAGGAAGAGTGTTATATTGTTCAAAAATGTTGGTGCATTGTTGAATGATTTGATAAAATTCCTTTTCTGCAAAAGGTCTCAATAGTATTTATGACCATAGGAGGCAAATCAGTTTCAAGACTATAAGGAGTATACAGGATAGCACTAAATTTTTTTGATGTATAAGTCCTAGAAGTTCAATCTTTTTCTTCTTTAACAATTGTTGCAGTTATGACACTAACAATTCGTATATCAGTTAAAACGATCTTTGTTGATCAAATCAATTTTAAGACAGTATATAGTTGGGACGAAACTCTTGGTCGTTTTCGTCTAAATATTTTCTTTGCAAAATAGGAGCGAATCTTTTTACATCTTCACTGTGCATTTGACTTCATATTCATTTCTAACAGAAAAAGCGTATCTCTTTCAATTTTACGCGACACTTTAAATTTTAAATCGTGCACGACTTTCAATTTGGCAAAAGCTGTGCAGCAATTTTTATCATATCAGGCAAAAATTATTTGAAACGCCCCCATGATTCGTATGACGAAACACCTTCATCACATCTTTAACCGGACTATACCCGGATGCATGAACAGAAGTATACATGTTCTACCAATAGTGCCTTACAAAAGGAAAACCACTGAATTGAATATGTCTATTATTTGCTTTGAAAAATTAAAAAAAAAAAAAAAATTGTAAACACAAATAAACGTTACTGATTTATCAATAAAACGAATGATACAACGTTGCTTATTATTTATCAAAAAAAAAAAAAAAAAAAAAATCAAAACAAAAATAAAACAAAAAAGTTCAATGACTTGTGTTACGTCTTTCCTTTTTTTTTTCTTTCAACTTTTTGCCATCCTTAAACAACAAACAATTAAAAAAAAAAATGGATTCTCCTCCTACAGACGATATAAAACATACCGCTGATCCATATGTAATAACCGAAATTACACACGAAGAAGAGATATCGGATAATCATTCAATGAAGCACACGCAAGAAACTGTAACTAAGGCTATTCCTGTGATCGACTACTACGAAAATGAAGTCTACAGCAAGGAAATCCCCATACTTATGCGTGGTATTCAATTGGTTAAATACGGAAACTTGACCGAATCTCTTCAATACAGTGAAGGTATTCCTGTTCCCAAATTAGATCATAAAAAGTCTCAGATACTGGTCCAAGTCAAGGCTGCAGGCGTGAACCCAATCGATGTAAAAGTAGCCAGCGGCAACATCAAATTTGCCACTTATGCCTTGTCTTTACCCACTGTCATTGGTGCTGATTTTGCTGGCTTTGTCGTCGATAAAACTGATAAAGTGGTGGATTTCGATATTGGTGATCATGTTTGTGGTACACAGAGATTTCCTTTCACTTCGCACGGGACACATGCAGAGTACACTTTAGTTGACATTCATGATGCTACCGTAGCTAAAAAGCCAAAAGCAATCCCTTTTGAAACGGCAGCAGCAGCAGGTGTAGCAGTCATTGCCGCATACAAAGGTATTATAGAACAAGGTTCTATTGATGATGCCAACAAGCAAGAAAAGAGAAGTATCATTATAGTAGGCGCATCAGGTGGTGTAGGAAATTACGCTCTTCAGTTGTCGAGATTAATCAATCGAGACAACACAGTCATTGCCATTTGCAGTGCCAAGAATGCAGACATTAATCTATCTTTTGGGGCAACTAAGACTATTGATTACAACAATAAAGAGGAATTTGAAGAGTTTGTAAAGGCTAGTGAACATCAAGAAGCTTTCGATATTATTCTCGATTGTGTTGGCAGTAACGAGTATTTCGACAAATTAAGCAGACTGGTGAAAAAAAAGGACGGAGTCTATTGTTCTACTGTTGGGCTGCTTGAATATTTCGGAAGCCATGGTAAATTCTCTTTCTCTGCTGCGCTCAAGTTGTTATGTAAGATAGGTTACCGAAGTATGACTTTAAATGGTCGATACACCGTTCTAAATACACTCACTGGCAATTCCTCTGATATATTAAAGAAAAAAATATTGCCCATTATCGAGAACAAAAGACTTATTGCCCCGATCGTGACTGGACATAGTACTAAAATTGTTGCGCCTATTATCAGTAACAATAGCATAATCCCTTTAAAATATGCACATGAAGCTTATAAAAAGATATTAACAAATCATACCTATGGCAAGATCATACTCACCATTGATTGATGCTCAAAAAATGAAATAAATAATAATAATAAAAAATAATTACTGCGTTTTCATGTGCGTATTAATTAAAATGTACACTTTCCCAGTTATACCGCATGAGTATTGTTTTTTTTTTAGTTGATTGTGCCTGATTTTATGTGAAACGAACACTCCGGTGCATTTATACAGAGAATCCGGACCGGACTTATCCCAAAGTGCCAGGGATCTTGCCAACTCATTTTAAAAGCCACGAGCCTCCTCTTTTTCACACTTAACCCTACTCCCCTTTATTCTCTTTGCACACGGTCATAAAGGATCTTTACTAACGTGCACGAGAAAAAAAGCGATACCAGTATTTCATAAACTTTGATTTTAAAAAACAAAGCAGAAGAAAAAAAAAAAAAGAAAACTCATGTATATATATAAAACCTACAAACATAATGACTTCGTTTAATTCCACCACAGCAACACCTTCAGCAGTTTCTGAACTCGTGAGTGCAACCAAAGAAACCAATTTACAGGAGCCTATTGTTGCTTCGATAGATTCCGGACCAGTACAAGCATATGCAAAGCTAGAAGGAGATGACTTTTGCTATTACATTCGTACATTGCAAGTATCTCTGGGAAGAAAAGTAACCAACCCAGATAATGTCGATATACCATTAGGAAATACGAAATCTGTTTCACGACAACATGCGAGATTGTTTTATAATTTTTCTTCACAACGCTTCGAGCTCAAGGTGTTTGGTAAAAACGGAGCGTTTGTAAACGAACAATTTGTCGAAAGTGGTATTACTGTCCCTTTAGAAAATAAGTATGTTTAATATTTCATTGTACTACTTTTAAAACAAAAAGGCTAACGAAACAAAACGTGGAATAGAACAAAAATACAAATTGGTGAAATGGCCTTTGTGTTTCTATTACCAAAGCCAGATACGGATACTGTAAATACAAATAATAACACATCGCCTCATAATAATGATAATAACTTTGGTTATATATCAACACCTCATCAACTTGAAAAAAATATTAAAAACACATCTGCAGCCCTAATACAATCCTCTCGAGCGCAAGATTTGGATGATTTCGACCTAAGTGATGATGATGCCAGTGAATCCTCAGAACCAAACCCATACAACAACAAAGATATCAAACCGCCTTATTCGTATGCCTCTTTAATCGCTCAAGCCATAAATTCATCAAAAGATAAACGCATGACCCTAAACGGTATCTACAATTACATCACAACAAATTACCCATATTACCAAATGGCACAAAACGGGTGGCAGGTATGTTTTTTTTTTAATATTTATAAATACAAACCAATGATTGTCTGACAATGGTTTACACAGAACTCAATTCGTCACAATCTGTCTTTAAACAAGGCTTTTGTAAAAGTACCACGTGGAGAAACTGAGCCTGGAAAAGGCGCGTTTTGGACAATTGATGTAAACGCTGAAACACAATTCACAAACGGTGTATATAAGAGGAATAAGAGAAGTGGCAGCATTATATCTGAAAACATTAAAAAGAAACCAAAGAAAGATACCATGACTAAAGTGACCGCAGACTTTGAAAATAGCGAAGAGGAAGAAGAGGAAGAGGATGAACTGGCTGAAGAGGAGGAGGAAAAGACTTCGGTAGAGGAAGAAGAGGAAGAAGAAATCACACAATCATTATCAGTGGCGGACAGTACAGTTGAGAAGATGACGGAAGAGAAAGAAGTGACTCCAGCCCCAGTTGTAAAAGAGAAGCAAAAAGAGCCATCAACATTAGTGAAAGAACCTGTTGCAGCAACAGGTACTGTAGTCGATGTTACCAATAACAACAACAACGATAATAATACGAATACGAATAATAATACACAAGAGGCTCAGGCTCAATTACAGTTACAACTTCAAAATACAATTCGACAACACTTGTTAGATCCAGTACGTTATCCTTTACCGCCTTCCATTGCTCAATTATTACCACAAGCTATTGCTCAGTTACCACCTCAATTAGCAACCCAATTATCATCCACACTTCAAACAACCATTAAACCAGCACCTGAACCAACCGCTGCTGATGAACCTCCTGTCACCCAAACCGAAAAATAGTTCAACCCTCCCCTCACCCACATATTTCCCCTTTTTTTTTTATTGTCCAGTGTATAAAAATAAATCCTTTTTTCTATGTTTATCATCATGATGACGATATAATAGCGTTTTTTTTTATTATTTTTATTATTATGCCCGACCACATAAAATTTTTATATTTGCCGATTCTGTCATCTCTCTTTTTCTTTTTCTTTCAAATCATACAAATATGAGTCGTCAAATTGCTTCCAAGATAAAATTATGGTAAAGACGATTGTAAGATGTTTTGATGATTTTATTTTGAACTTTTGTTTAGCTGTCAGGATATTACCAAAATTAAAGTTGACGCTATTGGTAAAAAAATAAAATAAAAATAAAATAAAACAGTATGGTCACTAATGAACTTAAAAAGTCAATGCTGCTAATAATTCTTTACTCGGTGGTGGGGGAGGTAAATATGATGTTTTAACCAAAGTTGATGGTAGATATTAACGAGCCTGAATCATAGTGGACGGGGCAATCCATAGGTATATTACAAGTAATGGTTGAATTCAAATGTCAATATGTCTGATTTTTTAATTTAGAGCGGCGGGACCAGAATTACTTAAAGAATGCCGTACCTTGCATGGATGTGATGATGGAGTAAGAGATAATGAATGCCGACTCCAATCTTAGTACATCATGGACTAATTATTCTGCTGTAATTTTTCTTAATAGGATGCAAAAATTACCAAAGGTGAGTCATTTATTAGAAAGCCTGATTATTGAATAATAAGAAAAACTTTCTTTAACTAATTTGCCTTATATGATAGGCTACAATTTGCCGGCCAAACGTAAGTTTCTTTTTTGTTTATTCGTAAACAACAAACACATAATATTCGCCTTATAGATGTCATACACACCGTTGGCCCACAATCCGAGAAACCCGCTGTATTGGCCAGTTGTTATAAACGTTCGCTTGATGTACTGAGAGAGAATGGGTTGCGCTCCATTGCTTTCCCATGTGTTGCTACAGGTGTCTATGGTTACGATAATGAAAGAGCTGCCAATGTTGTCCTGAAAACTGTCCTTGCGGAATTAGAACAGCACCCAGATAAGGTAAGTCTCCTTTTCTTATGTCAGCTAACTATTTGGACACGTTTGCTTAATCATTATTACGATTAGATTGACAAGGTTATATTTGTTTTGTTTAATGAAAAGGATAAAAAAATCTACAAAGGTTCATGAATCAATGCAATAATTTTGATATGGTTATTAACTTTTTTTTTTTTTTTTTGCACGAAACATTGTTAGATCTAGTCCCAAAGTACTTCCCGGGTGCTTCAACAGAATATGCAGAATAGATTTATTTGTTTTTTTAGCCAATTAAAGCACAACATGATAATGAATCACAATTATAAAACACCCGCTCGTTTTTTATTTTTTTTTTATTTTTTTTTGTGTCAAATTTGTTTTTATTTCTTACCAAAAATTATGTTGCGTTCAATAAGCCGTAGATTTGTAAGTTTTTATCCACCATCCCAGCGGATGAAATTTCTTACTAGGTTTTTTTTGTTTTTTTTTTGTATATACACATATAACAGTACAGTAGTGCACGCACACCTTCGCCTTCCACATCTGCCTTGTCGTTCAAAAGTCATATCCGACAAAAGAAATTTGGTCCTGTTCCCACTGCTGAAGATGCCGTGCGAAATATATTGCATAATACGCCGGGAGAATCTGAACATCAAGTCGTGCGACATACACTTAGTTGTCTTGCACAGAACGAGCCCGGCGTTTTAAGTAAAGTTTCGAGCGTCTTGGCCAGTAGAAATTTCAATATCGAATCTATGGTAGCTGCAGACACAGAGATTCCAGATCTTTCACGTATGACAATTGTATTTAAAGGTGAAGACGTAAAAATAGACCAAGCAATGCGTCAATTGGAAGAGTTAGTTCCTGTTTGGGCTGTGTTGGATTATACACATACGAGATTGATTGAAAGAGAGCTATTATTGATCAAAGTGTCCATCCTTGGATCAGAAAATTTAATTACAAAGTTCCACAACGAGGATGGTTTAGAGGACCAAGCAAAACACGAAGAGGATGATTCAGAGCCAGATATTGTATGACACCCCCATTTTTTTTTATATATTTTAGGCAAATATGTAAGAGGGACGGTCGAATTCTAATGATGTCATGCCAATTTATTTGTTAGGCCTCACTTGAAAAATCAGCGGCTACTGCTCTTCGGGCTACATTTGATCATTTACGCGCTGTTAGTGAACTAGCCAATTTGTTTGAAGGTAATATTGTCGATGTTTCTTCTGATTCTGTTGTGGTTCAAGTTTGCGCAAAATCAGATCGCATCACATCATTCATAAAACTGTGTAAACCTTTTGGTATTATTGAAGCTGCAAGATCCGGAGTCATGGCACTGCCTCGCGCGCCTTTGGATGATCCCACTGATATAGATGGCCAAGAAGAAGAAGACGAAGCTGTTGATCTTACATCGCTTCCCCCTGGTTAAATTTAACACTATAATAAAATCATTTCAATATCTTATTGTACAGCTTTAAACAAAAAAAAAAACTCTTGTTTCCATAAAATGTGTTAGTGTTTCGATAGAACTAATTTATTTATTGGTGTTTGCAGTTAACTGTCAGCCCATGATTTACTTCGATATGAGTGTGATTCGGATTAATATACGTATTGTAGTGATGTCAGGATGCTGGTATCACTACCAATTACTTTATTCAGGACAGACTAATAGAGAGGCTCAATGGATTGGCAAGAACACATATGTTCTCCCAGGATTAATTTATATAATCAGAACCATCATTAAAAGTGGTAATATCATCATCGATATTCTGCATTGTTTTTTGATTCTTTTCCTCGGCAGTTGGCTATCGGCGTTTTAGTAGTAGCATGCCCTGATAGTGAAGCATATTTTATGAAAAATAAAAATCGATCATCCTATGAAAATAAAATGATGTGGCATATCAATTGACGTAAACACTTCTCTTAGACTAATGTGTGAACTATCACGTAATTCTAAAAAAAAATACGTTTGAAAAAGGATGGGTGAAAAAGTATACGATTTTTAATATCTGGATTTGAAATTCAATTGAAGGTCTTTGGCCACAACAAAAAAGATGCCTTTGGTAATCACTTCGTCTTCATGGATGGAGTCCTTTGGTAAAGACCAGGTGTATTTTCGAACTACAAATTAAAAAAATATATAAGCCTAATCTGATTGTTTTAAATTATTCTTAAACTTACGTAGCATTGAAAGTACCACTTTTTGCTCCTCTAAACTAAATTGCATGCCTATACACTGTCTTGCTCCATTACCAAACGGAATCCATGGGTTTCCAAACTCACCCGAAATTTTTTGTTCCGCTTCACCTCCTGGCCTAAATCTATCTGGGTTGAATTTGTGAGGTTCGTCCCAAGTAATTGGATTTCGATGCGTATTGTAAATATCAATCAAAAGTACTGTGTCCTTTGGGATAAACACATCGCCCAAAGTACAGTCCTCTCTTGCTTTTCTTGCAGATGCAACAGGAACGGAAGGTTGGATTCTTAATGTCTTTTTTATGATAATTAGTTCTGTGTCTACTTGATTTTTTGTTGTGAAAAGGTTCGTACCTCTTTGATCACCATGTTTAAATACTTCATCTCTTTGGTTTGTGCGCTGGTAGGAAGCACATCTGATTTTGAATTTCCTAGCACGTTTACTACGTCTGCTCTGGCTTTCAGTTGTATGTCCTAGTCTCAGTTAGTACAATTACACGGAAGGTTTTTTTTTTTTCAGAAACACAACTTACGGGGTTCACAGCCATATGATACAACGCAAATGACAATGCACCCGTTGTAGAGTCATGACCTGCCGAGAAAAACAGACACAAGTTGCTCTATAAAGCCAAGAATAAACAAAAAAGCACACTTCAAAATTAGAGCACTCTAATTTTTTTATACCTTTAATTCTTCGTTTGTCATGAATGTGTTGTTATCGTTTTCATTTTTCTCGTTTTCCAAGAGCAAAGTCAAGATGTCTTTTTCAGATAAATCCTCTTTCTTTTCAGCAACAACTATACCTTCATCTTCATTCACTATCCTTCTTTTTTCTTCAATCATATCATCCATGAGCTTTAGAAAACGATCACAATCTCGATGGATGAGTTTTCGCTTGGGCAAAAAGTTTAAAAAGTGACGTTCCAAGACCGGGAAAAAGAAATAGACCGGATCCTGCATACCCACAATGATATTCTCATATGTTCTTAACCATTCGTTACTTGGGTCATTCAATGCATTGATATCAAATCCTGCGTTTTGCGTTGCGACGGGGGAAAGTCAATACAGCTTCACGATCAACCTTAATATATATATATATATATAAATCTGGTTACATACCAAATCCTGCCAACGTTAATGCATTTAATGTCAAACGCTTTAAAACATCTCCTATTTCTATACTTGTTCGCATTTCAATGCTCTGGTCAATGACTCCGAACATCTGGATAGTTAGTCTCCCAAACACTTTGTGGGGTATCACTTGTTGAAATGCTGGATTGGCAATCTAGGATTTTTTTTTTAAAAAAAAAAAATTAAAAGTTTACATTTAATTTCTTTCTACTTTATATTTCTTACTTACTTTTCGATGCCTTTTCCAATCTTGATTTTCTAAAAAAACCATGTTTGGACCCACTATAAATTTGTTTGGCAGACTACCTTCTCCACCTGATATAAACACATCTGCTTTTGGAAATTGATCTAAAGTGGGGGGAAAAAGTATGGTTATTCAACCCAAGTTTCATGAAAGTTATACTGACTTGTCCCTTACTTTGTTTGAGTAAAATTGATTTGATGATTTGAGGGTTTGTAATATAAACAGTCCATCCCAATCTCGTTGGTCGCTAAAGTTACCCGAAACCATTAATAATATGACTTGTGTGTTTATAAGAATTCTCTTCTTACAGTATATAAACCTTGTGCTTTAGACAATATTGGCTCTACAAGTCTTCGACTGTATTGAGAGATAGGTTCACGTCGCAACAAGACATTCATCATTTGAAAGTAATTTAAAAATGGAATATGTCTTAATTGTCTAGGGGGCCGAGATACTTTTCGATACGTCCTATAAAGGAATACGGCTGTCATTGTAACAGCAACCCATGATAGGTTCTTTTTGTGGCGAACAAATATTTTCGTGTTTTCTAACCAGTAATTCATAAATCAAGGTTCAAAAAAAAAAAAAAAGAAAGAGAAAGAGAGAGAGGGAGAGGGAGAGAGGAATTCCTTAAAGATGAACAGTGATAAACAGTTATCTGCCTGTTCATGCAACACCTCCCTAACATGAAGCTGTTTATTTTGATCGGCTGCAAGTTCTTTTTTTTTATTTTGTTACAATGTCTTTCTCAAAGCCTGTTTTTGGCAGATCGTTTCGGTAACTTTAATTTTAATTGGGACCATTCAGCCAAGCACTTTTTTTTTTTGCAGCTTCTTTTCTCTTTTAACCCTTTTGTCGATTTACCTGTTGGCTCATTGTATAAAGTTGCAATCCAAATAATTTATTAACACATGAACATGTAGTAGAATGGTGGGTTCTATGCATCCATAAATTTACTTCAGATTAGACAGACAGATCAAAATCTCTTTTTAAAAGTAATGTTTCATTTTAACAAAGTGTCCAAGGTTACGCCTTTCTTTTGTAAATAAAGTTTAGAAGAGTCGACCATGTAACTTCAAGTTTGTTTGGCCAAATAACAACATATTATTCCGCTGATAATTTCATGGCTTTTTTATCCCACAAATAAATGAATAAGCTGTCATTTTCATGCAACTTATAAAATATGCACGAAACTCACCCCCAGGACATCTTTAGAATTTTTATGGATATTTCATCTCATACAGTATTGTGGCTATACCTTTTGCAGGCGTAGTAGATGTATCCATGAGAGAACCGGGTAATGTAAAAAGAAGAAAGTCGGAGCAACTAAACCTAAAGATCACTAGGTGATAAAGTGTCAGTGCCCAGTGGAACTGCTGAGTTCTCATTATATGCACTTTAATGTTGACACAATGGGATATAATGAACACGTTTTCCCAGATATGCAAAATGGATATCATACTGTTATGGATAATGCTTAGGGCGGAAAGACAGTATTACCATAAAAGTAAAGCGAAACATCTTTTTTTTTGGCTGTAAGAAAGTTCTTTTTTCCGGGGGTGGATTAAAACATTTCCCGCCGGTTTAACCCGTCACTGAAAAAAAAACTATGTGTCATATATGCATTTATTTTAGATGTTTTTACGGAAAAAAGGATGGAATGGGGAGGGGGGGGGGGAAGTGTCTAAGAGGATTGTTTAACCATTTTTGATTCGTGCTTTGGAGAGATGGAATCAGGAAGTTCGAGAACAGCTCTTAATTGAGCATCAGGTTGTTCTTTACGAGTTTTACCCTCATCACCAACATACATGGATACAGTAGCGGATGCCATTAAAACTGCGATTGTAACAGCTTGTGCATACATACGGGCTTGAACCACCTTTTGTTGTGTTGTAAGATACTTGTTAGAGAAACTATATCCTAGCGCACCCACCATCGAAGCGGCCCAAGAAACACCTATTAACCATAAACGTAAAAAAAGACATACGTCAATATTCTCTCATTTAAAACCCTTCTTTCCCTTGCTTTAATCCAAACTTACCAATAAATGACCAACGATTGTCGTTTAAATAACGTAATGATCTGTCGAATGTGGATAAGTGTTCATCAGATACACGATCTGAACGTAAGTTGGCAAGCATCTCTTCATCAGTGTAACCAAGCACATCATTTTCATATTGAGAAACAGCTCTATCAGAAGCAAACAAGAAACCAGCAGTGGTAGCTATGATAGATAATGAAGGTAAGTAACAAAAATCAGATACAAACTTATATTTGTCTTACTTGATACAGCCATGAGTGATTGCATAGGCTTGCTCAAAGCCCTGAAATCTGGTGATCTACGGATAGTGAAGGCAGTAGCAGCAAGACCCAAACCAAGACCAATGGCAGCACCCTTGAGACCACTTTCGAAAAAGACCTTTTCGGCAGCCTTTTCTTGTTGTGGTGATAAAGTTTTGTTGGACATTTTTTTCTGTAAAGTTTGTATTAATAATAATAATGAAAAAAAGAGAGGAGGGGGGAGGTAGAATTAAAATGAACCGATTTATACACAGATACTTTTTTTTTTTTTTTTTTTTTTTTCAAATAAAAAGTGTCCGGGCCGGACAAATGGATTGAAAGTGGGATGATTTATAAACAACTGATTTCACAGGGCCAACCCTTGAGTCTGTTATTCGTATCCAATCGTAACAATGGAATTCCCAGATTTGTCATCTGCGTCTCAAGCTGATTCTTTTTAATATTTTACCCATTTTCTCGGCTTTACATAAAACCTGGACTTCTAAGAAACCATACATCATACGTTAAAGTCATGATTTGTCTTGTTTACGTCTACACCGTCTTAGTATACAACAACTACCTAATCCTTTTATTATCACTGTGTCAGAAAAAAAAATTGCTTCACTCACTTTGGAAACCCGACTTCGCACAGCAAAAAATGCGCATAATAGTGTATCATACACCTTTTTTTTTTTTTTGGAAAGATACAAAAAAAGTCTTTGTATGCTCTTTCCCCTTTCAAAGAAATGTCTAAACTGTTGAGGTAAACTCCAGACCATTTTCATGTACACTTTGTTGCTAAGATGGTAACTCATCCTTCTTGCTTTGCTGCTACCAACAGTCTCTTCTGGAAAGTCAGTATCATGTATGTCTACTTAATTAACATATCTGGCTGAGTCATAGTCAAATTCGTCCAGAATTTTTTTTTTTTTTGACAAGAGCCTCGCCTTGATCCCTCAAAGTGACAATACCTAATGCTTATTCGAAGCCATCGTTAATGTTTTCCTCATCAATTAACTCGTCAAGAAGTGCTTGAATCTGGAGCCCATTGAACTTGGCTTCTTATTCTGTTATTATGCTTGTTGTCTTGAATATAACTTATTTGTGAAAAAAAAAGAAGCAATGTCCTGAAAATAGCATACACTGTGCAATAAAAAAATATGAAAACACGAGCCCAGGAGATGACGTTGTGTTACACAAATGGTAAAAAGATGTTTCTTGCATGAACAAGCGTAAAATAATTTTAATTGGTCAAAAAAAAAAAAAAATTATATGTATTTTTCATTAATATTTAAAAACCCAAGCCAGCTTTTCGCCACTACGTGCCTGAAAAAAAAAATGGTGACCACCCTTCTGCAAGATGGAAATCCATATCCAATAGGACGACCGACACTTGAAATCAATGCTCCCCCCGAAGGATCATCGAAAGAAATCGCATATCAGAAGACATCTTTTTGTTAAAAAAAAAAAAAAAAAGAAAAAGAAAAAGAAACTCGCCGAGTTAAAAAAAAAATGGGTCCCTTTTTTTGGGTGGGTCGAATTTATCAGTTACACATAAAAATTTGGGACTTTCAAAAAAAACAAGTGGCTGCAACTTTTTCTGGTATCATCCTGACATCATTGTTTACAGCACTTAAACAGTATCACTACAATGCTGTGATAATATGTGTGAGCAGAGAAAAGTAGACAGTAGAATAAAGAGAAAGCACATATACGAAGTAGAGAATCCATCTTTTTTTTTTATAAAAAACTCGGATTCTCAATAAGGCAAGTGGGGCGCGCGTATAGTCTACAGCTTGGAGCGCCTTCTGTATTAGGGTCTTTCATTCTACCTCTTGGACATTGCTTTTTTAAAATCACATGAGCCATAATTAAAAAAAAAAAGCCTGCCCAACACATAGTTAAAACTGTCTGTAAAACAGTTATTTGGAGTCACCACCCAAGCCTTTCTTATTCATTAACCACGAAAAGCTACATGATGTGTGTTTAGAAAAAAACAGGGGATTCGTAGAGTCAAATAATCGCAAAATCTCAGAGTTGTGTAGAGTGTTTAATTCAATCTAATAGACTGCAAGTGCACTGTCAAGGGAGCAATGACTAAAGATAAAAGCTTTTGTTGTGTCCTTCTTTTCAGAACAGTCTTTGCATACGTTATTTTTGAAGCTGCGAGATGCTCTTTTGTAATACATACCCCACTGATAAAAATACCGATAACAATTTCCAAGTTCAGCATTAGACTGGTAAAAGGCTATTTACAGATGTATAAAGCTTAAAAGATATTATGGATTACTGAAATCTTCATAATATCGTCCTGACATGAATCAGCTCTTGCTTACACATCGTTTTTCTTTGCTCTTTATTGAGGAAAAAATTAATCACGGTAAAAAGGTCAGATAATAATGACCTGTTAAATGCCAAGTTAAATATAAATTATGACCTTCTTTTCTAATCTTTTATTGTTAAGGCTGTCTATTTTGAAAGTTATACAGTTAGAAAACAATGTCATCATATAATGTACCTATACTTCTCTAGTGCAATCACTGAGCTTTCACGCATATGAATGTCTTTTAATCTAGATCAAGTATTTAAAATTTAGGTTTGAAAATCCCCTTCCCCCGTTTGTAGTCGTCATACTTTAGAACTACTCGCTAACTATACATAGCAGGGCACAAATTTATAAGCCATGTAAAGCCTGTAAGAACAGGATATTGCACCCTCTTACAGGAGTTTAGTCTTACTTAGTACGGTTGATTTTTCTTTGTCATGGCTTGTAGATATATATGAGACATCTCTTTTTTTTTTGTGGGATAACAAAAAATGACATGCAGTGCTGATATATTTACCTTAGTACTTATTTATTGCCAATGCATCTATCCTAGAACGTCTCGGAATGCGGTAACCGATCTAGAAAATCCTATACATCAACTGATTACCAAGCTGCAAGAAAGCGATATATCTGAGTTTATCTGCTTTATTAAGTAGGTTCCTCACTTGATACTGCCCTGAATGTTTGACCGGTGTTATTCAATAGGATATGGAAAGGGGAGTAGTGGGAGATTACTTAAGGTTTATATTCTCTGTTGCTGGCTACAACAACAAATACAGAGTGATGAATTCTGCGATTATCTATCACACTAAAGAATAATTTATTAAAGTCCCTATGGGGCGTTTTTTATTATTAATAATTCCATGAACTTTACATTATGATAAGTTGTGGTTCCTTTTTTAACGACTTTTTCTTTCTTGGGTGTTTTGTTTTTATTTTTTGATGATAGGGGTTGAATACCCTTGTTCCCAGCTTTTGTGCGTCTGCTTCCATCAATAAACCAACTATAAATGATATATTTATGAAATCTCCCGATACACAAATGCTGTTTGATGAACCATTGCTAATAGCTACTCATTGTAGCCATTGCCATGAAATCGTTTGATGAGAGGAACTACTGGAAAAATGTAAATAATGTTTTTTGTGGCAAAGATTAACCGACGATAGGGGTTGATAAACATATTATTTACTTGGGCTTATTTCTCTTTGTGATCGGCAGCAACTTTCTTTGCTGATCATAACACACCAAGCATCGACATTTTGCTATAAAAAGAGACAATTTTCACTTAATTTTTTTTACAACAAAATATTTTCAAAACTTCAAAGATGCATACTTTCACAGTTTTGTTTACCCTTGTCATTTTATTGGCTTTTTTTGGCGCTGATGCTCGTGTTACTTTTGATGGTCAAAAAAGGGATCCTGAAAACAATAGTTCGTATGAACGTCGTGGTGGTTACTTGGATTCTATAACGGGTAGCAATATATCATTTATTAAATTGGACAAGGATGGAAAACCGTATATCGTAGAAAAACCCGTACCTAACACTAAATGACATTGTAATAGGATATCACAGTTTTAGTGTAAATGCTAATATTTTTAAAGATATTATCACTAATTAAGTAATAAAACAGACTCATTCTTGTTTACCACTTTTTTTTACTAAACTATCGCAATATTTTCTGCCTTTTTTTAATCTCTCGTTTCATCACAAAAACCATTTTTTACATCTTTATATTCCCTGACGCTTACTAGGTTTTCATTTATACAATAAATTCAAATTAAAGCAAATAGCTTTACATAGTATAGTTGCTGCCTGTCTCATTGAAACTGTGTTCAATAGTATTTAAACAACGATATTAAAGTGCATCTCAAGGGTATGTTTTAAGCCACAAGTCTCCACTTAGACAAGGCATTAATGTTTGAGAAAGAAAGTTATCCACTGTTTCACAAACCACACAGTTCAGTTTGTATACCAAGGTTCTGATAATAAATATATATAAACACCAAACACACTATATAAACGAATGGCATATGTGTAAAGTATATGCGAATCAGGTAGACATAAGCTCTTTTTTCTTTAACTGCTTTGTATTTATGTGCCTATTTTTTTACGCTTTGATAGGCCTAGTGGCATAGTGCGGGATCTTTAAAATCTCATTATTCGCTCCTTTAACATAAACTTCAGACCTTCGGAAGTAAGTTTTTGACTTGGGTGTATGTACGGAAGTGTGTTATCTACAAGCATGTCATTGTGAACACTCAGTGAATAGAATTTTGTTTTTTGCGAAACACTGTGTTAATGCTATATTTGGTATATGGAAGAGAATGAACGCAAAAATGATTGATTTAAGCATTTGTATATAGTTGCAATGAGGTAAAGCGGTAATTAAGCTTTACAATTTGAGCTGGATAATGATGAAGCAGGTTGAAATTAAGTAGTATGGAGGTTCAGACAGACGATATGTGTAGGCAGGTGACAAATAAATGTTCTGTTTGCAATTATACCCGGACATGCCTCTAAGTCAGAACTGAGGTGAGGAACGACTTGACTGGAGCTTTGTTGTTACGAAACGTGGGACCTTGACCCTCTAAAAGGGGTTGCAATTAATGTCACTGAAACACTTCTTATTCAATGTCAAAGATCCCGAGTCCTCTTTTATGATTGTAATGTTGAAAGAGTCGACAACTTGAGTTTTGGAAATATAAGGAATTGGTATTTAACCGATTGAATTTTGGCGATCTGGGCTTTAATCATAGTCATAGGAGATAACCGAATAACGTGCCACATTGTCGAATAAACTAGGTAATTTAAGACGGTAGCTTGTTTACGGATTGACAGTTGTTGTTGTTTGCGGAAGTAGCTTGCGTGTTGAATCTTATTGATGTTGGCATAATGATTGCATTGATTGATTGAAAAACAGAGTTGGAAATCTAGACAGCGTAGTAGAGCTGTTGAACATTGGGAGTGCCACCTAGTAATGTCTTGCTTTAATAAGAACTGTTTAAAAACCTCAGAGAGTTCATCATTGATTTCAAAAAGCTTCGGTTTTATCGTTGCCGTGCAAAAAAAAAAAAAAAAAAAAAAAAAAAATCTCAATATGAAAACATGCGCAGCAGAAGTCATGTTACACACGCGAGAAAAGGATAAATTTTGCATGAATAAGCTTAAAGTAATTTTAATTGGTCAAAAAAGTTTAAAGGTTTATAGTTTATATAGTTTATATTTTTCATTTTCATTAATGTTTAAAAAACCAAGCCCGCTTGCGCCCCTACGTTCCTGGAAAATTGTTGACCACCCTTCCCACAAGATGGAAATCCATGTCCGATAGGACGACCAACAATTGATATCGATGGTTATACCGCGTACTCCGGAAAGATCAGCGAGAGCAACCCCAAAGACATCGAATGTCGGAAGACAATTTTTTGATAGAGAAAAAAAAAAAAAGAAAAAAACTCGTAGAGTGGAAAAAATAGGCCCCTTTTATACCTTTTTTTTTGGGTGGGTTGAATCTATCAGTTACACATAAAAATTTTGGGACTTTCAAAAAACAAGTGACTGCAGTTCTGGTATCATCCTGACATCATTGTTTACAGCACTTAAACAGTATCACTATAATACTCTGATAATACATGTGAGCAAAGAAAAGTAGACAGTAGAATAAAGAGAAAGCACACATACGAGGTAGAGAATGCATCTTCTTTTTTTAAAAACTCGGATTCTCAATAAGGCAAGTGGGGCGCGCGTATAGTCTACAGCTTGGGAGCGCCTTCTGTATTAGGGTCTTTCAGTATACTTCTTGGACTTTACCTTTTAAAATGACATGAGCCATAATTGAAACAAAAAGTCTGCCCAAAACATATTTAAAACTGTCAGTATAACAGTGGCTTTTATTTGAATGTGCACCCTAAGCATTCTAATGCATTACCCATCAAAAGCTACATAATAAATTATTAGAAAAATCAGGGGATTTGTAGAATCAAGTAATCACAAATTCTTCGAAAAAATTGAATGTTCTAAAATATGCTATGGCTCCAACAATATTGACATTAGCAGTCCTTTATTTATAAAGGTCAACACTTGGTGGTTCTCCTACTTGAGACGGAGCTCGACCTATGATAGACATGCAATTTATTTGTTTTCGTAACTGAATCGAAGCCAATTATTTTGTCAATTTTGCTGTCTGAATAGGCTAAATCGTCCATTATTTTTATCCGTAATCATCTCCATTAACTTAGTAGCTGCTTGGAGGTAGCAAATATGATCCATATTAATTTCTAAAAGATTTAGTTCCAAAACAAAAGAAGAAATCATTTAAAACCTAAATGTTAATAATTTTTGATACAAAAGCCTTAAAAATTTTAACAACCAAAAAAAAAAAGGGGGGGGGGTTAAGACCAATCTAGCTTTCCATGTGTTCATATAATGTTATACGTTATCTTTATAGATGTTCTAATCAAACAAGTATATATTATAATAAAATAAAGATATGATGGTATGTAATCTGTGTGTTTAATGACATATTACCATGTTTCCTTGATGTGCTGTATAGTCTCCAAATTTTAAGTGACACGGATGCTCGTCATATCTTGTTTTACCTAATGAACAGCAATTTTTATTTTATTTTCGCTCTTCCAAGAGGTTGTAGTAGAAAAAACCATCCTGATGAAGGACTTATATTCTCTTGACTCTATCTTAAAACAGTCTGTGCATTTTTCACAGCTATTACTGTTACTAGTTCCCCCTTCAACCAATGCAAGCAGGCTATGAGTAGTACAGATTTGAGTTTGCTATAAACGGATAGGTAATATTTGATGTGAATTAAGTTTGTAACAGGAGTTCGACTGTGTTGCATGTCCTTTTCAGTTTACTACCTTATAGCAGATATAGTATCTAGCAGAATCTTAAGAATATACTTCATATTTTAATAGTTGAGTACGCAGTTTTTGTTAAGTGAATTACTGGGGAGACAGATTATATTTAACGGCTCAAAAAAATAAACCCAATGTTTAACTTGACCATTTGTGTGTTATTATGTTACTGAAAATTTAATTAGTACGACAAATACTAACTGAGGCATCGGATTTGTAAATATGTATAGATACGTGAAAGTAACCGTTATTTCATAAACTTAATCAGCATTAAAATACAGGAAAAAAGTTTATTGTTTGTCATGGTAGACTATTAATGAGTAGACAACTAACACAAATGAGCAAATATTCAAGGAAGAGCCTTGGTTTGGTTCGTGCATTATGTCATCACACGTCGGTTATTGCTCACTTGACATGTAATCCAACTTTTTAAAAAAATGAACCGTGAGAGCTCAGACTTGTGTATATATCATCAGGTTACCTCGGAATAGGACTTTTGTTATACATTAAAAAAAAATGACCGTAGTCTGTTTTCCTTAAATTATTGGTGGGTAAGAACTACCTTTTCAAAACGCGTAGTTTGAAATTGCAGACCACTGACTATCACACAATTATCTTGTCAAGATATGTCACTTTATTTGGTTGTATGAGAGTAATCGAAGACATTGGGTTGAAAAAAAAAATCTAAACACTAAGGGAGCTGCTGTTTGACACAAAATTGTGTTTGTGATTCTTACTTCAAAAATAAATTTGTTCTCAAATAAATCCTTCTTAATTCCAAAAAAAATTAAAATTACCTTTATAGTAACTCATATCTACGTGGTTTCTGGAATAGGGTTACATCTGTGGCATATACGACGTTTGTTGTAACATCAAACTCGTGAGATAAATGTGGAATACATCATACCGTATTTTGCCAACATCCAATAAATGAGAGTACCGCGTTTATCCTGGCTAAGCAACTTTATTGCTACATTAGCTTTTTATAACCATATACTGTCATATTTATGGGTTGTACAAACATTTAACATCACTATAAATACCAGAATAATTTGTTCTTTGGTTTGAGCATTATAATATATTTTATTAACTTCTTAAACAAAATGCTCAAAGGTACTCTTATTTTGGTTTTGGCTCTCGTTGCTACTGTCTATGCTGAAAGCACTACTCAAGGAAAAAAGTGCATGGGCTATGAAGGAGTTATGGTCCCCTGTGAAATCTTATAAAGTAAAAATCTAGTTACTCCTGCAATGTCATTTTATAGACTCTCAACATCTAAATGACACTTTTGGCCTATATTGTTTGTTCTTGCCAATTATTCGTCAATAAGCTTAGTTTCTTTTTAAAAAAAACTTTTATAGTTACAATAAAACTTTTTTTTTATAAATCTATATATGTGAAATTGTTATCATTTGAATGAATAGGAGTCAGATGATGTTACTCAAGACGTGCGATAAATCCGAGATATATGTCAATTGCAGTTTAGTTACACCTAACTATTGAGCATTTTCTATTTGTCAAGTAAATATTGTGGTAAAACACATAATATTATATAACTACACAAACTACATACAATAACGGCTACAGCCAATAGTAAACATACACAATTGCATAATAAAGCATACAGCCAATAAAATACATGATACCAATTTAGATAAGGATATGACAGTAAAATATCCTTATCACTATCACTATATAACCATTAGTCGTAGACAAGGACAGACTGTCTAAAATAAGGAAACAGAAAAAGAATACTCTGTGCTACCTCACAGAGTATCTTCAGATCTAAATATACCTGCTGAAATCTTAAAGATAGATAGCCACATCTCTGTGTAACACACACAGAATATAGTTTCTCAAGCATAAGGAAGTAATAAACACAGTAGCAGCTTATCACAATTATAAATCATAATCATCTAACAATTAATATAAATAGATAATTTTCCATTAGTTTACTTTGAACCTTTAACCTGGAATAAAACCACACTGGATATTTAGCTTATTCCCTGTTGCTCTTTTATTCTTTTTATTTTTCTGTGTAGACCAATACCGTTTATCGCAAATATAAGCTTTTAAATTATGTAGTTACTGTACGTAGCACACATTTTAGATGCCGCTCTTCAATTTGATGAAACTCAAGACACTTACTCCAAGGCATTTTTTACAGCAGCAGCTCATTGTTCTTTAGGAACTATAAACAGCTTATTTGTATAGTTTTTTTTTTCACAGTACTTAATCAACTATTCCCCAATAACATTAGTATTATAGGTTTGTTTAAACAAGCTATCAGAGCCTTGTAAGATAACAGCCTAAAATAAATCAGCGATCAAAAATTCAAAAATATCGCTGACAAATGCGCAAATAACGATTGATTTTTTTAAATATCGCGATTGACAATATCGCTCCACAAATAAAAAAAAAATCGTTGAATGGGGAAATCGATAATCGATATAATATTACTTTTACACCCCTGCTGAATCAGTATGCAGGCTTGAAGTTGATACGTTTGTATATATTGGGAAAAACAAAATTTTATTTATAAAAAAAACCAAATAACGTCGAATCTGATCATGATAATGAGAGGAACTACTACTGTGACCATACGAAAACTTCAGAAGAACTCGGCAGTATCACTTACTTGCATAAAGATGGTTTTCGTTAATAAGAAAATAAATAGTCATGTTTAGTAATGTGTACCTTTACAAAACCGTGGGATGTACGAGCCTCAAATAAACATCGATAGCAGCTAGCTTTAGGAATTTGGGTTAGTTAATAATAAACAAAGTAAACCAAAGTCTACATATTTACATTTTCACAAGCAGTTAAAGTAGTGATGGCTTCAGCTATAAAAATGCGCTAATAGATATAAAAAAGTAGTTAAGTAACTCACCCAGCAAAGATCATTGGTGTGATCCTATTGGAATGTTGCAACACGTTTATTATTAGTCACATAACTAAATCTAAATTTATTTAAAGATGGTTATGATGAATTATATACCATAAGCTATTCGCATATACATACATCAACTTGAAAGAAAAAGAATAAAAGGTGTTTTAAAAAACAAAGTTCTTGCCATAAAAAGAGTCGATGTTCATTATTATTTTATATTACGACAAACATTTTCTTTACGGATGCACACTCTTCACAATCTTGTTTACTCTCGTCATTTCATTGCCTCTTCTTGGTACTGAAACCCGTGCTACTTTTGATACGAAGATAAATGCTCCGAGCACTGCATTTACTAGCAAACCTTTTGATTATGATTCTAATAGTATTGTAAATAAAATTGCTGATGAGCGTTTTGATGATGAGCGTTTTGATGATGATACGATGATTACTAAAGGGAAATGAAACCATGGCACGGTGTACTCAACATCGGAAAATTGCATAAGACGCTTGGTAGGCTGAATCTTATTCCAATATTACTATTGAATACTGACTTTATATTTTCTTGACCTAGATCTGGAAACTTTCTTGCTAAAGAAGTGTCAAATAAAGGAGAAAAAATCTCATTATATTATCAAGCGAAGAAATGCCCCTAATTCTCACTACCATTCATACATCATTTTTATATATATGACGACCTTTTTTAATGAAGGCTCGTATCAAACAATTACAAACAAACGTTCATGATAGATTATTCGAAATTTATTTATTCTTACGCGTACTTCTTCTCGATCCTACTGTGTGTCAGTCTCTAGCTAGTTTTCTACCATGAAATCTAGGTGCTGTAGATCACGATTCCTTGATATTGAAAATCTCAGAGTGTGAGGCGTCCTTTGAACATTAGCTTCACCTTCGGTATCTTCATAGGTATCTTCATAGGTATCTTCATAGGTATCTTCATAGGTATCTTCATTGGTTTCTTTATAGGTTTCTTCATCGGTTTCTTCATCATTTTCTTTATCGGCTACTTCTTCTGATTCAATTTTTTCTGGCAAAGGATCGACAACAGAACGACTAGTCTGTAATCTGGAATTAGTTTTTTGAAAACCGTCGTTACTTCTTGCACGAGTATTGACAATCGGAAACTCACTAAACTGCAAAAAGTGCCTGAAACCTTCATTAATTCTTGTGACTCCCCGTCGAATCTGGATATTTATCAAGCGCAAATAAAAACAAGATTCTGCATCAGGAATAGACAAAGCATGTAAAATCATGTAAATAACATATCCCTCGCACCGAATGACACGCCCTTCATGACAGGGTTGTCTAAAGAAGTTTCGATCGGCGTCTAAGAATTGTCTTCTAGTACCAATCAGTGAAATAATTGATAATGGATGATTAACCCAACACCAGATAGAAACTTCTGAGTCATCAGTCTGCTCTTCTGAACACACATTTACAGTGATAGGAACGATGACGCCTTCATTCACAATCATTCGAATATCACTAACAGCAGCAAGTTCAGTCATGGTAAGTTTAGTAGGAAATAAAGGAAAACAGAAAAGAAAAAGAAAATTGAAACTTGACTCATTTTTTGTGATAAATGCAGTTTTTTTTAAAAAAGTTACACCACTTTTATACCTATACATCTCAATGTTTTCTACAGCCAAAGGTATGCTAACAGCTATATTACTACAGTCCTTACAGGATAAAGAAGTCAAACAGACCAGTTGAACATACAATCTTTATTTCAGGTATCAATAACAATATCTTTATAAACACCATATTATCTAGACCCTTGAGCCTGCAATCGTATCGGTACTATTAAAATGTACGGGAAAGCGCTGCTTGATTTTTAGGGCCCGTTTGTGTTGTGTCTGCTAGGCGCACTCATTTGCGTTTAGATGTCTTTTCTAAGGAGTTTAGTAGCCATACCACTATTCACGTGCTGTATATAATCAAGAGTAGTGCAAGTTAAAAATAGGTCGTTTAGAGAGGACTGTTTACTTTTTCTTTGTTATTTTGCATGAGAGACAAAGAGAATCAACATGAAAAAAAGAAAGGTCACATCACTACGGAGCCTTAAATAAAAACAATTTTATTATTAGGGCGCTGTTTGTTTATTTCTTTCTTTACGCTTCTTTTTTTTTTTTCCAATAACAACTCAAAACCGCGTTTTTTTTTTAAAAAAAAATGGATAACAAAAAGCAACCCACCGAAAAAGAATTAAAGGACTTGGTAAAGAAGGTTGACAAGTTGGTTTCCAAGAAGAGTGTTAAGGAAGCACTTCAGACACCTTCTGGTTCATCGTCCAACCCTGAAGCTGAAGCAAAGATGAAGGCACAACTTCAACAAATGATGGCCAGCATGGCGTTATTGGAAAAGTCAGGCATGGTCAAGACTACCGGTAAAAAGGATGTCGGAGACCACAAGTTCTGGAACACTCAACCCGTTCCCAACATTGGTAAGAAAAAGGCTGCAAGACACACAAAGTCATTGTGTATTGACATTTCATAGATGAGGAAATCGTCGAATCAGGTCCTATTGAAGCTGATATTCCCTTTGATCAAATCAAGAAGGAACCTCTTCCTTTACCTAAAGAGTTTGAGTGGTGTGAAATCAATATGGAAGATGAGAAAGAGGTAAAATATAGGGATAGTTTTGTCATTGTGCTTCGTAAATTGACACACACCCCAGGTCAAAGAGCTCTATGAACTTTTAACAATGAACTATGTTGAGGATGACGAAGCTCAATTCAGATTTGATTATTCCGCAGAATTTTTAAAATGGTAAGACACAATGAAAAAAAAAAAAGAGAGACAAGGGCGGATAGTATGGGGATCAAGTAACTGACATTGATTGTTAGGGCACTTTTACCTCCCAACTGGAGAAAGTCATGGCTCGTTGGTATTCGTGTTGCCGCCAACAAGAGATTGGTTGCTTTCATTAGTGGTATTCCCGTCGCCATGAGAACCTATGAGAAGTAAGTGCGAAGATGAAAAGGGTCGCTTTTCTTTGTGTATTAAGTTTTCATTGTTTGCGATTAGGGTTCATAATTTGACAGAAATCAACTTTTTATGTGTTCACAAGAAGCTTCGATCAAAGCGTTTAGCTCCTGTTCTTATCAAAGAGATCACTCGTAGAAGTCACATCGAAGGTATTTTCCAAGCCGCTTACACAGCTGGTGTTGTTATTCCCAAACCTATTGCTACTTGTCGGTAAGATAAATTTATTAAAAAAAAAACATTTAGATCCAACGGAGCTTTAATAACAAGCGTCTTTTTTATTATAGTTATTACCATAGATCACTTAACCCCAAGAAGCTTGTAGAATGTAATTTCTCCCGTATTCCCCCCAGATCTACTTTATCTCGCATGATTAAGAATTTCAAAGTACCCGAAAAGACAAGCACTGCAGGTTTAAGAGAGATGCGCAAAGAGGATGTACCTCAAGTCCGAGTTTTATTAAACAAGTACTTGACAAGATTCGATTTCGCCCCCGTTTTCGAGACTGATCAAGATGTTGAGCATTGGATTTTACCTCACGAGAAGGTTGTTTGGAGTTATGTTGTAGAGGATCCCAAAACCAAAAAGATCACAGATATGTTCTCATTCTATTCTCTTCCAAGTTCCGTGATTGGTAACCCCAAGCATTCTACTTTGAACGCTGCTTACATGTTCTACTATGCTATGGAAATCGATGAAGCACTTGAGCACGAACAAAAGGAAAAGTTCATATCCAAGAGATTAAACGAGCTTGTGAACGATGCTTTGGTTTTGGCCAAAAAGGTTAGTACTATTTACATTGTCTAGAAGATAAAAAAAAAAAAAATTAACATGCCACAAATTCTAGGCTGATTTCGATGTTTTAAACACACTTGATTTAATGGACAATGCAAAGTTTGTCGATGAACAAAAGTTTGGTAACGGTGATGGTTACTTGAATTACTACTTGTACAACTACAAGTGTCCTGATGTTTCCAGAAATAAGGTTGGATTGGTGATGCTCTAAATAAGATAGTGGGTTTTTTTTCCCAATTCGTTCGTTTTCGCGAAAACAAATAACAATAATAAATACATGACCCGGTTGATTATATATAAAAAGAGTCTTTAATTTTCCTTTTTTTTCCCTTCTTTTTCCTCTTCATCTCTCTCTCTCTTTTCTCATACTTATATGTTACTTGCACAACCATTTGATCCGTTTAAAGAAAAAAGATTACCGTTTTTTGCTCGTTGTCGCATCATCTCTAAAACAAGGCGGGCCTTGTTTGACTTGAAGAACAAGATGCATACGCATAGGCAGTATCAACCTGTAATGATGCCGGATCATCATTACATGTTGTCTCAGCAACCACCGCCACCACCACCATGGTTATGTTATAACTGCTGCTATGATCCTTACCTCATGTTTCCTCCTCCCCCTCCACTTCCTCCTCAGGTCATGCAACCTTATTCCATATGTGTGCACATCTCTCCTCCACATGATGCCTCCTCTGTTACAGAATCCACTGTCTATAGCTCAAGTTCTTCCCTGTATAACATGGATGAAAAGGAATGCATCGAGGTTGAAGAGTCTCGTCCAAAGAGACACCCAGGGCCGGTGATGAATCGCAGTCAAAGTGAAATTATTCCATCTAGACCAAGACATAGGCCTTCCGTAAGTAGATGGAACAGTGATAATCTCTACTATGATTAGTTGTCTTTTATATAAATAAATGATATTACTATAAAAGTAATCGAACAAATCCCGTCTTTTGTTTGTTACATTTTAAATTTATATTTTAGCACATTACTCCATCATTCATAATTTTTTTATTTTTTTTTTCAATTCAATCATTTTGCCTGCCAAAACAAGATTTATGTCCGTTAAAATTATCATTCTTTGGACAATCTAAAAGTCTACAAAATGTTATTTGTGAGCGTAGATGGTCAGAGTTGGAACAGATGATGTACGTTCCGGCTCACTCTCATAGCTAGTGAGATAGACACACTATTTTTGTCTTCTCTCATGAATATCAATTTGCTCGTTGTTAATTCTTTTTGAATCAATCCACATTATTAATTATCTTTTTTCAATCATTGCCTACAAAATTGATGCTATTGCAAAAAAAAAAAAAAAAAAAAAAAAATGCAGCTTGAATGTTTTCTACCTTTTACGCTTTATAGAATTAGATGTTTCAAGTTAAATAGGTTACTTCATGACAAACCCCCCCCCCAGCCAATTCTTTTCAAGACTATTAAAAAAGAGATTGGTCGCTCCTTAAGAAGGATATAATGTCTGAGTCAAAATGTGGCACCTGCAAGTAAACTGTTTCTACTCCTCTGTCCAGATTCATTGGTCTGCGCATTAAAACGTGTTTGAAGTGATACAATTTAAGGGCTTGGAAAGCTTTAAGGATTAAATTTAGTATGCAATTAGAGATTTTTATCTGCTTAGCGGTTATATCTAACAGTTTCGAAAGGAGCAGTAGCCAAGGGATTCTTCTTGTGTCTGTAGACTATTGTATCAAGAAGAAGAAATCTCAGCCTCATCCTTGTTTAGTCATTGATATGTAAGCTCATGTCAGAACAAAGATAACCAACAAGAGCGAGCTGGAATCTAAAAGACAGGCTGCATCTACAGTTATTGTTTAAATTACATTTTTTTTAGATAGATAGATAAGATTTTATTAATTGAAATATAGTGGTCATCAGATGAGATACATAGGGGTAAATTTTTGATTTAGAGATGGCTGATCTAAAAATACATTTAGCAATATAAACCAGAAGAGATATTAATATGAAGACTAAAACAAAACTACCATGACATATCATAATTTTACAAAAGACTTTAATTTGTATGTTGTTGTATCAGAAAAGCTGATATAAAGAAATAATTTATTACATGTAATTTTCTTTGTGTGTGTGTTGTTTGAGGGAAAAAAAAAAATTAACTATGAAGGGGGGGGGGGATATATAATTTACATGGATTTTGGACATAAAACAAACTTGAAAATTCAAGGTTTGGGTTGATGTTTTTGGACTTGATGTCTTACGAGAGCGTCTTTTCTGCTGAAGGTAGAGGTACATTGTGTACAGCTGTAAGCACGTTCCCCATTATGCACGGTAGCTACATGTCTGGTTAAATCATGTTTACGATCAAATGCTTTTTTACATAAGTGGCAATCAAAGTCCTTCACTCGGGTAGGGCTATGCACTTTGATATGTGTACCCAAATTATAACGACGGTTAAACACCGCATGGCAGATATCACATTCGAATTTGCGTTGTTCTTCATTGTTGGTGGCCTTGAATCGTTTGTTCTTCTTGCTGCAGTCACCGTCATTCTTGCGTTTATTGTTTGTCTTGGTCACCACGGGCTTGATTTCTTGCACTGGTTCAGGCATGGCTTGTTCTTGAGGTTGCATAGGGAAGAAGGTATCATCGAAACAATCGTTTAAAAAGTTATTGGCTTCAAAGTCTTCTGTTGTAAATAATTCATGATTTGTGTCGTTATGGATCATAGTGGGTTCATAGGTAAGTTGGTCAGTAGGTAAAGGAGGGAAAAGAGGATCCTCAGAATCGTCTGTGATCGTATTGTTGTTGTTGTTATTGTTGCTAATGTTGTTGTCATTATTATTATTATTATCCATAGAGGCTAATAATAGTTGTGTAGGGTCACCATTAAAGGTATCAAGAGAATTTAGTAACTCTGGTGAGACATCGGTAGATGAGATGGTGTTTGCGAATAAATCGGCGGTAACAGCAGCGGGAGTTTGCCATGATAGATTGGATGATTTAATATAGCTAGACACTTGAATATCGTCTTGCATGCAATCTGTGATATTAAAGGAGTTATCCATGTAAGGTGAATAATAAGGGGAATGATGGAATTGAGCCAAGCTAGGCGTAAACACCGACGCAGGCGTAAATGGTGTGCCCATACAAGAATCTAAAAATGGGGTATCCATCATGGGTGATTCCCCAACAGCAGCAGCAGCAACAGCTACGGCAGCAGCAGCGGGGGTGATATCACCAATAAATGCAGCTAAAGAATTTTCTTCGATTGAAGAAGAAGAAGAAATGTTTTGTTCGTTAAGAGCAATAGATGCAGCTATAGCATTCATTGAGACGATCAGTTTACACGCTTCTACAAATTCAGAAACTTGATTGTACTCACCATCTATTTCTCCCCAGACTTGTGTGAAATTGAATTCATCAGCTTTGGAGTTTTTGTTGTGATTAATAATATCGTTTTGTGGGAACAAAAGATCATTAATATCATTCATGTTAAGATTGGAGTAAGTCATAGTTGGTGCGAATGAAGATGGATGCGATATATATAATAGAGAAATGAAAAAGTAGCTTTTTTTTCCTTTAAAAAAAAAAAGAGGGTATACTATGTATAAAAAGAGGAAAAAAAAAGAGTTTTTGGGTAAAAGAAAAAGCTTTCTCCCTCTGCCCTTTTATACCGCAGCAACCATTATTAATTGCTGCGCAGCATTGTGTAACCCCAAAACACGTCACAAGCGCCGCGATAAAAGTCTATTCCGAATTCCCACATGTATAGGTGAGTCAAACTCATTGGACGATTTCAGTGCTAAATAAGCGGGAGGGAAGGGGGGAGAATGAACTGCCTGACCTACTAGGGAGGAGCATCTTTCATTTGAGCAAATGTGTCGCAGCCCTATTTAATTTTTTTCAATGTGCGTTCTTTTTTTTAAAATTGTATAAATTGGACCCAAAATGCGTGTTGTGTAATTAGTCAGATTGATATTTTTAGCTTTTTCAAATTTTTAAATTTTTTTTTTATTGTTAAAAAAAAAAGATAAAGGGTTGACTCATAAAAAACCGAAAGTAAAGGTTGCCATATATAGATGATTAGGGCCGGTCTGTCCGAATACAGTGATTTGTGTTTGAAAATAGAATTTTAGTCCGTGCAAGAGATTTTTTTTTTTGACCAATAGAATTTATTTGTGACCAATAGATGTTTATAAGCAGTAGAAGCAGTAGAGTGTAATTTTTTGACAGCCAATTCAAGAATCACGAACTCGGTATAAAAAACATTTACATTTGAATACATGCAAAGGAGTAAGATACAAAAATATCTAGAAAATCATAGTCTAGACCTGTTGTATTGATCTATATCGATTATGGTATATCGTATGTTGCTCTTCACCGTCCTTATCTTCATATACATCTTTATTGTGTTCCTCAAAGACTTCTTTTATTTAATTATGATGTGTGTATAGGATGACAATTTATGCTGTTTTCCTAAGATTTTTTTAGAGCGACTCAATCTATTTTCTTAGACTGTATACCTTTAGAATTATTATAAGGCAAGAATTGACTTTTTGAAGTAAATTCATTATAAGATTTTTCAAATGTCCAGCCATAACAGCTTCTACCTGAAAACATCTTTTCCTTGGTACGGGCATATGTATTTTCGAATTATTTAACAGCTATTTCATCAATGTAGTGGAGGCAAAAATAAACTTTTTTTTTTTGTTTTAAAAGAAAAAAGAACTTTATTATTAACTTATTATTCAATGGCTTGATTTTTTATCATTTGTTCTTGAGGAACACTCTTCCAACCGATGCTTTCGTCAATCAAGTCATTGATTACTTTGTTTTGACTCTCCAATGACACCTGAATTCAAATGGAAAATAAATTAATTCAAATTTCATTTAATACATAAACAATGTTTTTTATTAATATACCTTCAACTTCATGATTAATTCCATGACTTGCAACCAATATCTTCTGTCATCATAATTTCTGGGCACGATCACCGAACGCTCAGTTACACATGCCCATTTTCCATCTCTTATGGACAACAGGGTGATTTATTTTCAATAAATTGGAGGCAAAGCATTTTACGCTTTAGCATCTCCATACATTATCCTAAAAATAAGGGAGGATTAAATACAGTATTCATATTTATATGGCACGAGTTTCTATTCTTTTACTACATATGCAAAAAAAAAAAGTTAGCTGTAAATTTTTTTTTAAAAGCACATAGTATATAGATATTTTACCCTGTTTTATCATTGAAAAGCTTTCCAGCGGTAGCGGTAGAGCTTAGACCGCCAGAAAGTTAACCGGCCGGTATCAGTTTAAGCTTACACCGTTACTGGCGGTAGCAGTTTAAGGTGCGAATAAACCGCTGGAAAATTTCGCGGTGTATCAATAGTATGGCCATTGTCTGATTCACTACATCATATTATATTAATAACAGACATTAGAATAGATCGTGTAATAGGTTGTTAATGACTTCCATACCCAGATGATTCAACCAATACTTCTTCCATTCCATCTATAGGTGCAATCCCGATTCCATCCATTAATTTTTTTGTCACACCATTGGGCATACATATGGCAAGTATTTTAGAGGATTCAAGACCCTTTTCGCACCTATAATATAAACGTATATGAGTTATTTAGGACATTTTTATTTTCGAATAAAAACAAAAGTGACCATAAAAAAGACAATAGTTTTGTCGTAGAGGCAAAATACTTGAATATTGGGACTACATGCTCAACAAATGGTGTTCTCTCATTGTTTGGTACAAGCATTGGTCTTTTTTCGCAATTGGAGACATAATCTGTCAAAATAAATCTGACCAACTTGATCATTGTTGTTTCTTCATCATTCAAGTTGGGGTCATATCCATGGGTCCACACGTGTCTTGGTAAATCATCTAAACTTTGATCAAGTGATTTTTTCAAGAAAGCTACTACATTTGGGAGTGTCCTAATGCAATGATTTGATGTCTGCTCTTCCATATTTAAGTTATATTCGTCTACTATCTCTTGTGGAACATTGCTATATGTTTCATCGTCTATTTTGATAACATATAATCCATTTAAAAGTTTGACATCTGCTGGTGATACCCGAGGTTGATGTCTTGGTTTTGCAGGTGCCAATGCAGGGAAAAAAATATATTTCTTCTTGCCTTTTTCGATCAATACATTATCCTAAAAATAAGGGAGGATTAAATACAGTATTCATATTTATATGGCACGAGTTTCTATTCTTTTACTACATATGCAAAAAAAAAAAGTTAGCTGTAAATTTTTTTTTTTAAAAGCACATAGTATATAGATATTTTACCCTGTTTTATCATTAAAAAGCTTTCCAGCGGTAGCGGTAGAGCTTAGACCGCCAGAAAGTTACCCGGCCGGTATCAGTTTAAGCTTACACCGTTACCTGCGGTAGCAGTTTAAGGTGCGAATAAACCGCTGGAAAATTTCGCGGTGAATTATTATTTCCCTAATTACAAGGTTAATCAACTGTGACTGATCAAAACTATAACTTGAATACTTACATTTTTCATTCACTTGTCTCTTTAAAATGTTTAATGTTTCAGAAATTGATTCATCTTGATTACTACAATGTAGCTGAAGTAAATCTACTGCATTCCATTTGCTGGGAGCAGTTTGGATTAAGTAGTCTTTTGGATTATTTATGCGTTCGTTAGGAGACATAATAGTTTGGGAAATAAAAAAGTGCTATTGCCCAAAACCTTTTTCAGTGTAAGCATCCCAATTGTTTTCACAGACACCTCCTTAAACTATCATAACGAATGCAAAAATAATGGGGAGCGTGGTAGTTAGGATAAGGAAATGTCTAGACCTCCGTATTTTTTTCAAACGTATTTTTTTTATACCACTTACAGGAATTCTGGCCAAAAAACCAGCAGGTCAGTATGTTTGAACCTATTGAAAATGCATCCCTGCTATTCACAGTTCATGAGTTCCAAAAACTCAAGAACTCTTCCTAGGAGGTCGCCCTCTTATAGCAAAGACTAGCCGCAGCAGCAATACCGCAATAAATCTTTTTTGTTCAATTTAGTGTCTTTTGAAAGAAACAAGAGTCATTACTAAACAAACCTTTTTACGTTATCGATTACTTTCATATGATAGAAGAAATATGTTAAGGGAAAAGAAAAAGGAGACGAATAAAGTGTGTGAACCAGCTTTATTTCTCGGCTGATAAACAAGCTTATGTCAGGATGATTTAATTGCTTGTTTCATATTTCAAAATGTTTGGGCCTTTACTTAAAATAGAAACATATGCAAAAAACCCCTCAAGCAAATGGGGAACTTGGTAGTTGTATATCTGCATTCCAGTAGTAGTTTGTAATTACACTCTACAGCAGGTCTCCAAGGCGAAAAGCCTCTAGTTGATAGAACTTAATGTAGATAAGGGGATAAGGATTGGCTTTAAGGGTTGGGTAGATATGGACCTTTGGTATGGGAGTGTCTCGGGTATCTTGTAGTGGCCTTTACGAGTTGTTGCTTTTTCGCCTGGAATGCTTCGTTAACCGGAGGAGCCCAGTTTACGTCTTTCCTCTCACGATTATTGCTGTAAATCCTCTATATTCAATACTTTATATTGCGACAGTAAAAGAAAAACATGGTTCGTGATGCAAGTATGGTGATTCTTGGTGATGATTTATTGTTTGGTGGTGGTGAAACACGTAGGTGGTTGTTGTCGCTGGTGTTAATGGTGGTAATTCAGTTGAAGATCCTTGTACTGTTTTTACTGCTTATAAACATCTATTGGTCACAAATAAATTCTATTGGTCAAAAAAAAACTTTCTCTTGCACAGACCAAAAATTCTACGAGGTATAATTTCCTTTTAGGTGATAGTGTAACCAGTGCCCTGCTTTCAATATTAGCGCCTTTTTTTTTTACTGTGGTAGATTTAGACTGTACGAAGTACATTCTAATGAAAACCACGTTACTTATGTCAGAGCTGTTGTGAGTCATAACAACGAGGGCAGCTGATTTCATATACTCTGTAAACACCAGGATGGGAATCCTCCTCCCTCTTTTTTTTTATTGTTCAAACAAGGACAACATAAATGCACGGACATTATTTCTTTAACTCAGAGACTCTATGCCGTTTTGGCATGATATGCTAATTTGGAGCTCTTTTTTTTTTTTTTTTTAAAAAAAAAAGTAAAAAGCTAATTGAGGGTCCTCATTCTATTTTTGATTCTTTGCTTAGCGTTCATCATCTCGCATCGATACCTCCTTTGTAAAGATGATAAACAATGACTGACTTCTAAAAGGGGACAAAAAAAAAATATCTTAATTCATCAGCAGATACCTAATAAAAAAACACATGGTTTCCCACCTTCCCTGTGTATTTTGGGAAGGAAAACGGGTTTATTTACCACAACTGTACAATATATATCACATGCGATTACTTTTTTGGAGGGCCATTGCTTACAAATAAATGTGTAGCAACACTTTCTTATATATATGTGTGTACTTGCACTCTATTGTTTTATGCATTGAAAAAAACTCTGTAATTATTCTCTTATACAGATGACTCTGTTCAGCTTCATGAGTAGCTCCCTCCCCTTCCGCAATAGATGTTGTTTATTTAGAGAATGAGAAAGAAAAATTGCGATTGCCAATTGATTTTTTTTAAGCGTTGCATCACAGCCTATGTGTGTAGGTTATTGTGTCCGTAAATCCATAACAACCGTTTTGTTTCTCTAATTCTTATCAATTAAGCGTAAACACATCTATACTAGCGAAAAATGACGTAACGTCATGTTTAACCAATCATAAATCAAGCGTCATTCATATATCGATGCATAAAAAAAAAAAAAAAAAAAAACTTTTTTTTTTCTCTATTTTTTTTTAATTTATTTCACCCTTCCACCCTCAAAAGAAAATGTCAGAACTACCTACAACCAACGATTCACCACTTTTAATACCATCGCAAGTACGACAAGTACAGCCTGATACACCTGATTTGAGCAATCCATACATGTATCCAGCCAACCCAGCACCTGATGGAGACACAAGAGAAGAAGTAGTTCGACAACATACGGCGAGTGTGATGGGAGATCCCGAACTACAAAAGATCAAGAGCTCCTTTTGGAAGACGGCAGGACGATTGCAGTCGGCGATTGGATCGATGACCGGTCTCGAATCATGGCAGACGTCTGGACACAAGACGAAGGAAGAAGCGGAGAGAGAGTATAGGGAGGCTGAAGAGCGATTGAATGGTGGGGAGGCGAGTCGATTACACGGTGAGTATGATCGATTGATGGGATACGTCACTTACGCTGTTGGTCATGTGTCTGGCGATCCCGAACTACAGTCTAAAGCAAATGAACGAGCCCAGCAGGGTGAGGAAGAAATTGGCAAATTTAACCATCGTTAAAAATCATAATTATTTTTAATTAAACGAGGGCTATTATTGTTAAATGAAAAATAAAAAAAAAGTGTGTGTACGCATTTGTAGAATGGTGACTGTAAAAAAGGGTTTAGAGCACAAAAACCTTTCAAAATTTCACAGCTTTTTGTGCGATGACACCATCCACGTGATGATCTAAAAAAAAAAAGTAGATGTAAATCTATTTTTTTTTTTTTTTTTATTTAAATTTTTCTTTCTCTTTTTTGACATATATTTTATATAAGAAAAAATGGGTAAATAAATCAAAAAAAAAGGGATAATTATTGAAAGAAGTGACTGACAATTGAAAGTAGTAGACGCTTTTGAATACCTTGAAAAGACTTTAAAGGAGAGAATTATGTTCCTTGATGGTGCCATGGGCACAATGGTTCAACTGTTGAAACTCCAGGAATCCGACTTTCGAGGTATAAAAAAAAATAAAAGTCCGTCCCCCTCCCCCCTAATAATAGAACTGACGATATGGAGGGTATATTTTTTATGATTGATTAGGTCAAGAGTTTTTGACTTGGGCTAAAGATTTGAAGGGTAACAATGATTTATTGACATTGACTAAGCCTGAAGCGATCTACACCATCCATCGTCAATACTTGGAAGCAGGTGCTGATATGATTGAAACCAATACTTTCAGTTCTACTTCTATTGCTCAATTGGATTATGGTTTAGAAGATTATGCCTACCGTCTTAATAAAGAAGGTGCTGCTCTTGCCCGTAGAGCTTGTGATGATGTAAGTGGGGTTTTTTTTTTATGTATTTATTAGCCCCTCCCCATAGCTTAAACCTATATTCTATGGCTTATATTTATAGGTGGCTAAAGAGACGGGTATTCCTCGTTTTGTCTGTGGTGCAGTAGGTCCTACTAACCGTACCTGTTCCATTTCTCCCTCTGTCGAGAACCCTGCCTTCCGAAACGTCACTTTTGATGAACTCGTGGTTGCTTATTCCGAACAGGTGCGTGGTTTATTGGACGGTGGTGCTGATATTTTGTTGGTTGAAACCATTTTTGATACTTTAAATGCAAAAGCAGTCTTATACGCTATCGATGTCGTATTTGAAGAGGACAAGTAATGTGAGAACACGTTGACAAAAAAAAATGTTCTTTTTTTTTTTGTTGTCACACACACACACACACACACAGAGAACTTTATTATTGACTCTTTTTTTTTTTTCAATAGCCGACCCAAGGTCCCCCTTTTTATCTCAGGTACCATTGTAGATCAAAGTGGTCGTACTTTATCTGGACAGACATGTGAAGCTTTTGTCGTGTCATTAAGTCATGCTAAACCTATGGCTTTTGGTTTGAATTGTGCTTTGGGTGCTGATCAAATGAAACCTTTTGTTCAAAACATGAGTCGATTCTCTGACTCTCACATCATTTGTTATCCTAACGCCGTAAAGAAATCTTCCGCTACATAGATAGAAATAATCATTAAATTCATAACTAACTTTTTTTTTTTTTTTTTGCAGGGTTTACCCAATGCAATGGGTGAGTATGATGAAACTCCTGAAGCCATGGCCAAGAATGTTGAACCATTTGCCAAGGAAGGACTTGTAACGATTGTGGGTGGATGTTGTGGTACAACACCTGCACATATCAAGGTAAGAGCGAAACAGACAGATAAAAAGATAGTCTTTGTAACACCAACTATTATTTTTATAGGCCGTAGCTGACGCCTGTCGAAAATACAGCCCCCGTGTGCGACCTGCTCCCAGAAACGATGTGATGTTATTGTCCGGTTTGGAAGTACTTCGTGTGGATGAAACAACGGGTTTTGTTAATGTGGGTGAACGTTGTAATGTTGCAGGATCTCGTAAATTCTGTAGACATATTTTAAAGGGCGAATACGAAGAGGCTTTAGCTATTGCACGATCTCAGGTTGAGAACGGTGCACAAATTGTGGATGCTAATTTTGATGAAGGTTTATTGGATGGTAAAGTAGCCATGACCAAGTTCTTAAACATGTTGGCGTCAGACCCTGATTGTTCTCGTGTTCCTTTAATGGTGGATTCTTCCAATTTTGCGGTCATTGAGGCCGGTTTACGTTGTGCACAAGGTAAATGTGTTGTAAACTCCATTTCCTTGAAGGAAGGTGAGGAGGATTTTATCAAGAAGGCCAAGATTGTCAAACGTTTTGGTGCTGCTGTCGTTGTCATGGCTGTGAGTATCTTTTTTTTTTCTTAAAAAAAAAATAGATGCGTATGCTTTTTTGTTCCTAATATCTTTTTTTTATATATGTCTAGTTTGATGAAGAGGGTCAAGCCGCTGATGCTCAACGCAAGATTGAAATCTGTACTCGTTCCTACAAGATCCTTGTGGAGCAAGTTGGGTAAAAAAAAAAAAAAAAAAAAATGCTTCTCTTTTGTGTTTCTTAAGCAGTGGATGATTAACCTTTTTGTTTGTTTGTTTGGTAGTATCAACCCCTATGATATCATTTTCGATCCCAATATTCTCACTATCGCTACCGGCATGGGTAACGTATATATATATATTTAAAAGAATGAAAAAAAAAAAAAAAACGGGATAGTAACGCCTAAAATTCTTACACTAGAGGAACATAACAACTATGGTGTGGAATTCATCAATGCCTGTATCGGTATCAAGAAGACTTTACCAGGAGCCAAGATCAGTGGTGGTGTAAGTAACTTATCCTTCTCTTTCCGAGGTATGGAAAAGGTACGTGAGGCCATGCACTCTGTGTTTCTTTACCATGCCATTAAAGCTGGTATGGACATGGGTATTGTCAATGCTGGTTTCTTGACAGTGTATGATGAAATCCCCAAGGATCTTTTGCAATTATGTGAAGATGCGCTTTGGAATCGTGACCCCGAAGTCACTGAGAAATTGCTGGATTATGCTAAATTGCATTCCAAGGATATTAAGAAGGATGAAGATTTAGAAGAATGGAGAGCTTGGCCTGTCACACAACGTATCTCTCATGCGCTTGTCAAGGGTATTGTCAAGTATATTGTGGAAGATACTGAGGAGGCTCGTTTGGATAAGGAAAAGTATCCTCGTTCTTTAAATGTCATTGAAGGCCCCTTGATGGCTGGTATGACCGTTGTAGGTGATTTGTTTGGTAAAGGCAAAATGTTCTTGCCTCAAGTCATTCGTTCTGCTCGGTAAGAATGGACATAGGATGTGTTATCTTAAAAAAAAAAGAAACTAACATGTTTTTTTTTGGGGGGATGCAGTGTGATGAAGAAGGCTGTTGCTCATTTGGTCGAATACATCAAGATTGAAAAGGAACAAGATATGGCCGTCTCTGGTGAGACCGAAGTGCGTGGTAACGGTACAATTATTATGGCCACTGTCAAGGGTGATGTTCATGATATCGGAAAGAATATCTGTGGTGTTGTATTGGGTTGTAACAATTACCGTGTAGTGGATTTGGGTGTAATGGTTCCCTATGATCGTATTATTAAGGCGGCCATTGAAGAAAAGGCGGATGTAATTGGTCTTTCTGGTTTGATCACACCTTCCTTGGAAGAGATGTGTATCACTGCACGTGAATGTGAAAAGGCTGGACTCAAGATCCCCATCATGATTGGTGGAGCTACTACGAGTAAGATGCATACGGCTGTCAAGATCGCCCCCAATTATTCCAACCCTGTTATTTATGTGTTGGATGCCTCACGTACTGTACCTGTGGTTGCTAGTCTCTTGAACGACAAGTTACGTGATGACTTTGTTGAGGATATTCGTGAAGAATACAACGAAATGCGTGAAGAATATTACGAAGGTTTAGAGGACCGTAAGTTGTTATCTCTTGCCAATGCACGTAATAAGAAGATGTCCATTGATTGGATCAAGAACCCACCTGCTCCTAAACCCACTTTCTTGGGTGAAAAAGTGTATGATGATTATCCCTTGGAGAAATTAGTGGAGCATATTGATTGGAACCCCTTCTTCCAAGTGTTTTCTTTACGTGGAAGATACCCTAACCGTGGATTCCCCAAGATCTTTGATGATGAACATGTAGGAGAAGAAGCCAAATTGCTTTACAAGGACGGTCGAGAGATGCTTCAGATGATTCTCGATAAGAAGTTGTTGACCGCACGCGGTATTGTGGGTTTCTATCCTGCTCACTCCAACGGTGATGATATTGAGATCTATACCGATGAATCCTGTGAAAAGGTCGCTGGTGTCTATTACGGTTTGCGTCAACAAGTTGAAAAGGATACAGAGGAACCTTATTACTGTCTTTCTGATTTTGTGTCACCTAAGGCATCAGGTATTCCTGATTACCTCGGTATGTTTGCAGTCAGTACCGGTTTTGGATGTGAGAAGCTTGTAGAGGAATATGAAGCGGATGGAGATGATTACAAGAGTATTATGGTGAAGGCCATTGCGGATCGTTTGGCTGAAGCTTTTGCTGAAGCACTTCATGAAGAGGTGCGTAAGAATGATTGGGGATATGCCTCTGATGAGAGATTATCTGCTGCAGATTTGTTTGCGGTACGTTATCAAGGTATTCGACCTGCTCCTGGTTATCCTTCTCAACCTGATCATACGGAAAAGAAGACGATGTGGGATTTAGGAAAGATTGGAGAGAAGACGGGTATTGTGTTGACCGAATCTTTGGCGATGGATCCACCTTCCAGTGTCAGTGGTTTATACTTTGGTCATGAACAAAGTAAATATTTTGCTGTTGGAAAGATTGACAAAGAACAAATTTTGGATTATTCTCAACGTAAGAATATGCCTGTAGCCGATGTAGAAAAATGGCTTGGTACTATCCTTGCCTATGACAATTAAAATAAATAATAATAATAAAAAAAAAAATACCATATTTCACTCTTATTGGATATTATTTAAATTTCACATTCTATTGTCTGTTGCAGTGCATGGAAAATTGGTTCAGCCCTATTTACATACTCCGAAAAAGGTGACTAACGTTGTTAAATGCATGTGAAAAAAAAAAAGGGGGAGTGGAAACAATCTTATTGTGAGAAATACATAAGTCCTCTCTTTTTTTACGTTCCTTTTCTCTTTATCTCTTTTCTTTATACTTTTTTTTTTAATATGGTTTTGCAAACAAGACTCACAAAGTTGCTTGGCATCAAGCATCCCATTGTCCAAGGTGAATAACATTTTTAGGTGTGGATGAAGAAGAAGAATTAACACATTAACAATTTAGGTGGTATGCAATACGTTGGTATCAGTGCTCTTGCCTCTGCTGTCTCTAACGCTGGTGGTCTTGGTAAATTTCAACGTGTATTTTAATAATAATAGGCATATTCACACTCGTATCTCTATAGGTTTGCTCACTGCATTGACTCAACCTACACCTGAAGCACTTCGTAACGAAATCAGACTCTGTCGTAGCATGACAGATAAGCCTTTTGGTGTCAACTTGACCTTTTTACCTGCTATTGTTCCTCCTCCTTATGAGGAATATGTCAAGGTCATTATTGAAGAAGGTATCAAGGTAGTTGAGACTGCTGGTAACAACCGTAAGTTTTAGACACACATATGCAAAAAAAAAAAAAAAAAAATCAAGCGATCTAAACTCCTTTTAAAAAAAAAAGCTGGTAAATACATCAAGATGTTCAAGGAAGCCAATATTGTTGTTCTCCACAAATGTACTGCCATTCGTCACGCTTTATCTGCTCAACGTTTGGGTGTTGATATTATCTCTATTGATGGTTACGAATGTGCTGGTCATCCAGGTGAAGATGATGTAACTGGTTTAATCTTGTTGGCCAAGTCCTCTAAATTATTGAAGATTCCTTACATTGCCAGTGGTGGATTTGGTGATGGATCTGGTTTAGCTGCTGCTTTAGCTTTGGGAGCAGAAGGTGTGAATATGGGTACTCGATTCATGTGTACGGTTGAATCACCTATTCATCAAAATATCAAGGAAGCCATTGTCAAGGCAGATGAACGATCCACAACATTGGTATTCCGTCCTTTCCGTAACACATCGCGTATCTTTAAGAACTCCGTGGCTGTTGAAGTAAACAAGCGTGAAAAGAACTTGGATGTTCAATTTGAGGATGTACGTGAATTGGTGTCTGGTGCGCGTGGTAAACAAGTCTATACCACGGGTGATCCTGAATTCGGTGTCTGGACTGCAGGTCAAGTGGTTGGCTTGATTGATGATATTCCTACCTGTGAAGAACTTGTCTCTCGTATGGTACGTGATGCAGAGAATATCATTACCGAACGTTTGAACAAGATTTACGTCCCCAATAGTAAATTGTAAATAAAAAATAAAAATAATTATATATTGTCCAATAAGATGGCTAGTATGATGCTGCATGACTCATACAACTTTGTTTGGGAAAGAGTTTTTGATGTCTTTTCTTTTTTTTTTTTTTTTTTTACTCACGCATTTCATGATAATACATACATTAACGTGATGCTTTGTCAAGATATATATCAAAATCATGTGAGCCAGAATAAGCCTCCTCCTCCCAAAGATCGACTTTGTGTGTGTACCCTGGTTGTCATTTTTTATTTCGACCTCCGCTCACCACACAGCAAATGGAAACTTAAAAAAAGAGAGTGTGAAAAGTAACCTAAAAAAAAAGAAAGCAAGTCCCCCCAGGGACGGGATTATTTAATCTTTTTTTTTTTCTGATCATCTTTTTTTTTTCTTTGTCCTTTTTTTTTTTCAAATAATCAAAAAAAAATGTCTCCTCCTATTGCCTCTGGAAGTTCTGAGTCTGGTAAAGCCCGTTTCGCTGGTAGTGCCAGTTCTGGTATTCTCGAATTGATTATTTTCCATCCCGTGGATACCGTTGCCAAGCGTTTGATGAGTAACCAAAACAAGGTACATTTTTTTTCTTTATAAAAAAAAACTTTTTCGCGTCTTGTATATCAGTTAAACTAAAATTATATTTTAGCTCTGGGTTTCCGGTCGTGCATTTGCTGAGAACAAGGCCGCTGTCAACCAAGTTGTATTCAAGGTAAAAAGAAAGAAAGAAAAAAATTTTTTTTTTTTTTGACAAGGGTACTAAAACCACATATATGTAATGATGATAGGATGCAGCCAACGCTACCTTCATGAAGAAGTACGCTTCACTTTTCCCCGGTGTTGGATTTGCTGCTGGATACAAAGTATCTCAAAGAGTATACAAGTTTGGTGGACAACCCTTTGTAAGAGAATATTTGGACAAGAAGCACCGAGATTTATTTGTTGGTGCCTTTGGTGAAAAGACGGGTAAGACGATTATGCATGCTACTGCTGGTAGTATTGTCGGTATTGGAGAGATTGCTTTGCTTCCCTTGGATGTACTCAAGATTAAAAAGCAAACGAACCCTGAGGCATTCCGTAACCGTGGTTTCTTAACCATTGTTAAGGATGAAGGTATGGGTCTTTATCGTGGAGCTGGCTGGACCGCTGCTCGTAATGCTCCCGGTTCCTTTGCTCTCTTTGGTGGTTCTGCCTTTGTTAAGGAATACATCTTTTCTTTACCCGATTATAACAAGGCTACTTTCTTCCAAAACTTTTGTGCTTCCATTGGTGGTGCCGTTGCTTCCATCACGGTGGCTGCTCCCTTGGATGTTGTCAAGACACGTATTCAAAACCGTAACTTTGAGAACCCCGAATCCGGTGCCAAGATTATCAAGGATCTTATCAAGAATGAAGGTTTCGGTGGTTTCTTTAAGGGTTTGACTCCCAAGATTTTAGTCGTCGGTCCCAAGTTGATCTTTAGTTTCACTGTTGCTCAACAATTGATTCCTGTCTTCCACAAATTGTTTGAAGGACAAAAATAAGCTTTTTTTTTTACGACATACAAATATAGATTCATTACCAAAACCCCCCCTTTCATTTTTTTCTCCCCCTCTTACCCTAATTTTTTTTTTTTGATATGTGTGTATAATTAAAACCGTTTCTTTTTTTATCTCTGCTGATAGTATCTATTAATAATCGTATGTTTGTTTTTTAGCCCCCCCTTGCAGATAATCATGCACAGGATATCTATACGCATTTTCATTGGTGTTTCTATTATTAGCCCATTTTTATTTTTATTATAAATAGCCAAAGAATAAAGCACACTGTTTTTCTCTCTCTCTCTCTTTCTTTTCTGCATCCTTTTTTTTTATATATATCAGTTCTACATATTCATTTTTTTTTACACTGGCAAAAAAAGATCAGACATCATGTGCGATAATTTGACAACCTTTTTTTTTTATAAGAAAGGAAATAGACTAGCATATTAGACTATAGCACCCCTTCTTTTGAGGGGGGGGGGGAATACAATTGACAAGACGATGGAAATATAAATGTGACGGATACAACGACTTTGAAGAGGAAAAATGTCATATTGAGTGTGATATGACTGTGTGTCATTCCCGGTACCTGGAATTTTTATCTACAATTTGGAAGGGACCCTCCTCATCATGTGTGACTCAACGTACAAAACAGAAAAAAAAAAGGGGGGTGTCGTCTTTCACACACGCGTAGAAAAAAAAATCGATCTTATTGCGGAATATACGTTTTTCGTGGAATTCATATGCGAGAGATTAGATTCAGTATGGTGCTGATAAAACGCAGTTTTTTGTTGTTGTGGAATACGATGTTATTTTGTTGAATACGACGTGGAATACGACATTATTTGTGGAATACGACGTTATTTGTAGAATACGGTGTTGTTTGTGGAATACGACGATATTTGTTGAATACGATGTTATTTTGTGGAATACGATGCTATTTGTTAATTACGGTATTATTTGTGAAATACGATATTATTAGATGCATGATGGAGATACAGCGTTGTTTGTCGAACAGATGGTGTTGTGTATTGGAGTTCTTTTTTTGCACCACAGAGCAAAAGTAGAATTTTTTCTGCAAATTCATTGGTGGTTGCTCAGGAAAAGGGACCTTTTTTTTTTACCGATAAGAGGGGCCACATTCCCATTCTTGAAAAGGAGGAACGCATTTTGATTGGTGTAAGAGTGGGTTTGACCACCTCCTTTGCAAAAGTGATATCATGTACAACATACATCGGGAGTTTTCATTGGTGCAGTTGGGTGTACATACAATCTATATATAGCCATGACGTAGGGGGGGAAGATATATAATTTTTTTTTTTTTTTATGAAAAAAAAAAAATTAATATGTAAAGGCTGAATAGCAACCTTATGGCATAAGGTCTTTGCATTAGTGTTAATCAAAGCTTTGCATTGTGTTTACTGTCCGTGTGAGAGAGAAAGAGAGCCATTGTGTTTGAGTGTCAGTGTATGTCAGTGTCAGTGTACGTGAGTGTATGTGAATGCACATTAGGAATAGTTTCTGTCACTAAAGATATGTAGTTACAGATTAAAAAAAAAAAGAGTGCAGAGAAAGAAAGAAAGAAAGAAAAAAAAAAGGAAAAACAGAAAAACAGAGTAAAAGAAAAGAAATGAGAAACAGAGAAAAAGAAAGAGAAAAAAAAAAAGAAAGAAAGAGAAATTGTTTGGCCTTTTTATAAGTTTTTTTTTTCTTCAACTCAGCCCCAAAAAGTTGGATCGAAGATGGACAAGTTGACAAAATGCTAAATAATCGAAAAAAAAAAAAAAAAAAAAAAAAATAGGAATTTTTTTTGATTCAGGTACACGTGTGCGCCTTTGATGACGCTTTTTGATGCGTAAGACAGGGAAAACGTGGGTTTTATAAAAAGAAATGGTAAAGATTATAAATAGATTTCATAGTGAAAGAGACAAAATTTGAATGCTGTATTATAAGAGTGACGCACGGCCATTGCTAAGGTGTGTTACTTTAGCCAAGAATCGCCCGAAGACACCGAATGACATATAAGGTAAGTTTTTTTTTTTTAATGTAACGTGGGCGTACAAATAAAAGATCTTTTGTTTACTCGTCATTGTTCTTTAGCAAATATGTGTCAACCCAAGAATACATTTTCATGTACATTTCTCTACATAAAATTCCCCCTTATAATACTTATTATTAAATATGGGATTCTAAAAATAAATCATTTTTAAATAAAAAAAAAAGGGTCCTATCTATTTTGTCGCCAAAATCTTAAAAAACCCAAAACCCAGTGTACAATAATTTTTTTTTTTTTGTGTACATGTAAGGGGAGCCAATGGGATGGGGTCCCCTGATTCTATATTAGGAGCAGTCTGATTTTTTTCCCCAAATGATATAAATACTAGCGGCTTTTCCCCCAAATTTCCTTTTTTTTTTTTTTTTTTCATTAACAAACAAATAATTTCACTTTTATTTCTTTTTCTTTTTAAATGACTGCTTCTACATTAAAAACTAATAGTAAGCCTCTTAAATGGACTACAGAACGTGTTCATGCTCCATGCAAGCCTATTCAACATCGTGTACAAAAGCGCTCTCGTGGTGGAAAACAGGGCGATAATACCTCAAAGATGACAGCTGTAATTAAAAGTGACCCACGTGAAGAAATTGAACGCCTGCAAAATGAATTAGAGTTTACTTATGACACTGTGGCGACTATTACTGTTCATTTTGAATCCCTTCATCATGCTTATACCAGTAGTAAACCTGCATTAGATAAGGCTAAGAATGCTACGCGTCTCGGTGAAATGGAAAAGGAACTCTTGACAGCCTATGATGATTTGGGTCTTCAAGTGAATCATTTAGAACGTAAAATCAGTAAACTTGAAAAACGATTAGAACAACTTCGACAACTTGAATCTATTCTTGTTCAAACTCAATCACCACCACCTGTCAATTATGATCCCATTGCCTCTCCTTGTTCCTCTACAGACTCTTCTCTTTCGGATTATTATTGTCAACCTACTGAATATGAATCTGATATATTCTTTGATGATTGGACTCTCTGTCAAATCATGACAACCAATGAACAATACCCTAATTGCAACATGCAGTATCCTGATCACTATCAACAACTCTATTGCGATTTATCCAACAATTATCCATACATTCAGTAAATCATCCTTCTTTCTTTATGACTCTCTCTCTCTCCTTAACACTCATTGCCTGTAATTATTCACTTCTTTCTATGATCTATGAACACATTTCCTATGCCCTTTCTTTTCTTATATATACCCCTCCACTTTTTTAAAGCAAAAAAGATTATGACCTTTTTTTTTTTTTAAAAAACTACATATTGCATCAAATATAGCAACTATATTTTCTCAAACAACTATTTTGTAAATAAACAATTCCACATTTCTCACAAAAAAAAAAAAAAAGGAAGGGTTGTACAGTTTGATATTTAAGAATGGTAAGCAGGCTTACTTTTGATTGGATCTTTTCATGTTATACCAGTCAAACCGGCTATATCGGAAGATGTCTACATTCAAATGTTAAAAAAAAAGCGCCACAAGAATAAAGCTTAAAAATAGTTTCTGCAAACAAACGTAATAAAATTTTAGCTCTTTTTTTTTAGTTGTGGCACCAGCTTATTTTAGTGCGGGTGCGCCTCTTTAGCACCTGTGTTCCATGATATCATTTAAAAAAAAAAAAGTGGAAATATGCAGCCTTAAACTAATTTATCCATGACGCGTATTCCCTTGATGTTGTACGACCTATGGAGAACCAATCAAACATATTCGGGTGAAACCCACTTTGGATCATTTCATCATTTTGTGTTGCGTAACACAGACATTACACACACACACACACACACACATATTGACTGCTACATAGTTATGACAACTACTACCAAGCATAAAGAAATCTTTTTTATTTAATGAAAAAAAAAAGAAAGATAATAAGAGAGAGGGAGAAGCATAACAATAACACTGATAATTATAATAGTAAACACCACCCATCTTTTCCAATAAAAATAGCTTATGAGCGAGGTAAGCCTCCAGAGAATTTGCCTCCTCTTCGGGCAGTGTGGCGTACACCATTGCGTCTTCTTTTGATGGGAGCAATAACGACTTCCTCTTCCTCTTCTTCCTGCAAGATGTATTCCTCTTGTTTAAGTTCATCATCATCGTCGTCATCGTCATCATCCACGTCTTGTGCAATGACCCTTGCGGGAGCGAGATCCAACCTTTCAATCCTTTCCTCCACAAATTGTACTCCAGCCATAAATATTTCTTTGCTCATAAAAATCTTACCACCCATTTTGTATGCATATAAAAATACTCTCAGTTCATAGAAATCATTGGCATAGGCTTGAACTGAACGTGGCCTACCGACTTTATCACGGAACAACATGAAAAGTAGCACCTCCAATGTCTTGACAAGGCAGGAACGATTATTCCTCTTGACAAGATAATCCTTCAAATTCTTATTTGTCGTAATTTCCCGTATCGTCTGTAATGTACGGATCACTGTCTCTTTATGACGACTAGGTACTTCATATTGGGATGTCACAAGTTGATGAAGAAAACCGATTTGTCCCTGAAACTGTTCAGTCCCATTCTTGAGTGTCAGAAACATGTGTAAAATCAATTGAAATAAAACAGCATCTGTAGGCTTGCGTGCTATAAGTCCCTTCAATTCAATAAACCTGCTTGATAACTCTCGACATTCTCGTGCAATAGGTGTATTATGTGCCTTCAACTTTTCTGCAGGTGTAATAGCTACTCCCAACTGCACGCGTGAAAAGACCTCGTACTAGTATTTATAAAGTCACATAAATATTTCTATGTCTCTATAACACTATGTTTTATTTTTACCTCTTGATCAACCGTTATTCCATTGTATTCCACTATGATCCAGAATTAATATACACATACTCTCTATCCCTCACTAGTATTATCATGACTTACCACACACAAACTGGAACTGGTGAAATACTTCAATCTCATCATTTGACAAGTACGTCTTTTCGTCCTTTTCATCTAAAAAGAGAGAGAGAGAAATCGTTTAACTACATTCTACGCCTTGAACTTTCTTTCCTTACCTTCTTGCAGTTTAGAATAGTATTTACACTCGCCTGATTCAGGATCGATGTATGGAAACTGATTGGTCATAAATCTAGATCCAACAAAAAAAAAAAAAAAAGGAAGGAACAGTTGTTTAACACGCTTCATTGACATAGTCCATGTATACATACTTGTTAATTGCTGTTAGACGTTGCTTTCCGTCAATCACCATACGTGTGTTACGGTTATTGACTTTTCTAACGGCAAAAAGAAGGGGTGGCACGTAAAAATTCTCGAAAATAGAGTCGATCAATGCACACATCTTGTCTTCATCCCACTTGACATCACGTTGATAATCGGCATCCTATGTGTCATATTAAGAAAAGTATGAGTTAAGTCGCGTCAGTTGTCAATATGGAAGGGTCATGTTACCAAAGAAATCAGGCCTTCGTCCAGATGTTCTATTCATTCAAAAAAAAAAAAAGAAAAAAAAAAAACTGTCAATATATATATATATATATTTCTAGTCGTATGTAGACACACACACACACACACATATATATATAAACAGCCTTTGTAATACCTTTTAAAAGCCAGGTAGCCATAGACCTTGGTCTGGGTCTAGTTAATTGTGGTGACATATTTGAAGGTGTAAAAGGCTTTTTTTTTTTTGGCAATAAAAAAAAAAAAAAAGATTTTTTATTTTTATTTCTTTATAGTTGTGTGTGTGTGTCGTGCTTTAAAAAAATTCACATGCATTCGATTTCTATTCAAGAGAAACAGATCACACGAAAGATGGCACTTTACCTTAATTATAGTATAAGGTAAGCAAAATAACGTTACTTTTTTTTAGTAAAAGGGATAGCTTCTAAAGAGGGTTCCTCTCATGAATTACACCTTTTATTTTGTCATTGGGTAACTTTTTCTTTTCAATACCATGGAATTTCTTTTCTCTTCTGTCAAGATTATTTCACCTTCCCGCAGCAAAAAGAAGCTTTATCTCAGCATTACATCACCCATCTAATCTTGCTCTCGTAAACAAACAAACAAACAAAAAAAAAACAGGTTATTCCGCCACATACTCTTTTTTTTTTTTTAAAAACCTTGAGTAATCTGTCAATAGTGAGCATGATTTAATATACATATATATATATTCTTTTGATTTAACAGCTCAAGATGTAGATGTGGTTTATATATAGCATTGCATATATCCCAGACTTAGAAGGATTGTCAAGAGAAGTTTTCTTCCCATGATAGCATTGATTGACTAGAAATATAAACACCACCTATTCCGCTCGCCGATCTAACTTGAGCAAAAAAAGTGTTCACAAGATCATTTTACACGGGCCAGAACTTCTTTATGTAATCCAACACATCTGAAACAAGGGTCTAAAGAATGTATGATTCTACGTTGGAAATACAATAAATGCTGTTTGATAAAGTTTGTCTGTTGTATACATGCGACAGATATTCTGGAAGGGGGTGGTAGTTCTTCAACTGTAGAGCAGTCTAAGAAGAGAGGCTCTAAGGATAGGAAAAGAAAAGCTTTCATAAGCACTCATGAAACAGTGATATGTACACTGCATGTAAAGATAGATCCATCTTTTGTTTATGAAATAAACAGAACGCCATGGATAACGTAAAAAATTACTCTCAGTCTCATGTCCACATGGGAATATAATGATTTAAAAAAGTAGCATGAATGAGTAATTTACAGTGTGTTAGTCATACATAGGTTGATGCGTGCTTGTTTACAAACAAGTATACGTTTCAAATAAGTTTTTTTTTTTTTTTTTTTTTTTTTTTTCGTGGCTCTTCCCGATAAAAAAAAAAAAAATTAAAAAATTAAAACTCCAATTACAACGCGTAGTACGGACACCACTTTATCCTCATTACGGCATAATGATCAACTTATCACATTGACAAACTTTACAATTCGCAAGACTCTTATCTTTTCTTTTTCTTGGTGTAAGCAGATTTGCTGGAGGAAAAGGAAAAGGAAGAGGAGGAAGAAGAGGAGAAATAGTTATGCTCAAGGTTACATCCCGCGCTCGGGCTACCCAATGTTAATCTGGAAGGAAATCACAACATGGTCAAAGTCCATTAACTAGGTTCTACCAAAGAGCTTTTTTTTTCTCTCTTTAATTTAAAAGAATCTCCTAATTTTACTCAACAAACGAATGCATAGAATGCTTATATTTCTAATTCACTTTTTTGCAGGAATTCCCTCGACATGGTTTTGTATCAACTTGGACACATTCACTTGTTGGCATAGTCCATGTAGACTAAAGCCAGGTGATGCCATCTTTTGACAGTGGGGGACAATAATATGGGGGAGGTATAATGTGTCTAGGAGTATTCGGATTCCTCTATGAAGACCCAGCATACATCCATGAGGAATTATCTTGACAAATTGGCATGAGGCATGTGAAAGCTTTTGTTTGACTCCAAGCCTCATGTGTTTATAATAGTTATCAACGTGCAAAAGGAAAGCTCTTCAGCACGTACAATCAACAAGACACAAGTATTACAACGCAGGTAGAATTTTCACCTAACCATTTAATAGCAATTGAAAAAAACAAAGGTAGTCGTCCTATCACAACTACTACAAGGCAGTCTAGCCAGCTAGTAGTAGTCTGATATAGACAACAATACATTTTACATATATCAAGGGAATATATATGTAGAGTTATTGTGGGGAGGGGGGGGTACCACAGTGCGCTAAAATCGCATGACAGAAAATCTTAGCTCTGGCCAATGAAATGTAAGGCCTACGGAACTGTCAATTAGACAAGTCACGTTATTTTTGATCATCTATAAATAGGGAAGGGAGGGGGGTTGCAAACATGCCATTTCTTTTTTTTTATGCAAAGTATTCTATTTTTAAAACTAAAAGTCTATTTTGCACACTTTAGGGCACTCTTATGAAAACCCCCTCTCTCTCTTCTGGTGGTGTGGCGTACGTTTGTTGCGCCTTTGTTTGACGAGACAATTGGAACCTACCTAAATTTTTCTATTTTTGGAAAAAGGGGTCCCCCAATTGCTGTCTTGCAACAAAATGAGAGAGGGTGGGCACATCTCTCTTTTAGAAAACCTATCATTTTACATCACGTTATTCCCTATTTTTTTTTTTTTATGCGTGGCCAGGCAAAAAAAAAAAAAGGGTGGTAAAGATAAACCTGACTCTTGCAAGTTTCTTACCTCTTTTACTGAAAGGATGTAAACATGCGTGTTTTTTGTTTAGGGTCAATGTCATCATTTAGAAATTCTATAACTTTTAACGACTAAATTCTCACCAATTACAACATCCAATATGATACATATCAAAAGTTTGGGTTTTGATTTTCTACGAAGCTATTTAAAATTCATTTACTGATGATTTATCTAACTCGTGTCCCACAATCCATGAGATATGCCCCTTACAAAAATCAAAAACGTAGAGAGATACATTATCAACGTAAGTCGTTACTGTGTAAAAAAGACACGTTATGGTGTCGGATCAGCATAATGTATTTTGGATGGAATATTGCATTAACAAACGACTCGTCGGCAAAACCAACACCTTTTTTTTTGAACTGAATAAAAAAAGTAAAGAGTAAATCTTTCTGTCTGCATAGGGTATTTATATGACCACATTGTTTACAAATTTTGTGATCCTTAGGTAACAATTTGGTTTCCATGGGAGATGTGTGATACGATTACCATACATACCACATGTCTTAGCTACAAGCACCACACTTTTCATAAGCAAAGACAGATAGTGTCATGATGCGTGTGGATCTTGTTTGGTAGTACAAGGAAAACCAAAATTTGGAAAAAAAAAAAAAAAAAAAAAAAAAAAAGGCAAAAATGCAGGGAAAATATATAATGCATCAAATGAGAAGATGCGATGTCATAATATATATTTACACGCCATAAGGTGTCACACTGTAAACAACCTTTTGACAGTACATAATAAAAACAAGCGTGAATTTCATGAATGTATGATTAAATATCCATCCCTAAAAAATGTTACGGGACAGCTAAATTTTATTAATACATCTATGATTCGTCCTCAACCCAGGTCAAGAACTTGACTGCGTTCGTTTTCCACTATTTTGTTGTGAAGTATGATACAAGCGTTCATTACAGTTTCGATATCCCTCTTTTTAAACATGCGAGCTGGTCTTTGAACCATCGCAAATCTCGCTTGAAGAACACCAAACGCACGCTCTACATCTTTTCTTGTGGTCTCTTGCCCTGTCGCTGATCCATAAGCCAACTGTCTTATTGCAGCTGTTACTTTCTGCAATGTGGATAACCCCAAACGGTTCACCGCATCCACCTTTTGCTCAAAATAACTATCATGATTTTTTATAGCTTCAGCAATTTCCAAGAATAGGTCGCGCTTCATTCGAAATCTTCTACGGAACATATCATCGGAATAGACTGGAGTCTCGGAGAAGTCATCTCTCATAAGAGTTTCGTGGCCTTCAATGTGTCCCCGTTCGATATAAGTGCGTCCCATAACGAAACCCTTCTGGTAGGGTTGTGTTTTTTCTTCAAATAAATTCAAACTTTCAAACAGAGCCTCTTTTATCATTATAACGCCGTAAATAATTCCTTGTCTAAATGCTTTAAGTAGCTATACTTTTTTAAAACAAAAAAGTTTGTAGTAAAATAAGATAAAAGTGAAAAAAAAAAATAAAAGAACTCGAAAATATAAATCACAGTTGGGTGACAGATGGCGGAACATGATAAAAAATAAACTTTTTTAATTAAAGTACGTCTCACCCCTATAAAAAAACCGGTTAGATTTAATTAAAATAAATGCGGTATATTTTTTTTCTCTCTCATCCACAGGCGTTACAACATGGATTACAACAGGGAATCTGTAAAAGAGTTACAATCATAAGTAACTTTGGTTGTTTTTTTTGAGGGGGAGGGAGAGGATGAAAAAAAAAATCAATGATCATAAGTGTGGGTTCACATTAGTGTAAAAAAAAACAAGTCCTTTAAAGATTTTCCCCAAATCTGACTATATTATCATGCTGTGGGGGGTTTGTTTCTGAGAAGCCGTTGTATCTATGAATAATCCGATATTACACACGCTGGAGCTTGTGTTCATTTAATTGTGTGAAAAGTTAGCTGGTATGTCAGACAGGTAACAACCCTAAATAAATATATAATGCAAGCAACGCTAGCTTTGTTGAAAGTCTTGACAAGATAATCCGTAAGAAAAACAGAATGCATTTATACTGAAATTAAAGAAAAGGGTCTGGTTCTTTTGACAGACTTTGTGTGGAATAAAATTATGTTACACATAAAATGTATGAGTTAATAAATTTAAGCTGTTGTTGGTCAAAGCGTCTTTGTATTGCATGAAATTGAGATGGAGTTGTGTAATGGTAATAAGATATGAAGGATAATGGCAGATAAAAGGTGGAACCATCCTTTAAATAGTAATCGCTGCTAAAGACACATAGCTGAACGTATTTTTAAAAATCACATGAAGGTCTACACGTCAATTGACGTGCCATATCGTCTAAACTTCATAGGATGATCGATTTCTGTTTTCCATAAAATCTACTTCACTGTCATTACAAGCTACTACTGGAACGCAGATAGATAACTGCCAATGTTTCTATTTTAAGTAAAGGCCCAAACATTATGGATGATGAAACCAGCAATTAAATCATTCTGACATAATCTTGTTTATCAGCCTATAAATAAAGCTGGTTCACACACTTTATTCTTCTCCTTTTTCTTTTCCCTCAACATATTTCTTCTATCTTATGAAAGTAATCGATAACGTAAAAAGGTTTGTTTAGTAATGACTCTTGTTTCTTTCAAAAGACACTAAATTGAAAAAAAAAAGATTTATTGCGGTATTGCTGTTGCGGCTAGTCTTTGCTATAGGAGGACGACCTTCTAGGGCAGAGAGTTCTTGAGTTTTTTTTTTGGAACTCATGCACTGTGAAAGGCTGTGATTACACTGTAAATAGTTGCAATCATACTGGCCTGCCAGTCTTCTGGCCAGAATTGTTGTAAGTGATATAAAAAAATATACGTTTAAAAACAATGCGGAGGTCTAGACATTTCCTATTTGAATAGCCTTTTTCTTCCAAAAAAGAAAAAAAGAAAATAGAACCAGTTGCGGTTAAGTTTACAAGATGGCTTGTAATTGCAAGGATTAGGTTTTTTCATTCATAGAAAGAGAAGCTGAAAACACTTTATTACCAGAGGATTTCAAATCGGGGACCGATTTAAGCTCCAAACTTCTGCTGAATGACCCGTTAATCATAAATGTAATCACTAAATCATTACTTCGTAAATATACCTTCTTAATCTAGAAAGAAACTGGCCTTTTTATTACTTTATGTAGAAAAACGCGTCAATAATTTGTACATTTCAGCGCAAAACGAATGGTGCGATGGTAGCAAATCTGACATACTGTATGTACCGAAATCCGCAGCAGCAAACGCGTCGCCCCCGATTCTCATTGAAATTCAAAATCGCTTAGACCAAACTTTCCTTTGTAGACTTATCAAATATAGCACACATGTAGCTGATCGCTATAAGATACTGCCAATAGTACTGGTCTTCATTATCAAAGGTTTCTCAAGCATCTCCTTTGAGAATGAATTTGACACAACAAAAAACTTAATCCACACCCGTAAAGTTTCCTTTATGGGATATCCACGCCCGGCTCCCGACTCTAGAATGGTGTGGTAAGGCGATATTTTAGAGCACGAACCACTCTAGCGTCTCAATAGCTCTCTGTGGCGGTGTTTTGATGAAAAGCTTATGAGATGATACGAAGAGATTATATCTTGTGGTAGCCTGAGTAGTACTATGTACTACTCAGTGATATTATAAAGTCGTAGTTTTTTCTAATTTAATAAAGTTTAAGTCCTTTTACATCATTAATTTTACGAAACAGTACAGCATCCTAACGTGCACGGAGTATTGTATTATTGTCAAGAAAGTCTGTGGATGGAAAGTTTTATTAAGTCAACAGGTAAATCAGATCCCGATACAACAATGACTGCTAAGCGCTATAAAAAAATCAACATGTCCAAATCAATGAATCATCACTTTTTAACGATTTTCACAAGTGTTAGTGGAGGAATACAGTACTAGTAGAGACAGAGAGCATGGTACTAGCGGTGAAGGGGATGGGTCCGTTTATTGTAGATATTCGAGATCTGGGGACTTTCGCTTGTTGATCACTGCTTTATTCTTTCTTTATGGCCTTGATTGAAACATTCTTTTCAGTTGTTTATACCTGAATTTTTATTCCGAAAACGGTTAATGTAATCATTTAAAACAATATAACCATATTGCGGTATACATGTGTAGACAATGAGTGCTGTATTATTATTCTTCTGTTAATGCGTGGAGTGAAGTGACACAACATACCCTTTTTAAGCTATGCTGACAACATCTTAAAAGTGATAATATTTTCAAGCACTGTTTTCATCCATTTTCCTTTGACTTTATAATTCGGTGTAGTACACCAAATGGCGTACTGTACCTTACCCGATTTTTATACACCTGATTATCTTTTTTTTTTTAAAAAAAAAACAAAAAATTAATTGGAAGGAATATTTGTTACTTTTTCAAGCCCTTTATTTTAATGCAAAAACTTTTGGGTGCGCAAATAGTTAGAGTATAAGGGTCGCCATGTTCAGTCCTATCAATCCCATTTACGGATAGGATAACTTCCTCTGTACTTATAAGTCGATGTGTCTCTTGTACGTTCGATTCCCAATTCATCAGCAAAGTTTGCATAATAATTTTCATTGATATGTGCGGGGTCAAGTTCTCTCACAGATTTCTTACTAGGACCAGCAACAGCAGGTGTATCTTTGACCCATTTGGCTCTGCAGTAGACACAGCTTACGTTGGATCCCTTGGATCTGGCCCACGTTTGGAAGCATTCCTATTACCAGCATTCATTTTTTTTTTTTAGCACTGCAATCCCACGCCTATACAAAAATTACATATTTACCTTGTGAACATTATTTCCACATGTTTTACAGAAATCAATCTCGGCAATCTTGGCTTCTTCAAACTCTTCGAAACAAACAGGACAGTCGGATGTATCCAAAGGTCGACTATATGCATAGATTAATATCGGATTTCCAGTGATTTTAAAAGTTTTTTTTACCGCTCAGTAGTTTTATCAATAGAGGGAGATGCAGCTTGAGGATGGTTACGTTGAGTAATGCTCAAGATTTTTTCTCGGATTTCTCTAGGCACCAAGACAGAAGGATCGACCACACGAGCATGTGTTCTGGCCTCGATTCTCTCTGGAGCTGAGGTTTGCAATCTCCTAAAGATGGGATTGTCATAGGGTAAACGGTAGACCTTGAGTAAAATCATCAAGATGTGTTTACAATGAACTCTTCTGATCGCATAGTCCATACAAGAACATTTAATAGTGGGTCCAATAGTGACAGTGTAATTCTGTAATACAAAATCTGTCGTCAATAAAAAGAGATTGATATGATATGATGACTTACATTTCCAATACTACCCAACACTTCAAATTTTTCGACTGATTCATCTGATTGAGAAAGCTCTCTTGACATGACAAACATTCTTTGATTCATTGCTCTAACGACTCTAGAGCGCATTGCCTATATATTGATAAGTTTGATATAGTCAGTACGTTACATAAAGCAAAGAATGCTTCATATCCCCCCCTTTTTTTTTCTTACATCGTTCATATAGATGTTTGCTTCAGGTGGTAATTTGAAGGCAGGCTTTCTCTTTGGAGTCTTCGGTGCAGGCTCTTTCTTGGCCTTCACAGCTTTTGGCTTGGGTTCCTTTTTGACTTTAGGAGCTTTGGCTTTTGGTTCTTTTTTGACTCGTGGTTTAGCTACTTTAGTCTCTTTTTTCACTGTTGTTGTTGCTGGTTGAATGTTGATGGCCTGACTAGTTGTGGGTGGTTGAATGTTGATGGCTTGACCGAGCATTGGTGGTTGAACATAGATAGCTTGATTGGGTGCGGGTGGTTGATAGTTGAAGGCCTGATTGGTAGTGGGTGGTTGAAAATTGATGGCTTGACCAAGCATTGGTGGTTGGACATGGATAGCTTGATTGGGTGTGGGTGGTTGAACCCAGATTGGTCCGCTGGGTGGTGGCTGAACCCAGATTGGTCCATTAGACGTCTGTGGGTGCATCCAGGTCGCTGTATTAGCTACTATTGGCTGCGCATAAAGTGTTTGACCACTAAATGGTTCCGCCTTAATAGTTTGATTTATGTAAGGGACATTTCCATTCATGGTTTGACTGACGGGTACTGTTTTGATGGATTGGGTACTGTAAGTAGCGTTCCCATTGATAGGTTGATAAATTGGTTCTGTTTTAACAGCTGGCATCGTACCCACTTCAATCTTTGCTTTTTTGTCCTGCATTAAACCGGCATGGTCGGGTATTTCTCTTTTCATTGCTTGTTCTGTAGAATGAGATACAGTGTTTGTTGGCACTGCAATGCTAATTGAAGCTTTCCCCTTTCCTTTGTTGGCTCTTGTTGGTCTGGGTAAAATGGGTCTGACGATTGGTTTCTCCCGTTTGACAGAGCTTGAGCTCGCCTCATGTTGAGTTACTGACGTGTTTACTGGTTCAGCTTTTACTGAAGAACGCGTTGTAACCTACGGAGAAAACAAAAATATTAGAAGCCATGTTTGAAAACAAGAACAAATGCTTGTAAAGTTACCATAATGTTTTGTTGAAAAGAAAGAAGAAAAAAAAATTGTGGTTTGTTGATAGCTGGCCAATCAATTTTAATAGCGGAACCAAAATATCAGCCACTACTGCTAAATTTATTTGTGCCATAGTTAGTTTCCCTTTATTCCAAGTCTTTATGATATAAATCCTTAGATATTTTAATTTGTAATTGCGCCAGTAAGTGCATCAATGTGTGCTGTTTAATTGATGGCACTTTTTCAAATAAAGAAACATGGCATCGATTTTTTTCTATTCTATGGTGGGTGAGTGTGGTGTCTTTCCTATTGCTTCCGTTGCCTGTGCATTCTGTAATAGATATACAATTTCATTGGATTGTACGGTATCTATAATGTTATAACGCTATTACAATTTTAGATCAAGGAGAGGGACGATTATAACTGTATAATAATTGTGATAGTGAACACCAAACTCAAAGTAGTCAACATAGATATCAAGAGTCATGATTAAATGAGACAATCAAATCCAAATTAAATATTATACCGTCTGAAGGATAAGTAGATAACATTTTTTTAGACGTGAATGTAGATAGCTTTTTGACGGTTCTCTGCAAGACGATGTCATGATTGTATGATAAAAAAAAGACAAAACAGTAGCAAAAAGCGCAAGGACTACTGTTGGTACCAATTCCCAAAGTCAGGTGAAATGATCCTATCCTGTGTAACAACAATCCATGCAGTCCGGTCGGTCACCATATTATGCATAAAACAAACCAAAGTTCTTCCATTACAATTTGAACATTATTTGAACTAGCTATTAACTCTTTGATAATCAACAATGAATATTAATGAAAACATTTTGTATTTTAATAATGAGTATTTTAACCGAATAATAAATGACTTCGAAAAGAAATTACAATAAGTGGATGTCGTCTCACCAATGTCATGGGCAGGAATTACTTTTTTATCCTAAGTAACTTCTGATAAAATTTCCCTAGCGCCAAAGAAAAGACATTTAAATACATTTTTATCAATCTAAAAGGGGCTTTGATAGCTTGCTTGCACAAACCAAAAATATTGCCATTATTAGGAAATAGTCGAGGGAGTACTGTCAAAGAACCTGAACAAACAAGCTGTTTGTACTTTCTAACGACAATGAACTGCTATAGAAAAATGGCTAAGGGTAAGTGTCGGATTGAAGAACGGCGCAAAAAGATTGTGGTACCTAGAGTGATTACAGAATTTAGAGTTTATTTAAGAATTGTATTAATCTAGCCATTAAAAAAATGCTCATAAGTTGGGTGTAACTAGACTACAGTTGGCATAATCCCGGATTTATCGCAGGTCTTGACTAACATTACCTGACACTTACTCATATAAATATAAAAATTTCACATAGATGGGACTGTAAAGAGACATTTTATTGTGGCTTTAATAATTTTTTTTTTTTTAAAAAAAAAGAACTAAGATAATTGACTTATAAATGGTTATAATAAACACTATTTAGGCCAGAAGTACATTTAGACCGCTTGATGAGAGTTTATATAATGTTATTACAGGACGAATTAGATGACTTAATTTATAAAATTTCACAGGGAACCATTTTTCCAAGAGGACCCATGCACATTTTTCCAGGAACTCCCTCTTCATGAGAGGTGGCATAGACAGTAGCAACGAAAGCCAAAACCAAAATAAGAGTACCTTTGAGCATTTTCTTTAAGAAGTTAATAAAATATATTATAATGCTCAAACCAAAGAACAAATTATTCTGGTATTTATAGTGATGTTAAATGTTTGTACAACCCATGGATATGACAGTATATGGTTATAAAAAGCTAATGTAGCAATAAAATTGCTTAGCCATGATAAACGCGAAACTATTTCTTATTCGATAGAGATATACGGCATAATGTTATCGACATTTGTCGGACTAAATTAGTGTTACAGAATTTGTCGTATATTTTACAGATGTAATTTTATTCAGAAGCCATAGATAAAGAGTTACAATAAAAGTAATATAAATGTTTTTGGAAATAAGAAGGATTTTGGAGAACAAACTTGATCATTACTTTTAAATGTGGGAAAATAATAGCCACTTAAATATGGAGTTTTCTTCTTCAATCGGAAGCCTTTGTATACTCTCATACTGCCCATGAATGACACATCCGTAATTAAATACCACATGTTTTTGAGTAAGGTAGTTATTACCAACGGATGATTTAAAAAATGCAGAATACAGTCTTCTAATATTATTAATTTAGTTTTTAGTTTCTTGAAAAGCCCTGTCCATGAGTACCCAGATGCTACACAAGTTGGAGGTCTTATGGTTTATTTATTTGTGTACAGGTTAGTTACTATGTCAGACAAATAACAACCGAAGGTTTAACCATTTTATACATATAATAAACTAAAGTCCTTTAGGACGATTTGATTATTTGAGCGATCTGTCTGCTCATTGTTAATCATCCATAACTAGTACTTGAATCATTTTTTCGTCTAATGATGAGAATGTAAAGGAATAACAGATGATTTTGCAAAACTATACATGTTTTCGAAAAATTATTATACCCTTCTCTCCAATATTATAACAGCTAAACTTCCTAAATTTTCCGCCAAACAGAAATATAATGGCTAAATATTCGTTCACCATCATATTTAGGTTATAACTCTACTCTTCTATATGATAAATTAAATTTGGTCCCAATTATGCTAGCATAACATTTCTTGTACAGTTTTTAATGTTTGGCACTCAATTAATATGTAGCATATGGTCCATGTCAATGGCGAGCTATCATTTTCAGCGTTATACGCATACGAGAAAAAAACAATGTAAATCATTAAATCATTTAATATATCCTTCCCATCTTTCATCTTCTTTTAAATCTTAAGGTCAATCTTAGAAGCTGAATAATTATAATTGCCTTCATTCCTTTACATTGACTGCGTAGATAGTGATTGTAATTTCTTGGACTATGTATTACTCAGTTTGTTGGAAACTTTTTGCAGACGATTATAATCGATTGAGACTTGATGAATCAACATCAAGTTGGAAGTGGGATCAAAAGATTTAATATTTTTTTCCAATATGATGAATGTTAGACTATGTTCCAATATAGAAGAAATCAATGATGCTTAATATCATAATATTCTAAATCACATGAATGTATGTTCTCCTCTCTATATTGAATTTGATGGTAAATGGGTGACAAGAAACAAATTTATATTCAATAGCAGACCAAGAACATCAGATGCTTCTATGAATAAGAAGTCTCTCGTACATGTTTGTTACCAAATTAAAGAAAAATCGATTTCGTAGTTACATTTAATTTCTTTGAAGCCGACTTTTTTTCAGAACATCTAAGCGGCCTCCTAGATACGAATATGTCACAAAAATTGGAAAAAATTTATGGTAAGACTTTTCACATCTGAAAAAGTTTGAGCTGTATATTTGAAGGATCAGATATCTTAAAATATTGTACAAGAAAAAAAAAATGTGACACCAAAAATTGATTTGCTTTTCTAGCCAAAATTTGTGCCCTTGTTCTCAATACAAATTTGCCCAAAATCAAAACAATTGGCGCAAAAATTATAATGTATTAGAACTTATTGTAGAACAAATCAACCATGCAGATTTGGATTTTACTTATACTTGCTAAGTGTTTTACAATAAACTAGTAAATTACTCAACTTTTAATAAAAATGTTAATCACTCGACGGCTATAAACACAATGGTTGCATTAATTCGGTTCAGGAAATTAAGTAATTATGCCATAGATTTAAAAGCTTTTAGAGCTATCAGCAAGGAAGTTATCTTTTAAACAACTACTCTTCTTTGACTACTCAATGTCATGGACGGGAAACACTTCCTTACTCTCACAAACGTTTGAGGCTTCCGATGATAGATACACAAGCCTATTACACTGCTGTTATTGGGGTATAGTTGAAGTACTGTCAAAAGAACTATACAAATAAGTTGTTTATAGTTTCTAACGAACAATGAGCTGCTGTAGCAAATACCTTGGAGTAAATTTCTCGGGTTAGAGCGGAATTTAAAGGGTGTGTAACTACAGTAGTTACAGAATTTAAAAGCTTATATTTACTTGACAAATAGAAAATGACGAATAGTTAGGTGTAACTAAACTGTAATCGACATATATCTCGGATTTATCGCACGTCTTGAGTAACATCATCTGACTCCTATTCATTCAAATGATAACAATTTCACATATATAGATTTATAAAAAAACGTTTTATTGTAACTATAAAAGTTTTTTTTAAAAGAAACTAAACTTATTGACGAATAATTGGCAAGAACAAACAATATAGGCCAAAAGTGTCATTTAGATGTTGAGAGTCTATAAAATGAAATTACAGGAGTAACTAGATTTTTACTTTATAAGATTTCACAGGGGACCATAACTCCTTCATAGCCCATGCACTTTTTTCCTTGAGTAGTGCTTTCAGCATAGACAGTAGCAACGAGAGCCAAAACCAAAATAAGAGTACCTTTGAGCATTTTCTTTAAGAAGTTAATAAAATATATTATAATGCTCAAACCAAAGAACAAATTATTCTGGTATTTATAGTGATGTTAAATGTTTGTACAACCCATGGATATGACAGTATATGGTTATAAAAAGCTAATGTAGCAATAAAATTGCTTAGCCATGATAAACGCGGTACTCTCACTTATTGGATGTTGACAAAATAAGGTATGATGTATTCCACATTCATCTCACGAGTTTGATGTTACAACAAACGTCGTATATGCTACAGATGTAACCCTATTCCAGAAACCATTTAGATAAGAGTTACTATAAAGGTAATTTTGATTTTTTTTGGAATTAAGAAGGATTTATTTGAGAACAAATTTATTTTTGAAGTGGGAATCACAAACACAGTTTTGTGTCAAACAACAGCTCCCTTAATGTTGAGATTTTTTTTTTTCAACTCAAAGTCTTTGATTACTCTCATACAACCAATAAAGTGACATATCTTGACAAGTTAATTGTGTGATAGTCAGTGGTCTGCAATTTCAAACTACGCGTTTTGAAAAGTTAGTTCTTACCCACCAATAATTTAAGGAATACACACTACGGTCATTTTTTTTTTAAATGTATAACAAAAATCCTATTCCGAGGTAACCTGATGATATACACAAGTCAGAGCTCTCACGGTTCATTTTTTTTTAAGAAGTTGGATTACATGTCAAGTGAGCAATAACCGAAGCTTGATGATATTTTTGAACGAAGCAAACCAAAGCTCTTACATAAAGATTTGCTCATTACTGTATTAGTTGTTTACTCACTAATAGTTTAATATGGCAAATGATAAAGATATTTCATATTTTAATGCTAAGTGTGTTTTAGGAATAATGGTCACCTTCACGTAGCTATACATATTTAGTATCATTTTACAAATCTGATGTCTCAGATTATATTTGTCGTACTAATTGAATTTTCAGTAACATAATAACACACAAATGGTCAAGGTAAACATTAAGTTTATTTTTTTGAGCCGTAAACTATAATCCTTCTCTCCATTATTTCATTTAACAATAAATTTTAATGGTTTTGCGTACTCAAATATGAAACTATGAAGTATATTCTTAAGATTCTATTAGATACTATATCTGTTATAAGATAGCAAACCGAAAATGACATGCAACACAGTCGAACTCCTGTTACAAACTTTATTCACATCAAATACTACCTATCCGTTTAAAGCAAACTCAAATCTGTACTTCTCATAGCCTGCTTGCATTGGCTCAAGGGGGGGGGGACAAGTTACAGCTATAACTGTGAAAAATGCACAGACTGTTTTGAGATAGAGCCAAGAGAAGATAAGACCTTCATCAGGATGGTTTTTTCTACCAGTACCTCTTGGGAGAGCGAAAATAAAATAAAAACTGTTGTTCATTAGGTAAAACAAGATATGACGAGCATCCGTATGACTTAAAATTTGGAGACTATACAGCACATCAAGGAAACATGGTAATATGTTATTAAACACACAGATTACATGCGATCACATCTTTATTTTATTATAATATATACTTGTTTGATTAGAACATCTATAAAGATAACATATAATATTATATGAAGACATAGAAAGCTAATAAAACCTAATTTGAAGTAGTTGTACATAAAAGGATGTTATCTGATAGTTGTGATTACTCCATAAAAACTCACATTAACGGTTATCACGCACTTGGATTGTATCCCGATGATCGCAGAAAATTGGATGTTGTTGTTGTTGTTACTATTTGAAAATATTATCTTGATTTTTCTTTGTTACAAATAGTCTACACAGAGCTTGATAATTACACAATTTAACTGTTTGCCAAAACTTCCGTTTTCTGGTTTTAAATGGTTTTATGGTGATAACTACAACAAGTATATACTGATAAAGATCAACCGAACAGCATCTATTTATCTGGAGGTTTCATAAATGACATTGTGTAAATAAAAAATAGCATATTTTTTAGAGTTTTTTTTATTTTTGTAGAAAGCCAGTTAAGTAGTAACGAAACCTAACAATGCTCATTTCACATAAAGCAGTTGCCAATACTTTATTTGATATAAACTACAAAGCTAACAAAGCGAGATTGGTCTTACCCCCCCCCCTTTGGTTGTTAAGACTTTTAAGGCTTTTGTACCCAAAATTATTAACATTGGTTTTTAGATGATTTACTCTTTTTTTTTGAAACTAAATCTTTCAGATCAGATTTGATACCTCCAAGCAAGTACTAAGTTAATGGAGATGAATGCGGATAAAAATAATGGACGATGTAGTCTATTCGGACAGCAAGATTGGCAAAATAATTGGCTTCGATTCAGTTACGAAAACAAATAAAGTGCATGTATAATAGGTCGAGCTCCGTCTCAAGTAGGAGAACCACCAAGTGTTGACCTTCATAAATAAAGGAATGCTAATGTCAATATTGTTGGAGGCATAGCACATGTTAGAACATTCAGTTTTTTCGAAGATTTTGTAATTACTTGATTCTACAAATCCCCTGTTTTTTCTAATAATTCATTATGTAGCTTTTGATGGGTAATGCATTAGAATGCTTAGGGTGCACATTCAAATAAAAACCATTGTTACACTGACAGTTTTAAGTATGTTTTGGGTAGACTTTTTGTTTCAATTATGGCTCATGTCATTTTAAAAGGTAAAGTCCAAGAGGTATACTGAAAGACCCTAATACAGAAGGCGCTCCAAGCTGTAGACTATACGCGCGCCCCACTTGCCTTATTGAGAATCCGAGTTTTAAAAAAAAAAGATGTATTCTCTACCTCATATGTGTGTTTTCTCTTTATTCTACTGTCTACTTTTCTTTGTTCACACGTATTATCAGAGTATTGTAGTAATACTGTTTAAGTGCTGTAAACAATGATGTCAGGATGATACCAGAAAAAGTTGCAGTCACTTGTTTTTTGAAAGTCCCAAAATTTTTATGTGTAACTGATAAATTCGACCCACTCAAAAAAAAAGGTATAAAAGGGGCCTATTTTTTCCACTCTACGAGTTTTTTTCTTTTTTTTTTTTCTCTTATCAAAAAAATGTCTTCCGACATGCGATATCTTTGGGGTTACGGGTGAGGGGGTATAACCATCGATATCAAGTGTTGGTCGTTCTATTCGACGGGTTTCCATCTTGTGGGAAGGGTGGTCAACATTTTTCCAAGAACGTAGGGGCGCAAGCGGGCTTGGTTTTTTAAACATTAATGAAAATGAAAAATATAAGATGAAAACTATAAACTTTTTTGACCAATTAAAATTACTTTAAGCTTATTCATGCAAAATTTATATTTTTTTTTCTTGCGTGTGTAACATGACTTCTGCTGCTGCGCATTTCATATTGAGATTTTTTTTTTTTTTTTTTTTTTTTTTTGCACGACAACGATAAAACCGAAGCTTTTCGAACTCAATGGTAAACTCTCTAAGGTTTTCAAACAGTTCTTGTTAAACCAAGACTCTACTAGGTGGCACTACCAATGTTCAACAGCTCTACTACGTTGTCTAGATTTCCAACTCTGTTTTTCAATCAATCAATGCAATCATTATGCCAACATCAATAAGATTCAACACGCAAGCTACTTCCGCAAACAACAACCACTGCCAATCCGTAAACAAGCTGCCGTCTTAAATTACCTAGTTTATTCGACAATGTGGCACGTTATTCCGTTATCTCCTATGACTATGATTAAAGCCCAGATCGCCAAAATTCAATCGGTTAAATACCAATTCCTTATATTTCCAAAACTCAAGTTGTCGACTCTTTCAACGTTACAATCATAAAAGAGGACTCGGGATCTTTGACATTGAATAAGAAGTATTTCAGTGACATTAATTGCAACCCCTTTTAGAGGGTCATGGTCCCACGTTTCGTAACAACAAAGCTCCAGTCAAGTCGTTCCTCACCTCAGTTCTGACTTAGAGGCATGTCCGGGTATAATTGCGAACAGAACATTTATTTGTCACCTGCCTACACATATCGTCTGTCTGAACTTCCATACTACTTAATTTCAACCTGCTTCATCATTATCCAGCTCAAATTGTAAAGCTTAATTACCGCTTTACCTCATTGCAACTATATATAAATGCTTAAATCAATCATTTTTGCGTTCATTCTCTTCCATATACCAAATATAGCATTAACACAGTGTTTCGCAAAAAACAAAATTCTATTCACTGAGTGTTCACAATGACATGCTTGTAGATAACACACTTCCGTACATACACCCAAGTCAAAAACTTACTTCCGAAGGTCTGAAGTTTATGTTAAAGGAGCGAATAATGAGATTTTAAAGATCCCGCACTATGCCACTAGGCCTATCAAAGCGTAAAAAAATAGGCACATAAATACAAAGCAGTTAAAGAAAAAAGAGCTTATGTCTACCTGATTCGCATATACTTTACACATATGCCATTCGTTTATATAGTGTGTTTGGTGTTTATATATATTTATTATCAGAACCTTGGTATACAAACTGAACTGTGTGGTTTGTGAAACAGTGGATAACTTTCTTTCTCAAACATACCCTTGAGATGCACTTTAATATCGTTGTTTAAATACTATTGAACACAGTTTCAATGAGACAGGCAGCAACTATACTATGTAAAGCTATTTGCTTATTTAATTTGAATTTATTGTATAAATGAAAACCTAGTAAGCGTCAGGGAATACAAAGATGTAAAAAATGGTTTTTGTGATGAAACGAGAGATTAAAAAAAGGCAGAAAATATTGCGATAGTTTAGTAAAAAAAAATGGTAAACAAGAATGAGTCTGTTTTATTACTTAATTAGTGATAATATCTTAAAAAATATTAGCATTTACACTAAAACTGTGATATCCTATTACAATGTCATTTAGTGTTAGGTGCGGGTTTTTCTACGATATACGGTTTTCCATCCTTGTCCAATCTAATAAATGATATATTGGTACCCGTTATAGAATCCAAGGGACCACCACGACGTTCATACGAACTATTGTTTTCAGGATCCCTTTTTTGACCATCAAAAGTAACACGAGCATCAGCGCCAAAAAAAGCCAATAAAATGATAAGGGTAAACAAAACTGTGAAAGTATGCATCTTTGAAGTTTTGAAAATATTTTGTTATAAAAAAAATTAAGTGAAAATTGTCTCTTTTTATAGCAAAATGTCGATGCTTGGTGTGTTATGATCAGCATAGAAAGTTGCTGCCGATCACAAAGAGAAATAAGCCCAAGTAAATAATATGTTTATCAACCCCTATCGTCGGTTAATCTTTGCCACAAAAAACATTATTTACATTTTTCCAGTAGTTCCTCTCATCAAATAATGTTATGGCAATGGCTACAATGGGTAGCTACTAGCAATAATTAATTAAACAGCATTTGTGTATCGAGATATTTCATAAATACATCATTTAAAGTTGGCTTATAGATGGAAGCAGACGCATAAAAGCTGGAGCAAGAGTATTCAACCCCTATCATCAAAAAATAAAAACAAAACACCCAAGAAAAAAAAAGTCGTTAAAAAGGGAACCACAACTTATCATAATGTAAAGTTCATGGAATTATTAATAATAAAAAACGACCCATAGGTGGACAATAATAAATCATTCTTTAGTGTGATAGATAATTGCAGAATTCATCACTCCGTATCTGTTGTAGCCAGCAACGGAAGATACAAACCTTTATTCATCTCCCCCTACTCCCCTTTCCATATCCTATTGAATAACACCGGTCAAACATTCAGGGCAGTATCAAGTGAGGAACCTACTTAATAAAGCAGATAAACTCAGATATCTCGCTTTCTTGCAGCTTGGTAATCAGTTGATGTATAGGATTTTCTAGATCAGTTACCGCATTCCGAGACGTTTTAGGATAGATGCATTGGCAATAAATAAGTACTAAGGTAAATATATTAGCACTGCATGTCATTTTTTGTTATCCCACAAAAAAAAAGAGATGTCTCATATATATCTACAAGCCATGACAAAGAAAAATCAACCGTACTAATTAAGACTAAACTCCTGTAAGAGAGTGCAATATCCTGTTCTTACAGGCTTTACATGGCTTATAAATTTGTGCCTTGCTATGTATAGTTAGCGAGTAGTTCTAAAGTATGACGACTACAAACGGGGGAAGGGGATTTTCAAACCTAAATTTTAAATACTTGATCTAGATTAAAAGACATTCATATGCGTGAAAGCTCAGTGATTGCACTAGAGAAGTATAGGTACATTATATGATGACATTGTTTTCTAACTGTATAACTTTCAAAATAGACAGCCTTAACAATAAAAGATTAGAAAAGAAGGTCATAATTTATATTTAACTTGGCATTTAACAGGTCATTATTATCTGACCTTTTTACCATGCTTAATTTTTTCCTCAATTGAGAAAGAAAGAAAGAGCAAAGAAAAAAGATGTGTAAGCAAGAGCTGATTCATGTCAAGACGATTTAATAGAGAATTCAGTAATCTATAATATCTTTTAAGCTTTATGCATCTGTAAATAGCTTTTTACCAGTCTAATGCTGAACTTGGATATTATTATCGGTACTTTTATCAGTGGGGTGTATAATACAAAAGAGCATCTCGCAGCTTCAAAAATACCGTATGCAAAGACTATTCTGAAAAGAAGGACACAATAAAAGCTTTTATATTCAGTCATTGCTCCTTTGACAGTGCACTTGCAGTCTATTAGATTGAATTAAACACTCTAGACAACTCAGAGATTTTGTTATTACTTGACTCTACGAATCCCCTGGTTTTTCTCATCACACACTATGTAGCTTTTCGTGGGTAATGAATAAGAAGGGCTTAGGTGGTAACTCCAAATAACTGTTATACTGACAGTTTTAATTACGTTTTGGGTAGACTTTTTTTTTTTTTTAATTATGGCTCGTGTTATTTTAAAAGGTAATGAAAGACCCTGATACAGAAGGCGCTCCAAGCTGTAGACTATGCGCGCGCGCCACTTGCCTTATTTTCTGAGCTTACTGATGAGGTAAACACTAACGCTGGTTTCGAGCAAGCCTTTGGTTATGTCCCCTTCGAAGGTCAAGTTGAGGCTATTGTCAAAAGGTCTTATGAACGATTTTGACTATGACTCGATTAGTGATGCTGAAGTTAAAAACACTTATGAGGCTGAATTTTCAGAAGACACTTTTGGTACCATCAAAGCTGTTGTTAGTAAAAAGGACGTTCCATCTAAGGCTTCCGTAAGCAATACAGTGTACGTGAAACTGGTTCTGAGATTACCATATTACTAGAAATGTGGAAAGGTTGTATGCCTCGACTACAATAGGTTTGTAATGACATTAGCAGTAAGAGGAAAATAGAAGGCGTTAGTGCTGATGAGCGTGTACTTTAGAAACCCAACAGAAAGACAGGTAAAATTGGGTGTATAGCCTTCATCCACCTCAAGATAAATAGAAAGAACATGGGACTTTGCCGTGAAGATGATGCAAAGTGAAAGCCATCCCAGCCTAGTCCTGGAGTTAAGGTAAATTGAAAATGAATAGTGGCTGTTGCAAGGAGTTAGTACTATTTGTGATCCCTTTTATTTTAGACAAAGACATAATATATGTACATTGTTTAAACAGCTTAAGATAGTATGTTAGCATTTAAATATTTATTTTTATTTTTATTGAGAGCTTTCTAATTGTCACCCGTGATACCACTAGAATGATTACCAAAACATTCATTAGCTATTTTTTTATAATACTGTCAGAATGACAATCAAAGAGGTTCATCAGCAAATGCAGTGCGCGGAGCATTTATCTTGGTATCAAAATTAACACGGGCTTCAGTACCAAGAAGAGACAATGGAATGACGAGAGTGAGCAAGATTGTGAAAAGCATGCATCTTTAAAGAAAATATATTATCGTAAAATGACATAGATGAATATCGACTCTTTTTATAGCAAGACGTCAGTGGTGTGTTATGATCTACAAGGAAAGTTATTGCCGATCACAAAAGATAAGCCCAAAGTAAAAATATGTTTATTAACGTCTCATAGCAATTTTGGTCAATTTGCCACTAGAAGAACATAGAAGCGACGGAAATATTCCGCCATACGCCTTACGATATACTGAAGGATGACGATAATACTTAATCTTTTGTTGGACCTGAACAGAGCCTACTATCGGATTTTAAAGTTCAGACCCCTCCTATCAATTGGCCTAGGCCAGATAACCTTATTCTATGTTAATATTGAATGAACAGTAGTACTATTTCCATCATAATAGTGAATATTTTCACAACTCTCTGTCATGAAAAGTCTATCGAATTGATAAACAGAACAAATAAGTATAACTAATTTGCGTGATGAAATTAATTTGATAAGGTGATGAATAAGAAATCTATCTCAGGTCCTGTCTGTTCTTTAAAGGAGTTGTTTTTGATAGTTTGAACTTTTAGTAGACCGCGCAAATAGGGTACCATTGATCTGACAATGAGCGGAATTCATTAAAATGAAAAAAAAAAGCAGCGGGTTTCAAACCAAAAGGAATTAAAACAAAACAAAAAAACGTTTATTCGATGTGCGATCGGTGCTGTCATTCTTCCGATGTCTAAAAAGGCATAGATGTACTTTTGAGAGTGGTAATTGAGAACGTTTCGCTCCGATAAGGCCGGGCTAATAATTATCAACGCAAGTTTATACATATTGCTCTTATGCTCAGGTTTCACAAGTTGTTTGATCGTTTACGTTGGGATTTTTCTTATTTCTTTTCACACGGTGAGAAAGTTTAATTGGATAAATCAGGGGAATTTATGTAGCATAATGGGCAAATGACACCATCGTAAAGGCAGTATATTTATTGGTAGGCTGTTTGAAATATTAGCGCGCAGTTTAAGGTATAATATGTATAATTAGAAACAGAAATGTTAGAATGGCATAATAAATATAAAAAAAAAGGGGGGACATAGTTAGGGAATAAATAAAATAGGGTGTGTGGAGTTACAATAAAAGAGTTTGAAGATTTTCATGGAGAATACTGTCAGACACGGATTCCATGACGTGAGCTAATAATTTGGTGTCTGTGGCAACAGTGAAATGTACATAGACGAATTTCTCCTTGTTTGTGTTCAGTTTGGTGAATCTGTGTTTAAAGAAATCTCTAGCTTGATGGTAATCAGTGGCAGGACCTATTAAATTTTTTTTTTGTTAATAAGTTGTGACACGATCTTTGGAATGTTACACTCACCTTGATAATCTGGGAAATATTCTGATATTTCTGACCTACGCATTTTCTCTCGAAATAGATCTACCTTGTTCAAGAATAAAATCATGGATGAATTTACAAACCATTTTGAATTACAGATGGATTCAAATAGCATAAAAGCTTCGTACATCTAGAGGGGTCACTGTTAAGTATGAAGGAAATACCCTGTATAAATTGGTTGCATATGAGCTTACTTGATTCTAAATAGAGGGATAATATATTTAGTTGACTTGTGTTACAACGTTTTTTTTTCTACATACGGAGTATTTGTCTTCTACCAGACAGCAATCATAGCCACTTAATGCGGCAACGAATAAAACAGCAGCAACATTATCGAAACAATGAATCCTAAGAGGTCAATTAGAAAAAGAGAGGTGTGATTGTTTTAACGGATTTTACCATTTCTTTCTCTCACTTCTCTGGCCGCCTACATCGAACATTCTATAAATAACGGACCCATTTTTGAACTTTGTTTCCACAATTCCTAGGCTTCGGGTTAAAATTCATGTTGCACGAATTATTTATTTTTTTAATATTACCGGTGGTTTTGATTCTGCAGTGAATAATATCAGCATCACTTGGTGAATAATCGGGCACAAAAAATCGATCTAATTGATCAAAGAAACTAATACGAGTAAATATATTATGCCTTTTTGTGCATCCAAAAAAAGGTCTCTTTTTGTTACTATTTTATGTTCTCGTTAAAAGCAAACGTGTTGCCTTTTAAAAATGTATGTTGAATGCTGCTATCTTTCCATAATGACTGCAGTGGTTCGAGATATTCAATTGGAAAGGATTCATGAATTGAAATTTGGCCATTGATATGCTCAAACATAGAAATGTAATTCTACAAGAAAAAAAAAAGCGTGTTAATTATCAACTCTAATTAATAGATATAAAATAGAGGTTACCCAGTTCGTTTCGTTTTCGAATTTCAAGTTCAAGTTGTGCATTCCTTCCAGCAATGCTTGCATGGATCCCAACATGTTTGTCAGAATCATGATTCTAAAGTTTTCTCGTTCAATTTTTGAAAATCCACAAGCGTGGATCAAGCGCATTTGTTTTAAAATTGTGCTTTTGCCACTGTCACCACTGCCTGATTTTAGATAAGAGAGAAGAAAAATGTTAGTTGGACATGAAGGAGCAGGTACAAAAATGTCAAACCTAGCAACAGAACTTTGAGCTCCTTTCGAAGATACACTTTTTCCTTTTTTATCATTTTTTCAATCTCATTGTTTTTTTTGTATTCACTTGATTGACGGGCACCCATAATACGAAGGAAAGAAAAAAAAATTAAAAGAGAAAGAAGGAAGGAATCCGTCAAACAAGACAGACGTCATATAAGACTATTTTAGAGTCCATAATTATTCAGCAAACCATGTTTCCTGTTACAGAACAAGACTTTAATATCGGGTTGGTAAAAAAAAAAAAAAAAATTATATAAAAAAGGCTACCATCATTTAATGTATGACAGATAATTGGGGGGGGGGGGGAGGAGGAGTAAAGTTGGGGGGTGTGTGTGAGAGAGTTGTGAGGATGTACAAAGATATAAAGTGATACAGAAATGATACAAATTGAGTTTGGATTTTTTTTTTTTTTTTTTTTTTTCGCATGAAATAAAGAAACCAGCCCTTATTTCTTTACTTTGCCTTTCCAGCCAGGCTCTTCGACCTGATTGTATTTATCTTTCCAAATCCAAGAATTACCAATCATTCCTTGGCCTTGTTTTTCAGCCAGTCGATAATATTTAGCGGAACAATACAAGTCTTTCTTGACACCCAATCCATGAGCATAACAAAAACCTAGATCATTTTGAGCATCGGGATCACCCAGATTGGAAGCTACTTCGAAATAATATGTAGCAGTTTCAAGGTTTTTAGGTACCTGAAAATAAATAAATAACAAATAACAATATTAGCGTAGTTCTAAAGGAACGAACAAATAAGAAAGAGAGAGAGAGAAAGAGAGACTTACACCCCATCCATGTCGAAAACAAACACCAAGTTCATAAATGGCTAGTACTAGTTCAGATTTCGCAACTGATGCTGATTGAGCTATTCCCGTTTGTAATTCATGAACAGCTGACTCTGCTGCACTCTGGAGATATCTTACTGCTTTAGCCGAATTCTTCTTACATCCCTTGATATTTTTTAAAAATGTTTAATAAAAACCCTATATATATCTATCTATCTAACCCAGCTATAAATTTACCCATCCATGTCTCAATGCAATACCATAGAAAAACAATCCTAGCGGTGATCCAGTCTCTGCTGATAATCGCCAGTAATGTGTTGCCTTTTCGAGTTCACCTTTTTCATGGTAATTCATTCCAAGCTGCAGATATGAGTCTTTATCTAGATCAACTGTAGGTTCATTGATGGATAATTTGGTTGATCTACGTCTGCTTTGTCTGATGGAGGAAGCTGATTCAATATGAACTGATCTTGGTCTATACATATTGATGTGTTCATTTCCCATTTCTACGGCGGAAGCTGGACTTGGTGAATATTCAACGTTAGGTGAGCTTATATTTAACCTTGGTAAAACAACTAATTCATTTCTACTTTTCCCATTAAACAATGAAAATCTTTTTTTACCAACTTGATCGTCCTGATCTAACAACAATGCTCTTCTCAATCTATTCATGAGAGGAATAGAGGAATATATGTTGTGAGGGGAGGTTTTTCTTTTTTTTTTTTTTTGTGTGAGTGGAGTAAAAAAGAGAGAGAAAAAGCAATATTTATAAAAAAGGGAATATATTTATATTTTAATTGTAAACTAACACCATTTTGGAAATAATCTTTTTCATTAAATCGTCCTTCAATCACATTTTATAGGAGAAATAATCACCAGCTTAGATAGATGTATATAAATAGATTTTTTATCTTTTGTAAAATGTAACGTGATTTGTTTATTGTTCGTCTGGGAGCAAAGAACCGGGCCTTATAATTTAGCCTCCAAAAAGGAAGCCCTGTGCTTAATATTTGAAGCAGCTTTTTCATATTCTTCTTGTGTGATACCTCGAGCTTCAATCGCAGGATTATATCCCACACGAGGCTGGGTGGCATTTCCATTGGCCTTCTTATAAATAGTAATCACAACAGCTCCACCTAAACCAACGTTGTGTTGAAGTGCATAGGTGGCATTAGCCACTTGACGATCTCCAGTCCAGTTACGCAATTGCCAAACAAGTTCTAAAATTAGATTTGTTATTATATATAATACAAAGCTGCTGCAGAACCCCCCTCCCCCTTCCCATTTGACTATAGTTTACCTGTGCATTGTGCAAGTCCGGTAGCACCCAGGGGATGTCCTTTGGAGATCAATCCGCCTGAAGGATTGATCACATATTTACCGCCATAAGTATTATTTCCCGAATCAATCAATGTATGTGCCTCTCCTTGTTTGGTTAAACCAAGTCCATCATAGGTCAATAACTCATTGGCAGAGAAACAATCATGGAGTTCAATCACTTGAACATCATTGGGTGTAATCCCTGCTTTTTTATAGGCTTCGATAGCGGCACGACGTGTCATATCACAACCAGCCCATTCAATGGCATCTGTACTCAACATACGGGGAGAATCAGTTGCCATGACTTGAGAGACAATCTCGACAGCAACATCCCATAAGTTATGCTTTGAAATAAATGCTTCACTAGCAAGAATGGAGCATCCTGCACCATCAGAGGTAGGACAGCATTGAAGTTTAGTAAGGGGACCAAACACTTTAGGTGATTGTTCTACTTGTTCCAACGTATAAATATCTCTGAATTGAGAATAAGGATTTAAAGCGCTATGACGATGGTTCTTTTCAGCAATTTGTGCTAAATGACGAGAAGTGGCTCCGTATTTTTCCATGTAAGCGATACCAGCGTTACCAAAAATTTGTGCTGCAGGTGGTGATTTAGGGTCAAATCCAACTTCGGAAGCCATCACAATGTTGACATGATCTAACAAATAAAAAGGGGGGTTGTTTAACAAGAAAATTAAGCAGTAACAATAAGGCTAATTGTTTTACCGAGAGGATTCGTTCGGTCTGCAAAGGTCGATGTAAGAGAACCTCTAGCCATTCTTTCGAAACCTAAAGCCATAGCACATTCAACCTGTCCAGAGGCAACAGCGTTACGTGCTTGATAAAGAGCAGTTGATCCGGTGGAGCAATTGTTATTGACATTAATAATAGGAATTTGTGTCATGCCGAGTTGATACAAGACACGTTGACCGGCAGTACTGTCGCCATACACGTATCCGACGGCAGCATATTCCACAGCGTCATAAGTCACACCGGCATCGTTTAATGCTTTTACTGCAGCTTCAAGAGCGAATTCTACAAAAATGAACACACCCAAATCAGTCACGGGTGTGTGATGTTTTGTTTATTTGGTTAACCTACCTGGATAATCAACCTCACCACGAGGCTTGATGAATTTGGACATGCCAACACCGATAACGTATACTTTGTTTGCAACCATGATATGAATAAATTAAATAAAAAAAAGGGTGACCAAAGAAGAAGGAGGGAGAGAATAAAAAGAAAAAAGCAAACTTTATAATGTTTTCAAAAGGGAAAAAGGTGGGGTTAAATTGTGCAGTCCACATGTTACCCAAACAAGGTTCATTTTATATGACAAACTTTTTTTTCACACAGGTTTTATTTTTTATTACTGAAAATCTTCTAGTTTTTCAATCAAGAGCTGACACCGCACATGCAATCGACTATCCCAGTCAGAATCACCTGTATTGTCAGAGGTAACGGATTCTTGTTGTTGATTGGGCGTACTATTGTGCCGATGCGCTAAATGCTTTTCGGATTTTTGTATCCAGTCTTGCGCTTCCTTGTATAGCTTTTTTCGATTTGTCAGGTCTTGCGTCTGTATTAGTTGAAAGCAACAGAGGGCGGCCATCTCATAAAGTCCATGGGGTATAACCCAACGGTCCTCACTATTGGAGTCCTCTGACCGAATCGATTGACGTAAATACATGTCGGCCAAATCATAATCACCTAATTCTCTCACACTGACGCCTAATAAAAGGTACAATTGTGACATATCCGACCCAATCTCTTCTTTTGAAAGTGTCGCCAAAGTTGTTTCGATGGATTGCTTCATAAAGAAGAGTGTGTTCTGAGTAAGTTGAGAGAATCCGTTCCAAAGGTAAATGAGTTCCCATAGGGGGTGTACGACTACCACTCTTTTTAGTGTAGGACCATCCAACCCGCCTTCCATACTGCAGAACTGTTGCCGTTTCGATTTCCAGTGCTTGATTTTCCGCTCGGCAAATATTTCGTTGGGAAGTAGTCGACCTCCTAAATGTCTTTTTCTTTTAAGTATAGTAGGGATTTGCATGAATTCCATGGCCGATTTATCATATTCCTCATCCGCAAACATACAACAAGTGGCGATGTAATGATAGAATGCTCTTGACCAATTATTCATACTTTCAAGTCTAAAAAATGTTTCCGCCGCTTGAAAATAATCGCCTAAGAAAATCTGACCCCTAAATAAAACACACGATTAACATATTAGGGACATTAGGTTACAGAGAAAAAGGGGGGGGGGAGGCAAAAAAAAAAAAAAGCTTACCATCCCATTTCATAGACTGCTAATGCTTGTAGTTGAACCAATTCACATACAACTGGTTTACCGTCCTTCTTTTTCTGTTGTCTTTGTGTGTTGTCTCTACGCCTGGCATCTCGCAATATCTCCACACCCCGCCGTGTCTTGCCTTCCATTTTACATAATTTTCCTTCCAGTAATTTCCATATTTTCCCGTGAGGAAATAAGCTCTTCATTTGATCCAGAATGTGTCGAGCATTTTCTAGACTGAGCGAACTAGGTAGTAGTTGTGGGTGAATAAATAATGATAAATTGGTATAATAAGCTAATAATGTCAATGCCGAAAGTGAGGAATATAGGCCTTGGTTTTTAAATGATTGTTGTAATAAATGAAGTGCAAATGGTCGGGAAGAATGGAATCCCAGGGTATTTAATATCTTGTTCACTACATGATTTGTTAGTTATATGTGCATTTTTGGGGCAAAATGGAGACCTATATTATATTTACCTCGTGGTGGTAGTAGAGAGAATATGAGACTAAAGAGACCTATACCGAAAAATATGCCACTTTCAATGGCATTATCTATTACGTGAAATGAATCACAGGAAGAAGGCATATTTTCAACGGTGCATGTTATATCAAGGGTGGACATTGGTCTTGGCTTTAGTTTTTCTCTGCCGTTGTTAGGGTTTGGTGGTATATTGAATAGGCTTATCCTTTTGTCATTCCAAGAGCCTTTTACATGTGGTGAATGAGCGATTAAAACAGATAAAGATAAATCGTTGTTGGCTTGATCCAAAGGAGTCTGCCCTGAAGATCTTAGAATAGAAGCATAATCTGAAGCCTTTTGACCTGTTAAGGATTCAAACATTTGCTCGTATAATTTATAGGCTTTTCTTAGTTTATAAGCAGCCTTCATGTATTCTAGCCAACTATTCCTTAGGAACTGGATTGTTGAAGACATGATCATACAATTGGTCGCTAATAATTCATATTGGATCTCGGGTGATCTTGTTTTTTTGTTGGGCTGCTTTTCGTCGAGATAGTCGTCTTCTTTTCGGTTGTGCCAATTCTTTCGTTTAGCCTTCTTTGCGAATTGTCGTGCTAAAATTTCTGCAGACCCTATACGTTCAAGTGCAGTCAAGATCTTTTCGGTCTCGAAACCGAGCATGGCTTCCACGTACGCAACCAGAGCGAATCCAACCGCATGAAAGGGTGATTCCTCATGATGTTGCATAAAGATTATTTGAGCCACTTCAAATTCATCATTGAAAAAGGCATCCTATATTTCCCTAATGTCAGTTACAAGAAGTTTTTTTATTTTTATATAAATCTTACCAAACCCTTTTGGGTTTCAGTGATCCAATATGCAATGAGTTGAGGTGAAGGTAATGTAGGATCGTCTCTTGATGAGGCACTGAGGCCAACTAAGGCTGCTGTATTATTTGCTGCATATTTAATTGAAGAGGTAGTAAACCGAGATAAATTATTCAATTGTCGAAGCATATATTTATATACAAAAAAAAAAAAAAAAAAAAAAAAAAAAAGAGAGAGAGAAGGAAAAGAAGATAAAGCTCCTCCACCCCCACCCCTTTTTTTTTTAACTAGTATTTATTGTTAAATACAATCATGTAGCACAACATTTTTTTTCTTTTCTTCTCTGAGCAAGGAGATCAGCTGCTGTGATTGTCAAGCCAACTGGGATATTTGAATGACTTTTTTTTTTTTCCTTGTTTGAGAATTATGATGGCCTCCCCATTTTGAATGACACAATTAGAGTGAGTTAGAAAGTGATATGATGTAACCAATCAAAACACAATGACCTATGCCTTTTCCTAATGCACTTCTGTTTATTGACATTCCTTTATACGGACTAGATGCCCTTGGAGTTTAATACTGGTTACGCAAGATTGACAATTGCCGGTAACACTATCCATTCAATGCGTGAAACCATATCTCTTCACTACGTAATCAGTCTGCAGCTACAAAGAGAAAGAAAGAGAGAAAAGGCAATCTGTTACTACTAACGACGATCTTTTTTTTTCCAAGGAGACCCCGCACCCTTTTCTTATATAACACTATAAGCTCAACCTCCTCTCTCTTTTTTTATTTTTTTTTTTTACGCGGATAGTTACGACGGGTTCACGTGCGCCTATATATATATATATAAAAAAAAAAAGAAGACAATCATTTCCTTTTTAAAACTTTTTCCTTTTTTTTTTTTTATTCTCTCTTTCTTTTCTCTCTTTTTTCTTTTTTAATTTTATTTATGTCTACATATAATTATATTATAAAGGTAGGTTAAAGGGTAGACTGTTTGACATGTATTAACTCTTTTGATAGTATATTATCGTCGGAGATTCTGGTGAGTTTATCGTTTTCATGTACATATGCTCTTATTAACTTTTTAAATATAGGCGTAGGAAAGGTAATAAAAAGGATCAAACTCGGTTTAAAAAACAAAAGAAAAAGAAAGAAAGCTGAAACAGCCTTCTCTCCCTTCAAAAGTCTTGTTTATTACTCCAGTTTACCGACAAACGGTTCTATGCAGGACGTGAGTTGACCATTGGGTAATTTCAACATTTCCAATGCATAAACATAAAAATAAGAGATTAAAAAGAAAGGTTTTAAAACCTAGTGTTGAATTCGGTTCTCGTTTCATTGCCATGCCCGATGGAAAGCAAATTAAACTGCAAATCTGGGATACAGTAAGTGTTTATTTATTTCTTATTCTTGTTTATTTATTTACAACAACAACAAAAAGGCTGGGCAAGAGAGTTTTCGAAGTATCACTCAAAGTTATTATAGAGGAGCTGCTGGAGCTTTACTGGGTAGACTAATGGGGTCAAGAGCAAACTTATACATATTCTAATTCTTTGTTTCTTTACACAGTCTATGATATTTCCAGGAGAGAGACCTTTGAGCATGTTTCAACATGGTTAGCTGGTAAAACACACTCTTCTCTCATGTCCCTCTTCCACAATACAAACATAGACACTTACTATTCTTCTTTAAAAAGACGTTCGAAAACACGCTAATCCTCATACAACCATTGTACTCGTTGGAAATAAATGTGACTTGGAAAGTAAAGCAAGACAAGTGACTTTTGAAGAAGGACAACAATTTGCTAAAGAGAACGATATCCCACTCTTTATCGAAACATCTGCAAAATCTGCTGAAAACGTAGAAGAGGTATTCTTCAAGACAGCAGAAGATGTTTATGAAAAGATTAAATCAGGTGTATTCTCTCCCAACGAAGTAATTTACTAGTCATTTTTTAATGTAGATGTATAATTAATTTTCTTCTTGTAGACATCTGGTATAAGATTAGGTCATACCCAAAGTGCACTTTCTGATGAAGCACAAGGTGGATGCTGTTAAATAATCCTATATACACACATATCTATTACTTTTTTTTTTTTAATATAATGATCTACCACTTTCTTTCTTTAATCTTCGCGCTGTTTGCTCAATCAACATTCTTATGCCGTTCTTTGAACCCGTTTGTTTTGCCACCACAACTATATCATTGATTTTAACCCTTGTGTTTGTAAGCTACATAATTTGGGTTGAGTACAACATTTTCGAAATTCAGAATTCATGACTCACATTTGCATTCGTAATGACGTCCTTTTGTAAATTAATTTGTATATCCAATATAGCATCATAGGGTTGTGCAAAGATAATGCGCGCATGTGAGTAGCTCTTGTTATCAAATGACTCCACGCAATGAATACTCTTACACAATTCCACGGCCTTCTTATAACTAAGGAAAATAAAATGTGTAAGACACATTATATATAACCCAAAAGAACCTCCCTTACTCCTTATAATCTCGTTCTGTTTGTGGATCCCTCTCACTACTTGACTGTATCGTGGTTTCCTTTAAGCTTGCTACTTTGGCCAACCTCTCCTTCAGTGCATCTCTTTCTCTTCGTTTCTTTTGTACTTTCCATTCAAGATCATCCACCTGATCACGGGTATCATTGGCCTGTTTGTTTATTAAAGCTAGATCCTCTGATTGCTTTGCTAGAATATCCATGGCTTCTTCAAGTGACATGTCTGAATGTGATGATTTCTTCATACGATTTATTTCCACTTCCTATCAATATAACCCTTGAGTTCTCTTCCCATTTCCCAATCGTTGTATCCATAGAAATCTCTTACCATGTCGAACACTTCACTCAATGCATGTTCTATCTCGGCACTCTTTGCACTATCTGTATGTTTGTCAATAAAAAAAGAGAGAGAGAGAGAGAGTCATTGTTGTTATATCTCACTTGCCCTTTTTAATCAAGTTTGCAGTTTCAGCAATGGTGTTCTTAAGTTTATTGATGTTTGAAGTATAATTCTGCAGGTTTTTTCTGAGGGTTTGATTTGCAGCCTCTGTCAAGTAGAAAAGCACTTTAGTGGTTGTCAATCAAAATAACAATTTTGTTTTATATTACCAGTGTCGGATAGTATTTGTTGGTTAATGTGGGCAGGTGGTTCTTGAAACATGCATTGCAAAAAGTTCGATTTGGCATAATGGTTCATAAAGTTTTTCTCGAGATTATCATGGAAATATTTCTAAAAGGGTTTAAAAGAAAAGGAATGAACATTTTGACTTCTTCATTGACAAATCATGTGAGGCATTACTTTATAATTCTCCAACTCTATATGGTACGCTTTCGAATAGGGAGGTCGATTACTAGGAATGGTGCGGATTTTCTCTTGATAGGATCGTTGATTTTCAGTTAGATCAGAACGCAAGTGTCTCAGCTCATCGCATTGTCTAACATCTTAAAAAGTAAGTCAAGGACAGGTAAAGGAGAGGCAAATCTTTATTTATTTATTTTTACCTTGCCGTCTCTTCCAAATCGTTAGGTCTATTTAATGCTTGCATGTTTAAAAATATCGTCAAAGGAAAGAAAAAAGAAAGTGCGCTTAAAAAGCAACCCCCACGCGTTAAATCGGATAATTCGCGCCTGCACGTTTTTTTTTTTTTTTTGGTAATTGTGCCAGTTTACAAACAAACGCTATTTTTGTCCTAGCCCAAGTATAAGAAATAAAAAATAGCTTCCTAATCAGTAAAAAAAAAAGTCCATATTGTTCTAGTCAAACCAAGTATCTGCGGTGATATCTACTGATATCTAAAACCTTCATATCGCTGTTCCTGGGGGGAGGGAGATTAAGTTACATAAAAAAAAAAAAAATTAATGCAAAAAGCGAAATAAAGACAATGTTTGTTTCTGTAGTGGTTTATGCGATAAAACACGCAAAATGATTTTATTTCAGATGGAGTTTGATACAAAAATTGTTGTATTTAGACGACGGTACCAGAAGCAGAGGCAATACGGGGCCAGAGATCAGCACATTCCTTGGCAACGGGACCAGTAATGGCAGAACCTATTTGAAGTGGTGGTGTTAGTAACTTAATTTTTTTATGTCAGCAATGAGCTTTAGCTTACCCTTCATTTCACCCTTGGGGTTGACAATGACACCGGCGTTATCCTCGAAGTAGAGGAAGACACCATCTCTACGACGCCAAGCCTTACGTTGACGAATGACGACAGCGGCCATAACCTTCTTTCTCAACTCGGGCTTACCCTTCTTGACGGTAGCGACAATCATGTCACCACAACCAGCAGCGGGAAGTCTGTTCAAACGACCCTTGATGTTACGGACAGCAATGACGTACAAGTTCTTGGCGCCAGAGTTATCGGCACAATTCATGACGGCACCAACGGGCAAACCGAGAGTCATACGGTACTTAGTTCCGGAAACGCTAACTATTCAGTCAATGTTAGTATTGCATATAAATCCCCTTTTCTTCCCCCATCCCCAACTATTTCAATGGACGACATGTCGAATGATTGCAAGTCAATGACCAGATAAATCAGGCAAACAACCCTTTTACTTTCATTACATCTTTTGCTCTATCTGAATTTAACACTCTTGACTTGTTTACAAGAAAAAAGGTGGTAAAATATCAATAGTTTACAAAAAAAGAGGAAAGAAAAAAAAATAGTTCGTTTCTCCTCTTCATCCATCCATCCATTGACTTGTCATAATCCATCTATAGAAATAAAACACAATTCCCATCCCCCATTCAAATTCCCATTCACGTATACTTTACCCTTAGGCATTATGCAGAAATATAGAGAGAGAGGAGGTTTCTCTGTTTTTCCTACTTTCCTCCTCTTTACATGTCCAAAGTTCCCTATTCTGCGGCCACACCCTGATCGGACTATTAAAAAAAGCGTGTTTTCACTTTAAATCTATCTCCGGTCCGGACTTGAATTGTGCCATGTATCAGTTTACTTTACTAGAACCGTGCCACCATTGCATGTGTCTTTTATATATCAGACAGTATTTTGTTAAACTGCTTCCAAAAACATGTTATATGAACTATTATCCCCTCTTAATCTACCTAATATTTTTTATCTTTATTTTATATGGGTGAAGTAAGGTCGTGTTAAATAGCAACCTCGTCTAATGTATCAAGGCATTACGACAGACGTCTAACAACTCACACTCTCACAGTAAACCTGATTATATCTTGTCATCTTAATAACTATACCCTTTTACAACTAGCTTCTGTTAGCCCTGATTATTCCACTGGTTGTTCTAGCATGTATTCAAAGCAAACATAAACTATCCATATGTAGTCAGTCTAATGAATAAACCAGACCATCTGAAACCCCCCAATAATCTCTCAAGACTCGACACTGTCTAAATGTTCCGGCGTTCTTCTATTTGATTTATGCTTTGTTTCTGTAACCGCCACAGCTGCACTGAGTACATATTACATCTTCTATCGATAGAATATCAATCAACATACTTTCGGTCAAAAACGCCATCCAATGTCCGTTGTGATACAAGCAATAGATACTGCTCCACAGGACCTGATACATTTGCATCTAAGCAATGCTACGTGTCTTCCCCTTCCTTATATCATACACATGTAGCTCCAATATTCATACTGATTTACTTTCAGCGAGAAATCCTGGTATTCTCGCATCAAATTATTCAAGAAAAATACCTGACCAAGCATATGTAACCCAACACCTGAATAGTTATTTTTAAACACAACGAAAAGGAATTGACCTCATTAATTTATATTATTGCAAGTTGGACTCTAGGTTTTACATATCTCCATGTTCCGTTTCTGACTCAAATTAGTAAGCCAGACGTTACCAAGAGAAAAATTTAAACCACCCACATCAACCGACCTCTTCCTACGCAAACTCATGGTTACTGAAAGCCCAACGCTTGATGGAAATCAAAGTATGTCATAACCCAAGTAGAAGCAGTATTGGAAGACTAGTATTCGTGCAACTGTTCTTTCGCCCGGATGGAGCCATACTCTATACAATTGGCCTCAGCCATATCAACCTTGTCCCCACGACTAGACTCTTGTCTACGCCGAAACAATTGGAAGCCACGCTAGTAAATTCCTCTTTATCCTTGCCATCGAAATGAGTAAAAAGTCTTTAAAACGCATTCGTCTTCACCGACTAACCCGACAAGGGTTCCGTCTCCTCCAGACTCAGGAATGCGCGAGCGACAAGTAGGATGTTGCTTTGATACACCAAGGTGACTCCCGCTTTTAAGCTAGGGCAACTGAAGTATGCTCCTTACGTTAAAAGTGAAGTTGAATTCACTTTCCGCAGTTCGTTAAATATCCCCCCCCCCCTTTAAACGTTTTGTTTACTCTGTTGTGTACCGAGTGGTGAAAGTGATGTTACCCAAAACTAATCATCAGCGTCCAGTCATCTCAAAAAAAATTTACGAAACCAGTCATCTTTGGAAATCATCTCAAATGGCACATGGTAACGAGATACCTTCACGAAGCGACCAACCTGGAGTGTAAGTGGCGTCGTGTGACTCTAAGTACAATTACCAAGACATCACCCCCAAATGAAGACTTTTTGCACGGCAAAAATGAGGTTTTCTTTACCCTATAGCCAAACAGATTGATGTCGCCTGCTTGTCTAGAGAAAGCACATTGTCATCATGCATAAACTTTAAGTGATGAGTGTTTGTAGCGGACTGTTAAAGCTGGATGAAGCATCATATTTTGTTAATTGGTGCTTGTACCTTGAATCAGATATCATATGTCATCCATTTTAATTAACATCGATGTCCAAAAAATTAAACGGTTTGTTTAACTAAAAATTTGAAGACGGGTACATTAAAAGGGGAAGTTAGGACGCACACTTCAAAAATACCCGGAGTACAAAAAATATATTGCATCAATTTCAACTTTTTTATTTTATTCTTTATTTTTATCACATATTAAAATGAATACCCAACTCTTTTATTATCTTTTTTTGTAGTATTCCCCAACTATGTTATACCAGATTTAATAACGCTTTGTGAATTTCAAGCACAATGACTCGGGGGCAAAGTTGAATGCCATATCAAATACAATCTTTTCTTTATGGATCGAGTCTTTTGGGAGTTCAATTTCATATTTTCTCACTAAAAAAGTATGATTATGAATAAGATACACTTTGTAATTAAGTAAGCAGTACTTACATATCATTGCCAATACAACCCGTTGTTCTGTTAAACTGAAATTCATACCCAGACATTGACGAGACCCATTGCTAAAAGGAACCCAAGTCAGCCCTGTATGTCCCTCATGTTCTCCGCCTTCTTCAAATCTTTCTGGGATAAAGTGGTCTGGGTTTTGCCAATTTTTGGGTGATAAATGAATGGATGCAACATCAATACTAATTTCAGCTCCTTTAGGAATAACTGTTCCGGCTAACTCCATATCCTCACCAGTCTTTCTAGAGAATAATCTATCTACTGGACCACTATGACGAAGATTCTAAACCATAAAGAATTAAATGAATGAATTATTGACCTGTAGTCATCGACATACCTCTTTAATAACCAAATTGATATAGTCCATCTGTTTTAACTCTTCTTCTGTGGGAATAATATCGACTGGCTCGTCACCTAGGATTCTTAAGACTTCCTCACGTGCTTTTCTTTGTACATGCTAAAATGTTTATAATATGGTGTTAGCCCAATACAATTTTTTTTAATAAAAGAGAGGTTTACCTTGTTAGCAGCAAGATTGTACAAACAAAATGAGAGCGTGTGCGCAGTAGTGTCATGACCTATACATCGAGTATTAGCAAGGATCAATCAGGTTTATGATCAAAATATTATTTACCCGCCAAGAAAAAGAGTGCGATATTATGCTATTTAAGAAAAACAAAAATTAGGTTAGTTAAATACGAAAAAGGAATCTACAAAGGTCATATGTCTTACTCTCAGCTGCTCAGTTGAAGCCTCTCCTCCTTCACGGATATCTGCCTCGATCATCAAAGTGAGCAAATCTTTTTCTTTTTCCGGAATTCCGTTTCTTTTTCCTTCGAGTATTTCTTGTCTTTTCTTATTAGTAAGATCATCCAACATACTATTAAATTTAGTGCTAGCTTCCATAATGCGTCTTCTTCCTGGTGAGATCATTCTTATTAAAAAGTCGGCTTTGACAAAAATACTAAGCCAAGGATCAAACAAGCTCAAAATAAATGTGTTATAAGTCTTTGTCCATCCTTCAGGATCGCCTTTTAGTGCTTGAAAGTTAAATCCTACATAGATTTATCAGGTTCTATCAGTATACAGTGTCAAATCATTTGTTTAACACAATCATACCAAATGCTGCTAATCCTAAAGCATCCAAAGTAAAATGTCTCATTTTTAATGCAATTGACACATTGTCACTTTCTTCATCTATCGCCGCAAATAGATCTGGCATTACACCTCCAAAAGTCTTGACTGGCATAGAACGGTGAAACGCTGGATTCATAATCTACGAGGGAAAAAGAAGTGGATATGTCAATCTACCGTTTATCCATATCCAACACTCACTTTAATTAACAGACCTTGCGCTGACTTTTCCATGTATCTCCATTTGATACAGCTACATTATCCTTTCCCAGAAATTGGATTGGGAGGCTGTTTGTCTCGAGTTTGTCAAAAAATGCATGTGACTTTGGAAAGTTTTCTGAAACATCAAGAAAAGTTAGTATTTGTGCTGGTATGTGCTCTGATTAATTTACCTGTTTTCAATAATAGTGTTCTTGCTGCTACGGGGTCGGTGACGTAAATGGTCCATGTAAAAGGAATACGGTTCTGGATTCATTGGAATAATTTCATCAGTATCGCATCTGCGTAAGTTTCATAAAAATAAAAATAAATTGAGCTTACGATGTAAAAACCATTGTTATCCTTTATAAGAGGTGCAATTAATCTTTTTTGACGGTCAGCAACAGACTCTTTATAGTAGTAAGATTTAATCATGGAGAAAAAGGAAACCTTGGGGAAATGACGGAGATGTTTTGGTACGACCAAAAATGAGTGAGCTTGATGGACAGCTAAAAGTAACACAGCAAATCCAATGTATGATAGTTTGGATGTTTTCTTAAGCATAGGAAATAGCTTTTCAAAAGCTGTGGAGTAATTTTTCAAGACAGAGTCAATCATAATGAGTTTTGAAAAAAAATAAAAGTGGATAAGTTGAGAAAATACACAAATGGTTGGTTTTTTATATATGCTGTGACTCTAGATAAAACAGTTGACCCTCATGCTGCGTAACTTTTTAAAATATGCGGAACGAACGGCCACGGCGCCGAAATTTTTTTTTTCAATTGCTCTGCATCCTTTCGGAGTTAACTTAAACCGACACTTTGATGTGGTTAGAATCCTATTTTAGATCAGAAGCCTTGATTATTGCAGGAGTCTTTCAAGCAAAAGTAAATTTAGAATTTATTATTATTTCCGTAATAAATCTGCTGCGGCACAAAAAATAATGTTTATTTTAGCTAAGCTGGACCTAACAGGAAAGAAAAAAGGAGACTCCAATGTCTATCCGAAATTGATTGTTTTATCACGTTTTGACTCATAATTCTATTGCGCAGATTTTTGTTTACAAGCGTTGGCTACGCCAAAAAAGTAATCAATCTGCCAGAACCGGATCGAGGTTGACCATCATTCAAATCGGATCTGTGTGTCGGTAAAACATATTCCACCAATGTCTTTAGAGTCCCTCGGAAATAAAAACTAGGAGTAATTACAACAAGGATGTAATTGTTGGACCAAGCTGCATATTTCGCTCCTTCCGATCTTGCAGGAGACTAAATATGCTTTTAGGGTGCTGATCAATTCCCTATACCTGATTTAGACATAATCATGTCAACAATGCACTGCGGCTACGCTGCTGTAATACTGTCTTCATTGTTGTCCTGATATGCTCTACTAACATTGTCAGACGTACCAAAAGTGTACAGTATAAGCGGTGTCCGTATGTGCAATACAAGTTAAAGTACCTGGGAATATCCTTTTTTATTTATTTTTTATTTGTGTAGATATCCCATTTTTGTTTCATGTCAATAATGCAGCCAGAATGTGCTCACCGCTGACGACTTTAGCCGTACCGCATTCTTGTTAACAATAAATAAATGTTTTTATATCATAAATTGCAAAAATTCAGTACCTTCATGCTGCGCTTTGTAGTCGCATGCTACGTTTTATACTTAAACTTAACTTAAGTTGGTATCTGCAAATCGCCTTGAGCTTCAATTAATATAATCACAATTCAAGACAATTGTAACCACATGATTTAGACTTTACAAATAGCGTTTATTGTATCTCATCACAGAAAGTTTGCGTGTGTATATGTTGCCATCTTCAACATTAAACGTGTTCTCGATCAGTGCTGCATAGGAAGTTCTTTTTCTGAGCACTGATTGGGTAATGATACAAAGTCACGTTTTCCAAATACGTCATCAATGAGGTCCTCTGAAAGATTTTTTTATGGTACATGTGTGGGCGCGTATATTGAAAAAATGGAGGCCTTTTTACTCTATATTTAACATACAATAAAATGTTTTGTGCTAGTAAGATAACGATAGTGTCATTTAAAAGAGCAAGAATACTAAAAGAAATGTAGTTTCTGGAGAGGCACCTGAACAACCTGTCGTTTCTGTTAAGTCTGGAAATGTTTTCGAAAAGAGATTGATCGAAAAGTACATTGCTGATAATGGTAAAGATCCCATCAACAACGAGGAAATGACAGTCGAGGATTTAATTGACATCAAGACAAGTAAGAATAAGCACCAGACAATTCAATTGAGATCACATAATCTTATTTTTTTTGACGCGATTCTTATTTCTTAACAAATAATAGCTCCAGAGACTGTAAAGCCTCGTCCACCCAAGTTGTCATCTGTTCCTTCTCTTTTGTCTTCTCTTCAAAATGAATGGGACAGTGTCATGCTCGAATCTTTTACTCTTAAGCAACAATACCAACAAGTTCGTCAAGAACTTTCTCATGCTTTGTATCAAAACGATGCCGCCACAAGAGTTATTGCTCGTATGAAGAAGGAGCGCGATTCTGCCAGAGAGTAAATTTATTCAGTGATGATTTCGATGATGTATTAACGGAATAATTGTTTTTCTTTAGAGCTCTTGCTAATGTTCAAGCACATTTGGGTACCGCTTCTTCTGCCCCTACCCAAGCTACTGCTACCGAAGAATCTATGGAAGTTGATGCCAGTGCTTTACCTGAGGAAGTCGATTCAAAAATTGCTAATACCGGTGAAGAGTAAGGCTAAACAAATTGCGATGTTTATTCACACACAAATATATTTACATTTCCTGTATTAGACTTCGTCAAAATCGTCGTAATAAGAAGAAGCCACCAGTCGAGTTCGCTTCTGTTGAATCCGTCAAAGAATACACAGAAATCAAAAACATTCCTTCTCTTCATTCAGCACGCCCTGCTGGTATCACAGCTTTAGATGTTAACGAATCTGGCAGCATTATTTTGACAGGTGGCAATGATAAACACGTTCTTGTTTATAACAAGGATGAGGATAAGGTCATTGCTAACCTTACCGGCCACACCAAGAAGGTTACTGCAGTGAAGTTTAGAGGTCAACAAGAACAAGATGATATTCTTCTTAGTGCAAGTGCCGATAAGCATGTTCGTGTTTGGGTTGCAGATGAAAAGAAGGGTTATAAGCTTGGTCATAATATCACTGCTCATAAGGCTGATGTTACAGACATTTCTGTTCACCCTAGTAAGGATTATTTCGTCAGTGCTGGTTTGGATAGCAAATGGTCTTTATATGACTTTGATACTGCTAAGCCCATTGTCGAAGCTTTTGATACTGAAGTTGAAGCTGGTTTCCATTCCATTGAATTCCATCCTGATGGTATGATTCTTGGTGCTGGTACAGGTAATGGTGTCCTCCAAATGTGGGATGTCAGATCACAACAAATTGCTGCCAGATTCGAAGGTCATGCTGGTAAGGTTGGTGCTCTTGCATTCTCTGAAAATGGGTAAGTAGTTTTTTTATAGTGCTATTTCGAATTGATAGTAACACGTTCAATATAGTTATATCCTTGCTTCTGCTTCTGAAGACAATTTGGTCAAAATCTGGGATCTCCGTAAGTTGGCCAATACAAAGACTTTCACACTGGATGAAGATTACAAGGTCAACACTCTTTCTTTTGATAACTATGGCCAATACCTTGCTATTGGTGGTACTGACCTCCGCGTTCTTAAGGCCAAAGATGGCTCTGTTGTTGCTACTTATAACGATAATAACAAGTCTGAAATCACAGGTGTCCATTGGTCTCCTCTTGCTCACGGTTTAATGTGTTCTAGTTTAGATCGTTCTGTCCGTGTTTATGGTGCACCATCAAACTAATTTTAACAAACATTTTCATCCCCTTTCTCTCCGTATCCCTTCTCACCATCTCATTCTTTTGCTTTCTCCTCTGTTACATCACTCAATCCAAGCGAAAAAGGAAAAGAATTAAAATAATGTTCATACATGCTAAATAAATATTTAATAAAAAAAAAGGTTTTTTTTTTTTTATTTTATTTCTCATTATGCAGCATATGTTTTGTTCTTATTATTTCATTTTTTTTTTTTTTTACAATTTTTCAGGAGTTGCGGTTTGTGTGTTTACAAGTGTATTTGCATCGGGATATCTTCTTGGTTGATATGCGTAATTACCCCTTCCTCTTGGATTAGTTGAGTTAGCCCATGCGCCACGTTTACGATGTGAGTTCCCCCGTTGATATGATGTGTTAGTATTGTTGTAACGGTGTGACTGGTACCCATTACTATTAGATATGGCTTCCCACTCACTATTATTATTCATCATGTCGTCAGAGGACTTGTACGGCCGACGTTGTTCATAATGAGGTCGAGGTGTTGATGCTGAGTTGTTGTTATAGTTTTGCTGCTGCCAAGGTAATGCAGGAAAGTAGACAGGTTGGACTCCTGTTCCCACCTGGGGATAGGGAATCATATATTGATTTCCAGTGGCATATTGCTGTTGTGGCATAAGATATACACCTACAGGTCGTTGTTGAATGCCTAAATCATTTTATCAGTACAGAATTATAACATAAAAAAGTTTCCTTATTACCTTTAGATCTCACGTCTTCAGAATGTTGTGGCTGCTGTTGAGAAACTGGGTATTGGTAAACCAAGACTGGGTAATTAGGGTTCACATTCATTCTTCGAGGCGATGTTGAATCTGACTTTATAGGACCGTTGTTTGGAAATTGTACTCTCGGTGGTGTCGATGTTGTACTGCTTGTCTCACTCGTTTCATCCACAGTCTCAGAGATATGGCTCGCATCTGTTGCTGCGCCTGTCGCTGGTTCGTGTATGTCCGATAACTCAACTTGCTCGTTTATGGTTTTGTCGGCATCTTCAACGTGTTGCTCACGAGTTACTTCCTGTTGGCTGTCGCTTATGATTCGATCCATCATCTAAAAAAAAATGTTTAAATAAGAAACTTCTTGGATCAAAATAGTACAACTTACTGTAATATCTGTATCAGAATCTTCTGTTTCCAATAAGAAACGCATATTATTCGGCTTTTTACCAATTAACTTCTTGACGGCATGGGGAAATATGGGGCTGGATGATCTTTCCCACCAAGGGCTTGACAAGCAAGTATTAGAAGTAATAGCCATATTTTTGGTTTCTTTAGATTCTTCTTGGCGTTGCTTTGTTGCATTGGGTGCCTTGACAACGGCAGGTTCGTGCTTCAAGATTTCCTTAACAACAGGCTGTTTAGGCTCATCTCCATCTGCAGTGACACCGCTATGTTGGCGCCAATGATCACCACTGTTAGTCACATCAAATTGTTGTTTTTGAACGGAATTGTTGGAGATAGAGTTTCTTCCCCTTCCACGACTACTTCGACTTCCATGTTCTAAACCTCCGCGCCCACGACCACCACGATTACCTCTATTATAGCCACCATGCTCTTCATCGTTACGCGTCCATCCACGATCATAGCCTTTACCTTGAGTGATATGAGAGGGGATGGTACCCCAGTCTTCATTTTGTGTGTAGTCAACAATTTCGACAATATTTTCGGGATTCTTCGCTTTGTGTCTTGCGTTAAATAATGCCTGTTTCTCAATTTCGGATTCTTGTAATCGAGTAGCGTATGAATTCCAAGCACTGCAGGAAGCCTCCGTCTTAGCAAGAGGTGGTGTGACATTTGTTTTAACAGCAGCTACAAAGACCTCCCAATTTTGCTCGTCTTTTGTCAGAGGAATTCCGTTTTCATCAACTGTTCGCACAACAATGTCCTTCTTCGGTTCGGTTGACTGCTTAACAGCCTCCTTTTTGAGGGTAGACTGCTTGTCTGTCATGGCGTCCTTATTCGCGGCAACTAAATTCCAAGGCTTACTAGTGTCGGGTAATGATACAGGCTCGGTTGGTTTATGGGTTTTTGATGGTAATGTTGGCTTAGACTCTTTTTTCTTTTCAGTTGCTACTGTTGCTGCTGCCGCTGTTGTTGATGGTAGAGGTGGCGATTTAGATTTTGGCCTTTTTTCAATCTCAGTGAAAACAGGCTTCTTCTCAATTTTGATTACAGGTGCTTCTATCTTCACAGGCATTTCTTTCTTAACCAGCACTTCTTTCGTAGTTGATTTATCTTTCTTAGAATCTGCTTCAGCTTTTAAACGGGCTTGTTCGGCCATCAATTCTGCCTTATGCTTAGCACGAGCACGAGCTGCTTCGCGCTCTGCTTCCTCTTCGTCTCTACGCTTTTTTGCCCGTTCAGCCGCACTTAACATGACTTCTCTCTGAACCGCGCATATCTCTTCGTCTGCTTCCTGTGGTTGTTCATGGGTAACAGGTTCTGATATAATTTGCAATGGATTCAACTGCTCTTCTCGGGAATGATCTGATTTAATGCTTTGTTCTGAAAGTCGTCGGGGTCTTTGCAACAAAGTAGGATGATAAAGAGTTGAAGTGGACGCAACGTTACCATGAGCGGGAGGAGGTCCACTTTTTCTATCATGACTAGAACGTCTGTTAGCGTTATTTGACCAGGATGTATTGTTGTTGACATTATTATCAACACTTTCTCTTCGACTCCATCGATCATTTGTTGGTGTTGTAGTGGAAGGGCGCCTTTCATCATTTGATACATTTGTACTATGGCGTCTGTTATCATAACCATGTACACTGCTATTATATCTAGAGTTATAACCATGATCTTCTGAGCGACGGTATGAAGCTTTGGTATATCCATGATCTGCAGATTCGTTGCTCTGTCTTGGCGGATAGCTACGGTCGTAATCCTCTGTAAATCGATCTGATGGTGATACAGGGTTTATTGATTCTTCAGATCCATCTACTTGAACTTTAGTTCCGTCATCGAATTCAACAACATCCACTTGAAAATCATCCAAGTCTTCACTAACCATCTATTCATTGAGTTTAGTGCGTTGTTCTTATATGCATGTATAAGCTTCATTTTACCTCGTCCCAAGATGTATGATTTGGATCTGATGAAGCGTATTTTAAGTACTCTTTATCGTCCTAAACACATGGATTAATCAGTATTGAATCAATTAAATTAAAAAATGATATAACATACATATAATGACGGATTTTCTAAAAGTAAAGAAATGAAGTATGGGTAAGAAAATTTTGTTGCAGGTCTTTATTTATTTGTTTACTTACTTTTTCCAGCAGCTTCAGCAGCAGTAGGGAAATCTGTTGAAGGTGGTTTCACTGTAGGTTCAGCTACCGTAGGAACCGCCCAAGCACGAGCCGTAGAGGACTGTGAGCTAGTAAGAGTGGGTGATGATGCAGGATCTACCTCCGATGGGGAATCTATTGTTGATTCAACTGGTTTTATGACAGGAGAAGTAACCACAGGTTGTTCAGTAGGTTTACTAATCTCGGTGGGTTGTATAAATGGAGTGGAGGGTGAACTAGCAGTAGATGAACCCCAGCCATGTGAGGTTGCAGGAGAGGAAGCAGGTACTTCTGTACCAACCGCATGTTCTCTTCGTAAGCTTGGTAAGTTCATTGGACGAGGTGCTGATATTTTGCTTGAGAGTAACCTTTGACGTGTCTGTGAGTTACGGTTTCCTATTTTTTTTGTACTGTTTAATATTAATGTTGATTTCACACAAACTAAACGTATCTACCTATTGTGTTTGCATTCGCCAATGGGCTCTTTGGAGTTCCGGGATATTTCTTATTGTTGTTATTCATGGTACTACTGGGAGACGTAAACCTTGCGATAGCACTCGGTTGTGTTTCTCCTGCTGACATGATGCTAATTTATTTAACGCGTTATTTGATTTTTATTAAGAAAATAAAAAATAATGTTGAGCAACTGAAGAAAAAAAAAAATTAAAAAGTGGGAAAGAAATTTTATATTTGAGGAAAATATGATACGCATAAAAAATTACATAATATTTTGACGACTTTTTTTTATTTTATTTTTTTTCAATCATCTTGACTTCTTTCTTCCTCCTAATGATACGCTGTCCGGTATGGAGAAGCTTTGTATAAAACTAATTAACGATATAACAGCAATCAAATAATATACCAGATGATGATCAAAAGGATATCGATTTCCATCCTTGAGAGAGTATGACCACAAAGTACCTCCTAAAGTAGGTGCCAAAGCACGAACAAGTGCCATACTAGATTGTGATATACTACATGAATTTTATAAATTAATTTACTGAGTCTATATATTACCATTTTACACTTTACCCATTTACTGTGCCCAGAATTTCAGAAGTAGCTGATGTACTCACCTATAATTCAATTTTAGTACAAGTATAATAAATAGTGTTATGCGATTTACCATTATATTAAGCCCTGTGAAGGCCATACAGTTTCCAAAAAACCGGATTAGCAACAAAGACAAATACCCAATTCGGATAATCCAACCGATCCCAACAGCACTGGTAAAACGTGCTCCAGACCATTCTCTCAGTGTACTTAATTCAGGAAATAGGGTATAGACAATCACGAACATAAATAAAGCTACGCGGACCTGAACCAAAATATTGAATCGTTGTGTCAATTTAGGATAAACTCCAAATTGAAATATAAGTTGGGCAACTCCTAGAATTGCCAAGGTCTGTGCAAATTCTGTTAAAGAAATACCAAGTCCGCCTGCATAAGTAGGAGCTGTAAAATAAAGCGGCAAAATTTCATCGAACACCATTGCATGAAATCCAAAGACCCTATTTATAAAAAAAGGCTTAGTCATTTGTAAACTGTAAAATGATGATCTACTTACGAATTGGCTATAATAATAACAAATGAAGTCATGGTGATATTACGAATAGATCCACTTCTAGGAAGTATCTTTTTGTTGGATACCTCAGCATCATTTTTTAAGAGTGCTGTTCTTTCATTGTCCAGTCTATCTTTATCCCATTTTTTACTTGCAATTACATTTGGATTGGACTCCTCCAAATAAAAATACCCAATTGTAAAGCCGATCATTGAACCACATGCAGATACAAAGCATGGTAAAAAGTAAGGATAATCTTTCAAGAATTGACAGTTACCAAATAACTCTGGGAAATTTTCTGCTGGTTTTGAGAGATAACCGCCCAATGTAGGACCTTTATGCAAATAAAAAAATTAATACAACCAAAAATTCCCATTTAGTGCATCCGTACTTACCAACTAATTGTTTTAAAATTGAGCATAAGAATGACTATCATTAGTAAAAAAAAAAAAAAACCCCTGCAGAGTAAATTTAGAACGATAACCTACCTATCATACCCGTATTCCACATTACACTAAAAACACTAAAAGCCTTTGCTTTATTAGTGTTGTCGGTAATTTCACTGACTGTACTACGAGCCACGCCACTGTTTCCATTCATAATTCCACATAACGCACGTGCACCAATAGCCCACCATAAGTTCTTACTAAGTCCAAACAAGCAAGTCGAAATTGAATTACCAATCAATCCTGTTAGCAAGACGGGCCTTCTTCCATATCGATCCGATATTTTCCCCCATACTATTGCTGTACTGAATTGAGCGATAAAAAACACTGAGGCTAATGAGGAGAAGTATAAGTAACTCAGATTTCCTTTACTGTAATAACCCTGTCACTCACTAATCCATCCCGCATAACTCCCTATTTCTTTTTCATCATCAGACAGATGGAAATCTTTCAACTAACAAAAATGGTCATTTTAGTCAATATAAACTTTAAAGCAAAAAAGAAAGAGAAATAAAAAACTGGCTTACCATGGAATAGATAAAGGGGAATAAGATGGTAGATGTCAAAGGCTCGCTGAATAGCAAAATCGATATCACGATCATTTGTACTCGAGGTAAAGGCGTGATCTTGACCTTGTCATCTTCCCCATTTTCGTAATCGCTACCATCTTGGCTATACATACTATTCTCCTCTCCAATTGAGTCATAATATGTTGAAGGACCACCGTTAGAATTTGTTGGCGTTCTGGTCATAACATGATCACTGATTTCTAACGACGATTTGTCTGTGCCTATCGGTATCCTGTGATCATAGTTAAGATTACTTAAATTGGAATGAGCAGACTGTTGTTTGTGATGAAGCTCGTCCTCCTCCATCCGCCTATGAAGTTCGCTTGATATACTTTCAGTATAGCTACTAGATACGGGGTCTGGCGCATTAATCATTTTCTAAAGAAGTAGAAAAAAAGGGAGAAAAGAAAACTCAAGAACAAAGAATTAAATAGGAGTCATGGCAATGAATTGTTTGTTGAGTAAGTAATAGTCACAATCATAAAAAGTAAAAGGCTGCACAAACTCTGAGTCATTACATTACCGCAGTGAATTAACAATTGCTCCTTTTTTTAAATATTTGAACCTTATTTTTAGATATCATTCCAAACCCCTAATAATTTTTGTTTATATCACACACGTCACCATATAAGGAAAATAATTACAAATTTAGCCTGTATCACTGTTAAGCTTTCTTTCTGCTAAACATGCAGCTTTCTGGGAAGCATAACCGACTTCAAAGATAAAAAAAAAAATACCAACATATTTCTATGATCATTTTAATTTTTCATATTAAGATGTAGTGGAGGATGTTCTGTGGAAGACGGCTCTCTTTCAATGTCAATATTTCACAACTTGGCTAAGCAATTACATCTTTTTTTACGTTGGTCATGTTTGAACACATGATCTAACCAATCAACTTTATTCTACATTTATACGTATATAAAAACAGAGTATAAGGTATTAAGAGACTCAATTGCGATGAGATTTTGTTAAGAAACTGTATTGATCTTCGTAAGTCCTCAAAGATAACGCCAATGAATATCTTTGGCACTTAAAACCAATTTACTTCACACTATATCTGTGTGAATGGTCTTTTATATCCCCTCAAAAATGTAGCTACCAGATAATTTTACCACTCAATGCCCAAATCCCTTCAGGAAATATTGCCTACGGGGTTTCTTCCATGTTCGTAGAAGGAACCGGTTATAAAGCATATAGCTTTGAGAAACATTATAAAACAAGGCGGGGTGTAATTATTCAAGTCACACACACACACACACACACACACACACACACACACACATAAATACACACACATACACATATAAAGAGAAATAGAGTAAGGCAAAAGCATTATTATGTATAAATTATTCTATAAGTTTAGTAAAAAAAGGACAGTGACTAAACAAGCCCCTAATCATTGAGTGCAACACATCTTAGAGGCACAGATTGTAAGCCATACCAACAGCGAAGGCCAACAAAGTAGAGCCTTGGACAAAGACCTTGGAAGATCCGCTTGTTTCCATATTTCCACTTCCACTACTTCCACTTTTTCCATTGCTAACGCTGCCACCGCTGTTACTTCCACTCTTACCGTTGCTAGTACCACCGTTACTGCTACCACCACCACCACTAGTTGTACCCGAATTAGGTAAACTAGGGTTTTGACCGACAGTGGGGATCAACTCAGACTCCTGCATACTTGCGGAACAACTCCAAGTATTTCCTTTAGCAATGTTTTCGCCCTTAAGCTTACGCTCAAGATCAGAACAACCAACCTTGTTTGAAGTAGTTTGGAGACGCATGCCACCACGAACATCCTTGAGGGCTGGAAGCTTGTATTCAGAGAAACTTCCGGCTAAATCAGCAGTGCCATGGATTTCACTTAAAACGGGGAAACCATCAATGGTGGGCAATTGAGTATTGTTACCAATAGAAAGAGCGCCATTGACAACAGCTAAACTCTTGAAGGAGGTCTCGGTCAATTTGTTATTATTAACAATGGTCACAGTACCGCCAATTCTTTCAAGCTTATCCAAAGCAAGAGTTGAGAATTCATTTTCGTGGAATGAAATATCGGATTGAACAATAGTTAAAGCGGGCATCTGAATATCAGCGACATTGAGGAAAGTGGCAGTTTTAATACTGGCCAAATTTTCAGCCTAGATTCAAAAGTTAGTAATATAATCAAAATATTTTAATCTTATCTTACAATAAAAGGCATCTCAGGGTTATTACCAAGGATTAACATATCACCAGTAATACCCTTCAATGACGAAAGATCATTGGATCTCATATGCTTATTACTCAATAAAGTGAACGATTCAATAGATTCCGATTTCAAGCCATCGATTTGAGGTGCACGGGTGTCTTCAATACGCAAAGAGTTTACTTTGACAAGGCCAGCAGGGAAATTAATTACCTCAAGAGCAGGTAAAACAGAGAGGTGGAAACCATTGACTTCAGTCAAAAGAGGCAACTCAAGCTTGTTTAAAATAGTATGATTGATAATCTTAATGTTACCATCAACTTTCTGTAAGCTAGGAGCACTGAAGGATACAAGGTCAACATTACCTGACATGACCAAGTCACCAATCAATTGTTGAACACCGTCCAGTTTAAGATGTGCAGCAGGAACAATATCCATAGTGATGACACCCTTGAAAACCGTACATGAACTGATAGCATCCAAATCTCCTTGAGAAGTTACACTGACATTCTTTTCACAACCTGAAGCAGCAGCTTTTTAGGAAGTTAGGCATTGGTTACACAGATGAGCGCTAAATAATTTATTCCAGTACTTACTTTCTGCCACAACCATTGCATATAATGTAGCCAACACAATTGAAGTTAACGTTAATCTTGTCATTCTTTTTTTTTTAGGTAAAGGGTAATTGAGAATAAAATTGAGAGAAAACTAGATAAAAGAAAATTTACGATAAATCACCTTTTGTACTTTTTTTATTCCTATATTAAATGTAACCATTTTATGAGTTGTGTCGATTTTGAAATAATAATATAAAGAATGGTATGGCACGTATAAATCCCATCAAACAAGAAAGTTTGGCTGAAATCACAACATTTTACTCATCCCAGGTGTTCGAATTTCTTTGTTACACACCCTGTTTGTTATATCACATGAGATCAGTTATAAATAAGCGAAAAAGTGTTTCCACTTTTTTTAAAAAAAAAATAGGACGCCTATCATTGTAAACCCAGTACATTTAAAAGAAGTGAGGGGACCCAGGACTAAATTTCTTCGTCTTTTTCTTTTCTCACACTTTTATTCAATGCCGGCTAACAATACTGGATTCGTTTTTTTGAACTTGACTAGCGAAGAAGAAGAACACTATTATGACCAGGATATATTTCCTTCAACTCATGATTCTGCAGAAATGATGCTGTATGCATTTGTTGATAGTGCACCCTCGGTTGCTGATTTATTGTGGTCAAAACAACAACTTGGACAGTCTGAATTTTTAACTCTTACTGATGGACAAGAATGGCCGGAATTGCCAGCTGTTGATTTTTCCACCCATGAACCTCACATTTAGAACCTAAATTTATATGAATGTATGAATGGATGAACACAATAAAAAAAAAGATAATACGAGATTCATAATGTGATTTTTCTCTTTACTGTAATAAATAACTTGTGTGTGAAATACCCTCCTAAACTAAAGAATCGTTCTTCTCCTTCTTTTTACTATATTTGGTTATTCTTAAAACTCTTATTTTGTAAACATGGATATGGATATTGGCGTTTTCACAAAAATGATTGGCTGAAAGGCCAAAAGGATTGGCGAGAATTATAAACAAAAGACACGAGCGCAATTCTTTTTGTCTTTTTTGGCCTAAAATATTTGTCCACAAAGCTTATTTGTTTTTTTGTTTTTTGCGTATATTATATTTTTTGATACAGAAGCTCCACCCCAAAGTTCGTTTTCCAATGAACCGAATTCGCTTTTGTCTCTGACTAAAAATCGTTTTTTTTAACAGCCCAAAGTTCGTTTTTTATTGGATAAAGTTCGCTTTTGTAAATTTCCCAAATTCGTTTTTACATCACTCAAAGTTCGTTTTTGTTATTAATAAAGTTCATTTTAATCATACAGTCGCAACGCCAATGTGCGGTATTTTACATTAAAGGGGGAGGGGGAGGATAAAATCTCAAAAAGCGGTTTATACTTCATCTAATAACTTAACAATAAAATACAACAGACGAGTACTTATATATTCTACAAAGATGGTAAAGATAGAATATTTGACAGAAAAATAAATGATGGGTCATGAAGAAAATATGAACCCATTTTATTTAGAAGCGTCAACAAATATTATACATTATTGTAGTTACCTGGAACCAGAGCACGAGCCGATTGTGGAGGAATAGAAATTACTGCTCTTGCAGAAAAATTAAAGAAACAAAAAGGGGATAACCATGAGTACGATAGTGAGTAGAAACCACTTTTTGTCTACTGCAATCAAGTTTTCGAAAAAATGAAAGAAATTTATCTAGCTAAGGATAATGCGCCCATTGACACTGAAAAAAAAAAAAAGCTTGGTGAAAGGTTAAATTGCTGAGGAACTAGTTTAACTAATCAAATGTTTATTACTGTTTTAATTTGAGGTAATAGTACTAGAGTACTTTAAGTATCTCCATAGCTCTGTTTTTTTAAAAGTCAGGAAATAGGTGGGTATTTATACTTCTTTCGAATAATAATTATCATTGACTCGCAGCTGTCCGCTTTGCGTCGATCTATGGCATTATTGCCTAGTTCCGTATCTTATACGCTTGACGCAACCAACGAAAACTGTTTACGCCCTAAACGTTCCACAGAATTCACCATCTACCCGTCCTTGTCTCGACAAATCCTTCGTTTAGTGACCAATGATGAGCTTGCACTTCTTCCCTTCTTTGTTCGCTCTTTCATCCCTTCTTCCCGTGCCTCCGGCTATATTCCTGTTCTCGATCATTCGGTAGTGGATATCACGCCATTCCTAATTGCATTACAGTTTGTTTCTCCTCCCGGTTCTCCACATGACCCGTCAACCACGAAGATTTACACTCAATGGTGTTCTCCCTCACCTATCTATCCTTCTCTTCCTCCTCCAATTGCACCTACTCTATCCACGAATTGATCAAAATTTTGGAACCTCCCCTTGTCACACTCATGCCGCAATGTCTGATATCGATATATTCATAAGAAAATCCCTCATCGATCTATTCTGCATAGATTTATGCCAGCATACTTTCCAACACCAGTTTGTCAATTATGCTCACATCCATCAGAAACTCTTGATCATTTTTTATTTGAGTGTCCTCTAAAACCGCCCGTTTGGCAACATATCTGGGATCACCATATCTCCCCATCCTCTATCACTTTGTCGACCGAAATCCTGCGTGTTAGTCTTCATACTTTTCGTGCCCTCCTGCCCAATATGCCACTTCTTCCTGACTCTAGCCTTCTCGCTCTTTCTGCTGCTCTCGAATCAATTTGGTTGGGCCAGTGGGCTTTTGTCTTTAACGACACTCCTTTTAATACTGCTTCCACTATCTCCCTCGAGTCCAAAAAGATTTTAAAATCTCAACATGAAGAACTTCTTCATTCGGGCATTCCTCATTCTCCCCCTCCCATTTTCTCTGAGGACAGCTTATACTCCCTCAATTGGTAAGACCTTCCGTTGCTCATGCTTCCGCTAAAGCTGCTTTTATTTTTTCTAAATTTCAAACTTGTACATACTTTACTTATAAAAAAAACACCAACTCTAAAATAGAAAACCCAAAAACACAATTGTGACGATTTCCCTTTAATATCACTAATAAATCACAGACTCCGTCTCCATATAAACAAAATTTCTTTCGTATAGATAAGAATTTTACTTGATCTGTGATTGGGAATAATATGAGGCTAGGCAAAGTTCATGAGACTTATTACTTTATTGATTGAATTGAATTTAAGTATTTATATGTTTTCTTAAGTAATTCTGCGATGACAAGGAAGATAATAATGCGTCTTAATGGTATGCTTTAGTATATAATTTGATGATCGGGTTACTATCTATGTCGAGTACAAATTGTAAATCGGAAATTAGACCAAGTGTCGTAGTAAGGAATGTGAAATGAAAATCCTAAGCCGGAACACTGGATTTTTCATGAAATCAATGTATACTAAAATTTTACTAACACATGAAGTATATGGATGTTTTATTACATTTATGTAAACATTGTTAATTGTAATCCAGTTTGACTAAATTTTCACTCTTTCATGCCGGATTTGAGCTTTTAAAAACGTTTTCTTGTCGAACCAAAAGATAATCCAGGGTTTTGCTTCAAAGCTATTGCAAAAATCGATGTCATTATAAAGTTGACAACTGCTCATATGACTTGCAAATATGAGGGTTGCTTCTTCAGACCAAGGCGTTCTTAAAGCTGAAGTATTATCCATAATGTTGGCGACATCTGAATTAGGCGAAGTAATCACTAACACGGATGACAAGTAGACTTCTACCTAACTATTTATGGAAATATATACATTATCTTCTCTCAATAAAAACAACTTTTTCATACTTCATTGCACCTTAAATCGAGTAGTTTCTTTCGACCCCACTTTCTCAACCATTCCCCAGAACTCGCCTGATAGTTCAGCTCTTCTTACTCCAACTGAACAAACTTCCCCCATTGCCCCAAGCAATTCTTCAACAGAATTTGACACTATGCTTTCCAACATTCATAAACTTAAACACCAGCAACATACTTTGAACGAAACTGAGCTCGAAGAATTGACCAGCTTCAATCACTGGTTTCTCTCTCGTATAGATTCTACAAACATTCCTTCCAATTCTAATTTACTATACAAAGATAGCAAATTTGTTTTTTTAACAAAAAACGAGCCCTAAAAATTTAAAACAGCCAGAAAAAAAAATACTCCCATTACGTAATGACAAAATAATACGTTTTTTTGTTTGTGAACAACCCGGACCAAAAAAAGATAAGGAGGTCTAGACATTTCCCGAGAATGTCTTGACCAACGTCTTTTTTTTCTACGTACTCTTTTTTTTTCTACGTGCTTTTTTTTCATAAATAGCTAGTTTTCATTCAAATTTGGTTTGAATAGTTTGGATTCGTTATAAGCAAAAAGCAAAAAGCAGAAAGAAACTGTGGTGCACGAATTAAGCCGTCTCGGAATTGATTATTTGCCAAAAGATAGGAAAAATGGTTCTCACTTTATTTAATCTTCTCCTTTTCCATTCCGAAGAACCAACTTATGGAATTGCATTTGCCATCACTGACTCCTTCTTTACATTGTGAAAGTCGTGTCATAAACTGTAATAATAGTATCCTTTTTAACCATGACACGATCAATTCTGACGATTTTCCTTTGCATTTTAGAAAATTCACGACCAACATGAATCAGCGTCTTGTAACAAGACATTACATCTTTTTGATGGTCTACATGGGAACTATGAAGAATAGTATCTAAACACAACGAGCTGGCGTTGAGGATGAATGTTTTTGCGGGATCAAGTCTATGTCGTTTTACGAAAAAGTTATTCTCGTTCTTCCACATCAGTATACCCTTCCCTCAATCTACAGTAAGGTGGATTAAAACACAAATACCTGTTTACACACGAGCAACAAAATACCCATTAGTTTTGCCCATGAGGGCTTGTATTGGGCGATCAAAAGTTGAACAAATCTGCAGACGAGGATATTAAAAGTACCAGCAAAAAAGGGAGATTGAAGGATAGAGGTTTAAAAGAGCTGTACGGAAGAGGTTAGCAAATCTGATTTTGTAGACATAATCGTGATCAAAATGATGTGGTTGAGACAACTGGAATGGAGGATATGGAATCGAACGTCTGACTTAAAGTGCTTCTAGAGTTTGTTAAAGTTCCATACGATGAAGATCAAGTCGAGAAAGGACAGGGTAAACACCTATCAGAATAATATTCAAGAGGCATAATTAGATAATTGCGGCATGATCGAGGATCAATTTTAGAAACGCTTCGGCTGACTATTTAGATTTATCATCTGACGACGAGGGGATCCACTGTTATTACTTTATCAATATTTCACTCAGAATGACCGTATTACACGCCCATCTATTCTGAACCAGGAATAATCATATGTGCAAGCAGTGTGTTATCGATAGTAGCAATATAGGATTACAAGAGATAGCGAGATATGGTATACACGTACGTCTGGAGGTTAGGGCAATGTTGAAATTGGATATACGGAAAGGATACCAGGGTAACTGTTATAGCTCGACTTGGCGGATCTTCGAGTCTAGAGGAACAGGTATCATAAACCTCTATAAAATGAAACGAGATTCTAGTACTTTTGTGGGGGGACTAGCAGAATAAAACGAAAACAGCATTGCTGGCAATTTTCCTTATCACGGCTTATAAATGACATGAAAAAAAAAGAGAGAATGAAATGAAGAGGATTCGGATGACAAAATGAAAACTATGAAATATCGACGATTTGTAATCCCTGCGTTTGCAAGATGTATTCTCGTTTGTTGTACATGGTCTGACAATTATGCTATACATATTTAAAAAAAGTGGTGGTGAGGCTAAAGCAGATATAAATAATTGGGGGTACAATGGGTTACTATAAGATGTTTCTTTTTTTTTTCCCCTTGGAGTCTTTCATTATTTTACAAACAGTTCACAATTAAAATCAAAGTATTTTTCAGAGTTATCATTTTAAATGTTAGTGTCCCTAATCCATATGAAATTGCCTTTAAATCAGATTACAAACATATTCGAGTTCTTATTTTTAAAGCTTTTTTTTTCTGTTGAGCCATCTAGTTAAAAATCACAGCATTTAACTTTACAGCTGCCGCAATATCAATTACCATTTTTTTGAGACCTTCACAGAGGACATTATAATAGTTGCGGCTACCTTTTTTTATATCTGCGTCTTACCTGATATATATATATATATATACTCGAATGAAATCTCAGAGCTCTGATGGAATTGATAATATCAAAGAAAAAAACAATGGCTACTTCATCCAATATAAGCTTTTTGATAAGCACATTCATTCTAATCCCAGTAAGAGACAAGGTGGTTTTGTGTGATAAAAATCGAGAAGCTTTGATGCCGACTGATGGCGTGCACATAATATTAAGTCACACTTGTCACTTAAAACAATATCTTAAAAACGCCGTTTGCATGTCTCACTTTCTTCATTAAAATCTACTCGAAGTAATCTTACCATTGGAATGCTTTGTGATTAACAAAAAACTAAGTTGACACAACGATACACAGGTTGAAATTCAGTCATAATGTCACCATCCTGACCTTGTTCAACCGTTTATAGTCCTTTCTCGAGTCTATAATAACTTTACTAGGTTTTAAAAACGAAATTAAGAATGTTCTTTATAAACACAAAATTGATCCTCTTCATTTCTAGTCGTATACCTCCAGCTGCTGCAACAAGAAGGCCTTATTTATCGTAAAAGACTATTATATAATGAGTTTCGATTTTTTGCGTTATAGATAACCTATATTCACCAAATAAAAAAAAGCGAGGGGAGGGGGGAGGACTATCGACGAGATAATACGGTTTACAATTTTTATTTGCAGGCAATTAAGACCCCTTTGCTGGTGACATTCTTGTCTTACCTACATTGTGGAATGAAACTCGTCTTGCATGCTGTCATTCCTGGACCAGTTTCGTAAATGTCTTGAATAGATGTAGCAACCGGAACTTATGAGTGTTTATAATTCTGACAAAATTAAGTGAGAATTCTTGCAAGAAGAATTGTGGTATATTTCGGTATCATCCTATGTAATAAATGAGCATGCACAAGCAATTAAATTATTACACATATGTTATCATGGAATTAATGTAATTCATGCACATATTTTTTTTATCTTTTATCGTAAAGAGTGGGGTAATTTCTCATACGTAACCTGCATATATATATATATATATATATATATATTTTGTAAATCTTTCTTTATTTACTAAAACTAACAAACGTAACAGTCAACGGGTTCCGGTTGTAAACGAAATCAAGCAACGGTAGTGAGTAATATTTTTAAAGATGGTCTACAACGGCTACCCCTTTTACCAGTGAGTACACAATTTTTGTCTCCCCATCCCGCTTTTTTCTTTCTTTTTCGTTTCTTATTTGGTTACTGCGAAAGAGATACAAATAATCTTTTTTTGGAAGTACATAATCATGATGGAACACGTCTTTTTGATCTGGAGTTATCAATGCAAACCATCGCCTGACTTAATCCTCAAAGTAGACCTATAACTATTTTTTCGGATCTTGACACGGTAGACTACATATATTTTCTTGCGTTAAAATAATGAGTAATACCTTGATTTCATCTCACTTATTACTGTAGCACATTTTACTGCAAACTTTCTTAAATCGTTTGCTAATGGTCAGCCGCTTAAACCGTTATAACATTATTCTAATTGTGCTTGTTTTTTCTATA